AGGGAAGCTATTATTAATTTCCTAAGCTATTAGGAATAGGTTAGCTAGATCTTTACTATAAAACTAGACTACCTCCGCCCTTATTATCTAGTAAAAGTTGTGAAGAGTAACTTGCCATGATATATACTCTAGATTACTAGGCTAGAGGCGTAGTAACTTAGCATAATGGTATTCATTCCAAGTATTATTATCAGAACCTGGGGGAGGCATTAGTGGAGTAGGGAAGTCTTAATAATAATTCACACACTATTTCGCATATTTAACTTGCTAGGACTAAGAATAACAAGAATCAGTTTTTACCTATAAATTAGGGAAGAATTATAATTACTTACCTAAGTATCCTTTTATATACTAATTAAGCTAAATTCCTTTTAATATTAGGTCTTCACGTTATTAAATACACTAACTAGATCTAGAATCGCCTCTAAAAAGGCCGGGAATAGCTTAGGAGCCTAGTTTTAACTATTTATACTATTATTAGGATTAAAGAATCCCTTGTACTATTTAATATAATAAGAGAGATTAACTATATTACTAAGCATCCCTATTATAGCCTTTAGGGAATATTAGTGAAAGCCTACCTATATTATGAAGAACCTACTATTAAATAACTCGCGTTCTAATGGGAATATTAGTAATAGAGTACGGACTTAGTACTATTGAGAATACAGGAGATCTTGAATGGTTTAAAGGGTTTAGCCTTAGGGTTATAGGACTTAGTGGATATTCTTATGCATTTTATATACTAAAAGAGTTTAGGTATTATTAGAGTAGTAAGGATAGGATAAACGCGAACTATCTTAGAAATAATAGGGATAAATTAAGAGTGGGAAGACGTTAGGATAAGGGAAGGCGAATAAATTATAGAAGATAAGATAAAGAGGAAGAGGAGAGTAGAAGAAAAATCTATAGAATATTATTATTATATCGCCTTCTTTGTTTACCTCGCTATTAAGCGAAAGGTTTTAAGGCTAAATATGCTTAATTACGCTAGAAGGCTATGGTTATATATAATAAATAGTTACTCCCCTCCTTTATTTTCCCTCTAAAGCTATGATGGAAGTCTTTAAAGACTTGCAAGGCTAAAATTAGTTATAAAAGAACCCTTTAAGGTTCCACTTGCGGTTCTATAACTATTTATGATTATAATGTTCTATTTCTGGATCGGGACGATCCCTTAGGGATAGGGGTGCCGTGTCATGGTCAGAGCGGCCTAGATGCCTGAAGGGTCAGGCCCCTGATTAGAACGGTTCAGGTACATAAGGTGCCTGAGGGATCAGGCTCATCAGGAAGGGCCGACAGCCAGGGGTTAACTAATTAACTTAGTCAACTTAGCTAATCCGCTCACACAACCTAAGGAGGTTGGCTGAGGGGTAAGCTAAGAGGTTAACTAAGGAGATTAAGAGACCTTAACTTAACGTCATCCTTTTAATAGCTGGTTACTTAGGTCCCCTGAAGGTCCTAGATATCTTGCGAAGCAAGGATTAGTTTTATCCTAATTTGATATCTACCTTGGTGATATTATACCTGATCAACTTCTCTTTAAGACTCTTACAGGTCAAGACGATCCCAAGGTTTAGGAAGGCTTGAGAGGTCAACCTTGCGTAACTTAAGGCTACTACTATATAATCTTAAGTATATTAAGGAATTATTAGAGTATACTAATTACTATATAAGAGCTAATATTAATATATATCTATATAATATATTAAGAATATATATTAATTACTATATATATCTTAATACTATATAGGGCTAGCTTAAGATAGCTATTAATTAACTAAATAAAATTAGGCCCTAGTATAATATAGGCTCTATAATATTATTAGAGATCTTATAATTATTATTATATAATAGTAGGGGTAAGCTCTTTATATATAAAGAAGAATTAGTCTCTTATAATAGATTAGAATATAGATATAATAACAAGAGATAAGTAATAAATCTTTTAATTAAGAATCTCTAATTCTTAAAATATTAATAAAGTATTCTTTTATTGTAACACTTAATCTATTCTATAGTAAGTTTTATATAAAGTTAATTTAATACTTTATTAACCTCTACTTAATCTATAACTATATTTATTATATATTAATAGAGCCTAAGCTAGTATTATATATATTTTAATATTTATACTTAAATATTCTAGCCCTTATACTTTAAAATATAAAGAATTTTAATCTCTAAGAGTAACTTAGTATATAAGGACTATAATTTATATATAAAGAACTATATTACTTAATACTATATAATTTATTTTATAGATACCCTATATACTAAGATAGACCTTAATTATATATTTACTAATCTAAATACTATATTAATTACTAAGTACTTTAGTAATATTATAAGAAGGAATATTAATATAATATAGATTAATAATCTCCTCTTAGTATAGTTCTAGATTAATTAAAGGCTAAGGTATCTTAAAGGATTTAGTATAGAAGAGAAAGAAGTAAATAATAAAAAGAAAAAAAGTAATCTATTAAGTAGTTAGGTTAGTAGTATATAGGGTACTAATATATAAAAAACATTTCTGCCCTTTTATCTAGATCATCCCCCATAGTTATAATGGGGATAGTTTTATTGGGGTTGCCTCACAATGCCAGTCGCCTCACGTGATGTCTACACCGACTTTACTGAGGGCCTCTTGCTCCTACAACTGCCTCACGAGAGTCAGTTGCTTGGCTCTGCAGATAGCTCGTCACCTCTCACGTAGTCAAGTCTCGATTTTGTCCCTCCCGCCTTCCTTCTGTATATAGAATCTGATAGATCGGCTACGCACAGGAAGCAAGAAGGAAGGGCGGCGAGAAATCTCTGGATTCGAGCATCTAGCTGGACGGGAGAACGAAGGAGGAAGAGGAGAAACACAGAGGAGAGGCCTAATATAGGCCTTGATGGGAAACATTTAACAAGCGCTGGTCCTGGAAACACCCGCGGGATCGTCCGCCAGAGGGAGGAAATCTCCATCAGAATCCACTACAATACTGACACATTGCCTCCCTACAAGGGAGCGCGAACGGGCCCTATCTGACGTTACGGTCTACGACCGCAGCGACAGGTAACCCGTTATGGCCAAACTACACTCTTCTTACTCCTCTTGACTGCGTGAGACCACCAATAAAAGGATGTTTCGTTTTGTTTATGATAGACTGCCATTTTCGCAATAATACCTGCAAAGTCGATTTCGCATAGAGTAGATGCTTTGCAAACAAGAGGGGAAGGTTGAAGTCGAACTAAGCAGCAAACAGAACTATTGAGTGTATTAACACTTTACTTCTAGTAGTGTTGCTTCGCTCTGACTTCACACGACATTTCGAATATTCTATCTCTTCGTTCACTTCGTATACAAAGATGGTTGGCAGAAGGGACATAGACCATATTCTACGTAGAAAGTGCCAAAACTGTACAACTTAGAAGATTCTGCTTGAAGTTCCTAGAGCTTCGAAAAAGTCAAGAGGGGTAGGAAAGTAGAGGAGTGCAAAGGGACATATACCGGACGAGGGTCCGTCAACTAGGTAAGAAGAAGCAGATGTAATGGAGGAAGGGACAATGTAGTCTGTATAGCTGTTGGTGTCGCCATGATACTTCTCGTATTGTTCTTCCTGCTCCCAAATCTCATCAAACATTGCAATCATCGTGTCAGCCTCGAGGCCCAGAGCACAGAAAATGGTAATCTCAAAAGCATGGCGATCGCGAAGTCTTGAGTATCTGTTGTTCGACATGGCTAAATGCGTCGGTCTGGACAGTCATAAAGTTCTTGTATTGTCTTGACAAAGAACTGATAGCACACCTGGCAACGCGAATAACACGTAGCTGAGACAAGAGGATCGATTGGAATGCCGAGGATCACGTGCTGCATATTCCTTCGTACGATATCTTACTACCAATGTCAGCTACTCCGCATACGGTTGGATCTCACTCATCTCACGTTTACAGTTTCACTTGGGAATAAATCGCTATCTGTGGCTGTCCATAAGCTTGGCGCACCACTGTCCAACTTTTGATGCCTCAAATTTGTGAGTCATCGTTAAGTATGGGAAGGGCACTGCATTTCTCTGGTGACTACAAGAGTAAGGGCCACCTGTTGAATGCCCCTACTTTTTACGGCCCCGTCAACTTTTTGGCACCGAACTCCACGGATCGACACCATCCAAAAGCAACCTAAATCAACCCAAAGCCAGAGATTTCAGGGCGTATCCATGATGGATTTGTTGAGATATCTGCCTCTGGCCTCAGGGGAATTCTGAACTGGGAAGGTTAGTAAACCGAGCTTTATCCTTTGCTACCTATAATGGAGGAAGGGACAATGTAGTCAGACCCAGAACAAGACTGATTCTTGGGGATTTGAATGCACAACTCTCCAAGGCTATTTTACGTGACCGAACATGACTGAGTCGAGGGCGCTTCGCCACCGGATCGTCCTCAGCTGAACCTCTCTTGCTGCACCTTCCTTGTAGGACATGAGTTAGATGCATAATGGATGCAGGCTCTCTGTAGGAGATCTGTGCTCATGAAGTATTCCCATTTACCGCAACTTCGAATCGGAGAATGCCTGAAACTCCCCGAGATTCTTCCTCGAAGATCTTGTGAAGGCGCCCCGTAACAAGGAGTGGTGCAGGAAAAGAGAACACCTTGAACTCAGCGTATTGAATGCCTCCCTACTGAGAGGCCTTCTCTTTCTGGCCCCGTATTGAGCACCTCCTAAGTCAAGCTTTCTCTCAATCTGGCCCGCTCATGAAATCCACACACTAGCAAACAGAAAAGTGGGTAATTTTCAAGCTAACGCAATTTTCGTATGCGTATGACTCAGTGGACCCATCGCACGTCGGAGCTCGGAAGCGGAATACCGACTTAGGAAATAGATTGCCACTGCTTCCGTCCCGTGTAGGCTATCGATAGTCCGGGATGTGAATGGGTCTCGGCACGCCGAAAATCCGGCAAGCTTGCGGTCGGAACCAGTGCTGCACGGTGAATTGATTTCGGGTATCGGCAGCCTCGTAGAGATATGATTGTGTCTGAACAAATGAACAAATATATAATACGCATAGGTCACCTAGCACTGTTCGAAAACCATCAGCGGCATCGAACAAAACGCGGAACCAAATCGTGCGATAGCACACATCAGGCCGACTAAACCAAAGTCAAAATTCATCTTCTACCTTTCGCAATCTCGCAATGCACCTTCCTTGGACATCTCCAACAATCGACTCCAGGCCCCTCGCTCTTCTAGGCGCGGGTGTCCTAGGCCGTCGTATCGCCTGCGTCTTTGCCGCTGCAGGATATAACGTTAATCTGCGGGATCCGTCAGCCGATGCTCGACAGGCCGCTGTCCAATATGTGACGCAAAACCTGCAGGCCTATTCGAAGCTTTCTAAAGGAACCCGTACCTTTGGCCACTGCCGCGCCTTCTCCGACCTCGATAGCACCGTTCGCGACGCTTGGCTGGTCATTGAAGCAGTCCCTGAGAAGCTGCAGATGAAGATCGACACCATGGGAGAGCTCGATAAGTTAGCTCCGGCTGATTGTATCTTTGCTTCTAACTCTTCATCGTTCAAGTCGAGTTTGATGCTTGATAAAGTTAGTGAGCATAGACGGCGTTTGGTTTGCAATATGCACTTCTTCATGCCGCCTGAGAAACGTGTTGTGGAGTTGATGACAGACGGCGAGACTGTTCCTGCGGTCTTCCCCTTCTTGACCGAAGTGCTGGAGGATGTTGGAATGGTACCGGTGACTGCACGCCAAGAGTCTACTGGGTAAGTCTTGATCGATCTAGCTTGAGCACACACAGATAGTCTAATATTTGTGAAAAGTTTCGTTTTTAACCGCTTATGGGCAGCCATCAAGCGTGAAATCATGACCATTCTAGCTGAAGGCGTCTCAGAACCGAATGAGATTGATAAGATCTGGGTGGAAATGTTCAAGAATGCAAGTGGCCCCTGTGCGTTCATGGATGAGGTCGGCCTAGATACGGTCGCCTTCATCGAGGATCATTATATCGAGGAGCGTCACCTAGACTCCGCATTGACCGTCGACTGGCTACGTGAGAACTATATCAGCCATGGCAAATTGGGTAACAAATGTGATAAGGGGGGCCTGTACCCTCCTCACCCTGTCGATACTCTACCTAAAGAGCACTCGGATCTACCCACTGTCTACTTCCTTGATCTAGGATTGGGTTCAGTTGTGCAAGATCTCTCAAAGCTTGGGAAGACTGGTCGAATTCTCCGCCGAACAAGCGATGGAAGATGTGAGACACTAGTAACTAATCTGAAATGCCCTGACGGTATCGCCTACTCCCCATCTTCTGGACGCATTTTCTGGACCAATATGGGTTTCAGGCCAGCCCTCAACGACGGCTCCGTCATGTCTGCCAACTTGGACGGTAGCGATGTGCAGGTTGTAGTACCAGAAGGAATGGTGCATACTCCTAAGCAGCTTGTTGTTGACGAGACAAGCAAGAGGCTCTACTTCTGCGATCGGGAGGGACTGCGGGTTCACCGCTGCGACTTCGATGGCACGAATCATGAAGTCATGGTTTGCAATGGAGATTTCGATACCAAAGAGCAGGCTGATCAGAAACTCTGGTGCGTGGGAATCACACTAGATGTGAAGCGTGGCAAATTCTACTGGTCGCAAAAGGGCCCCTCCAAGGCGAATCAAGGGCGCATCTTCCGCGCAAATATCGAGATGCCTGCTGGTCAAACAGCAACCACCCGAACTGATATTGAACTTCTGTTTGATGGTTTGCCTGAGCCAATTGACCTTGAGGTCGACCCAGAAACCGAGACTCTGTACTGGACTGACCGTGGTGAGCACCCTACTGGCAACACACTTAACCGAGCCTCCGTTGCTGCGGGGAACTCTAAGGTGAAGGTCTTGGCCCGCCATTTCAACGAGCTCATTGGGATGAGTATTGATTGGAAGAATCAGCATATCTACCTCACTGATCTCGGGGGATCCCTGTATCGGGTTGACATGGATGGTAGTAACAAGACTGTGCTTTATCATGACGAGGGATGCTACACTGGTGTCACTTTGGTTTGATGGTCTACACTGTCGAGATTAAGTACAACTAGTATGGCTCACTTTTATTGGAATATTATACAAAATCTGATATAGAATTGATAGAAGACAGGTTTTTTCCTGACTTTGCATACTATGCTCGTTGATTCTGCAGACATTTTGCCCAGTAGAGATGTTACTGTCGGGAGCAAAGTGGAAACGTGTGTACTATTTAGCGAAGGACCATCGCGTTGATATCGTACGTTGACGATTATGCTACCGTGACCGAGAGTATACAAGGTTTGTATGCCATTGTCCACCGGACACCACGTGAATATTTCTGGGCTTTTGGGGGATTTCGTCCGAGTTTGTTACTTGTATCGAACCTTTGCTGCGTGCCTGCTTCTATGGAGGTCTCTAGCTGAGATATACGACTAAATTACATAAAATAAAGGGGTAAATGACTAAACTAAATCCGGAATATCGGAATGTCAAATAACCGAGTGGATGCTGAATGAAATGAGATCCTAGCGGTATCCTAAGGTCGACACGTTGGTAGTTTGTGTCTTCTCACCACGTGATCTTCCTCCAGGTTTTTCGTTCGACTTTTAATTCTCCTTCCCTGCATCCAATTTTTAATTCAATATAATAGCAAAAGTAGGTTGGGAACAGGCGGATGTGAGCTTTCTATTCATACTAAAATTATGTCTTGTGGTCACTGTCACGATTTACCTGTTGGAAATCAATCCACCGTCCAGCCCCGGCTCGGACCACAAGCTTGCTAGTTTTTGGCGTGCCGAGAAACATTTCACCTGCCAGTCTATCGATGGCTTATGGGGGACGGAAGCGGGGGCGAGCTATTTCCTAAAACGGAATTCCGCTTCCGCCCCGTCTTCCGACGTGCGATGGGTCCGCCGAGTCATACGCATATTAAGTTCGTTAACTAACTAACTAGTTAACTAAGCAAGTTACCGTTCTTACCGAAGATGCCGCGGCCCGAGTCACCCCAATCCGAGCTTTAGGACGCGGATTTCAGGCAAGGATCCGTCCATGACATAATCCTACATCACAGCCACTGGACACTGGCGTAGAGGAAAAGCAAAGAGTAAAGATGGAGTAAAAATGAGGTCCTAAGTGAGCACCTATGATCAAGTTATATATGTTTATGAGCAGAAAGTTTCACCATGACATTTTCAACAGTGTTGTTGGAATAATACCTAACGACCCCTAGTCCTATCCTGTGGTAGGCCTTATTTGATTATTTGAGTCATACCCACCCATCAATCAACTCGTGGACGAACCGATACACAAAATGCGTGTTACACACCCTTCATCTCCATCCAAAATGAACATCCGACGTCACCCTCAAGGGCGGGTATCTCGAGCATGTGACAGCTGTAGAGTCAGCAAAGCCAAGGCAAGATAAATCCACGAAAACAAGAATGAGTTTACATGCTGACTGACCAATCCAGTGTGATGGAAACCGACCTTGTAGTCGATGTAAAGCCAAAGACCACATATGCGTTTTTGCAGTCAGAAGACCGCCGCCAAAAAATCATCCCGAAGGGTACGTCACATTAAGTCTTTTAAGCTCAGTGGACTTGTGTCTTATTGAATTTTCCAGATATGTTGAGATTCTAGAGCAACAGCAGAGCTGGTTGGTTTGTGGCCTGCGACAGCTGTATAAGCTGAGTATACAGGGGAAAAGCTGGCCCGGTGAACGACTCAAGGAAGATGATAACGGTTACCCCTTGACACATGATGTGCTTTCCCGCCTGGGTGCTCTGGACAAACCTCCGGAAGCCGAAGAACCGCCCCAGGAGAACATCGGTTTGGATCCTTGGCTACAAGGCTTCTCGCACGTGATCTCCCCATCCTTGTGCAGAGTTGATACCCGAATGCCTTCCTCGCCGCCCCGAATGACAGGAATTCCGTTTCAGACGATATCGTCGCCTGAAAGCCTTCAACCAGGAGAGCCAGGCCTCAAGCAGAATTCTATTATACCTTATTTTTTCCCTCCCTCACAGCTGTCTCTTTGTGATGGAAAAGATCCAAACATAGCTGGTCATGATAGCATGTGCCTGATGGATGAACCACTATTCTCCGATGAGATCGATTTAGCAGAAGGCAAGTCCAGAAGCTCTGGCTATGAGTCACTTTCGTCCTCTTTTACGTCAAACTTCGTCTCCGTGGATATCTCCAGCCATTCCCTGGGAGTTTGAGACAATTGGCAACCTGGACAGCACTGATCAGTTACCGCGCCTGAATTCCCCTAGTGTCATTTAAACAAGAAACGGTCTTCGCCCGAAAAGGAGAAGAAAATGAATTTGTGTTCAATCTCCCTTGGATATATCTCCAATCATTATGAGCTTAACCTTGCTCCTCGGACTTAGTGTTGTGCGATGTCCAGCACGGAATATCGTGGGCCCGACGCAAGGGGCTCTCACGCAACAGTCTGAATAGAACCTATCATTTAACCCGGCCTTTCACTGCAGTGAATCGCAGGCTACCCAAAATATGGCTGTCGAAAATAAAACATCAGCTTGTTCGATGCCATCGGGAGCTTTAGAAGCTCAGGCGAATGTGTCGGAGCAAGTGAGAATAAGTTGTCAAAACCTAAACCTAGGCCCACTTGATGCCCCTCGTCGTACCTTCTTTGGCGCCCCTCTCTTTTAGGTAAGCTTCCGTAGCCACCAAGTTTTTGCTTTCAGAATTTCTAGCGTGAATTAGCTATGTCAATGGTGTGCTGCCCTCATAATCTATTACATTGACATTTGCTCCCCGTTTGAGTAAAATCTCCACAACGTGCAGTGAGCCGTGCTCAGCAGCGTAGGAGAGGGGTGTCCGTCCGTACATAGAACGAAAATCAATCTTTGGCTCGTTTTGGCGGAGGTAACGAGGGAGGTTTGTACAGTCTCCCATGGCAGCGTAATGAAGAAGAGACCTCTTAAAGTGATCTCGTCGTTCTAAGGCTCTTCTTGACTGAAGTAATGAATATGATTTTTCGACAAACACCACCAGATCTTCGTTGAGAGATATTTCCCTGATGCTTTTCAGACGGTCAAACTCAGGGCCAATATCCCTACTGCCGGGGGTGTTTTTCATTGTCGTATCGGGCAATCAGGCTTGGAAGGATAGAATCTAAGAGGATGTAGAGAGGGTTAAGGGGAACTTGGTTGAAAATTAATGAAAAGTTCGCATAGATTTTCGCGAGAGTGAGCTTGAACGGAGAGAAATGAGGCTTCGAGGCACCTCAAACGCAAGGCTTCTTCGGTTATTGAATAGTTAGATAGTTATGATTTACAACAAAAGCCTTGGAGATGGAGGTTTTAATAGACGGGCTTGTTTCGTCACTTACGTGATTGGTTTGGTCACAGAAGATGAACGCCATGTGTTGCCTACCATAATTGAGGCGTGTTGAAGCATACCCTTCGCTTTTACCACCATCATTGGGCTTAACTTTTGGCTCCTAGGAGGCTGAAGCTCTGGAAAAACGTCTACTGTAACAACCTCTTGAGCAAAGAGTATTCTCACTAGTCCAATTTAATACGTTCAGGGTCAGGGCCGCACCCATTGATTGGTACAAGATTATCTTCCTGAATGCTCTTCTTCATGAAGGCGTGTTATCCTACTTGGAGTAAAAATGAAGATGATTGTGTTGAAAAAGCCAGTCTTGTCCTGAAGGCAACGCCCCGGTGAAGAGCAGGAATGATTATTCTGATGGTAGCTTGTATCCTAATATCCCGGAGTGGGGCAATAGCCTTTAGATCAACGCCAATTATCGACTCAGTGATGATTCGCTAAGGTTTCGTTGGAAAACAGTCGAATTAAGATTGAAATCATGTAGCCAGTTTTACAGCCACGTAGGCACTGTCCGCCGTTACACAGATGTCATATAACAGCACCTATAAGCTGTACCCGAGCATTGCATCAAGCATAGGCATTTGAGATAAGACCCTTAGACTACTGGCTGGGTTCCTCGGGCACAAATCCGTACTAGGATTGACTGTACCGTTCCTGGGATGGGCGTTGCACGTCCCTGGGAATTAGATATCTGATCCTTGGGGCGCTGCGGGCCACAGGAAGCATCGGCTGGATCCTGGGATAGCCACAATGTTGGACAATTCCCACCAAGTTCTACGTTTATGCTGGAAGAATGAGTGAACTGGCACATAGACACGTTCATGGCTATCAACTAGGCTGTAACCTCGTTCGGCAAGGTCCCCGAAATGTTCAATCGCTGAACGGCAATAGTACCCCGACCACAAATCAAATTCAAGCGAGAGCAGGTTTAGGAGCAAATTGCAATGACTGGTTTCTAGGACGATTGCCTTGTGGACCCTGCCCAACCAATTGTGAAGTCCCAAATCCAAGGAGTGCCAAGCGCGACTAGACCTCTGCCAATCTCTAGGAAACCTGAAAGCTCCCTTATGCATTGCTTGGTCCCGTTTCTCTTCTTCCTCGATTGCTATCTGTAGCCGTAGATCGCTGGCACAAAGGCTCTTCTGAGTGCAGAAAGTACCACAAGGTGGGACTTTGTCCTGGGATCAAGAAAATTGTCGGCAAGAAACTTCTTCAGTGGCACCAATCAAGAAGAACAGCGGAAAGGTCCTTAGACTTAGTAAGTTAGTAGCACAAGTTGAGTTATAGCCTTCGATCTTAGTGGATGTAAAAGTTATCGGAGGCAGGTTTGCATAGTAAACCGTGACCTAGGTGTGGAAGGGACGCGAGAACACGTGGTCCATCTACGATCCAAGGAACCCCCGCTAGAGCGGACTACTGTAACAGAGTGGTGCAGGAGAAATGTTCTTTGTGCATCAATTGATTGTGAATCAGCTGGAAGTGGGTCGCTCAAGAGCTACTACGGAAGCGCCACGCAGTGGGAGCACTCTGGGTACTCTCAGATTAGTCAAGAGTATCCCAGGAGTGCTCCAGGAATTGCTCCGGCTACTCCAAGATTGCTCCGGGAGTGCACCGGGAGTGTTCCGGGAGTGCTCATGGGGGCGCCGGGTCTAATCCTGCATGGAGACCAGGAGGCGATCGCTTCCCATATTGATAGCCTAACCGTCATCTTTTTTATAGAACAAGTAGAAGATTAAGGTCTGACTCAAGGCTGAATGAGGACTACGGGTGAGCCTAGGAGTGGCTAGAAAGCCCTCGTGTCCTGGCGTTGTAATAAATATGATTGCGTATATTGTTGGATTTATGAATATACTGAGGGCTTACTCGTATTGGACCACTGCTCATGAGCACTCTCAATAGGATGCTGACTCGACATAATTAGTGCTCTCCTCCGGCAACTTACCGAGTTCGGAGAGGTCGTCTCTTCCAGTGTTCCCCGAGTAGTTTGAACAAACTGACCAGAATGCCATATCGTTCCCGAAGACCGAGGACGTATAACTTATAAGAATATCCAAGAAAGGGAAGGAAAGGGGACCAGTAACGTTCGTCCAAAACAAGGTAGGGAATAAACACATTGCTTCAGTGACCTCGAGAGAACGGTATTTAAATTATTGTTAATTTACTAGGTCAATTAAATAATATCTTTTCTTCTTTCCGCAGTGGTGACTGGTGGATCAAGCATCGCTATCAGTCAAATCACGCATCTTGTAGATTTTGCTTCCTCTTTGTGCTCCAGTACACTTGAAGAGAGTCATCGCTGCTTGTTGGTACGGACTACATTGGTGCCCGACTCCGGCTTGCCGTCCGTGTCCGCATTCCGAGCACAAGGCCGAGGCTGATGCAGATCCTCTTCTTATGAGACCCAATCCCTGGTATCACTCCCCGATTCAGTGTTTCGTATTCGTCTCAACGCTTGGCCCTATTATTTTTGAAGATGCTCGGCATCGCGATTGCGGCTGCCTACGATGGCGAGCTGACGACAGACGGCCGTAGATAGGTATAAAAACGGTGGTACGGAGTCGCCACATCTAATCAAATAAACTGGATATGTCGTTCGAAATGAAGTTCCTGTCTTTGTTTACTCTGATTTTCTATGGGCTCATCGTCTCAGGCTCTTCCATCTGCCCGCCCACAGGGCCTGTATTGCCTCCACCGGATATACCTCGAGACTATGACTGGTCCAACTTGACACGGACGTTGGATGAATTTATTCAGGGTGCGATAGAGGATGGATGGAACAGCACCATAAACTCATTCTCCGTCATGGCGACTTCAGCTGAAGAGACCTTCTTCACCTATCATCATACTGCCCCCATGAACAATGAGTCTGGTGTTCAACATGTGGATGGCAACACTGTTTATGCAATTGCGAGTATTACCAAGGTCTTTACCGTTCTCGCTGTTTGGTTGGAGGGCAGAATAAACCTAGACGACCCCATTGGTAAGTATGTCCAGGAGTTGAATAACTCGGACTGGGAGGATGTCACCCTCCGTCTCCTGACGAGTCAAATTGCGGCTGCTCCACGAAATGGTATGTTGCCCCGTATATCTGCAAGAGACTTACTAACCCTGGGAAGGATATACCTTTGATAATGCCTTAAACGCTCCAGATCTCGTTGAACTTGGGTTCCCGGAACTGCAATCTTCAGATATTCCTCCGTGCTCCCTGGCGCCTGGTCTGCGAATGTGCACTCGTGAAGGTATGTTATCACAGACCCCATCTGATCGTGAAACATGCTAAGAGTAATCTAGAATTCTTTGCCTCGTTTCCAGAATTCGCCTTCACTGGCGCCGTTGGAAATCGTGCAGCATACTCCGACCTCGCATATATCCTACTGGGATACGCCCTGGAAGACGTTACCGGCTTGACGTACGAGCAAGTCTTGAAGAGATTAATTCTGGGCCCCTTAGGCCTCAATGACACCACCGCGTTTCGCCCGGACCCTGCTCGCATGATCATTCCCAGCGACGGCGCGTTTTGGATTGATGTTGACTGGGCATACTATCTCATGTTCGTTCCCGGTCTTGAACGGTGCGACGCCAAATGCTAACAGAGCTATCACTCTGCAGGACAGCCGGTCTCTACTCGACCCCAAACGACCTCAGCACCTTCATTCGCGCAATCCTAACCAACCAACTCCTACCTCGCGCAAAGACGAATCAATGGCTCAAGCCAGCCGCATTCACATCCCAACTCGACAACTCGGTCGGAGCCCCTTGGGAGATCTTCCGACCCACCGCGCTACTTCCCAACGACGCCCGCCCAATCGACCACTACACCAAGAGCGGCGACGTGCCCGGGTTTTCGTCTTCGTATCTAGTGATTGTCCCAGAGTATAACCTTGGCGTCACGATTCTGGGTGCTGGACCTGACGCATCGACTGTTGTTCCGTTGCTTTTGGATACTGTTCAAGCTGTCTTGGTTCCGGCTCTCGATCAGTTGGCGCGGGACCAGGCGATTGGACTGTATGCGGGGACATATGCTTCGGAGTCGGGGAATCAGTCATCTGTCATTGAATTGGTTGTGGATGACGGCCCCGGCCTAAAGGTAACCCGCTGGAGCAAGGGTCATCTGGACATGCGCAAATCATTGGCTGTTTCGCTATTCGGCGGTTCATCTCCTCAGGATGCTCTACCCGCGGATATCCGGTTCTACCCTACCGGCGTGGACGATCGTTGGTACGTCGGTTTCACCGAACAAGAAGCTGAAGAAACAAAGGACGCCAACCAGCGCGGCTTGCTACGGGACAGCGCTTGCATGGATTGGTACCGGGTTGACCAGTTTCACTATGGAAAGGCGTAGACTGGACGAGGTGGTTTTCCACATCGCCCTTGACGGTGCTCTCGAGAGTCTGGCGGTTCCTGCGCTGAGGGAGAGCTACGTTAAGAAGTAGAAGCATGATCCTGGGCTTTTGGTGTGGTCGGAGTTGCCCTACCCGAGTTCGCGCCCAAGATATATATCTGAGGAGTATTGACGTCTTTTTGCTTTAGAGACAACTTCATGCAAGGATTTGGAGTTTAGTAATTAGCCCTTAGTCTCTCCAAGAATGGAAGTATAGAAAGTCATAAAAATACTGGTCACCACCTATCGGTGGTTGCACTGCTTACTGCCCGGGCAGTAGCCCCCTGATTCCGTACCGCTTCTCAGTATCGGATAGTATTGTGAACGTTCTAACCTCACGATTAGCGAGGCGTATCATTACCTAATCTATGTTCTCTTCAACATTCTTTGGTCACAAACTGGGCGATCTCCGGACGTAGAGTGAAATTCCAGGGCCGCGGCCCGACTCGAGGAAGTAAGAGCCCGATTTAACTCGTATCGCAACCATTCTTAGACTGTCAGCACAGGCCAAGAAAACAGTGCCTAACTCGATCAGGTAGCTCGCTCGTCTTTTCTTCAAAGGTGTGGTTGCCAAGGTCCTGGAAATCGGAAGCGGCGGAGGGGGTTCGTATCCCATTGCTCAGCACGCCGTCGGACGCTCTGAACGGACCAAGGATGCCACCCTCCTTCTTGCTATAAAACTATTGGCTTTTGACTCGGAGATTTTGCTAGCTCTGCCTTTATTCGTTGACTCTGACATTAACTCTGTGCGCAGCGCGCTGTCGCTCAGAATCCCAAATATACTGAAATATACCAAGTTCTCTGCCAAGTCCAACATCCTGCTGCCTAAATACATCGAACTTTAGACCCGTTATTACCCAATCTTTGAATTCAAGCACCGCATACCCAAGCCCAACCAGCAGACAACAATGACGATGCTCTCTTACACAGGCAGTGGCCCCTACTGCTACGCACACAGCCTATACATGATCCTCCAAGCCTTAGCCCCAGATACGCGCTCAATCCCAGCGTCCGGATTCATCGAGTGTCTGACAACGATGCCCTTCGGCAAGCTCTTCATCAACCTCGACACCGGCCCCGTCTCCTTCTTCAGCAACCCACACACAGACCCAGATGAGGGGCTCCGTGTGGCAATTGAGACATTGGGATGGGAGTGTACTGAGCATCGCGGCGGCGATGCTGAATCCGCTCTCTCAGCATTGCGTGGCGCACTCAGAGACGGCGGGCCTGTTTTAGCTGGCCCGCTTAACATGGGCCGTCTCACCTATTACCCGGGACACAAGGAGCTGAATGGAGCGGATCATTTTGTCGTGGTTATAGGGATTGATGATAAAAACGGAACCATTCTCCTTCATGACCCGGCGGGGTATCCAGCCGTGCATATACTGAAGGAGGATTTCATCAACGCGTGGCATGCCGAAGGTGTCGAGTATAATGAGCAGCCATTCGTCTTCCGCTCCCACTTCCGCCATGTCAAGGACGTTCCCCGCACAGAGATGATCGCTCGCACGCTTGGGATCCTCGCCGAGCAGATCAGGAACAATGTTATGGTTGTTCCAGACTCGGTTGGCGGAGCTGCGGCCCTGGAACGCACTCTAGAGGCTGTGCAGAATTTGGTCCCTACTGTCATAAATGAGCTAGCGCCATTCACTTTCCCACTTGCGGCAAGGCGGTACTTGGATGCGAGAGACTTTTTGGTGGAGGCCGGGCACGTACATGCGGCGGCGATCATGGAGAAACAGGCGGCGTTGGCTGGCAAGGCACAATATCCTGCTCTGCAGGGAAACTGGGAGGAAGTCTGTATAATTCTAGAGGGGTTTATTGAGCTTGAGTCGCAGTTGGTGAATAGCCTCGAGTGTTTGGAACGCTAGATTTTGTCGAAGTAGGCAGTCTAGACCGGCGGATGGGTGGCTGCCCTCTCCATGTCAGTGCTGCATCGCCGGAGCACTTCTAATATGGGTGCCATTGTTGAGAGGAAAGATTAGCGGGTATAGAAGGGCATTATAATACGAAAGATAACGTCAGATATGTAATGCGGGTATTCTCTAGTACACCCCTGGCTGTAGTGAACCGCTGAATTCCCCAATCAGCGCTCATGTACAGGATCTGGTTGTTATGTGCGCCGTACAGAAGAACAACCATCAATAGCATTTAGGTCCTCTCCACAGCCATCGAAGCTCTAGTTTCCCCCTATATAAATCCTCTGTGACGAGTCCAAATCACGCTGGAGTGATTCGGGCAACCGTTCGCCATACGCCGATGCGCCGCTCAGTTACTGTATCTCCTCGTCCCCCACATGTATAAATGGAACACGAAGGTGCCCCTTGCCACCCCTATTCCCACGCGCAAACCACGGAATAAAAGTCAACGGCTGGGAAGGCTTGCTACAAGAGCGCACGCCCACCCCAGGCTGGGCCACGCTATATAGCGGGCTCCTGCCGTCTGAGCGTTTTCCAGATGTTATGTCCCGCACATAGACATCCTCGGTCTGCAAGGCGACGATGTCGACACCGGCTACTGTGGCTCTGGTAGCCGAAAAGGATGCTGACTCGGAACGTCCGATGTGATCAAAGTGCAGGCATGCTTCCTCGACCTCGGAATTGTCCACATCCTACGCAACGAAAACGATAGGACCCCGCATAACAGACAGGGTATCCTGCTTGACTCGTGCATCTGCACTCGATGCTCTACGGAACCGACCCGTCGACCCTGTCCGCAGTGCGCGCAACCATGGAGCACAATTTCATCATGCCCCTGCAATTGCAGCGCTACTGGCCGGGCCTGAAGCTCTCGCTATCGCGGCTCCGGGCGTTCCACCGCGCCTGTCTGGAGAACCACTCGCATCGCAACTTCGATATGGATCAGTGGATGATCACCTTCCTGAATCGGTACCAGTCGACCGTTCCTGAGCGGTCCGTTGCCGGGGGCCAGGCGAACTCCTGGGACGTCGGCCAGCCGATTATTGGGTCTCCGGACGCCGGCCAGCTGTGGAGGGAGATTGCGGGGTTTACTTCGTGACCGTTATCCACTCATCTGTGCGCTCATGTAGAGCACCCTGCCTTGGGTCAGGTTTCACCGGGACAATTGAACCGCGATGCCGCTTCCCGAGCACCAGAAAGTAAACTGGCGTCGCTTTTGGCAGAAGAGTGTAAGATCCCCATTCAGTCGCCGGCAGTGCCGCTTTGGATGACACATGCACGTCCAAAGACTCTTGAAGGGGTTTTCCATATGTCAGAAAACGGGTGAAACGATCAATATAACGAATGGCATTGGAGGATTAGTTCTCCTGTCGAAAGGTCTACTAGGATTGCATATTCCATTTTAAGTAACATCCGGGACGTTTGAATGCTACTCTCGCAATTACTCTCGTTGTACTTCTACTGAGGGATAACGCAAGAATGAGAGTGGTGTAGCGTATAAAGGTAGAAAGGTGAAGGAAGTATTACCTACTCCGGCTACATGGCCGAATACGGCAGACCACATGGTGATGAAAGCACTTCCTGATAAGAGCGGAATACAAGCCCTCAGGCTGCCTGACAGGCGTTTACTATGTACGGCCACGTTCAATAAAACACCAGTCCCTTCTTGATGTCCCCAAATCGCGAAAAGAACAGATCAGAAAAGTACCCTGTGCGCGCCACCCAGGGTCGCTTCGTGGAGGCCCTAGGCAGATCCGCGGCAGCACGCTTAATATAGGTAGACGAGAGGTTCATGATCGGATGATTCTCCAGCTTATTTTCCGATTCGACGACAGGAACCGCAGCCGCGTAGTCACTCTGGTATATATGCCTCACTACCCTACAGACAATCCGCATCGCAATATCCGCACCCAGCGTCCAAGAGGCGTTGGTGAAACCCAGGATCATCATGGCATTGGGTAGGTCCTGGAGCATGAGTCCGTTCCATGCGTATTTTGTCGAGGAGTCGAACTTGACCCCCTTGATGGTAATGGGGATCCCGCCGAAGAGCTGGAGGCGCAGACCTGTTGCCGTGATGACTGTGTCGGCCTCGAGCCTCTTGCCTGAGGCTAGTTGGATTCCACTTTCATCGACGTAGTCAATCACACCTGTTTCGACTTTTGCCTTAGTGGAGCTCAGCGCCCGGAAAAAGTCGCCATCGGGACAGGCACAGAGGCGCTGCTCCCAGGGGTTGTAGCGAGGTTTGAAATGTGGATCGATGGACATATTCGGCGGCAGCTGGGCTCTGACTCCCTTCTGTAGGAGGGAACGTGTGGCCATGGGGAATTTCCGACAAAAGGCATAGAACAGCTGGGGCACGACCAGGAACCACAGTCGGCGGAGGCGAAACATTGCAGATCTCGGAAGCAGACGAGCCCATCCCGAGTCGAGTTTCCCACGGTTGGGGACGGAGGCCAGATACGTCGGGCTCCGTTGAAGCATCGTGACGGATTCCGCATCTTCGGCCAGCGATGGGACAAGGGTCACGGCTGTAGCTCCGCTGCCGATGATGACGATCTTCTTGCCGGCCGCGTCGAAGTCCTCGGGCCAGAATTGGGGATGGATAACTGTGCCTTGGAAGTCTTCTAATCCGGGGATAGTAGCCTGCAGGGGCGTGTGATAGTCGTAGTACCCCGTTGCGAATATGATAAAGTTGGCGCGCAACTCGTGAGTGATCTCTTCATTCTGCACCTCGAGGCTCCACTGCCGGCCGTCCCAGTCCGCTGACTTGACACGGTGATTGAGACGGATATGCTGTCGTATGTTATGGGAGGTTGCCGCGTCTTCCAAGTACCTCAGGATATCCCCACCTTCGGCGATCGGGTTCGCCTGATTCCATGGATACCATCTCAACCCGAAAGTATAAAGGTCAGAGTCCGATCGGATGCCCGGGTAACGAAAGAGATCCCACGTGCCGCCAATATTGCTGCGTGCCTCGAGGATGGCGAAGCGACGATCTGGGAACTCGGTTTGTAGACGATACGCTGCATTGATGCCGGAAATTCCAGCGCCGATGATGAGAAAATCAAACGAGGATGAATCCATGCTGATGTGACGGAGATTGTGGTGGACTCATTCTTCCGGCCAAACTGGTCGCAGGGTAGATATATATGCGTAGGTCCCCTTGAATGAGGAAAAGACAATGGGCCGTATGTCCATTGTTCATTGATAGCGGGTGCCGAGGTCAATCAAGCATCTTTTACTTTGCAGGACCCGAGTAAGAGCCACGCTTGCCAGACAGAGCAAAAACCCTCCGCCACCTGGGCAGCCTTCCCCGCACGCAGGCCAACCCGAAAGCAATTACTCCATTAAAACCTCTAAACCTAGGGCGTTAATACCGAGGGGAAAACGAGAGGTCGGAATCTTAATTCGAAGTGCATACTCCATCGGGTTTCCGGATCACTGGGCAGTGGAGCACGCATGCTCCATTCGACCAAAACCCTCCGCAACTGCATCCTCACCACGAGTTCGGATCTCCATTTCTACCTGGATCAAAAACGAGGAACCCTTGCGAGCCGAGGAATCTGCAGGTGGAAAACGCAGCTAACCAGAGGAGGAGAGGCAAAAAGTTTATATAAGGAACACGAGGCAAGGTGCTGTGCCGCATTTCTGTTGGACTCTCAAGACCTCCTCCTCCTTCACTCCATCGTTCTCACCAGTGCCATCCAACATGTCGCTCAATCAGCTTCTACAGCCTTGTTTCGACAACGCTCAGCTGCTATTCTCACAACTTCCCCCTAGCGTTCACGTCTATCTTTCGCGTCCACTCGTCCGCAAGGCCCTCGCTCTGGTGGCAACGGTACAGCTTCTAAGGAGTGTTAACAGCTATCTTTCTCAACGAGCACAGAATAACTGGGTTCGTGCCCAGGCATGGAACCCGAGGAATGAGCTGGTGCTCGTGACTGGAGGAAGCAGTGGCATCGGCAAGCAGATTGTCTTCGACTTGGTCAAGCTCAACGTGAAGGCAATCATCATCTTCGACATCCAGGAGCCTAATTTCCAACTACCATCCAATGTATTCTTCTTCAACGTGGATCTCACCTCCTCCGCCGCGATCAAGGAGGCGGCAGCAGAGGTCTATAGGGCGCATGGTCATCCAACGGTTCTCATCAACAACGCCGGAGTTGGGTTTCAAGGGACTATCCTGGACGAACCTGAGGAGAAGATTCGCCTGACACTCGAGGTAAACACACTGTCGCATTTCTGGACGGTCAAACAATTTCTTCCGAGCATGATTAAGAATAATCACGGGCATATCGTTACAATCGCGAGCATGGCGAGTTTTGCTTCTCTAGGTGAAATGGCCGACTATGGGGCCTCGAAAGCCGGGGCGCTGGCTTTCCATGAAAGCTTGACGCAGGAAATCAAGCACTGGTACGGGTCAAGGAAAGTGCGCACGAGGTAAGTACATTACCGCCGCCTTGAGGTGGCAGCATAGCTGATCAAGAGGAACCAGCATCATCCACCCCCTCTGGGTCCAGACTCCTATGATCGGGGACCTGGTGGAAAACAGGGCGCGCTTCGGACAGCCGATCATGACGCCAGACAGGGTATCAAAGGCGGTCATCCAGCAGCTGGTCAAGGGAAACGGCGGCCAGGTGATTGTGCCTTCGTCACATGGGTTTGCTTCAATGCTACGAGGGCTGCCCAGCTGGATCCAGGAGCGGTTGCGAGATCGTCAATCGCAGAATTTTGTGAGACTGCGCCGCGCGGAGCAAGAGCTGGGGAAAACGGCCTGAATCTTGGGTTAGACCTTGTTAGTACTAGTGCAAAGCCAGAGCCAAAGAGATTGGAAATCAAATCCAACCGCTAGTCCTAAAACTGCAAAAACCCTCCGCACCCCCAAGATCCACTCCCTCAGTAGATAGCCTCGGTTGTGGGGATGCTCTGATTTCCTCCTGCATCCAACTTGTCATCTTCCTGCCCTCTGGCCCCGCCAAATCTCTCACAATCTCACAGCAAGAATGCCGCTTCCAACTCAACACAAAGCCTGTGATCTTTGCTACACCAGGAAAAGACGATGTTTGATTCGTCCAGGCGCGGGCGCCTGCGTTCGCTGCCAGAAATCTTCCGTTGCCTGCACCGCCTCGCGACAACAACCTCGGGCAGGTCGTCCGCCAAACCGAGAGCTCGTTGGGGTTACAAAGGGCTCGCTTGGCATATTTGAGCTTGCCTTCTCACGGCCACCGCGCCCAGTTACTCACTCACCGGACGAGGATGGGTCTGCGCCTAACCTGCTGGCCAGGGTTGGCACCATCCATCATGCATTGCCTCCCCCAACAAGGTTGCCAAGCAACATCGATTCCCTGAGTGACATCTATATGTTTGGCCCAACATTCGCCCGAGACTTTCATCGCGCCCTCGAGTACTGCTGCCATAAGTCACCAGGGCTGTTGGATGAAATCTTCTGTGCCCTCGAAAGTTCCCTTGCATGGGCGCGGCTGGCGCTGCTTCCTGTCGAGCACGTTGATATAAAGAGTGGCGCAATCTCTGTGCGAAAACTGCATAATGTCCAAATTACAAACACACATGATGCGCTCGGATACCTCATGCTTGGCCAGGCATTAGCTGCCTTCAACTCGCTCATCATGCCAACAGGCACCGCATCAATCCTCCGGTGTACTCTCTCGATGGTTCATCCCTGGTACTCGGAGATTGCCCGTGTACCGTTCTTTGACCCAATTTCGATCGCTCCCATTTTCTGGGACATCGCCTGGTGTTTGTTGCATCGTGAAGTCCCTGTTATCAAGCCCGTTCTGGGCCGGAAAGGGGTGGTTGATCGGGTGGCGGGGATCTGCACATCCTTGCTGCCAACTCTCTACGACCTCTGCGTTTATAGTTCTCAACTAAAGGATTGTTCGGTACATAATGAAACCCTAGATGAGATCGAGCAGAAGGTCCGCGCCTGGATACCCGATGAGTCCGGTCTCGCCCTTGGGCAGTACAGCGCGCTCGAAGTTCTGTCAATGCACACACAGGCCGCCATGTACAAGACAGCAAGCTTGCTGCTCATCCATCGCCTTCGGTACCCTCTAGGTACAGAGGACCCAACCGCAACAGCTATTGCAGAAGAGATTCTAGAAGCAAGGTCCCAGTTCTCCGCTGCTGCGGGACCTTCAGCGAAACTACAACACACGGTATTCCCGACCTTTCTCGCCTTGCTGGAGGTTCCAAACCCTGTTATAACCGTGTGGGAGAACTCGACATGTCTCCGTGCTCGGCCAGTCTGTATGGACGGCCTAGTGGCCTTTCCTGCATATGTCTGTGAACAGCGGCGGGCCGGGTTCAACGGTTCGCTACTCGATCTGGTCAAAACGGGCCCTGCATTTCCCTCGTTTCCGTGAACCACTCATCGAAGTCGCACAGCTTTCTACCGCAATGGACGCGAATTTCCCTTACTTTGCAATGGTGTACCGGCATGCTAGTGGGATACAGGCTACATCTGCGTAGGCAGAGCCCAGGTATCACAGCACTGATAGGACTGGAATGCAACTCCCGTCCATAATGAGCACCCGGCAATCCGATTTTATCGCTCAACAAATAACTACGTACAGAACCCTGGCCCAAGAAGAGAATGGACATGGTTGGCCCCGCGAGGCGGATAACGTGCGCAGATAATCTCCACGGGGGGCAGGTTTGACTCTTGGAACAGTTTTTTTTTATAACCGGGAGAGTACACAATATGTACATAAGCACATGCGTTGAGCGTTTCGCCCATCGTCAAATGCGTGTTTCCAGCTTAGACGGGAAGCTGGCTAGTTGATGGGGCATTGTTCTGGACAGGACTCGATGCTCAGGTACTAGGTACACGTTCCCTTTGCTGGAACAATCTCCTACGCGGCCCTTGTCTCCCCTCGGTCGCACACTGAACATCTGCGGGAGAATACGAATCCTCAAAGCGGTGGAGCCGAATCCTCCCTGATTGACGAACACAGCTGGATCTGGTTTCTCGTCTCAATCCCTCCTGCAAGAGATGCCAGATCGTAGGATTCTTCCTGGATATCACTCCCCAACACCTGCCATTTCTGATCGACGGTGAACAGATTACATCCCCAACTATCCTGTTGTCGGGTGTCAGTCAAATCCTAAGCCACCAGATGAAGCCTGAAGGTATGCAGTGCAGTGCTTGGAGCTGCTTACCCGCCTCGGATCACCGCAAGGATCGCGCTGTCCCCACTCCCCTTTCCCGTTCCGGACCCATACCCCAACTCTTGCGTTTTGGACCTGCAGTGGCAGCTCCCAGCCAAGAAGATAGTACATGTGCGCACTGATCTGCTCAGCACACTTACCCTGCGTTCTGTGCTCGGAGTCGGTGCCCGACGGCGCCTCGTCCCTCCAGGCGATCTGGCAGAGCCTCAGACTCTGCAGGACGGGCGTATCCTTATAGTCGTACGTAAACGACTTCTGGCCCGTCTGCGACGACGCAAGGATGATGTGTTTATCCCACGCTAAGATCCCCATCGCACTCGGCATGCGCTTGGCCGAGATGCCGTACTGGCGCAGGTCGGCCTCCATCTCCGTCGCGGCGTCGCGCGCAATCTTCCACAGCTGCCCGTCCGTGATGGACTCGACGGGTTCTCGGAACACGAGGTGGCTGCTGAATGCCCAGTGCCGCGGGCTGCTCGTGTCCTCGGGCTTCACTCCCTCCGGCCACAGCATTGCCAGGGAGTAGTCGAGGGTCACGCCCAGGGGGCCCTGGGCTTGTAGCGGCCGCGAGAGGTCGTAGGCATTGAGGATGGGGGTGAATGTGCTCAGGATCCCGAGGAGCAAGAGGCTGATATTCCAGATGGATGGGAGCAGCATTGTTGCGAGAACTGATAGACTTGATGGCTAGCCAACTGCAGCTGGGGAATAAAAAGATGTCAACTGTCAGCTAACCAACGGTATACGTGATGCACGTAGAAATCAGACATACGATGATTATGCAGACAATGCTGTCGAGCGAGTTTGAAAAGCGCTCTCGGTCGATGTTAACCACTTCTGCCCACAGCCTTTTCATCGGGTAATGGAGGGCTATCAGTTATATTCAGCTGCGACGGTACCACACAAATTGAACAAGGATGATCGGGGCCAAGATAAATTGCGGTCCTGTCAGCGGTTCGTAGGCTGAAATTACAGGAGCAGGCTGTGCCGCCGGCGGCTGAGATACTTGAGCATTTGCACCAAAGATCCGGTCGACAGATCAGTGAAGCCAAGAAGGTCATTTCGAGGATTTCGATCCCAGCCATGTCGAGTGTCGTTGTGCGGTCTAGCCCGCATAGTGGAGTTCACTGCTCAAGGTTTTAATATTGCAGCGATGAGAGCCTATCGAATGCTTGATGCTGCTGCCAACTTGTAAATCCTGGGGCCGTCAGCGCCGCCCAGTAAGCTTAGCATAAATAGCAACCGTTAATGTGAGCCGTACTGTGGAGACCACTCGATCAAGGGGCTTGGGGGCTGAATTAGCCCCTGATCATCTTAATCTGGCAAAGGCAGCGGCTGATTGGTTCTATCGAAGCGCCGGCTCAATACGAGCTGAACGGTCCCTGCGGCTGAGGGTCCCTGAAACGACCAGAAATGCACGATCCTTCCACAGGGCGCAGCTGATGATCCTGTGTTTAATTGCACGGACAAGAATCTGTGTCAGAACTGTAGACTGAGAAGAAAATCGCTAGGCCCAAAACTGCCCTCCTCGAAAGCTTCTACTCTATCATCCTCATGCAGATATAAGTCGTGAGGGGCGGAAGTCTTAGGGCTTTGGAGAACATCGTCACTCTTTCTTGCCGTTCCTTTCTCGTAACCAGATACTCACTCCTTCTTTGTGCCTTGTTCTTTTCCTTGCCTTCTTTTCTTTCCGTTATTAGGGGTTTGACAATGCGCTCTCTGATCGGCCTGTTTTTCCTCCTGGCACAGACGCACGCTCTACCAGGTCTTTTACAGAGCCAGAACTCAACAGTCCCAGCGCCCTTTCCGCACTTACTTGCAAGCCGCGATGACGAACCCTGGGACAGTGCAGACCTTTCCTGGATCACCAAACTGGCCGCCATCGGCGATTCCTACTCGGCTGGTATCGGCGCTGGCGACAGGCTGGGAAATATATTCCAGTTCACCGACAATCAGAGTGGTGTGTAAGCCCTGCACATGACACCTCCCTCCCGGCATGGTTTGCATATATTTATACATTTCATTGGCTAACGGCCGTCGCTATTTCCTGACTGCAGACTACGCCTGCAGTCGCTATGACCACGCGTATCCATATCTCATCAACCAGGACGAACGCCTGGGCGATCCAAGCAAGCGCAACTTCCAGTTCAAATCGTGCTCGGGGGCTGTGACAAAGGACGTCCTGGAGACGCAGATCCCGGCCCTTGATAACGATCAGCAGGTCATATTGCTGTCAATCGGTAAGGACTGCCTACATTGAACTTGGGTCATTTTTGCCCCTATGGGACAGAGCCTCGGGCTAATCCCAACTCTTGCTCTTCATGCACAGGTGGCAACGATCTTGAGCTCTCTAATATCCTGAACCAGTGCATCTTCCAATGGGCGTCTATAACCAAAACGCAAGCGATCGTGCTGAAGATAGAAGAAATCAAGCAGTGGCTCACAGGACAAAAGTTCAAATGGGCGGAGCTCGTTGACGCTGATGTTCTGAGCCGAGGATGCGACGGGCAGCTGGACCTTGCGCAGACGTTTATTGACAGCAGCGAGTTTAGCAGCAATATCGACAAGGTGCTCGAGGCAGCCAAGGGGAAATTGGCCCAGGAGTGAGTGTTGCGTGGTCATCCATTGTTTTTCTTTTTCTTTTTCTGCATTCGTTGAGGCTAACTGTTGTGCCTGACCATAGTGGGATGATTTACTACACTGGGTAAGTGGGGACGCAGATACAGGTGCTTTGACGAGGTTTGTTTTCTGAACGTCTGCCTATACTGCAGGTACGCCAAGTTCTTTGATGAAGAACTATCTCCAGAATGTGACAACGTGTCCTGGGCAGTCTGGTATTTTGTCAGTCAATACGAGAATTCTCCCTTGGGCCTGATACTAAACAGATCTCCAGAGACTATACAATGGGTGGCAGGACAAAGCCATGCTCACCAGAGACCACCGCAAGCGGATGAATGATCTCGTTGACGCTGTCAATGCCAAGCTGGTAAGTATGCACAAAGCTGCAACTGCCTCCGATACAGCGCCCCTCGTTACGGGAGGTGTTGACACTGTAAAAACTGACGAATCCGGTCCTTGTATGACAACAGGAAGAAGCAACTAATCGGGCCGGACCAAACGTGCGCTTTGTCAACTACGACCAGTATTTCGGCGAGTTCAAGGGGCGATATTGCGTGCCGGGCGTTGACGAGGCAGCCAGCGACAGCAACACTCGGTAAACATTGCCCCCGTCCCCGTGACTATACCAGTGACGCACAGGTATAAGACGCAAAAAGGTGGTGTTCTCTAGCTAACCAACTTTCCCCTCTTAGAACGGGGCTGATGTTCTACGAGCACAAAACCTCCGACCCCTTTGGCACAAACCCTTGGAAGCGCGACCTTCATGACCAGGAGATTCTGGGTACATTTGGGGGATACCAGAATGCCCTCGCGCAGATTACGCTGCTGCTGGATCCCGAGGCTGAGCTGGTGCACGAAGACAGGGTCGAGATTCCAGATGAGGCTCCGACGGGGGCCGAGGACATTCCATTGATATACCCGGACAGCGTGCAAGAGGATAGAGAGGGCCTGATAGACGAGGTAGCGGAGGACGCCGCTGTTCCGGGTTTTCTGCCAGACGGGTAAGCGCAATCCTTCTGGGTGTGTAGACGGTAATATTTGACAACATTGGCTGACTCCCATAATCGCAACCATCACAGCTACGGACGCGTCTTCCACCCCCAAATCCTCGGCCACGAAATCATCGCAAACCTCGTCCTCTACCACATGACAAACGACAACGCAAAGCGAAACAGCAAGCCTGAAGCACCCGAAACCCTCAGCCTCCAAGCATGCCCGCTGATCCCAGCTCCGGCGCCGGTCACGCCGCTCGAGCTGGGCAACCAGGAATGCAAACCGGCTTTTGACGGGCACGACGACGTGCACGAGGACAACCTGAACTACTGGGCCAGGTGGCTGTGCCAGGATCAGGAAGCGACGCTATACAATATGGGGCCGGGTTCGAAGGAGGTGTTTTGGAGGCCCGAGCAGTCAGGGGTCGTGATGAATTTCCGTATCCGGTGGAACGAGGGTTGTAAGACGACGCAAAAGGACCAGTCGCCGAGGTTTCCTCTGCATCCGCGCGAGGACGTTACGTGTCAGAAGATGTTTTGGGAGAATTGGAGGAATTGTAAGTTTGGAGCGCCCCCTGTTCCTTTTATCTGTCCCATTTCGGACGGATCCATCCGCACTTCCCTGTCTTGTTTTGCTCTCTAATAGGATTATGGTACATGAAGCTAATGACTGGGTGACACTTGCGCAGGCAACAATGGTGGTGTTGGGGGCTGGAGAGATGCTGGATGTCTGCGATACGAATTCTGGGCAGAATAAACTGGCATCCTCTGTGTCCTTTTGTATAATCCCATTATCATACCCAAAAATGAATCCAACTGCTTGGACACTTTACCCGCATGCCATCGCCTGAATCCCAAAGAAGTTTCCCTTTTTACTAGTACGGACCCATGTGAAACTCCGAGCTCCATCCGCTCTTCCTCGTTCTAACCCGTTTAGCCTCTACAGAGCAAAGAATTGGCTAAGAGTAGAGAACATACTAGTTCCACATGGGAGATGTCTTGCTATGCCTCGTCCATGTCAATCGAATATTGGAATAGAGCCGTGGCCGCACGAATACAGCCAACTCAGCGCAAGTAAGGCAGTGTGCAGCAAGCTCGGCCTGTCCTAGAGGTTTCAGGATCAGGTGCAACACATCGGCTGGGCAACTGAAAAGTGGTGACTGCATTTTGTCCTTATGTTCTCGTAGCAAAATTTCCCAACAGCAACCAGGGTAGTCATTTTGGGATGAAAATGCAGTGCTGATATCCGCCAGTGAAGTTGAACCTGAACTAGAAAAGGTGCACCAGAAGTTGGAATTCAAGTTAGATTGCCCAGCCTCGGTCCCAGTTGTGACGGCTGCTGCATCGATGCTCGGCGGACGGCCTTAGCAATCAGGCAGGAAATCAGGCAAGCAACCACCGCTAGCTGACTAAGCACCGCACAACAAATGTTTCGTCAACCATCGTAATTAGTTTTATTTCTTCTTCATGCTTAGAATTCGATTAATTCTCGCCTGCAACTTTGCCTTGTAGCTTGGAGATACGATCGTAGCACCAGTCATGTGAGAGGCCTGGGGGTTTCATGAGGGGTACTTTGTTCAATACACATCCCCAAGGTAACGAAGTAAGCCCCGATACTACAGATATAGCACTAGCCTATTCCAAGAGGTTCGACCAAATCTGAAACATCTGTGATAGAGTAACAAGAAGTGTCACCAATAAATTGAACACTATACTCTCTGCCTCGCAGAGGGTCCAACGTTTGCAAGATCAAAGGAAGAAGAACGTTCAATAATCATCTCACACGCACGGGCAACCAGATTCATTACGATATGCAAAGAACGGAGAGAAGACAGATCGATGGTCAGATGGACAACTCCAGTGTGAAGTAAGAATGGTCATTTTGGTACCTCCGCCGAGGCGATATATCCCTAATGGAGCACTCTTAGATGATAGATTTTCGTTGACAGTACTTATTATCCGCGTCAAAAGAGGGTATGACATGCCATCCGCGTCTTCATGCTAATCAGCTGATCTGTACTGAATGCTTTTAAACGCACCTCGTACTTGAGCTTGGCTCCGTCTACTCCTTCCTCCACGTCCACTCCTTATTCCACTTCGACTCCATATTCATCATCCACTCCATATTCGACTTCAACTCCATACTCGACCTCTACGGCATACTCCTCGTCTAGGCCGTATCCATCGTCCAGCGAGTACACCTCAACTAGCACATACACCAGCTACAGCGAATACCCGTCATCAAGCTATTAGTGCTAAGATACGATATTCGGGGGCGGTTCTCTGTGGAGACCTTCGATGTGATATTCGCTAGGCCAAAGGTGGTATGGAAAGTGTTCAAAAGTGGCTTTATTTCAAACCCAATGTAACATGTGGGAACCAGAGGCTTAGAAGATGCAGTGCCTGAAAATCCACCTAGGTCAATGCTGGAGTTGTCAAGGAGTGAGGCGTCTGACGTATATTTATACTTAACCAGAATGCTAAGCTGTGCCTGCTATGTGCCCCAGGCTCTTTGATTTGGACCAATCAATAGAACTAAGCTATCTAATACCAGTATTTGACCAACAAAAGAAGCAGCCACTGCTACCAGACATCGCTTTGGGGAATCATCACATCGCGAGAGCCCTCGTACGTGGCTCATGAATTTGGTTTCTAATGAAAATATATGCTAAACCAGTGTCACCAACTCGCTCTGAGACCATAAACGAGCGTTATGTCGCTCACTGACCAGGATAACGATATAACGTTATCGCCCCAACCAGGGATCCACCTTGGTGGCGCCAAATACGAGGTACGCGCCAACACATCTTCAACATCGTATTGACGTCCAAGCTGCAAGTCTCGCGACATTACCACTAATTCCATCCTTCTCTCGAGAGGGTCCCGCCTTAGTACTTTTGGTGGTGGATCGGTAGCACGAGACCCCGTATCATCACGTTATCTGCGACGACATACCCTCCTCATAAATAGAGCACGTATCCGATGCTTGTTTCTAACCACTAACCAACATACACAATACATTCAAACCTACCCACGAGACAAAGCCATGAGCCTAACAGGAAAAATCGCCATCGTGACTGGCGCATCCCGGGGTATCGGCGCCGGAATCGCCTTCGAGCTCGCGAAGCATGGAGCCAAGGTATGGAGACATACATACATATATGCTAAAAGCTATTGCAAGGAGAGGCTAATCTGGTACTGCAGGTAGCTCTCACCTACACTACTCCCGGGAGCAAGCCCGGCGTGGAGGCGGTCATCTCTCGAATCACCGCCCTCCAAAACGGTTCCAGCGCATCGGCGATCCAAGCAGATCTGCGCGACCCAGACGCCCCAAGGCGAATTATCGCAGCTACCCTTGACGCCTTCCCAACGAAAGACAACAAGCTGGACATCGTGATCAACAACGCCGGTGTGGCACTCTGCAAGCCACTCACCGAATGCTCCGACGAGGATATCTCGTCCATTTTCGACGTCAACGTCACCGGGACGATGCGCTTCACGCGCGAAGTAATACCCTACCTCCGCTCTCCCGGCCGCATCATCAACATCAGTTCCATCGCGGCGCGTCGGGGGGCGGCCGGGTTTTCAATCTACTCCGCGTCCAAGGCTGCGCTGGAGGGGTTCACGCGGTCGCTCGCCTATGAGCTGGGAGTGGAGGGCCAGGGGCACACGGTGAACTGCGTGCAGCCGGGGCCTGTGGAAAGTAGTATGTTGCGGAACGATCTGCCACCCGACGTGGTGGAGTATATGAGGCAGGGGACTGCGGTGGGCAACAGGATTGGGATGCCGGAAGATATTGCGAGGGTTGTGGTGTTTCTGGCTGGGGAGGAGAGTGGGTGGGTTTCTGGGGAGTGTATCTCTGTTTCGGGCGGGTTTCATATGAACTAGTTAATTTCCATTCTTGAGGTCGCGAAGGGTTATAGAGTGGATCTTGGTATTTACATAGAGCACGGCCCCCATAATCTTTAGATCCTCTCCACACATAAAACGCTATTAATTTTGTTGTATATGATATCTTGTTGCTAGCCTCACATTGCATTTACTCAAAGCGGTTGTCTGAAAGATGGCTCGATACTTGGGAATGACACCTCTTCAAACCATTGTATGAGCAGGGCACAATGGATATGGGAGGTAAGACTTGTCATCGAAGTATGATGCTTTGCTGAGGTTCTTTGGAGTGCTCCTTGCACATGACAGAATGTGTGTTGGTGTCTGAGTAACATGTATATGGGTCCTGACTACGGACTTTATAGGCACCAGTCCACAGACTATATCTTGCTTGGGCATGGGGAAGGCAATTCACCTGTTCTCGCGGCTTGATAAAGTTATATGGCCATGACAACGCTCTTCGGGATTCCGCCGGAACAAAATCAAACACATATCGTGGATAAGAATTTCTGAACTGCGGTTGCCGATTGAAAAACCCTTTGTCGATCTCCCATCAGGTGATTCCTACAGATCCGCTTAGATGAGACACTCTGACCAATCTGGGAAACCGCACGGTTACTTAACGGCCAATACGCAACGAGACTATTCAGGGCCCTAGCTTCTGAGACGTGCATGCGTCCTGGTTTATGAAGCTCGGAGTCTTGTGAGACTTCTGAAGCTCGTGGGCACGGCATGATGCCGAGGTGAAGTCAATTGGATCTGCATTTCAGCGTCTGGTTATGGTCCTGATCTGGGCAAGGGAAAGACAATTCCAGCTTATCTGTGTCAGCTATTTCCGCAGCCCTTCCATGACCAGTAGCCTCATGTTCCTCAATGGAGACTTCGTTGGATACTACTGTCCTGCCCGGCAATCGCGGCGTCACAGACAACAGGAATTACACGCGAAGAGTTGCACCAAAGCATCAAGACGTACTACGCGCCGAGAACGTGATATCATCAGGGTCATCAAGGAAATCCCTCACCATGGCCGCTCGCGTCCACCACAAATATAGAGGAGTTATCCACTCCATAATGCGAGCGCCTATTGCACCGATGTCATGGTTCGACATCCAGCCAGTCGAGGAAACCTGAAACGCGTCTTCGATCTTCTTCCGTTGAAGTTGTTCGTAAAAGCCAAAGGCCTCGTCAATCGAGTCAAGGCCGTACTGTGAGAGGACACTAGCAATTTTGATCGCATCTTCCAAGGCGTGGCCGATACTTTCGCCTATGGGCGGCATCTATGCACTCAAAGAAGCGGTTGTAAGCATGGTTCGGAAAAGAAACAAAAGACTGAAATGATAGAGGAGATCTCACAGCGTGTGCTGCATCCCCGAGTAAGAGTACTCGGTTCGTATGCCAGACTCCGTTTGGTGGGAGAAGGTACACGGGATAAAGCGTCCACTCCTCAACCTGGGCCATCATGTTCTCAAGGTCCGGAATAGCCGAGTCCCTGGTTCTCCGTAGCCCTTCACTCCGTATCGCCTGTTGATCTTCGGCTGCAGATCTCCACCCTTCACGCGATTTCGCCTCTGCCATTTGTATCAAGAGCACAACATAGATCAAGCTCCGGTCGTAGTCGCAGAACGTAGTCAGGGTCGAGCCATATCGCGACATAATCAGAGCCGAATCATTGAAAAATGACCTGTGCCCTCCACGGAGGACATCCTCCCTTTTGACGAACCCGTAGGCATTCGCAATGCCCGAATAATACGGCTGCCTGTCCGGCTCGACCAAGAGGCTCCGAACCGCGGAATGGATCCCATCGCAGCCCAGCACAACGTCGCCGACTGCACCCGTCCCATCTGCAAAGTCAACACGCACCTCCCCTCCTCCACCGCTTTCCTCCCCCGACGCCTGCTCCCGAATCCCAGTTAGCCGCTTCCCAAACTGTATTTCCACTCCCGGACTGCCCGCCGCGACATCGACCATTGCGTTCAGGAGATCACATCGCATGACCCTCCACCCCTTGTACCCGGAGAACCCAGTCCCGTCAGGCCCATTATAATCAATCGTACCGATCTGCGCACCAGTGCGCATGGAGAACAGCTGAATCGCGTCAACGGGACAGCCGGCTTTCATCTCGCGCAGTTTCGCGAGCACGCCGAGCTTGTCTAGACAGCGGAGAGCCTTTGGGGTTAGATTGACGGGCCCACCCAGGGCACTTGGTGCGTTGCGGAGCTCGTAGACAGTTACGCCGAGGTTGAGTTCTGGTGAGGTCTGGGAAAATTTCTGCGAGAGCGAGATCGCTGTGGCGAGGCCGCACATCCCGCCGCCGATTATGATGATGTTCTTCTTCGTCATAGCTGCCTGTTGAATTGCTCTAGACAATGATACAGCTGAAACCCCTTTCGGAGAGGAAAAAAAAAGTGGGGAGGAGGGGGAGTGCCTTGGGCGTGCAGCCAAGAAACGGTGCCTGCTGATTTATAGACTTTATGGCTCTCGCCGAAAATGGTCACAAAATGACGAGTCCGAGCTTCGGCCAGCCATCGAATGGAGAGCGTCTTTTAAGCACTTGGACGTTCAATATCGCTCGTAGGAGATTCTCTTGGTCCCATGGTCCGAATACGAACTTGCCGCCCTACTAAGCTTCAGGCATCCAATTATCTTTTTCATGACACGAGAACAAGCAACATGATACCAACCAGTAGGCTTTTAATAACCAATTGAATGGTCATAAATACGAGAACATGCGTTGCCGGAAGGGAACCGAGCTTGACATCTTTTTCACTCCAATCAGGACCGTGGGCCCCAATTGTCTCAGGAGTCACCATTAGTCCAAACAGATCGGGAGAGATAAATGTGCAGCAGCCAATGTTATGGAGGTCATGAACCAGGCATGTGTTACCCGCACCCTGTATCTTTACTTCTGAGACTAGAATGCACAAGGTCGCTGTTTCTAAGAGATTACATATGAACTAAAGCCTAGTACTGTTCGAATGCAGGAGTGTATTGTGCTTATGGAAGTTCTAGTCCTGGACCTCTGTTCATAGTCTAATTTCTAGACTTCCCACTCCTCGAGGCTTAAAGTACGCAAAGTGAACCAGGTATTCTACCTCACATCTAATTGTACGACACCCGTCTCTCTAGAAAATGAAGGGTGAGAACACACTAAAGTTTAAACACGCTTGGTCATCTTCACCCGCACGCCCGGCTCTAGATACGCCAACGTGAAGGGATCACTGCGCGGTGGATCTTCACACGCAGGATCTGCGATCGAAATCTCAGCCGGAGCAACACTACCAGCCGAATTAGAAAGCGCACCCAATGCATAGCCAATTCAATTTGTCAACATTTATGATCGAACAAATGGCTCACTGCTGGCCAGGACACATCCGCGACCCCTCAGTGAAGGTTCACAGATATTGTTCCAGACCCTTTTTATTTCGGTGCAGCCGTAGATCTAAGTAAAACCCGCTCGCATCGGTCCCCCATGCCTCAGTCCTCGTGTGCATGGAATATGCCAACATGGAGACAAACGTCTGCGGTAGTTAGCATGAGCCTTCAAGCAGTTAGCGCACTGCATCAACAAGCACTTACCCCTGTGGCGACAATCTGGCCATCGACTGTGAGGCGCTCTGAAGATTGTCGGGGACGACTCGGCGAAGTCTGCCGAGTACTACCATTCCGAGGCGAAACGACTCTTTCACGCGGGCAGTCTAAGAAGAAGAAAGGTAAATCAGGCAACTTATTCCTCGCATTATTTGGAGAACACGGGAAGGACTACATACCAAATGGTCGACCTTTCCACTTGACGAAGCACCGGCTGTTTGGTGGCTGACGGGAAGGCCTGCCTCCGAGATTCGAGCAGTTTGCGTCTAATCTCTGGATACTTCAGGATATGCAAGAAGCCCGTTGTCAGAGTTAACGCTGTAGTATCCGCGCCAGCAATCAGGATATCCATGCCTTCAGTGACTTTCTGATCGACTGGAATACCTCCACGGCTTTCAAACACGACCGGGTGAGAGGGCATCTTGTTCCGCTTCTGGAAATGGCGCAAAAAGGCTCCGGCAAACTGCGTCCGGCATGTTAACATCTCGACTTGCATGCAAGTGCAGGGTTTGGCTGGCAAATAGGCACACCTACAGGAGATCAAGCAGTTTCCCTATCTCTGGACGTATGATCCGACGTAGGCTCTCAGAAATGGGGCCGGAAGGATGCCGTAGCCATGGTCGATACTGCATGTCCCCGATGCCCTGGAACGCTACATCGGAGCGATTCAGGAACCAGGAGCGGATGTAATTTGGGCTTTGCTCGATGGGTTCAGCTGATTTTGCAAAGGGGAATTCCATAATAATTTCCGTAGTAAAGAGGCTACAACCTCTCCGTTAGTGTCTGTAAACGAAAATTGCGGAATTCAGTGATCTGCCGAAATGCTTCGTAGGTCTGGATCAGCCAGACTCGCACAAGCGATTTAATTCTTCTTGAGCATGGCCATCTTCTCGTGCACAAAAGGCTCTAATTTGTAGATACCAGCGCGCGTGAACGAATTGTTCAGCATACGGCGCCGCTCCTTGTGCAACTTGGGTCATTTTCGGCGAACACCGTGTGCGGCGTGTTGAAGGCATCGTATAAAGCCGGGTCCTTGAGGGATTGGGTTGTTTAATGGTAGGTGGATTTGTACAGCGAGGTGTTAGTGAGAAAAAGCTCGTTTGGTCCGGTGCATAGGGCATTTGTGTGTATGTTTCGACGAGGGTCCTTTATTGAACGGTGTACGGAGCGTAACTGGGCACATACTGTATTCATGATGCAGCCATTCGAAGATCCCCTCGGGAAAGTTCTGCTTGGTGACCTTGTATAGCCAAGTATTCGAGATAGCGGCCTGTCGGGGTCCACTGAACTTGCGGGGAGGGTGGGAGTACAGATAGCAAAAGACGCGGATTGTCCGAGCGAGTCAGATGATGGCCAGTATCGTAGGAATCGGGATTCGGAAGCCAAATCTCCGTGCGTGGTGGTAGCAACGAAGTTTCCCATGATGAAGCCTATTTCCTGTCTACCACAGCTGTCCGTGGGAAGCGAGAGTGTGCAGAGAGCCCCGGTTCCAGCAGAGAAAAAAGCATGAAATAGCTTCCCGGCCCTTGTATGCTTGCCGTGCCAGAGCTGGGGCAGCAATCGGATCGGACGGATACCTTCTACTTTGAAACACCGATTCTCGAGGATCGGATGCTAATCGTACAGTAGGTACAAGCTCGCCATGTGTTGGAAATACCCGTGGATGTGGAGCCGGAGGCGCCTGCCGGCTTTTCACCATGTCTCGCGTCCGAGTGTTAGGATTCCGACCGCTCTGCGACATCCAAATAATAAGTCCCGAGCCCTGGTACCGACTATCGTGTCCTCCTCTCCACGTTCACTGTGGACCCGTCGCAAAGACGATGCTAGTACCAGATCTTCGCCATTAATAGCCGCTTAGTCAGGAGTTATGGCTCCATAGAAGAAGATATTAGTCTCTCAGGCTTGCAGAGCATTAGAATGCATATTCGATGGTATTCCCGCTCGCTCTACAATGATCTCAGTGCTACGTATCGCCGCTGTGATCCAAGACTCGTGCATAACTACAGGCCATTAAGCTTCCGTCTCGTTTAGCCAAAGTCCTTTTTGACGTAGTTGAACGGCCCCCTTGGCCGGGTTTCCTGGGGTGTCATGTCTTGTCTGTTCGGAGATAGTCGATGATCAACCGCCGAGGAGCCGCTTAGTCACTGGCCCCCTCGCTGCAAGACATACCCACGGCGGGGTTTGCGGGGTGGGCAAAACGACGAAGAGCGGATGTTGTGGATCCGGAGGTATGGAGTAATGCTGCATTTGGTCTCTATTAAAAGCGAAATCTCGCCGTTCCTTCTGATCATACCTCCCTCCCCAGGCTTGATAGATTTCTATCCTACCGAACCCATGGCTTCTGAGTTTGGCACGACGATTCTCAAGACAGATACCTGCAGACCCAAAGGGCCAATTGATCCTCCTACTTCAACACTCCTGCCTGCTGGCCATGTCAAGGAACAAGGGAACCGAGCCTTCCAAACTGCGACGCACTTCGAGCATAATCATGTTTTTACCCTGAGAGATGGTATCAAGCTTCGTGCGGATGTCTTCCGCCCTGTTACAGATGCACCAGTTGCAGCTATTGTCATGTGGAGCCCGTACGGAAAGTCGGGCACAGGGCACCTGGGTCTTGATGCCGCGGCGCTGCGAGCGGGCGTTCCCAAGGCAAAACAATCGGGCTACGAGTCTTTTGAAGGGTAAGTCGTCTCAATGTCCAGCAGCATGACAAGGATATTGGTTTCGGCACGTGCTAATTGACTAATCAGGCTTGATCCCGCGGAATGGGTCCCCAGGGGCTACGCGATCGTAAATGTCGATGCGCGCGGTGCAGGAGATTCAGAAGGTGACCTGCGATGGTGGGGCTCTGGCGAGGGCAAGGACGGCCACGACTTCATCGAGCAAATTGCTATCCAGCCATGGTGCTCTGGTCGTGTGGCATTAGCCGGCAACTCGTGGCTTGCCATGTCGCAGTGGTTCATTGCTGCTGAGCACCCACCGCATCTTGCGGCCATCGCCCCCCTTGAAGGAGCAGCCGATGTGCTGCGCGAGACCCTAGCAAGGGGAGGAATTCCAGCAGTTGCCTTCTCCAAGATGATCCAATCCATCTTGCCAGGTGAGTGATCCTTGAGCTTGAGCGTGTTACGCAACCGAGATGGTAGTTAAGCCGTCCGTAGGCCGTCAGAGACAGGAAGACATGGCTGCCATGTTCGCACAAGATCCCAACAGGAATGCCTACTGGGACGATAAGCGGGCTGATTTCAGCAAGATTCGCGTTCCGGCTTATATCCTGGGGAGCTACTCGACGAATCTGCACACCCTTGGTGCCTTTCGAGCGTTCGAGGAGATTACCCATGACAAGAAATGGTACGTGCAGTCTCGTATACTTGTACTTCAATTACAGTGCCAACGCGACTTACAAACCCAACAGGTTTACTACCCATACAACCCAGGAATGGTATGATCTGTACAGCGAGAAACGCACGGAGGATCTCTGTCGATTTTTCGACTTCTATCTCAAAGACATCCAGAACGGCTGGGAACAGACGCCTCCAGTTCGGCTCTCGGTCCTGGGCTTTAACCTGCCCCATGAGACTTTATCGCTCACACATTTCCCGTGGACAACTCCGGGCTCGAAAACGCTAAAAATGCACCTCAACCCCGATCAAACCATGACGACAACCACACAGTCCCAACACAGCAACGAGTCAACTGTCCTGTCGTATCAGGCAGACGCCCCAACCATGAACCGGGATGACGCCGACGGTGAATTGCTTTTCAGGTATACCTTCCCCGAGAAGACCATCGTGGCCGGCCCGAGTAAAGCAGTCCTCACACTGTCCGCCGAGAAACAGGATGATCTAGACATCTATGTCATGCTACGCAAGATGGATGCCCATGGTCGAATCCTGCAGAATATCAACCAGCCGTTATCAGATCTCGGGGTTGATTCCGCGGACGATGTTCCTTCGGTGAGTGTACTCAAGTATCTCGGGCCGGATGGTAGGCTTCGGGCGTCGAGGCGTGCTCTGGCTCCAGAGCTTTCGAAGCCGTGGTGGGGTACTCTATCTCATGCTGGCGATCAATCTGTCCCTGTGGGAAATACCATTGAGCTTGAGATATTCCTATGGCCTACAGGGATGATTTTTGAGGCTGGAGAAAGTATTGTCTTGAAGGTTGCAGGTCATGATATGCGGCTAGTTGACTTTGCACACCTCCAGGGGTCTTTTCAGGGTTCTAATCAAGGAAAACACTATGTCCATCTTGGAGGTGGGCGGAATAACTTTGTTGAGCTAAACGTAGTATGATCTGATCATGGTTGCGCGCAGAGATCGTCACAGCGAAGGAAGATATCGTGTACCCTATACCAGACCCCCCAAGATAAAATCAATATTTGAAACGAAGCTTTACTGTCATAGCCTGGGGTAAGGGATTGTCTAGAGCGGTCTCGTTTGGCCACCGGCAGGACAGGCAATGCGATATCAGGGTGGATTCCGCCTCTCTCCGCATTGCCTCGAGATCAAAACCCCACACGCATCCCGACGTTCAAGTGCCGTTTCATCATTTCTCCCATGTTGCAAATCCCTCGGACTGGGTATCTCCCCAAAGTAGACCTGTCACTATAGTGGGGACCGTTGCCAACCCGCCGGGAACCTTGGAATGCCGGCATACCCCACTCATTGGGCAGGCACCTCTTAATCTTACACTCGCCTTAACCGTGCACGACTTGATGTGATAACCATGATTCACCATACCAGTACCAAGGAGTAGACTTCTTTCGGATATCGCTGCGCACCCGCAACTCTTATTCCCCCTTCCTCGTTGCCTACCCATCTTCAGAAGTGAACTCTTCCAGACCTCTATCATTCTCTTTTTTTTTGGCTTCGCTCATCCACCATGTCCTCCTTGAAAAACACAGCCTTGTATGTCAATGAGAAGGTGGAATTCGAGATACGACACCACCAGGAAACCCCTGTCCCCGGTGATGGAGAGCTCCTAATTGAAACGCTTTACTCCGGCGCAAACCCCGCAGATGTCAAGCATCCCACGCTGCTGGGCATCTACCCCTCTGTCCTCGGATACGACTTCTGCGGCAAAGTCGTCAAGCCACCTCCAGGATCCAAGTTTTGCCCGGGAGAAATCGTCGCAGGGTACACTCCCACTGGGATGGGCAGGCCTGCAAAGTACGGCGCCCATCAGCAGTACTTGGCTTGTCCCGAGGACATGGCGTTCTCGGTTCCCGCCAGCCTCCCTCAGCACCATGCTGCGTGCCTGAGTGTCGTGGTTATGACCGCGTGTGACGCACTCTACAATATATTCAAGTTCCCGCTCCCGGGCGTGGCCCGTATGGACGCGAAGGAATCACAGCCGCAACCGCTTCTGATCTGGGGTGCTTCGAGCAGTGTTGGCCTCTCTGCGGTGCAGCTTGCTCGAGCTAGTGGGGTCCACCCTATCCTCGTGACGGCATCGCCCAAGAACCACGCTCTCCTCCTGCGTCTTGGTGCTACGCGCTGCTTCGACTACAAATCTCCCACCATCGTCGCAGAGATAAATGCAGCACTCGAGGATGGTCGATGGGGTAGGCTGGCGCGTGGGTTCGACGCTGTTGGAAGCCAGACCGATCCCAGCTCAGCACAGCTGGTGGCTGGCTGCGTTGCCGACGATGCAGAGCTTGCCTCTGTGGTTGTGCAGAGGGATTCTCGATTCAAAATGCCGCTTGCTACGACAAACTCGGATGTGACTATCCATGTCACGGGGGCACCCGGGCCTATCACAATCCCTGCACGGAGAGACGACTATAAACGTGCTTGGGGAGCGTTTGAATGGGCTGTGGCGAACTACGGAAAGCATTTCGAGCTACCAGTGGTTGAAATCTTCAACGGGACTGCAGAAGAAGCTCTGCAGCGACTCCAGGCCTTGGGTGGCGGAGGCGCTGGACAGGGAATGGGGAAGCTTGCCATTCAGCATCCGCTACAATGACTTTGTACATATGGTGGAGTAAGGACTACGTTTCTCCTATTAGCAGAGCTGTTTGAACACACCTTGCCCCCATGAGAAGGGTCCTATGTTTATTCTACACCGGTGTGTTGTAAAAAACCTGAATTCGGACTTTGCACTCATCGGATAGCTGGCCAGTAGATAGATGCTTCCAAAATGTCATATGGAAGCGACCCAAGTCAAATGCTAGTACACATTAGCAATCGAGAGTTCTCCGGGGTCGCGAACATGCGCCAACCCGTGCCTCAGAGTATCATCAAACAAGTCTTGTGCGTGGAACGGCCCCAGCACGACCCACCCCCCACCGGCGACACCCCGCAGCGCACAAGGTCCTTGACTCCTTAGTAGTAGTACATGCCGTCGGCCTCGGCAACCGCAATTTGGTCCGGGGACGAATGGACTCCGCGTCCGAAGGGTGGTTGATATGCTGCTTTACGTGGCTAGAAATGCGGGGACGCTGAACGGACTGAATACACGGTACACTTCCTCGGCAGTTGGGCCTCGCATGGTCAGCCCGGGACCCTCTCCACATCCCGACCATCCCCTTTAGAAAGTCCTAGTCAGGGATGTACTCCGTATTCTTGTGGCTGACGCAGAGAGACTCCCAACGATGCCGACCCCGCTGTTTGTTCCGCAGAAAAGACATTCTGCCCGCATTGATCTACTTCCACCCCAGTGGGGAAGAGACTTTGTATCTCTCGTCCCATGGCTCAAACGAGCGCACGCCTCCTGCCTGATTCAAGCAAAGCAAAATCCCTGTCCCAGATTTCCACGTTGATCAGGGCGCAACCCCAAGAAAGCGCTGAACATCCACCACAGAGATGCCCTACATCAAACAGCTCGTCGTGCTCCGGCGCAAGGCCGGCCTGACCAGAGAAGAGTTCTTCGATTATCACTATCAAACGCACGGCGCAATCAGCACTGCGCCTACATCCGCGGAAACACCTACGTACCCTCCCCCGCCCAGCCCCCCTCCAGGAGCATGGATACTAGGTTATAGTCATCTTCCGGTCCTGACCTACCTGCTTACTCTCTAGAAAGTACTTCCAGACCCATTTAATTGACTCGGCGTATCATCCCGATACCAGCAATAAGGTGCCCAACGCCCATCCGCCCTGGGCGCTCAGCGATGGCATTACAGAGCTTTACTTTGAGTCGCCAGAGCACCTGGAGCAGGTCTTCCGGTCGGAATGGGTAAAGACAAAGGTCGGGCCTGATGGAGCGAACTTCTCCGACTTCAGTGCCGTTCTACCGATGTTTGTCAGGGAGGAGGAAGTCGCGCTGTCTGGCGTGAGTGGCAGCAGCAGCAGCAGCAGTAGTAGTCTAACGCCACGCCAGTCGGAGGACCCCAATACCTTTGTCGCGGTATACTTTGTCGCCTTCAGAGACGGGCAGGCGCCGGCGTCGGCGGAGGAAACAGTTTCCCAGTTTGCGGGGAGCCTTCAGAACCACGCAGGCGGCGAAGTTGCAAAGCTAACGGTCAACGTTCCAGCCGAGGCAGGATTCGATCTTGCTGCGTACTTTGGTGGCGCGGGCGCCGCCATGCCACACTATCAGTTTGTGTTTACAGTCACCTTGCGCGGGAAGGAGTCGGTTTCTGGCGTCCGTCGGGCCCAGAAGGAGTTTGAGGCGCGGTTCGCCACCCTCTTGGATTTGGCGAGCACTTGGATCGCATTCGGTGAACGGGCTGTGGTACTTGACCAGACGGAGAATATAGAGGTATGTCTAACACTGACTTACATCTTGAGGGCACTTTGGTGGTTAACCTGGCTCTGTCAAGTTCGACCGTTCGCGGCAGCCTTTCAAGACACTATAAAGGGAGACGACTTGGGCAACTGGGCCTACCTATCCGGGCATCTGGTGAGGCGCCAGTAAGCAGAGATGGCGAATGGGCAGATGGTTAGGTATGCTGCTCCGTTTTCAAGTATCCCAGAGCACCAATTAGTCGTGGAGATCATATAACACCCTTCAACTATCCATATGTGTAATAGAGTGTGTGAGTAAGGATAGGTTTCCTAGCACCTGGCATCCATCCATCAATAAGGGTTGGCTGGAAATTCCCTTGGACCTTCTGTACTACACAAGTATTCGGGTGGACAATATCATAGTTTCAGTCTGGATCGACTTGTTGCAGTGTTTGCCTACCCTTGGTGATGTGATCGCGCGCAGAGTCGTCTTCAAACCGCGGTGCGGAGAGCATAGACACCGCTCTGGATTCGCAGCTTGACCGCTTTTATCACTTGTGAGCAGTGGCATTAGCGCTTGCCTACGCATCGATGATGAACTCCATGTCTGAAGTAAAATAGGCCGCTTTTAAGAACCAGTGTGTCAAGGCTTCCAATGTCTGGATCAGTTAACTACAAAGACCAGCGTCAACCTCCCGAATCTGAGAAGTATACAGAATAGTAGGGTTTCATCAAGTCTACCCCTAGACTGCAAACCCCTCAATGAGGGGTTAGTGATAGCGGCGACAGTGCTGTGGGCTAATATAGGTGGATGCACCAATTGCCATTGTTGTCTGTGTGGCTGGGAGCACGGTGATCCTTGGACAGAGTCTTTTAGTAGTGGAAGACAAAGTCGGAGTTCCCGATCGAATTGACCTCGCGTATATCGGCGGCAATATAAAATTCTAGGTTCGAAGGAGCAAAGGGAAGAACCCGACAGGAACCTTACGTGCCTAGAGCGGGTTCCAGCTTTAGTTGTCGGAACTATTTTCTGCACAGGGTATATTCCCAATCCTAGAGCCAGTGAGTGGGCTTTATACCAGCTGCATAGTCGCCGTTCAAGGGAGCGGAATTCTTTCCATAAAGTGCCCACCATCCGCACCATACCCACCAACCACCAAATGAATAGGGTAGTCAATATCCAAGAGCTTGACCTTCGGCATGTCTTCAGGAACAGCAAGCTGTGCAAATGTGACGGCTCGACCCTGCGCCCAGTAACGCGCAATCTCGTTGATGATTCGCTTGACGAGGTGTGTTGGGTAGTGTGAGTGTTCGTAGCCTCTTGATTTGCGTTCCATCTGCGGCCATATGACGTCGAGGATGTGGTTGAGAACGGGTTCCGACCGCCATACTAGAAGCATCTGAAGAAGGACTTCTGCTAGGCTGAAAGTATATATGTCGTCGGTGTTTGAAATGCTGAAGTTCAGCGTTTCAGCCAGTGAGCATATGTTGTCTGCCAGACTGGCTAGGATGCTACTTGAAGGTTTCGCACCCGGTATCAAGGGATGAGATCCCCCTCGCTGGCTTGCCTCTTCGAATATAATATCGCATAGAATAGAGTATAGTATGTTCATCGCGTCCCGGTGCCTTGGGAAGCGAAGCTTAGGTTCAATATCGCGAAATAACCGGTCCGTGGCAGTTTTTGTCCTCCAAACATGCAACCGTTGCTTCTGAATTTCCAGCAATCCAACTAGATTCGAGCCTCGCACAAACCCCTGCTCAACTTCTGTTTGCTCAGAGGCGATACGACCCCTCCCCAGCAATTTATTCAAAACCTCATAGGCAACAGGACCGATATCGCTGGAGTCCTCTGGTATCCGACGGGTGCCAGCGACACAGCGAAAAAGAACCAACCTGCTCCGTAGCTCGATCGTCTTGATTAATATATCATAAATGAGGTCATCCGCGCTCATACCCAAGATACAACTCAAAAATAGCTGGTCAAACGTATCTGGAAACCGATTCGGTCCAAACGAGCTCGGTCCCTCGCCTTCGAGCATGAAGGCCGGGGGTTTGGACAGGCGATGTGAGATGCATAGACGGTACCACATTTGCAGCGCCGCGGTTCCTTCGGTAGTGCGCAGGAGAGCATCTTTGTGTACTAAGACAAACTGGACGGACTCCCAGACGGCAAGTCGGAATTGCAAATGATTTGTGGAGGCGTGATGATAGTATGCGAGGAGAACCAGACCCGTGAGTTCAGCTGCTGAGTCGACACTCTCATGAGTAGAGATAGAGTATGCCAGCGCACGTTTATGATACTCCTGCGCCTGGAAGTGGTGCAGATTGTTGACAAGAGGGCTTGAGACAGATCGTCGATGGTCGTTGGTATTGGTCCGGTGCTGGACTCGTGCATTCAGCATTGACAGGTTGGATGCGGAGATGCACAGTGCAGCGCATCTTAGTGATGAGGACCGGGTCGCTCCTTCCAGGAGCTCCACATGTATTCCGGGCAGGAGATGCCGCACGTGGCGATGGAAATGACCCCAATAAGTAGCCTCGAGGTTGCTGCCACAGTCCAATGACGAGGGAAAGGTGGGCTTTCCATAATTCACCACCTCGAGTGCTTGCAGGTCGGTGGATTCGGCCAAAACGCGCGCATCTTCTTTGGCTTCAACCCGCGGCTGGAATGATCTGGCGTCATGGTTCCGAAAACTGTAGTCGATAGAATAACTGCATTCGAATCTCAGACGGACGCAAGCCCGACAGGCTGGCTTTGTTTCATCGCACTACATACATGAGCCGTAATCCAGCATCTCTTTAAGGAGGTGGACTGACCCGTTTGCCCCTCTTCCGGCACGTCTTGCAACCCGAGTGTCCGCGACTAATCTTCGGTCTCTTGCGGGCGGTGGCTGAAGCTACTTCTGGCGGCATGACGCTTCCGCTTTGATAGGCGATTTTTGGCTTGAACTTGACACTCTGCCCAGCGTTGAAGACCAAGAGCAGCGCTGGTGCCAGCCGATCAGGCCATGAAATACGCCCCGCGTATTAGACGTACCGCACGTGTCACCATCGGGGAGAACAGACGGCTGAGTTTTGGAAGGATTCACGTGATAGGTTTGCTTCACATTGAGGTAAGGAGGGATCTTGGTTGCCAGGCCAGCGGCGAGATGATGGAAGGCCTGCCCAGAGTAGAATTCGGGACGAGGGTCGACGATTGTCGACTCAGAATTTGCGCGACGAGGTGAAATCTGGTTACGGACTAACCTCTTCTGGTCAAATTTTACGCCAGACCCAAATGCCCCACACTTTCCCCCAGCATTGCAGCTTCAGATGTACTACCGGAAATCTTCGCCTCGATTTCCTGTGCTTTAGCTCCAAGGGGAGAGCTTTTACGCCCATGTGGAGCCTGAAAGAGGACCCTGGAGACTGGGATAGTATCATGATGCCACTCGTGCATGCCCACCCTAGACTGCCTCAACTATATATTCCATCGCCCCAGGCACCACGAATTTTGTACCAGAACCCCAGTTCTAACAGTCCACCAACTGCTGAACTCAACAATGGCCCGCGCCATCTGGAAAAAGCTCACATCAGATCCCTCTATCCAGAGGTCATCTCAAGTCCTCTCGGTCATCGGCAACGATGCATACATCTACGGCGGCGAGCTACGACCTCGTGAACCCGTCGACTCTTCCGTCTACCGCATCCCACTCGATAGTGGTTAGTCTATAATTCCCACGACTGGATACCTTTATCCATATATTAATCAGCTTTCGCAGGATTGACCTCCAATGCTCAGATAATCACACTATCATCAACCGACCCAACCCCACAACCCCGTGTCGGAACAGCCTCAGCCACCATCGGAGACAAAATCTACCTCTTCTCTGGCCGCGGCGGCGTCGCCATGGCGCCGGTCGAGGAGCGCGGGTCCCTTTGGGTCTTTGATACCAAGGCCACCTCCTGGAGTCAACTCTCTCCCGGTCCTGGAAGCCCCTTCCCACAGGGCCGAAGCTACCACGCCTTGACGTCTAATGGCACGGATACGATCTACCTACACGCCGGCTGCCCAACAACGGACCGTCTGAGCGATCTATGGGCATTCGATATTACCTCGAAAATCTGGAAAGAACTTCCCTCTGCCCCTGGTCCTGCGCGCGGCGGTACGTCCATTGCCTTCTCAAATGGCAAGATCTACCGCATGAACGGGTTCGACGGCAAGACCGAGCAGGGAGGTGCACTTGACGTCTTCGACGTTGCAGCCAACGGGTGGACAACGATGACATTCCCCGCAGATGGAGTTTCAGGCCCTGAAGCGCGGAGTGTTGCTGCTCTCCTCGCAGTTACAATTGCCGGTCGGGACAGTCTGGTCACATTATTCGGCGAACGCGATCCGAGTTCTCTTGGCCATGCGGGGGCCGGTAAGATGTTGGGGGATGTGTGGGTGTTTGATATTGAAGACCACAAGTGGAGCCAGGTCAGTGTCACTGGAGGGGATGGTGCTGATGAGAAGCCTGCGCCGCGTGGGTGGTTCGATGCCGATGTCTTTGCGATCCACGGTCGACCGAGTGGGCTCGTGGTTCATGGCGGATTGTCCGAGTCGAATGAGCGGCTGGGGGATGTTTGGGTCCTTGAGTTTGAGTAGCTAGCTAGTCTCTTGATCCATTAACTGATGCTTGGTATCATGTCGACGATACTCAGAGTACGCAAGATAGTCACTGCTTCTTCCACACTACGAGTCCATTTGTAAAAGCCCCTCCAACCCCAGACACCCACAGATCCGATTCTCAGGATCCCACTTTTTCCTAACCTCCATCAACCTCTCCCACACTCCATCTCCCCAATACCTAGTATTCCTCGACCGAAAATCTAGTTCCCCGAGATAACTCCCCACCGAATCTTTCGCAACATCTTCCATAATCTGATCAACCCACGTCATACACTGCGAATCCTTGCTCCCGTCACCCCAGATCGCATAGAGCGCGAAATAGTGATCGGACTGCATACTGAGGGCCATATCCGGTAATTGCCGGCGACTCAGGGGGACAAGAGACGTCCAGAGAGCAAGCGACTCCCGCGTTGGGAGGGTCGTGAATGCCCGTTCCAAGGTGGATGCGACGTCCGCGTCGTTCTTAACAAAGGCATTGTCGACGTAGTACCTGTGGTTCTTCGGGTAGGACTTTGCCTTGAGGTCAAACTGTTCACTCAGCGTTGTTTCCTGGTTGAACCAGCGAGATATTGGGTTCGGTGGGTGCGTCTCCTCGATGCTTTTCAGGATATCATCGAGATGTTCCTGATCATTGCCCGAGGCTATAAGCGCGATTGTTATGCACGGATGCTCGATGCCGTCCTTGTAGCTGCCTATAGCCACGATCTCGATGCTATCTTCAAACTCCGCGGCGATCTACTCGTAAGTATCATTAGCATGTTGCCCTAGCCAGCACTATAAAAGTCGGGCATTTTGTTCACCTTCAACGCCCACCTGAACACCCTCGAGTACTCTCCAACACCATAGACATATCCGGACGAGCGCATAACCTTTGGCGCTGGAAATGTCTGAAGATGGAACGTCGTAACTATACCCGGAAACGCAGGCCCGCCGCCTCTTGCGGCCCAGAAGAGGTCGGTGTTTTGATGCGCGTCCGCGCGGAGTAACTTGGGGTCGTCTGTGGCTGTTACGAGGTCGACGGCGAGGATGTGCTGACATGCCCAGCCGAGGTTCTATAGTGCAATGGTTAGTTGCGGTCTAAACAAGTGATGCACCGAGAGGATCGCACCGGCTGATCCCAGCCCATCCCGCCACCAAGCAGGAACCCGCCAAGCCCAACATCCGGACAATGCCCGACCGGAAACGTCCGCCCTCTCTCCGCCAAATAATCATATAACTGTTGAGCCGTGATACTCGGCGAAACACTCACAACACCACTCCCCTCATTAAGCTCGCAGTGCCGCAACCCACCCAGATCAACCAAGACAGAACGCGGTCGGAGACTCCACGCTGCATAGCTATGTCCGCCAGAGCGGATGGAGATTTGAAGACGATGGACACGTGCCAGGGTGACGGCTTCGATGATGTCCCCTTCGTGTCGCGCGAGGACGATTGCGGTCGGGTAGCGGGCGGGGATTCGGGCGTTGAAGAGGCGGCTCGTGCGGGCTTTTTCGTAGGTGTCGCTATCGGGGCCGTTGCGGAAGATGGGCTGCATGGTTTTTAAGCAGTATGTAGATGCTGGCCGTCGGGTGGGGTTGTACTTGTGTTTGTGTTTGTTTTGAGATGGTGACGTTGATGAGGGGGAAATAATCCGGGCAGGAACGGACAGTAACCAATCAGAGGCCTCGCATGTACAGGTAGACTAGGTTGTAGGTCCCTGGTATGTATTGAGCTCTACGATATGCTTCTGTCTAGTAAAAGTACTTGGCTACCTCGCTCCTGATCTAAAAAATCTTCAACTCCACCAGCCGAACCTTTACCCCCTCCTTGGGCGTGAATACCAACCGGATCAACCTAGTCTCAACACTCTCCCACTGCACATTCGTAATCCCATTCGCAACGGCGTCCTCATACCCTCCATCGCCTACATCAACATCTACCCACTCACCCCCCTCACTCACTTGAATCCGATACCCGCTCGGAACATCAACGCCCAGCGCATCCCCAGCCGCAAATGCAATCTCCGCGCGAGAAACCTCAACATTTTGACCAAAATCAATCTGGTACCAGATCTCGGTCCCGTTTCCGACCGGTGTATCCCACCAGTTCACGATCTCGGGGTAGAACCAGACGCGCCCGTCGATGACGTTGTGGATCGAGGCGGTGTTGGCGTCGGGGACTGAGACACTACCGACGGGGTACTCAGTGTCAGCACCCAGTTGGATGGAGAGGGCGATTGGGCGGGAAATTTCTGGTGGCGAGACTCGGGAGATCTCGATGGTCTGGCGGGTGAGTGTTTCCGATTGCGCGACGACTTCGTCGTCGATTTCCACCGTCAGACCACGTGTTCCGTAGCGGTCGCCAGAGGCATCCCATTGTACGGCGACGTCGTGGCCGTGGTAGAGGATCCGTTCTATGCGAAAGTACTCCACGGTGTCGTCGATGAGGGGATTCACTTCGAGGATATCATCGGCAGATGGTCGTATTCCGACGAAGCCAGTGATGACTTGGTCGATGAAGCCGGAGTGGAAGTAGTGCGGCGAGCGAGTGAGGCCCACGATAGGGACACCGGTGTCGGCGTTGTAGTCTTCTTCGAGGTTAAGGATTCCGTCGTAGCTTGGGTTGTAGTGCAGCTCGGCGTATTGGAGTAGGATGGCGACGTAGTCTGCCTTTGTAACGATTCCAGTTGCTGCAGAAGTAGGATAATGATCAAGCAGATTCGCCAGTGCCGTTAGTGCCTGCGTCGTCTGGTATGGCCATGCTGGACCGTTCCATTGACATTCAGGATGATCGCCTTCATAGCGGTACTGGCGCATGTAGTACTCATAGCTGGGCTCGTTGGTGCGGAGGCCGTGCGAGCCGGCCAGTTTCTCCGGATCGATAATGTGCTTCCATGCCTGCGCAAATCTCTCGTCGTCGTCAGGCAGATCATGAGTCCAGGGGACGTATCCAACCAACTCGCGACCACGGATCGGATCCCAGTACGTGACATACGCGTTGTCCACGTAGAAGCGATCAATGAAGTGTTCAAACGTGCTGTTCCACAGATGCTCCTGCACAAGCTCCTTGACAGTTTCCGCGCGGTCTCGGTACTCATCAGCGAGAGCCTGGTCGCCGGTAAGGGCCGCTAGATGCGAGATTGCCAATGCGTTCGCGTACTGGTAGCTGTTGATACTGGGCCGGAAAGCATTTCCTCCAGTGAATCCATCAATGCCGCCCGACGCATCGATACTTGCGATCGTGTATTCAGTGGCATCGGTAAGCGGCTGAATATAGTACAAACCCTTCGAAGTGTCGTATCCACCAATATTCTCGGTCGTATTCCAACTATTGTAGACCCTCTGCATTGCCTCGAGGCGCACAGCGGCGTCTTCGAGCACTCCGTCGACTAGGTATCCCTGCCAGACACCGTCGGCCATGACTTCGGAAAATTGATGAGGATTCGTGTTTGGTCCAAACAGCACATCGGCATAGTCCTCCTTGAACCGACGGTCGCGCGACCACCGCCCTTCTCGGAGGTGGTAGTTCGCGGCGTTGATCAGGATGGCCCAAGGGGATACTTGCCAGCCCACATCATTGATGAACTCGGTCGAGAGGAAGCCCTCTGCTCCGAGATCGCGTTGGTGGGCACGGAATAGGCCCCATCGGTAGTAGTAGACTTCTTCGATCTCCCAGACACTCGACTCAAATAAAGGGATGCGATCGCGGTACCAGGGAGCATCATTCCCAAAGTACTGTGCAGTCAATGCTTCTGCATCCAGGGCCGCAGCCATAGGAAGGAGAGAAGCCGCCAGCCCAAGCAGCTCAACCGACTTCATTTTGTATGCCTTCTCTGCTGTGGGTAACTCGACTGCAGCACCGTGGACAGAGAGTGAAAAAGGCCATTTATAGGCCTCTTAGCCGGAACTCCACATTGATATTAACCGTGAATAGATTTCTTCAGCAAGAAATGAAGCCGATTCGTGCACACCCTTGTTGATCCTGGGTCCTAGAAGTGACGATCACCCCAGAGTTCGGAACCCCACACGGAGTTTCTTCATTCTGGTCACTGCGGGGGCTGGGAAATCGTCCGAGCGATAATTTTAGCATCTGCCGGATCTTTTGATCCTCATTCATGCCCTGGTCGCTCACCCATCTTGCAAATACCCGAGATCCAGATACCATGGGAAGGTTCGATCTGCAGCCCTGAGGAGTTCTGACTTGGATTACAATCGCCCTATGACTCGGCTAAACAGCTTCCTTCCACGCGAAGTATTTGTGACTCTGATAAGCCCCTAGTATTGCGATGAGAAAAGCACCGAGAGCAAAGGCCGACTCATTATATGACGTAGTTGCGGCGTAAATTCCCAGCGCTGCCCCGATCACGACGAGTGAAGTGAAGACCAGCCATGAAATGACGGTCCAATAGAAGGGAGAAATTTAAGGCGCTCCAAACAGAGCTCCTCGGTTTTTTTTTAACAAAAAAATCAGGTATTAATACATTCAGGGTGTGATGACGACAAAATAAACTTATACTCGGAATAAATTGCAAAGGCTTTGGGCCTCAGACACTTGCCATAAATCTGGATGGTCGCCGTTCGTTCCTAGCAAAAGCCTCGATCCACCGGGGCAGCTTCTCTGGTATGCCTCGCGCCTTCATCCTCTGGATCAGTCTTTCTTTGCAGAGCCCATTGCAGGCTCCTTGGCATCAAACATCAATCTCACGACCCGTCGGATCTAGGATGTATATAAAACTATCTATTGAGACAGATATCAACAACCCTTAGCATAACAGTACCACCCTTCCACACTCTATTGAAGTCGCAATTTAAGTCAGCAGCCATGGATATGAGCACAGACAGCAAAAATCATCATTCCAAATTCATCCACTGTCTGAACCCAACGTTCAATTCTCTCCCTTCGCTTTGGTTCTTCTTTCTCAGGGGATGCCCATAACTCTGAGATAACCAAGCTTCCATCTTCCCAGTCGGATAGGTATTGGTCATACGCCTTATTCCACGTCTCTCGGTTTCCAGCTTCCCACAATGCCTTATGACCCGGTACATAGACCGTTCTCAGCTCGTCTGCGATGAAATTCGGTAGCATTCGGTCCGCGTTATATATGCTACTGAAGATGTATAGAATAAAGACTGCACGGCGTTTTGCAGCAGCGACAATCCAGGATTCCCATGTTGGTTTGGTCCGGTTTATTTCGGCTGTGCAGGAGAGACCATGTCGACTAGTGCGGAAGGCCAAATCCATGAGAGTTATCATGGTGTTTTCAGAGAAATTACCTCGAGGGGAGAAGTACATCATGATCGAGTACATAAGGTAAGCCTGGAAGCTGGACAGGAGCTGGTAGTCATGTTGATCCGGACTCTTTAATCACATTAGCACAGTCACGCCCAAACAGGGAGGGATGCATGCCTCACTAGACAGCCTATCCATCTCCCTTGTAAGTGTACTCAAAACTACCTCCTCGCTTCCGGCGACAGCGTGTTCCCACAATCGTACCAAACTATAGCAGTTCGCTAGTGCGCGAGGGATCACGCTCCCCTTCACTTGGGCCGGATGAATTATTGGGGGGACATGTCCATCTTTCAGCATATTCCGCGGATAGGTCCTCAAAATCCGTTTAATAAACTGTGTAGTGTAAGGAAGGACGACCTTTGGGATCTCAGTTCGGTCGAGCGTAGTACTGAAATAAGGCCTTAACCATTGGGCGCGAATGTTGTCTGCCTCCGAGGCGGGAATCAGGTCGATGTCTTCAAAGTGGAGCTCGTTACTTATTGGAGTCTTCGTGAGGGATTGCCCCTGAAATTGCTGGCTCGGTGGATACCAGATGGTATTATCAACAGGCGACCAACTAGGGGCACTCGCATCCGACAGAGAAATCGGCGTTTGTGATGTTGTCGAAGTAGAGTTTGAACCCAGAGCAAAAGACGGGCAGAGATAATTTGAGCGACCCGGTTCCGCTTCTAAGCCTCCCTGTGGTAGGTGCAAGTTGTCTTGCTCCGATGCTAACGCCGCTGGCTCATATACACAGGTTCGGTCTGTTAATCTGCACCTCGAGCACGCAGGCTTTTCTAGACTGCACCGGGCTTTGGACTTGGCGCAATTGCCGCAAGCCTTTCTGCGCGGAGGTCGAGGTTTCTTTGCGGGTTTAGCTGGCGTGGCCATGGCTCTGGCTCGCGGTGTAGCATAGTAATATGTTATTTAGCTAACGTGTGCGTTGCAAGCTCACGAAGTCATCTCTGGTGTCGTCTCTCGGAAAAAGACCTCCTCCGGTTACAAAATCCGACTTCCGTGGAGAGACGTCATCCTATCTCCGAACCGTGGTTCAAGTCCGGAATTCCGATATGAGGTCCGAAGCGGTAAACTCTTCGGAGTCCCTGGCTGGCTTGAACATCACGAGTGACGTTTGGAGCAGTACCTGGCTTGGTTATGCGAAGCGGTGAGCCATTAAAAGGATGAAAATTAGCGATTACATGCTAGTCAAGCTAGGAATATATGTGGCCAAGTGAATGCGACACGAGGACACCTCATTTGCTGGTCAGCAAAGCCTCTCCTAGGAGACTTCAAGAGTGTTTATTGTTGGATCTTTCCACGACAATCGGGGGTTTGTCGGGATCGAGGACGACTGATCCTTTGCTTATAGTATCTTTTCCCTCGGTACTCCGAAGGCGTCTGAGTTTGTTGGTCTTGGCTAAGCTTAATACGGAATAGTATCTATTGACTCGATTTGTACTTCTGTTCCACTGATAGGACTTACTGGTGCCGCATGATCGGTCCCCTCGTACGCTGGATCCGGAACTCCGATCATGATTGACCCACTCATTTGCGTACGGCTAGATATAAAGTGCGATCAAGCTCAACTTTTGATTCAAACTTTTGCCAAACCACACAATTATCAGCTCAACCAGGCCAAACCGAAAACTAAGTAAATAAAATGCCAGTCTACACAACCGATCACTCCACTTCTGTCCTAAAAACCCACAGTTGGCGCACAGCGTCCAATTCCGCCGCCTACCTCCTACCTCATATAAATCCGACGTCCAAAATCCTGGACATTGGGTGTGGCCCCGGCTCAATTAGTGTCGATTTCGCTCGCCGTGCGAACCAAGGACATGTCATAGGGATCGAAAATGTCCCTGATCCGCTGGACAAGGCTCGACACCTGGCCACCTCGCAAGGCGTGACGAACATCGAATTTCGGCTGGGTGATATTCACGCTCTCGACTTCCCGGATAATACCTTCGACATTGTCCATGTACATCAGGTGCTACAACACGTTGCTGATCCTGTTAAAGCGCTATCCGAGATGAGGCGTGTCGTGAAATATGGTGGAATTGTCGCAGCAAGGGAATCCGCGGCCATGATGTGGTACCCAGAGAATCGCGGGCTCGACCACTGGCTTAAAATTGGTCAACAGATGGGGAAGGCAAAAGGTGGAAATCCGCATCCTGGACGATATATTCATGTCTGGGCGGAAGAGGCTGGGTTTGATCGGGCGAATATTAGGAAAAGCACTGGGTCGTGGTGCTTTAGTAGCCCTGAGGAGAGGCAGTATTGGGGTGGATCGATGGGAGAGAGGGTGCGATCTTCGGGCATGGCGAAGACAGCTGTTGAGGAAGGGTACGTAACGGAGGAAGAACTAGAGAAAATCTCTGAGGGATGGAGGGAGTTTGTCAAGGATGAACAGGCGTGGTTTGGGTTGATGCATGGGGAAATATTATGCTGGAAGTAGTTAAGCAGCTCTGATTCTTGTTCTCATTTCTTCTTATTCTTGCTCAGCTTGAGATCAAACAACGTTGGCAACAGTAACCTAACCAAATAACCACGGCATCAAGCACAATATAAGCGATTGCGCGACGTATTAGACTCACCTGGTGGCCTATGTATTTGCCCTCATGTCCGCCATCTCGTTTTCCCTGCTGTAGCTGCACGGGCTGCAGAATGAAAATGTTGATTATCGTGCAAACTAGGAGCCAGAGAGATCAACTGAGAATTTTCCCTTGAAACCTTCCGCGCAATGCTACATGATTGGGAGTTCTCCATTTCACCAAAGCTTGGCGCCAAGATCCGCACAAAGCCGAGGTCCAACCGGCACTATGTTGGTCCGAAATCAGACATAGAGCATCGCGGGACTCGACATGAACTAGAGCGTTTGGAAGGAAAAGAGCTCGTATCTCTCTGCTTGTCTGTTTGGGTAATTATCATGGCGGGAGCTGAAACAAGACCCAACAACGGTCGCGGCTCGGATTGTAGTACATAATCATGTGATGTACTGTTCAGTAATCTACGCGACATAACCCGTGAAGACTCCCATGTAGGGTGCATACCAAGCGGAGAAAGATTGGGATCGCATTCAACGACGTATCAGGTATGGTGGGAGGTAAGAAAGGTAAGGAGGATGATATGCAAGGCGGTAGCATCCTAGGTGCAGTACTGGACTTTGCAGAGCCAACACAGAGATTTCCAAGCCGCGCGCCACCGAGCCGCCGAGCGGAACACAGGCACCTTTGCTACCAGAGGCCGTGACGAGGCTCTAATTTCGTCGAGAAGTACTGGTTTATGTACATAGCGATGCATTGAGTCTGGATAGTTATGTCCCAAATATCGCCTAGACGAGGGGTCAGGGCATGAATTCAACGACGACGACTGTACCAAGCCAATGCTTCACCCTTCAATCCGAGCATAGATCTCCCGTCGGAAGTCTAGTGCGAGTGCCATCGAGATCTGGTCTCCAGGTGGCAGTATCTGCGAGGCATACATTCCGCAGTTACCGGCCGCTGGGTCAATCCACCAGTACTAAAACCGCGAGGAAAGAACATTAGCATCTCTTCAAGTAATGTAAAGCATAAAGAAAGCACCGCGCACGGAGGAGACAGGAGGGCGATACCAAGTTAGGAAGCCCACCCCAGGACATTGTGCCTTTTCTGCAGATCCGTTCCACATCCGCGGTGGTCAAGATACCACCAAGACCAAAATTCCACGCATCATAATCTATGCCACTGCGGAGCATTGCACCACTTTCCGAGTCCTATGTCTTAGCTAAGAGAGGTCTTGGATCACGAAGCTGAGGCTCAAACATGATCATTACCATGTCTGGTCGGAGTAAAAGCCCATCATTCTTCAACAGTGATATCAACACTTTTATATAGTTAGTAATAGAGCTGTACAAACCTCCTCCACCCAGGTTGTCTTCAGGGCTGAGGGCATTGTATGGATTTGTCATGGAAAATTTACTAGTTAGCGTACGTTGCGCCGTTTCGCAAAGACGGTCGCGAATGTGCTCATTCTCGGCAAGGCGAAAGCTGGTTAAAGTCATGCCCAAAGGATCGAATATATGTTACTTCATATATTCACCTAGTCGAACACCTCCATTAACTCACTCCGCCATTACCCCAACCCAATCAATTCCAACGCTGTACATCCAGCCATCTCCTGGCTCATACAAAAGTGGAAGAGCCAGTCGCTTGATCTTCATCTACCGGTCAGAGCACTTCGAGGCATGGAATATCAAATAGAGCACTAGACTGACAATGGGCTCCGCGGATGCACCAGGACTCTGCCCTTTCCACTGTCGCCAACTCGCTAGGTCCGGTGATAAGAAGTCGTAGCCCATTCTACTGGAATGTGTCAGCAATTGACGCAGCGTGATCTTCTTTGTTGCCAGCTTTAACTGTGGCTCGCCCAAATCATCGAAGCCTGTTAGGATTTCTGGCGTTTTCCACTCCGGAAGGACCTTGTAGACTAGGTCGTCTAGTTGAAGTAGGCCTTTTTCGACACATTGTAGGGCTGCCACCGTTGTAATGAGTTTTGTGCACGATGCAATCTAGAACGTCGTATCAGTCGTCATGGGTTTCGCTACGTCTGTGTCGATCGACGTTTGCCCTTCCGCCTCGGTGAACATAATTTTGCCTGGAACAAGTCAGAATTGTCTTCCAGCCAGCCCCAGAAAAGCACGGTCAATACCTAACGCATCTGCTGCCATCACCACCACACCTGGGATCCTTTGATCTGGCCCCGGTGCCGTTGCGGATTTGAGAGCCTCAGTAAAGCTCATTTTGGTGTGGTTATAGACGTTGAAGGTTGCCGGATGATACAAGGCGAACAAAATTCAATATCCAAGCCTCGAGAGCCAAAATCAAGAGACATGTGCGAGCAACTTGTGATCTGTTTATTTAAATAGGATTGGAATGTTGTTCTATCTGAACTCCGATATCAGAACTCCGATAGCCATAGAGCCACGTCATCCTGCGCCACCAAATCGAATCCAGGATCGGAACTCCGACCTGACTCCGACGGTCCGTTCTATCATATCGCCTTTCGTATGCCGAACGCTTTGTGTAGATTCGGATTGCTTGTTGTTCAGAACGTAGTACTTTGCAGTATCAGGCTATGATAGTTCTTGTAGGAGATTGACTACCCAATGATTGTTTGGCGGCTTGGGCCCAGGCAAATTCTGAGCAGCGTGCTTCTGTGCTACATTAGAAGGGTGCTTTGTGCGGAATTCCGGCATCCCTCGAAGCAGAAACTTCTCGGAGAACCCCTGGCAGGGAGGGGCGCGCGGGCGTGGGCCCCGAGTCGCGCCGGTTCCGCGAACTACGCTTGTAACTTAAAACTATAAGAATAAGTAGACCGCAGATGACACCAAAATCTGTCCAATCCTTCATTCCGGCCGCCAAAATCACGGAAATCTTGAGCTTCTTTCTCGGAGTTGTCACCGGCTACTGTGCGCTGACCGTAAGTATTTCATGCAACCGACGCACGCAGAGAGTGTGTACAGCAAACTTCGACCATGGAGAGTCTGAACATTTTGCTCCGTGACAGCCTATTCGGTCGGCTGCTCAACTATGCGTCAAAGGGGCGATTTTTCTCCTACAGTGTATCTCAGACCCTCAAGGATGAAGAACTACCAAGCCCAAACTCTCAGGGGCAGATTATAGTAGGCTTTGTTGGTCCTGATGATAAAGACATGCCACATAACTGGCCCGCGCTGGCAAGGATGGTCGCCGGACTCAATGTATTGCTCTTGAACTTCAGTTTTTATGCAGCATCGGCACTCTTTACGCCGAGTGTCTCGGGTATCGAAGAAGAATTTGGAGCTACCGCTGCGGAGGGCACACTGGGGCTTTCGCTCTTTGTTATTGCATACGGCATTGGGCCTCTAATTGTATGTCTACGATTCAAGATAACCACAGCTACAAGGAATGTACTAATCATGCATGTTTCTAGCTTTCTCCTCTGTCAAGCCTGCCGACACTCGGGCGTTCGCCGGTATATGTCCTTGGCTGCCTTGCTTTCTGCTTGTTCAACATTGGAACAGCTCTGGCAAAAAACCTACAAACCGTTCTAGTACTACGGTTTTTCGGGGGCTTTGCCGGAAGCACGCCTATCAGCGTTGGTGGCGCCTCGCTAATGGAAATCTTCAAGCCAAATGAGTTTCCCTATGCAATTGCGTTTTACGCAGTTAGCGGAGTTTGCGGGCCTGTTCTAGGACCGGTATGTCACCCTACATGCATCTAGACATCTGTAGCTTTTGCTAACTTTTGCAAAAACAGATCCTTGGAACCCTGGTAATGTGCGTCCTCAGTCTTATATTATATCTTGCTGAATATCACCTGATACTAATTATTATTGTATAGAAAGCGCTGGAATACCTGGACAGCAACGTTATGGCTCCTTTCTGGTATCGCGGCTTTCACGACCGTATCTACTTTCTTCTTTCTACCTGAGACGCTGTCCGAGAATATCCTTCTACGACGAGCAAAGCGCCTTCGTGAGCAGACAGGCAATCCTGCCTACTATAGCGAAGCTGAAATCCAATCACCAACCACAAATCTCGCTCTACGCATTGTCAAGGACATGGGCGATGATCTTAAGCTTGCCTGTCTGGACCCAGTGATTTTATTTGTTAACATGAACACGATGTTGGTTTATGGTGTCCTGTACCTTTGGTTTGAATTCTTCCCATTTGGTAAGTTATGCTCTGCTAGATTTATTTCGCCGCGTTATACTGATGGGTTAATCCAATAGTTTTTGACGGCATTTACCATTTCACTGCAATCCAGCAAGGCCGTGAGCTTCCCTCAGCGAACTTTTTGCACAAATACTGTGCTAACAATTCTTTTCTCCAGTTGCCTTCTTTGGTATCCTCGTTGGAGCAGCAGTTTCAGTGGTTGGATACATTCTGTGGTTATACTATTCATACCAGCCACGATTGGCGGATCCAAACATCGTTGTTGAGCCAGAGGCTCGCCTGGTACCTGGACAGATAGGAGCTCTTTGCATTCCGGTTTGTCTATTTATCTTTGCATGGACATCCCGAGAAAGGTAAGCCAGCCACTGGAGTCACTTGATTTCAGCAGGAGGAATTCTAACCTCCTAAACACAGCGTACACTGGATCGCCCCGATAATTGGAACAGCATTCTTTGCACCAGGCTTCTACCTCATGTTTCAATCCGTCCTTAACTACCTAGGCGAATCCTATCCGCGCCATGCGGCAAGTGTGTTTGCCGGTAACACCTTCTTCCGAAGCTCTTTTGGAGGAGCACTGCCGCTGGCTGCACCACGCATGTTGAAATCACTTGGAATTGGATGGGCCTCGAGCACGCTTGGGTTCATCTCAATTGCCATGGTGCCCTTACCTTTTATTTTGCAACGGGTGAGTTTGTCGCCACGACTGCATCCGATATATAGTTATTTGCTAACCTGTCTAAAATAGTATGGCAAGAAACTGCGTTCTTGGAGCCGATTTGCGAACTGAGAAACACATTTCTAGGCTTGCTTCATATTGGCTTGCCCTATATGCCACGGTCTCACTTTCTCTGTGCTACATACCGCCATTTCAAACCTGTGGTAAATCAAAGTCGGCACGGCTTTTCTTGAAGACGATCTCGGCGCTTGATGTCTTCCCTTTCAAGATTGAAGCCGTCTTGCGTCCACGATCCCCTAAATTTTACATTTCCCCATAAATTTTACATTCCCCCAAAAGCTCTATCGCTTGCTTGTTTCTTTTTGTATAATCAATTTAATAGACTCATTGGTATTTGTTTACTACACTGCCAGCTCCATTCGGTGGTAACAATACTGTTATATCATGCTACAGCTTGCCTAGTAGACAACATGCTTTACGCTGCAAACGGACAGCTATACGAACCTAAACAAGAACGGAGGAATCTTTACGCGCAGGGGGAAGGTGCGAAAAACTTTGATTTAGGTAGCAGGCATTCCAGGCTCGCTAGTCTGGAAATCAGGATCCTCCTCAATGCTTACACCGGCATCCTTCAGTAGATTAGGGAACCATCTTAGCATTCGGTCGCGGAAGACCTCGTACCCGGCTCCCTTCCGTAGAACCTTCATGTTCTCTGCATCGAAATTCACGCCACCACGCCTGTACGCCTGCCATTTCTGTAAACCGTAATCCACCACCAAGTCTACCACGTCAATCACTCTTGACTCAATATCTTCAACACGGAATCGTTGTCCCTGGCCGGTCAGATTGGCCGAAGTTCCGAACATTAACATGCCCTCGGGGTCCTCATCGCAAAGGCGACCAAGTTCCCGTAGAAATGGACCTTCGGGAACTGCGATACTAACCGTATCACCCTTGGTAACCTGGGATAGCGTAGCGGGATCAAGGGTTGCCAAACGTGGGTGAAGGTTTTCAGTATCATATTTAGCAATGATCCCAACAATCATTGCCATATCTTCTGTCAGGACCCGTGTCATCTCAAACTTGGCCTCGGAGAGTACATGGATTTCGCGGTGTTGTTTGTATGTTCCGATTATACCTATGTTATGGCCTTCCCGACGGTTTTTTGCTGAGAAAATCCGCTGGATTCCAGCCTGTGTGCTTGTCAAGAGTGCGTAGCCAACATCGGTTGGGACAATGACAACACCACCACGTTTAAGTGTGTTATAGGTCTCTTTAGCATCGCGAGGGACGTTGGGTGCGGTACCCAGCTTGGGTATGTAGCTGGGAGCCATTGAAAATTAAAGAAGATTTGTAATTTTATGCTGGTCAAAGTAGAAATATATATAGCCAAGCTGTGATTATGCTCAATCCGTAAGGCACCAGTACAAAGGAGGGGAAGAGGAGAAAGCGGAGAATAAGAGAATGAGCGGGAACCAAAATAAACAGATCGTCATACATCGTCTGATCCACACACAAGGTCCATCACTGTCATCATGACACAAGCGCCTCGGAAGTCCAATCCGGACTCCCGCGGATTGGTCACATCGGAAGTCAGATTCGGAATTCCGATTATGGTCAAGTGGATTGGAGAAAGAGCCCCCCCGATAAGCTCTTCAGGTTGCAGAACTTCTTCAGCGAGGGCACGGAGTAGTACTTGATGCTTGCGAGGTAGATTTTATTCGAGTTATCAACTTATAAAATACTTGTACGCATTAAATGCTACCGTGATCTAGGAGTAGGTGTTATAAATTATGAAGAAATTAGGCAAATGAATTTACCAGTCCTTGACATCCAACAGGGCAGACACAAAATCGACAATCTCTCTAATGCCTTCATCGGCCATCTCACCAATAGGAAACAACGTGAAGCCGTGGAACGCGGCCGGGATAATCTTTAAGGATGTTTTATTCTCAGCCATCCCCCACTTCGTGGCCAAAAAGACAGAGTCATCAAGGAGTGGGTCCTCAGAGCCAACGAGGAACAAGGCGGGAGGTAAACCCTTCAGATCAGCATATAACGGCGATAGGTGAGGCTGTTTTCGGACATCTAGTGGAAACACGTCCTGCGGTAATGCTGTATCAATGAAGCGCGACGTGTCCTCATTATTGAGCACCAGACGGCGGGAGTAATTCTTTACAGAGGGGAGATATGTCAAGTCATAGATTCCATAAGAGGCCACCAAGCCCTTGATGCGACTCATGACATCTATTCCTCGGCGGCGAAGTTCCAGGGTAGCCCATACGCTGAGATAGGCACCAGCAGACTCACCACCAATGATGGTGAGTGGCCCTCCAAGTTTTTGTTCCCCGTCTAGCGCCAGAGCAAAGAACGCAGCATCAATGGCATCATCTAGGGGCGCAGGAAAAGGATCCTCGGGCGCTTTCCGATAGTTAACTGTCACGACCGTAAGAGAGAGGGTGTCGGCCAAATGACGAAGGTAACCATCATTCAAGCGGGCGGAGCTGATACAGAATCCACCTGCGAAGAGAACCTCGTTAGTTTATCTCCATAAGGGGACTGTTCGCATGAACTAACTTCCATGAAAGTGCAAGAATACACCTTTAGATACCTTTCCCTTGGGTATAAATTGCCTCAAAAGGATTGAATGATCGCCGTGGCTTGAAGGAAGAAAGAAATCAATGGCCTCCGAGTCAAAGATTGGCTTCCCGAACCCCGTCGTGTCATCAAGCTCTGCCCGTCTGTAGTCGGCAGGGCTGGGGTACTCGTACCATTGTCTGGTCTCACTATACCTGGCTTCCAGAGCTCGATTAAGCTCTTCACGCGCCGCTAGGACAGATGGCGAAACCTTGTTCGGGCAGATTGTGATGGACATTCTGATGTTGGATGAGATGTTTTCAAGCGTTATATGAGGTTTGGAAACAGCCGACCACCAGGCTCCTTATATATTCTTATTCAATGGCCACCAAGTGTGGTACTAGCTGGGAACTCCGAGAATAATTTCGAATCAAAGGTACTGTGTGGAGTATTGTGTAGGCCCGGGAAAATAATTATGGCTGTATCTCTCGTTGTTACGGATATAGCACTACGATTCGCAGTCCTGGACTATTGATAGATATTTTATCGGAAATTAGTTTACTACAAATCATTGTCTGGCGGCCTAGCCTCGGGCAGTCTGAGCAGCGTGCTTTCTTACCCCAGTGCACTGCGCGGAATTCCGGTCTCCCGAATCCGCTGTCTGGAGCGGCGAACTCCTCTGAGTTGTGATCCGGGCGACGTCCAGGCTAGGTAAGCTCCTGAAGAGGAAATTTTAGTCTGTCAATGAGGTGAAGGTCGATCTGGTACAGTGCGACACAAGGGAGTCCAGCCAAACAAATCAGGTCAAGGGATAATATATGCCATCTGGCGGGCGGTCCCAGACCTGAAAGCGAGAGGGATACACCTCCGCCTCTAATGGGTCCCCGGACATTGCGACAGCCCTGAACATGACAAAGCGGATGTCCTGGCCAAAGACGCGGCGGGTAGTGATGAGAACCATCCCTTCTACCGTCCTGTCACGCGAGAAACGGCAGCAATCCGGAAGCAAATTAGAACAGAACGGGAAGATACTTGGCAACAAAGCATGAAAGAGGGACACCTCCCTGGCAGATCTTAACGGAAGACAGGGGTCAAGAACACGCAGGCCAGGCCAAGATATTCGGTCTCTTTTAAACAGTCTGCGTGCGGAGAATGCGCGCAGGGAACTTCAGGACCAGGCGCAACAGTATCTTCACACCCTTCAACAAATCGGGACCAAGTGGATTCATCCTGGAGTCAATGACATCCTTTTCAAGGCCCGCTATTTTTATAAGGATTACAGGGATGCTTCCGCTGGGTGCTCCTATTTTGGAAGTGACGCACCTGAGCAAATCTGCGAATAGGCATTAGAGAAGGACTGCAACAAGCTGGATTGCGACCAAGGTCAACAAGTCCATGTCGCGAAAATGCGGAAGCCGTCCAGACCTTGATTTATATTGAACCCATTGCTTCCGCTAACACTGTCATGAAGTTTGGACAGCATTGAGATAAGATTGTTAAAAGAGAGAAGGTTAGTGGACTGTCTAACAAGAGTTCCTTTTTAAGCCAAATATCTTATCTCCCTAATAGATACAAGCAAGAACCATCACCTAATAATCCCTTTTGCAAAATCCGGGAGTCATCGTTATCGGATACTTCGGCATTAGAGCTATGCAATAGCTGAGTGTGCCGTTCGTCCAGGGTTTCTTCCTGCGACTCAAGCCAGGCGTTTATTTATGCCGTGTGGTCTGAGCCAAGCTTTCTGTCCAAAGGAAGCTGCCGGGTATCTTCGAATAATGCCCGACGTACTTCAAGTGCGGTTCGTCGTGCGGACCCCTGAACAAACCTTGCCGCTTGGCGATGAACCTCAGTCAACACCTCGTCTTGAAGGTTCCGGCCGTATCGTCGAATCAGGCGTCTAAGGCGCCTTTCGAGTCTATCTGGGCCAGCCCTGTTAATTGCATTTGGATACAGGAGATTCAATTCCGAATCTTCCAAAAGTAGGCCGGCCAGCTCAACGGCCGCTATTGATGTGGGTCGGGCCTGGGATGATTGCGACGACAAGGTTGACCCCGTTGAAAAGACGCTTTCGGTATCACTTTGATCACTGTCCATTGTCCGACTCCTGGGGATTGCCAACAATAACTCTTTTGTGTAAGCTGCTGCAGCTGCAGCGGCGTATCCCTGCCAGTTCTTATTCTTATGCGACTCTGCATACTCGCAGGTTCCTCGGATAATTAACGCAGGAAACGATCCCGTTAACCCTGTAGCTTCCATCTCTACACAGAATACAGCAAGATCTTCAGCAAGCCTATCGCGTGTAATAGCGTCCTTCAGCACATAGTTAGAGGACGCAATTGGCCCATAGTGCACAGCTGGTTCAGCGTGTGGCCGGGCGACACGCGACACTCTATGGGATTTGTCGCATGTATCACACGTGCCCAGACCATCAAAGTGCGTGTAAGCAGCGGCGAATAACCAGTCTTCTTCATCAGGATAAGAAAACGTGGATATGCGGTCAGGGGTTCCGTAGGTTATCGACGACAAATAACGTGCAAACGCCCTATGCCCGGTCTTATGATTCGCTTTTACATTCGCCAGAGCTGCGTCGACAGCCTGTGATGGTGACCCATCCACTTCCGCTCGGCGAACTTGTGCACAAACCTTGCCATCGAAATATCTCCCGAAATCAAGATCAATGTGACCGGTGCCCACCACAACGTCACCCAGGCGGATATCTGCGTTCCTCGTCGGTATACCCGCTCCAATGCCGACCGACAGGCCGAGCTGAATACAAGGAAAACAGCGCCTCAGTTCTGCAACCACTACATCAGGTGGTGGATCGCCGAAGCGGCGGGGGCACACAACAACAATGTTGTGGTTTTCAATGCTTCCACGGATGTATCGCATTTGGCGTCGAACCGTGGGGGCAACTGGTTATGGATCTCGTCCAGCATCGTCCGAGCAGCTGCCATCTCAATCGGCGGCGCACAGATCCACGCGACCGTGCAGTCGGCGTCGCCTTTGGGGACACCTTTTTTCATGAGATGAAGTTCAACGTGTCTGCACCACGAGGATCTTTTAGTTTCCTGTTCGCTTGACGTTCAGGGTGGTCGCTATCGTTCCTGGAATTGAAGAGTCAATATTCCGCGACGGCAGAGTGTGGAGGGGAAACTTGAATTTTGAGGGTGGCACCAGCAAGGCTGTTTTTGAGGCTGACTCGGATGAGGTCGGTGCGTTGGCACCACTCAACAACCCATCCAATCAATTGTGAGACAGCACCGCCAGCACTTCAGCGACTCGGACCTGTGCAGCATGATCTCGATGATGTAAATAGTGATTTGCATGACTATGGTCACGCTTGGTAGAAACCAGGGTGATCCTTCCGGAGGTTACAACACTCGGCAAAGGTCCAGTACTGCTTCCCTAAGCGTCCGAGGACTGGATACCGAGCAATTGCGTTGCCCATAATACGTGAGAAACGATCGATTGCGGCTCATGCGGTTGAATACGAGGCGGCGTTTTCAGAGGGAAACGACAGTTGGGCCCAGCCCGTATTCGGCACCGCTCGTTGTTCTACATGGAATGTGAGCAGGGACACGATATCCGGAGGTCTACGACAAGATCATGGTCGCTGTCTGGTCACTAGTCCTCATTGTGTGTTAACTCGTGGGCAGAGTGTCAGCCTTGTAGTTAGAGACTGCTTGGTGGGTGATGGTACAACTGCGTAGCTTCCACTGGCGAGGGGAGCCTCCAACTGAACCGATCAGTGGTATTCCAGCTAGCAATAACATAACTAAACCCCAAGCTGAGGCTGGCTGCTTTCGACTCAAGAGCAGTTCATCCGGAGTTGGTCACTCGGTGTGTATCCTAAGCTAGCGGCATCAACGTCGAAGAATAACCTACAAACAGCCTAGACAATACTCACAGCACCAATAGACAACTACTACAAGTCAAAGACAAGTATGTTGTTTGAAAGACTCTTCACAGACCTCATTCTCACAGCGCCCGAGGAAGCACGTCCGACACCAGTCGTTGGAAGTCGACTCTATGCCACAAATAAAACACCAGGCAGGACGAGTACTATTCGTGTCCGCCAGAAGAGACAAGGTCGCGCGATGCTGCTTGCTCAGGGGACCAAAGACGTAAGCCTCCAAGACTTGTCGGTTGGCATAGGGAGCATCCAGCTTCGGTAGCCAACGCGAGTATTGGCAACGACGCCGAGTGCTTGCCACGATGTTCATGCGCATTGTTGTCTCCTTGTCGACTACTATGATAGCCCCTAGGCCGTACACTTCCTCGCCGGGGTGATAGCCTTGGATAATGTCGCATATAGTCTCTCCAATCTCCAGACTGCGGTTTGGCCACTCTTCATCGCGGGCAGTGTACAAGATGCCCAGTGCGTCGAGCAGCACCGGCATGGTGACTGGTCGGCTTACCAGCGGACGCCAGTACATGATGGTTTGATATCTATCGTCTGAGTCGACAAATCCCAAACCGCGGGTCATTGGACTTTCGAAGTTGATCGCGATGCCACTAACACCGAGTCCTTTACCGAAAGAGACCAGATCCAGTCCTTCTTTGCCATATTCATCCCGCTGGAAACAAAACGGGGCACCACACCGAATGGCCGTCAATGCTTCGTCCACAATCAGCCACAGCTTCTTTTGGCACAGCATTTCTTGAGCATTTTGAAGCGTTCGGGGGTGAGAACTGCGCCGTTCTCCGTGCTGACCATGTCGATAACTACCGCGATGCAGCCTCGTCTTTTTGCTTCGGCGAGCGAGTCGCAGAGAGCGTCGTGGGAGTCACTGATCTGAATCACAGTCGGCTGCAGGCCACTGGCGATAATCTGAACCTCCCATTCCTTTGAGGCGTGAGCCTATCGGTGGAAGGAATGTCAGTCAAGCTTTTGGTATTTCCGACCGAGCATACCAAAGGCCCAAATGCCGCCCCGTAGATCCCCTGGACTGCCGCGAATCTGGGGTTCTTGACGTGCGACTCGTTCCAGCCCAAATACCCGAGAACATACTCCTGGGTCTTCTTGCCCTGCTCGGTCGCCAATGCACTGGGCGCCAAGTCGGGGGTTGTCAAGACGAGTGGGCTGGTGGCGCAGGTGTTGAGGATCAGGCTCGCGACGGTGGTGGGAGAGAGGGCGTCGCTGACGTGGGCATGCAAGGAGATGGGATAGTAGCCACAAAAGAAGGCTGCAAACGTCTGGGTGTACGTGCGGAGGAGATCATGGTACCTTGTCTCGACTAGAGCCGGATTCTGAAAATACTCCTGCCACCACTGGCGAACAGCTTTGTCCTTGGCCGTGGTCTCGCCGGAATAGATGCATCCCCACGAGTTGTGGAAGTCGTGGTTGGGCAGTGGTTTGGCCATCTCGGCTTGATCTTCCGAGTTGGCAGAGTCGCCATTAGCGTCAGATTCGTGTATTATGGTGGTGTGTTGACATGGGGGGTGCGGTGGGAAGTGGGAATGTGTCTGCGAGAAGGAGCGATCGAGAGCGATCCTCCGATCCTCCAAGACTGTTCAGCTTCTGCAGCCTGTCGTCTTCCCCATCATGATTGGAACAAATCGCTGATGTTCACGAGGGCTGTCAGCCCGCTCTCGATCAGCGTGCGTGCAGCCAAGGAATGTGACGCAGTACAAGCGCGTACATCCTCGCTCAATTGCGAACTGATGCCTCACTTCTGGGCAGCACATTACCCTCATTTGGCGCTGGCCTTGTTTTCAGCTAGCCAGAAAAGCGACAAACCCACTCAAGTGCGATGAGCCAACCCCGTGTTCGAGCTGGATCTGCACGAACACTGCAGGCATTTCCTTCAACCCAGCGTTCGTGGATCCTGCAGATCCGATTCGCCCAGACGCACGTCCCCCTCTTGCGCAATCATCGAGTCCTTGCAGATGTTTGCTTTTGCTTGTTCCTCTCCCTGCCATTAGTGGCCAGCTGCCAGGTTCGCCCCGTAGCACGGGGTGGCTGGCGTCCCCCAACCAGTGATCAATCCTCCTTTGCTATTCTCCGTCTAAATGATTCGACAGGAGATTTGGCCTCTTTTGCAAGATCGGTGCGATCGCTCGACAATCCTCCGTGTCGTCAGAGCAGTGAAGCCTGCAAGCAAGACATGCAGTGTCACTTCCTGCTGCTTCAGGCGGGGAAGGCGCGATGATGGCGCACCTGCTGCACTGTGCCTGTCCTCGTCACCCCCTCCCACTTCTCGGTTCCGGTCATTAAAATCCCCCGAGCCTCAAGCTGTAGTGACTCGATCATCTTATCGCCGAGTTCTAGACCTAGAGTATCTTATTCTTATCTCTCGATGTCTCCTGCTGTGGTGGATATCGCGTCGCAGGAGGAGTGCGTCCCGCCATGTCTCTTCCCTGCCTCGAGCTTCGCCCAGAATGAGGATCGCACTGCTGGAATTAGCACGGAGGAATTGGTTATCGAAAAGGACCTGAGCGCCCTGCGCTCGACTCTGACTGACAATCTGCTCGACCTGCCAACTACTCTTCAAACAGCCTGGGCCCTCACACTACGCTGCTTCGTCCCTTCGGATATCCTCTGCTTTGCATACAAGGGCGAGGATGCTGTTGATTCTGCAGAGAGCGAGACTCCCCATCTTGTCATCGGCCGCGTAGACAATACCGAGACCCTTGCGGTGTGTCTTCAGCGCTTTAGCGAACGATCATTGAGCCCTACCCTTGGTGCGCCATCAGGATACGAAATCAACCTCGTCGCCGAAGAGCCATCGCGTGAGCTCTGCAATACCAGCCTACTCTTCCAGGGGTTGAAGCCATCTTCAATCGAGTTGGATGCGCAAACCGACCTCTCCATCGGTGTTTTCCAGCCGTCAAGCAATGGACTCTCTGCACGTATTGCCTTCCGCCGCGATGTCATCTCGACCTCAATTGCAACCAGTGTCCTCCATACTTTTAGCCACGTTGTATCGCAGATCCTCACCGGTCCTCACAATCGCGAAGCCGACCTGTGTTCTGGTCTGGACAAAGGCGCAATCCAACTCCTAACGCAGACCGTCTCTCCTGCCCAAGACCGGTGTCTGCACGAGCTGATCCTCGATCAATGCAGGGCCCATCCCGAGCGCATGGCCGTTCGCTCGTGGGACGGAGACCTGACTTATGGCGAGCTGGATGATCTCTCCCTCCGTCTGGCTCATCACCTCGTCCAGCTCGGAGTCGGTCCTGAAAAGTTTGTCCTCAGCTGTTTCGAGAAGTCCACATGGGCCATTGTGGCTCGACTGGCCATCTTGCGTGCTGGTGGTGCTTACATCTCCATCTTTGCAACGAATCCGCCCGTCTTTCTGGACTCGGTCGTCCGTCGTACGAATCCTCAGGTCCTGCTCAGTGAAGCCAAGTTCGCCAGTCGCTTCCAGCATCTTGTGCCCAATTTCGTCAGCTTCACCCCGGAATGGCTGCGCAGTTTGCCTTCAGGCAACAAGAGCACGCCCTGCGAGTCCGTACGATCTGACAACGCGTGTCTCGTTCTCTTCACCTCGGGCAGCACCGGCCAGCCAAAGGGCATCATCCAGGTCCACCAATCCTATGGAACAGCCATCAAAGACTACGCACAAAACTTCCGACTTGGCTCAGACACGCGGTACCTCCATTTCGATGACTACGCCTTTGATATCAGCAATCTCGAGTTCCTTGTTCCCCTGATTCTTGGCGGATGCTGCTGTGTGCCTCCTCCCATGAAGACCGCCGAAGACCTCGCTGCAGCCATCAACACTCTGGACGCAAACATCACGTTCCTTACGCCCACAGTCGCAATCAAGCTTGACCCGGCTGATGTCCCTGGCCTAAAAACAATCTGTGTAGGGGGCGAACCCCTCCCGAAAGAGCTGATCCGGAAATGGGAAACAAGCACTACACGCCTCGTTAACCAATTCGGTATGGGAGAAGTCGCCATCTGCTGCGCTTACAACGACAACATCCAGCTCGAGCGAGGAGCCACCATTGGTCGTCCAGCGACTGGGGCGATCTGGATAGTGGACGCTTCGACGCCCGAACGACTGCTTCCCCTCGGCGCCGTCGGCGAACTCGTCATTGAAGGACCCCATCTCTCCCGTCGTTATCTCGATAACACCGCGATATCACGAACGGCTGCTGGTTTCCTTCAAAAGACCCCTCGCTGGATGAGCGAACTGCACCCGTCACGCAGCACAGCTCGCATGTACCGCTCCGGCGACCTGGGCCGTCTCAACCACGACGGGACAATCGACTACATCGGTCGAAAAGATACGATTCTGAAGCTGGACGGTTGCCGTATTGACGCTGTCGAGGTCGAGCACCAGGCCCGAAAATGCCTCTCCCCTCGCGACGCGATCGTCATCGACCTCTTTGGCGCAATCGATGGCCACGAAGATCCCCGCTTGACTGCCCTGCTCTACCTCGACGATCACCCTCTGAGCATTGATCCCATCGCCAACGGCGAACCAATCATTATAGACGCAGCGGACGACCATCTGGCTCAAGAAAAGGTCGATATCATCCAACATAATATCGCCCAGGTCCTTCCAACATACATGGTCCCGACGGTCTTCCTCCTCATGTCCTGGTTCCCGCGTACAGCATCGAAAAAGACCGACCGCAAGAAAATCCGACATGTCGGGCAAAAGTACTACATGGCCGAGCGCGACAAGCGGAGTAAATCGCCCTACTACGCTATGCAGGCGCAACAACTACCCAAGTGAACCCCTTACCTACATTAGCTAGCTCCTACTATCTAGGATCCTTAGACTATCTAGTCTAGATAGATCGATCACTTGTTCTTGACCCGAAGGATTCAGGATTGGCGAACCTACCCCTCACCAACGTAACACACATCCAAGCATTATTGGTACACACGTATATGCAACCCCTCACCCTCAGCGCAGTACAAACAAACAAAGCAAGTGGCTTGCTGAGGAACCCCTCTCCACCCCTGACACTTCCTAGGCACCCGCCAAGCCATCAAGAGTCCAGACCCTTGCCTTTCTCAGCACGGTTCGTCCGCTCGATCCCGAATTGCCCTAGCGCTTCCCTGACAGGTTTATCTCGCCATGCAGCTAATCATCCTCCCGCTCGTAAGTGGTTCTCCAGCCAATTGAATGACAGGGCATCTACCCCTCATCTGCAGCTTCCCTCGAACTGTCAGATTCCGAGATTCAATCGCTCGAACAATCATCCATGTAACTCGGTCAGTGCGTGCATAGGTCGAATACGAACCTCCGTGGGGTGCAACACGAGACAGCCGAGAAACGCTCACGCTGGCATCCACACCACCATGAGAGGAAACATATTGAACGTAGCAGATTCCTCATTCATGCAATGAGGGGGCTAGTCCAGCGCAAAAAGCCCTACAGAGAGCCCTCTTGAAGCCACCCAAGCTGTCACAAAACCTCCCCCCAACGCCCCGGCCCCGGCAGCCGACCGACCAACCCTCCTTCAACCCCTCACCTCACTTCCCGCTGCGCAAGAGCTCTTTCATTCTATCAGTTGCATGTATAGCTCCTGGTAACTCTCAGTGTCGATACCATCGGACGATCGGGACATGAATCCCGGGACGACCAGGCACCCAATCAGATTCGTGTTTCCGGCTCAGTTTCGATGGCCATGGCTCAGCGCGAACACGCAACTCGTCATTGGACCCCGAGTCGAATCCTGGGTACCACACAAACAGTCAACGGAAGACCTGGGGAGGTGGTGGCGGCGAGCTGGCTGGCAACTGAATCGGGCGTGTTATTGGCTTCGAATATTGATACAACGACAGGGGTTCCTTACTAGTTGTAGCACTCTTGTTACGTACGTACAGCGTCTCAGAAGCTGCGGAGTGACTGAGTCAAAGAGGCGGGGTTGGGGGGTAAATTGGTGATGGATGCCCGGAGTAATGTACAAGGACGAGAGAGGATACCAGTACGGTGTAGTAGGTTTGATATGGCAAAGTGTCATTTTCGGCAGGTGCTGTCCTGCGCTCCAACTACAGTTCTCTTAAGCTAAGCACGGGAAGTAGGTTCCCAGTTCAGTGCTAGGAAACGGCGATTCGCATAAGACGCGTGGAAATCATATTTGTGCTGAGTACATGCCAAATTGCCAACGTCGTACTTCGCATCATGTCCAGAGTATTCAATTGTCTTCAACACACACTCACCGACGAACCTCCGTGCTCCTTCGTTTTGCATCTTTGGCTCATGGAGTCGTCTTCTTCCGTATCACGGGCTCATGGTGTAGTTTTTTGCTCAACTAGAGAGGCAGGTTAGCGAGGACCATGCGCGGAGGCGGATCACATACCCAATCATCGAGACCCGCGTCGTTGTCCTTGAATTCAGACAGTCGAGAATCGGTATTTTCTATCATCGCTTGATTCAGTATGGCCATCGCATCGGGGAGAAGGGAGGCAGGATTATTAGGAGACAACTTTACCTGTGCTGAAGTAAACGAGCTTTTTCGCCGCCGAGTCACTATCAAACGTTTGGATCCACTTAACCGCCTCAGGCGCGTTCCCTATCTGGCTGAGATCATACTGCACCGCTATATCACCGTCAGCAAACAGCCGCATCCTGCAGTCGGAATGTATCTACCGGCTGGGAGGTAGCCCTTCTTCGTGAGCTCTCCCTTGCATTTCATGATCGTTTTGCGGAATGTTCCTTCGTCTTCTTTCGACGGCATTCCGTCGGTAACAATCAAGATCATAAGAGGACGGGGCAAGACTCCGGTGGAGTTGAGATTATCGTAAACCATCGGTTGGAGAATCTTCTTCTCGAGGTTTGTCCCGAGCTCTGTCCAGCCCTCGGGGGTGAATTGCATCCTCTGCGAAACCGCGGCTTCACGGAGGTCGTTGGCCGTCGAATCATCCTTGTTGATGAATCGCAGGTGAACGCCGCTGGAAATGTTCGTATCAGGCACAAGGGCTGTGGCAAGTCTGGTAAGCCGTGTGACCATTATCTTTGCACGGTCCATTCGGCCATCCTCTGCCATGGAACCGCTGTCATCTGTTACTCTGTTAGAGATCGAGAGAATAAAGACGAATAGAGTTGATCGACCTACCAATGTACAAAACAGTCTGGTACAATGCCGCCTTGGCCAGTCTCATAATCATAGGAGGTGAGCTAAGGTGATTCGTCTGATCCTTTCGCAGCGTGGCAGCGAGCTGGGCCACCTGCTGAACGTAAGGATCATTTGGTGGGAAGAAATCTTCTAGACCGTTGCTCTGGATGATGTTGCCGATATTGTGCTGGAACTCTTCAACAGTTTGCGGGTCGTCGATATCCTATGCTACATGAGTAAAAAGCGGTGGCCATGGGCAACATCACTCACTGTCCCTGGGGGAGGTTTCGCGCCAGGCGGCGTCGGATTAGCCTGGTTGTATGCGGAACGAATAACATTCTGGATAATGTCTTTCACTCCCGGCCACTTGTCGGCATACGCCAGAGCAAACATGACAGCGCTGACAAGCAGTTGGGCCAACGCAGAGCCGATTCCACCCTGTGGGGCTTTCGGGTTGAGGGCATTCTTTATGGCCGGATTTGTCGTCTGGTCTGCGAGTGCAACAGCAGTTTCACCTCGGTCGTTAGTCTTTGTCAATGATGCACCGGCCTCGGTCAACAGGCGTACGACCTCAGGGTCCCTTCCCTGAGTAATGGCGGCCATCAGCGGCGTCTCATTGTTCCAATCCGGGCTGGAAGCATCAATCTGTGGTTTCGGATCCGCACCTAGAAGAAGCTCAACAACTCGTGGGCGGTTCTGTTTTGCATTTGCAGCGAGGTAGAGAGGCGTGCGCCCATCGCGAACTGGCTTGCCGGCTTGCGCTCCATTCTGGAGGAGGAGCTTCACGGCGCTGGGGTGGCCATTCTTGACGGCAAGTGCGAGGGGGGTAAATCCGCTACTGTCTTCGGCGTCTATTTCGACCAACGCGAGATACTTGGTCAAGGAGGCTCGAGTGAGCGTTCCAGCTTGCGAATCGCCGTGGAGGGTCATCGTGCGGTGGTGCACTCGGCAGGTCTTCAGTAAGTCGGCAGCGTAGAAATGTGTATCGTCTCAATCAACAGAAAGCAGAAGCAAGAGGAGGGACTTTGGTAGACAATGGCTCTATCGAGGCGTAACTCGCGGTTTTATGCTCATTCCCGCCATATCCGTACAATCTTTGAGCATCCAACGCCTGTCATTTCGGTATTGAGACGTATTGTCATCACACTGTAAGACCACTGAAATGAAGTCTGGTGATGCGCAACCTGCATCGCTCTAGATCGAAAGAAAATCCAAGTGTTTCAGGCAGCCCCATTATTGCAACGTTGCCCCGCGAAGACAACGCTGCAGACAAGCTGCAGATCGTCGGACCCAGCGGGAAACTCGTGTCCGATCGGTGGCTGGCTGATTCTCCGAGAAAGACAAAGAGCTGTCACTCGCATGGCGCGGGGTTTGGCGTTCAGCTTTGGTCAAGTGGTGTCCGGATCCTGGACAGGGGTTCATGCAGCCACAGACGCTTTGGGCACGAGCAGGGGTGCAGTTGGCCGTATGGTATTGTATGGCGTAGCTGTGATCTGGAGCCAGTGTGATCAAGCTCGAGGGGGTTATCTACCCATCCTGCTTGACTCTTGACATCTTCGTCGGCATTCAGTGATTCTTCCTTGCTGAAGGTCAAGTTGGGATTGTTCTGACTCTCGCGCGCAGCGGTGTAGTTGGAAACTTCGTTCCGCTCTCGACACCATGGTGTACAAATACTACCCGATAACAGGAATAGCTGCAGGAAAGGGTCCCAATGGCGAGGTTCCCCAGCGGCAGGAAATCGACGCCTGGAGCTCCAAGCCCGAGAACAGGACGCAGGTGGTTCTGTTTGTCAAGGCGTTGAAGCGCTTGCAAGAGGTCCCACCGGAAAACCGTGACTCGTTCTTCCAGATCGCAGGTATGTTCTCAAGCATTGCAGCGCACATGGGGCCAGGCGACTAAGGATGGACTAGGGATCCATGGCATGCCATTTACCTCATGGGATGAGCCGCATGTCACGCTGGAGGAGGCCGACAAGAAAGGCTACTGTACTCATGCGAACTATCTGTTTCCGTCGTGGCATCGACCTTATTTGCTACTTTACGAGGTGAGCATCGATAGGTTTCGACGCATTCTACGCTGACCACAAGTACAGCAAAGAATATACGAAATCATGGTGGACGAGATTATCCCAAGCTATCCGGAGAAGGACAGGGCGCCTCTTCGCGCTGCGGCCGACACCTGGAGGCTCCCCTATTGGGATTGGGCCGTGAATCCCAAGGTGCCGTGGCTGGCAGCAGAGCCTGAGCTCCAGGTGTCGCTTCTTGGGAAATTGGAAACACTGCAGAACCCTCTGTATCAGTTTCGCATGCCCGATGGTAAGGCAATGGAAGCTCATGGCGTTGGAGACGTCAAGGCCATGGGGGAAGAGACTGTATACTCGGTAAGCTGCTCTTTGCCTCGCATTTGCCAGGTTTCTCACTGACTGCGGGCTTAGTATGGAAAATGCCTGGCAACCAGCCGGTGCCCGACGGAGGAGCAAGCCCAGGCCGACAGCAAAGACTGGATCCAAGGAGTTGTCAATAACGAAGGGGTTGAAAAATTCATGGTTCTGCACAGCGCAGTCGATGGGAAAAACTATGGTGCAGCCGCAGAGTTAGTGTACCGTCTGCTCACCTACCCCATTGACTATCAGGAATTTGCAACGACGGCGGTCGACAAGACAGAACCAAAGATTTCAGCCGACGTCAACATCGAGTTCATCCATAACAACATTCACTGGTGGGCAGGAGGCGACGGAGGCCACATGTCGCAAATTCCGGTCGCGACATTTGACCCGATTTTCTGGCTTCATCACTGGTGAGCAAAGTCCGTTCTAGAACCGACCGTGGCTGACAAGAACAGCAATATCGATCGAATCTTCGCCATGTGGCAGGAGTTGAACCCAGACAAATTCTTCACAGAAGGTTATCAGGGAGATTTTGACCAGAAGGTGATCGGTCTACCGCAGACGGTCACACCAACAACGCCGCTTCGACCGTTTCATAAGGATACGGAAGGCAATTACTGGAATTCGGAAGAGGTTCGCGACTTTCGAGCCCTCGGATATACCTATCCTGACCTAGACCCCGTGAAACCCGGATCCCAAGCCGGCGTGGCCTTCGACGCCGATGCTTATAAAACCAGGCTGTTTGAAGGTATCACGAAGAAGTACGGTGTTTCCCGTCTGGAGGCCCTTACCCAACTGGAACTCGCGAAGAACGGAGTTGGGAAGCCGCTAGTGGAAGGTATGCGCGAGGTTGACGGAGGTGTTGCTGGGAACGATTTTGCCATCAGTATCCGTTACTCCAAGTAGGTCGAGCATTCTCGCGACAGGTCCAACGCTAACCGTGCCAGGTTCGCTTTCGGTGGACGGCCTTTCAATATCGAGATCTACCTGGAGCCTGCAGATGGCAGTGGCCGCCATTTCACGCCCGACGAATACGTGACCAACGTGTACAACTTCAGTACACCAGGAACGGTAAACGGGCAGGAAGTTTGCAGCAATTGCACGGACTTGCAGCAACGCGACGTTCGACTGACCGCATATGTTCCCATCACACCGATCTTGAACCGCTTGATCCTCGAGGACCGGTTGGCATCTTTGAAGAAAGACGACGTTGAAGCCGTTTTGAAGCGACTTTATTGGCAGGTGACGATGGTAAGGCAATTTGATCACTTCTCGATATCTTTAGCCTGGGCTGACAATCAACAGGCTGGTCGCCCAGTCCCGGAAGATCAGTGGACAGCATTGAACCTGCAGGTCCTTGTGTCCATGGCAGAGGTGTCTCACAGCAAGGATCCGCAAAAGCCCTCGAAGCCGGATGCGGAGCCAGAGGTTCTGCCGAACGTCGGGCAGCCAGATCCCCCGCAGCCATTGCAACCGCCACAACCTCCTCAGCAGCCAGATCCGCCTCAAGAGCCCGAACCTCCACAGCAGCCAGAGCCTCCGCAGCCTCCGCAACAGCCGGAACCTCCCAAAGCGTAAGTACACCATGAAAGCCATTCACAACGCGGCTAACCCTTCACAGACCCGGTGTAACAGCTGGAGAATTCTTGAAGCTAGAGCAGGAGGTAGGAGTCGGCGGATCCATCGTCGTCGAGTCGCAAACCTTCGACTTGACCGAGCCGGCACGGAGGGATCTGAATCGTGTCGTGTTCATCAGCTTCGACGACAGCGCAGAGGAATTGGATGACGATAATTTCGACGGCGTTGCTAGCGTAAACATTGTCAGAAAGCTCCGCGAAATCCAAATCCAAACAAAGCCCGCAAACGAAGGCTGGGTCACTCATGCACTCATACCATTCCCGAGCTGGCTGCAGGCACCAAGTCTCAAGATTCAGGTTGACGTCAAGGAGGGCACTTATGAGATATACCTGAACGGCAACCATCTCTACTCTCTTGCAAAGCAATTTGGCAATAAGGGCATCACACACGTTCAGTATGAGGCTGAGATAGACCCACCAGCTCTCGCCGGAGAATTGAGTGTGACTAGGCTCTAGGGTTGAGGGGAAGCCGCGGTGCTTTGTTGACAAGTCTTTCAGGGTAGCTATCAATCAATGTAATGACTAAAACTGAGACCATATTGTGCTAATCTGCCATGTGTGGAGTAACCTGTCAAGAACTTGAGCGAGGGGGACGAACTGACACCGTCCGTGGACATGAGCAGCAAGTTGCAACGCGAAGAGCGCGTCTTGACCGCCACAACAACGCCTTCCCTCTTTCGTCTATCAGGTGACTTGGATACTGATGGCCTCAGGCAGCAAGGCTTTGAGCGATAAACAAGTCAAAGCTTGCGAGTTCTCTTACTTTGTGCATCGAAGCAACCTTCATAGAAGATGTAGGGGTATCAAATAGTTCAATAATTGGGGATATGTTTAGCTTTCCGCGCAGATTTTAGCCTAACCAGGCGTTGACGTCTTGCCGTGCTAACACTATATACTTTATCAAATCCACCTAACGCGACAAACGATCTTGCTCAAGAAGAACAAGGTTTGTTTTTAGACGATGTATCACCTACTACATAATAGGATGAGCTGATACTGAGTGTTCTAAGCTCGATTAATACATGTATTACTAGTTAGTAGTACGGAGTAGCAGTAGGATGATCCACCCCGCAGATCTCAGCGACGGAAGCAGCGCTTCACTCCCGAGATTCTCCTGTCCCAAGCTCAAAGACACCACGCTCTGAAGATCGGGCGCTGAGAAATTCCTCGCAGCTAGGGACGGAAATTCTATGACTCTGATGTAACCAAAGATCTCGCAGATTCATGGTCGGAATCTGGGGTGTCGACGCATCGTCCCACCAGGCGATGCGGATGGAGGTGATGTTTGCAATGCCAGTGAGGATAAAAGAACCATTATACGCGCCGTTAATCTATATTGTACCGTCTAGGATTAAGCAGTTGTTGGAAATGCTGGCTAGGTCGTCCTGGCTCGCGACGTAAAAGTGGCCATCGCATTCTTGCGCAAAGGTGGCTGGTAGACGTTCGATGAACCTTTGGTCCGGGCTAGTTTAGAGCTACACATACAAAGTCGCAATGACAAAGTTACAAGACCTGCGCTCACCGCGATTATTACAGGAAACCGCATCTTCATCAGTCTTTCCGCTGTGGGACACGAGAACGTAGCAATGAAAACTCTGGAAGCAGGAGCAGCAGGGCCAAGAGGGAGGGTTAGGTGGCTGGCTCGCGCCCAGCTCTGCAGATTCAGCTGGAATCCGAAATCATTGCGAGTGGTCGGGGGCTCAAGGCCGGGCAATTTGGGTTCTGGATAACCAGTTATGACTTGGCAAGGCTGGTTGACTGCTTTGAGATCTTCGCCGCAAGGCTTTGGAGCACCTTGTCTACAAATATATCTCGTTTATCCAGCTCTCATATACCATTATGAGCACATTGCAATCGAAAACACAGCCCATATCCTAAAACAGCAGTCTACACCAATAAAACATCATAATATACAATCAACCCCCCATCCCCGCCCACTCAAAGCTTCGCCTCATCGGCCAACCCCTTGGCAATTCCCTGCGCAATTGTCGGATCAACCCTCCCAAAAAGCGCCACAACCGCTTTACACAACCCGTCCTGCACACCAGAGAGCGAGTCCACCACATTAACGACAAAAAGCCTCCTCTCCGCCTCATCAAAGACCCTCGTCCACAACTCCCGCGGCTGTACAAAGTCCTCCTCGGTGACCGGAATCTCATTAAGGCCGAGAACGCCCCCCGAGCGCAGCCACTCCGTGTGCCGCACCTCTTGCACGGATTGGCTCCGTACACCGGGGCTGATGCTGCTGCGCACGTAGCTCGGGTCGCCGCCGTAGTTGTTTGTGATTGTGCCGGCGCCGTCGCGCGAGTACGGGTGGTAGATTGCGCATCTGGCGCGGTTCGGGGGGAGTTGGGTGTAGTTTGCGCCGAGGCGGTAGCGCTGGGCGTCGGGGTAGGCGAACATGCGGGCTTGGAGCACTATACGTGGCAGAGGATTAGTAGGTGGGTTGGGTATGGGGTGGTGGAACAGTTGAGGGACGTACTTGGGTCTGGGGTTGCTGCGATCCCTGGGACCATGTTGGACGGGGAGAAGGCGGCCTGTTCGATTTCGGCAAAGTAGTTCTCGGGCTGGTACACGACTGTTAGTTTTCCGACACTCTCTGAGCCCCGAAGCAAGAAAAGGACACTCACATTCTTATTCAACGTCATCCTGCCCACCTCAACCAGCGGGAAATCCTTAAACGGCCACACCTTGGTAATATCAAACACAATTAACCCACTCTTCTCCGCCTGCTCGGGCGTCATGACCTGGATATACAACTTCCACGTCGGATAGTCGCCGCGCTGAATCGCATGCCACAGATCGGCGTTGTGGAAATCAGAGTTCAGCCCCGTGAGCTGCTGCGCTTCCTTGGGCGTGAAGTTGGCAACGCCCTTTTCGGGGCGGAAGTGGAACTTGCAGTAGTTGAAGGAGCCGTCGGGGGCGATGAGCTTGAAGGTGTGCACGCCGAAGCCGGTCAGTCGGCGGATTGAGGAGGGGAGGCCGCGCGAGCCGAAGAGGTGCATGAGGGAGTGCACGCTTTCCGGTTGGTTTGTGTGGAAGTCCCAGAACTAGACGTTTAGGGTTAGTGGTGTGGTATAAGAGAGGAAGGGCGCGAGCGTACCATGTTCATGTCAGGGCGGTTGGTCGCGGGGTTCTTCTTGTGGCTGCGGTTGAGGGAGGGAAAGCGAATGGGATCGCGGACGAAGAAAACGGGCTGCGATGGTTAGTTACGGTCAGCCAATCTGAGAGACTATGAAAGAAGAGACATACTATGTGGTTTCCAACAATATCATGGTTTCCTTCCTCGGTAAAGAACTTGACCGAGTATCCACGAACATCACGAACAGTATCGGCACTGCCCTTTTCACCTCCAGTGGTGCTCAGACGGAAGAGCAGAGGAGTCTTCTTGCCAACACCACTGAGGAACTTGGCTGTCGTCAGGTTAGAGATGTCGTTTGTAACCTCAAATTCACCCCAGGCGCCGGCGGCTTTGGCATGGACGACGCTGCAGATAATGAGCGATGGATTATTCAAGTCAGGAAGTTGACATACCGCTCGGGAATGCGCTCGCGGTTGAAGTGAGCAAGTGTTTCGAGGAGAGCAGTGTCGGCGAGGGTGACAAGGCCACCACCTCCAGCGGTAGGAAGCGTAATGCTAACGGCAGGGTCCACAACGGGTTGGCCTAGACAGAGTGGGTGGTTAGCGATAATTGTAGTGGCAGACTCGAGATGTCTTAAAGGATCTTACCCTCGGCCAATGTGAAGACAGGCTTTGACATGGCGATGGATTGATTTGCGTGAATTGAGCGGGGATGCGATGGAGTTATGTACCACCAGAATTTGGCGAGATACAGCCCTATTTATTCTACCAGGGGTGATCTATAGGCTACGAATGATGTCAATATCCATCTCGAGATAGCAGGCTGCCGAATAGCCGTGCGATGAATCATCATCACAGCTGAGGATATCTTGTGTCTTCCAAGGTTGGAGACGAGAAGAAGCAACAAAGCATAGAATAATGGCGCCCCCTCATGAGGGGAACGGCTGCAGCCCCTCAAATGCTTAGCCCACGAGTGACAAACCCAGACTAATCGATGCTGATTGGCCGAGTGTAACGTGGTGCTGACAGTGGGTGGAACGCCCGAGCAAACCCCGAACGACCGAGATCTCGCCGTGCTGGCCAAGTGGGGCCAACTCTTGTAAAGCAGCATAAGCACCCAGAATAAACTCAACCAGTGACGACATCGTGCTTCGTAGGGCATTTCCTTCTTGTCAGCATTTGAGCCGCTGCTGAGGTACACCGTCTTTTGTCCACCAATCACCTCCCCTGCCGCACTGCCGTGGTGCCCGCTGCCATATGCTCAGCATGAGGGGAAGGCAGATCTGCACTATGCGGCTAGGTTGCTGCATTCTGCCTTTGACTTTGTGCTGGGCAGTATTCCGCTGTGACCTCGAAGCCTTCATCGAGTATATATACCATCATGAAGTCGGCTGGAATAATCTTCTTCATCAGCATCAATCGCAAGCATCCAAACAAGCAACCATCTAATACTCCTTCCTCTACTCTTTTGTTTATTCTCTTCTAAGCACTCTAATCCCCAGTACACCAATCAACATGCCTGGCCCAATCTCCAACGGTTCGCAATTCGACTTCATCATCGTCGGCGGTGGCACTGCTGGCAACACCGTCGCCGGTCGTCTGGCTGAGAACCCCGACGTCAAGGTCCTGATCGTCGAAGCCGGTATCGCCAACCCCCAGGCCATCGACGAGATCACCACCCCCTCCATGGCCTTTGGCCTCCGCGGCAGCAGGTACGATTGGGCCTACAAGACCACCATGGTCAAGCGCGAAGACTACGAGCGTGTTGAGAAGCCCAACACCCGCGGCAAGGCCCTCGGTGGCAGTTCCTGCGCCAACTACTTCACCTGGATCCCTGGATCCAAAGCCACGTTCGACGACTGGGAGGAATTCGGCGGAAAGGACTGGACCTGGGACAACTGCGTCGAGTACCTCCGCAAGTGTGCAACCTACCACGACGACGAGAAGCTGTACCCCGCGGAGCTGTCCAAAATTGGGACCGGCGGTCCCCTGCAAATCTCCCACGCCGAGCTCCTCCCCGAGCTCAAGCCCTTCCGCGACGCCCTCACCGAGGCCTGGGTCTCCAAGGGTGAGCCTCTGACCGAGGACATTTACGAGGGTGAGATGCACGGCCTCACCCACTGCGTCGACACAATCTACCAAGGCCAGCGCCAGGGCAGCTTCCTCTTCGTCAAGAACAAGCCCAACATCACCATCCTCTCCAACCACCACTCCAAGAAGCTCCTCATCGACCCCGTCACAAAGACCTGCACGGGCGTCCTCGCAGTCAACCCCACCACCGGCGCCGAAATCTCCCTCATTGCCTCCCGCGAGGTCATCCTCTCCCAGGGCGTCTTCGAGACCCCCAAGCTCCTCATGCTCAGCGGCGTTGGCCCCGCCGTAGAACTGGCCAAGCACAACATTGACGTGGTCCTCGACTCCCCACACGTCGGCCAGCACCTCCTCGACCACCCCATCGTCCCCTTCGTTCTCCAGATCAAAGACGGCTACGGCCTCGACGCCCACCTCCTCCGCGCGGGCCCCAAAAACGACCAGGCCGTCGCAACTTTTGCCCGCGACAAGACCGGCCCCGTGGGCTCCGGCCTCCTCGAGCTCGTCGGCTTCCCGCGCATCGACGAGCGCCTCGAGAAATACCCCGCCTACCGCGAAGCCAAGGCCGCCAACGGCGGACTCGACCCCTTCGGTCCCGCAGGCCAGCCTCACTTCGAACTCGACTTTGTCGGCATGTTCAGCACAGCCTTCCAGTGGCACTACCCGACCCCGCCCTCGGGTAACTTCATGACCGTGATCGTCGATCTCCTCCGGCCCATCTCGCAGGGCGAAGTCACGCTCAACAGCGCCAACCCGCTCATCCAGCCAAACATCAACCTGAACTTCTTTGGCGATGACCTCGATATCCTGGCTATGCGCGAGGGTGTCCGCTGGACGTACGATGTCCTGACCAAGGGCAAGGGTTTCAAGGATATCGTCGTGGCCGAGTACCCCTGGACCATGCCCCTCGAGAGCGACGAGGAGATGAAGCGCGCTGTCCTTGATCGCAGCCAGACTGGGTTCCGTACGTTCTCCCCTGCTCACTTTCTACTCACCTACCGCCCCTGTCTCTTTGGACATGTTTGTACTGACCTGGTCCCGTCTAGACCCCTGCGGAACCGCCCGTCTCTCCAAGAGCATCCACCAGGGCGTCGTCGACGAGAAGCTGCGCGTGCACGGCATCCGCAACCTGCGCGTCGCCGACGCCTCGGTCATCCCTGTCATCCCCGACTGCCGCATCCAGAACTCGGTCTACATGATTGGTGAAAAGGTACGTCGCACCGAAGCATTCACACACTCTCTCTGGCGAATCTCTACAGGAGACTAATAGTTGCAATAGGGCGCCGACATCATCAAGGCCCAGTACAAGGATCTGTACGAGGCTAAGAATATCCCCTACTATGTCTCGAGCAAGTTGTAGATTATTCAATAGATAGGTGGCTCTGCTGTGCTTTGTCTAGCTTTGACTAGCTCTGGTTTGCCTTGATTGTGATGCGATGCAACTGATGCGATTGATGCGAATATGTACTATGATCTGTATTTATAGTTCGTTTGATGCGAGTTGTGCCCTTGTGATTTTCATTCGAGTTAGAAGCAAGCAGCAATGTTATACTTTTAGACTGGAATTACGATGAATACTTTGATTGAAATGTCAGTCAACTTCGGTTTAGAATCATACATATACCCCGTTATGCTTGAAGGAGCTCTGTTGACTGAGAGGTCTATCGCTAGCTAGCTACACAGCCGGTGCAGCGCCCTGAAGAGACGGCGAGAATAAGATAGATCCCATATAATCAATAAAATATAAGTTGAATGTATAGACACGAAAGGTAGTTCTAGTACTGTTTATGTGGTACATCGAATCGATTCAACCCAAACCCTTCACTTACCCTCACACAGTCACACCTCACAGCCTCACACACATTTAGAAGGGAATCCCCGAGTCAACACTCGGCCCCGTCTCGTTCTGCGCAGCGAGCTGCTCGTCCCAGGGCGTCAACGAGAGCGTATCATAAACCGGGTAATACAACGGACACCGGACATCCAGAACCTCGGACGGAATCGTCGTGAGAGCCTGCAGCCCCTCCTCATCAACACCGGGCCTCACCCCGTTCCCAAAGACCCCAATCGTCGGGACCTGGGGCCACCCGGGTCCAGCGGTGGGGTTCTTGGCAAAGTCTGCGTAGGCCGTTTGGAGGGCGTTGCTGAGCTCGGCTTGGAACGGCGTTGCGCCTTCGGCGCGGTATGTGCCGAAGAAGAAGGCGATTTCCGACGCGTGGTAGGCGCCCACTCCGGGCAGAAACTCGGTATTCGGGAAGGAGGCGTTGAAGTAGAACCGCCAGGAGTCGAGTCCCGCGCGCTTGGTGTCGTTTGCGTGGACGTGCGTGTTGCACTGCATCAGGAATTCCGTGGCGATGCGGCTGATGCGTGCGCCCTCGGTTAGGATCCCGGGTGTCCCGAGCGGGTAGGCTTTGATTATAAGGTCGGCAAAGTCGCCGAGGTTTATCGATGCGAGTGCTGCGCGCGTATCATTGAGGCCAATTACGAATGGGCTGGCTTCGTCGGCCGTTGTGCCGATTAACACGGGGACTCGTGCTGATTTCCCGGCGAGGCGGTCGAGCCGTGGGTTGTTGGCCCAGGTTACGCCGCCGTCGGGGAACCCGTTGAAGCTGATTGAGTTATTTGTGATGAGGTCGACGAGGTCTTGGGCCGGGTACTCCGATAGACAGTCGAATGCTGCATCTGGATTGGGGCAGCCGCCGAGTTCGGCGAGGGCCTTCCAGGCGGCGATATAGGCACCTGGGGTTTGAGGGCTTGCTGGAACGGAGATCTGGCTTGAGGTCATAATCGCTGCGTGGAAGGGGAGGGGGTTGGGAGGTGCGGTGAGCAGAGTATCGACAGTGGATGAACCGCCACTTTCGCCGACAATGGTCACACTACGGGGATCGCCGCCGAGGTATGCGATGTTCCGCTGAACCCAGTCTAGGGCCAGGCGAGTGTCATGGAGCCTATCGATATGTTAGACGATTTCTCAAGAACGTTACTATTCATCATTTGATCCGAAGACTTACGCAAGATTCCGCTCCTCAAGAGGAATGCTTTCATCAGCTGGAAAGCCAAACACATTCGTCCGATAGTTGATGCTAACAAGCACCACGTCTTGGTTCGCAACAACCTTTGAGCCGTCATAGAGCGGCAGCGAGTTTGCTCCGTTCTGCCAGCTGCCCCCATATATCCAAACGAGGACGGCCTTTGACCCGGCAGATGCGGTTGAGGGCGCGTATACATTGAGGTTCAGACAGTCCTCGCTCTCTCCATTGGGAACTACCCCCAGGCCAACTCCTTCATAGAACTGAGCGGTTGTCTCGCTAATCTGTTGGAAACATGCTGGGCCGTATTGCGAAGCGTCGCGGGGATTGGCCCAGGGCTTGACGGGTGCTGGCAGGCGAAAGCGCTCCGGTTTCTCGGCGAACGGGATACCGAGGAACTTGTTCACTGTGGCAGTTGCGGAGGGAAGGGCAATCTCAGTCGTTGTTCCGACAATCGCACCAGAGTCGATTATGGCAGTAGGACGGGAATTGTATGTGGGTGTGCACGCAGCAGCCGAGGCCACAGCGACAAAGGATAAAAGAGCGAGCATGGTGATGGTTGATAGGCACTGGCGAAAGACATAGCGAAACGTGCGGAGTGTCGCTTTATAATGTGCCCGTGAAGAAGCTGCAAGCCGTTTCCCATCATGCTATGGAAACCGCCTCTATTCATGGACCCATCGCAGGGCTGAGCAGTGTCCACTCTGTCCGGGGCCAGTCCGCTAGCGACTTGGCGTCTAACCTGGATTAGGCGGGATAGTGCGCTCTCTCCACTTGTGCTCTCCATCAAGTAAAATTGGGGCAGGTGAATTTCCGCCTGAGCCACCATTCATACCGCTTGGCAGTCATTTCCGAACATGGTTGTCGGACTCGATGACTTCATTTTGCGCTGCATTCGCCCCGTTACGGTACCGCGTCGTTGTCTCAGCCAATTCAACCTTTTCAGCCCCGTGCTGATCAACGGCAGAATTCCGCATCTTGCGATTCAGATTCTCGATTGTTGCTGGAATCTTTTCGGGGAGGCTCACTTGATTTTCTGGCCGAGTCCAGCTGTGCATTGAAGTATGCGGAAGGAGCTCCCTTAGTATATCTCACGGCTGGCCTGAATACAGGTAACACTGCAGCGAACCTCGGCACTGTGAATGCCTGGTAGATGTGTCAGCATTATCAATGTGTTTGTCATGCGATCGTGCAATGTCAAAATAACCCTCGTAAGCACCTAAATACTCCTGTTCCAACTAATCAAGAACCTCTGTGTCGGGTCAGTGCTCGACCACTACCATGAATCGAGATCTTGAGTTGCGGTCGAGCAATATGAACAGGTGCTTTGCCATGTCCAGAGCGAAAATAAGGTGGACATACGTGGGAAAATGTAACGTGCCAACTTGAGCGCTTCGTCGCACATCGCGGTGGTGCACTACTTTATCGTCTCTAGAAAACTGCGACTTCTTTGGTGAGCGACCTTGTTGAGAGAAACAGACACAATGGGACACCTAGAGTATGTACCATGGAGCCGCGCCCTTGCCTTTCCTAGCGGGGCAATTCATCATGGCCGTGCCTTCTTCAGGGGGGTGCAGATATATATCTGTCCAACGTGGAAGGGATGACCGAGCACGGAATGGCTAATCAGGCTTTCTTTTGGAAGCGAGTAGTCGAAGGCGGGGGCTCACCCGGTGCCAGCATAATCATGATACCAATATCTGTATTATTTTCAACAGCCGTACAGCGATGACTCCAATGCTTTGCAATTGCTTTGGTGGTGGCCGTCGCGTCGGCAAATGCAGCGAAAACAAAGCCGCAACGCCAAGACAAGTAAAGTCGACCAATCGGACATCGCCATTCGAAAGGCCGCGTCAATTGCTCCGAGGCCGAGGCGGCTGCGAGTGGACGGGGCTTTTCTCTTCCCCACCAGCATCAGTCTGGGGAGAGGGCCGAAGTTCTTCCCCAGATCATACGTTGGAGAGCCCATTTCCATGCACAAAAAAAAGCGGGAGATGCAAGTTGTGCGCCAGTCACCATATCTTGCTCAGATGCATCATCTCCCCCATCGCGTTGAAGCCTGCGGTCGGGTAAATAGCGGTAACACGGGAGAATTATCGCCAGTTGCGGGGGAGATTTCGTGGAGCTGTCGGGGTGGAGGGCAACTCTCCCCTCTCCGATTCTCATCTCCGAACGATCAAAGTGATTGATAACGCAGCGAACTGAGCAATGGAAGACGACAACGGGCCAGACTCATCCGGCTCTCCCGATAACGCGCCTCGGGGCCCGGAGGTCGGCCACGCATGCAACTCGTGCCGAAAGCGCAAACTCCGGTGCTCGAGGGAGCTGCCGGCCTGTCAGCACTGCCGGAAGTCTGCCTCCGAGTGTACCTATGAGACAAAGCGTGCTAAGCCGGGGATGAAGGCGGGTGCATTGGATAATATTCACCGAAGACTTGGTAGGCCCTTTCTTGCCTTGGCTGTGACCTGCTTGGCTCAGCTAACACGTGCTCCGCCTAGACGCGTTGGAACGTTCGGTTGGGAAGCAGCAGGCCACGATTGAGAATCTCGGGCCCGGAGGTACTCATCAGGAGGATGCTAGCGTGCAAAATATTCTTTCTGCTCTTGCAACTACCCTCCAGGGCCTCAGCAAGCAGTCGCCTTCCACCTCAGCTCACAGTGGACCTCCAGCCAAACGGCGTCGCCTCGATCATGATGACCATGGTGCATACTTGCTCTCTCGCGACCCACCTCTGCCAGATGACACCGTCCTGAGCCACGTGCTCGAGGCGTACTTTATTTATGTTCACCCTTGGACCCCCATCATCCACGAGGCTCGCTTTCGCAGACGGTTCGTTGACGATGGCGAACAGGAGAGGTTGCAACTCATCATACATTCCATGGTGCTCGTCGCGCATGGGTATGTTGAAGATGCCGACACCGCAGCGTCACTGGAGAAACAACCAAAGCAGTGGGAGGAGATTAGGGACTGGATTGTCTCTCAGGCGATGAAGCAGCCTTCTGTTGAGAACCTGCAGGCTCTAGTGATCATTGCCTCTAGTGATGTATGGTTGCCTCTTCGTTCGTCAAGATTCTTGCTAACTTTCTAGATCGGCAACGGTCAAGGATCCCAAGCGTGGCCGCTTGTCGGTTCGCTGTCCCGCATGGTCGAGTACCTCCAGCTGACCGTCGAGCATGACGAACCCGTGCACCACTTATTCTCGCAGCCGTACAAACTGCTGGCACCTCCAAAGGATTGGACGGAAGCCGAGGAGCGCCGCAGGATCTTTTGGAGTATCTTTGCTCTTGATCGATTCTGCTCTGTGAGCATGGGCTGGAACACTAGCTTAACGGCTGACGATGTCCGACGAAGGCTTCCATGTGACGGAATTACCTGGCGCAAAGAGAACCCCGTTGTGACTCCGTACTTTGGTATTTGGGACAAATCTGCCGGTCGCATTGGGAACCCCATCGCATTTCTCCCTACGCATCCCGTGTCGGTTCGGCCAACCCAGGACGAGGGAGAGACCCCTTCGGATGCTGGAACCTCGCCAGGTGGCGTCTCCACCGTCGACATGTCTACGGTTGGAGCCTATGCTTACTGCCTCGAAGCCACCGAATCTCTCAGCCGCGTCACGACATACTTCCTCCAGCAAAAGGTCAACCTGAACGACCAGAAAGAGTTTGGCGCCTGGCTCACCCGGTTCAAAGAGCTCGACCTCCGCCTCGTGCATTGGAAGATGCTCCTGCCACAGAAATGGACAGTCAACGTCACGCAGCAGTCCTTATCGAGAATGGACCCTAACCTGACTCTAGCTCATGTCACCCACAATGCGTCGATGATTCTGCTTCATCAACCTATTGCATTCCCTCTCCCCGAATGGCCGTACAGAAGCCGGCTACCCAGTACCTGCAGTATGGACACCTGCCAGTCCGCGGCAATCGAGGTTGCGTCTATCACCAACCACTATCTCAAGAGCTCTCTCACTACGTCTCCCCTAAGCAGTCAACTTGCATTTTGCGTGTTCATTGCCGCGCGAGCCCTACTCTTGTACTGGCAACACAGCGCGGACGAACAGGGAGTGGCGGCGGATTTTTGGGTGTTGATTCAAAGCCTTGACACAATGTCAACTCGCTGGGCGGGCGTCCATGGAGCTGTACCAGCCCAGAAGAACCTCCCTGCCAAGTATTCTGCGACTCTCGCTCAGCTACACCGTAGATGCTCCGAGGACCAGTCATTCAAGATCAATATTGCCGGATATACGACGGAAATCACACATTCTCTCGACGAACCAGACTTGTCTGCGGCACATCCGCCGCATATTCCTCTTCAGCCTGCAGATACAACCAGAACATCCCTCCAAACCATCCACTCACGACAGATCCAATCCAGCCCGGTTCAAGCTCGAACAATCGACGGCAACCGTCTCCCTCCACAGCCATTTGCGCCTCAGCGAATCCCAGCGCTTACGCCGAACTCCTTCTCGTTGAACATGGGCATTCCTGAACAAGGAATGACTAATATGCTCCGGCCAGACTTTACACCAGACTCGGATGATCCAATGGCGATTTCACAGATGCTGCTTGACCAGCAGTTTACAGGACTAGATAGAGTCATCAGCTACAGTGATGGGCTGTTTGGATCTGATTATGAGGCGCAGAGATGGTGAGGCCTTTTGCCAGTCTCGGAAGGATCTGGGTATAAGGTAACAGAGGCTTCTGGCTTTACCTGAATCTCTACTTCGAAATGCCAACTAAGTAATATGACATCCGTGTATCATGTATCCGCAGCCGAGTAATGATATCGGCCATCACAATATACCCATTCAAGAGCTCCTCTCGGAGTGGATCTGGTAGAACAAAGGATTTCGCTTGCCACAAGTGGACTGGCCAAGACATGTCATAGATCGAACCAATCTATGGTTCCGACGCTCTACGCTGGGCGTTATGTGCACAATTGCATCGTACGGGTGAGATAGGACATGGCAGGCTACAGATAAGGGTATAAGCAATGACGGCTCTCATAGTGAGAGTCTATAAGGCCGGCAGCAAAAGGATTCGGATGGATTACATTGCGGGAGGGCTTATACGTCTTTTAGAGGCAGTGGAGGGATTCGGTGCTGCATCCACGATCCATAGTCTCCCTGTACACAAGGTCCTTTGCAATGATAGCAGGCTTCGTGGAGGCGTCGGAGGGGGTCCCAAATTGCAGTAAGTAGTACGTCAGCCAGATTGTTGACCCAATCGAGCGAAGCTGGCATTCGTACAAAAAGCATCAGCCAATCAAGTGACCCTTGCATCCCCCTCGTCTCATTGGCCGCACAGGCCAACCCCAGGCGGTGATCCCACAGTCACATTCTGCTGATTGGTCTCTGTTGCAGTTCAAAGTGTGAATCTAACCGGAAGCGGGCATCGATCGGGTGGGGCCTGGAGAACAAAGAAACATTAGATAAGCCGGTTTGGGGGGTTGCGAGGGTCCCCCAGGTTCAGTTTCCAGCGCCAGGCTCCATCCAGACACACTACTGACACTGTGGTCATTCCCAACAGTTGCCGCTCAGCTGCATCGAGCCGCGTACAGTCCCTGTCTTGTCTCGCCCTGCAGCTAGCGAGCATCCATCCCTGGTTGTGTTTGAAACTATCCAGTGATAGTTCGTGTCTGGCTCCCTCGTTGCCTCCGTGAGTGAGACAACAATCTTTGTGGCAAACAAACCGATAGACCAGAGTGACTCCATTCCATCCCCCCTGAGATTGCACTACGCTGCCGAGGACATTGTTGCCCCGATCAAGCTGTCAATCCCAAATCCACACTGAGCCGCATCATCACACACATCACACATCACACCACACTATACTCCGTACCCCGTTCCTCAGACCCTGACCCAGACCCATTCAATCCAGCTCCGTCTGTCGTGGCTCCACCATGGCCGCAGTCCAGCCGCACTCTGCCGAATTCGGCTTCGCCTTCGTCACCGAGAATGGGCAGGGACGGCCCAGTAAGGCGGCGGACAGGTGTCTGATCCGGAGCCGCTGCATGCGGGGCAAAAATAGGAAGATAGGGGTGCCTCATCGCGTGGTCCATGGGACGACGCACCCGTTTGCTGGGCGCTACGAGGATAATAGTCACGGACCCGGTGCCGCTGGTGTTGGTGTCGTCGGGGGTAGCAGTGGCAGTGCCAGTGGTGCTTTCGGCCGTGCTGTTGTGTTGCCTTCCTCTTCCTCCCCTCTTCCTGGACTTCTCAGTCCTACTCTTCGCGAGCCCCTGGAGGAGCAGCAGCAGCCGGAGGAGTGGTGACGAGACGAGTGATAGATCTTGATGATGATGAAGACGAGGACGCTGTCATGAAAAGCTGGCGGCGCTGGCAGAAGTTGTTCAATTGCCCGCGCTTACTGCACGAGCCGCCCCTTCTGATCTCGAGGCTATGCACATGGCGTCCGATGCCAGCGTCGAGGCCAAGATTCGGATCTTTTACTGTACGTTGGCTCTTTCCTTCTTCAGTTCCCCAGAACCTTGAACTAGGCTCGAGACCCTTAAAGTGCAGGACCCGCTTGACCCGCTTTTCTTTTTTTCCTGAAACCCTGGCGCAATTTTGCGGTATCCGTTCCTCAGCCCTCACTTCCTTGTGGTATCTGACGATCCGCGGGAAAGCTCCGAAGAATCTTACTACTTAGAAGCTTCAAACCTGACAAAGTACCATACTAACTCTTCCTTCTCCTCTAAATCTAGTCCTCCGCTTCTTCCGCCACGTCATCCATCCAATCGAGCTCTTCGTAGACTACGACATCAGCGCAACCTCGTGGCTGCGCTGGATCTTCGCGGACCCCGCGTACCAGCAATGCTTCCTCTTCATGTATTTTGCAACAGCCGACATCACACAGCAGCGTCCGCCCACCCCGGCAACCCTCTACCACATGCAGCGCACAATCCGGCTGCTCAACGAGAGCCTCTCGAGTCCCCACCGCATGGTCGCGGTGCGGGACTCTACTGTAGCCGTTGTGATTATCTTGACGATTTCTTCGTGCATGATGGGGGATGGATCGGGGGCGAGTGCGCATATTGCGGGGTTGCAGCAGATTATCAGGGTCCGTGGGGGGTTGCGTACGTTTGGTAGTGATGCGAAGTTGTTTATGAAACTCGGGAGGTGAGTCACAAGTCTGAACTCTGGAGGGAGTGAGTGAGTCGGCGACTCGCTCGGGGCATATTTTCTTTTCTTGCGATTGATTTTCGTCCCATTGGCATTGTTTCTCCACCCTCCTTGATTTGTCATGAGGTCATATACCTTAATTATCATACTTACTCGGCATTCCAGAGTGTATCTAGTGTACGCTCTGCACACGGGCTCGCACGGGGGTCGCCTGTGCACGTACCCAGCCGCGTACAGCCCACGCTACTACGACCTTGGCGCCCCCGAGATCCCCACGTCCTGCGTGAACCCGTCCGTCTTCGGAGACGCGGACCCGCGCATCCTCACCCTCTTCCGCGAATTGCAGTACTACACATGCATCATCAACAGCGCACACCTCGCCAAGCACCGCCGCCCCGCGGACGAGTTCCACAACACCATCTGCTCCTTCCAGTATCGGCTCCTGCAGCTGCAGGGGGCATTTGATTAGGAGGATCGCTTCCATGACGGTAGGTTGTCCGAGACGCTGAGGCTTGCGCTGCTCTCTGTACTGGTCACGACGTTTCAGTTCCCCGGGGCGAGGGGCGGTTATCCGTATTTGACTGGGCGGTTCCGGGAGTCCTGCCAGCAGTTGGTCGTTTGGGCGAACGGACCCTCAAGGGATTTGATGAGGTGGCTGCTGATTGCGGGCGCCACTACTGTTTTTGATGTTAGGTCGATGAACGAGCAGTGGATGTGGGAGCGTTTTGAGCAAGGACGTGGATCAAGTGGACTGGAAAGAGGCGAGAGAACGGTTGAGGGAGATTATGTGGATTGATGCAATGCAGGACGTCCTTGGGCGCGATGCATTCAATCAGCTGAATAAGTACCAGATGTTCATTCCTGCTTAGCCTTTGGAGGCGCGTACTGGCTGCCAGAATGGGTTCGGAGGATCTCAGCCACGCTCGTTTCCCCGGCGTTTTCAGCTAGTTGCAGCGGCGTTAGGCCTTCGCGAGTCTTCGCATTAATATCTGCTCTGTTATTGAGAAGCATCTTGACCAGCGAGGTATTTCCATTGGTTGCCGCGCAATGCAGTGCTGTAAGCCCATCATCTCCTGCCAGCTTGAGATTGGCACCGTGTTCTAGCAGGATCTTGACAGCCTCTTCACAGCCCTTCTTGCTTGCCAGCCAGAGTGCTGTTCTCCCATCAAGGTTTTGGGCGTCGACGCTGGCTCCACCTTCCACTAGGATTCGAACTACTGCAACATGGCAACCGTCTGCGGCTTCGTGTAGTGCAGTTTGGCCCGTTTTGCCAGGTAAATTCGGATCGGCCCTGTGTCCAAGCAAGACTTTCACGACAGCACCATGACCACGGCCTGCCGCCAAAGCCAAAGCGGTGTCTTTTGTTTCCACCGAGGTACGAGTATCTGTCAGCAGTGCTGTAACCACCGAGGCATCTCCAGCATTTGCTGCGAATAGGAGAGGAGTGAGGCCATTAATATCACCCTTCTCGGGGTCTGCTCCCCAGTCCAAAAGCTCCTTCACAGCCAGGGCACTTCCCTTCTGTACGGCAAAACACAGCGGGTAGTATGGAGCTGCCAAATATTTGCCATTCGGATCAGCACCGTGGCCTAAAAGAGCGCATAAAACGTCAGGCCAGCCTTCTTTAGCAGCAGTCTCTAGCTCGCTGCGTCCCGTTGGTACATCGGCTGGTTTAATACCTATGCGAGTAAAGCTGCGCAGAGTTGCATGTTGACCCACCAAGTATGACGTCCCGAACTCGTCCCTACCCCTGCTCCGTTTGGATGATTCCTCCATCACTCCCTTGTACCGACGTATCATCTTTTGTGAATAGGCAGTAGGGATGGAGGTTTGCTGCGACAGCCATTCAATACCGTCCATCCCGAAGCTCCTTGATTCGTCTTCGAGCACAGCATTCCGGTACAGCTCTGCAAGGGCGAGGACAATCTGGTCGATATCAAGCTCATCCCAACCAGCACAGCTGAACTTTTGCACACCCTCTTCGATCATCATCGCATATATCCATCTCAGAACCCGTTCTGCCTCCCTCCATTTCTTCTCGCGCCGATGTGTGATGGCAAATTGTTTGGCTGCCTTCAATGCGCATTTCGAGGACGACAGTCCAGAACGGGATACCACAGCTGGTAGGACGCATAACAGAGCTTCCTGATCTGAACCCAGTTGATTGTCCGAGAATATCTTGGCAAGCTCGGTGACCCACTGGTTTTCCAGGCGAAAGTTTAGGCCTTCGTCTCCTATCTTAAACGAACCAATATCGTCTATCAGGCGAAAGGCCTCCTTGATAAATGACCCAAAGATCTCTTGCGCACAAAGTACCGCCAGTGGACTTTCTGTTGGAATAGACCATATTGGCAATATCCCAGGTGGCGTGGAGTAAGTAATACCCGATGCGTACCAGCCGAATATTTGGAACACTTGAGACTCTCCATGTGAATGTGGAGCGAAACCCAATATGTGGTATCCATATCTTCCACCGCCAGGCGCAAGCCACTGGGTACCGGGATGCCCGTACTCGACTGACAGTAGGTGAACCTCGTCAAAGGACACGTACAAGAGTTGGCCAGGAGCCCAGAGCTTAATTTCCGTTTCCGCAGCATTTGCGGCGGTAGAGATAATTCTTCGGACACGATTATCGTTGCACGTGGATTCAGCCGGCCGCCTACTCATTTGGTTCTCTCCAGCTACCAGTCTCATTGACCACAGCCAGAGCCCAAGGATCCCTTCAAGCTGTGCCTTGTTGCGAAGAGACCAAAGAACATTTGATCGACTCGTACCGGGCGCAACCTTATCGAAGTGTAGCATCACGCTATGGCGCTTCCCGCGGAAAGAGCTGTGATGGGGCTGGTGCGATATCTCGCACACCATCGGCCACAAAATAGTCTCCGTGTCACCCCAGTCTCTCTGAAATGTAAGGCTATTGGTAAAAATAGTGCTTACAGCCATGTCCATTGCGGATGCAAGTTGTCGTGCTACACGGCGGACTTCGACCATCTCGACGTTAAAGTGCCTTGCAGACGTCAAGACTTTTGACTGAGAGAGGGGCGACATCGTCAGCTCTGCCAAGCGCGTACGAAACGCCAACACTTTGACTGCAGTATTTGGGCTATTAGGCGTGGATGTAGGCCCTGGTAAAATCTTTGCCGAGAGACCAGAGCCTGGCTTGAGGCTACCGCAAAAGGTCCACGAACCACGGCGAGTCTCCAGAACCAGCCGAGGGATACCCAAGTCCGCCAGAATGTCAGGCCAGGCGATGCGCAATGCAAGCCAATCCAACTCATGGCCAATGACTTGGTCCGGAAAGCGGCGAAGTCTGTTAGCCTCCGGCTTCAACCGTTGCATACGAAGTGCTGCGCGTGCCAGCGACATGACCATTGTAGCGCTGAGCTGGGCAATAGCAACAGCTGAATGGATGGCTCGAAGGCCGGTGAACTGCAGAACGAACCCCGCGACGGTTAAGGCAACAGCCGTCCATACTACAGTTCCCGTGTGGTCAAGGTCAGCCCTTTTCCAAGAGACGGTATACTCCTTGAGGACAGTCTGTGGATCATCGCTATCCGCATAAGCAAAGGCGTCAAATGTCTGGTCACCAATGACCTGGCCTCCAGGTTGGACCCAATGCATCGATGCCCTATCTTTTCCCCTTCGTTCCCAAACCTCCTCTTGCGTGCTCTGCCCGACTAGGAAAGCACAGAGGAACATCCCTCCGCAGACCAAGACCGACCCCACAAGCACAAGTGGGCAAGCGTATTGTTCGGGGCCCCTGCCATCCTTTTCCCACTTGAGATAATACGTCACGACACCTGCGAAAGTAAGTACACCACACTGCAAAGTGAGCCCAACTAGGGCAACAAAGCGAAAGATGACCGGGTGCTGTTTCCGAATGCCGAGATTGAGGGACAGGTTCGGGGCGAAAGGGTCTGGAGGCGGTTTGATAAGGGGGGGAGCTTCTGCGTAAGGATTTGACGGTTCAGACTTCGTGGGCCTTGTCCGGAGCCAATTTCCTTTGCCCTTTTCCGCTACATACTGTTGAAAAGTGTATATCCCTGCGGTGCCATCGGAGAAGTCTCGATTGTCGGGATCATATACCACTTCCAGGATCTTAGGACGCCCGAAGACGCGCGCAATCCCACCATTATTGTACAGCTCGCACACATCACGGCTTGTTGAGGAACACAGCTCTGCCTCGGCAATTCCTGCCCCCTCTTGTGCGCGACCGATAAATGCGCGAAGAGACGGGCTCCCACAGACGCGGATGGCCGACACGACCGCTGTGAGGATGCCCATCGGGGCCATGGCAAAAATGAAGTAATCGAGAAAGGTCGTGCTTTCGCTCAGATACTGCTTGGTCACCTGCTCTCCGAAGAGCGAGAGAAACGGCGCGAGATCGGTTGCGAGGTTGTTTGAAAAGTCGTCCCAGCCCCCCGCTGCGGCGGCCAGCGGGAAGCTTGAGAGACCTAGACAACATAGTAGGAGCAACATTGTCAGAAATTTGTGACGAGCCCGGAGGACAGTGAGGTGGGGGAGATGGAGCTGAGGGGGATAATGAGAATGTTTGTCTCGAGGCTGAATTGGGTTGAGCTGAGCTCCCGCAGGCTGCCCAATTCGGATGGCCGGCGCGTAGCAGAAGAAGCAAACAAACGAAGACTGCATAAACCCACCTTTCTCGTCCAATACAGCCGGCCCTTGTTTCCTGCGGACCGTCAGCCCGAAACTGCTTTCTCCCACAGCATTCCCCGTTTCAAGAGGGAGGGGAAAGTCGGAAAGTCGGAAAGGTGAGAAACCTTGGAAACGACCGCAGTCTCTGGCAGGCGCTGCCCCGACTCGTATCGTGCGGACCTGAACCCAGCTACAAGGTACCCTACACGACTCGCAAGTTCTGCTGTCAGCATCTGTTGTCGCGCGAATATCCTTGGCCTTTGTCCTCACTCCAGCAGAAGGCAAGCGCAAACGATCCCGACTCCCACCCAACGCTGTTTGAATGAGGAGATGCCTTCTGGCGATAGGCCGGGGTACATATCGATACCCAGGGCCTTAGGCGCTCAACCGACAAAGGTTAGCCACGAGGCGGGTATCAGACCGGCGCTCTGTTTCGAGAGAGCCTTTAGGGAAGGTGGACAGGCTTTGGAAATGCGCGATGAATGATTAGAGAATGTGGATATGATGAGGACAGCAGGGTGGTGCCAATAACGGCAGGCCAAATCCGAGAGTGCGCCGGAACACAGCCCCCAAGATCCAGCCCTGGCTTGGCGCTGGGCAGTCGGCAGCCTTGTGGACTGCGCTATAAAGTGCTGCGCACCTACGACCGCGCCCGCTTATGCCAATGGCAAAACTGTCACAGCTATCGATAATTCCACCATTTTCATTACACAAAACACCATGGCACGATCATTCATTAGAAATGTGTTTTCTGAGATCTTCAGAATCGGCTCATCAAGGCCAATAATTTGGTATCCATACCACGAGGGCTTCATCCTCCTCTGGAAAGAGAACAAATACAATCCACTGATGTTGGAATGTCTCCTCAATCCTGAGATCATGCATGTCGCAGGCCGGATACGGAAATACGTGGTCAATGGAGATGCGCAAGAAGCGAAGAAGGTAAAGGACGCTTACAAAGACACATTGGCAATGGAAGCTGTTGCAGTGAGTATAGCCTGCTCGAGGCCCCTCATCTTGGAATGGAAGCTGGTTGGACCTTTAGTGACTTGTATACAGGCCGCAATCATCGCCCAAATAGCCATCACCATGATCAGCCTTCCCAACTTCGACAGCGTACATTGGGCCGCCACAGCCGTTGCATATTCGAGTCTTATTTGCGGAATACTGACGACATTTCTGGCCTTCATTGTTCAGCAAATTTTGAGCGACCTTCACAACCCCGAGGAAGTTCGCTCGTGGCTCACGACTACTCGAAGATCCCACAGCCGATCTCGCCCTATCAATGCGACAGAGAAGAAAATCCCCTCGCTCAGCTCGGCAGTCCTCTTGACGACCCCAAGCAAGCTTCTCAGGTTGTCAATCCTGACCGCTTTTGTTGCGCTCGGTATCTACTTGGGCTGCGTGTGGGATGCAGAGCTGGGCAACTTGCGAGGTCGTGACGCCAACTTTTGGGTCCTCCTCGTTTTCAGCGTTTTCTCGTTTGTAATGCTTCAGGATGCGTTCTTGCCATTTTCGGTGTCCTCTTACCCCTCCTCTCGGTCTACCGACGAAGAGCTCCAGGATCTGGGCGATGGCGTGCCTAGGCCTCGGCTGGGGGTCGGCAGTACCATTGGCGTGGCTGCGGGGGCAGACGAGATCATACGAGATGCACTTGAGTCGTCCATTCGTGCCCAGGAAGAGAGCTTGAAGGCTCAGAAGGCATTGTTGGACTTAATAGATCGTCGATCATCTGGCACCACAACAGTCACGACTCTCCCACGGGTGTTGCTACGTTGACATCTCCATTGACTAACTCACCTGTCCCACTGAGCGAGTGTCTGATATCTCGAGAAAGCAGTTTCAGCTCAACTTCCCAGGGCTACCTCCTCACAATCACCTACCATCGGTAACAGACACCTCCATCTTCACACTACAGGTGCTCCGCTATAGACGCATTGAATCAATCCTTTCATCTTCTCAGCTATGACACTACACCTCCAGGTCCTCATCCCCTTCAGACAACCTAACGAATCAGGACAAGCGCAGCTCCAGCAACAACCGAAGCAACCAAGCTGCCAACAACTCCACCCCAAGCGCCACCTGCACCGGTCGCACCAATTCTCCCCGCAGCATTCGTCTCACTGGGATCAGAGCCACTATCACTCTCCTGTTCCTCATCCGAATCCGCACCCCCGCTCTCCGCCAAATCCGACGGCTGGTGCACAAACCGGATCAGGGCGAGCTGCGAATACGCGATGTAGTCAGTAGCCTCGCTACTCGAGAACGTCGTCGTTTCAACCGTCGCGGTTGTCGTCGCTGTGATGATGAGCAACTCCCCCTCTGTCGTCCGCCCGTCGTTCCCGGGGATGCCGGTCGTGTATGTCGCGACGTCCGACGCTGTGTAGTAGGATCTGCACGCGGTCGAGAAGCTGTAGTCGGATAGGGCGGAGAGACATACGCCGCCTCCTGGGTAGGCCGTCGCTGATCTGTTTGTTCACTTCCTGTTAGCTAGCTTTCAACGTAACAAAGGAATCTGTGCGCGGTGGTTTTTGAGCGGATGACAGTGGGAGAAACATACTCAGGACAACACCAAACGGCCGTCTCGCCCACATCCAACAAATCAATCAAGACATCATGATTATTATAAAACGTCGGCGCAGGCCCGACATCCTCCGTCCCAGTCGGCACAGCAACAATCCCGGACCGCGACACCGTACTCTCCCCACGAATAGCAACACCAACCGTCGTCCAGTCCGCCGGACACGCAATTCCGGGCGAATAATACGGGCCGATCAGCCCGTCTCCCGGGATATCATTTATCGCGACTGCGGTTTCGAGCGCGTTCGAGTCTGTTGGGGTCGGCGCGCAGATCGCGTCGGTGTCCTGGTTGCAGTCGATGAAGATGGGGGCCTCGGGTAGGCCCGGCCTGGCAATGCCCTAGTTTGTCGTTGAGAGGCATGAGGCTGGGAGGGCAAAGTCTGTCGGGAGCGGGCCCCAGTTTGTGATTGAGTAGCCGAAGATTGATGAAGCGGTGGGCATTTTGGTGATGACAGGCCTTTGAAGGCGTTGTGTTGTGCGGAGTCGGTTGATTTGAGAGGGGCGCTGGGGGATTTCGCGTGGGGTTCGGGGGGCCACGCGGGCTTTATACGCGCGGGATTCAATTTAACTCAGGCGCTTGACCCTTGGCCCTTTGAGGCTCTTGGCCCTCATCAAAGTGCCTGCTTGGCGCGACGCAGTGGCTTCATTGGTGTCCTTGGCCCGGCGAATACGAGGTCGGCTACGGGTTTGGGGTCGAGGGTCTCGGCGAAATCTCCAGTCATTCAAGGTCAATGAAGTTTAAGCCTCATCCTTGAGAAACCGTCCTGATTTGCCGGGACAATGTACTCAGACTGAGCTTTGCGATGCAACTTCGCATAGTCTCAAGGAACAATAATCCAGGTCGTTTCAGATGTGCTTACACGCCTGTGAGACCGAAGAGGAGCCGTGGGCTAAAGCAAGCTGTATGAAGCCGCATTGGCATGCAGGACCCTGGAGACAGTAGGTTGCAGGAAGCCAAGCTGAGGCGAGGCATAGGCCGGGATACCCCAAATCCTACTACTGGTTACTGCATTCCGTCACGGAAGGAAGGTGAAGAGCCGCACCCACCAGGTCAATTCTATATCTCCCTAGTTCTATACCCACCTACCATTCACGGTCACTGGGCATGCAATAAACTCTCCAATCGCTATTGTGACATCTATACTCAGTACACAGCCATCTATACAAGCCCCAGATCCAACAGCCGATTCCCAAACTCTATCAGATAATAGTCCCCATAGACAAGCCCATGGTTCGCATACCTTCGCCTTGCACCCTGGTTATTGTTCGCGGTGCCATTCTTCAAGATCGAGTCGAAGGTCATTCCGACCTCCGCGTCCTCAACGCGCAGATCAGCTCCCTCCCCGCCGCCGCCGCCGATGAACTGGGCTTTTTCAGTCGCGAGGCAGAGGTCCACCGTATCGCGGACGATGTCGATTGCTGCGGTGAGGAAGCGGCGCGAGAGGCTGTCTTGGCCTAGTGCTTTGAGTGCTTGGGAGAGGATGAGGAGACCGTTTGCGGCTATGACGCCTGCTGAGGAGTCTCGGAGGGGGCCGGAGGGGTTCTCGATGGGGGCATCGAAGTCCCAGAGTGGGACGTGACGGCCCTTTGTTGACTTTCGGGTGCCGGGTAGTTGGAAGGGGGGTTGTGCTGTTGATGTAGACGTAGAAGTAGAGTCACGCTCGATCTCGACACATGCGGGAGATGTATCGAGGCGGTGGAGGAAGTACTCTGCGACACCACATGCCGCGTCGAGGAATGTCGTGTCCTTCGTCCACATGTACGTCTGCGCGTATCCAAGAATCGCCCATGACTGGCCTCGTGCCCAAGTCGACTCATTCGCGTAGCCCTGCGCTGTCCATCGCCATTTCAGCTTTCCTGTCGCGGGCTCGATATTTGCGACGTGGCAGGTAGAATACAATTGACCCTGGTATCCCGAATTCGGAACGACTATCCCGTTTTCTGGACGGAGGTGCGTTGTGAGAAGCTTTCGTGCGTGGCTTGTTGCGATGTTCGCTAGACTCTCATCTCCTGCGTGTGCTGCGGCGTAGTAGAGGAGATCCAGGTTACAGAGACTGTCGATGATAATGAGCGAATTCTCAGTCTGGTCTGTCACCGTGAGCTCCTTCTTTACTAGACAATCCCAGCTGCGAATCGCGCCAGACGAAGCCACATATCGCGTAGCTAGACTCCGGGCGGCTTGGATAATCGATCGGAGGCTCTGCTCGTTTCCGGTTAGCTCCCAGTCCCGCCTCAGGGCAGGCATGACGATGAAGCCGATGTCATGGGTATCCGTCCGAAACGCCATGCTATGGAGGGACCTCGACCACGACTTGCCCAGGGAGCGTAGCTGAGCGCGGAGTTCCCGCACACCAATAGTCGAGAAATCAGAGCCCACTTCGATGGACTGCGGGTGCTTGACGGATCTCTCTAGCAACGCATACAAACTCCCCGGGAAGAATCCACACGTCCAGAACTCCGGATCGCGAAACTCGTACAATCCCGCATTCGGTCCGCTTTGCGGGACGGTCTCCGGGTAGGATAGTGGCACGCCGTTGATCTGGCTGAAGACGCTGGATTCTCGCATTGAGCGGGATGCTACCCGGATGATTTTGGCTAGGACATTCTCTTCGAAGAGCTCGGGGATTTGGGTCTTGAGGGCATAGTTGCGGAATGTTTTGGGTGACTCCTCCTCCGGATCGGTTTGATTGTCTGATATTGAGGTGATACTCGAGGCCTTGCGTTTCTTTGCTGTAGGGCCTCCGAGGCCGGGGGAAGAGGATGTACTCGGGGTACGCGAGGATGAATTCGACATGGTGAATGACAGTCGTCGACCTTATCAACAGGCCTTCACTCACTTTCTATCCGGGTCTTTATCGCAAAGAAGTACTGATCCTGGAAAGCATGTCCTGAGGCTCGTATAAACTCGGGATCGATAACGACAATCGGCGACAAATGCCAGTTTAGAGAAGTTGGGTACGCCACGCCATTCCTATCCGGTTTGGTCGAGTTATATTCCCCTCATTCGACAAGTAGTAGTTGCATTAGAAAGCAAATAGGTAGCATCGGGGTATTCCGCCGTGAATCCTCCGAACACCGAGTGCGATCCTCCGGCCCCCGCAAAAAGCCCACCAGTCAGCGGAATCCCCTTGTCGGGGTGAGGCCGGCCCCGAGGCCGAAGGGTAGCGTCAGACACTGCTGCTTGGTTTGGAGATGTTTGATGAGATGAATTGTCAAGACACAATGGAGCGACTCCCTCCACCACCAGAAAATCTCATCCAAGATGCCACCACTACGCGGTTTCAGTAATAACACATTCGAAACACGGTCGGACCTTGTCCGAGCGGCCGTGGCTCTCGTCTCCGCACTCGATCCGCACAAGAGCAGGGACAAAGCGAGAATCAAGATTTCTGTCACGACGGCAGCTGGTTTTGATGAGACCGCAGCGCAACTTGAAGGTTTTGCGCGCCCACTATGGGTCGTTCCATTCCTGCTTAACGAGCCGCTCGGTGGTACGCTCGGTGGTACTGTCGGTTTGGAATCATGGATTACCGGTCTCATCGTCGGAACGGACCCAGAGTCTTCGGAGTGTTGGGGTGACCTGAGTAACTTTGATCAGAGGATGGTTGAGATGGAATCGATAGCATGTGCGCTTCTAGCGAGGCCGGATTCGATCATTGGGAACCTCAACAACAGAGCAAAGACGAATCTTGCGAACTGGCTTCGACAGATTAACCACAACAAAATGCCGCAGAATAACTGGCTGTGGTTCCGGGTTTTCGTGAATCTTGCGCTAGTCAAGGTACTTAATGTCCCTCGAGAGGAGCTTCAGGGCCAGATCAACGAGGATCTCAAGATTCTTGACTCATTCCAGCTTGGCGAAGGGTGGTCGAGTGATGGACTTTGGGGCGACGAGAGGAAGCAGGCAGATTACTACTCTGGTAGTTTCGCCATCCAGTTCGCACAGCTCCTATACATCCGCTTCGCTAGCGATGAAGATGAGACCAGGACGGAGATGTACCGTCAGTCAGCGAGGCAATTCGGTGCTTCGTACTGGAGGTATTTCGACAAGGACGGTAAGTTTAATCCAGGTCTCGTCTATAGGTCCAGGTGGATTAATGCTCCCAGGTGCTGCCATCCCATTCGGCCGGAGCATGACCTATCGCTTCGCATTCGCCGCATTCTGGTCTGCGTTAGCATGCGCTGGAATCGAGTTGCCAGCACCATTAGACAACGTCGGCGTGGCGAAAGGCCTGCTCCTCCGTCATCTCCGCTGGTGGTCTAAGCATCCCGACATTTTCAACGCAGACGGCACGCTCAACATCGGCTTCACTTATCCAAACATGTACCTGAGCGAGAATTACAACTCTCCGCAATCCGTCTACTGGTGTCTCAAGAGCTTCATCGTGCTGATGCTCCCGGAGGACCACGAATTCTGGAAGGCCGAAGAGTTGCCACACCCATCATCTTTGCCTTCTGTCCAAGTGGTCTGGCCCCCACGACAGATCCTTTGCAATACCCACGAACACCACTTCCTTCTCTCTTCAGGTCAGATGACGAGAAAGTCCCATAAAGCGCGGGAGGCGAAATATGGCAAGTTCGCTTATTCTTCTGCGTTTGGGTTTAGTGTACCCTGTGGGCCGCTTCTCGAGCAGATGGCGCCGGATAGCACGTTGAGCGTGTCCCATGACGGAGGCGAAACTTGGAAAGTCAGGTCGGAGCCGGGCAATGAGCGGATACTATCTATCAAGACATCGGATAGCCTCAGGACTACATCGGCGCTGGCTAGTGAGTGGCGACCATGGAAGTATCTGGACGTTACCATCACGTCTGTACTGGTTCCGCTGATGGAGGTGTTTCCAGGGTGGCATGTCAGGGTACATCGGGTGCAACTAAACGGATTCGATCAATCAAGTCTGGCTGATAATACACTGGAGCTCGTGGACAGTGGATTCGCCCTTGACGCAGAGACTGCCGAGGGCGCGTTTATTCCGAACACGGAATTGTTGGTGGGAACGGAACACGGATGTTGCGTGGACGGAACCAGCTGCCTGTTGAGATCGCGTGCCGGGACTGCTGGAATTGTTGATCTGACCCCGCAAACCGAAATCTCCACCTCCCAGCAAGCCAATGTTAAAAGCAAGGCATTCATGCTCAGAGCGGACCCGAACACTAACCTCATCGTATCAAGAACTTTTATCCCTTCTGTACGGCACGATGTACCTCCTGTTGGATTGGACGGTAGTACCCGAGCAGGACAAGCGACGAGTGGCCGAGAATTGTGGCTTGCAACCGGCGTGTTTGCCGTTGCCGGCGCAGCCAGCGTTGACCGACAGACGGTCCTTGATTTGTGGCGTAATCGGCCGAATCTCAAAGTGAGACTCGTTGACGATGACCTGGAGATCACAGTCTTGTGATGCAGTTTTGCTCCTCCCCGAATGAAAGCATCTGATCAAGTTTGAAGTATCTTAGCAAAACGTGGGAGTAAGATAGCGCCATTTCATGCTCCACGTTGAATCCACCTTATATTGAAGGTCCAAACACATTTTTATTCGCACGTCTGATTGGTTGTTTGTTCTCTATATCATAGGCTGTTCGGCCCGGCAATCCGTCGTCGCTGAATGATGGTCTCTGCCTCGTGGTTGCGTACGTGCGAATATATATTCGTCTCCCATGGGGGGTCAATTAGCGACCCTAGATTTGAATCATCATTCCATGACCTGCACAATCAAGCGCTATGTTATTCAATTCCTCAAATCAGTGCACATCCCTGTCGACGACGTTCGTATCCAAGGAAGGTGGTGGTGACTCGACAACTTGGACCAGGCCACGCGGGCGCGGAGAAGCGGACATGGTCCGATCAACTCGGGTACCTGCCCGAGCCTTGACAAATTCTTCGCTTGGCATTCGTCCTCAACCACGGTTTGCGGCGAGTTCAGTGTTGACAGGTGAGCTGGTGAAGTCGCCTTTTCTAGACAAGCATGATGCGGAGACTGCGATCTGCCATGGGGACCGTCATTCGTAGAGTGACGGGTCGCAGAGTCATGGACGCTGGCTTGGCGAACGGAAATCTGCTCTGCCGACGGTGGCTGCCGGCAATGCGCGAGTCAGGCACGAGTCCTGCACTTTTCCCGAAACGGGGCGACGCGCTGCTGGGGCCCCGAATGCCGAGACCGCGACTTGAAACTGGCGATTTCGGAGCGCGGGGAAGGCGAACCCCAAGATTCGAATCTGCAGCTTACGGGTGTGCAGTTCTCCATCCCCCAACGTTGGATCTTCATTTCATCGAGAAACCCAGTGTCCCTCCTGGTGAGAAGAGAGTTTGAAAATCAGATTGGTTCGGCCCCATGCCAAGCGTATACGAGGTTTTCCGGCAGGGGTCATTGGCCACGAGACGCGCGCGCCCGAAAGTCAAAAGCCCCTAAGCAACGAATCCAGGATTTAAAACAGCCACCCTCGCCTCTCGGCTTCGATTGCCTGGCCGAAGCCTTCCAGCCGGAAAACCTCCCTCATCGCCATCTTGCCAAGAGAGCACCGCTCGTAAAGACGTGGTTTCTGGGAGAGTCGGGACCGAACAGGCGTCACCTGCATTCTTTTAATCAACTGGAGTGGCTCCCGGCGAAGAGACTGGACCAAGCAGAAGCGTTGCATGGGGCTCCTCCACACTTGCTCCAGGTTCCGGACGAGAGGTTTTGTGGAGGTCTCCCCAGCCGGCTAAACTTCGGGCAAACTTGCTCAGGACTGACTCGGCCCTCGGGAGCGCTGGCGTTTCTCTTTTGCGAGTTCGAGTAGTATAAGACCTTTACGAGGCCGTTGAGGCAGTGAACCTATCTACTGCATACCAGATTCAGAACGGACTGGGATATAGCGCACGAAAATGACGGCCCGAAACTCCGAGGACCATGTTGATGGTCAATCAGCAGTAGCTGCTACTGCGAAGAAGATCTGGTGGAAAGACCCTCAACTACGTCGACTCAACTTCTGCCTGCTCTCGCTGACACTACTTTGTAAGTGGGCTGACTATTCGTTGTGACCGTATACTAATCTCCTCGTCATGCAGCCTCCTCAAACGGCTTCGATGGCTCATTGGTCAACGGTCTCCAGTCCCTGGATAGCTGGATGAACTTCATGCAGACACCTGACGGCACATGGCTCGGGTTCATCAACGGCATATACTGTGTTGGCTGTCTCGTCTCACTATTGCTCGGTGGATGGGGATGTAACAAATTCGGACGAAAGCCCTGCATCTTCATTGGAATCGTATTCCTCACAGTCGGCGGTATTCTCGGTGCCGCTGCTCCAAACGACAGTGTCTTCATTGTCTCTCGTGTGATCATCGGTCTGGGCTCTGGCTGGGTCAGCACTGCGGGACCTCTCTTGCTGAGTGAGATCGCCTACCCGGATTTCCGCAGTGTCACGAGTGGGCTCTTCATGGTTGGATACTATATTGGCGCAGTCATTTCGTCCTGGGTCACTTTTGCAACCCGCGATTATACCTCGTCATGGTCTTGGAGACTGCCCACCCTCCTGCAGATCCTTCTTCCTATTATCGCTGTTCCCGGACTGTTCATTACACCAGAGAGCCCCCGTTGGTTGATTGACAGAGACCGTATTGAGGATGCTCGCAAGGTGCTGGCGGATCTTCATGCTGGTGGAGACCAAACCACCCCGCTCATCTCCTCCGAGGTCAACGAGATCCAAGGCGCAATCGTGGCAGAAAAGGAGGCCAATGCATCCGCAAGCTACCTCGACATGATCAAGACCCCAGGAAACCGCCACCGTCTACTCATCACAATCTCTCTGGGCATCACCTCGCAGTGGTGCGGCAATGGTGTCGTCTCCTACTACCTCGCCATGGTCCTCGATACTGTCGGCATTACCGAGACTAGAGATCAGCTGCTCATCTCTGGCTGCCTTCAGATCTGGAACTTGGGATTCGCCGCCGTTGGTGCATCCCTGATTGAACGAGCTGGTCGCCGCCCGCTCTTCCTGACCTCTGCCGGTATCATGTTGACCAGTTACATCATCATCACCGGTCTCTCTGGCGCGTTTGCCGAGACCGGCGCCGCTGCAACGGGTACAACCGTCATCCCCTTCATCTTCATCTACTTTGCAGGATACGATATCGCGATGTAAGCACATCAACCCGGAGTTTTCCCCAAGCCACTTATTCACCCATGACTAACTTTCTTTTCTTTCAATAGGACCCCCTTCCTAACCGCCTACCCCTGCGAAATCTGGCCCTTTGCGCTGCGCTCGCGCGGTCTCAGCGTCGCCTGGCTCTCCGCAATCTCCGCGCTCATCTTCAACACCTTCGTCAACCCCATTGCGCTCGCGGCCATTGCGTGGAAGTACTACTTTGTCTTCGTCGCTGTCCTCATCGTTTACAGCTTTATTGCCTTCTTCTTTTACCCGGAGACCAAGGGATACAGTCTCGAGCACGTGGCGTTTGTCTTCGATGGCGATCAGGCGGCTGTTGGTGGTGGTATTGGGGAGAAGGCGGCTATCAAGGCAGAGAAGGAGGCTGAGGATACGCAGGTTGAGCATGCTTAGATGGCGCGGGGATGATGTCCTGTAGATGATTTGTTGAGATGCTACGATCTAGATTCTAGAAATGAGAAACGTGTTTTTTATCGATCTGGTCAAGGCCCCCTCCCCATCTCATCCGGATCCATATGTCTACAAATGATAGACAAAGCCCGACTGAAGCGCCCACGCTCCGGAACCTTACGCACAATTTCCAACCGTCGCTCAACCTCCAGGTAGTATACTTTCTAAAGCGGATCTCAAGAAAGTGGACTGATCACTAATCAGCCCATCGCCTCACAGTTCTCGTATCCTCTGGTCTAACCTCGAGGGCCGAGATCATGATAGCAAACTGACTACCACATTTAAGAAAATCAGAGTGAGAAATGGAGTGTTGGTAACTGAAGTAATTAGGCTACGGCCTCAAGGCGCCCCCGAGTTTGTGGTGCATGTCCGCTATATATCTTATCTCTTGCTTGATTTCAATTTGTTTATTCTCATGAACAATAGAACTATTCTGCCTGACATGTTGATTACTATTCGAGTCCACTATCCGCTGCAGCGTCTTTTGCTTAGAAATCAAGTGAATGAAATAAGGAGCAATGAAGTCAGATGTTAGTTGGGCGGATAGAATATATAAAGCCTTCCTTTCCAGAATACTAGTAAGTCACAATAGCAACATCCCCAGCTCACACTAACACTACGCAATGGACCTCTCCCAAATCCCCAATGGCGAGTTCGTCATCTATGGAACAGTACATACCTTCTCCGACCCATTTCTACCCTCCCCTCCCACCATCCATCCTCTACTAACACCTCCACCCGCCACAGCTCACGGTGACCCCCGGCACAGAAACGCGAGCCGCCTCTTTGATCACCCAAATCGCAACGCAGGTCAAATCCCACCAGGGCACGGTCTACTACTGCATCACGCAGGACCCCGCGAACCCGCGCCTGTTCCACCTCTTCGAGAGATATACGGGGAAAGATGCGTTTGTGGAACACGCTCAGCTCCCGCTTGTGAAGGAGCTGTTTGGGATTGTGGATGATTTCAGGCCTGTTTTTGTGGAGGTTGCGCAGAAAGCTTGAGGGGGTCTTAAGAATTCGAATACATACTAGGCGATGATGTTGACTTGGGTGTTGCCTGAGATAGTTGTTGGGTATATTGTCGACCTTTCCAAGGTTATGCGTCCTACTTGGTGATTATTCATCGTCACTGCTCATTCAACTAATCGTGGATCCACCTTTTCACTAGCCTTACGAGTAGACCCTGTCTTATAGATTGCATATAAGAGTATTAGCACTGATGCTAGTAGTAGCTGGCAGAGAACAACATCTCACGTACCCCGAGGGAGGAACGGGTATAGAGAGTAAAAGTACGAGTCGTTCAATAGTTCGGCGCAGTTAATGAAGCTTGCTTCTTATAATGGTATATCTTTACATAGCAAGCCAGAGGGAAATAACCCTTAGATTCGTGTTCCTTAACTTAGGAGCTTTGAGAGTTACTCGAGTCAGTGGTCTTCCACAAAGCCGCTTGTATGTCACAGGCGGAGACTTGGAGGGACTCGGATGGAAGTTGAGCCATGGACTAAGCTGAAAGGGAGCGGTCGGTGAGATGGAACACCCTAGATCGAGGCTCGAAAAAGCCAACGCCATGAGCTCATCGTTTTCAGTAAGCATTTGCCCTGAGCATGGGCAGTTCTTCTCGCCACATGGTGGACGCCGGCAGACCCACAGCATCACCGGGATAATACGTGAGAAGCAAGATGATTACCCATATTTTAGGGACTATGGACGGGATATTCTCATGATTAATCATTTGCGAACCACGATATACCGTTCTCTGTTACTATTTACTATGCAATTGTTCGATCTATCCAACTTCCGGAATCCCCGTTTCATCGGCCTCGCCGGCAAAGTTCTTGCAAGACTGGACCCCCTACCATGAACCCTGAATGACACCAGTGGCCTCATATTCTAGGTCCTACTCTCATGGGTGGCCCGAGAGCTTTGTAGGAAGAATATAGCTTGAACTGGGGCAATGGAAGTCATACTCGGCTCGCAGTTCGGACAGATCGTCCGCATACTTACCAACTGCCGAGTCTTCAACCTGAAGAGACCAGCGACGAGACGTGCCAGAATTACCTCGTCCGCAAGGGTCCTGTCGACGAAGAAAATGTCTCCTAGCCTCGCTCGTCTTCTTTGGGTGGACGGGGGAACTCCGCGTCGGTTCAGTCGGTTCGGTGGATCGTTCCTATCGTTGCGTCGATGTTCCTCACTTTTGGGAGTTGTCTAATCATTTATTGTATTTTTTTCACCTCCTCTATGGGTGCGTATCCACGGTATGCGGCGTCTGTTCTCGCGGGGAATGATTTTATGCGCTCATCCTTTGGTGCCAAATTTCCATTGTTTGCGACAGCAATGTTTCATAATCTAGGCGTGAATTGGGCATGTATGTTACTGGGGTGTCTTACTGTGGTTTTCGTGCCGGCGCCGTTTATCCTGCTGAGGTATGGGAGGAGGTTGAGGATGGCGAGTAAGTATGCGCGAGATAATACTTAAGACGCTACTGCGAGCATAGAGAAGGGTGCTTTTTATAGGGTTCTATATACCAAAATCTCTGTAGTTTGATGGTCAGCTCTTTCTTCCAATGAAGGTTCCGGCACACTTGCGTGTCATGTCATTCATGTAGGCCTCTTATACTTGGCAATCCCAACTGGTTTTTTTTTTCTCCTTTATCTCCTTCGCATAACCATCTTGATCGCTGAGTCTTCTCCTAGTCCATCGCCTCCGAGCTCTAAGACTGCCATGTCCACGGTGTTCTTTTGCCGTACGTGCCACCAGCAGAATCCGGAGCGACTTGGTCGGAGGAGCTCTTAGCGACAGCGACTGCACGATGACAACCTTGGACCTTGGCCAGTCTCAATATCTCGGCACCAAGAAAGAAAAGGTCGAGCATCGGCTTTATTCCCCGCTCAGCGGCTGAATTCGACCCAGGATGGTGTGCTCGGAGAGACGATCGCCCGGGGTCCATTGGAGATTGTCCGAGCGCAGAGAGCAACTGGAGAAACCCCGCACTCCGCCTTAAGCTGTCCGGGGTCTCGCTCGTCGTACGATCCAATCACAACCATCCTGCAACGGCGCTGGCGGAGGTCTATATAAGATGGAGAGAGCAGGACGATCATCGTTTGAGACTTGATTCACTCCACTTCCATTCCCGCGCGACGTTGAGGATCGAGAGACCGCATCGACGCGACCGCAACAGAACCAACACAATGACCGACGTCGTTAGGGGCAAGACCTCGCTCGACCAGCCCATGGCTGTTGATACACCGAATGCGCCTGCGGCCTATGATGAGGCAAAGGTTGTGGAGGATACTGAGAAGGATGCCGCTGCTGTCCCCAGCTCCGCGAACAAGCCAAAACCTCGCTCGCTGTGGGTTGCGTGGCTTTACCTGTTCGACTGGTACCCGAGCCATTACTCCAAGGAGGAACGCAGGCTTTTATTCAAGCTTGATTGCGTTCTGCTCCCGCTTTGCTGTCTTATATGTGGGTTTCTGAAAGCTTCTGATGAACAGTCGGCTGACTTTGGCAGACTTCATCAAGTGGCTTGACCAGGTCAACATTAACAATGCCTATAACTCTGGTATGAAGGAGGAGTTGGGCCTCTATGGAAATGAGTATGACACCTCAGTTGGTCCACTGACCCCACAGCAGAATCGACTAACGCCCTCTAGATACTCTCTCTTCGGCACCTTTTATAACATCGGCTACATGGTCTTCGAAATCCCCTCGATGATGATAATGTCGCGCCCGAAATTCTCCCGATACTTCCTCCCCACAATGGAAGTCTGCTGGTCCGTCCTGACCTTCGCCCAGAGCCGCCTCCGCAACAAGCACGACATCTACGGCCTGCGCTTCCTCCTCGGCGTCCTCGAAACCCCCGTCTCCTCAGGAACAATGTATGTCCTCTCATCGTGGTACCGCGGCGACGAGCTCTTCAAGCGCGCGGGAGTCTGGTTTGTGTCTAGCAACCTTGGTTCCTTCATGGGCGGACATCTCCAGGCTGCGGCGCAGGAGACGTTACATGGTGTCCATGGGATGTCCGGGTGGAGATGGCTGTTTATTATCGATGGGTGCATTAGTTTGCCCATTGCTTTTATCAGCTTCTTCATGTTCCCGGGGTTGCCGTCCAGTCCGAAGGTGTGGTGGTTGACCGATGCGAACCATAAGCTGTGTGTTTCGCGCATGCGCAATGAGGGTGTGAGGGAGAGTCGGAAGATTGGGAAGCGCATGCTTAAGCGTGTCTTTACCCACTGGCATTTCTACATTGCCGTCTTTACTTACATCTTGTGAGTTGTTAACCGCTGACCATGCTGGACTAATCATGCTGACTGAGGCACTCTCCAGCTTCCAATGTACATCCTACGTCGCCGGCCAGATGATCCTCTGGCTCAAAGAAGAAGCCGACCTGAACGGAACCTGGACCGTCTCGCAGATCAACCAGATTCCGACCGGTGTACAGGCCGTGTCCATCTTCGCCGGTATCCTCGCCACCTCGCTGGTCATGGTGTATCCATTCTGGGCGGTCATGTCGGTCGTTGCCTCGGTTTTGCTCTTCGGAAATGTGTGTCTGCTTGTTTGGGATATCCCGGTCGGACTTAAGTGTATGAATTTCCTATGCCTTTTTTGTTGTCGCTTGTACGGGGTGGGAGATTTGGCTAACTGTCGCAGTCACCGCGTACTACCTCCTCGGATTCACATCGTGCGTCACGCCGATATTATTCCCGTGGGTGAACATGGTGATGAAAGATGATTCTGAAGCTAGAGCGTTTACATCTGGTGCAATGGTACGCTCACCGACGCTCAACACCCCCCAATTGTGAACTTACTCCCTAACGCCCTTCTTCTCTAGATGACATTCGGCTGGGTCTTCTTCAGCTTCTACCCGATCACCGTCTTCCCCGTGGTCGAAGCGCCCAAATGGCGCAAGGGATACACTGTGAACACGGTCTTTGTCATCTGCTGGTGGACGATCTTCATGTTTGGCCAGTATCTCTGGCGGCGAGATGTCAAGGCCGGCAAGTACAGTAGTGGCGAGTATGCGGTCAAAAACGAGGAAGAGTCGGAGAATGATAAGATTCGGGACGAGAAGGGTGAGCCTCTTGAGCATGTCGAGTTCTCTGCTGGCGGGGAGGCGGGGAAGGAAGGGAGGGTTTGAGCGTGTGGTAGTAGTGAATAATTGTGGCTCACTCTGCTGCCTTGTCGTGAGAGGGATAGGATAGGAACTGTGGACAGGTCGTCTTTGCATGGATATTGGTATAGGGATGTGTAGCGAATTAGTTTCCAGGGATTTGGCACTCTAACGATATGTCTATGATTCTCGGTGGCAAGGTGCTGCCCATGGGCGTGAATTTAAGCATCGAGGCCGAGTCGTGACCAAAGTCGATCATTCACTCTACAAACCAGGATTGAGTCTCTTGATGAGCCACTCTCCTACGAAGCTTCTTCACTCCCATGGCCTTTTGCACCGACTTGTATCCGTTGAAAAGTTATTTTGCTTTTGGAATCACCTACTGCCATCTACGTTGAGGCCATCGAATCCCCGCTGCCGAGGTCTTCTCCTTTGTGTGTCTCTGCATCTACTTCTAGCATATGTTGCCTGACCATTTCCAAGAGACCTCAAACTACAACCACCTATCCTTCCCAATTTTTGCCATCGGTAATGCGCGTGTCCAATCTTTGCATTATCCTGCTGGCAGGGGACAAGAGATCCCAAAGGTAACCCCAAACCTGCGAGCAACAACCTAAACGCGGAGAGAACAACGCGAGTATGGAAGCGGGTGACGCTTGGAGCACGGGGAGCAAAAACATGGAAGTTGCTGTCCACAATGTCGACGGGAGAAGTCAACAAAGGAAGAGGAGAAGGTCCATGTGGAATATAGAGTCGAGCAGCGACTCCGACGCCGGAGATATTGACCACGATGGTCATACAAGACGGGTAAGTGGCTGACTATCGTTGCCTGAGATGGTGGTCTTGGTTGACTAACCTTGTTCTAGCTGACGTCTCGTTCTAGCCAGGCACGAACTACAACACCGCAGGCCTCGTTGCCGGACAGAGGAGCCGGTGAGACATTTCCACAACCGTCAGGCACAGCTCAAGCATCTCAGCAAAGCAGTTCCCGTGCCTCCAAGAGGCAGTCAAAATCCATCGGCCCTAAGCCCACTACACGTTTCTCCACCCCAGAGTCAGGACCTGGTGTTGTTTTGGATGGGGACATGGTGGACCGAGAGAGATTGCCTAACCGAACCATGCCAGAGATTCGCGCGATCAGAGACAAGACCCGGCAAGGGAATACTCCATCAGAAAAGCGCGCACAGCCTTCACAGACACCACAATCCGCTTTCTCAACTTCCTCTCATCCGACACAATCAGCACAGCTCGGTAGTCATACGCACAATCATAAGCCTTTAGCTGGGCGTTCGAATGCGCCTCCTACCGCACAGCGGTCTACCAGCTGTAGGGCACACACACCGTCCGTGTCAGAATCCAACGTTTCCAGGACTGGGCCCAGACAATTACTGCTCGGGGGCCAAGGGGACAGAGAGGTATCTCCCCGTCAGGGCGTCGACCTCATGGTTTTGATACCCATGCCGCAGCCAGGCCCTCCTGCTGCGCCGTCGCAGCGAGTCACATCGGTCGCACTTGTTGAAAGCCACGGTGAAGCGGAAGAGCTTGGGACCGCATCATCAACGAGTGAAAGAATCAAACCACCTGACCGACCTCAACTGTCTGAAACGTCTGAGAACGACCAGAAGCATCGGAACAGCTCACCTCCGACTGTGGCGGAAAAGTCTCAAGATGCTACTGCTGAACATGGTCCGGACAACCAAGCTAAGTCATCCAACAGCGCTCCAAAGCCAGAAACCCTTCCGGCGGCAGTAGAAGCCTCGCCCGACCTTTCCACCGATGTAAGGGGTGAGACGCGTAACATGGCACAGCCTCAGTTCCTGCAAAGCGACCCGTCCAAACCATGCGAGAACTCCACGCCGGTACCACCAAGCTCAACTCTCACGGCGAATGATATAGATCAGTATTACCATACCGGTATAGAGGCAATTCGCTCTGGAACTCGAAATCTGGAGAGCTACTACTTCGCCATGAACGACGAGCAAATTGCGGAGAACAAACTGCTGAAGGAGGCAAACCAAGGGCTGCAGTCCCTTATCCGCCAGGCCTTTACCGAGAACGCCACGCTCAAGAAAGAGGCGGCAGAAAACAAGGAAGAATTAGACAAGCTCCTGAAGGAGAAGAAGAGATGGGCGGAGGATAGGCAGAACATAGGGAGGATAGCTAGAACCTGTAAGACTCTTGAGGAACTTGCAAATTCCCTGTCGGCACCTGATGAGAAGAGCTGATACGTCCTTGGTAAATCTGGAGACTTGCAGAACGGAAATATTGATCGGGACATTTCTCCTAGGATTTCTTGTGACAGTCTAAGCGGCTAACCTGGGGTGCAAGGAAGGGTGTGAATTCGGGCCTTGTTGCTAATACCAGAGAGTCACAATCTTCACTAGATACATAGACAAATTCAACCAACCAAATAGGGATTTTGCCTTATATTTAAACAATCTCTATTTACTTTGCACCTCCTCAATTGTATGCTTTGTTGTTGCAGGGTTGTGTTATGTATTTTGAGCAGTTATTCTGCTGGTGGAGCCACCCACTTTTCAGCCGTCTGTATCCCAGACCACCGTCTCCGTCCTGAAAATTTCTTCTACTCTGTCTTTCTTCCTTATGTCGACTGGTGATTTTTTTCTCAAAGATATCAAAGCCCATATGCTTATTGTTGCTTCTCCACCGTTCCAAACACCCGACTTTCCATATTGACGCGCCTCGCCTACCAAAGGCCGGGAGTAACACAAGAGAGCCCCCAGGCCTACGAGCCACAACCAGCCCTCCTTCCACAGAGCCAAACCACCTATTGCAAGTGTTGAAGCCAGCCTGCCTTATCAACATGTCCTCACCGCCCCGCAAGCTTAATATTTGGGGGCTCCAGGTCACGGATGCACGGCGCCCTTCGTCTCCTGCATCTACGCTCCGCAATCGAGAGTTACCTCCTATGACGCGCAAGGAAAGCAGCTCTCAGAATCCAGACGGAAGCGTAGGCAGAAAGAGGGGAATTGGTGACGTGGAGGCTAGAGACAACACCGGTTGCCGGCGTGGGACGGGTGTTAGAGATGTCGAGACGGCCGGCCAGGGGGGCGCGCAGACCATTGGAAAGGCGACTGTTGCCGTCAGGAGCAACATCGATAGTCGTCCTACCAAGAGGAGCAAGCCCGATGACACCCCGGGAGGAAGCAGTCTTTTACCCGCTGAGCCCAATCACAATAACATTTACAACAAGCTGGTGAGTGGCTAACTTCCATTACCCTAGCCGACCCTATACCTGTCCAGTTACTGACATGCGACAAGTTTGATCCGCGCGTTAGGCAAACATCTCTTCCTTCGGAGCGTCCTGCTAGGCCCGGGGAACCGAATGCCAAATTTACATGGCGTTCATTCGGAGCCAGGCTTCATGCTTCCAGGATAGCGAGAGAATCGGCATCTTCTACCGCAAACTCAAGGTCATTAGGTACTCAGAGAACCAGCTTCGCTTCCGAATTCGACAAACCACTGAGCGCCATAGCTAGAGCCAGAACCGCTCCGTCATCCCCCAATATGCCATTGACGAGGCCGGCAGGAACCACTGCTCCCCCGCTTCCCAAAAGACCTTCACAGACACAAAGATTATCATCTTCCCAGCCCACCATTCCGAAACCGTCCGTCCCAAACAAAGGGCTACCGGATTCTAATCCGTGCGTCCAGTCCAACACTGTTGCGGAACCCGCCCATCTGGCACGTCCTGCTAAGCCACCTCCACTTGGTGGAAATGCAGCTCGCAAATCTGATCAGCCGAAGGCTATAGGTGCCGGTTCGGATGTTTGCCATGCCTCAATCATTCCAGAAGTCAGTCAGGCAGTGAACCACAATCCATCTCGTCAAAACATCGCGTCAATGGTCGTAGCACGGGCGCCGCAGACCCCTGGTCCTGATTCCCCACGGCAGGAACTGCAGGAGCTGCAGGGGGAACCAGCCGCGTCTTCCTCTGTAAAGCAGGATAGGGGAAAGCAGGCAGAAGATGCATCAGGGGTGAGCAAGGACGGACCATCATCAGTTCAACCTCTTGTGGGATCATCCGAGAAAGATCAGAATAATACTCCATCTCCTGCGGTACAGACGCCGCAAAATGACGCCGCAGGATCAGTCGATGGAGCTCAGGCTACCTCACCGGCTGAAGACCCGAAGCCAGCTATCTCTCCCATGACACCGGAGCACCCGCCAAGATCGTTCAAAGAGCCTGACAGTTCGACGCTACCCCTCTCCGAGCCTCGCACGCATAGGGCTCAGTTATCCAGTCCGGCTGATATTTCCGCTCCACGAGCCTCGGCGCTGACAAAGTCCGGGGCTGATAAACACTATCATACAGCTATGGAATCAATCAATGCTGGTATTAGCCAGCTGGCACGATATCACGCATCTATGAGCGCACAGTGGATGTCGGAGAAAGAAAGACTTGGAGATGAGAACAAATCTTTTTGTGCGTACGTCGAGGAACTTTCGGGGAAGGTCCAAGCGCTCGAAGCCCAGCTGGTAGTGCAGACAGAAGAGGTGAATAGGCTTAGGGGTGATAAGAAGATATGGGAGAACAAGAAACAACAGATAACAAGCGCTTTGAAGATGCTTGAGGATTCGTAAGCCTGAAGGCAGATGAGTCGGTGCCTGACAATGAAAAATGAGATCCTTGACTACAATGGACTTGGGACAATGTACCTTGAGGTCTGAAGGAACAGTTTTCCCTTGACCCTGGGAGGTGTTTGAATGCAAATAGATTGCTACCAATCATAGGTGATAAGATAGATATCTTCATCCACTAGGCTTGTTGGATGTACCAACCTGGAGATCCTACACCCCTTTGCGGGAAAATTGCCCAATATTCGTGGTAAACACGAGCCGGAAGACCAGAGTCAATCTTTAGTAGTTCGTGTGAATCACACAGACATGGTTTTATCTTTTCGAGGAGTAATCTATTAATGCGTACTTTATGGCCTTGCAGTGGCTTCGTGTTTAGTGCAAGGTGTTTTTTGAGGTCATTCTGCTCATCTGTTTGCCTGCCACCCAACTCCGCAATCCCACGGCATTCCTCTGTGACTCTGACCGTCTGTACCCTCTGTTATTGCACCTATCTTCCAATCCGAAGTCTTGCAACCTGGTGCTGCTCTGCGACCACCATGTCTTTTCTCCATAACTACCGTGATTCTTGCGGCATCTGCGGAACAAACACGCCGACCTAAGGTGGGACGAGTTCACAGCGGTAAGCAATATCCTCTGCATTGGTTTTCCTCCCCGCACCCTTGGCACTTTGATGCCTGCCGAGGGCGATGCGAGGACCTTATGAACTTGTTGTTATTAATGATCTGTCTTCTGCCAGGGAAACTTCTTTCCAGGCCGATCGAAAAAGTCCCTGCGGAAACGTTGGCAACGCATCAAAAAACGCCGACAGCCTTCTCCGACTCCGAGTTTCATCCGCGTCGTACACACCTATCAGACCCAAAACTGCCACAAGCCGTGGATCTGCTCACCAGAGCATAAATGCTAGTCCAAAGAGGAAACGACAAGGGACAGACAGGTATCTTGAAGACAGTAGGGCCGCAGAACGCAGGATCTGTGATGGATATGGAGGTGGTGAGGGCGATGGCAAGACCAGGACGAGAAGTCAGGACAAGGGGTGCGAGGTCCTTCTGATCAATACGACCGGCGAGGAGCTAAAGAAGCGCAGAGACTCTATCAGCACTGTGAATACCGATAGTGGTTCGCATCTGGATGCCGGCGATATCGACCCTGATGGGCATCGGAAGCCAGTAAGTGGATGATTATCCAACCACATGATCTGCCATTTCCTAGTCTAATTGCTCGTCTTTGTCTAGCTCAAAGCTCGCGTGAGGCAACTACGCGTTCCGCCTTTACTGACACTTTCAACGCTGAGCCAGAACCTTGTTGTCCCTCCTCATAGCCCTCAAGCAAAGCTGTAGGATCGCCGCCAGTCCCTTCTTGTCCGTCCATAAAAGCAGGAAGAACCGAACACACCTACTCGTACTACAGATCCATGCCGTCCTTTAGGATTGACATCAGTTTCGATGGGTGCTGAGACGGTAAGCCTCTTGCTACTATTCCTATTTTCCCTGTCGAAGGCCTTGCTAAGTTCTCCTGCGGTGTCTCCAAGACCCCACTGGTAGATACTGCGCGCGCATTTCCTGCAAAGCCTTCTAGCACATCACCTCAGTTAACATTTCCACAGTACTCTAAGCCCAGTATAACCTCCGAACAGAAGAGTCCGTCACTCGGTATCAAGCACTTCGCGGTCGTCGTGAATACCGCTCCGAGCTTACAGCCAAAACTTGCATGTGCTGCTCCTACCAGCTCGCGAGTCCCAAATTCAAAGCTTCCAATGGCTGGTCAGACATCACCAATGAGCTAGGACCGCACCCATACAAAGAGCTCGCCCCGCCAGAACATTGAGTCTGTTGCTGCGGGGCGGACTTCACCGACAAGTCCCCTACCTTCTTCTACATCGCAGCAGAGCTCACTTGCTTCTCTGGTTGAGACACGGGAGAGAGCAAAATGACTAGAGAAGACAAATGAGCGAACCAAAGATTTCAAGCCGTCTGTCCAATATTTCGCACTTCCTGGAACATCAGAAATGGATCAAAATGATACTATGTCGACGCAGATAGCTCGACATGATTCTGTTTCAGAAGATGAATTCGAACGATTGCAACGAACCCCATTCTCTAGCGAAGGCTCAAAGCGGACTGCACCCTCCGTGTCACCGGCAACCTACTCTCCGAAAACCGCGCATTAGAAGGGAAAGTGGTTAAAGTCTCAGACTCTAAAAGGCAAAACTGCGATGCCTAGTCCGACCAAGGATCCCGTGCGCGCGCTACGAGAGCAATCATATCCAGAAAGGTCTGATATAGACAGACTCTTCCAGCGGGGTTTGCAGGCCCTTTGTCAGGGAATCGGAGATCCAATAGAGTACTACACGGACATCGACGAACAACAGGCCTCGGAGCACAAGATGCTCAAGGAAGCAAATCTGTGTCTTCGGTCTTCTGTTCAACAGCTGGCCACTGAGAACACTGCACTTAAGAAAGAGCTGTCTGATATTACTGCACTCAATAAACAGCTGGCTGAGAATGCTGAAGAGTTGGGGAAGCTCAGGGAGGATAGAAAGGGGTGGGAGGATGGAATACAAAAGTTCCGGAGTGCGTTTCAGACACTTGAAGCGCTTGCTAAGTTTGATAACGGAGGAACCGAAGATCAAATGGCAGGGTAAATGTGCTTTTTTGGCTATATGCGGGATTGTTTGTGCTTACAGGTGGAAGATCGTATAGTTTGCGGGATACGATCTTGCTCTGGGATCTTAGCTGAACCTCACTTCGCTTGGTCGTTGACTCCAAGATCTCTGTCAGTCCTTGATCTCGTTTGAAATCCAGCCCCTTTCGTTGTTCCTGTATGTAAAACCGAACCATTGGCGGCCTCAAAAACCATTGCTTTGCCAACGATCCGCGTTCAATCCACCTCATAGTGACCAAACATCCTTGAGGGGAACCTGAACTTGGAGAGGTAGCAGTGAATGATAGGTGTGCCCTTGAAATCTTGATATTGCCTCACTTATCTCTCGTGGCCCGTCAGAGCTGTAGTGGCACAGCCTATACGTTGTTGGGAGTCGTTTTGTCTGTGGAAAGTTCTAGCACACAAATAGAAACCTCTTTGTATCGCTCATCTGTATCTACTAACCTCAAGCGCTAGAAGATTTCTTCCATCAAAAAAACAAATCAGGTTAAGGAAGATGGGGACTGCCTTTTCTCCCAGAGATTCGCGCTAATCTACAACCCGTGTGCTGCCGACCAGCTCCCGCATCATCCACCACCGTCTTCCCTGTGTTGCTCACCATCTCATCGCGCAAATGCAGATTGCTTTCTTCTTTCGTCTTACTTCCTTCCGAATTACACCAGGTCTACGACTGAGCATAATCCCATACCACAAAATCCCTCTCGAACTAACCAGAACGCCCCAATCGCTCCCTTCATCCGTTCTGTCACCAGTTCTGTGCCAGAATGCCCGGTCCGCCCCCCGGCTACACGCCATGGAGCCAAGAAGAAAGGAACAAACTTATAAAGTTGAGAGATGAGTACTCTGAACTGTCCTGGAAACAGTTTCACAAGGCGAGCACTGCCTTTCTTGCTCACCACATTCCCGCCAGTGTCTTCCGGCTTGCCATCCACCATAACACAAGTCCTATCGTGGGTTTCCTTTGCTAATATCCTATCTTGCCATGACTCTAGTTAGAACTGTTCCCCGACCGCACGAACGGTGCGGTTATAGCCATGTACAACAGGATGAAGCTTGAGATGGCTGAAATGAGCGATAATGAAGGCGAGTCCGACGGCAATACTGGTGATGCGGGTGAGAGCGAGGCAGAGTCATACGCTCTAGAGAAGATCTCTAAAAAGGACGAGCTTATGAAACATAGCTCCGCTGCGGATAACAAGGGTTCAAAGCCTCTGGTGGAGTATGACACAACCGACAGCGAGACGGATGCAAAGGGCACGAGCTGTGCTCGTGATTCTCCTACGGTATGTGCCTAGCCGAACGCAGCTTGCTATTCGCTATACTAGGCTAACGCATGCTTTATACCCAGTTCGACCCGAGCACCCCCCGGCCAAAGAAACGCAAACAAACTCGTGTGCCTCAGAACCAGAGCCAGAGCCCTCGTCCAGAATTCAGCCGCCGTCCCACCACTCCGTTCTGGATACAGGCACAACAGAGAGCAATGAGGGCCGCCAGCATAACTCAAGACACAAAGCCAGTCCTGCCGTCCCATCCGTTTCCTCCAGCAAGCGAATACGCTCCGAGAATACACTTCCGGGCCACTTGGGATACCGACTACTCGGCCGACGACACCCAACTGACCCTCGGAGAACACCTCAAGGAGATAGAGGGGCAGAATGCAGCCATGCATAAAGAAATCGAGGAACAGATCCAGAGGCTCAAGCGGGAGTCAACCGCTGCTAAGGAACGCTCGAATCAGGCAGCGACGCTACTCAGAAAGCTACAGCAGTTGGGGGGCTTGCTCAATCTAAGTCCTTCAGAGGTATCTACATTGATCGATGTGATTAAGGCCAGCGAGTTCAGCCATGCGGGTACAACCTCAGGATGATCGTGGGGTTTCTCTGACTTGCGGGGTTCAAAGGGGTATGGATGATGCTAATATTGCTTGACCATGAAGATCGGTGAGAATGAGATTTGTTGGTTTGTACTTCGAATGCTTTAATTGACAGTTACTTTAACAAGATTGCTCCTGCCATGTCTTAGGTTGTTCACTCACTTCCATGGCATCGTCTTTGTCTGAAGAAGGTTTTAGCACGCAACAGCGTGACGCTTTTTTATCACTTAGCTATCACCTCTAGTCGCTACTCATGGAAAGTCTTTTTCTTCCAGAATCCAACCAGGTACGCTGGTGAAGATAGAGCGCGCTTTTTTTTCTCCCGGACATGCGCTCTCCTTCACCACCTCCGTGGCCTGCGGCCAGCATCGCGAGCCTTCCCCGTCTCCAGTATATCCTTCACCAGCATGGAGCTCCCCTATTCAATCCTTCTCGCCAACGTATACCGATCTCCATGTTTATCTCCCTTCTTTCCAAGGAAACTCTCGACCGAGATCTGGTCACGAATTCATCTGCAAGATCCATCAGAATCAAACCGCGGACCACAGCAATCCATACATCACGACCCATATATCAACCTGCTCGTGCACCCCTATAAATTTACTGGACGACGTCGTTGCAATGACTTTCCGTAGGCAAAAACGGACCCCATGGACCGAAGAGGATAAACTGAAGCTCCTGACCTTAAAGGATGAGCACCCTGATCTCACGTGGGACGAATTTCTTGAGGTAAGCCACTCTGTCCGCGGACAGGGCGTCCGGCGCCCCCCGTCTTTCCCGCACTCCGACGAACAAGACACTGATCAGGAACTTTACTAATGCTCCCTCTTGCCATGCATATAGTTGACAACCTTCCCTGGTCGCACCAAGGCAGCCATCCAAAACATGTGGCACAAGTTAAAGGCCAGGAACGCCGAGGAAAGTGACGACGACAACGAGTGGGAGGAGCAATCGGGGGACGAGGACAACGATGAGGATGAGGGAGAGATAGCGGCGGAGGCAGAGACCGTAACCGATACCGCCGTGAACAAGCCGAAGAGGGGACTGATCGAATACGAGTTGACTGGCAGTGAGACAGATGCCGTGGACTTGAGGAAGGCCGGCGATAGTGCCGCGGTAGGTGCCAGCACTGACGGCGTTTTGTACCGAGGATTATGGGCTAATGCATGCATGGGTGGCGCTCAGATCAATTCTTCTACTTTACCTTCGAAGAAACAGAAACAGCAGCGATCGAAATCATTCCCCGCTCCCAGCGCATCTCAAGATGTCAAACTGGATCCACAATCTCGCCCTTCCACTCCGGCCACCGGGCCTTGGTTTCCTACTCAGCACCCGGACACTTCCAATACCTTTCGCTCGTCAGATACTCGTGCGAAACCGTCACCCCACTTAAGCTTGGGGGAGTATCTGAAACGGAGGCAGCTCCAGAAAGCAGCTTTGCACAAGGAACTCGAAGTGAAGATTAAATCTCTAAAGGCACAGTCAGATGCCGTCCGGGAAGAGGTGGAGGAGGCAGCGGCCCTTTACACCAAGTTGCAGCAGCTAGGGGGCTTACTGAACCTCAGTCCTTCGGAAGCGGATACCCTGATGGCGATCATTCGGGCCAGCCACTTTACCACTACTCCTACACCCATGAACTGAATTACAGATGTTCTGCAGTTGCTGGATATCGCACGATGTCAGAGGGTTGACGCGGAGGGTTGGTGGAACAAGCATTTACAAATACTCAAGTAAAAGGCTGAAATTCAGAATACCAGAATATCTAAATCTCAATCATACCCGAAAGAATGTAACTGTATCATCATATAGACTTCTCGTAGTATCTTCCCGTATGCCTCTTTCTCTCTTTTCTTATCCAAACGCGTGTATCCGACCGCAAGACAGATCGATCAAACTTCGAAGCAAAATGACGTGGCTAATCACTCAAGACAATCACACGATTCTCGTCGGCACATTCATTACCACCATTGCTCTGACGTAAAGAAGAATTCCGAGGCTCAGGTATGTCCATCGCCCTAACCCACTTGTACAGACTTGACCTGTCAAGTCTGAGGAGCTTCTCCGGCCGCTCCAAGAACCTCTCCGCCCTTCCCGAATTTCTTCTAGCCTGAGCTGCCTGCCCCTCGAGCCTTGCGATCCGATCTGTAATTGCGCTTTGCTGGTGCTGAAGTGCTTGAATCTCGTCTTGGAGTTGAGCGTGCTTGTCGACTTCGCTGGAGCGAATGCGCTCAAGCGTTTCGCCAATGTTTTCCTTGTTGGGGTCTGGGGCGGGTGTGTACAGTTCTCTGTAATTCTGGCCTTCAGCTGGGAAGCCTGCACGAGCGCTTGACTGGAAAGGTGCATCAAGGGGCACGAAGTGTGATTTCGGTTCATCCGGGTGGATCGAAGTTCGGCTTGGGTGTCGCGTGTTTGTGGATGCAGGGCTCAGTGGTGGCCCAGGAGACGATGACCACAGCACAGTGCGATGGGACCCCTTGGCAGCATTGCTTGATGATTTGCCAGGTCCTCGTGCTCTTCTTCCTATTGGGGAGCCCTCGAATGTCGTCCCGGTCACCGACTTGCGTTTCTGTACGGAGGTGTTTGTGGCTTTTCTGGCCGACGGCGAAGGTTGAGAGGTCTCCACGGCATGGGTCCGTAGTCTGTAATTCGCATTGGTTCCCGTCTGCCGTTTCAAAGGGCTCCGTGTTGGTCGTTCTTCAGTGGGGTGCTCGAGCACGTCGGTCTACCAGCAGTTCCAGTAGCCGTGGAGGAAGTTTCAATGTCACCATCCGTCTCCGGGGGTTTGTGGAGGATCGTGCGGTATTGCAAGGTCCCGCGTCCGATCGTCGGAGCTAGAGGAGATGAGTGGTTAGCGAAGGGCATATACAGAGCACAGAGGCTTCGTCCAGCTTCCTCACCTGCATAGTCAGGCGACTGCTGTCTGCGCCTTCAGCATCCGAACTGCTTCCGCTAGCACGGGCAGGCGAGCTGCGTCCACTAGCGTCGGCAATCCAGCTACTTCCGCTGGTACAGCTCTGCCGCTCTCACTGCCTTCCTCATCGACGTCGGCTCCGCTCCTGGACGGAGCGCTCTCATCTCCGTCCTGGCCCGTGTTATCAACCCGCCCGAATTTTAAACCATCACCGTGATTCCCCTCGTTACAGCCATCTGTGGTCGCAAGTTGTGCTCTCTGTTGCTGGATATAATGCAACTGACTAGAAAGAGTATTAAGCGTCCGTCCTGGAAAAAGGCTCAACTAGGGCACCACAGAGTAAAAACGTCAGCAGGAGTGGCCAGGGCTCGGCCAGAGGCACGCAGGGAGACTTGTGATAGTACCGAGCGACGCCATCGTACCTTGTGGAATTCACCCCAGCTAAGATGCCAGTAAACCTGGCGCAGATGCAGCAGTCTTTCTCTCTCCTCGTCGCTCCAGGTCATGCCTGTGGACTTGGTGGTTTGCATGGAGGAAGGAGATCGCAGTTCTGGCTGTCAGACGCGGTCGTGGACGCGAAGATTTCGTCCTCTTTGCGTGTTGTTATGGTCTTGGCGGTTTCGTTTGCTGGTTGTAGGTGTTGGGTGTGCGAGCGACAGAGGGGAGTTTGACGGAGGAGAGGGGGGAATCGTGTCTATTTTTGCGTTTGGAAAAGACAATTTCAAGTAAAAGAGACAGGATATGGGTAACATAGGGAAGGAAATCATCTCATCTGAGAGTCGAGACATCATGGCGTGGGATCCTGGTCGAAAGTCCGGGATCTTGCACGAAAATGAGTCTCGCGGGGTGGCTGCATGGGCTGGCCGGCGATGGATCAGAAATGGTATAAGCATGGCAAACGCCGCAATCCACTCTGCATTCACAACACGCAGCAGAAATTGGGGACTGCCAACATTTCGCGTCAGGGGGATTTCGCTGTAGATAGGACATCTTCATTTCTTTTCTTGTCCTATTTAGGCAAGAATCGCTCGTCATTGCGCAGCAAGTGAAGCGAGCAAACATCTCCAGCAGCTTTAGCCTCTTGCCTCAAATGAGGTACTTTTGGTAGAAATCCACGGATCTCTCTTGGCATTGCAGCCACGTCACTCTGATTGGTTAGGGCTGACCGGTGCATCTTGTCATGCAGATCGTCTGTTGTAGCGCCAATCAGCCGCGGGCAGGGCCGAGGCGACGGCGCAGGTGGTCGCCAGTGTGGTGCACGAGACCTCTGATCTTGCGGCTTGACCGTCTCTGGGTTTTCGGTCCATTGGGATGGGCACTGAAGCCTGGTGTGGCTGGAATAGGGGGGGTGGCTTATCCTTGTGATTATAATATTGGGTCCCTTGGGGAGCGCAATAATGCTTTGCGTTGCGCTTTTGTTATTTCTAACTGAGCGCGTTGAATGGGACATGAAGCTTCGGAAATAAAAGAGAGGGAGGGTGGCCTGTTCCTCTTGGAGAATGGGAAGGGGAAACAAGCAGTAACACACATAGAAACTAAAATATCTTCGCAGCAGCAGGGTGCCTAGGATTCCCATTAAAAGCAGCTGGCTTGTATATAAGATCACTGCATTCGCCAAACCAAGCAGAGATTCTCAGCTGTCAAGGTCGCGCGTTGCAGAGATTTCCTGCATGCTAAAAACTCCTTGGCTTACTAGGTTAAAGATGAGTACTCAACATTAGCTGCCGTTCCATCTAATCATGTAATAACAATGGGTAGGCAGTAAATAAACAGCTGAAATATGTCATAAGCACCAGCTCACGAAGGGTATAGAATGCAAGATAGTGATTACAATGGTTTGTTCCCAAACTCTGAGTCAAAAGCCATCTAAATAACAATTCTCCCCTGCCTCACAGCGCCTTCTATCTGCCCATACTATCCAAATCCATACTACCACCATCGCTGGAATGTCCATCAGTTCCATTGTCTCGAGCAGTAGAGCCTGGCTTTCGGTACCCACACATGTAGCGGCCTCGGAGAACCAAGGCCCATAAAAAGCGCAGGGTTCTCCATACACTTTAAGTCTTCCTGTAAGTTCTGGGCCGCTGCGGCTGCTTGCTGTTTGAGAATTGATAACTCCTTTTTCTTGGCAGCTTTCTTGTCTACCAGCGTAGTGTATTTGTTGTTCATGACTTGTAACTCCGCGTCGATGGCGCTGTGCTTTTGCTCGCGCGCATTAATCTTATCTTGGATCTGTCTGCCTGATAGCAGAAATCCTCAACCGCTGCCCGCATAGTTTGTCTCGGGATGGCCAAATCGGATATGCGGCGTCCATCGGTATGGCTGGACCCGGTGGGCAAGCTTTGACGGGATTTAAACCCAATGGGCCCAGACTGAGGCTCAAAAGATGATGTGGATTGAAGCGGATTCTCGACGCAAGTTTGACGAATTGGGGTCGAGCGCGTTGCGCGTGTCGCCTCGGCGGGTGGAGCCAATAGGCCAGACGGCATCGGCTTGGCTATCAAGCCCATGGACCGATCATCTGCAGAGCCAATGTTGTTTGGCAGCTGTGCGATGCCCGTGGTCTGTTTGTGGCTGACGCTTCACTAGATGCCATTGTCGACCTCGCCATAATGGTTTGTATGGATGTTTCTGGGGCTTGCATCGCCGACTCCGGGGCCAGAGGCTTTGGCAAGACAATCTAGCCCGTTGAAATGGCCTGTCACCTATATTACCCGATGCCATCATTTCCCACGTAATCGACGCGGTAGGTGCCATGGAGGTTCCTAGAATAAAAGTTTTCTTAATCCTTGGGAAAGCAGACAATGCACATGAGATTTGGAGAACTTTGCCTTTCCTTTCCCCAGAGCTGGACCCGCCCTCCTGCGGTATCAAGTTTGTGGACCGCCGCCCATGATGAATAAGCCGGGCGGAGGGATGTCCCAAGTATTGTCGCGCTGCTCGCCCTCATAGGAGTGTCTGCTTCTGCCATGGAGTAGTCACCATCCACCTCCGCGATGGAACCGTGTCTCTGTCCATTGCTTTGGTCTCCGGCGTCAGTCTGCGGCCGCGTCACGGGAGCAGAGTCCCCCTCCCTGGCTTGGGTACCCATGTCACATCACTTTCTGCGGTACTGTCTGCGGTTGAGGCCCTGTAAGGAGAAGCCTCGGTACTGACGGCCGTCTGCATAGCTTTAAGGCGCATATACTGCTGCACCACCGCGTGATTTGTCCGACTGGGAAATTTCCTCAAATAGAGTCAGACCAGGCGGGAATGTTAGTAATGAGTAGCTGTTGCGGCACCTCTGCGCTATACAGAGACAAATGGATTCACGTGAGAGAATATGAACGTATCTTATGGAACTCCTGACAGGATAGATCAGAATACTCTTCTCTCAATCGTAGGAGGCGTTCCTGGTCGGCTTCGGTCCAATGTTTTTTATGCAGGGAGCAAAAAGGGATGTTCAAGTTGTGCAATGAAAACAAGGAAAAGATCTTGAAAAGGGACTCTGCTCTATGCATTGGACGACAATTGGCGATGGTGTAATTTGAGGTACTCGTAAGTAAGACATCAGATGGGACAAGCTTGGGAGAGAAAAGGAGAGAAGTGTGATGTGTCTATCTTAGAGTGGGAGGATAGAGAAATAGTACCCCAGGGGAAGAAAAAACACTTTTGAGCAGGGTGTTGCTCAGGATACCAGTCAAATTTATTTGGTTTCTAGGCAAGATGCCCAATCGAGCAGATTGTGCAGCCTCTGCAGCACCACCCAACAGAAATTTCGTCTTTTCCTCTTCACTCTCAATAATCACTTTATTTGATTCAATTTGCGACCCTTTTCAACACTAGCTTAGCCAAGCATATTAGCCTCCTGGACAACCTTTGCGGGAGGTGAATGGACATGGCATTTGAAGTGACCTATAATGGGGCAGTTCTCAACGTCTAGATGTTTCAGGTGAAGCTGAATAAAACTTCAGCAGAGAAGCACTGTAACTCACATTGATTTAATGGTTCATGGCCGATGCAGCCTGCCAAGAAGGATTTTAAGGACATAGTTAGAATTTATAAACGAGAAGTATACCACGCCTGCAAGAGCAAAAGAAAAAAAGAAAGTGAGTGAAATCAAAACTATAGTGCATGTGCTGGAAGAAATGCAAAGCACCTGAAATCAGAAAGAACTGGAAGACTATCAATTCCAAGCCAAAGCTCAACCCCTAATCCCTCCGCGTAAACCTGGATGCCATATCACTAATCTTCTGGATGTACTCCTCCATCCCTTTATTATCCTCTCTAAGCTCCTCCAGCTGACGCTTGAGACTATCACGCTCAGCAATAGCTTCACTCAGGCAAGACCGGAGGGTCTTGGCCTCCAAAGTGAGATTTTCAATTTGGGTCCGTTGGTCACGTGTCATTTCCTCAACGACAGCATCAATGCCCCGAGACATGTACTCATTAGCTCTATTGAAGAGCTCAACTGCATGCAGTTTGAGCGCTTCTGGGGCGGAGGGCATTTGTGCAGGCACCTGAGCTGTCTGGGTCGTCGGAGCAGCGATCTGGGTTTGAGGTAGAGCGGAGATTGGTTTCGCTGTGGTTTGGGGCGCGATAAGAGGATTCTCACTTGATGATGGGGTTGGAACAGGCGGAGTTGATGTCTGCGATGGTTTCTCAACGTGGGTAGAGCTCAAAATTGGAATGGAGCTAGTTGGCATCTTTTCCTTAGGGATAGTAGGCCTGGCTAAGGATTTGTCAGTATGATCTGAAGGAACTGGGGCGGGAGAGGCTCCAGTGGCTCCCTGAGTTTGCGCCGCAGGAGTCGATGGAGGAGTGTTTTTATAAGCTGGGACCGTTGGAGGTGGCATAGATGGTGTTCCAGAGCCTGCACGAGTCGCCTCGCGCGGCGGAGCACTGCCCTGTGGTGTGTGTGCCATTGATGGGCTGCGTGAAGCCTGGTTTACACTTGTAAAGCCGCCGCCCTGACGGATTGGCTCCGGTGGTGCAGGGCTGTTGTTGCCGCTCGTTGGCTGAGCGAGAGACTTGCTAGTGGCGATAACGTTCGCCGGCGTCGCTCGAAACCTATCCGGTGGGTGTAGAGCGGCATTTGAAGAAGAGTTTGCCTGAGGTGTCTCCGGCTTGCTCACGGTCTCTGGCTTGCTTATAGTTGGTTTGGTCTGTGGAGTGTCCGTCGGCTTGATAGTGGTGGGAGTAGCTGGCGCATGTTCCGTCCCTGCTGAATGAGAATGGGGTTTCTGGAACCACCCTTCAGACTGAGATGGTGTGGGCTTAATCATACCCAAGCGGATTAGCAAGTCAATTTGAGTGAGATAAATTGGGACAGGATAGCTATACTTCTGCGGTGTTGGAATTGCAGTCCCAAGGGAGGTCTTCGCCTTCGCTGGAGTCGGAGTCGGAGTCGGAGTCGGAGTCGGAGTTGGTGTCCCGGTCTTGATGGTCTGCACCATCCATTATCCGACGGGACTTGCGAGAAGGCTTCGGTGAACTCAACGGCTGCTTAGGCGAGTCTGTCGCGGCCGCGGCAGATCGTTTCAGCGGAGTGATGTTGGGAGTGCTGGTAGTTGAGCTAGGACGCTTTGGCTTCGGGCGGACACGCACATGCCCGACTCCCGGGCGCGGGCGCCCGTTTTTCAGCCGCGAATATTGGACCTGCACTGCAGCAGGGCTGCGATTCGGAAAGAGGCCCAACTTGAAGTGAAACCGTTAGCACGAGGTGTTGATAATTGAGATAATGGGAGATTGTTGGTCGAGTCACAGGTACCTTGTGAATATCCTTCCAATTCTCGTATTGCGATTTCAACCGCAAGAGAGTCTCGTTTTCCTCATCACTCCAGCCGAGTAGATGCTCGGGCCGTTTGCCTGAAGACATTTGCCCGACGTTGCCAGTGGTGGTTTAACAGAGTCGGCGGAATGTGGATTATTACAAACGGGAGATCCGCCTGCAGCTCGAAATGAATCGAAATGACAGGAAATTCGAGGTCTCCTTGGACGCGCCCCCCGCCCCTGTGTCTAGCGTAAACATCCTTTGTTTAGCGCCGGATTTAGGTCACGTGTTTACCGCCTTCACCCGAGGCAGGAACAACCAAGCAGTCACATGATCACCTTCAAGACTCTTCCGTTTGTGAGACCTTGAAGAAGCATCTTCACTTTCACATCAGTCCTTTCTCACACTCTTACGAAGATTTACTCACTATCTACTTGCAAGGGGGATGTAGTGGAGCCATACGTCGAAACGTAAAAACCCGTAGGGGACTGTCCAACTACCAACTGCCCTTACGATATATATTGGAAACAGGGCTTAAATTCTCAAACACGAGGTTTTGCCTTCTACCACCCCACCGCCACAGTGCTACCCACGTTTACACCCAACGGACAGATTCTCAGCTGATACAAAACTTTAGCGCTTCTATGGCGGTCGCAATGACGGAGATTCGACCCCACTGAGGTTCACGCCTTGATAGCTTTGACTGCTCCTCATAGCAAAAGCAAGAGGGTTACGGCCGTGGAGATAGTAAACCCCAATCCCCCATCACATCTGTCTACTCTCTAGCCTGGTCCTTCGTATAGTGGTAGGGACAGGACTCGCGAATACTACACTCAAGGTCCCTGGGCGAGCAATCCTATCCCGATGATTCGCGTTGGCCCGGTCGCAGAAGCTCTTGTGTGACGTCGCGCCACTCTGGGTAAGCTGCGCATCCGACGGGACTGTTGTTTGTCGACATGATCTAATAGCACCAGTCTTCCAGAATGACTCTGTAGGACATGCTTCCGTGATTGACCTGCATGGTTGACCACCCGAGCTGGATCGCACCCGAAGAACTGTCGGCCTCTGTTTTATTCTCAAACTGCTCCTAGCAAGTCTGACAATTCTCGCAGACTTTTGATCTCACCGTTAGAAGGGCATTGCGTCAACCTTTACGGAGTTTCCTTTCAGATATCCACAAGGCGACACGCGCCCGGGGGTATTTTGATCACAGTCCTAATCGAGCCGCTGGAGACTGATTTATTTTTAGAAGCATGCCTTTCTCCATTTCAAGGCCTAGCTGACTCACTATACCCTGAGTAGCTGAAGGATTTCCGATTTTCCTTCCGTTATTGCGACCGACGTTGGGTCCTGCTGAGCATTATATCGTGCCGTGCAGAAAGCTCCGCTGTCAAGGAGTATCTCGACAATCATTCCATCGCCTCTTTCTACCGGGTGGTGAGGGGCATCTTTTCAGTAGAATCCCTGGTCGAAACATCACCACCGCGCTCAACAAGGCGTTTGATGATTGTTTCTGGCTGGTATCGCACCACAACCGTGAGCAGAGTGCAGTTCGATGTGTTGGCGTCATTGAAAAGATTTGACTGCCTCATCAGGAGAATTGCGGTCGACTTTATTCCGCTCTGGGTGGTCATAGGTGCTGTGTCCCTCCGTCATATCGTTCATCAAATTGATATTCTTGTAATTCTGCAAGAGATTTGGATGATCTCCAGATGCCCAAGAGCGAACTAAAAAAGACGGGAACACGATGGGAATCACCTCCAGTCCGGTGAAACAGCAGCAGCCTGAAGGATTCTAGCTTTATCAACTTGATCATCTGGAGTAGCATGGTTCTCAAGCTATCCGCGGCGATTCCAGGTATATCCGCGTGGGCACCGAAAGGGCGGTGCTGAATTGAGACTCGCGTCTTTGCGCATAGCCGCGTATTGCATTCGTATACTGTACATATCAACTGCAGGAACCTTTCCTCCGGCAGTAATAAGCTCTTGTACCACTGCAGGGTGCGCGTTTTCTCCGACCTTGTCAAGAATGGTCATGCCCTGTGCGTCGCGCAGATTGACATCCATGCCGTGTTCAACGCACTTTTGAATAAAAGCAACACACTCCTTCCAATCCTTCTCGCGCCTACCAAGTACTTGATATAGTGGCGTGTGCCAGTTGAAACTTTGAACATTCGGGTCGAGCCCGAGGTCAATAAGGAAGCTCATTACTCGAACTCTGCATCCCAATGCCAGTGCATGGTGAACAATCTCCGGACTGTTGACTCGCAGTCCTCTCTGTACCAGAAGCTGAAGGATACTGGGGTCAAATGGCTCGTCATGCTGCTGCGAGGTTTCTTCACTGTCGGGCCCGTTTTCCCAACTCGTACAGCCATGGACTAGGAATCCAACTTCCTCATCCGAGTAGCCGATTGGCTTTGCACCCGCGTCAAGTAGCATCTTGACAATTTCAAGGTTCCGGCACATTCCTGCCCTAAATAACGGCGAGCTGAATGCGCCCTCAGTTGACGAGGCAGGGTCCCATGGCGGTAGGCCTTGGTCAAGGAGCAGCCGAACTGTAGTGACGTGGTTCTTTGGAATGGCGCTATTGATCGCGCGCTCGATGAAGTTTGGCGATGGAGAGGTGTATTGGAAGATGCGCTGCACTGTCTTCTGATTCCCTGTTGTCGCGGCCCAGTCCAGGGCTGTCGTGTCGCCCTCTTGGCCTTTCCAGTACAGGAGCGAGTTAAGACGATCATGGAGGGTCCGACAGGTAAGTGTCAGCCTGCCCAGGGTTTGCAAGGGGATGTAGTCCAAGATAGTCAGTACTATCTCGTTTGGCAGATCAAAAAGAGATAGCATGGTGTTTGATTTACCAATCTTTAGCGGCCCTGCTTGAGGAGGTGTGAGAGCGCGTGCTAGTTACCCGTTATCCGTCCTCAGTGCGGGCGCCAACGACCTTAAATAAGTTGCTGATATTAATGCGCAGCCAATACGAGCTGTCCGCCGAAGAAAAGGTATCAATTTTGCTACCTACTGAGGTGGTATCTGCCCCTGATCATTTTCCTCCCTCGAATATAATTTTCTGCGACTTCATCTGGTTGAAATCATCATATCCTTGCAGCGCCTCCGACAGCGGACGAATATCAGTCACCATAAAGCTAATTGACCAGTTAGCAAGCCATCATCCACCTGGAGCGCCTCGGCAAGCGAAACTCACTCAAGAATATCCTGTTTCTTCTCCAACAACGCAAGCGCATCCTCAAAAATACTACGCACGGGGCACCGTCCCATCTGAACCTGCAGATTCTTACCATACGCTTCATTCCCGGTCCAGGGAATCTCCCCATTATGCACGCCCACACTGGAGATTTTGCCCCACGGCCTGAGCATCTCGAATGCCATGCGAAGCGCCGAACTATGGCCGACGACCTCGATTGCCACATCTGCGCCTCTCCCCTCTGTTAGCTCGAGCACTCGCTTCTTCAGACCCTCTGCATCGGTCTGGAAATTCCATGGCTCAGCGCCCAGCTTCCCTGCTAATTCCAAGCGCGAGGGCACACTGTCGATCGCGATGAGATGCTTCGGCTTGTACTCCAGCGCGGACACAAGCGCACAGATTCCCACCGGACCACAGCCAAACAAAATCACCGTGCTATCCCTCACAACGCTCTCCTCCACCCCTTTGAACGCATTTTTCGCAGCAAAGAACCCAGTAGGTAGGATATCCGCCATGAGCACCAACTTCTTCTCGTCAATCGCCGGCGGTGCAGCGACAAGCGTCGTATCGGCCAGTGGAACGCGAACATAGTCTGCCTGCGCGCCGTCGAGGATCACTGTACCATAAAGCTGGCACGAGGCACATCGCGAAGAGGTCCCGTGCTTACAGTAGAAGCAGGAGCCGCAAGAGACGGTAAACGGCGAAACAACGCGGTCGCCGGGTTTGAATTTAGTGACGGAGGAGCCGACGCTGCTGACTTCGCCGGTAAATTCGTGGCCCATGATGAACTCGGTGCCGGACGGTTGGTGGCCGCGGAAGACGTGGAGTTCACTGTGGGCACGATTAGCTTCTGTTTCTACCTCAAGTTGAGTTGAATCCTTCAGAGGGTATACGGATGGTGAACATACCTCCCGCACAACGCCGTATACCGAACCTTGACGATGACATCGGTGGGGTCGACAATCTCAGGAATAGGACGCTTCTCTAGCGCAACCTTGAGCGGACCCTTGAAGACGACTGCCTGCATCTTGCTCTTGTTATGCTGTTCCGTACTGATTTACTTTGTCTTTGATAATTGTTATTGATCGCGATCTGGAGCTATGATGGCGATGGTCAGCTTAAAACACCAGGCCACCCTCGGCATTTGGACCTCGGCTCGTCCGGGGTTGTCTCCAGGGCAGACCATGGTTTCGTTGGTCGGAGAGTACTCCGTACCCTGAGCGGGGCTTGCCCGTTGGTCTTCGATTCGGGGTCATTCAAAGGTGAGGTCTTCAGACATCAAGAGCAGGATGGAGGAGGGTGTAAGGACTCGCTGAGTCCTGGTGAACTGGTGACGCTGCTGATCCTGCTTGCATCCTCTATGAGTGCTGGAGTTGCGCGTCCTATACCAGAGGATGTCATTTTGGTCGGCATATAGCCGTTCGCGCGAGACTTCTGAACCTGGGATCTGAATGAGCCAGATCTACAAGAGGCGTCGACCTTTGCGGTTCAAGAGTCGGTTTTATGTCTCGGTCGCGGGGTACCTTGGAGACATCCAACCACCACCAGCGTTCGACAGCACGCCGCGCGATTTTCGAAACAAAAGTACAAGAGTCAACGCCAGCACACAAAGAATCAACCAGAACTCAAGTTGCACTTCCATTGTGAAATGCGGTGTGCCTATACCACCATCATCATCCAGTCACCTTGCATCGTCATCAAGCCAAAGGGCGCAGCATCACCAAGGCCAGCCGAATGAACGCCCGCAAAAATATCGCGCAAACCCCGTTTTGCCCGTCTAGTCAGCTCTAGTCAGGAGTATTGGGCAGGAAAGTTAACTTGTTCGGGAATAGGGGCGTTTCGCAATGCAGTAGAGTGTAGTGTGATTGGTTGCTTAGGCCAAGAAAGATGGCGCTTTACGGCTTCAGGTGCAGGCATCGGAAACTTGAAATGGCGCAGGCAGTGGATTATGGGACTTTTGGAGTTCGTGATGGTTTTCGTGTGGGTTTTTGGTTCTCTTATATTCTCCAAGCGACCCCGTTCTTGTAGCAGAGTAGTTGTTTTTACGTATTTGTTCCTGGCTTCGAGATCAATTCACCGTGGTTCAAATTGCTCGTAAAATGGCGCCAAGCATAGATTACCCCGCACCGCTCCCCTTCTCACTCTCACTCTCCAACTCCATTCCACAAAAGCAAGCCACCATCAACGTCAGCGTTGTCGAAATCATCGAGGATGACGCTGCCCAAGAGCATTCCCATGAAGATGGTCACAGTTCCCATCCTGAAGAGTCGATAGACCCTCTCGACTCCGAGCGACAACGCCTCCGCAATCACCTAGGGCTCCCCGCCGAACAGGGCGCGCCCGCCCCTGAGCAACCCCGAATCCAACCCCTCTTCTTCATCGAGCGAGTCCCCGACAGTCGAGCCGTATCATGTAGCCTACCCGGGTGTACACATGGCGCTTTACAACCCGGCGAGCTGCGCCTCGCGCTGAATCCGGGGATGGGTGGGGATATGTGGTTTCGATCCAGCTCTGGTCTGTCCTCTTCCCCAAAACACTGGTGTTTGCCTTGATCTTGAAACGAGAAGAAGTCACTAATACTGTCCTGCGCAAATAGACTACTACCACATTCCCTGCTTCGAGCTCCTCGCCGACTTCACCTCCCCAACCTACCTCGACCGCATCCAGCCCCTCACAAGAAACACATTCAAGCTCCGCGGCCTAAAGCCCTCGTCCGTCTTCGACGGATCATACCTCCTTCCCGGCGGCGTCGAGCGACTCATTCTCGAATGGAAGGTCACACGCGGGAAAGCGATCGATAAACGTGATGGCGTGTTCGACGAGCGGATGTATAAACTTGAGGAGAGCGTTTATGAGTTGCTTTACCGGGCGGGGTCGAGGACGTATAGACCGGTGAGGAGGCCTGGACTACTAGATCAGTTTGAGTTCTATACGCTTTCGAAGACGCTGGCGCCGAATGAGTTTGAGTATACGGGCGGGAGGAAGGAGGAGTGGAATCTCTTTGAGAGTTTTATTGGGGAGGAGGACGGGGTCCATGATTTGAGTGGGATGTTGGAGAGGTGGGAGAGGGCTGTGGTGAGATCAAATGTCTTTTCCCTTGGAGAAGATTGGCTGCTAACAGGGTTAGGCAATTGCCTGGCAACATACAAGAGCATCGTCGTCCGCGAGTGTCTCAAGCGAAGAAGAAGATCAACCGGCCCTCACCCCGACAGCTGCCAGAGCTATCAGGCGGTTATCGGCGATTCCCACCCCACAGGTTGGATTCAATCGGCTTTCCTGCTACCCGTAGGTCCTTGACGCTGATATCCACAGTCAGTTGAGTAGTGTGCAGCTTTTGGGTCTCGATTTTAGCGTTCGGCTGTTATCCGGCATTTTCTTGGTCTGGGTAAAAGCGATAGAGGCGTTAATTCCGGTTAGAATGAAAAGCGTTTTCTCTGTGTGAACCTGTGGCTGCTATGCCTCCCGGACCCGCGTTCGATGTATGCTCTAGTCTTCGATGCCCATTGTAAGCAACAAGATCTTCAGCTCGCAGGATCGAGGAGTGAATTTCACTTTCAAAAGCTTCCTTGTCGCCGGAGATTTCACTCATGACGGGAGCTTTATACGCAACAACAAAAGCGACATTAACCTGGTGGAGAGGGCGCAAATTTCGGTTACTTGGCTGATGCGAGAAGACTATTACGAGTATTCTCTCGGAGAAGTTTGAAGACCTGGATGAAACGGTCCACAAATCAGAATAGAACGCTGTTCATCCAGTAGGATGCCCATGACTCTCCCAATTTTTTCGCTGGCCCATTCAATCGCCCAATTCCCACAGGCATCCAGAATAGGCAAGAGTAGCGGAGGCCTCGGCAGCATCCGTGATAGCGTGCTTTCCCCAGGTTATGGTCCGTGCAACAGTTCTAGATCCAGCCGGGGCTGCTCAGCTGATCGCTTGGAGAAGCTTTTCAATATGAGCCTCCCTTTTCCATTGGACCCGCCTGTCTGTTTTATCCATCGTGCCCCAGGAACCGGTTCTGATTTGGTCATCCTTTAATTAAGCGATGCCATCCACATGTGCCGCGGTCGAACCCCGCATAACTGGTGTTCAAGGCTAAGACGGTGGCTTGCTCGCCGGGGCGCAAACGGGGCCTCTGGAGTCGAAATGTTCCAGTCTAGTGGGGGCTTGGGGAGATTATATGCCTTGATGTTCTAGGGTCGACCTCGCCAACTGCCGGTGCGAAATACTCCGGACAGACTTACTATCTCTTATTCTTGCTCGAATATTCTCCGTGGAGTTTTGCGATTCAGGTTTTCCCTTAGAGGGATTCAAGGAACAGAGATCCATCCAACTTGGAGCAACCGAAACCACTGGTCTTGAAACATGTCACTGCGTGATGCTCCTAGTCAATGCCCATGAATTAGGCAATGGGTCCATGGGTCCCGCTCGCAATGCGAGATCATCTCGGTCTAGCGTTCCCCCGCTTAATATCCAGAGCTCCAGCAAGTTCAACGCTTCCGCTCCAAATCTCCACAAATCCAAGACAAGAGCTCAGATACTAATAAGCACTAGAGTTGGCTAAATCACCGAACTTGCCTGATTCAACCATAGTTTCAGCCATCGCCTTGTCTCCATTCACCGTTCACAGCAACTTGGCCAGCATCAGAGGCTGCCGAGGGCCATGTGGGCAGCAACACTCATTTCAAGCTGAGCATATAAGAAGCTCTGGGAGCGCCGCTTGTATCCCCAGACCATCCACACAGTCAATCCTCCCCCAACAGCCAAAATGAAGTTCTCCGCCGTCCTCTCCGCTCTCGCCCTCGTCGCCCCCGGCGTCTTCGCCTCTCCCACCCAGCGTGACCTCGCCACCATCCAGGGCGTCATCACCGACATCCAAGGCCAGGTCAACTCCCTCCAGACCGCTATCGAGGCCAGCCCCCTTGACGCAGATGCCATCATTGCCCAGTCCAATGCTCTCGTCACGACAATCCAGGACGGCGCCACAACCGTGAACGGTCAGCCCGTCCTCACCCAGATCGAAGCCCTCGGCCTCGTCTCCCCGGTACAGGACCTCGCCGCCGACGTCGATACCACCATCCAGGCCCTGATCGGCGTCAAGGACGACATCCTCGACCTCGGCGAGGGATGCACCACCCTTGAGGCTCTCCAGGCCCAGGCCGCCGCTGCCCAGCAGCTCTCCGACGCCATTGTCTCCAAGGTTCCCGCTGCCCTTGAGGACATTGCCACTGAGCTCGCCGCTACCGTCTCCGCTGCCATCCAGAAGGGTGTGGATGCCTACGCTGGATCGTGCGATGGAACCGAGCCTACCTCCACCACTACTACCTCCGAACCCACCAGCACGACTACCTCTACCACTCGCACCGCTTGCCCTGCTCCTACCCATTAAGTGTCATACCCTAATATTCTGAGTCATTGATACGATGGAATATCAGCGTGGTTTGGGAAGAAATGATGTGCTGGAATAATGTGAAACGTGGACCTGTATGACACTACCTCAGCAAAAGTTCTAGACCTAGAACTCTAATATAGTCACTGTATAATCAATCAACCTTGACTTGATCATTTTGCACTGTGCAGTCGCTCTTCAAGCATTCAATGAGTCCTCTTAATATCCTTTATCTCGTAAAAGATCAGCCGAAGCAGAAAATTGTATCGCGCAGGCTGAAGTTACCTACCTTGGAACAATAGTGATCTTCAGTTACACCAAATCTTCGATTAAGTTTGACTATGGACTATCCCTGTCGATCAAGTTTCAACTTCACTGATCTGCCTTTTCAGTCTCAGCCTATCGTCGCATACGGCTTATTGACGCGCATCATTGCCATTTTCGTCCCTACAATGCCATAGTGAAGCGGCTGAGAAGCGGCAACACTGCGCTTTTTTTCATGCCATGCGGGCACTCCCACGCCTTGAGATCTTGTGACTCTGAGGTTCTGCTGATATTCTAGAAGTTCGCAGGGTACGGAGGATAGAGCGTAGTAGATTCTGAACACATAGGTAAGATAGAATCTGATAATAACCGTTTGTTTAATGGTTATTGTGGTAGCTCATCCGGATATATATTTCCGCTCGCTGTAGAAGGCGAAGAGTCTTTGGTCCACTGTAACAACGCCTCAGTCTCTGAATTGATACTTATGTCCAAAATTACTCTCAGAGTTTACGAAGTAGATTGTTTTGATCTGCGTCCGGCTCGTTAGTATCGTGGACAGCTGCAGTGGTTACGACAGGGCTTCAGCATCAGCCGGAACCCGGATTGACAAGACTCCACGATAGTATGGGTCTACCGTCTGACTATCGTTGATGATCACCCTCGATCGACTGCGCATCTCGAAACAAACGGGGAAGACTAAAGGATTGAGGGAATGGTTCTTGATAAGTGGTGATTTGCTGGACTCATGGACTCAGGATCGGAAGAGTTGACAACGGGGTATGTAATCCAGCCCCTTTGTTTGTTTGCTTACTTTGCAACCACGTGCTGAGGCTTTTCTGTCGAGCTTCTTCCAATGACCCGACATCCTCAATGCACCCATTTCCAGCTACCTGCAGCCGACGGTGGTGTCTTTCTCCCATTGGAGCATCGCCCTTCCTCAGCACTCACTGGCAACGCTTTTATGTCGCACTTAGCGATAACAAGGCTCCTTCACGACTGGATCGAAACGCAGAGACCGCAGTCGCCTCGTCCCGAGGACATGGTGGCGCGCGCTAGCCGAGCGACTAGTTATCCCCTCGCGCAAGGCAAACACGAGAAGCGATTCGAGAATGACGAAGTGCGAGGTGGAGATGAGTCTGATGAGGAGGGGCTCGGTTCCATCCCCCGCTGCACATTCGGTCACATTGCAAGACTAATTTGAGGGGAAACCCAGTAGACAGGAGTCTCATTGGCCGACAACTCTCACACTCCGGCAATCGCCTCCACACGCGTTGGCTGTTTCAGTGTTTCCGACTGGGAGCCGGGGCCGGGCTGCGGCTGCCTCCTCCCAGTCTCCGCCCCAGCCCCATTCTCACTGTCTGGCCAAATAAAACCCTTGTGACACGCAGCGCGACGAAGCTCCCGAGGCATATACTCAATCGAGTCTTTGATGCGAAAGCGAATCGAAAAACCATGGTCTTCTGCGGGAAACCAAGCAAGGGATGTCACTCGTGTCGCACGCGCAAGATCCTGTGCGACCAGGGCCGACCGGGCTGTTCGCAATGCCTGCAGGGCGGCTGGGAGTGTCCCGGGTACCGCGACACGCTGTCGTTGATGTTTCGCGATGAGAGTGAGAGGGTCATTCGCAAGGCGACGACGGGGTCGTCGTCAAAGCGCAGTCCGCAGACGTCGAAACGATCTAGAGCAGCTCCGAGTCGTGCGCGACCGAGTCGCGGGAGAGTCGTCAAAGATAAGGGGGTGGAGGAGAAGGGCAAAGGAAAGGGGAAGGTGCAACCCCGCAATTCCCCAAAGGATGAAGATTCCGAAGGCGACTCCAGTTCTTTCGCTTTGACGTCCACGACGCCGACGACGACGATTTCGACGATCAGTACACCAGAGACGATATTTATTGAAGAGTTGGTGACGCGACAACCACAGTCAATACAGCCCTCCTGGCAACCGACTCAAAATGAAGCGATTAGCTGGTTTCTTCGGCATAACGCGTGGCCTGGCGCCCTGTTTATGATCGATTTCAACCCCGACGTTCTCGCGCAGATGAACATGTCAATGAGTGAAAAGGCGCGGATGGCCAGCATTGTCTCCTGTGCAACAGCGCTGCTTGGTCGGTTACGGAAGTCGACAGAGCTGAAAGAGGTTGCGAGGCAGGAATACGGGCACGCTTTGGGTCTTTTAACGCGAGCGCTCTCGAATGAGGAGGAATCGAGGACGAATGCAACGTTATCCGCGGTGCTTTTGATGGCATTATTTGAGGTGCCAGTCCTCATCCAGGACTGAACTATAATGGTCTAACGGGGTCCAGGTTATTACTAGTCGATCGCTTGACACGATGGAGAAGTGGACGAGCCATGTCTATGGAGCATCGACGTTGCTCGAGTTACGAGGTCAAAACGAGCTACAAAGTCCAGAAGGGCTGAAACTCTTTATTCAGTTGCGCTTCCAAATAGTAAGTTTCCTAACTCACACTCCCGAGCGTTATCCCATGTCTTATCCTGCCTATCTTGCAGATTATAAGCTGCCTCCAACGTGGCCTCCACGTCCCAAAATCCGTGCTCGAATGCAACAAAATCGCCATGTACCTCCGACCCCAAGTGGAAGCCTACTGTGACCGCATGACATACATCTCCGGCCGACTAGCGAACCTCCGCGCCGACATATTCGGCGGCATCCTCACGGACACCGAAGAGATCCTCTCGCGAGCCTGCGCGATGGAAGCAGAACTAATCGCCTGGCTCGCAATGGCGCCCCCCGAATTCCCCTACACCGTCATTGAACACCCACCCTCAACCTACTGGACTGAATCCTCCGGGGTGCGACCGCCTCTCTACAACGACGTATACCACCTCTACCACGACCTCTGGGTCTGCCATACCTGGAACCAATATCGATTCACACGTATCATCATTTGTGAGATTACTCTGAGTTGTTTCCGTCGGCTGCTCAGCTCGTCCCACGTTAGCGCACCCAGCGAGATCCAGCGGCAGATTAACCTGCTACGCAAAACAACGCGCGAACTCGCCCTCGATATCTGCGCCAGCGCGCCATACCACTTCGGGGCAGACAGTGTTACCGGCGAAGAGAGCCGACGAATACCTGACTCCCAGATCTATGTCGGAGGCATGCTCCTTCTCCTTCCACTCTCCATCGCAGCAACCACAGAGAACCGAGAACACTCGTTGCGAAAATGGATCGGGAACTGTCTCAGCATTCTCGGGCACGGGATGGGAATTGACCAAGCGTTCGCGATCCTCGAAAAGCTAGACACTGAAGCAGGGTGGTTCGAGGACCTGGAAGACACGGACGATGGAGTCGTCCTGCTAGGGACGAATCGGGCCAAGGATAATCAAATTCTATTGGGGACGTGGAGTTCCATGATCAATGCGAGTGTTTCGAACAGTTACGATGGTTTTGATGGAGGTGGGAATTGGAATATGAATTTTCCTGCGGCTGGGTGGGAATAGTATAATGATATCCATACCTCCAGTTGAAGATCGCGGACCATGCAAGGTCTGATGATTCCATGCTCGGAAAATATTTCCTCACGCTAGATGATAGTTGTCGGTACTCCACGGATGCCATAAGGGATCTCCACTCCGCGGTCCAGCACATGCCTCCGCATAGGTCCCGCTGATCTTGCTCGCTCGGGTCAAGCGACCTGACAGCTGTAAGGGCTAGAATCGCGACCTCCTCCGTCCACCATGAGATCTGTCTTTCGCTGGTTCGCTCCGGAACAGCAGCGGAGCCGGATATGCACAGAGTCCTGGTGTCGTTTATTGAGTCCAAGTCGTGGTCCTGAGTGTATCGTTCCCGAACGCCCACGGATCTCAGGGCTCCTTTAAGGTTTCTGGGCAGTCCGCGGGTTGGAGTCGCAATGCCGCGCCGCGTTCATCTCCGCTCTCAAACCTTGCATGCAAGTACGGCTCATAGTCCAGGCACAGCTACTCAGCGCGGCAGATTCAACGACTTTCCGTTTCTTCATTGGCCACTCCAGGGTTGATCCGACCGGATACGATGATGTTCTTCGTCCGGGGTATGACTGATCATAGCGCACGATACTGGTAGCTGTCAACCGGAAATGCTCCGGGGGCAGTCAGTATCCCGTGGGTCCTGGTTGCACCTTCCCTCTATACTACCCTGCGTCGCCCCTTTCATGTTCTAGTGCGCACAGTTCCTCCAACAGAAACAGGAAGGGACAAGGCGTCGCCATGGTTACCAATGCAGGTCGTTCCTTCCTTGTATACTTGGGTGACCGAGAAGGAAGGACCGACCGTAGAAGTCATTTTTGGAAAGAACAGTCGGCGGTAGACGATGCTGTCAGCGCAGAATCTTCCGGTGCAAACTTTATCGCTCGTTGCAGACGAATCTCTCTCAAGACTTGCTGTTTCTCGGCGTCCTGAGATCAGCGCGGAGCCAATCTGTCATGCTGACCAAATGCCGCGCCACCAGCCCTTTGAATAGAAAGATTGAGCGATCGACCCAAGCTACTGGACCGTGCCAGAAATATGGCAGCAACTATCGCCAATAGTCTACTGTGTCACGTAACGAAAACCCGGGAACTGGACTCCGGGAGCTGCGACGATTTATAAGTTCCGGGGCGACAGCGATATTGACAGAAACGTTCCAGAAACTTGGACGACCATTTTAGCGTTTCCCTTCTAAAAATGAGTTTGTTTGAACTTTGTTGGGCAGAACAATCATGACAAAGAAAGAGGCTAATGTCCGCTAGTTGCCTCGTCCTGATTTCTCGGATCCTGCGGCGATCACTGCTGCTTTTTGACGTTTGGACACTTGAGTCGCTCAATTCTGCGGCATGTGCCGAGTTTTTCTGTCAGGACCAAGTTTCAGAATCGCATTTTTGATGCTGGTCAGGGACAGGTCACCGTGTCCGATTGTCTTTGCTCTGTCAACAGAGCGACTGGATCGTGAGGGAGCAGGGATCGCCAACAACAGAGGATTGATCTGGTCGCACGAGCTGCCGGAAAGTTAACGCTTGTCAACTCGGTTCATTGGACAATAACTTCCACCGTCCCTTCGAAAATGCACTTGGCGCGAGGAGTACTCCAAGTGCCAGCCAGTCTGAGCCCTCCCCGCGTTTTCTAGGTCCACTAGGATTAATGGTGGCTCCAGCTCGCAGACAAATCTGACACAAGGGCAGTAGCAGGATCTAGCAATCGGATCGGCTAGCCTGAAAGGTTAGTTGCAATCTTGGGGCTAAAACCTCAAATATTGATCCTGCGATGCCAGGCCGATCCAGATCTGGATCACTAAACCCAATAGGATGGCACTGGAAGGTGAAGCCAAAGGATTCAGTCGGGGAAACTAATTCCGGGCTGGACTCCTGTCCTTTGCTTGCTACTTGCGGCAAAGTGTCACCAGTGAGATTGGTTTCTGGCACGAATCAGACCCATCGAAGGCAAAAAAACTGGGATCTTGAGTTTGAACGGAATTAGTGATTTTGATCAGCGTCGTGAGATTTAGGTTTTCTGCACCGCTGCCTGTCATGGTCGCTTATAAGTATTGTCCTTTTGCAGGAGAGGAATCATGTCAGCTCATGCCTCTCGACTGCGTTCCTTTGTCGTCAGGCGTCTGGGTTGATTTGTACACCTTCAACTGAACCAATCGCGGCCGTTGAGGCTTCCATCGACATGGACGTCTCTGTTTTCTTCTTCGGCCTGTTCCTCGGCTTCTTCATCTTCACGATGGAAGGTGTCGTCCGGCAGACCATTCAGATCTGGAAACGAACGCACAAATTCGTCCAGGCCTACCTGTGGATGATCTGGACTGAATCAGTTGTCAACCTTATCTTCGCCATGACTACTCGGATGCAGCTCGACGGTGTCATTGCGGGCTCGTGAGTCTCCCCCTTCTCACACGCGGCAGTCAATTGACTTACATACTTCGTAGCCTGGGCTACTACTTTAGCACCGTCCTCCTCTGGACCATCCAAACCCAGCTCCTGTCCCAGATCATCGCCAACCGAATCGCCCTGATTATGGTGAGCAGGCAGAAATCCTTACAGCTCCGCTGGGCCCTCTTCATTGCTATCGGACTCGTCAACATCGCCGTCGGGGCCATCTGGATCCCTGCGCATCTCGACTCGGCAACGGAGTTCCAGAAGAACCTCAACTTCATCTTCGAGAACGTCGAAAAGAGCTTCTTCCTCATCGTCGACCTTGCCTTGAACCTTTACTTCCTCTACCTCGTCCGCTACCGCCTCATCGCCGATGGTCTGAATAAATACTGGACGCTGTACAAGTTTAATATTGGTTTTGTGACCATCTCGACCACGATGGATGCGTTGCTTCTGGGTTTGCTAAGTCTGCCGAATCAATACGCGTACGCTCCCCATCCCTTCCTTCCCCCTTCTTCGTACTCATTGACTAACGTGCATTCACTAGCTACGTCCAATTCGCCCCAGTAACATACACTGTGAAACTTTACCTCGAATTGAAAATGGCGCAGCTCATCTCCAAAGTCGTGCGACGGAGCATGAACCGTGTGGACGACTCGTCTACAAGCCAACACAATTCAAGCAACCGCGCTCCGCTATCGCACTCGTACCGCACGTCAACCATCAACAAGAAGTCTGCCCTCCGCGAGAACTATGACGGGTATGAGCATGAGATGAGCGCGCATGTTAGTACTGGCGTGCGCGGTGAGGGAAAGGTTGGTGGGGACACCGGTGCTGCGGGCTCGAAGGGGCAGGGCATTGGGATTGTTAAGACGATTACGACTGTTGTTGAGACGGAGAGCCGGGAGGGGAGTTCGGAGGCGAGTCGGTCGCGGGATGGGGAGGTTTAGTTTCGCGTCTCGTTGCAAGGGGGCGAGAGGTATATACCACGGCGTACACCTAATCATTCGTTTGTTTATTTCTTATACATATTTAATACCATAGAGCTCTTTGGAATGGCCACATTAATGGAGGCCAGAGCTTATTATCTCGATGTTTATGAGTTCCGAGAACAGTTTCATCGCCGCACTTTCTATTTGGTTAACCATATGCCCCTTCAAGGGACCGTCCAGCTTGGCAAGCTACACGACAAGACATATCTTCGACCAACAAGCAAGCGTACCTCCGTGAACGGTGTCAAGGTTCGGTTATACTGGCATCCGGAGGATCGCAGGCCGGGTCCGAGGAAGACGGACCGGGACGTGTATCGGCCTCTCTATTCTCATGTGCTGACGGATCTCGGTTGCGGATAGTTTCGTTGGCATTTTGATCCGCAGTGGATTTAGAGGTTTAAGCGGCCCTCTAGTGACCAGTCTGCGAAGAGTAGTGGTATTCTGGTCTTGATGCCAGTTGCGAGCAGCACAGGGACCTGCAGGTTTAACTCCTCCACTATTTGGATGCTCAGAGAGATTACTTGAACAAGTAAAGCCCGTCAACTTTAAATTTCCTGAAGAAGTTAAGTGCCCAAAAGAATTAGTCACCCACATGTAATCGAGAGCCTCGGACCGCCTGCCTCGGCACAAATGCGGGGGATCACCTGCGAATGCGGAGAGAGCTCTGCAACCTCGAATCTTATTTATCGTCATCCCACCGTCGCTTGAAAGACGCCTCATCTCCATAGTAATTTTCCTCCGACCGTCGCACCATCCAGCAAAATGACAGCACCCCGTGGAATCTCCACCGTGCCCTTCGCGGAGCCGCCCTACCTCCGCGGCCTCCCCTCACCATACTACACAGAGGGCCACAGACGGTTCCAAAAGGCGGCGCGCGAATTCATCTACGACAACCTGCTCAAGCATGCGATGGAGTGGGAGAAGGAAGGGACGGTCCCCGAACATGTGTTTAAGGATTTTTGCAAGGCCAACATGCTCCTCCCGAACCTGCCTGCGCCCCTGCCCGTCGATTGGTTGAAACGGCTGGGGATCCATGATATTTTGGGCGTCAAGGTTGAGGAGTGGGATTATATTCATACGGGGATTTATACAGATGAGGTATGATTTGCACCACAGCGAAATGGGGTGGTTGGGATTGAGTTGAAATCGCGGCTAATGCGGATTGTTCGTGGTGTAGCTCGCCCGGTCGGGTCTCAGCGGTCCTGGTGGCTCACTCAATGCCGGTTTTGCGTTCGGTCTGCCGCCGATCATCAAGTATGGAAGCAAACAGTTGCAGGAGAAGTTCCTGCCGGATCTGTTGACCGGTCGGAAGCGCATTTGTATTGCCATCACGGAGCCGGATGCCGGGTCTGATGTTGCGAACATCACCACCACCGCGACCAAGTCGGAGGATGGGAAATATTATATTGTCAACGGGAACAAGAAATGGTGCGCTCAGCTCTCCTTGATATTTCATGGTTAGAATGGTACTAACCAGTGTAGGATCACAAACGGCATCTGGTCGGAGTACAGTACAATGGCCGTTCGAACAGGCGGTCCCGGACCCGGTGGTCTGTCTCTCCTCGTCGTCCCGCTAAAGGGCTACCCAGGCGTCTCCATGCAGCGCCTCAAGGTCTCTGGCCAAATTACCGGCGGAACAACCTACATCGAGCTCGATGACGTCAAAGTCCCGGTAGAGAACCTGATCGGGCGCGAAGGCGAGGGCATGAAGCTGGTGATGAACAACTTCAACCACGAACGCCTGACCATCGCCGTCGGCGTCACGCGGCAAGCGCGCGTCGCCCTCTCAACCGCCTTCTCTTACTGCCTGAAGCGCGAGGCGTTCGGGAAGACACTCATGGACCAACCTGTTGTGCGCCACAGACTTGCCAAGGCCGGTGCGGAGCTCGAGACCATGTGGGCGTTTGTTGAGCAGTTGCTGTACCAGCTTGCGAACTTGCCCAAGGAGCAGGCGGATCGTGAGCTGGGTGGGATTACCGCGCTGGCGAAGGCCAAGGGCGCGATGGTGCTGAATGAGTGTGCACAGGTCGCGGTGCTACTCTTTGGTGGAGCAGGTTTCACCAAGCAAGGACAGGGCGAACTCGTCGAGGCGATCTTGCGCGATGTCCCTGGTGCTCGGATCCCCGGTGGCTCCGAGGACGTGCTGCTGGATCTGGCGGTACGGCAGCTGGTCAAGCTGTACAAGGCCGAGGAGGCGAAGCTGGGCAAGTCATCGAAGATCTAGACTCGACTGTATTCTACCGTGTGATATCGCTGTTTGAATAGCCTTTAGACCAAGACATACCATTTACTTGTTCATCCCAATTTTTGCTTTTCCGCGTGGCAGCCCCGGAAAAGGACCTGCTTCAGATCGTTATCAGCGTGCAGAATCAGGGTGGCACTGTTGCTGCTTACTCCATCGAGTAAAGCCGTTGGAGAACCTGTTGGGATCAGCAAGTGAGCTGCCTCGAAGCTATCTAATCGCCTGCCGACGCGCTAGCATGGTATCTCCAAGATAACAGTCGGCCGATCCGATGGGGTCCTTATCAGCTGCAGGAACGGTCGTGCATGATAGAGGAAAACTGAAGTACAAAGTCGAGATCACCTCCAACACCATGATTTTCGAGCATACCAGACCACGAGACGAGCAACATGGGTCTTCGCGAGCGATTACAGGTAAAGCAAGGCGATGCCAGTCTGGCGGCGGAGGGCGTCGCCTCGAACGCAGATCTCGATCCCATTCCTCTCGGCTCGCCGAAGCGCACGTGGGAATGGCCTTCTCTGACGGGGTTCTGGATTGCGGAGGCGTTTAGTATCAGCATGTACCAGGGTGCGTTTCATATTGCTCTCTTTCTGTGCTACCAGGTTCTGACTGTTGCAGTGACATCGAGTTCCGTGAGCAAGGGATTAAGTGCCCCAATGGCCATTGCTGCGGTTATTGTTGGACATGTCCTTGTCTGTATCCCAGCCATGTTGGATGGGTACGCTCTTCATGCCCCTTCAGTGACTATCATATCCTGACTGTCCAGTTACGTCGGCGCCATCTACGGCATCAACTTCCCCGTCTACACGCGCGCCAGCTTCGGCATGCGAGGCAGCTACTTCGCCGTCTTCGGTACTCCCCTGTATCCCTCTTAGCCTACTTATACCCATACTAATTCCAATTCTATAGTTCGCGGAATCGTCGCCATCATCTGGTTCGGCACGCAGACATACCAGACGGGCCAATGCGTCTCAACCATGATCAGCGCCATCTGGCCCTCCTTCAACCACTTTCCGAACAGACTCCCTGCGAACGGTCCCATCACCTCTGCTGAGCTACTGTGTTTCTTCCTTGCGATCCTACTACAGCTGCCACTGCTGTACTTGAAGGTGTCGAAGCTGAGATACCTTTTTATCGTCAAGACGTGCATCATGCCGATCTTTGGAATTGTGCTTTTTGCTTGGGCAGTTAAGGCTGGTATGTTCTTACAGAATCCTTGTTGGACTGTGGCTGATATGGTTTAGCGAATGGATTTGGCCCTGTCTTCTCGAAACCGAGCGTTATCCACGACGGCACTCCTGTCGCCGTCGTCTTCCTGCAATGCGTTACGAGCGCCATCGGTCCCAAAGCTACCCTCGCCTTGAGTATGTCCATCGAAATCACCCTCCATACACCTTGCACTCAGGTCTAACAACCGAATATAGACATGCCCGATTTCACCCGCTACGCAAAGAAGCCCCGCGAAGTCTTCTGGACACAAGCCGTCGGCCTCGTAATTCTCGTCTCGCTCTGCGGCGTGCTCGGCGCCACAGTCTCCAGCGCAACAGAGGTAATCTACGGGAAGCAAACGTGGAACCCGCTCGAGGTCGCCGTGCTGTGGGACAACCGGGCCGCGCAGTTCTTCGCCGCGGCGTGCTGGGCTCTCGCGGCGATTGGGACCAATATCTCGGCGAATAGTGTCTCGTTCTCGAATGACATCGCGCTCTGGTTCCCGAAGTACATCGATACCCGCCGCGGGGCGTATATCTGTGCGACGCTGAGTGTTTTGAGTATGCCGTGGTATATCCAGAATTCGTACGCCATCCCCCCTATCCTCCTCCATACTCCCCTTCGATCATTACGGATTACTACAGGACACTTACTTACTTATCATGATAAACAGAGCAGCATCCTTCTCCGCCTTCCTAGGCGGCTACTCCCTCTTCCTCGGCGCCCTCGCCGGAATAATCGTGGTCGACTACTGGGTCTGCCGGGGTCGTCGTCTCCGCCTTCGCTCCCTCTACGAAGCGCACGGAACGCACTACTTCACCAAAGGTGTCAACCTCCGCGCACTCGCCGCATTCGTCTGCGGAATCACGCCCAATATGCCGGGGCTCGCGGCTGTCACTGGGGAGAAGGGGGTTCCCGTCGGCGCGACGTATTTGTATTCGCAGAGTTGGTTGGTTAGTACGGTTGTTGCGGGTGTTGTTTATTGGGGACTGTTTCTTGTGTGGCCTTTTGAGGTTGATGAGAAGGTTATTACGGCTATTGAAGGGATTGAGGGCGTTGAAAGGGTTGAGGAGGGGATTGTTGAGGTCAAGGCGTGATGATGGATTGTTTTACATAGCCTCGAAAGGACAATTTAGTTTCAAGTATGGTATAGATATTCGACGTTGATTACACGGAATATGTATCACAGTTCAGCGCGAGTCAGGAATGCTCTTGACAATTCCGTACTGTGTAGCCCCGCCTTGTCTTATGTATCTGCTCAATCAAGGTATTCACAAGCATAGAAAAGCTGTAACCAAGGCTCGTGCGGTATTGTGGATGCTTCCGAGAAGAAATGGTACATTGGGCGCTGTGAACCGGATTCCTCCGCTGGAGAATAGTGGTCATTTTGCTCCGTTGGTAAATTGAAGTGACTCAGACTAGTGATGTTGACATGCATCACTACCCTGTTGACTCTAGGAGCTGAGGATCTCATGTAAGTTCTTACCATTAGACAATAATCCAACTACGATTAGGGTATTGGGGGGCAGGAATTACATGCCCTCAGAGAGGCTTGAGAGGTAGCAAATGTGTTTGTTTGATCTAGGAATAGAGCCTTGTAGCAGGTGAACAGGTTGAACTTAACCCAACAGAAAACCTTATCATCACTGGCATGAACCGAGCCTGAGTTGCCCTCTCATTCTAGATTGACACCAAGATCCCGGACTCGTTGCTGGTAGTCCGGGTCGACCTCCTCTTCCTCTTCCGATTCTGAGTCAACAATCTCATTCAACCGGGGCTTCACATACTGTTCGATAAAGTCATGCAGCCCGTATCCGAGCTCGTCGTATTTCCTGGCGAACTCGGCTACCAACTCGTCCAGCTGACGGATGAGATCGGCCTCCTCCTCATGTATTTCCTGGATTTCCTCGACTTCAAATACCCGAGACGGGAAATATTCCTTGTTTTTGTGGCAAGTGTGGGTTATATCTAATGCGTTGAATGTGAGGTACCGTAAAGTCTGGAGAGCAATAGCACGTCTTTGGTCCTCCGAGAACCGTCCTGGTACAGCATATTGGAGTGCATCAATCAAAGCGGCAAATGCTGTGGTAGAGGAATCTTGATATGGCCAGTAGAGTTTCACGTGCCGGAAAAAGCCGTGGAGGATCTGCTGGTACGAGGAACAGCAACCACCGTTAGTACACGCGCACGAACAGCCGTCACGAGAGTCATCCGTGATCATCATATAAAGAAACTCCAGCACATCTGGATCCTGTTCTATTATTAGTGACCTAAGATCCTGTCCTGCCTTGTCATGGTACTTAAACGAATAGTGGAGGTTCTCTCCAAAGGCGTCAGCCAAACTGAAGAATGATGGGTAGCCCTCTTCTGAGAGTTGATAGAGGCTAGCCCCTCTACAAACCAGCCAAATCGCGCTTTTGATGAGACGACATGGATCCTGAGGATTGTAACTATAGTGAGGATCCATTAGAGATGCAATGCTGTTCCCATCGCACTGGTTCAAGTCCGTGAACCCAGCTGCATAAAGACGTTCAAAGATCGTAATGTCGTTCGATGCATAACCATAAACTGATGCTCTTTCATAGTGGGGCGGGTGAACTTTGATATTGTGATCCGCTAGTGCTTCATACACGTCGAAAGCTCTGGAATCCAAGAGCGTGCTGGATGGTAATGAAAGTGTACACAAAACATCGTGCGGGAGGTGTTCGAGGGCCAGTTGTTGTAGCTCATGTCGAGACTTGACAAGGGCGGAGATTATTCTCGTTAGAATGGGAATGTCCTTCAGGTTCGCTGCCGCATATAGATGGCTCAATTTGACAAAGTCAAGATATTCTAGAAGTATTGAGGCGCATTCATTTTCACCCTGCCTGCAAGCTTCTTTGAAACAATACCCGATGGGGGTGTCGATTCCAGAATACGGGTAATTGGTCTGGTCTGTTGCGTAGCTTAAACGCGAGTCCAACAAGATCCTCAACCCTGCAGGCCATCCTAATGACAAGAACAGAACATGAAAGTATCCCGGGATCGTCATCAGTGGGTCACTGGGGTCTGGCCCAACTTGTGACATCAAACAGCACCTTAGGGACTCCGCTGATCTAGACAGAATGGCAATCTCGATTTCGTGGAGCTCGAGTCCTAGAAGGTCAGAGCAACGACATCTCATTTATCCCTCATTTGCTACACTTACCATGGGGGGTTTTCATGAGAAGAAAACGCGCTGCCTTGGATGAAGAATAGTTCCATTGATCACCCCATCCCAACGGTATGACAGAATTGAGATATCCACCAGAGTTAAGGATTGTTTCGAGACTGCTCAACCACTCGTCGAATTTGTGCGATTGATTCTGTATTTTATAAGGATGAAAACGACGAATAAGCGTATCCGCAGCTGCTTTGCCGCTGATGGTGCGCTCGTTGGAAGGGACACCGGCATCAATTAATGCCGTTACCAATGACTTGAAATCGCCTCCGTAGTATGGATCTTCTTCATATCTACACATATGGAAAGAAGAGCAAAGCACCTATCACGCGTTGTCAATGCAAGACACAAGGCAATGCAACTAGCAGTGAGAAATAATTAGTTGAACCTACATGTAGGATTGTGCTGCCATCCTCGAGACGATCGGTTGGGGCGGCCCTTCCTTCCTGGAACATCTTCAAAAGGGTTGTCTTCACGCAGTCTGATTGGCCACCAGGGCCCGGTTTAGGATAATCACCGTACCTAGAATGAATTATAACGTCGAAGGCTGGAGAGTTAGAGGCCACGACAGCTTGCAAACGAATCACTGGACTAAATGCAAAGGAGCCTGCACCTCTCGTCAATGTCATCATGACCTGCAACGAGAAACCCAGGAACCTATTGCAGAAGTTGTAACTCCCGGCAACACCTAGCGCCTGTTCACCGTGGACATACAATGGACAGGAGTTTTCATGCAGCGCATAGGTTGAGAGCGACAATCCTGAGAACGGGCGACGCTTGTGATAGCCGCCGCTTGATGTCACGAATCGCAGCCTCCGGCGGCAGGTACAATACCGTGAGATCTGCTCTATTTGCGAAGCAGGCAGCCTCCGCTTCCTTCGCAACCAGGTATTCATGAGTTGTTGTTGGTCACAGAGGTCTCGTAATAGGCTTGGTTCCGGCATTGTGCGAGGATTGAGTTGGGTTGTTTGCGGAGTATGCTGAACAAGGGCTTGCGGGCTAGTGGGTACCACTTGCTGGTCAACAACTGTGAGGATCTTTGTTGTTGTAATGCTAATCGAGGATGTTCGGGATATCAGGTCTTGTATCTGTCGCTGTTGTTGACTCATAAGAGCACTATATGATTTAGAGTAATTATCGTATCATTACTCTAGAATATGGGGAGCATCTCGGACAACTTACCTTTGAAGAAGCTGAAGAGCTAGACTTAGGTTATCCTGCAGACCAGATACCAATCCAGACAATGTGACCAAGGTATCTTTTTTGAAAGGATATGCCATCCTCTTTAGTCGAAGCCAGTCACGTTTGCTCGAGAAAGCTGAACTTGAGGCGTTCAGATTGCTCATTTTACATTCATCAAGCATCTTCTCCAGGCGTTGACATGCCTCTTTGCAGGATGCTAGATTGTCGAGGACTAGGAGCCGATATTGATCAGAAGGAAGCTGTAGGTTGGTTTGAGGCGATAAAAAGCTGTTTAGAAGGCGTAGAGTGTTTAAAAGTCCATCGACTTTGGTGGTAAACCCTCGAATCTCGTCATCATAGTCGCGCCATGGCCCGTAGTAACGCGCGAATCCCTGGCCAAGGGTAAGGCCGAGGGATACTACTCCCACCACGCCGGCGCTAACAGAAAACGGGTCGGTCATGGCACGAGTTCCAGACGGCCGAGAGTGTAGAGAATGAAAAGACCGGGGGATGAGGGTCAGCTTATGTTCTGGCCGATCGAAATCCAGCCTTGTCCGCCTGAACGCTGGCATGGATAGTGTCCTGGCCCTGATTGGCTCCACGTTGGCGATGGTGTGGCTGAGAGATGCCGACAAGGGTACGCAGCCGACCAGTAATTTTATGCCAGAGCAGTGACCCAGGATGGCTGCGACAATTTTCCAGACCGACTCTGGGCTCTGCATGCACGCCTGTACCATCTATTCCAGCCAATCATCCTTTGATTCAATCGGAAAGGCCAAGATGGCCTCATTCCAAGTCTTGTCGTTGATCCCCCACACCAGTTCGAGATTTTCCCAATCCGAATATAGGATTGCTCTCCCTCCAACCAGAGGCCCAATTTCTCCGAGCTCACCTCAGATCGATCGTCTCACACCGACCAAAATGAACGTCAGGCGTGGTAATGTCGGTGTGCCGGTTGGCAAGGGTACTACCATAGTCAGCGCGAGCAGAGGGCAGCTTCACCCAAGTCATTTCGCAACTTTCTTCTCAAGCGCTCTGAACCATTTCGGATATGTGCATGAGAGGAACAAGTAGTCACTATTAAAGCAACGCATCCAAGCAGAAAACGCCTCGCCCTGAGCCTCAGTGTGAGGCCCTTGCATGATTGATACGAGCGAGCTCGTATTACCCAACCAACAATTCCCTGGTCGCGTGCTCGCAATTAAATGAAAAGCTCTCAAGGCCTATCACAAGACGATTAATAGCGTGATACCAGGCGCTTGGGGCCATGAGACAGATAAAAGGAAGGCGCGAGCCCCCGCCAGCGCCATACTTCGAACCCTGAATGCCCCCGCCATAGCTCGAGGCAACCCGAATTTAACCTGAAGGATCAATCCTCGAACTGATTGTTTTCTATCGTCGCCATGCGCCGCCTAACAAAACACATCTTCCCCGAAAGCAGTCAAAAAAAGCAAGAGAGGAAAGAGCTGGATGAAGCGAGTCGCCTCGTGCAGCTGCGATATCGACAAGGTGCCCTGTATTTCGATATATCCAGACCGACCAAAAAGGAAAAGTATATCCGCGCACAAGTGTATCGCTACACGGTATCTAAAAGCGCACCCGGGGACAATCACGGTCGAGCGATTCGGGCGCAAATGCTGGAATTATGAGCAAGCAGTCAACAATCAGTATAGCCTCGAGGTAACACCAAACCCGTGCCCGCACAGGTTCGTTTTTACGCGGTTGCAGGAGCGGATGATTGAACTGGAGAACAAAGGTCAGCGAAAGATCGGCCTCGATCGCACCGCGGATGATTGGGAGATTATGGAGTTTGTCGGGGATCTTGGGTGTGTACTCCCTTGACCTAAGCTAAGAGACAGCCAGAGACTTTGGGTGTTGCTTCATACTGAACGCCTGTCCAGGAAGAAAAAGAACATCGGCGGAGGCAAGCACAGCCACTCCTGGTGGATTCCCCAGCTATACAGCGTGCTATACCGGCGGGATTGGTTGATGGATTTCAACAAATTGCCACACATCGCACAGGAAGTCTATACCGAAAGGGGATCGGCATCAAAGGCCAAATTAGGACAGGATGAATTCTTCTATGCGATGATCTTGACCAAAGAACTGCTGCGGCGAGTCGAGGTCGATAATGGCTGGTGCCCGGAATTTACGAATGCGCTATGGGTCCAGCTTATCCTTGCTGATCAGTGGTTTCGCAATGTGCAGTTGAAGGCTGCCCAGACGGCGTTTAAACCGTTAGAGCCAACTGCCCCAGAGGACGATGAGCAGCGCAAGGAGGTTGAAATGACGCGGCAGGCGGGCGATCGAGCACTCAAAGGTGGCCGATATGACGAGGCCATCGAGCTATATTCTAGAGCCATCAACCTGCATTCCGCCAATGCAACTACACGATATCAAAAGGTAAGCGCCCTGCTCTCCAAAGGGATATACTCCGCCGCGATGCAAGAGGCCTCTATCGCGGTTCGTGTGGCGCCCAAGAACGTGTGGGCGTGGCATTATCTCCGGAGAGCTTGCCTGTAAGCAAGCTGCTTCTCGCGCGCAACGACATCCTTTGAAACGGCACTTGCACCGGTAGAGCCCGGCAGAGTCCCCGCCGGCCTACGTGACGGGCTCGCAATGTCACACACACGCAGAACCTGGCAGCGCCAAAGCGGCGGACGAGAGGAAAAGCCCTGAGGTGTGCTGGATGGCGGTTTCCACAATTTCCCAACAGCAGATCGAGGGCATCATCCGTCTCGCGGAAAAGATGCAATGGCCGTATCTCGGCGAGGTCCGCGAGCATGCGTGGCGAATCTGTGAGGATGTCTCAACGGGCAGATGCTGGATGGCGTTTCTCCACGACTGGTTCTGTGGGCTGAGCTTGCCCGGTGCCAGGTTCGCGGTGAACATGATGGCCGCCTCGATCTTTTGTAGTCCGTATAGACCGGAGGCGCTCCAGTACTACTGTCAATATGAGGGTGAGACGACCGGGGTTGTCTTTCAGGATAAATCGTACTGGAGGGTCCGCTCGACTTTGGGGAGAGTCCTGGGATGCCTCCCTGGGGTCACTTCTGTTGGTGGATGGATAGGCCCATGCCCTGCAGCTGAAGGAGTTGAGGTGCTGCGGGCCATTTACCTCACTGCGAAGCAGGTCGCTCCGGTGGAGGTGAGCAAGCTCCCTTCCGACCAGACGTGGCAGTCATCGCAAACTCCGACTTCCGCAACGGATCTCAAGGACGATGAGAAGTCGGTATTTCCTCAGCGACCTTCCACGCGGTCACGCGATTGCAAACTTCTCTCCGTCCGACTAGAAAAGCTCCCAATAAGCAAAAGGATCCTTGAGATAGAGAAGCACGAGAGGGGTTGGGTCAAAAAGCAAAAGGAGAGCAGAAGGGAGTTCCGCGCGCACATCCGCGTCGAGTTTGATGGAGACGGCGGGGAGCCACACCAAGAAGAGTACACCCTACTTCACAACTCCATCTTTGTTACTCTTCCTCCATGTCTACCGCGCCAGATAAGGCGCGTACAAGGAGAATGTGAGCCGGCTGTATACCGTCGAAGTTCCTGTGGAGAAGCTCAAAGAGCACCCCAAGAGTGCGTCCATGGACGAGACACTCATTATCAACGCCAGTGGAGATGGTGCAGAGGTAGCTGCGAGAGCGTGGTGCGCACAAGTTGGAAGCCATGCAATCGTGCGAAAGTCTGACGGACCTTGCATGACCTGTACTCTCCGAGGCGCGAGCCGTGCTGGATTGGGGGTGGGTACTGTCATCTGGGTCCCGCAGGCTCGGGTTAGCAAGGCAATAGCCTATACGACAGGGCGCCTCGTTTCGCCACCATCGCCTGTGTAACCCGGGTCCATGTTGTTTCTCCGTGGAACAGCGCTTGGATAGCCTATCCTTGAGACGGCGGGACGTCCTTGTGATCCCAAGTCTTGTACTAGTTTCAGCAAATCCCGCCTCGCTAGGTGTCTAGACACTACTCAACGCGATGGCCGTCGTTATGGTTCTGCGGCATATATAAGCAAGATTTATCTCGCAGGGAATCCATAACACGCACAACCCATGTTTGAATCCCTCGTTACCGGCTGAAACTACCCTCAAAATGGAGCGCCTCACACGCAAAGAACACACCACCTCTCGCAACTACACCTACACCTACTACCTCGTCATTCAATCCCCCGAAAAGCCAACCCTCCTCCTCCAACACGGCTTCCCCGACGACCACACCCTCTGGGCCCGTATCCTCCCATCACTCCTCACCTCCGGTCACTCAATCCTCGTCCCCGACCTCCTCGGCTATAATGGCACATCCAAACCAACAAATACAGAAGCCTACAACTCAAAGGGCCTGGCCACGGACCTCGTCGAAATCCTCGACCACGAAAACATCAACAAAATCATCTCTATCGGCCACGACTGGGGCTCATACATGGCTCAGCGAATGTGGCTCTGGTTCCCCGAGAAAGTCGCGGGACTGATCATGTTGAATATCGCATACGACCCGCCCGCGCCGTTTGATCTTGATGCGACGAATGCGGCTATAGAGAAGGCGACAGGGCTCCCTAGATTGGCCTATTGGGAGTTCTTCTCTTCATCAGACTGCGCGGATGCCATGAGTGCGAATATCGATTCTTGGTTTGAGGCACTACATGGCAATCCGGAGAATTGGCTTGAGACGCTCTTTTGTCACCGGGATGCGCTGTCGGATTTTGTCCGTCAAGGGAAGCGCGTTCCGCTTCACGGGTATGCGGAGTCCCTGCGAGATAACTGGGTAAATACCTTCGAGAGGGATGGCTTCGTCGGACCACTGCAGTGGTACCTGGTCAAGGTTAGTGGGATTCAGTGGGAGGTTGAGAAGGAGCTTCCCAGGGAGAGACATGTTGTTAAGGTACCCGCGCTGTTTATTGGTTCCAAGAAGGATACTGTCTGCACGACTGCTGCGATTGATGTTCCGAGGGGGCAGGGATTGCTTCCGCAGTTAACGGTGGAAGAGGTTGATACCGGGCATTGGCCAATGCTAGAGGCGCCGGAGGCTACTGGTGATGTTATTGTCAAGTGGTTGGCCGAGACCGTGTAGTGTTATTCATGAATTTGTCCTAGAAACGAACAATTAAACAAACTCCTGCCCCCTCGCGGCCCTCCCAACCCTCGAACTAGCATACACCCCCTTCTTCGCGGTGCGCCCACCCATCCTCAGAATCCCAACAAGATGATGCACGCCCGCCACAACGCCATCGATGACCTGCACATCAGGCCCAACAGCTTTTTCAACAGCAGCCTTTAGCTTGGTCATCCCCGCACATCCGAGCGTTATCGTGTCAGCACCCCGCTCGACCAACGTCTTTGCTGCGTCGCACATGGCACCCAGAACAACATCCTCGCCCTTCTCTTCGAGACCCAGCACGCCGAGGCCGCAGCTCTGGACACCGACAGAGAACCCTTCCAGTCCATAGTGTCTGATCGAATCTGTATGTAAAACCGCCGAACGCGAAGACGTAACAACGATCCCAAAGCGCCCACCGAGCGTGCGCGCCGCGAAGAGACTCGCTTCCATAATCCCGACAACAGGCGAGGGTAGTTCCTCGCGTAGAGCTTTGATAAGCGGGTGGTCGCTGTAGCACGCGACGAGGAACGCATCGTATCGGTCAGCGATGGGGAGGATTGCGCGGATGGCCTCGGCCGCGGAGAGGACGCCATCGAGCGAGCCCTCCACTGCTGTGGGTGCTGGGATGGGTGCCGTGAAGCCGTCGACATGCACGTCGGGTGGAAGTGTGGGAGTAACCATTTCGATACACTTGTCTGTCATGTATTTGGTTGAGTTGGGGTTCACGAGGAGGATGCGGAATTTCTTCGTCTGCTGCAGTGGGAGGGACACGCTCTGTTTCGCAGTCTCAGCATCCTCCCTCACAGTACCTTCAGCAGTAAGCAAAGGTGGCTCAATAACCCCAGTCTGCTCCGCCAAAATGCGATAATGCTCAATCCTTCTATGCCGCCCAAAATCAAACGTCCTCTTCTTCCCCGGCTTACACAAATCCAGATCACAATCTGCAACAATAACCTCATCCTCCACAGTCTTACTCTCGGCCAGAATTCGTCCCTCGGGATCGACAATCGTGCTCCCTCCAATAAGCGGGTACTCCCCGTCATCGAGGCCACACCGCGCAGACGAGACGCTGAACGTCGCGTTCGTATATGAATGAGCTTGCATGACGAGCTTGTGGTGGAACAGCGAGAAGGCTTCTGCCTCTTTGGGATCCATATCCGCCGACTGGCCCCAGAACTGCGGCGCGAAGCCGTTGGTGTTGTATCCGCAGAGAACAATCTCGACGCCCTGGAGGCCGTACGCGCGCCAGCTTTCGGCCCACCGGCGGTCGTTGCAGATCATCATGCCCAAGATCGGGTCGCCCTGCTTTTGCTCCGCGGTGGAGGGTTCTGGCTCGACGAGCCCGGGCACGCGGAACGCCTTGAAGCCGAGATTCCCGGGGAGAAAGTACCGCTTCTCGAGCTGATTGACGGCCTTCGGGTCCGGAAGCGGCTCGAAGTCTCCGGGCAGATGGATCTTGCGGTACTTTGAGAGTATCGACCCCGATTGCGCGTGGTAGTAGATGCAGCTGTTATAGTGGTCTCCGTCGTCTGTGGCTTCGGCGAACCCGACGCTAATGTCGACGCCGAGTTCATGCGCCACGTCAAAAAGCGCCTTGGTATTGGGAGCCGTGCGGATGTCGCCGTGCTCGAACCAGGATTTCAGCTCCGTTTCGTCCAGGATGAGGTAGCGTGGGAAAAAGGTTGTGAACGCGACTTCGGGGAACAGGACGAGCTGCGCGCCTTGGGACGCTGCGTTGCGCAGCAGTGTGATCATCCGGTTTAGGGTGTGTTCGCGCGTGTCCCATTTGTTCGTCGTGCCCATCTGGGCGGCGGCGAGGCGGACGGTTCGTGCCATGGTTGCTCTCCGAGTAAAAGACGGCAGTTTGGAAACAAATGGGTATCTTTGGGTAGAACCTGTATATTTGTGTGCAATGCTATCGTGAGGGGTATAAATGTGTAGATCGGAGAAATATCCGGGCTTATCTCGATGGACTTGGAGTCGTATCTTATCATCGGCCGTTGGAGAGTTGGAGAAGATAGCTGCGATAGGCGTGCGAGATCGGCGAACTTGTCGTGGGAGATGATAAATTTCAGTCATCTCTGGCTTTGTAGGATCAGAGACTCAATTGTAGAAGGGCCAGAAACTCGACCGGCACAATGGCGCTAGACATCGACCTCATCATCACAAACGCTACCATAGTAAACACCCCTCCACCTCCACCTCCACCCTTCCCACGCCCCTCAGCACCATATCCAGACTAACAAGCCAAGGCAACGGCCTCGGACACCCTCCACAACACAGACATCGCCATCTCCGCCGGCAAAATCGCCCTGCTCGGCGCTAACCTGCCGACGCTCTTCCCCTCCGCCCCAACCCTCTCCGCCGACGGCGCCTACGTCCTCCCCGGGGGCGTCGACAGCCACGTTCACCTGCAACAAGACAACAGCCCAACAGGCGACACCTGGGAATCCGGGACGCGCTCCGCAATCGCAGGAGGCACAACAACCGTCCTCGCATTCGCATCGCAGAAACGCACAGACGAGAGCTTATTTCCTGTTGTAAGCGAGTACCACGCTCGCGCGCAGGGGAATGCATACTGCGACTATGGCTTCCATCTCATCCTCTCGAATCCGACGGCGAGGGTTCTCGAGAATGAACTGCCTATCCTGGTGAAAGAGGAGGGGATAAGCAGCGTGAAGCTGTACATGACCTACCAGCCGATGCGCCTGCGAGATTCCGAGCTGCTGGATGTCATGGGGACGACACGGGCACTGGGGATGACGACGATGATCCACGCCGAGAACGCAGATATGATCGACTGGATGACGAGGAAGCTCGAGGCCCGCGGACTCACGCAGCCGTATGCGCATGCGCTTGCGCGACCGAACATCGCCGAGGACGAGGCGACGTATCGCGCGCTTGCGCTGTCTGAGCTCGCGGATGTCCCCATTCTCATTGTGCATATGAGTTCCAAGGTTGCGGCCGGGCATGTCCGGCGCGCGCAGACGAGGCTGTTGCCTGTGCATGCCGAGACGTGTCCGCATTATCTGTTTTTCACAAGTGAGAAGCTCAAGGGCGAGGGGTTCCACGGGGCGAAATGTGTGTGTTCGCCGGCGCTTAGGGAGGATCCGATGGATTTGGATGCGATGTGGGAGGGGCTGGTGAACGGGACGTTTACGACGTTTTCGAGCGATCATGCGCCGTCCAAGTATGTTCTCTCGTCCTACCTACTTGAATGGGCGTTGTCGGTTTGTGGTGGCTTGCTTACGAGTGTAGGTTCGATCATCCCCTCGGAAAGAAAAAGGGCACAGCGACGTTTACACAGATCCCCAACGGGCTCCCGGGTCTCGAAACACGCATGCCGAGTCTCTTCTGCAACGGCGTTCTTACAGGCCGACTGTCGGTCCAGAAATTCGTCGAGCTGACCGCTTCGAACCCGGCCAAGCTGTACGGTCTCTCCGATCGCAAGGGGACGATTGCACCGGGGTACGACGCCGACCTTGTCATCTGGTATCCAACCCCCGAACAGGCCGCGCAGTCGGGTTCCGAGAAGTCCGTTATGCAGCCCTTTACCCTCACGAACGAAATGCTGCACCACGATATCGACTACACGCCCTTTGAAGGTATGCGCTTCACCAACTGGCCGCGGTATACGATTCTGCGGGGGAAGGTCGTGTGGAATCGGGACGAGGGCGGGATTCTGGGGGAGAAGAGCGACGGTGGGTATTTGAAGCGAGGGAGGAGCACGTTGAGTCGGCCGCGGGAGGTGTTTGTGAATGAGTTTAATCCGTACGAAGCCTGATTGTGAGAGACGCTGTTCTGAAGAAATGAAATGACGTTGCATGGTATGATGAGCTGAAGAAATAGTAAATAGTAGAGGTATATAGATGACAATTGGCAAAGACAGATCAACACCCGCAACATAGACACTCGACACACTCGATGCAGCACTCGCACGCTTCCTCGCAGAGGAAGCAGCAGCACAGTGTCATCAAACTAAGCAATTAGCTTCTCTAACCAATTCCAATCAACTGTAGGGAACGTACCAAGCAGTAAGACAGCCACGATCCTTTTGCTCAGGAGGCGGCGGCGCAGTCTGGTACTGCATGGGCGGGTAGGCCTGCGGCGGCGGAGGACCGTATCCCTGCTGGGGAGGGGGGTAGCTATACGTCGAGAACGGTCAGTTTCTGTTTCCAGTTTCTCCGTCTTCATCTTTTTCTCCAGCAACTCAAGATAGACGTACTAAGCTCCAGGAGGAGGCTGCTGCTGCGGATACGACATGGCGATTGTAATGTGAATGTGAATGTGCTATGTGGACGTTAAGCCGGGGAAGAAGGAGAGAAACGGAGTTTATTTGAATTATTTCGCCGAGGTTGGTTTTGAGCGCAGGCAGAAGAATAATTCTCAGCCTTGCAGTGCTTGGTATCCACTGGCTGGCTTGGCTGTGGGTGATCCGACCGGTGATGTTCCACTGCACGAGGTCAGTTGTAGACGCGCTCTGCAGGTGTTTCACGGTAAATTTTGTGGCGAGAAATGTGATTGAATCGCTGCTTTGCAGTTGATGAGATGACCCTGAATCCAACATGACTTTCCCTCCTCCCAATTCAACCCCATCATTTGCAACCCCCATACCATATCTGCCCATCGACCTCCTATCTTCAGAACGCACACGTTATCAACCCCATCAACTATCGAAAAAGAGCCAAGACGATAGAAGCTAAATGCAGCTAAGCAGCCCCTTAAGGCTGGCCCCACAGTTGTGCGAATGTGGACATGTTGGTTGGCTGCAAAATGGTGTTGCCTAATGGTCCTCCACCGACCAGTCAGCCCTGCACTGATCAATAATTTGCACAAATCAATGGAGAAACTCATCCTCTGTAAGCCGCTGACTGTTCATTATTTTCGATTATTGGATCTCATTGGGTAAACTGGGTGGGCGTTCGGCTGGATGTGCCGAGTGCCGAGTTGGGTTGCCCCTTGGCTCGGTGGTGCGTGTTCGTCGCTCACCGACTGAGCCTGGGAGAGAGACGGATGATGGAAAAACAGTCACCTTGTATGCTTCAGTCATTAATAGACGCGTAACTTGCATGGTATGTTCTATTTGTCTGCTTACAGTCAAAAAAGCCTCCTTCGAAAACAGCGATACACTGGTACTGTCTCATTGATTTTTGTCCGCGCCGATATATATTCTAATCAAGATACTCCGGGGCCTACTTCGCGAGAACTATGGTGCAGTTGCTCAGTCATACTTAACTGTCTTATGGTTTGTTTCTCCCCAGATATTCGGTCTCTGATCTGGTGTCCAAACAACTAAATTCAGTCAAGCTTTTCTTGTTCGATCAGCAGCAGGGGAAGCCACGGTTTTATCGGCGATCAGAAGTAAGACGATAAGGGGCACAAAGATGGCCAACCATATCGCTGGCTCTACTGTCTGTATCCTTCAGAGGTATACGGAGAAGTAGACGTTAGAGATCGAGAGTGTGGAAAAAAGTTTAAGACGATTGATGGGACTGGAGAGAGTATACGACTTCCATAGGAGTGATTCGAGCCTAGGGTCGTATTAGAATACCGCTGACCCCGTGAACTTGAGAAACCATACCCACTCGGCCAGTCTGCCCGAAACCCTGGAGGTACATAAGGAAATATGCGAATCTTAAAAGATCGTAAAGCGAAAGTCAAAAGCTTGGTTTTCACCCCACGTCAACGCCCAATTCGTAACCCCCTCCAACAGCCGCCGACTAAGATAAGGCCTCGCTTGCAATCATCGGAACTCACTCCCATCACCCCAGTTTATCCTCCCTGTGAATCGCTATGCAGTACATAACCTAGACCCCGCCGAATGAGGCCAAGGCTTAAGAATGTGAAGATTGACACGAAGAGGCCCGTCCGTTCCGCATCCGCGGCCCTCCTTGTGCTCGTCAGGGTCTTTCACATGTCGAGCTTCTTGCGATATGAGTGGCCGACCACCCATCTATGTCAGAGCGTTCGAGTCAGATTAATTTATATCGCACGTATTCGGATTTAGGGTCGCTGTTGTGTTATGTATAAGTTGCATATGGATATGCATTGCATTCATTGTAACTTGATTGATGTGAAGGACCTGGTATGCGCGGTTGCAGAGATGATATGTTTCTGACTGCGATGTATATTGAGCAGCAAGGTGAACCTGTCGTACGGAATGTTAATATTCTGCGGATTCTCAAACCCCACATCGCTAGAGCCGCGAGAGGACTGTACGTCTGTCCCTCCTGCTCTGCAACCTCGAGAACATACTAGCAAGATGATTGCAGCATATACAACGCGGCTATTTTAGGACTTCGAATGCCCAACACCGCCAGCGTCGCATATAACATCAAGCCCTACTCGAGACTTCGGATGCGAACACGCCCGACCCGACAATGGCCTCTCCACCCCCGGAAAGAGGGATCGTACCCAAGCCGCCTTGTCCATGCGTCCTTCTAGCCGGATGAAAGCCATCGCCATGGTCATCTGGAGAAACAGCACGGATCTCACTCGTCCAACAAGCCGCCTGGCCACGAGAAAGGATCCCAAGATCTACACCATCCGCACCCCAGAGTATACCCTGACAACATCCATGCTCGCAGGAATGCATATGACCACCGCCAGCCTGATCCTTTCTCTCCTCCGGCTCGCGGCCCGACGGTAACCCTAACCTTGATGGAGGGGTAGTTATACGGGGTAGATATAGGTGCTTGGAATACCCATGTCGTTCTTCATGCCCCTCATACCTCCCCAGTTCCATCAACAACACAACAGGTAGCACACATCAAGAATCAACTACTATTAAGAGGCTTTAGCAAGTTAACAGCTCAAAGACCAAGCCCATCAAAATGATAAACCTCGCCCCCAAACCCACGCACTCCATAACCATAACAATCGACGACGACGCCGTCCCCCTAGGCGAAACGGACCTAGCCATCCACGAGCTCCAAGCCGTCGCAAAAGAAGGCATCGCCCTCGCCGCTGGCGCAGCCGCAATCCTCCTACAGATCGCCCACCCCATGGTCGGCCAGGGCGTGGCCGACCACAGCACCTTTGCGAGCCGCACAATCAGCCGGACGCAGTATACGCAGATGTACATCTTCACGATGATCTTCGGGACGCCCGAGGAGAAGGCAGCAATGAAAGCGTGGGTGGACCGCGCGCATTCGCGCGTCAAGGGCGAGGTGCAGAGCGGGGAGAGGAAGAATGAAGTGTATGATGCGATGAACCCCGAACTGCAGCTGTGGGTCGCTGCGACAATCTATGCGTCTATGGTGGGGATGTACGAGAAGGTTTATGGGGAGCTCCCGCCGCTCAAGGCCGAGCTTGTGTATCAGGCGTATGCGTGCATGGGGACCAGTCTGCAGGTTCCCAGGGAGATGTGGCCGGCTGATCGCAAGGCGTTTCGGGTGTATTGGGATGATATGATTGCGAACAAGTTGTCTGTTACGCCTGATGCGCGGGGTGTGTTGGAGGAGTTGTTTCATCCGAAGGGTCTGCCGCTGTGGGCGAGGCCGATTGCGTGGGTGCTGTTGCCCATTGTGCGGCCGTTGACGATTGAGCAGCTACCGCCGAATATCCGGGATGGGTTTGGGCTCAAGTCGACGAGGTCGACAAGGGCGATTGCGGGGTTGTTCATGTCGACTGTTGCGGTGACTTATCCCATTACGCCGGGGTTTATTCGGCATTGGCAAAAGTCGTACTCGTTGCGGTTGCTGCGGAAGAGAATGAAGAAGAGGGGTGGGAAGCTTGTCAAGTTGTAACCTCTTATTGTTCCTTGTGTACTACAGCTTTTGTTTGATAGGGTCAGAATGCAATGTGATGATATCCCTGTCTGCTTGCGCGTGCTCTCGGCGTAATCTTAGACAGCGCAATGACCCTGCTTAGCCTGCCAGTAGTCGTAGCTAGATTCCGCCCCCGCATCCTATACACATTTCTTACTCAAGAAGTCTGACACGCCCACCAACAACCACCGTCGCCCAAATGTGGGGAAATGATAAAGGTAGATCCCGTCAGCCGAGGATGGCCCTCGTTTCAAGAGGATGGTGGGTAGCACTTCGTATCTCGAAGCTTTATCTCCAACAAAAGCCAGCGCACCACGCGACAGCACGAAACAATGAAGCCCCTTACATCAACACCACCGCAAAATGATCCTCTCCCTCCTCTCCCTCCTTGGACGCCTGGGCGCCGTCACGGCCTCGCTCATCGTTGTAGGCCTCAATGCAAAGTTCATCACCGAGCGCCTTTGGCTGACGGATCTGCTGGTCTACATTGAAGTCGTTGCGGGCGTCAGTGTTGTAGCTGCGCTGGTTCCTCCATACCCGAACTTTCTATATGACTCGTTTTGGGCGGCGGTGTGGATCATCGCTGCGATCTTTGCTTTGGTTTTGCAGGTAGTGATTGCATCTCTATTCTTGGATGGTCGAGCTAATCGGTTGCGAAAACAGTTCGCAGAGTCGAATTGCTATGGGCTGCAGCCTCATAGCCCGATAGAGTGTGCGACGTACAAGGCTGGAACAGCTTTTGCGTTTATTGCTTTGCTCTCATGGCTGGGGAGTGCCTTTATGGTATGTGCTCTAGGGGTCGTGTAAGCTTTTCTAAACAGCCACAGGGAGGTCTGGCTATCCTTGCGCTGATGGCTAATGTGGGGAATCGATACTGGGGTCGTCCGTGAGTGCGCTCCAAGCTAGATAAATGATGCTGCTGACAAGGCAGACTACACCTCGGTGCTACAGAAAAGGACGATACGGTCTCACCAGAGGAGGTTCGGAAGGTCAAGTTCGTTCTTCTATCCTGACACAAAAGCTATGCTCACCCGTGCAGGGGCCTAGGCAATTCGCACGTTGCGAGGTGGTTTATATGCTATGGTATCCTTGGGGTAGTCCTCCTTGCGGTCGGAATTCCTGTCATGTATATAAATAGTTCACTCCACCTCTAACATTGGCTAACTATGACACAGTGTAATCTACGCAGCCCCAGCCTTCGCTCGCTACCTTATGCAAGGCATCCCCGTACCCGACAACGTGCGCATCCAACTGAAGAACCCGACCAACGACAGCATCGGCGTGACACTCGAAAGCGACGTCTGGGTTCCTGACGGAGGAGATGTAACCTTTTACCCGATGGACGTGACCTTTTTCTCCAATGACGAATACCCCAACTTCGACCCGATCGCATCCATCAGCCTCCCACTGTTAAAGTACAAATCGAAGGAACACCTCAATATCCCCGAGCAGAGACTGCAGCTTGGAAATCTTGATGCGTTCGCACGGTTTATTGAGCATGCAGCGTTCAATTCTACGTTTACATTGGGTGGGATTGCGCGCGCGAAGGTCAAGATCGCGACAATCAGCACCGAGGTAGATCTGTATAAGTCGGTCACGTTTCCAGGTTCGTTAGTCGGGATATATGCCTTGGCTATAAGCTAATGCAGGCAGCGTTCAATGCGTTCCCAACGATCGAGTTCAAGGAGATTGGGCTCAAGACCCGTGATGCCAACGGCTATAATCTCCATGCAAAAGTCGTCCTCGAGAACCCGACTCCGGCAAGCGCGACGCTCGTAGGTCTCTTGCTTGTACAGCAATTCAACGGGAGAATCTAACCGCTATATCCAGGGCGACGTTACTCTGAACGCAATGATCGGCGACTTCATAATCGGCGAAGGCCGAGTCTCCGTGGCGAACATCATCCCTGGCAGGAATACATTCGACGTGGACGCGAAGCTCAACATCACAAACATCCAGAACAACATCAACGCAATAATGGCAATCGAGTTGCCCTACCTAAAGAGGGAGCAGATTATCGTCTCTGCATCCGTCACCTCGGTCGTATACGAGGGCGAGCATCTGCCCTACTGGGAAGAGGCATTCGGTCGGCTTGAGATTGCACTTGCCCGGCCGATTCGTCCACTTGTTCAGAGTATACTAGACAGTGGCTTTCTGGGGAGTTATATGAGTCCGATTGTGAAGCGGGTGCTGAATATTATCTTGGAGAACGTGAAGGAGATGGATGAGGATGATCTCGAGGATTATGCGGAAGGTTTGGGGGATATTGGCACGCGAGCGCTCAGTCTTCTTTCGACCCTGGGTATCTTGTGATTTTCCTAGTCTGCATCGTCCTCTATATGTAACGAAATTCACGACCTTTATTGCTCTCCCGTGTCCTCTTGCAATTTAGGATGAATGGAACAAACATGACTCTAAAAACGCCAGATTGACAACTGTTTCACTATTTCTTCTTCTTGAACCTCGAGAAGAACCCCTTTGACTCCTTCTCCTTGACCTCTATCTTCAGCGTCCCAATTTTGTACTCGTACGCGTAGCGCTTGAGAATATTGTCGCCGTGGTATTTGCGGTACTTCTTGCTCGCGTCCGTGCCAGCTACACCAAGGAGGACTGTTTCCGTTAACCCTCGACATCCCCAACCCAATCACGGAGAAGGTCCACTGTAAAACATACTCTTCTTCCCTCCAGGATGTTCCCCCGAGAACTTGGTCAGATCATACACCGTCCCGTCGATCGCCAGCCACAAGTCCCCATCTTTGTTGTGCAGAACCAGTTCGTCGAATGTGTAGACCTGATTCAGATCGACCTCGACAGGAATGGGCTCGGTGGTCTCAGCATCTGGGCCCTCTGGTTGTACGATGGCGGTGACTATCGTCTGTGGCTCCGTTCCCGCCTTCACCTCAGGTTGTGGTTGTTGTCGCGGTTGCGATTGTGCCGTGTCTGCCATGATGCGGGGTTTACTGTCAATCGTGCAATCCAAATCCCAGCAATTACCCCGGATTCAAGAATGGGGGTACCGCATTTATTAATGTCGGCGCAAAGAGTGGCTGTGGCGGCTGTTTTCATGTGTTCCTCCTGCTCCTCTCGGCTCATGCTGCGGCCGAGGCGAGGAGCCGAGATGCCGCCGCTGCTTGTTGGAGGAGCAATCGACGCTAATTAATGAATCTGGACCATGAATCGCGCTAAAAGGGATGCTTTCATATGTTCTTGTGCTTGGTCAAGTGTGCAGGGTGGTATTTTGGGATCGCTGCCCTATTTACAGCTGTCAGCGAGATAAATGTAGCTGACAGCTTTCCCCGCATCGGATTTCGCATAATTTAAGCAGCCACGACGAATTTAGCTCAACTTTATGGTTACCCCGTAAGAGCCCGTAAGAGATCGAACCACTTGCGACTGTTGAATTCACTTGAACTCGGCGTCTGCGTAATATACCGGGTGCGCCTCACAACATATCAGTGTGTACAATGGCCAACGGTGCGCCCTCCTCTGTAGCCGCTTCAACCGAGAGAGCGTGAAGCATAGCCATTATACAGATCATATTGACCTAAAAGGAGTTGTCATTAGGCGCGATGGATTCGATCAGGTCAACATGCTCTGCGGTAAATGGTGATTGGGGGCCGTAGTTATTGGTAATTTTTCATGAGTCAGGATACATCCTTATAATTGTGATGCCTTGCCCTCTTCTTTAGTACAGCTCATTGAGTGATGCAAATCGTGAATAACATATTTCTGGATCGGCCGCACTGGGGTGGATCTACCGTAGTGGGTGCAGCATCTCAGGGCTGGGTTGGGCTGTTCCAACTTGGATTGATTGCTCAAAAAGCAGACAAAAGCAAACTCGCCAGAAAAAAGACACCCTCGGACCGGATTTACCCAGGTGCTTTCTAGATTGTATCAGATGATTGATAAGCTTAATAATGAGCTTACACAGGTTGACAGAATTCCTCTCGGGACAATGGGTCAATCCTATGCTCTTTCAGTCGCTATGTGCAGCGTAGGATACTTGAAGACTCAGCACATAGTCTTGCTTATTATCGAGTCGTGCTTTGTTTGATCATGTTGCCAATGTCATCTCCTATGTAATATGAGCCTCCTGTCCGGAGAAAGCTCCAATCCTTCTACTAGGTAAGAAATACCTTTCGCTCAAATATTTGACCCCATCTTTCTCGGACTTAAGACTCTCTTACGTAGGTTCAGGGCCTTGTAGTCTAAATTTACCCACAATAGAGGTGCTACAAAATCTCAAGAAGAAGCCCACAAATGCTGCAGATTAGGGAGCCTTTGCCTCGCTGGTCGCAACCAGCCGACCCACGATTGCCATTCTAGCGCTGCTGACAGCTCAGTTGCCATAGCCCGCCGAAAGCTGCAGAGATAGCCAATTAACGCCAAACATTGCCGCACTTGGTATAAGCCTGATTGAAGTTCAGGGTCTCAGGCCCCGCGCAAACGGGAGACGGCGCACTGGCTCAGCCACCCTCGTCATTCAGGCTCTCAGCCCCGGACTAGCGTGCTTTTTCGCAGCGATCCCATCCGCACAGGCAGGCCTGTTTACCTTTTTGTTTCTCGCTCACCTGCTTCTGCACTCGTACCTGACAACTACAATCAGTGCTCAACATGCCGAACACGGGCTTGCCCAGTCGCGCTTGCGAAGGCTGCAGGCAGAGGCGCGTAACGGTGAGTTCGCCACTCCAATTCCCCAACCAGCAAAAGTGAAACTATCTCAACGTCGGTATAGTGCGATTATCGCCGCCCTGCCTGCAAAAGATGTGAAAGAAACGACCGTCCATGCTGCTATCGGAATCTCGAGAATCCAGAGCTCTCGTTCCGAATCCAAACCCCAGCTTCATACAGAAGCCGCAGTGATCGCCAGACCGAGAGTCCAAACCAGCAATCCCAGTTGGAAAGTCGAGAGCTACGACACAGCGTCTCTCCTGCACGTCCCATAAGCGAGCCGTGGGATGCGCAGATCATCCCGCTTATCCTATCCCAATTCTCGTTCCCCATGCCGGGCGGTGGTCGCTTTTACGGGAGCTTGGAATGTTTTAGCGTAATTCTACCTTCCGTGGCGCCAGAGACCTTGACGCGGTCTGCTTGTGATGCAGTGGGGTATTTGTATTTTGGGCATAGAACACCATCGCGGGACCTGGCGACTCGCCATCAAAGAGCCTATGGGCAGGCATTACACCAACTACGGCTAGCGCTCGAAGATCCTGTTGCGCAAAAGCAGGACGAGACTCTTTTGGCTGTGTGGCTGCTGTGTCTCTATGAGGTAATCATTGTCCTTTACCTTGAAGGCGGGGAAAAGTGCACTAACGTACGTGCTCCCAATAGCTAATGCTCGGAACACCCCCCGATGCGCCGGGCCCAGGCCCGAGTAACTGGGCTGCTCATTCTTTAGCGCTGACCGGCTTGTTGCGGGTCAGGGGCCACCAGCATTTCGGTACCAGGACAGGTTGCCAATTGTTTCAATTGTGCTACCATCATATTGTGAGCAAGGCCTATCTATCGTCGGCGGCTAGAGAGAGGAGCCCTCTAACTCGAACTCTGCTACTAGCAAACGTGTGCCCTGCAGTCAGGAACAGAGCCTGCTGCAGAAGCAAAGCAGTGGTTCGAAGCAATACGGACGAGTGTCAACACCCAAGATCCTTTATATCTATTTTTACCGTTTCTCTTGTTTGGCGACGAAGCGGCACATATCTGCAGCGGTGCGCTAAGGGCCTGGGACAGAGCCACTGAACCCGAAGAACGGCTTACCACTCTTTATACCACATTCCACTCGGCCCGTGCTCTGGAATTCTCAATGCACGGATCGTGGGAGCGTCTCCGCTCGTTGGGCTCGCCGCCGGATGCTCCAGAGAATCCCAAGCAAACACATCTACTCCTCCACATCCGGAATCATATCGACACCTGCATCATTTGTGTCCACTCCGTCTTGTTGGACCTGCTTCGTGAAGCGCTAACGTGGCCAGAAATCTTCCCTGGGACTCACAGTCAGCTCGGGGAGCTGCAGCAGGTTTGCACGGAGGTTTCGCAAGAACGCGCCGACCGCATTTTGTCGAGCATCGCGCAGTTTTTGCCAGATGGTGGCTCCAATATTCCAGGGTGGGCGGATGCATTGCGATTGATGTGGCCTGCGAGGGTTATTTTGGCGTCCTCTGCGACGCAGGGAAGTAGAGCGGATACGGCAAAGGTGGCTTTGCGGAGAATTGCGTATGAGGTCGGGATCATGCAGGCTGTGGGCTCGTTCTTCAAGCCTGCTCGTGTCTCTTAAGGTGGTCAGATAGATTAGCCAATCCTATGCTCCAACGTTTTATCTTTCTAAGAGCGCCACCAAGCCGCCGGAAAGTAACTTGGAAGCGCCCGCACAATGCAAGTCGCGCCGAGCGCCTCAGCTCAGGCCCTGAGCGCGCGTTTCAGCCCGTGCCTGACGAGAGTGGCAGCGTGGCTGATATAGCGCAACCAATCCCACCTCCCCACAAGACAAGCCCTGCGAGCCGCTTCTGCTTATCAAGCTAAGCCTGAGCGCCACAGTCTAACCGCTACTGGAAGTCCCATTCGAGGCTAAACGATATAAGGTTGCGATCAACACGTGCAGCTGCATTCTATGCATGTTTTGGCCCCTGTTGCTGCCGCCGACGTCAGTCCATGTCCATCTCGCAGTCTGCGATCCGACGCGCGATTTTTAAAAGCGCAATGTAGAATCACGATGAGAGAAGTTCAGCTCGACATCCCTTGCTGTACAGAACAAACCCCGGTATAATCTTTGATTGTTTTCACTGAGACTCGCGCCAAGATGGCCATCTTTGGTGACAGCACGGAAGGCGAGGACGGCAAGCATGTCTGTCCATCTTCAGCGGCATACAATATAGGTACGTAGCCCTGAAGTCCCTCAGACTCGCACATTCAAAACTGATCCTAACAATAACCACCAGAAGCCCCTGAGCCCTTCATCGGCTCGCTATCATTCCACCATTTCAACATGATCCTCTCCGGCGCCTGTGTTGGTCTCGTGTGTCTCATCATTTTCACCCTGATGTTCCGACACGCCACGCACTTGAGCAAACCAAGAGAGCAGATCAAGTGAGCCCGCTCAGCACCAGCCTACCGGCAGAAGTGACGAAGCGCTAGCTAACCCGGTCGATAACAGAATCATGAAGATCTGCCTCCTCCTCCCGTTGTACTCGATCACCTCGCTCCTCGCTATATGCTTCCCGACCGCCGCCGTTTCGCTCACGCCGTGGATGGAGGTATACCAGGGTCTTGCGCTGGGCTCATTCTTCCTACTTCTCTGCGAGTTCTTGACTCGTGAGAATGAAGACGGCGTTGGTGGATTCTTTGAGTCTTTTGATCCGCCGAAGAAGAGGGGAAAGGAGGTTGTTACTGGGGTGGAGTGGTTCGGTGTAAGAAATTGACTCTTTTCTAGTGGTGAGTACCAAGCTGATGGCATTCATTGGATAGAAACAATGGCTGGCCATCTGGCAATATCCCATCATCGCATTGGGTGCCGCGATCGCGACCGACATCACTGAAGCCCTGGACGTCTATTGTCTGGAAAGCAACAATGTCCATTTTGCGCATATATGGGTGAGTCTGTTGTGAGAAATCCTGTATCCGGTGTATTAATCTCCTTCTCAGTTAACGGTCATCGCGATCGTCTCGGTCGCCTTTGCCGTCACCTCGATCCTGATATTCTACAAGGGCCTCAAGTCGCACCTTCAAGCCCACAAGCCTTTGTCTAAACTATTGGCATTCAAGCTGATTGTTGGCCTGGCTTTTATCGAGAAGATAGTTTTCACTATCCTCCACTCAACCTCGACACTCCACCCAACAGCCACCCTCTCCCAAGCAGACACAGACGTCGGCATCCCGCACCTCGTCATCTGCATTCAAATGGTCCCATTCGCGCTCTTCTTCCCCTATGCCTACAGCGCCACTCCGTACGTCGGTCTCACTCCGTACGAGAGCAGTACGACGGCGTGGATTGGATTAGTGAATCCAATGGAGATTTTGCGCGCCATGGGCGTTGCCCTTGGGATGGCGGCACGGCGGGGAGGGCGGAAGAGGGCCAGTAAGAGAGGTGGTCGAGGTAGCAACGTGTATGATCGTCTCGAGACGGCGCATCCTGGGATGGAATATCCGCCACCTGGTCCTATGCCTCCGCCTTTGCACCCGTTTCAGTATGACCCAGGGCATGCAAATTCACCTGCTGCGCCGCTGGTAGGCCATGGAAGATAGGAGGGGACTTGTCAAAGCTGAGATGATGAGTTTACGGTGGCCATAAATATTGCTGGAGTTATACTGCTTTGTCTCGCTTTGGCTTCCCATCTTCTTTCTTCCCTTGCCAAATATGGTGGTGTGCATGTTCTCCGGCAGCTCTTTTTTTTCTAGAAAGCATTGTCTGTTTGCCTATGTTTATACCAACATTCATTGTTAGAGGCCCCTGTGATTCATGTTATCTTAGAGCGCTCAAGTTCCTTACTGCTCATGATCATCAACACTAAATAGATCTGCCAAAACTCCAAGAAGCACATGCCTCCAACTTGTATGAAGATAATCGAACCTGGGGTTTCTAATGCACTTCAATTACTGAATTATAAATGGCATCTCTCTATACGCTGCAGCCTCTCTTCCTGGAAATTGCCCTGCTCCCCGGCGGGTCAAGTCAGGAGGGTGTTATCATCAGGAGAGGCAAAGCCGCCTCTAGACTAAGATTAGAACAGTCCCTGCCACGGCTTATCATTTACCCGTCTAGAACCATTGTTATATTAGCTCTGCGAAGTGGCTTAAGAGCATGTAGAGTCGACGTCACAATGTACCTAGTAGGCACCTTGGGGCCAAATCCTCTCAGCCACAGACTAACCGTTCTGCGTAATCCCATTCGAAACTAACCCATTCTCAGCGCTGATCGCCTAGATACGCGGAATATAGATTGTTACGGGAGGCAAGTTCATGCTATTGGGCAATGGGAATCGCTCTCCCAATGACCATTTCCAGGATGACAGGGTCTTTATAAACTTGGAAGCCTTGTTACCTTGCCCTGGCCCCAATATAAGATCCTCCGTGGCCTCATTTCTCTACACGCTGTCTTCAACCTCCACTGTCATTTCCTTGTCGACATACTGTGCAGGATCATATCGCTTGGAGCAACGCTGGTAGGCTCCAATCCCTCCTCTGACGTATAGATCTCCATCTCCCAAAATTCCACTCGAATAACCATGGTTACCATTCCACCGTCCGGCATGGCCGCCTTGATGCTCACAGCACTTCATACGCTCGCCGCACACTGTTTAAGCCCTAACTACCGAATCGACGTCCACTCGCATGCGATCCCAGACATATGGCGCCAGGCTCTCGTTGACGCTGGATATCCCGTCGTCAACGGCACCCTAACCGTGGAAGGCTTTCCGGTTCCCGAGTGGACACTCGACGGCCATATAGATACGATGAACAAGCTCGGGGTAGGATATGCAACGCTCAGCATCACCGCTCCGGGCGTATACTTTCTCGCAGAACAACCAGGAAAGGCAAAGAAGCTTGCGCGGGAGATCAATGAGGCGTTGTATGAGTATACACTGAAATATCCTACGCGACTTGGTGCGCTTTGTCTGCTGCCGCTGCCGAGCGTTGAGGATGCGTTGGCCGAAATCGAGGTTCGTCCATCGCATTGCATGGCACTCCGTATCCCGAAATCAGCCATCAAACTAACGGAAAGCCCGCTAGTACTGCCTCGATACTCTCCAATTCGATGGCGTAGCGCTCTACACAAACTCCGCAGGCCTCTATCTTGGCTCCGAATCACTTGACCCCATTTTCGATGCCCTAAGCACCCGCGATACCACCGTCTTCGTCCACCCGGCTGAACCAGGCTGCCACGACGCAGCAATGGGGTACCCCGCTCCCCTAACAGAGTACCCCTTTGACAGTGTGCGCGCGATGCAGAACATGTTGCTCACAGGGCAGCGCGCGCGGTACCCGAATGTCACCATGATATACCCGCACGGTGGCGGTGCGCTACCATACCTAGCGAACCGGATCGCGTCGGTGGCGGCGCTGGATGTTCTGGGGGCCTTGAATCCGTTGGAAACTATGCAGGAGCTCAAGGGGTACTATTTCGATACGGCGAGTTCGACTTCGAAAGTGCAGTTGGGGGCCTTGAAGGAGTTTGCCGGTGTTGAGAAGATCCTCGTTGGGACCGATTGTGAGTCGAGCTCCGGGCCCTGTTCGTTGGGGGCATTGATCAGTTTGAAATGAAGCTAATAAATAATGTGTGCATCGTAGACCCGTACGTCCCTGCTGCAGGGGCAAAACTTGGTCTCGAGGTCATTCAGAAGAATGGAGAGTTTACCGATGTGGACATGGTTCGTGTAAATCATGGGAATACGCTGTCGATTTTTCCGAGGATTGTGGCAAAATTGAATCACCACAGGCCTGAGTGAACGCGAGAGGAGGGAGCGGAGAGTGAAAGTATACTGGTGGAGAATGATAGCGTGCCAACAGGAGAATCTGTACGAGCAAAGACTGGGACAGATAATTACTGTTAGAAGACTTTAATTTTTCCTTGCTGTAGACTGATATTTGTAGCTGTCAGCCTATTCTCTGGGCCGTACTTGCTTCCTCCCTGGATCCCTTGCGGCCAATTCTTCCTTGTGTCTTGTGGAGCAAGCCACGACCTTTAGGCACCTGTATACGCGATCTTGCGGCATGGGAGAACTTTCGCTAAAAGGACGACTCGGCAGGTTACTGTATGTAGGCATCAGTTATGCTCAGTGGCCACCTGCTTGACCGCTTTTTCTTGAGCATGAAGTTGCCGCCCAGGTCATTGAGAACGGACTCGACTAGCTCGTTAAACCCTGAAAGCCGGTTCTTGGATTGGTGGTCAAGGCTATAATATCCTGAGTTTAGGGGCAGACTGGCAATATTCTTCTGAATTGGCGCAACACCACAATAACTCCGCGGAGTATGCCAGAAATGACGAAGTGTTCCATTAGAGGGCCTTGGTCAAGGAGATCTCGCCCAGGTCGTCAGCGAGGTCGATGGTGTCATAGAGAAAGAGCACCTTTAGCGGCCAAAGCATTCCTGAGAACATGCCTGTGGATCCACTGAAGCTTGTTTCAAAAAAACAGATCTCTGTTGAAATCGAGTACAGATATCTCTCGACCCTTCTTGATTTTCTTTGGCGAAGTCAGCGCTACAAGTAGAAAAGCCCCCCTGCTGATAAGGAAAACAAGACTTGATTTATTGGTGATCTTCATGTAGTAGCCCACTGTACTACTGCCAATCTATCATGATAGTGTGACCTAGGGGCATTGGAGGGCCGGGCTGCTGCTTGACGGTCGCGCCGACCAAGGCTCCTATGATCTTAGAATTACGGCCGCTCACGGTGGGATGCGAGCACTCGTCGGCCTTAATTCGGTAATTAGAGATAAGAATATTTTGACCAACAATGGCCATGTTCATTGATGAGGTAGGTGGTACGGGGAGTCATCTGAAGAGCTGAAGTGTCGATCACCCGAGCAGGTGGGTGGTCTGGCAGCGGCTCTGTACAGGAAACATGGTTTTGACACTTGCCAGACCCACTCTGGCGACGATTAAGCTCAGATATCAAGCAACGCATCCATGGTACCCGCTGTTTCCAACGCCCGGGGTTGGCAGTCGCCTTCCGTTTCCGGCAGGAGCGATTTCAAGATCAACGATCCGTGGTCGACGCTAGGTCTCAAGATCGAAGCAAGGGCCACATAACAGATTCTGGGGGAAAAGGTCCCAAGGATCTCTGTATGGGCTGATATCGAACTCCCAACTGCACTAACAAGATCGACCCACTTTAGTGGGCTCTTGGTAGAAAGTTGAAGCATGTAGGTAGGGAGGCTGGATTCCGGTCAACAGGTCATTATATAGCCACCTTATAATTTGAGGATATAGTATCTGTGCGTCGCTGTAGAAATGCTGATAGACAGTGGATAAACCAGCATTCTTTGCCAATCTGCCAAAACATGATCGAAAGATGTGATACTAGAAGATGCCTAGATTTTGCGTGCCCCTCACGGTCTTGCCCAGGGTTTAGGTGACAGTACTGCTATATAACTTGATCAGACCTGATAATGCCCTATATTTCCAAAAGAAAAAAAAAACAAAGTAGGCGATTTTGGGTCTCGACTCCAGCAGACCCTGTGAGGAACCAGAGAAAGCACGACCAGTAAGTCCTTCAATGATACAATGATTTTCGCGCCAACTAGTCTATATCTTGACCAGCTCCTCTGTCGGAATTTGAGTGAAAGCTGGCAGTGCTTTCTACCTTGTCTTTCTTCCAAAAGTCCAAACTCGATCTTCAAATATGGTTGATATCGGCGGTATAATTGGCTACACCACTACTACGGGGGTTGAAGCCCTGACCATCCTTAACAAATGGCTTGACAGCAAAGAAACCGCAATTGCCTGGTATGGTAAAGATGCAGAAGATTTTTTGAGGGAGCGGTCGGGAGGGATCAAGCTAGTCCGCAACAAATTCGCAAATCCAGAGATCTCACATGTCTTCACCATACAAAAGGAGGATTGGCAAGTTGTCATGGAGGAGGCCCTTCCGGCGGCTCATACGTGGTACCGTAAACGGAAAGATGAATCCGGGGAATGTTCATGGCTGCCGCTGTACTGGTCGTGCCGTGACCAATTGGGCAAAGTGAGGGTGCTGCAAAGCGCTGACGTTGCCTTGGCGTCTATTGGTCTTGTCTCTGGATTGCCAGCCGCACGTCTTGATCTCTGGGGCCTAGTAGTCATGGCCTATTCTAACGGTGCCCGGGCTCGCGTCGCTACAGCCGAAGGCGGAGGGTTCAATGCAACTCTACTTTGCAGACACTTTATCCTCACCATAAGTCAGTCGAATGTCAATGCGCCAACCATAGGGCACCTGGAACCTCGAGAACATCCAGCCGAAAGCCACGAGTCTTTGACGGTTGACGAATCAAGGTATCTCCTTGAGTACGGGCATACCTTCAGCCCTCAAGGTGTCACAACTGCCTGGGTGTTGAATGGCCAAAATTCCGACCCGCCGCCTTCAGAGTTAATTGACAGCCGGTCTGATCCATTGTTAAAGAGAACGGTCCTCGATACTTTCCAGACGTCCACGCTCAAAGACAAATTTCAACTCGGGATAATGGATTACTGGGAAGCATGGGCGAAATTTATGGCTCCACAAGAATATAAAAGCGGTAAAGACAACCTGGCAACCCAAGCCGAACCTTGCAAAGCAGCAGAGACATTCGGGCATGTATGCGCTCGCCAGGTGATACTTGACAACAATGTTATCAGAGAAATACAAATACTGCAGGAACTTATGATCGAAATTGGAAGGCTCTCATATGAATCTGAGCGGAGTGAGGACGGCCGTCGACCTTCGAATAGTCATCTATCTTCAGATAACAACCAACGTTCAAACGACGATGATCAACCTGAGAATAATGATCGACGCTCGAGCAGTTCTCCACCTTCAAATGACAAACTGCTTACAAGCGATATTGTCAGCATCCTTAAGCGGATCCACGGACTTGTTGTGAAGGCGCTTTGGCGGCTAAAGTTGCTCTTTCTGTATGAGACCATTGACCTCGTTGACAACCTCAACCGCTACGAAGTCCTTTATGGTTTCAAGTTATACGGGAATCTAATCAAGACGATGACGAAGTCTCACCTACTACATGGCTGTATGGACAACACGCGACCTGGGCTCGATGCGAAGCAGGAACTCAGTACGCTATTGGACTGTCACTTTGCTATTCTTGCAAGGGCCCGCATGCTCAACTACTGCCAGCAGATCCATGTCACACTTAGTGTCAGGAACACAGGACATAATGTCCTACTTTCTTGACAAGGTTTCATTTCAAAAGTAATTTTTCATCAAAAGCAGTGTTCGTTACTTGATAGTTTGGTTATTTGCTTGCCTGTCCCCAGAATGGTATCATTTGTGATTTTTCTAGGATTTCCTGAGTATTATCCTGCATCCTTGTAGACACTCCTCGGTCTTACAGTCCTAGCTCGTGTACTAAGCGAGGCTTCTTATGTCGCCTCTAGGCTATTAGGTAGTGCTGGAAAAGGAGCCATGGGCTCACCGAGGCCTCCATAAGAACCTCGCGTCGCCTACGAACTTGTCCAACACGAGCAATCAACAATACCTAGCATCAGCTACATTACTACTTGAATGGTTTATTGTACCTCTATTTTATTCTGTTCCTTCAAGTCTGTGCTCTACGGAGTGATAACCAACACAGGCATCGAGCAGTCCTGTACGCCCTCGCTCTAGCTTCCCCTGACCTCTTCTCCGTGACCCACCTCGAAAAGCCAACTACTACCTTCAAGGGCCCTATTCAACCCCTTGCTCCATAAGCTCGCTTACTTGGAAGGCGCTTACTAGTATCGAGAACTTATCCGGAAGAGACCAGATCGTTGCCTGTTTTGTTGGTTCAGACCTTTTCAGAATGGGCAGTAGGGTATCGGGGTAGCGGGTGAGATATACAGGGGCATGTATCTTTTGCTGGACTCGGTCGATTGCATACACATTATTTTATAAACCTCATTTTATCTTTGAGTGGGATGAAAGGTGTTGAAGCAGCCCCGTCTCTAGAAAAAACCGTGGGCCCTGCGTGCCAGGTTCTTTGGTGCACTGCGACACTATATTTCCCATAAGACAAGGTTGCTAACGCTTAAGCATTCTGACGGCATACCAGTCCTCATCCCTAGCGGAGATAAACCGAGGGAGAGGGTAAGCTTTACTAGGGTGGGAGTCGGTGACGGGGCCCTTGCTAGGAAGAAACAAGGGGGAAACGTTTCGATATAGCTTCAAGTTCTAGTTATTCCTAGACGGTACTCTGAGCTATCAGTCTCTCATACAACATGCTTTTCATCGCAATCTCTACGGAACCACATATGCGCCCATCCGCCGAGGAGGAATTCGCCTCGCAAACATGCCATCAATCTCGTCGAACGTCCGACCCTTTAGCTCCGGGATATAGACCCAACTAAACAGCGTTGCAACAGCCGCGCAACCACCAAAGATAAAGCCCAACTTCCCCTTGAGGTCCGCCTCATCGGGGTTGATGAGATACGGAATGACAACATTCATGATAATGCCAAAGACGGCCTGGACAGCGGTCGCAAGGGCCGCTGTCTTCGCGCGGAGTAATATAGTCGACACCTCGCCGAGCAGGACAAAGGAAATCGCGCCGACGGTCATGAAATATACAAACGCGTAAACCACAGTGCACGAAGACTGTATCCACTTGGCAGCGTCCGCGGGCACTACATCCATTATGCCAATGAGGAGGAGGAGGATAGTAAGAGCAGACATACCACTCAGGAACGTCCTGCGGCGGCCAAACGAATTGAGGACGAACCAGCTGAGGAAATTACCGAGAACGCCACAGGCCGTGACGCCGACGCCGAGGTCGAATGAGTGAGTTGTTTCCAGTCCTGCGAGTTCGAAGAAATATGTTGAGTAGCCGAGGACGAAGATGATGCCCACCAGGTGCTGGCACACGAAGCCGCCAAGTGAAATCCCCGTCCGCAGCAGGTTCGTCCCGCGGAAGCAATCCAGGAAGGTTGTCTTTGCTTGCTGGGCGCTTTCTTCGACGGAAGCTTCGATTTTGCCGAGTAGGTTGGTGGTGTCGAAGTCCTGACCCCAGAGTTTCTTCAGCGATGCGCAGCGTGCTCTGGCTGGTTCCGTCTAACTAGATACCACGGCGACTCGGGGGCGAAGGGCAGGCCGGCAAGTAGAACAGCAGTGAAAAATAGCTGGATTGCAAAGGGACCAGCATACGCCCACCGATCAGTCCGCTCGCCGAACCCCTTGACGACGGAGTTGGACAGGAGCTGGCCGATGCATATTCCCAAGTTTACACCGGCAGTAGACAATCCGCGCATCACGACTGGTGCAATTTCGCTGCACATGAGCGGGCCAAGAGTCAGGTAGAATCCCAGGCGAATGCCCAGGATCAGCTTTGAGACCAGGAATGCGGCACGTGTGTTGGCGAAGATTTCGCCAAAGGCACCACCCGTGCATACAATGACTCCGCAGAGCAGAGAGCGCTTCCGTCCCACACGATCAGCAAGCCAGCTGCAGAGGAAGCCGCCGAGAATTGGCCAATGGAGCTGGCGACGTTAAAGGCAGATTGCCAGTCGGCTGGAAGGATCATCTCGCCGTGCAGTTCGTATCCAAAGTCTCGCCTGAAAGATGCCACAGCGATCATGGCGCCGTTGATTTGGGCATCAAATCCCCTTGGACGTGACGTCAGAACGGACATGATCTAGAAAATAGATAGTGGTCTCGCCAGCCAATGGCACAAAGTGCCCAGTAGAATGACCACCAAATGATTGCTTTATGGTGCTTCCAGATATCCCTCATCGTCATCGAATCTTCCTCGCTGCGGCGGAATCCCACACCGTCTTCCTTGCCATAGCGTTCCGCCACATGCTCATGTTCCGTAGTGGAATGCGGCTTCTCCTCCATTTCCATGGCTGGCGATAGTATAACGTAGAGAAAGTTGATGTGGAATGTATATTGCAAGTCCAAGTAATCTTTAAAGCATGGCACAGATGAAGGTATTATATACTATTTCAGTGGCACGAAAGAAGGTGTAGCCCCGTTTAACGTTGCCATGGCCTGACATGCCAACATCATTTTAGCCGCACGGCTGAACTTGATCAGTGCAGGACCCCTACTCCGCTCCCTAAATTCAATACGAACCCCTCGCCCGAGGACGAAAAACTTACGGGCGGTACTCCCCGAGCCAAAACTTGGTTCCTGAGCAGTCCGTGAAGCAGAGCAAAGGAGTCATGGACGGTCCCTGGCATCCCCGCAAAGAAGCAGTGACAGTTTGTGACTGGGGTCTTGACCTAATAACTGCATGATCCGAATCCTAGACTTATTCAACTTTGTCCTTTACGTTTGAAAACTTTCCTACTACAGGTTCGCGGTCACCTTCCAGGTTACTGGAAACGGGCTTGGTTGGTCCGCCAAATCATGATCGCCGGTCTTTAGCTCGTTGGGCCAGGTGGAACATTCTAAAAGGCTTGATTTTTTGGGTGACTGGATTTCCCCTATGATCTTCTGGTATACTGCAATTAACTAGGGAAAGCCAAGGAGGGCTTCCAAGGTCGCAGACGCCTTTCCTTTGCAGGATCCTCTTGGCTGACTGGTTAAAGCTGCCACTAGGGAACGCAGCAGCGCTATTAAGTGGCTTGTGGTAGTTGCATTAACATTCAATCGAGCTGGCACCCAGGGTCAGGCTCAGCCTAAAATAGCTGTCAGCAGGACTTACACTCCGGACAAATCGGATGCCAGTAAGCCGACGCCAATGTCCATTGATGGCGCAATCCATCTTGAAGCCCGTTGGGGAGTGTCGGCCATACCGATGCTCCTATTGCGCCAGACAGTCGCGCGTGGCTTACTTGCAGGGCCCTGGTTGCCTCGGCATGTGGGCCACTTCTTGCAGCGCGTGGAGGCTGGGATGTGGAGGGGGAAACAGACTCCATGTAGGGCTCCGTCCCATCGGACCAAGGCACACGTCCCTACTATGGGGAAACCGAAGTCATGGACATGCAACTCGCAATGATCCCGCCCAGAGAATGGGTCATCCCTGACCCTGCCATACCCCACCGCGTACCCAGTCCTCTGGGAGTGGAGCAAAATGCGGAGAACACTTGATGATCCAGGTATTTTCCTGCACAACCCGTTGGCCCCGAGGTAGTCTGTCCACAGTTTGGGGAATCATATCCCTTTGCGCCTTGCGCACTACCTAGCTAACACAAAGCGCTCACTTGGCTGTTTATTAGACTACTTATACGCAGTGGGCCCCGTGAGGCCAACGGATAAACTACCGAATTTTCATCCATTCTTTGCAATATGTAGCGCAGCTCCCAATTTGTTGCACCATCACGACTTGGCTTATACTTGCAACCCTCCTATCGTCTTTCAGTACTATCGTTGCAGCAGCCGACTACATAAACTGGACCACATACAAGGCCAACGGCGTGAACCTCGGCGGCTGGCTTGTCCAAGAGTTATTCATCGATTCCGCCTGGTGGGCAGCACATTCGAAATGTGCAATCGCCCCCGACGAATGGACACTCTGTGCCAACCTTGGCCGCTCCTGTGGCCCTGTCCTCGAGCAGCGGTACGCTTCGTGGATTACAACACAGCACATTGGCAGATTGCATGCCGCCCGCGTAAATACCTTGCGGGTCCCCACCAACTACGCTGCCTGGGTTGAGGTTACTGGCTCCAAGTTGTATTCGGGCAAACAGGTTGAGTACTTGAGAAGTATTGCAACGGAGCCTATTGAGAGATATCACATGCATATTATTACTGATCTGCACGCCCTGCCCGTTGGAACGAACGGGATGGGACATGGTGAAGGTGAAGGACACTATGGCTGGTTCCATAATAAAACCGCTCTCGACTACTCCCTGGATGCAGTGGATGCGGTACTCGGTACATCCAACAATCTGGAGATCCCGAATCCTACACCATTGAACCTATCAACGAGCCAGTTGACAACAGAGATATATCAACCTTTGGCTCCCCCTTATCCTTGTCTGATGCCGGGGCAATCTGGGTGTTGCACTACATCAACGCCGTGCTAGACAGGGTTGCAACCGTGAACCTCAAGATCCCAGTAATATTCCAAGGCGGATTCCTCGGCCCAGAATACTAGTCCGCCAAACTCGACCCATCCGCAAACCTCGTTTTTGACGTCCACAATTACTACTTCGTTGGCCGCAACGCCGCCGGGCACAACCTGACTTCCTAAATCTGCTCGGACGCCCAGACCTCGCGGGATCCCATCTTCCCGGTCTTCGTCGGCGAATAGTCGATCGAGGCGGAGCACCAGAACCCGTTGGATGGGCGGGCACTCGCGCTGAATACGGGGTTGTATGCGTTTGCGGTGCATACGAGGGGAAGCGCGTATTGGATGGCCAAGTGCTTTGGGGATGCGAATTGATGTACTAGCCTGAGTGCTCATTTTCTGGTGGTTAACAACATATCTAATAGTCAGGCGTCAAGGTAGTCGAAATGTCCATCCCCAAAATGCTTACAAAAGCTAGGGTACTCGTAGCCTAGGCAAATAGTCTGTACATGTTGCAAAAAGGAAAGTCGTGCATATCCAGTAATTTCGGTCCAGAATAGTATTAGTCTCGGCATGCAAGTTCCCAGGTAGGAGTTAGATGCCATCTTAGAAGGCTGGCAGTCTGTATGGCACGGGTACCTGGATAACGTTTTGCGGTTTGCCGCACCGTCCAGCTCTCCCGGTTTAGCCACATTCGCGGCTTCGCATTCCCAGATTTGCGGGCACGAGCAACCACTTGAGTAAGGGGCACGAAAGAGCAGCTACCTCACAGGCAAACGGACCCCCGAGGAAGAAACAGGGGCAGCCCTCGAGGGCATGACTGACTGAGTGCCCAGAGAACGTCCGTAAAGCGGATCAGTCATATCACGGACTAGATCTGCTGAGGACATCTATTCCTACACGCGAGCCTCTAAATGAGGCTTTGAAGGAGGTATCATTTAATAAAAAATATGCCACGCGGTTACTCCACACCCCGTGGAGGACTTAGTCATGAGTCGTAATTCTCTTTCTACAGGTCCCCGTAACCATAACATGATCTCGAACCAAGTGCATGCTAGAAAATCGGCATCCACACCACAGTCCCATAATCAATATTATCCGGCTTGGCCTCGAGCCGGTCCAGACAACTCCCAAACAACCGGTCCCAAACCCGCGTCTGCTTCCCATAATTAAAACTCTTCTTCCACCCGCGCCGATGATGCAAGTCGTGATCCTCAACCGCCAACTCGGCATCGCACAGCTGCAGCAGCCAGGTAATTGGCGACGGCACAGTCGTGTGCACGCGGATCCCGCTGTGGCCTAGCACCTCGGCGAACGTCACATACTCGAGGCAGATCCACCACTCGTAGAAGCCCAGCGGGAGACCCACGACCCAGAGGGTCGCGAAGGTGAGGAAAGGGACGAGGATCATCTCGATGAGCTCCTGCTCGTCGTCGGCAAAGGCCGAGAAGACGGCCGTCGGGTGCTTGGTTAGGTGGTGGGTGCGGTGGTATTTCCAAAGCGAGGGCACCTCGTGGCACGCGCGGTGGTAGGCGTAGAACCAGAAGTCGAGGATGACGCCGTACAGGCTGAGTTTCGTTATGAAGGGTGCCCAAGTGGAGAGATCGCTTATCGCGGTGAGGGGCGAGACGGTCGGATTGTATGTGATGAGGATAGCCAGAGCGAGACGGAACCCCGTTGTCTTGTGCAGGGATGCAATCATCTTGCCTACGGCAGTGTTGGGGATGCCATCGCGGTCGGCGACGTCGCCGTCGAGGCAGCCGTATTTGTACGTCAGGCGGCGCAGCAGGCGGACTTCGCGGATTGCGACGACTGTGTAGGCGGCGTTGTAGAGGAAGAAGGCGCCCCATTTACCGAGGCTGTGTCCGGTCAGGGTGACCCAGGCTTGGTGGAGGATTATGGGGATGCACGCGGAGACGACGATGAAGAGGTGCTGCGACAGTTGCGACATGTATGGCATTTTCTCGGTCTTGGGATACTTTGGGAGTGGCGTGTTCGGGATGATGGGGTTAACATTTAGGTAGTCGATGAAGCGCTGGTGAAAGTTCCACGTGCTCCTGTCCTTCTGGTGCCAGTCGGACTTCATCGAATGCGGGTTGTGTTCGGCTGCCCAGCCCATTCTGAAGGCTGTTTGGCGTGTGTGGACTTAGTGATTGAACTTCCAGTGAGACGTGGTCTCTGGTCTGTGTACATCTGTCTCCTGGGAGCGCTGGACACTCGAGACCAGACCTCTTTATATCAGCTAAGACTCGGGGACCGAGGGTAATCAAGTCCAACGAATCTACATGTGAAGTGACGTGGAGTGGTGGATTACATGATATACGGTTCAAAACGTTGGGGAACAGGGTGGAGGGGTATTTCTGCTGAGGTTCGCTTCGACGCCAAACGCAGGCGAGCGCATGTGAAGCCCAGCTCATTGAGGTACAATGTATGGTCAAGACGAGGCCAATCCCCAATTCCCGGGCCCACACTCGCAAGGTATACCCGGTACGGCCTAGTAGATCCAGCTTCCTAGCGGCGATCACCCCGTGATTCTTTTCCTGGGGCAGCCAAAGAGTAAATGACTGAAGAATTATCCTCAAACTTTACGCAGGAGCGAAACCTCTATGATCGATAATCTACTGCATCGAAATTACAGAGAGTGACAAGACTTTCCATTATGAGATTGACCTACAACTTTACAGTCCTCCCATTTCTCGAGCAATACTCGCGCATAGTGTGTACCTACTTCTATTACTGGTGCACATCTCGTTAGCGATGAGCTTTAGTCCACCGTTACTATTCTCTATGATTGTTGATTGACATCCCAAATTCTGGGCTCTTGCGGTGTCTCAATTTGATACTGGGGGTTAAAGCGTCGTGAGGCAGTCCCCATAGGAGAAATATCCGACAATACGAATCACCACCGGGAAAGCTAGCCATGAAGCATACAAACTACCCAAACAGCTCTATGGAAGGAGGGTATGGGAGGGTTTCTCGAGCATGGGATTTCTCAAGCGACCTCGGCATCTTCAATCGTATTCAGGTGATTCCTAGAGTCGTTCTATGGTACAAATGCAACCCAATGGCAGATAGAGCGCCTGTTTTAATTAGGAGGATAATACATATAGACATGCTCAGAGCTTGTCAAACTTCCTATCACAAGGACTAAGCAAGTTTATATCGACTTACTTCAAGACGAATCGTCGACATAACATGCAGTAAATCGCCTAACTGCCCTTTGATGGTAATTTATCATCAGTTGGGCATATTTGCTGTTATCGTTTATCAAGTCCTATGAGAATTAATACTTGCATCGAATCACTGGTGTTCAAAGCAGATACGCTACTACAGTAAGCTTAAAACATCCCTCCTCCTCCGGCCGGAATAAACGGCTCCCTGAAATACATCTCGGTGACAACAGCCGCGTAAGACTTATCATCAACACAATAATCACCACCAGTAGGCCCAATATGCGGGCAATGCACTGCCGGCCGATGCCGAACCATGTGTTCATGGACCTCGCGGCAAAGCAGCGTGTTTCTCCCTAGTTCATACGCCTTGCCAAACCGGGTCTTGTTCGCCAGGAAATCAACACACTGTGCCTTATTCGAGTACTGCACGTTTGCGCCCACGCAGTAGTCCTCGTGCGTCTGGCAGATCGTCTCCGCAAGAAGACCGCCCAGCTTTGTCTGCGTCTCTGCGGGATCGGTCGTATTGAACAGCAGTGTTCCTGCGGCGTCCAGGAGCGCATCGAGCAGCCATCCGAACCACCGGAATGTCGCGTCGTACTGCGCGATTTTCCCCTCTGCGTTGAACAGAATCCACGTGTCGACGGTGACGGGGATGAGGGTGTTGCTGAAGGAGGTGGCGTTGAAGGTGAAGAGTGTCGTTGCAGATGCGATGTTCTCGTTTGCGGCGAACTGGGTGATCTTGTATGTGATGGGAACACCGACGAGGCTCAGATGCTCCGGGTCTGAGAAGAGGCCGAAGATGTACTCGTTGTTGAGTTCGCGCCCGTTGAATGTTCGCGTTATATCTACCCGGCCCTGGACCTGTGTACGTGTACAGTCAAGTCAGCTGGAGTTGGCAGAGACAACAAGAGGAAATCAGGTGAAAGGCATACATCTTCAGCAAAGACAGAGGTGTCCGTTGCGTTGATCTGCTGCAAATTCGCTGGATAGAGAAAGTGGTCCCAGAGAGCATTCTGCATAAGGAAAAGTTCATCGAATGTAAACGCAGCAGCAGCAGCTACGAACAGCAGGTGCAAAAGGGCGTACATCTTGGCAGAGAACCCTCACCTATTGTCAAGGGGTATGTACCCATCAAAGCTGTGGGTCGCGCCAGCTTTATAGTGAGACGGAGACAGCTGGGCGATCTCTAAGCTTTGACACATCAGGAATGTTTTGGACGCGTCGCAGGCCACGTCCATTCTTGCATCTTATCCATGTGCCACGAGCATTCCAGAGCGCGTGAGGATGGATAGCGGCCACAAATACCTTATAGACCCCAAACCCACTAAAACAAAATCTATTGAACTCAGCAAGTATAGCACAGACTTTTGCCCTGTGTGCCACCGCGCAGGAGCGGCAACTACCAAGCAGCCTATAATCTGCCTAACGCATGCAAGCCGGTAGGGTGAAACCCGAACCAGAACGCTCTGACATGCGGCGATACGGCGGTTATACCCCTATTATTTACCACGTTCAAACATCGGTTTCCTAGTTGCTGCGAGCCACGTTTAGCAGCACTTGGATTAGCGATGTTAGATCATAGGGGGACCAATTAATCGAGGATGTGGTCAGAATAGAGCGCACTCACAATGACAGTGTGCAAACAGTATGCCGCGGCTTTGTGTATGAAAGGAAAGGTAGTAGAACCAGGTGGGCTGACTAGTTGCGCTACAAGTTCCAGTGTGTGTATCTCTTGGCCGCCACTTGAGCTCGGGCGAGGCGATTCCCGATTGGGAGCTCGTCGGCCGAATGCTGAGTCAGGCGAGGCAGTTTGTAAGCCCTGATTCCCAGGGGGAGGATGCGCTTAACAATCCATACTGATATGTAGTAGATAAAAGTTTATTATAATGGCGTCTGTTGTTCTCCAGGTTTAGAGGTTGCTTTGCATGCGCCAGGCTTCTCCCCAGGCGGATTCCAAATATCTCACGTATCACTTTCAATTATGGTCTCGCTCACCCAACCAAAAGTCCAGCCCCTACCCAGCGGCATAAACCTAACCGGCAAGACTGCAGTAGTCACCGGTGCAAGCGCAGGCCTGGGGCTGGAAATGACTAGGCAGCTTCTCCAACTCCGCATCTCAACCATCATCCTCGCTGTCCGAAACACCGCCAAAGGCGAGTCCTGCGCAAAGTCCCTCCGCCAGGACAGCGGCATTCGGACCAACAATCCCAAGGCCGTTACCAAGGTGATGGAGCTCGACATGGACCGATACGATAGCGTGCAAGCGTTTGCGCGGAAGCTCCGGGAGGAAGTCGCCGTTGTCGATTACCTTATCCTGAACGCAGGCATCGGTCTCATCAAACTCGAGCGCAGTCCGAGTGGCCACGAGCGCGTCAGCCAGGTCAACTATTACGCCAATGTGCTTCTGATCGCGGAGCTCCTGCCGCATCTCTACGCCGGTGCGGAGAAGACGGGGTCCCCTGCGCGGATTTCCTGGGTGGGCAGCCGACAGCATCTGTCCTCAAGTCTGCAGAAGCATTCCTTCACAGATGGTAAGGGCCCACTGGCGTATCTAGATACAGAAGAGGCATTCCTTCCGTTTCAAAGATACGGCGACTCCAAACTGCTGTGCGTGATGTTCATGTATAGTTTGGCGGAGCGCCTGGATCCAACCAAGGTCGTCATCAACATGATGTGCCCCGGCATGGTGAATACGTCTATGAGCGATGTACTCCCACTACATCTGCGCCTTCTTGTCAATGTCCTCAAGGCGATTGCTGCCCGGTCCGTTGAGGCGGGTGCGTGGATTGTTCTGCATAGTGCCCTTGTCGCGGGTCCGGAGTCGCATGGCAAGTTCTTAAACGATAAGACAATCGCCGAGTAAGTTTTCTTACGAGCTGCTCCATATGTCATGAATGCGATGGCTAACCTCTCCGGTAGGAAAGCACCGTACATTGTCTCGGCGGCGGGCCAGCAGGTGCAAAAGAAACTGTGGGAGGAGACGATAGCAGAGATGAGCAGGTTGATCACGCTCCCTGTTGTATTCAAATAATTAGTATCAGTGATTTTTTTCTCTCTTGCTAGTGAACATGCGCCTAGTAGAATATCAAGCTGCCTTCAACACCCATGATGCGAGTCGTCCACGGTCCTCCCAGTGCCCGTCTCGGAGAAGAACAGACTACTACATAAGATTCCTGGTAACGCCAAGGACTAGTATTATGCCAGTCGTTCTCATTCCTAGACGACATTGAAAGGAGGCTGCGGATTACATTGCTCTGAAGCGTCCCCCCTAGTATGGAATAACAGACATAAGGAAGGAACGACCGGTTCCGTTTCCTCAACCCGTTTCCTCAACGGTAGAAGGTAGGTGCTATCCGTACAGTGGCTCAAAACGGAAGGTACAATCCGCGGTCACATCTTCCTCCTCAGAAAGATGTAGAGTACAAAAAGGACCGAGTAACCCCCTCCGTCCCGGGGCTGTCCGCGCCTTCCTTACGCTCATTGGATGGGTATCCATTCCTTTCATTGATCAATCAGCGACGATGACAGCTCTGTGAGGTGGGCGAAGAGGATGGAGAAATCATCCGCCATAGACATGCTGTTTGCAGAGGCCGGGTTGGTCCCAGTGGTCATCGGCGGAGGAGTAGTGGCACTCGAATTGAGGCGGCTGTGAAGGTCGACAAGAGTCTGGATGGCGACTGGCAACCCTCCCCTTGACGGCCCGGCTTTTAATCTAGAATCAGGTCTCTCGTCTGCTAGTGAAGGCCGTACGGTTTGGTAGAGATCCAGCACGTGTTCGGTGATCTCGTCAACATAGTATCGGGCCACCAGCTTCTCCTTCAAGTGCGCACCCTTGAAGGATTCCAGGTAGACGAGGGTAAGGAATAGGCATTGGAGAGGCCCGACATAGCTCCGGTGGAACCATATATATGGGGAGAATGCGGAGGCTTGATAGATTGGGAGCAGAATGCGAAAGTAGCTCAGGCAAAGCTGCAGCATGCTAGATATTGATTCGTCGCAGGTTAGTAGACTCGGCAGACGTGCTAGATAAGGAACATACCTTGTCCATGCGTTGCAGGCTTCCGGGTTTGAACTGTCGGGCGGCGGCAGGAATGACTTGTGCAGTAAGACGGCGACATCGAATTTCAGCAAGGTCAGCACAGCGCGCATCCACGCGCCGAGAACAGTGGGCTCCGTGGCATCGTCCCTATAAAGCACGGGGTGTGTGGATGGAGATGTATTTGTTAGCCGGGAGGGAATGAACCCTCTTTCGGGGATCCCTCCCGATGGTATACGGGAAATAAGTGCGTCAATCTTCTCGTGATGCTCTTTTGCGGCGGTTACAAGCTCTGCGAATGCATCTCGTGTCAAGCCCCGTCCACTTTGTAGAAGTGCGATTATCTTCGAGGACAGGCGAACCGTTTCCGCGCACCCAACAGCAAACATGATGGCAATCGACTGCTTCAAAAGCCCAGGGCCCAGGTTGCCGATCTCTTCGTCGTGTGTATCATTTAACATATTCACAGCCTCCAGCGCCTCGCTCCCGCAACAAAGAGGCAGTCCAGAGGACATGCTGGACTGAACATCAAATCGGACGATATACCACCAAACGCGACACCGGATCTCTCGGTCTACAGGGCTGAGTGCAGACGACGAAGCACTATCCCGATGCAACCCCATACTCTGGGCAAGTCGTACTGTGGTGCTAAGGGCAACCGCCTCCCCAATCGGTTCACGCGGCCACTCCAGAAACGGCCAGGTTAGCAGCGTCGAAACTAGGGTGTTCAATGTCGGATGTTCCAGGTGATGAGATGAAGACAGACTCATCTCATAGGCCGCCTTGAGGCTCTGTATCGTGGTTTCCCTCTGTAGACCCCTGAGCTCAGGGGATGTCCATCTGGCGGCTGGTGCGGCAGATGCTCCGCAGTATAAGACAGCGAAGAGCAGGCAGAAAAAGGTCGGGTCATCGCGGATTTTCTGTGGAGGTAGACTGTTCTTGTTATCGCGACACCAGTTCCAGAACTCCTCATAATCTGCCCTTATGGTAGGGCGATGCACGAGAGGAGCCAAGGGCCAAACCGCGAGGAAGAAGGCTTCGAGCAAAGCATCGCTCACAGCCCTGGTGGGTAGTGACCGTAAGAGCTTCGCCATACCCAGGGAGGAAATATGCAAAGGGGGAAGCTCAGGATCGGCGTCGCGATTGTCCTCGAAGAAGCCGTCACTCATGTGTTCCTGCAGGGAGATCAGCTCGGGGTAGCTATGAGGTTCTTGATAATAACGTCTTGCTTACACGTCCGGCAACGGAGCCCCAAAAGGTTTGACCGATGTAACGAGACCCACCGCCCCGTCTCAGGCTGAGATACCCATCTTGGGGGTTTGTGGGCGCGTCTGGGCTCGATGCTGAAGGTGATCCCACTGCGAGGGGCACTGGTACGCTTGCCGTGCGCCTCCTTACTTCTGTAGGGATGTCCTGGCCGACCGGGAGCTTGATAGCGTCCTCTGAGTCTGGCATTGTAATGTTGTCCATAGCAGCCTGTTTTCTGGTTGCCCGTGTTAACCGTGATTGCGAACCCGCAGCCGGAGCGCCAGTCAGAGAAGGAGGACGTGGCTCATCGCCCGCATATATTGTATTCTTGGTCCCGCCAGGCACCCAGTGGGCCCAGGTAAGCTCTTTCGTGTGGGACTCCTGACCCTTTATGCTCTTGTCCTGAACCGCTGTGGTATATTCATCCCCTTGGCCTGTGAGCTCATTGTGAGTTGTGGGATTGTAGAGACACTTCTCCTTCATCCGAACACAGTTGGCACATCGCGGATGTTCGCGGCCACATCGGACTTTGCGCCGGCGGCAGACAATGCAGCTAAGAGATACTCGTGGTCTTTTGACCTGCCGTACTTCAGACGGGGACATTTTGATATGCAGTCGGGAACCCATATATACACGTATCAACATTGGCCATCTCCTCAGAGCTGAAGGAGGGGGAAGATGTTGAAATCCCTCTTGAGGATCGTGCTGACCAAGTCACTAATAGTCACATGACGACTAACTGGATATGTCCTAGCATCAGATGTTTTAGGGTGGTGGTCTCAAACTGTTCAGCTCCTGAGAAGCATCTGTTCGATCAGGACAGTAATTGATGGTCAGACCTGTAATAGGACGCCCTTGAGGCCAAGAATGATATCTCTGTGGATTAACTGCGTCCGATAGTGACTCTGATTAGTCGTTATCTTCCGTTATCTTCCCTCCATGTTTGGCTATGGATAAATCATGCCTCCTAGACATCATCATACTACACATGAGAATGACCACTTCCCTGAACCCACGACCTGAACTGTCTTATCCCCGCGTGACGGAAGCACCACCTCCATGGTTGTCGTCGGCGGAACCACAACATCCAACGTAAACTTCCTCCCCTTCGCTATCCCATCGCCAGTTCTGTTCTCCTCCTCAAGGACCCAGTAAACAGACACAACCCCATAGGGGGTAACATGACTCGCACTCGCCGAGGTAAGCCCTCCCCCAAGCAACGGTTCTACCCTCGATGTTCTCCACCCAGGACTACCACGTTGCAGCCCAGCAACGCGTTCCACAAGGAACTTCGAGACAGCTCCAAACGCGTAGTGGTTGAATGAAGTCATTTCACCAGGGTTAATGGATCCACCGGGCCGCATGCTGTCCCATCGCTCCCAGATGGTTGTAGCGCCCATGGAAATGGGGTAGAGCCAGGATGGGCATTTTTCGTTTAGGAGCATTGCGTATGCTGTATTAGTGTGGCCTGTTCGTGCTAGGGCTTCGCAGACAAAGGGTGTGCCTGCGAACCCGGTTCCAATGCATAGTTTGTTGGAGTGGACGATCTCGGCGAGACGGTTCCCGGCGATTATTGTTTGCTCTGGAGAGAGGAGGTCAAAGCAGATTGCCAGGGCGTAGGCTGTTTGGCTGTCTGATACCAGGCGGCCGCTGGGGCTCACGTATTCTTCGACGAACTCGTTACGGGCGTTCGTGTACCAGCAGTCGAAGAAGCTAGCATCTTCCTTGCGTCCCAGGATGGTGCTGGTTTGCGCCATCAATATAAGGCATCTAGACAGGAAGGCATTGGCCACGAGAATCGGATCGGTGACAGCCTTCTGGGGGTCATCGGGCGGGGCGTTGGGGTCAAGCCAGTCCTATGACAATGTGTCAGCTCCCGTCTCGTATACCTGGAAAATATGAATGTCTCTTACACCAAGTTGTTCCGCCGTTAAATCCCAAAGGTGGGTTAGTCGGTCTTTATTTCGTGGGATTACCTTCAACCACGATTCCATGGACTCATACTGCTGCTCCAGGATTGCGATATCCTTGGTCTCCTCCCACAGTGCCCACGGAGCCAGCACTGCCACGTCGTGCCATACTGCACATGGCCAAACATCTCCCCAAGTCTGTATCCCTGCAAGACAATTGGGAGACACCATAGGTGGAACTCCACCTCGCTGCCGCTGGTCGAAGGCTACATCCCGTAGCCAGTCCTGAAGAACACCGAAGCACTGGTAAATCAAGGTTGCAGTAGGAGCAAACAAGGCAAGATCGCCAGTCCAACCTAGTCGCTCATCGCGCTGTGGGCAGTCTGTGGGTAGGGAGAAGAAGTTTCCCCGCATGCTCCATTTTGTGTTGGAGAACAGCTGGTTAACCTTGTCGTTGGAGCATCGGAAAGTGCCCGCTTCCTCCATATCCGAGTTGCAGACCACTGCTTCGATTGACGTAAGGATGTCCTCGCTCGAAGGCCAACCATCAACCTGCGCGTATCTGAAACCATGAAAAGTAAATCGTGGCTGATAGGTCTCGCCTTGGACATCTCCTCTGAAGATGTATGTATCCTGTGCCTTACAAGCTCGAAGCGGCCGTAGACCGAGTTCACCATCCTCGAGTACTTCAGCATGCTGGAAAGTGATTCTATGGCCGGCTTGAGCCCGAATTTGCTTGACAATGCAAAGGTGGCCAACGAGATTCTGCCCAAAGTCTAGAACTACTTTACCCGAAGGGGTTTCAATGACCTGTCGCGGTTTAACGGTCTCTAGTCGCCTAACCGGTGGCTTCGAGCCAGCGACAAGCCGTAGTTCAGCCGGGAGTGACGAAAGAAGGTCGACTGGTTTCCAGTTCTCCAGCCCCTTTGTACCAGTGCTAGACCAGCCCTCAATATGCTCACGAGCATCGTAGACCTCTCCGTCGTATATCTCTGCCTTTTGAATAGGCCCGCGATATGCCGTCCATGTACCATCAGTCCCAAGCGTAAACGTCTGTCCATCCTCGTATGTAACATCAAGCTGCGCGAGAACCGCCGTGCGAGAACCATAGAAGTTGCGAACAAACCCAAATCCAATCCGCCCCTTGTACCACCCCTCGGCCACGCGAACCCCTAGGCAATTCGCATCGGAGTCGAGCAGGTCCGTCACATCAAAGGTCTGATAGTGCAACTGACCGTGGTACGACGTCCAACCAGGGGCCATGAAGTGGTCACCGACTCGCTTCCCGTTGATCTCGGCCTCGTAGACTCCGAGCGCGGTGATGTACAGACGGGCGGAGACCGGTTTGCTGCACAAGGTGAACTCCTTCCGAAGTAGGTCCTCGGGTTGGGGCTTGTCGAGATTCTCGCCTGACCAAGGTGCAGAGATAAGTCTTCCCGTCCAGTCGTTGCGTTGTAGAAGTCCGGCTTCGATCTCAGCCGCGTCGCTCCAGGGGAGTGGGTCGGGTTGCTCTTTTCCCCAGGCACGCACTCGCACTGAACATTTCTCACGAGAGGCAAGTGGGTAATCCGGTTTGGGCCAGGGGACAAGGTGCGATTCACTCGACGACACGTGGATAACGTCGACGGTGATTTTGCTTGAGGGGCTGCCGCGGGATACCTCGATTTCGTAGTCTGTTTGTTCGAAGTTCGATTCGACATCGACGAAGCGCCATGAGATGCGTGGTTTGGAATCGTGGACACCCAGCACTCGCTTTCCGGTGGGATAATGCTCGAATCGCACGTCAACGATGCGTGGGTTCGTCATTATGGTGCTACTCTGAAGGGTCTCGAGGAGGCGGTTCGATAACTTGCTGTGAGTGACATTGATGCCTTCAGTCTCTGAGCTTTATCGCCTGAGCCTATTCTTCCCCGTCCATGTTCTGTCGGGGGAATGCAAACCGAGCACTGCTTCAGCCAAGCAGCACATGGGGAGATTAGCCGTCAATAAACCCCCGTTTTAACCGGGATCCAAGGGCTGACTTGCAAGATTCTCGTAATCCCCATGGGGGCCATAAGAGGAGGCACCGGAGGTCTTACCCCTATGATCACCCAAGTGGCAGCGCTGGTTGGCCGCTCTACGAATATCCCAATGGGTCGAGACTCGATAGAAAAGGCAAAAGCCCGAATACGATGAAATTGCCATATTCGACTACCTAGACTACGGATCCATGTGCTTTGAGTTTAAGTGTTCGAGCCAATCAATGATTTTTCGCTTCCCCAGAGTCTCTGGTACGCTTGCGATTGGCTACTCGCCCCGAGGCCCTGCGCCCTTATCCAACTCAGCTTTGACATGCTTATCAAGTGCCAGGCAGATGCGTCGGGGTGTTTATACACACTCCACTCTGGACGCTCTGTTCTCCAGGAATCTTCTACGCGTGGGCCTTCTCCTCCACCAGGCGCTGGGTCATGGTCGTTTCCTTGTGGAATCGCCATGGCTTCACCTTGCGCTCGAAAAGTTCGTCGAGCTCCGCGGCCGAACGCCTAGAGTCAATGTCAATGTAGATCCCTCCAAGATCACCGGGGATAACGTACCCTGCTGTCTCGGGAATCAAGAACCACATGGCGACAGTGAAAAATGAACCCAGTCCTGCAAACAACCAGCACGTCTTGAGGCCCCAATTCCACTGGTTCGCATTCACCATGTAGGGAACCAAGACGCCGAATAGGACGCCGACGACACACGTAGATGCCGCGGCAAATCCAGCCGTGTATGGCCGCAGGCGCTGTGCGGAGATTTCTCCAATAAACCCCCATCCAGTGGCCCCGTTTGCCACGAGTCCGACGTCTGGATGATAATCCTTCGTTAGCTTCTGCATGGTAGCCTAGATCCTATCTAGTAGGTTCACTTTGGGGAAAGGATGGCGGGACTTACTCCACAAGCATGCAAAGAAAATGAGAAGACTATTCGTGACTTTCCCCTGGGGTACCACGCCCAGAATGCCCACTGCCATATTACACACCCAGCACAGTGTGGTCCCCGAGCAGGCCAGCCATCGCCGTCCGATAGTTTCCGCCAGGTATATCACCACGAAGCTAAAGAAAATATTAATGCCCGAGGTGATGCAGGTAACCTTGAATGGATCCTCGATGCCAGCTTGCTGGAAGAAATAACTTCCAAAGGTTAAGAAGACTCCAAGACCGAGGAACTGCTGGGCCATGAGTGTCCATAGGGACACCAATGTTCGTAGACCGTCGGTACCCTTGAAGATAGCGTACCACTTTTCATTGCGCTGTTCCGCAGCAATCGCGCGTTCATGTTCGATGTTCAGCACGAGCAACTGGTAGTGATGGTCGATGTTGAAATCCGGAACGCCCTTGTACAGAAGCCGGAGGACCTTCTTCGCCTGCGCCTCTTTGGCTCCGCCCTTGGTCGCACACCATGCGGGGGATTCCGGGATAACAAGGTAGATGATCAGCATGAGGCCGATCTGAGACCACTGTGTATACACGGGCGTGAGATAATTGTCCGGATCATAGGTCGACATCACCTGCAGCGCAACAGGCGCAAAGAACTGCCCGATAAGCCACCAGAGACTATAGCACATGAGGAATGCACCACGAATCCTCACTGGTGCGACTTCGGACACGTATGTGGGGATTGTCGATTGCAGGCATCCAACACCGATGCCGCCAAGCAGCTTTGCAACGAGCCAGGACTTCCAATTCGTTGCAACGCTCTCGACGGTTACACTTAGAGCGAGCAGGAACCAGTACCAGAACATGGCGGCCTTCCGTCCGAAGCGATCCGACAAGAATGGCAAGGTTGTCATACCAATGATCTGCCCTACAGACCCAATCGACGTCCACGCGCTTAGAATCGACGAGGCAAGGACCGCCTCGCCGTCGGCGTTGGTGTCTGTTCCAAACTTCTGGACAAAGCCAGTGTTCGCGATGATGTTTCCGATAAGCCTGGATGGAAATCAGTAAGCGCGTGTTGGACTTTTTTTTTTTTGGCCTCGTAGGTGGGCTGAGAGACATACGCGATCTGGTACCCATCCGTTGCTGCACTGAACGTAACGAGGAAACAGATGAATGCGTTCATCTTGAACGTTTTGACCGTTTCCCAGATCGACAGCGATTCATACCCGGTCGTCCCCTGGCCCTGAGCAGCGGCCTCTGCCGTGGTTTTCATTGCTTGGGTTGCAACATCACCGATGATCTCTTGGTGCTCGATGCCCTGAGTCTCGGTTTTGTCTTCGGTTGCCATGGTTTATGATAGAAGAATATGTCAAGTGGGTATGTCCAAACCGAAAAAAAAATAGATGGAAGCCCAAGAATCCAGAACAGTGAGAGGCGAGGAGCGCTTTATATACGTTAACTTTTGAACAGTTCATGCCATCAGTTCCCCAAGGCCCAGTGTCCCCCAAAACCCCCGCATTGGCCACCCCAGATTTCGGAGGATGCCAGTGGAGGGGGGGGGGGGGTGGAGCAGCGCGTGGAGCCGCGCGTGTTCGCCCTGCACTCTCCCGAACATGCTAAAATTCATTTTCAAAGGATCGTACCGTGTGACACTGTCGGATCTTGATACCCCGGGCAGGTCTTGGGGTATCTGTCTTGTGCTCTCCAAAGCTGCCCCATGTGGCTGTCGTGTGAACGCCCCGCCAGTGAATTTGCAGGCGACCTATTGGAGACCGGCTAAAAGAAGTCTCTTTATCTTGGGAATATAGCCTACACTTTCCCTGCTGTGTCTTAACTTTCTCGTTCTGGCCTATCTCGATTGAGTGCATAAAGTGAGATTCTCCCATTGAGCCTAGTCAGCAAGAGCCTCCCGATCTAGCTCACCCAATCATATAATTTTCGCTTTCCAACGGGACTTATCTTTGGAGTCAGCTGATATGATTTCATGGTAGTCCATGACGAGGATATTTACCCCAGGGTAACGTACAGAGTGCTCGAGTCGCCGATGAGCTTGCGGTGTTGGGGCAACTTGTCGGTACCCCAGAGTAATCAAACAGCCTTAAGCATTCATTGAACTCGTATCCTTCTACCATTGATCAGACACATTCCCGTTGGGAATTCAGACCTGGCCGACAACAACCCTCATCTCTCCCAGCTTCAGTGCGCACCCAAAGGGGGCCTCAGTCTCCGCATCCGTCGCTAACTAGGGGAAGCAAACTTGCCGTATGTTGGAACCTAGTAAGCATCGATCTTCCAACGGATAATGGTAAGAGGGTCCTGTATCTCTCGGGACAGTTTACCCCGGAGAACTCCCACAGCCGACTATTAGGGACGCCGAATGAGTTCTGGATGTGCAATGCGAGGGTGTGGCAATGATGGGGGGCAAATGTGGCCTGCCTGAAGCAAGGGGTAAAGTTCAGTGTTTAGAGAAGCAAATAGCCAAGGAGAGAAAAAAAAAAATCCTTCGTGGCTATTGCATCAGAAGAAGCGACTTTGAAACTACAACTTGTTGCCCACAGTTGCAACTGGCTGTCGGCTAAGGTATTTTACCGTATGGGACGACAATTTTGGGCGGGAAGTTGAGCAGTGGATTCAAATTCAAAAAAAATGTGTGCATCATCCGTGAATCGAACACGGGCCTCGTCGATGGCAACGACGAATTCTACCACTAGACCAATGATGCTTCTTATTGAAGGACTTTAATTTATTTTGCTCTATAGTACTAGCCACAAGCAAGGTTCTGAAATATCAATTTTTGGGGTTTGCATCAGCCGACTCTGCCTACACATCCATCACCCACACGGCTGCTTCTCAGTGCCTAATAATCATCAGGCCCTCCCTTGATTTCTGGGTCTTTCAGGGCTTGATAACTTTCTACCAGGTTGATCGGTCGCTATAACGAGGCTGTTAAGTGCTATTTCCGGTGGGTTCGGAAAATAAATATAAGGCTTGACGGGGTAAAAACATCTCTTCCGTACAGTCCTGCCGTTCGTACTACTATACCCTCCAGATAGTCGATACTTTCGTTTATCCTGTTCGTATCACAGTTCCTGGTTTAGGAAGGCCCAGCCTAGGACTGCCATCTGGCCGGCTAAGTTTGCTCGTCGCCAGATCCTCCGACATGCGGGGGCAAGTCTGGGCCGCAGTTTTACATCCACAGGTCTCATTATAAAGGTCTGATAATGGAGGACGCGATTATGCCCAGATGGTCCCTCCACTGTTCAACAAAATGGCAGACTTTACCAAGCTACCTTCTTTCCCGTCGAAGCCTCGAGTATTCATTCTCTCAGACATTGAAAATGAGGCTGATGACCAGGAGTCTCTCGTCCGGTATTTGCTCTATGCAAACGAATTCGACACTCGTGGAATCTGTGCCGTGACATCAGCATGGCTCCCGACTCGAACTGCCCCGGAATCCATGCGCAAGATCGTCGAAGCGTACGGCAAGGTTGTCGGCAATTTAAACCATCATGTTCACCCTGGTGCTCAGTATCCTCCAGCGGAAGTTTTGATGGAGCTTGTGACTGCTGGTGCCTCGGTATGGTTGAAGATATCCTTGGGGTTGGCAACTCGAAGTATTGACAACCGCAGGTATACGGAAAAGAAGCACTCTCCCTACCCCTCAGCGATGGCGCCAAAATGCTACTCGACAGAATCGAAGAGTCCAGCGACCCGCTCTGGGTAATCAGCTGGGGCGGAACAAACGTCCTCGCAGAAGCGCTGCAGCACATCCGTAAGACCAAACCCGCGGCTGAAGAGGCCGCACTACACTCCCGTCTACGCGTCTACACAATTTCCGACCAGGACGACACGGGCGAGTGGATCCGAAACACGTTCCCTGACGTCTTCTACATCTCCTCCATTCACGGCTTCGGCGCCTTCGACATGTCTGCGTGGCAAGGGATCTCGCACCCCCATTCCGGCGGCGATCTGTCGAAGGTGAGTCAGTCGTGGCTACAAACTCATATCCAGAGGGGTCCCCTTGGAGATCTGTACCCGACGCCAGAGCATATTATGGAGGGCGACACCCCTACGTTTCTATACCTCATCCAGAACGGTCTGGGACATCCGGAGCGACCGGACTTTGGGAGCTGGGGAGGGCGGTATCGGGCGATTAACGTGGGCAGTGCGCACTATGCCGACGTCGTTGACAGAGTCGTCGACCATGATGGCACCAAAGTCACAAACCAAAAGTCCACAATCGCCCGGTGGCGGGACCATTTCCAGAATGACTTTGTCACGCGCATGAGCTGGACGCTGACACCTGATTTCGGCGCCGCAAGACATCCCCCTGTCCCCGTTGTTGATGGCCACCCTGGTCCAGGGTTACTGACACGCAGGGTCGTGTCGGGTGAGGTTATAACGCTGGATGCGTCAGAGTCCTACGACCCCGATCACCCGGGGGATACCTCAAACCTAGAGTTCCAGTGGTACCAATACCTCGAGCCTACAATCAGCCATCCGATCGGGGTTGATGGGGTTCCAAACTGCAATATTCGGCCCCTTTCGCCGCCCTCCGGAACAGATGGGGTGTTATCGATCAACGACGCCGGCTTTGAGAACGTCGCTCTTGGGTCGAGGGTTGAGATTACCATCCCTGATGCGAATAAACCTGGTGTCTTTAACTTGCCAGCGCACCATTGGCTGGCGTATACGGGCCTCACTGGAATGGAGTATCATATCATCCTGCAGGTGTCTCAGAAAGACGCGGAGTTCCCTGTTAGAAGGTACTTGAGGATTATTCTAGATGCTGGACTGTCCTAGAGCTCAAACAAGGCGTGAAGGCCAGGCTACTTGATAGCAGATGTGAAAAGCCATGTAAGTGGATACTAGGTCTGCCGACTCTAGGTAAAATTGAATAATATACGTTTAAGCTACATCCATGACCCAAGCAAGAAGTTAGGTATTAATTAAATCATAGAATATTAGTATGTATATCAAAACGGATGTCAAGTCCTGCCTATAATAGTAATAACTAAAGGCTCCATCTGCTCACCGCAAGCCCCATGCCATGTCTTCTACGCAATGCGTTAAAAACACGGCTAAATCAACCTCTTGCATCCAAGTGCTTAAGCAAGCATGACGAGCATCGCTGACAATAGCCAGCCGGCGAGTGAGCCAACCAGTTGTCCGTAGGTGATCCGCACTGCAGACACAGGTGCAGCACCAGTAAAGAGGGCATCAGGTGCACTGGGCACGATCGAAACCCCCGGCACCCCGGGAGTAGTAGACGACGGAACCGGAACTGCTGGAGTGCTGCTGCCATACTGTGTCTCAAAGCGCGTTCTAGTAAACGTAGCGCTTTCCTGCTCACTACTTTCGGTTCCACTAGCGTTGTGGTTCCCAGACTCGGGAAGAACACCGCCGGTGGCACCGACTGAATCAACGGCTGAGCTCGAGCCGGAAGTTGAACTAGGAGTAGTCGCAGTCGCAGATCCGGTAACGGATCTGGCCCCGGTGGCCGAGCTCGAGCGGGAGCTGGAGCTGGGCGCAGAAGTACCACCGACCGTCCAGTTTTCAGCAGCAGCGTCCGAGCCGTAGTAGTTGGCGTTCGAGCCAGCTGTAGAATGAATGCCGGTGCCCGCAGGAGTTTGAGTGGCTGTCACGGGGCAGATAATTGTCGAAACAACCAGAGTCTCTGTCGTGACGAATGTAGTCTTTGCACGAGCGGGACAGTCCTGGACGGTCGAGGGGCACGCCGTGATAGTTGCGATGCGTGTAGTAAAGACAGTAGAAGTCGTGCTTGCTGGAGTGTCTGGAGTCTCATCACCGATAATGGTCGTGGTTGGTTGAGACCGGACGGGGCAGATGGTGGTTGAAACTACTACAGTCTCTGTGGTCACAAAAGTCGTCTGTTCGGAGGCAGGGCAGTTTGTAACGGTCGAGGGACAAGCGGTGATTGTTGCGGTGCGGGTGCTCAGAACAGTCGATGTGGTGCTTCTGCCCTCTGTCTCGGTTGCCTGGGAGGGTAGTGTGGTTGGTGCGAGAGTGGTTGACCGCGAAGAGGTAAGCGTTGTGTCTGCATCCATTGAAGAAGTAGTCATAGCGGTGGTAGTGGTGGTAGTGATTGTAGAGATAGTAATCGAAGCAGTGCCCGACGAGCTAATCGTAGCCATTGGTATACTCGAAGAAGGGCTTGTAGTAGCAACAGACGAGGAAGCAGGAATAACGGGGGTGGAAAGGCGATGAGTTTTAGGGCTGATAGCGGCAGACGAAGAGCTTATCGAGGTGATGGCGCTTGACGAGGCAGCAAGACTGGATGAAGGTGACACGACTGGAATAACTGGAGATGGTGTGTGTAAGGACACCGGCGGCGAGACAATTGAAGATGAGGATAAGACCTGCGTGGAAGATGTCTCTGTCGAAGCGGTGGTTGTCGTTGTCGTCGACGTCGAGGTCAGTGTAATAGTCTGAGTTGAACACAATGTGACCGGAGGCCCAACAAACTCGACATTGTCAATATCAATAGCTGCCCCAGTATGGCCGGTGGTACCAGTGCAGTAGCCATATATTTCGAATGTGTGTGTCCCACTGGTGGTCGGGGTATAGTCGAACGAGAGAGTAGTCCAGCCAACAATGCTTGAAGAGACAGCCTGGCTGGCACTCCCAAGGAGACCAGCGGAAGTAAAAGAGTCCATGTAGGCCTTTATGTAGCAGGTCATAGAGGCTTGGGAGGAACTCGGTTTGATGCGGTACTGGAAAGATGCGGCATAGTGGCCGTTCGTGATGAAATCGCTGCTTCTTTGGTATAGCAATACAGTCACCGAGGTAGAAGTGGCAGTCGTCTCCCTTTTACCGGATCAGCTTTTTAATCAGGTATGAGATTGAGTGGATACTCACATATAGGATGAGCCGTCGGCTGCATCGCCTGAAACGACACTGCCGGTGGTTCCAGAGGCGAATCCCCAGCCCGTGATACCATCTTCGAATGATGGGTTAGAAAAGGGGTTGGGAGTTGAGGTTGCACATGTCACAATCTCGCTTACCTCTGTAGCGACGGCGGATACAGCTGGAATTAAGGAGCGTGAAAGTAAGAGAACTGAAACGAGAGACTGCAATCGGGGCATGGCGAAAACGAGCGGCTCGTCAAACTGGCAAGGGAAGCCAAAATTGCGAATAATAACTAAAGTAGAAAGAAAGAAGGAATGAATGACCAGGACATCATGTTCTTGTGGCGAAAACGCCTCTTAAACAGGTTCTGAAGAAATAGCTTCGTACGCTGATATCCACATTTGCTCGAACATGTAGATATTTTAGCCGAGACGCCATGTGGTTAGCACATTGCTTAGCGCCCTTGGACTTTGGAGTTGACTCTGGGTTGCCCAGATCTCTCATCTGGATGGAAACATTGCTACCAATTTATTCGTGGTTGCCTTCATGGTAGATGTCTATGCATCTGTTGATATCAAGACCATATTTGACCAGCACAATGTCCCTGCTAATGTTGGAATTCATAAATCAGGTGATATTGGCGCCATCGGTCCAGACTTGGGGGCTGAATCAAGGAAAGAGCAGCCGATCGGATATATCTGTGGGGCATCGATCGAGGTGCTGTAAACCACTATCACGGCGTTCCCCGAGATTCCATCCCCAATCAGCTTTTACCTCGACGGTCAGGTTTCAGGGGGGAAAAACACATAGCCAGTTGCCACTGTATACAATAATGTTGTTCACTCTGCTGGAATTTGACGTCTTTGATAAACTTGCTGGCAGTGTTGTTTTTTTATCTGGTGGACTCGAAAGGAGGAGGCAGCATATATATAGTTAGTGATATGAGGTGAGCTCAGGAGGGAAGTGATGCCGCACACTCTCGTCATGAAGTGACAAAAATCGAGTTAGTTACTCATTATAGAACTATACGTAGTTTGATTGAAATCTGATATTCTACCATATCCCAAGTAAATACATTAGAATCAGCAATTTGGACTGCACAGCAGGAAGCTTGGCATCTCGTGGATGAATATTTGAGAATTTCGTCTGTAGGGTGGACTGGAATATAGAGCAATAGTTGCTGCCTATTTTCCATCAACAGGCAAGGTGGCCGAGCGGTCTAAGGCGCGCGGTTAAGGTTTCCCAATTCGGATCCCTCATCTGATCTCATCAGTTTCCGCGTCATTAATTTGGCGTGGGTTCGAATCCCACCCTTGTCATTTCTTTTATTTTTTATTCATTCTGAATAAATGAAATGCTTTGCGACTTCCCTCAGTCAGGAGTCGTAAGTCACCACCATGTTAGAAAAAGTTTTACTTCCCATATCTGTTTCCACATCCTTCGTGCCCCTAGTCAGCAGTCTGTTTAAATTCACTGCTCGAGCAATTTCTAGGACCTCACGCATAATTCTAGTGACTACCCACGCCATAATGCTTGAAAGCAATCAGGCTTTGAGATGTTGAATTGATGATTGGTTGGTTGAAAGACCCTGTCAGCAATATCATCATCCAACTGCATTTTCTAATCGACTTGAGGCATCCGCTCTTGTACCCATACTTGGCTTGATTGGATGAGTATCAGCCGGCGGCCACGAGAAAAGACACAATCGACCCGTGAACGGGGCAGCCTGGCCGCGCCTCAAGAGCCTTTCTTGCGAAGTGCACAATTATGTTTCGCCGTATGCGGCGCCTTCACGGGTGAGGAGTTTCGAAGGGCTACTGAAGGCATATATTGACGTAGGAGGGCTGGATAACCTTTGGGATGAATGTAGCGTTTGCGGCAGGTGTTTCGAGAGTGAATATTGAGGTGGAGGCTCATGTTAATCTGGGGATGCCACATGCCTTTGACTTGACTCCTGAGCGATTTGAACCGCTGGAGAGGGCGGTTGGGAATAGGGTCGCTGCGCTGAATGGTGTTTAGTCTGACTATCTGTCGGAGAATGCCTTTTTGGATCTTGATGGATGACAAAGTAGTTGAATCCAACTTCAACGTCCTTCGTTTTACGAGGGTTGGTCTAGGTAGATAGCATACTGGTCTTTATCTCTGTGGCCCATGAGTTACCGAGTCAACATAACATCTTGATGGTATTGATTCGCCCCTAGAATTTCCGTCGCATAACAGAGTACCTGAGAAATACGAATGCTTCCACCCTCCTCAATTCCCTCATCTCCGTGTCCAAATATTCCCAATCACGCGTACTGTAGGTTAATATACTCCTCATTAGGCGCCGACTTTCCAACGAGAGTGTTCCCCGGGTGATAGAAGTGGAAGATCGCCTGCACAAAGAACATCGGAATCGTATCGAAAATATACATATAAATCTCATGCGAATACAGGTACCCATCCGTCCCCTGGACGTACTCGATAGTGCGAAAGACACAGCGCGCAATGACAAGCGAAGAGACCAGAAACAATATATGCAAGAGGCGCCGCCACTGCGCGTTGATGTGGCCGACGCCCGCCCGACGCAGACGCACCTGGAACGTACCCGAGACGACGAGGAAGAAACCGAAGAAGATAAGCTGTACGACGAGGCCGACGACCAGGATCTTTTGCCCGAGGTTGCGCATGCTGTCGATCGTTTGCATGCCGCCGCCGGCGAGCTGCAGGAGGAATGCCGTCACGTCGCCGGTCACGAAGATCTTTGTTACTTTTGCGGGGGCGACGATGGAGAGGTGTGGCTTCCCCGTGCAGACGACGATGCGGCCGTAGATCATGTAGATTGTTGCGGCGTAGAGCGAGGGCGGCAGGATGATGAACATTGACTGGCAGATGTAGGCCATGAGGCTATCGGGCTTGCGGGCTGAAATCAATCGGAAGATGTAGCCCAGTGTCATCACTAGAACAATAGGTTGGTTAGCTTTGCAATCCGCATCTCTGTGTTTGATGACCAGGAGTCCTTACTGAAAGCGCCGACTAGAAAAGCTGTAAAGAACCATGTCCTTGTTCGGATCATTTGCCAAAGATGTGCAATTGCACTGCCTCCAAAGCATAGCATTGCTATGATAGCGCCTGCGCTGTTTGGCTCATAAGGATAGTAGCCTGAAGATCCCATCTTGGTCTGGTTTCGCTTATAACGTGGAAATATGGATGAAAAGGGAACGAGGGGCGTGGTGCTGTGAATAGAGAAAAATAATAGGGGAAGAAAAAGAGTGCGCGGTCGCCAATGCCCCAAGATATTGAAAAAGAAGAAAAGGAATTGTCTGTAGATAGATCAAGAGAGAAAATTTAAGATGATTGAAGAGCAAGTTCTGTTATATGCAACCTCTTGAGCAGTGCCCTAAAACACTCTGTCCTTCTTGGACACTCTCGTTTAAATACGAGAGCTTGATTCCTATTGCCTATCATGCTACTAATTATACACCGTACACACGCACTCATGTTTAAGGGAGGTGGAACAGAAGTTGAGTGTCAAAACTGACTATGCAGGTACAAGTGGAGTTGGGAGGGCTCAGTCAAGTCCGCGGATAGAGCGGCCTCTGATTCGTCTAACCCAGTATCAGATTGGGCTGGGCTCGGTGGGTCCAGGGTCACCACAGCCTGCGCCAACGTGGCCAGGTTCCCCCTGTTCGACCTCATCAGCCTCTCTAGTCCAGCTCAGATCGAAGTCAAGTACAGCGAGCAGCTCTCCGGTCTGCTCGAGCCCTTGAGCGATGGGCCCAGCCTGTTTGTTTGTAGCAAGGCGAATTCCTTCCGGGTGGAAACATTCAATGTCAGTCAGCCAGGCAGACTCAGCTTGTACCAGTTGGGCAAAGCATCCGGTTGCTCTCCGACAGCACGGTCAAATTTGACAAGGCGGGCTTTGAATCGACGGTTGGCGAGGTCGATATTCCCAGTCTTCCTGGACCAGCTTTGGCTCCGTAGTTGAGCTTTTGATGTCTGCCAACGGATGCGGGAACGCCCTGGTACTGCTCCAGGGCATGGTGAACATCAGATGTAGAGGAATCCCGAGCGCCTGCGCACAGTGCACATGAGCAAAGCTTGGCGGATTAGCAAAAATGGCATCAGCCACAAAGGACGCATGTGTCAGTGGGTCATCATTGATGCACGAGTCCCAGCATCCCCGTAACATTTCGCCCACCATCGCACGCTTCTTCTGGATGTCCCCAGCGCGCAGGCTCTTCATTTGAGGTATCAGCCCGGGATTCTGGACCATGTACGCCATTAGCTCCGACGGGTCGCCGCCAATAGGATAGAACTCCAACCCGGATTTGCGGACGAAAGAATCAAACACATTATGCGTCGCCAACCGCATACGGTGCCCATGGCGTTGGAGCTCATTTCCCAGCGCGATAAATGGTTGGACATCACCTCGGCTGCCGACAACCTGGATGACGATGTTGAGGCGCAGGCCGGGGGTGGGGGCTTCGGTGTAGACTGGAGGCGCTTCCCCGGGCTCTCGCTCCGCGTGCACGACGGGAATCAGCCGGGAGATTGTCCGGCAGAGTCTGGAGTCCAGGTTCAACTCGACGCGGCCATCATGTACGCATGATCAGAATGAGCAGCACAAATCATATGATGCGTGGATCGGTCTCTGGTCGTACCTTGGGTGTTGGCCTCATCCGCCGTCCAACTGTCAGCATCGACGACGGAATATCTGGGGGGTTGCTCTTGGCCTGCCTTCATTTGTGTGCTCGTCGTCGCGTAGGAGGAAGAAAGAACCGGATCTGGAAACCCAACAAGAATACTCCCAGGTAACGTGATCCAGAATAAAGGGTTATAAACAGTGTCAGATCAAGCTATCGGAGCCTATCGGACGATAATGAAAGGATGATACGCGGTCGCAATGGGTGGTAAGAAGGAACGAGACTTTGTACCATGGGTTGCTCAGGTCTGTTCCCGACAAGCATTTTAATCCCTTGGGACGCCAAAGTTTTGAGTGACGGGAAATAGCAGCAAATAAAGATTTACGGGGATGGGAATGGCCTGGCCACAAACTCGACGCTATTGACTGTCACCGTAGCCTAACGTAACAATCCCGAGTACGGGCTGCGGGTTAGGCACGTTCCTGCGCTGAGACAGGCTTTAATTGAGCCCCCTTGGCAAAGCAATGATGAATATTTCTTCTTGCTCACCCGGCAAACGGGCCAGGAGTGGAAATACTAGACCCACGGGCTAGCCCTGCGCCTTGCCAACGGACCCTGCTATGGGTGCTATATACGCAAGCTTTGCAGAATGTGGGCGTCCCACCAATTCCGACAAATCAGAATGTGATGTATCCGCGGATAGACATGCCAAGCCTTAATACGCGGACTCAGCCTGCTTCAATTGACGGTTACGAACTTACGGGGTACACCACTAGTATCTGCCTGTACTAAACATGATTGATTTCGAGGCTTCTAAGAGCATCATGCTCTGTGGATTAGGGGTATAAAGGTCCAGGTCCAGGTCCAGCAAAGCCGTTGAATGTAGAATAAGCATCTACAGCAAACAAAAACCAAAGACACCTTTACGGAGTACTTACTATCGCTCAGATCACTCGTCAGTCCCGCTGAAGAGCGGCTACTAAGTCTGGAAATATGTTTCGCCAATCATGGCAGCAGTCACCTTCCTCGTCCTCTTCTCCAGCGTGACTGTATATCACTTCTGGAAGATGTGGATGTCAAGGATTCGATTCACGCGTCCATTTGCGATTGGAGGAATAAGTATGCACCTTGCACCCAATTACTGTTAATCAGTACATACCCCCGCGTCGCGAGATCCCAGCCATCCCTGGCGACAGCACCTGGGCAGTCTGTACGCGATCAGCGGGCTGATTCTTGTCCGGTCGATCTTCCGTGTTGTTGAGTATGTCATGGGGAATGATGGGTACCCGTTGACGCACGAGTGGACTCTGTACCTTTTCGACGCGTTGCCCATGTTTGCTTCCATGGTTATTTTTGCGGTTTGGTACCCGAGTGACTTGAAAGAAACCCTTTATCCGTGCGCTGGATTATCCCGGGGATGAGGATAAGGTTGGCGAGTTTGCTTTGCCTGATCAGGAGGCTTAGAGTTGGTTTATGAATATGGATGACTGTTTTTTTTTTTTTTTTTATATTTGGCTGGCTTGCTGCATTTGGGGCGGACTGCTTGTATTTAGCTTTGTTTAGCATCTTGTTTTATATAGACTATCTTGCTTATTATGGATGCGTGAATGACGTACCCTCATACACTGGATTAACTTGGTATTTTTGTGAAATTTGCTTCGAATATCCCTGAAGTATGGCAATATCCTTTATGTATCCGGCTCATGTTTCCATATATATTAGCTCAACTTTTTAGTAACCTAAAACTCCTCACATACATTTCCAATGTGATAGATCCGCGTCTATATGTAGTCCTGGTATATATATTCAAGCTCCATGACGACCTAACCCTAACCCAAGCAACGCCTTAATTCAGAAACTTCTACGCCAGAGACAAGAACCAAGAGAAAGTTGGACCGCCCTTGGCGGTGTCATGATTATTATGCCCGTGAAGAAAAAAAAGGAAAAAGAGAAAATCACCAACATGCAGCGCACACTCCCGTCTGTTTATGCAACCGGAGTGCCGCCCAAGTCAGCTGAGGTCCGCATCTCGGATGCTCCCGAGTAGCTTTGCAGAATCTCGTTCGGCCACCGTAGACATTGCTCCCAAGACGGCCCCAGGTATCCGTTGACAGACCGAAGTATGTACGAGCCACTGTCGCCAAAGAGCCAAATGTCAGAGTGCATATGTACGAGGGCAGCGTAGTAGGCCAGGATGACGAGCGCCTCTGGCTGGCGCTCTGCGAGCCGGTCGGAATACGCGGGGGGGACCATGACTGGCCACGAGACGACCAGACTCATCGCGTCATACTCGTTGGACGAGACTCGGTTCGCGTTCAGCGTTTTCTGCAGGCTTTCGATCGCCTGGTGGTATGTCTTCCTCGTCGCAGAGTCGGACACGGTGGTGTTCACTAATGATAACAGCTCAAGGCACTCATCCCCCGGCGGTCCCTCATCCAAGGCCTGACCTGCGCCTCGGAGTGTATCCTTGAGAGGGGTCTCCAAGAGGAAGTGCCATGATTGAGATGTGATCGTGCGGATGCCACAATGCAGACGGAGACATTGGACGAAATCGTCGACGAAGCCATCAAAGCTGTCGGCGCGGAAGACGAGCTTCTCGCAGAGGGTGTGATTCGCCAGACACGAGGCGAACATGAACAAAGGCAAGCAGTTCTCGGGATTCACCTCTAGTTTCAACCCGTTGAAGGCGGAAATGGCATGCGTCTGGAGCTGGTCCGCGTGGTACTTGTAGTGCTTCTGCTGGTCACGGCGGAGGATGCTAAGATGCAGAGCAGAGAAAGCGAGGATTTGGTCCATGAGATACGGCGCAGCCAACATAGAGCCCATCAAGCCAATTGCTCGACTCCCGGAGACGATCCGATCGAGGCCGAGGGAGACGGAGAGGTCCTGAACAAAGTGGTGGAAGAGCTCGAGATGGAGTGGATTCACAGGGGGACTGTCAATGTCACTGCCGGCTTGGGAGGGATTTGGTGAGTCGCTCGGACGCTGTTTATCAGCTGTGCCGGCCGATGTCGAAGTCCTGGGGAATTGCTCCAGGATGATATGCGCTTCTGATATCATGCTTGCGTAGGAGCAGTCCCGTCGTGAGATGTTGCAGTTTCCGCATATCGGCCTTCCTTCGTCGCACTAACATTGAGGGTCAGAATTAGGTCGAGCCTACAGGTATATCTGATATGCTGATGGAGATACCTTGATGTGGCGCCTTTTACACTCTATGCAGCCTAGCCTTGATTTTTTATGTGGCTTTCGTACCATCCCTCCAGCCCTTCCCGCAAGTGTACGCGGAGAGAGAAATAGTGTCAGAAGAAATGAGAATGGAGGTGGGCTAGAACGGTATGGGAAAACTTCCCCGGACTCTGGATGGCGGATGGAAGACAACTTGGTTGCAGCCTGCGAGCGATGGGAAACAGGCCACTCAGGGTGGGGGCAGTTAGTTGGAGGTAGTAGGCGCCAAGCCTTTAGTACACAGCTCATCCAAGCTACCATACCCAAGTGTTACCCTAAGGTGTTGGCAGCGACGAACTTGATCTTCTCCGCTTCTAGCACCGCGATAGAGATGCCCAGTTTGACCGCAAAGCGCTCTCCTACTCGGACGACCTTGACTAACGTCGCTGAGGATATCGGTTGATACTTCAACCGTCAAGAGTGACAGGATGGCACGCAAACTGTGCAAACAATAGACGGACTAACCAGATTGGCCTGCAGGTGCCTTGGCGTACATATGGTGTGGATTATCATCTCCGAGTCAGTGTTTGAGTAGTTTGCACCTCGAGTCGGTCTTGGCCCAGTCTCCTTGCTTTGTCCCAGTTCCTTGCCCTTGACGTCTCCAAGATGTTGACCAGCATTTGGAATTACGGCTTTGCCCTTTTCTCGGCTTTGCGATCTCTTCTGCATCGTCTCATTCTCTTCAAAGTACCTTCGCTCTTTAAAGTTCTTCTCCCTAACCGTGAGAAGCCAGGGGATGTTGAGTGCTGTAAACCCCCTGTCAATGAGATGCCACATCCAGGTACGGAGGGCGATACTCATGCAACGTCAATCACGGAATGCCCAGGTGCTGTAGGCGTCGAAAAAGAAGACCCAGTGCCGCACGAACCCCTTCTTGGCGAAGTCTTGGGTGAAGGCTCAACTTCGCGTGTTGCACGCGTGGCGCCAGGCGTCATCATCAAATATCCACGATTCTCTTGGTGGCATTCGAAGACAGCGGCGAATAAGTGGTTTGTTCGAGACATGAAGCGGAGTTTTGAGGTGGAAGAGCGACTTCTGCAAATCCTAGGAATACACCCAAGAATAATAGAGTCTAGATGCCCCTAATTTCTTGTGAACAGTGAGTGATTGACTTCTTTAGGTTCAAGGGTGTCTCAGATGACCCATTCGGATTGTTATTTGCAGAAGCAAGCGATGGAAATCTACAGAACTACATCGACCAGCATCATGCTCGCATTGATCTGTCGCTACGATTCAAATGGCGCACACAAGCCGCGGAGGCGATCCAGTTCATTCATCAAAAAGGCGTGATACACTCTGATCTTCGACCTGAGAACTTTTTGTTACACACGATCGCCGGAAGCGAGCTCGATCTTTTGCTCTGTGACTTCGGGGGCTCAACAAATGGCGAAATAGATGGTCGGCATCTGCCCGATGCTGGATTCTTTAATCCATGCGATCCGCCGGAATCGACAAAAAGCACGGATATTATCAGCCTCGGGTCCATTTATTATACGATAATGACTGGTCATTGGCCCTACCGGTCTCAAGGACCATTCAAGTCTCTGGAGGAAATGAAGAAATACCAAGAACTGGTTGACGATCTGTTTGCCTCCACAAGGTACCCACCAGTTGATGGACTGGAAGCTGGGGTTGTGATACAACGATGCTGGACAGCAGAATACTCTGATTTGACTGCACTTATTGCAGACCAGTCTTCGCAGTTTGAGACTCTGATGCGGCCGAAAGAGTGACACAATGAATTCGCAAAGTATTCGGTCAACTAAACCAAAGATAATGCCCTCTGAACTAGTGTGTGATGATCAATGCCCCTTCGATGCTGCTTCAACGAGACATCGGCCTCCGCGTCCGCCTTGTGCGCACCACCCCCTTCGCATAAACCTCTCTGGCATTACAAGCTGGAATTTCGATGCCGGTGCCGGTTGTGGAGCAGATTGATTATGGATTCGGGCAGTCATATCTTTCGCATTTCCCTCTCTCTCTCTATGTGAGGCCAGTGGGCTGGAAATGCGACCAGGGCACTTAGAGGTGCCAATATCCTTGCAAGGCACAAAGTTCATGTCCTCTTTGACCCTGCAGCCGCATGTATAAATCTTGGTCGCAACGTTGACTTGGCACATTCTAGATTAGAAGCATGAGTTATTTGCGCATGGTTTAGCAGTTGAATGACCCACCTTGGCAATTTGAAATGGTGAGTTTGGGGTTCTCGAAAGGTAAAAGCGCCACCCTTCTTCTGGTGCTTTGTGGATGGGAACGGTAGAGAGACTTATTTATAGCTGGAGAGACCAGTGTCATGACCAGATCACGTAGACTCCCTTGTGCTGGCTTTAGTGGCATGTACAAGTGTCTAATGAGGGGAACCCTGTTATTTAGAGCTGTCAACGACGCCTGAACGGGACCAACGCAATGGGTATGGTTCTTGGAAAGCAGCCATCGATGAGCTCGCAAGTGACATGGATAGGAATTAACTGGCACGCAGTCCACGCAATCTTATCTGTATTTAAAGTTGAGAGATAAACTTAAAAGATCACCTTCTTATTATTTCACCCCCGGCAACCTGGCTTCAGTTTCAAGCAAGCGCATATTCTGTGATTCTACATTCTGGCTTCAGCTACGGAAATCTCTTCAATACCAGCATCACACCGCAATCTGTTTGCCCCCATCAACAACCAACGACACTCCGTTGATCAAACTCGCCTTCTCTCCGGCCAGGAAGACAACCGCCTCGGCAATTTCCTCTGGACGGCCCCAGCGCTTCACAGGAACAGTTTGGATCAGCTCCTCGTAGTTGGCTCCGCGTCGGATAGATTCCTCAACGACTAATGTTATCAGTTCAGGTGCCCAAATCGTAAGAGGTAGATTGGTACGTACGCGGCGTCTTTATAAGCCCAGGAAGGACACTGTTCACACGGATCCCGTCCGCGGCATAGGCCAGCGCGTCGGTTCGCGTCATTCCGAGGATGCCGGTTTTAGCTGCAGAGTACTGGAAACATTGTCAGTGAGATAATGGTAGTGAAAACTCCTCCCCTGTCCCGCGGACTCACCCCGCCAACCGTCGGATGCGACATGACCCCAAATAACGACGAGATATTCACAATCGAGCCTCGTTGCGGAGGTGCGCCGGTCCTACAAATTATCAAGTTAGCAAAAGAGATATCTTATATACAAACCAGGACAGCTCATTTTACCTACCTGCTCTCCAACTCAAACCCCTGCCGCATCATCTGCCTTAACTCGGCGCGCTCACATAACCACGCCCCGCGCAAATTTACATCAACAACGCGATCCCACGCCTCTGTAGGAAGCTCATGCGTCCTCACGCGTGGGTTACTCGTAATTCCCGCATTATTCACCGCGTAGTGAATAGCGCCGAACTCCTTGACGCCAGCCTCGATAAACGACTCGACCTGTTCTTCGGACGAAACGTCTACGGCGAAGATTACGGTGCGGACGGCGGCGTTCTGGGTCTGTAGCTCTTGAACTACGGTCTCAAGGCCCGCGTAGTCGAGGTCGCCGAGGATCAAGCGTGTGCAGCCTTCTTGGACGAAGGTGTGTGCTGTTGCGCGGCCGATCCCGGATGCAGCGCCGGTTATGAGCGCTACGCTGCAGGTGAAAATGAGGTTAGAGATTGTGTTCTGGAAAATCACTGTGACAGACTATACCCTTGCATGTAGTTATCCTGGGCCATGATGAGTTTTATGGGATATCCTTACAGAAACCAGCCGTTTGTGTAGATGAAGGAGTGTATGCCGAGGGAGAGAGAGGAAAATGCGGGGTCCAACAATGCCCAGCACTCCCACGCCGAGGATACTCACATTATGACTCTACCGGTGTATTAATGCACAGGGATCTAGGTTGGCTAGCCCCGCATTTCCGCGAGTCGTGCTTTGACTCCATGCAGCAGGCTATTTTCGATCTCTACTGCTTTTTATAGGGGTAGTCATTAGAAGAAAGGCCTGTCAACCATAAACAAATTATGGGGCACGATTATTCTAGCTCCACGAGATCCGTTTTGAATCTACCGACCATACCATGAATGCTGTAAATTATGATAGGTACAACCAAATAAATGTGTTGGCCCACAAATGTGGCTTTTAGTTTGAGTAGTACAGGGCTAACTTACTCGGTCATGGTCTATGATTTCAAACGTAATTGCAAGACAAGATATTTCCTATCACATTTTTTAATCATTAAGCCACGGACCAGACTAGATAGGATGTTGAAGGTTAAGACCGGACCGCAACTCAAATGAAACAGCAATCCATCGGGTTATTCAGGCAGGGTAGGGTCGAATATTCTCCAATTCAGTTCTGAAACTCCACAGAGAGCCAAGGCCATTGTCCTCCCGCACAATCACATTCCAATTCGTCTTATGGAAGACACGTCGTGGAAGCACTCTCCTATGCATGCTTAACGTGTAGGGCTAAGCCAAAGCTGACACTGCTATCAGCAGCTGTGAGAAGAGACCAGGAAGCATACTACCGAAGAAGGATGAGGCAGCCTACAAGAAGTCCAAGATATAGAATCTGGTGTTGGCTGTGATGAGCTGAGTGTCGATGGGGTATAAATAGGGCAACTAGCACATACGAGGATATGCAGGGACATGGCACCACGTGTGGCCCCATGCTCTGTACTCTGGGGTTTTGGGATTCTTATTTCCGTGTCTTTGGTCCAGGCATGGGCCCAGCTTGAAGCTTATCCAGACAGGCCAATGGGCAGACTTCTTGGCTCACTAACTGACTCGTACGTAGTAATCATTCTGGGAGTATGGGGGTGGAGAAATGTTCCCACAGCACTGTATCCTCTAAAATGCGTAGCTGCATTAGATAACTGAATTTCAATTCGCATTTGATATATCGCCATAATGAACTATGAAGCAAGCCTCACCAGTCAATATCAGTATGAGTTATTGAATGCTCAGGGTCCATCTTGCTTTGGACAGGCAAAGAACTCCACAAACCTCGTAGTCGACAGGGTTTGCTCCGGACTTTGGGGTATTTTCGGCTCGCGCAATCGGAAAGCGCTACATTTTACCTCAACTTGATATCCCTTACAAACTTAGTACAGTTAGTTAATCTTTGATGACTGGGATAATTGACATGCCAACTGAATCTTCTACCCTAGGGAGCATTTCAATCCAGTACCATTAGTAGTTGCCGATGCCCAGAGCTGGGGTATTCGAAAAACGAATTGCACGACATCCACTGCATAGTACAGGTGCTTCATGCAGAATCCTACGGAAAATCTGGTGTTTTTAGTTCGATTTTCCTTTCTCCTGACAGGGAATTTCGCAAAACTCACAATGGACCAAAAGTTACCCACATAGCGTAGTCTCTAATCGGGGAGGTCATACAAATGCTTCAGGCGCGCCAAAAAGTCCCTCATATCTATGCTTTCCTCCTCAAAATATTCTATTAGATTGATGAAACTTAGGACTGCTGTCCTCCATATCTCATAGTTCAGTAATATGTCCGCAAATGAGGATGTTTCTGCCTCACAAGCACGAAGCGCCCTATCATCCCGTACTTTGCCCGCAGAGCTACTCCGAGTAGATACAAGGCGATCCGGGAATATGTGCGGGTCATCAGTCACGTGCCTTGGTCAGGTATAGTACATAGCACGGGTCTTCGGCTGGGCTTGTTGTAGACCCTGCCTTAGTCCGGTGAAGATTATCGAGGCCGGAGCAACGGGTGGAATTCAATTAGATAGTATAGTCTTTTCTAGTTTTCAAATTGACCCCAAATCGCAGAACTGTGTGGGACAAAAGAGGATGTCGAGGCCCGAAGGCCATTGCAGCGGCTGACGAAGGCATTCACTTTAGAGCACATGCGATTGTGGTTGCACACTACAACTTGAAGCCGTGGTCGCAACTCGGGCATCTTAAATACTGCAAGGACACGGGGAGTACAGACAACACATAAAAAGGTATAATCTATTAAAAAAACGGGTACCTACAACAGCAAATTCAAAAACGTAGTCTACGAGATCCTTGCTCTTTGAGGCATAACCTTCCATAACCCGCAGGTGGTTTGTGGACTTGCGGTGCCGTGGTACTGAAAAGTATTTCAAGAGCATAAGGGCCTGATCAGAAAATATCGCAACAAACTAGGCACAAACACCACCATGCTTTGATAAAGTTAGACCCTACCCGTATCACCGGGGAGCGTTCGGGAAGGAATGGGGCGCCCTTACACTTATACAGGACTGCCGTTGCACTCGCTGGAGGCAAGAGCTCAATACAGATTAGCTTCAGGCTGAGCGCCGACCCTACAACATTTCAGAAGCCGGTACTCGGATCATTAAAGGACATCCAACAAGATAGACCACACTCAAAAGGTATATTCTTCATAGGGATCGTCATCCTTGCTGCCAAGATTTCCCAAGTTACTATGGCGTAGGGACAAAATGTTTCAGCCTAGCGTCGAAGGATTCCATGGCTGCCGAGATCCGGTGACTTGACATCGTCTGTTGTAGCGTTCGGACGTTGCTGGACTTGGGAGTTTCTATAGGATACGTAGAGCTGATTTTCCAATCGGGTGGTTGACGCGCTTCATGGAAAGGACCCTGGACCCTGAAATTTTGGGGAGAACAGGAACGCCGGATTCGGGGAAGGGACCAGGGTCGAAAATTCATCAGGGGAGATTGATCGCCAAGACGACACGCGGACATGACGTAGGAAACAAGCATTGCAGCGCAACTTGGCTAAAATTATCAACCACTGAAACGCCGCATGCGGAAGCCACAGTTTTCGAAGTCACTTTTAATTGGTGGAGCTGCCCCACCTTAGCTGAGGTAAGCAGCTAAGACTTTGTCAGTCCTTGGCACCCGTTGCTCTTTCTCTCCAGTGTTCCTCGCCCGGTCGCATCCTCCAGCCTTTCAGTCCCTCGCAGCAATCATGCGTCTCTTCGCGTTGGGGGCCTTTATGGCCTCGATAAGCGCAATATCAGCCCTGCAAATCGATCTCAACGACCTTGGTATGCGCCTTCTCCTGCCCCTCATTCCCCGGCAAGCGCCGCATTCTGATGCACATTCCAGACACGATCAAAGACGCCGCATCCAAAACCGCCTACGGGTCGATGCTATGGTATTCCGGCAACGAAACGGGTCAGATTCCGGGATCGTTTCCTGAAAAATGGTGGGAGGGCAGCGCATTGTTTATGAGTCTTATTCTATACTGGCATTATACCGGCGATTCGCAGTACAATGACTTGATCGTTCAGGGGATGCAGTGGCAGGCCGGGAATGGGGATTATATGCCTTCGAACTATAGTAGCTATCTGGTACGTCGCATTGTCTTCGTTGGTTCGATTTCCGTCGGAGCTATACTGACTTGGCAAGGGAAATGACGACCAGTTCTTCTGGGGCTGCGCAGCCATGACCGCCGCCGAAGTGAATTTCCCCGAAGACGACAACGAAAACGCTTACTCGTGGCTCTCGCTCGCCCAAGGAGTCTTCAACTCGCAGATCGCGCGCTGGGATAACCAACACTGTGGCGGTGGCTTGCGCTGGCAACTATACCCGTACCAGGCCGGCTACGTTATGAAGAACTCAATCTCCAATGGCGGTCTCTTCCAGTTGGCTGCGCGCCTCGCTCGCTACACAACGAATGACACGTACGCGGATTGGGCGACAAAGATCTGGGACTGGTCTGCTTCTTCGCCGCTGCTGGATACCAAGACCTGGAACGTTGCTGATTCGACGGATCTCAACGATAACTGCACCACGCAAGGAAATAACCAGTGGTCGTACAATTATGGAACGTACTTGATTGGCGCAGCCTACATGTACAACTACGTTAGTTCCCTATCTCTACCGTCTTCGCGCATCCACTAACACTAGCTGTCGCAGACCGAAAAAGCCGAATGGAAAACCGCTGTCGACGGCCTCCTCGGCAAACTCCTCGACACCTTCTTCCCAGACCAGTACGGCGGCGGCAAGGTCTTCGCCGAGTTCCTCTGCGAAGCCAAAGAACTCTGCAACTACAACGAGATCCTCTTCAAGGGAATCGTATCCTCATGGCTGACCTTTGTCTCCCTCATTGTTCCCGAGACATACGACCAGATATACCCAAAGCTCCAGACATCCGCACAAGCCGCCGCGCTCTCCTGCAGCGGAATGGACAACAACACGTGCGGTGTGCGCTGGTACGAATCGAAATGGGACGGCTGGGTCGGGATGGAAGAACAGATCATCGCAACGGACATCCTCTCGTCCGTACTCGTTTCCGAGAAGAAGGTCGCGCCGCTAAGTTCGACGACGGGCGGGAACAGCACGAGTAACCCGAACGCTGGGACCAGCACGGGCAGCAATGATAATAACAGTGAGAAACCGATTACGGCGGGGGATAAAGCTGGCGCGGCGATTCTTACGGTCACGTTTGTGACGCTTTGGGGTGGCCTTATGGCGTGGATGGTGCTTGGTGGGCCGATGTGATCTTTCGTACTTTCTGCGCTCCGTATTGTATTTGGGTTCAGCCGTGTATATCCCGTGCTTTTCGAGGAGTCTGGTGTCACTTGTTATTATGAATGTTCATATGGTTTTAGCTAATATGAATACAGCATTGTGTCTACGAATGTTGACTGCCGAGAGTGAGATGGGTATTTTCCGGCAAGCTGATGCCGGCGGATACAGGGTCCTCCGACAATGCCCACAATGGAGACCGCAGCGGCCTCTCTTGAGCATGGAGAATACATGGAATACTATAAGAACATAACTAGGTATCATAGAATCTCAAAAATCCATCAACGAACTGAAAAAGCAAAACTCGCCCTTTTTAGCCTCCCTTGCCCCCGCTGCTGCCGGCACGACCACCTCTTCCACCTCCACCCTCAAGCATAACTAACCCCCTTCGCCCCGCGTCCCCTAACAAAGAAACTATACGCAACAATCCCAATGCAAGTCACACAGGTAATAAACATAAACGCGCTATCAGCCTTGGCCGAGACACAGCGGCTTTTCAATTTCCCAGTCCCCGATCGTGCCGTGTACCGACAGTACAAGTCTCCGTCATGTTTCATGCAGCCGCCGTTCAGAAGACTGTTGTGTTCGATCACGCTGGGGTTTGAGCAGGGGGCGTCGCGGAGGAGGACGGCGAAGGCCTAGAGGAGAGTATGGGGTTAGCTTTGTTGAGTGAGGAGGTATGTGGTTCTGGGTCTGGTTGTGAGAGAGAGGGATGGCGGGTGGGAGAAGAGAAAACATCTGTTGGCACGCACAATCCCCGCGGCGAGCATCGTCAACGACGAGAGGCCGTCTAGAGCCCAGGTGACTATTCCCTCCAGCGACGAGACGAAGAGCGAGGCGACTCCAATGAATGCGGCGAGGGTCCCGAAGGCACCGCAAAAGGCTGCGTAGCCCGTTGCAGCGGGGACGGACTCGAGGGCCGTTTCTTGACCGCGCGCAAGGTCGACGGAGATACCGAGGACGATGACCGCGAAAATGGCCTGTGGACGCTTGGTTGTTAGCTGGTTTAGAAGGGAAAGGGAGGAGGATCTGACTTGGAAGCCGCGAAGGATCGCGGAGATGAGCTGCATTGTGTGGCTAGAGTTGATGTGAAAGTATTCTGGTTTAGTCTTTCTGCGACTTTAGGACTCGGACTCGATAGGAGAAGAAGAAAAAGGGCCGGGAATCCAACGGGTCTTTAATAAATGGCCGCAGGGCAGATGGCACCTTGGGAGCGCGTATCCTGGAAGATCTCGTCCCTTTGTTTCATCTCCAAACGGGAGATGCAGGGGTTCCTGCGGCGCAGTCGCTCTGTTGGGCAGGCCTGGGTTTTCAAGCAATCAAGAAGCGCCAAGAGGGGCCAAAAATACATTGTGGATGGTGGTGACTCGACGATGGCCCAGTGGCTGAGCATCGGAATGAATAGGGTGCGGCGTTGCAGCGCTAAGTCTGGGGGCGCTTAATGAATGGCCAAGGAGCCTCACGCTTGTCAACTTGGCGAGCAAGGATCATTGGAAGATTCACCTGTGGCCTGGCGATCTTCGGCTGTCTGGGTATAAGATGTTGGCGAAGCGCTGCCAAGGATGGCGTTGGAGCACAGACCAGATGTTGGATCAACAGAAATTATGAGGCAGTGTTGTTCCTTCATCTTGTGTCACAGCCTGCCCGCTGATCTGAAACTGGCGACTCGAGTGGTTATGTTTCGCCATCTGCTGTTTAACGCCCGGTTTGCCCTCGATTTTGGCAGAGTTGGCACGTTGCACAACACAAAGCGGAGTACTTTTGGGAGTGAGCTATGCTTTTGCCGATAAGGTTGTACATAGGAACACGGTGCCAGAGTTGGATTGAATTCTCCCAGGTATTGAGCCCGACTGTGCCACGAATCGTCCCTCCTGTTGGACCCTGAGCCTTTCCATGTGACGGATGCGACAACCACGGACAATGGCAATCGGGGCCTCTCGGGCAGCTACTCGACCGGGGAATTGATGGAAAATAGTCGAACATGAACCATCAAAAGTTAGCGCACGGTTTGTTATGTCATGGCAAGACGCCGACGATATCCAATGCTAGTCCACAGATGAGGTTCGCCGTCCTTTTTGGCGCTCAAAGCTGCGTGCTGAATTGATTCCTCAGTCTGCCAGATGATAGGTAGGAGTTCGCTTCTCACAACTTGTCCGCCGCCCGGCTTTTTTTCGGCGAATTTCTATCACCAAGAAGCAGCTAACTTAGGACACCTGGCGTGCAGCTCCTGCGGTGAATACCCGCTCAGCCGACGAGAACTGACGAATATGTGTCGTCCCCTGAGTTCAGATTGAGAGGATGAAAGCGCTGATAAGTCCGCATCTCGCACGCCTATCGAGACCATGAGTGATCCATGCTTGTCTTCTCCCTGGAGGTGGGCGACTGCCATTTTCGTTATGAGGCTTCAACCTGAGGAAGCGCTGAGGGAAGGGAAGGGAAGGGCAAGGGTGGCCTGATCATTGCCTGTAGATGCCCATTCGAAACTCAGCATCGTCCAACCGTGACCGACTCTGCGAGGTACCCGGGGAATTGTTGCTCGACGGTTCATCGAGGAGTGACTTGACTCTCGGCATTCCCTCGCGCAATGTATACGGAAGGTGCCGAGATATCCAGGTATGGTCCCTGTGATCAGGCCGCCCTTCCCGCCTATTCCGATCCACAACGTGCAGGGATCGTCTTCGGACCAGACCGAGTATCCAATTTCGCATTCCATGGCGTAATCGGACAGTCACGAGCCACTGGAAATTTGCGGTTTCACGAAGGACGGACAATAGCGATGTGGAAGGGGGCCTATGATATGCTGACTCAAGGTGGGATTCGCCCTTCGCGGCCCCATGGCACGGATTTTCCACGCTTGGCTCTTGTATACTTGATTCGGAGGACTGATAGAGGGACACGGACGACAATTCAGCCTGTAGGAGTCCAAAGATGCTCTAAAAGATACCTAGATTGGATCCTTGCCATTGAGATGGGCAATGTCATGATCGCATTGGGTTTCGAGATCATCCTGACCTAGACGGTGGATATACACCCGGCAGGTCCGTCGATCGGCCGCAAATGTGAGAGAGCTGGGCTATGCTCCAATCAGTGATTCCGAGGACGGCCAATTACATCCATGCGTATGGTTGGACATCGAATCACCGAGAAACGTGTGTCTTCTCCACGCAGGACTCCAATTCGACTCACAGGTGTTCCCAGACAGTGCGATCACCTCTGGTCTTCGAGGACCTAGACCGCGCGTACGAGGGAATTTGTCCTAGAGATACTGTTGAGTATCAGTTCGATGGAACCGGATGCCCGAAAAATCCGTGAATTCAAAGGCGCCTGCAAGATGTCCTCTCGCCGCAGCAGCAGCCAAGGGATCGAGTTTATGAGCCACTGCCACTGGCAACATTTTTCGTGGTAGCGAGACTAAACAGACGTAAAAGATCTTCGTCTACCATATCGATGAAGAGAATATGATCCGGGAGGTTTTGGATCCCAAGATGTGGTAAGGAGGAACCTTGAGTCAGGTAGGGCACTGGAAGGAGCACATCCAGTTGAGTCTCCCGGAAAATGGCACCACAATCCTGTGGGAATGTAGCGCAGCAGAGAACGAATACTTGCTGAAGTCTAGTCTGTGCCCCGTCAGCAACAAGCCACTGACTTCTTTCCTTGGGTGCCTGACACTAACGTTATCCAACGGGAAACGCAAAGGGCTGAGGTGAGAAGGAACAAGTCCTACACTCCAGAGGATTGCTCAATATTAGAATCGAATTCAAACATGTACCGCCTAACACGCGTTCACCAATGAAACCTCGGGACGAAAAACGATGCTGCCCTATTTTGAGTGGTTAATTTGGAGATCCACCTGGGTGATCCATATTCCTATCCCGTACTGATGGAGCCCTGGGCACCCTCGTTGATTAACTCTAATATGGTTGTTCATCATTGAATTGTGGCCTTCTTGTCGGGCCTCTGATTGTATTTCCACACCGACCGGCCCACCATGTCCGCAGAGATTGCGGAGATCTGCCAGTGGGTCGGGGTCAGAACTCAGAAGGTAATCTGGTTTAGAGAACTGGGTACTTGATGATCTGCCCGATGCTGTTTTTCGAGTTCTTCAGTTGGAGGAATCCTCAACATGTCCCGACAGTCTCGATTTAGGCCCGCCGCTTGAATGGTACCATCCAGGTGATAGCGAAAGTGGACACCCAGCAGGAGAAATAAGAAATGGAGGCATTTCCGGGACTCTCGCAACGCTGTGAATCAGGCTCAGCTGAGCTGCGGCTTCGGCATCGGCCGGGGCTCCACACTCATCAAGGATCAAGGCGCGCGGAGTATCCGGAGTCAGGCGTGCCACGTTTAGTTCTTACGGGGATTGTTGGCCCCCGGAATAACCGGAATTTTATCGTAAATTCAAGCGACGACTCGCTTGCTCGATTTGGATTCCCTATCCGCCTATTAAGCCGTGGTCTAGAACCCCCTGAATCATGATGAGGATGAGCTACATCGGCATGAGGCGGATCTAACTGCAAGAGAGCTGGCCTTGCGAGTGAGTCAATCAAATCCACTGGAAATGAAGCAAAAGTGCAGATTCCACAATGGAATGAATCATGGAGTGATCCTTCACACGTGTTTTAAAGGACGAGGCCTTCGAGCCTTCGACTAAACCACTGGAGATCATTTCGGGTCTAGTTGCTAGTTTGTGGTCTCATTGGGGGCCGAATCCAGGGCTGAAACTGGAGCAGATTGACTGAATCAGGAATGGGCAGGCACCCACGAACAAGCCACCTTGGCGATTTAAGACGCTGCTTATCCCTGCCAGGATCATCAGCCTGTTATCCATGATTCTGCACATTGAAGCGAACCGTCCATTCGCAACAATGCATGTTCCCACAGCGTCAGCCGTCACTCGTGTTCGGGCGTCGGGGAAGAGATCGCGCACGGGGTGTCGCACTTGCCGGTATGTCCCTCCCCACTGCTGACCCCAGATTTTGTCCTCTTTCCCCCCTTTGATCGACGGTGCATTGCTGACAGGCGCTTAGTGCCCGTCACGTCAAATGCGACGAAACCCCAGTCGCGTGCCACAACTGTACGTCTACAGGCCGCAAATGCGACGGCTACGACGCCCAACGGCTCCCCCGCGACCGTAAAAAGGGCGCCGACAAGACAGGACCAGCACTAGCTCTACAGGCCGACGTCGGCCGAACAATCGCCTGGGTAATGACCTCGGACGAGCGGCAGTGCTTCGCCTACTTTCATGGGCACACAATTCCAACACTGCTCCAATTCTTCGACTCGACGCTGTGGCAGAAACACGTGCTCCAGCTTGCTCGGTACGAGCCAGCAGTCTATCACGCCATCGTCGCCCTTAGCGCGATCCACCACAACTCCGCGACCAACGGGATGCAGCTGGCTACGCCCGCGAGTATTCGCGCCGACGACGCGTGGCATCAGTTTGCGCAAGACCAGCTGGGGAGGTCCGTTGCGCTGTTGAACCAGCGATGTACCTCGCAAGACCCGTCGCTTCGCGAGGTGATTCTCGTCTGCTGTCTGCTGTTTATCCTGGCGGATTTGTTGCGTGGAAAATATGATGATGCGTTCCAACACCTCCGTGGAGGGCTCTGCATCCTCAAAGAGCTTCAAGCTGCCGGGAATGCATCGAATGCATTTGTCCTCGTTGAGGAATCCGTCGTCGCGGCTTTTGGCCATCTCGACATTCTGGCTTCGCACTACGATCGCATCTTCCCCATCCTCTGTCCGTATACTCAACGAAGCTTTATGCAACATCTTCCTTGTAGTGACCGATATTCAGCCACACAATTCCACACCCTCCGCGAAGTCCGCGCCGCCTTTGATGTGATGTTACGGAAAACCTATCGCTTCTGCTCACGGTGTCTGGGCATTTCGCAAGAAGAGATTTCGCAAAACTATGAAACTCTCCAGTCAGAACAGCATGCCGTCTGGTCCGAGGTTGAAGAGTTCAAGCAACAGTTCGATCCCTTCTATGCAACGTACTACGACTACCTGACGCCCAAGGAGCAGCGAGGCCTCGAGATCATCAAGATCCACCTGCTGAGTATCCCCGTCGGCCTGAAAAGCCTGCTCCTCGGTAAGAACCGCGCGGCTCTCACCTACTACACCCCCGATCTCGAGACTGTCTGTACAATGGTCGAGGAGATCATGGCGCGATTTACTGAAAGGCCATCCATGACGATGGAGAACGGTGTTATTCCTCCGCTCTTCCATTGCGCCACGCTCACTCCAGACTACAGCATCCGATGGTGGGCTCTAGAGTTACTCCGTTCCTGGCCGCACCGCGAGGGCCCCTTTGACTCGAACTGGATAGCATATCTCTCCGAAGAAGGGTTCCGACTTGAGCTGGAACACCGATGCGCGAATGAGCCCGGATTCCGGGAAACGGTGTTCCTGCTCAGAGGTGAGGAGTTATCGGTCGACGAAATGATTTTCAGACTGGGTCGCAGTCAACGACGGCAGTTGCATGGGTTACGGAGGGGAGGAGGAGAAGGGGGAGGAGGAGAAGAGTGGTCGACAGAGGCACCCGGGAGGGACTTTTTAGAGACGTTTGCCGAGTTTGAGAATATGAGGGAGTGGTCATGTGTGCGTGCTTTGATGGAATTTTGTCGGTCGTCGAGGAAGGCACCGGGGGAATGTTTATTATGAGATTCATACTTCTTAATGACTGTGCATAGACTGTGAATAGCTTCAATGTCTGCCGGGCTGGATACAATGCTGATCCCGACTCCTTGGCAGGCTCCAACTGTTGCCTTGATTCTTGATTCTAATTTAGCATCTTGGTCGCTGAGTTGGTCGTTATCAATATATATGTTGTCCCACCGGCATGGACTAGAAACCTAAGCTATATATCAAGAACGTTGTTGGGCGATGGGGCAATTCGGTTTCTGGCCTCGAAAATAAAACTTGCAGGACTAACCTCTTGGAGGTAGAATGTGATGTGCAGCGGAGCTGGCCTTGTATAATAGGCGCCCCTAATACTTCGACTTACTTGCAGTAATATCATAGACTCGTGAGCGGGGTCCTCGACTGTGAAGTCTCAACATATAGGCGAAGCCTGGAAAAAGACTTAAGAATTTCGGATCCAAGGCGGTGCTGCCAGAAAATTATAGATATTATTCCCACGTTTTTGCATCCCTACTCAGGCGAGTATGGGGTTCATGGTGGGATATTCCCTGCGCTTATTGCATTGATGTATCTTGAGGAGGTTGATGGGCATCTGGACTCGAGTGAGGCGTGTGCTATTTTTGCATTGTTTGACAAATGTAGCAGAGGGCGGAAGATCTGGCATTTTGTCAATAATATGCGGCGGCGACTCAAGGCTGGAGGAGCGAGGTTGTTTGAGCTGGTATACAGCTGAGAGGATAGCCTTTGCAGCCAAAGTAGAAGCTCGATCTAAATGTGTGCCAAGGGTCAGAGTTAAGATTTGACCACAATGCGGAAGCATGGTCTCTAAACGTGTAAACAATCTTGATCAAAATATGTTATATGCTCTAACTGGGTGGCCTCAACAGATACATGAGTATACCAGAAAAGATAATCTATAGATGCCCACAAGCGTTGTTCAAGGAAAACCCGGTCTTGGACTTATTATTTACGTCAGAATTAAGAGGTGTCCTGCCTAGGGAGACACATCTGTAACCAGGGAACAGCCGCAAAATGCGCGCAAGAACCATAAGTCAGACTGCATTAGCACAATCAGTGAATCTGAAACGTGGTTTCGCCTCTGGGTGCCTGGACTCAACGCGTATTTTGATTTCGAGGGGAGGATGACAACGCACCTTGGGAGGGTTTTCCTATTAACATGGACCTGTCAGAAGGCCCTCGTGGCGGTTCTCGGTAAAATAAAGCAGAAATGGGCTAGCCTATAAGCGAGATACTGTTCTTTGCTAAAATGATACTATTGAGGGAAACGAGAGAGATGCGGGGCTGTGAAGGGGCCAGCTCGGATATTCCGAGGTGAGAATCCTAATTCCGGAAGCGACAGGTTTTGGGATGGAATCTAGGACGACTCAAATTGAAATCATCTCGCTTGGAAAGCATTGCCGCCATTGGTTCATCTGGCGACCACATGCCGACTGAGCTCGCTTTAGTACCCCGGAAGATGTCTCCACTGTGTGCAGTGCCATACGTGGAGCCGATGAGCGCAGAAAAGGGAATGGTCAAGCGTCCTCGGGCGCCTTTTAAGAATACGGGGACTCGGTGGACTACTCTCTCATTCGGCGGTTGTGAGGGAAGTTTCGACCACTGCTTACTGGTTCCCAGAAGCGGAGCTTTCAAGTCCCAAGATAGGGAGAATGGAACTAGTGAGGACAAGCAGTGTTATTCTCTTGTATGCCAAATGATGCATGGTGGAGGATGACAGGCCTCACTTACTGTAATCGAGTTCAAGGGCCTTCCCAATTGTCGCTGGTGGCACCATGTTCGGCAAGAGATGTCAAGTACCCTCGCCATTGCCCAACTCCCCAGCGCAAGGGATTGACCATCTGATAAATCCACTCAAAGACCAGTCCTTGAAATAATGAAGCTGGGTGGGCGTGGGCCCGAAAAACAAACTTTGCACTAGTACATAAGTGGGCTGGGTCAACTTGGAGGTCTCTCCAGGTCAGGGGATAAGAGTACCTACCAAGTAAGGCAATGCGGGGGGGTACGGCTGCGCGGCACATACTCAACAGCAATTGCCGTTCATCATCCCGGGGTCTTGAATATGAATACTTCGAGGTGGACACAATGCAGGATAAAAGGCGGGAACCTCCCCCGCATGCAAGTGGACCAAGTGCATAGTGGGAAATCACCTCCAAGATGCTGCGTTATCTGGCCTCGCTGGCTGTGTTTTCAGCCTGGTTTGTGCCCTTCGTTAGTGCTTCGTCACCTCAAGGGACCTGCCCTCCACATGGACACCCACGACCGAAACAACCAAACTTCGTCTTCATCATGACCGACGACCAGGATCTGCATTTAAACTCGTTGGACTATATGCCCAACGTGCAACGGCTCATAGCAGACGAGGGCACTGTCTTTGAAAAGCATTTCTGTACTATTGCCGTCTGCTGCCCGTCACGCGTGAGCCTAATGACAGGCAAATTGGCGCACAACACCAATGTAACCGATGTGATGCCCCCATACGGTACGGGTCGCATTCCTCCTTCCCGTGGCTGTACTGACACTGACCTTGCGGAAAAAGGAGGATATCCCAAATTTGTCCAGGAGGGCCACAACGAAAACTACCTCCCAGTATGGCTGCAGCAGGCAGGGTACAACACCTATTATACCGGCAAATTCCTCAATGCTCATTCCCCGACCAACTACAATAAGCCGTTTCCTAAAGGATGGAATGGAACAGACTGTTAGTGAATCTCGCACAGCTTACGGGGCAGCCTGCCAGGTGGACGATATAAACTAACCGACACTTGGCCGCGTTAGTTCTGCTAGACCCAACGACCTACAGCTACTGGAACTCGACCTTTCAGCGAAACCAGGAGCCACCGGCCAGGTCCAACGGGTACTCAACTGATCTTATTGCCCAGCGCGCCCTTGGATTCATTGAAGAAGCGAGGGGATCCGATCGCCCGTTCTTCATCGGTGTAGCGCCCATCGCCCCGCACGCAAAGACCGCCCCCGATTACAGCGGGGAGATTCCCTATTTCATTAGCCCTGACCCAGCGCAGCGACACGAGGACAAGTTTCCAACTGCCAAGGCTCCGCGCGGTGCAAATTTCAACCCCGACAGCGTAAGACAGACTATCCCCTGATCTACACTTGTTGACATGGAGACAAACGTGGCTAACGCAAACCAGCCCAGCGGCGCAAGCTGGGTCCAGGATCTGCCCAGACTCAACGCCAGCCAGCTAGAATACATGGACTCATACTACCGCGCACGCTTGCAGTCCCTCCAAGCGGTCGATGAACTCGTCGAGGGCGTGGTCTCGCAACTCGAGAAATATAATATGCTAGAGAATACCTACATCTTCTATACTTCCGACAACGGATACCACATCGGGCAGCATCGAATGGTCCCCGGCAAGGGGTGCCCCTACGAAGAAGATGTGAATATCCCCATGATTGTCCGCGGACCCCATGTGCCTCGGGGGAAAAAGGTTGATTTGGTCACGTCCCATACGGATGTCGTACCGACTCTGTTTGATCTCGCGGGCATTGAGCTAAGAGAGGACTTTGATGGGCTGCCAATGCCTTTGACACCCGGTGGGCTGGCGCATGCCCGCAGCGATCACCGGCGCGAACATGTTTCTGTTGAATACTGGGGGTCAAACTTGGGGGAAGGTGAGGTAGGGGTGGATCTAGATGCAGGGACCCCAGGTAAGTCATGTCTGGAGTCGATAGCGTCGGTCCGTGAGGTTAACATGCAGTTCGATCACAGTCGTTTGGGGAAATAACACCTACAAAGCCATGCGTATCATCAGTGACAGATATGATCTGTTCTACTCCGTCTGGTGCACAAACGAGCATGAGCTCTATGATCACAAGGTCAGCCCTTCACCCCCCTCCCCGACTCTCACCCTCTCACGTACACGTCCAGGAGGAGTGTGCTGATACTATCAAAGACCGATCCGTACCAAATGAACAACCTCTTTGGCAAGCCCAATGTAAACCTGTACGGCCACAGCCTTGACAAGGTGGTATCCCGCCTCGACGCTCTCCTACTCGTCCTTAAATCCTGCAAGGGCGCGGAATGTACGCTTCCCTGGATCACACTCCACCCAGATAGAAAGGTCACCACACTGCTCGAAGCACTCGACCCGAAATACGACGCGTTCTATGCTGGCCAGCCTGATATCAGCTTTGCAGCTTGTGAGGCGGGGTATCTACCCCAGTTTGAAGGGCCGCAGGAGGGGTATGCGTACCGGCGTCCTGGGGATTGGAGTATCTGGGCTTGAAGGGAGGTATTGGCTAAGATGTATATAGCTACGTTGGAGAGAAGATATAAGCCTCGACTTCCAGCTATTCTACTGAGAGGGTTCTCACATGTGCACGCAGTACATGGGCTGAAAGTTGTTTTTTTTTCTGAAATACTTGCCACTGCGATGTTCAACATCTCTCAACATAAGTTAGGTGGAGGAGATGGCAACTGGGGCCAGTTATGGAAGGGTCTACAGGTCCCTTACAGGTCCCTCACAGGAAAGATGATTGGCTTTGCCACCTGTGTATAAGCTTCTACATTAAAGTCCTATTTATACCTGGCCCTCGCAGAAGTCACAGATGCGATATAATGATGGTAGAAAAAGGGCCCCTAATGAAAACCAGAATGTTAGGTAAGAAGACCTATCCACTGCTTTGCTTATGGGCCGTCACAAATACCTGTATAAAAGTAATATGCATAATGAAGAACCTCTTTAGTAGTGTCTAATCTCTCGTAAAGACAGACCTACGTATCTCGTTTATTAGTTTTTCCTTAACTAGTATAACTGTGAATGACCCGATCCCCTGCGTTAGGGGACACGTTTGAAACCAAGTAGCCGCCGGCTGTGCGCAGGAAGGACCAGTGGGTTTACTTACACACACCGACAGATCCTACCATGGCCGTCATGCCACGTATATTACCCCCAACCATGAACAAAGATGGATTTCAAGCCGAGACTTGGCTAATATAGGTAATATGACTACGCCTAGAATTAACGTTAAAGGAACCTAGTAATACATTGCATTCCGACTAAGTAGTAGCTAACAACTTTTGATTTCGCATCGGCCAATGGCACGCCAATCATACCTCACCTCTTGGGTACGCTTGATGAACCAGCAACAGTAGTGCCCTGCGGCTCTTGATAGAGTTTTGTTGACAGGCTCTCATGATCTTCATAATTCACAGTCTTACCGTCCGGGGCCGCAACAACCATCATTTTCTTCCCGGTAACGACCAACACATCGTCCTCCGGTATGAATTTGCTGTTAGGCCCCGTGAACTTCCATTCTGTCTCGGCGCCTTGAGGCCTGACGAACCCCTCTAGTGATTTCGGCCGCCATTTGTCAAGCTGGTCGTTGCGCTTCCGCACCATTGGATGGAAGGTCTCACAGGTCTTAGAAGCGCTTATTTCCTCGTTCTGTCCGTTCCCGGCAGGATCCTTGTATTTACCTGGGGTGCGGTCCCTCTTCCCAAGGATTCCCAATAGACCCCCGCTACTATCAATTGGCCAGCAGCCCCAGGGGACTCCACTCATACTACCGCGGACACTGTTGTATTCCGCCACGAAGTTGTCGATTGTGCTCTTCTCAAAGGTAAGCATGTCCTCGAGATTGTCGACCTGGCCCAATCAGCTACCACGAGGAGTAGTCGAAAGAAAGAAAACTCACCATCCATGCAAAGGTGTTCGCACCAATTGGCTCTTCCTTGGAGCCACCGATATTCCCATGGATTCCGGGAAACCAGCATTGGCGCAGAGCTTTGCTGGGTCCACCACCATCAGGCTTAAACCAGAGGGCGGGAGGGAAGGAGAGTCGCCTTTCATCAAGGGCGAGAGCTTGAAAGGCGTATTCGATGTCTTGTTTGAATGCCAATTAGCTGCGGTTCAGCTCATCCAGTGTCCGAGATTCTTGGATATACTCACTCTCCGACAACCTTGTGTTGTGAAATTCGTACGCCTTGTTGATTGGAATGCCGACTCCTCTTAGAAGCCTCACTATGAACCACTCGGGAATTCCCTTGAAAACGTTGGTGTCAGCTGGAAAGGCTGACATATGCCAGGGTGCATAGAAGAGAGTACGTACTAGTGCTCCGACAGTGTCCCAAACTCCAACTACCTTGATAGGGACTTTCTCCTTTTGCAATTCATCCCCGTGCTCCTTGTACCAGCCTGTGTCCTTGAAGGGCGTTCCGCTGCGGTAGGCTGCCCAAAGACCTGGAAAATTCGACATTTGGTCTGCAGAAAGCACTCCCACATCGCTGACGAGGCCAGCAACGGAGCGCACGGTGAACGCGCCTCTCGAGAAGCCGAAGAAGAACAGCTCATCCCCCTCGTCGTAATTATTGGATATGAAATCATACATCTGACACACATTGTCGTCAAGACCCCAGCCGAAGCCCCCTAGAGATGGAAATGGAAAAGAAGGTTAAAGAAGGTTATCGACTTGACGCCTCGAGGAACTGTAAAGGGGAGTGGAGGAGTCAAATTACCAGCGAGATATCTCTGCAATGGCCAAGGGCCGCTTCCAAGGCCTGATTGATAAAACACAACCTGCTTCAGCTCTGTTTCGCTTCCAGTCTCGGGGTCTCTCTCGCGCCCTGTTGTTGCGATCGCTCGAGCGAGCTTGGCGACATTTGATGGATACGACTTGTCCCCCCGGTCAGATGCGATCCACGTTCCGTCTGCACAGAGGATGATTCGCTTGTTGTTTGCCCATTTTCGGGTTTCAGTCGATGTACTCGACGCGCTCGAGGTACCCGACATAATGCTATGAGTGGCAGGGTCTCCCATTGTAGGAGCTACACGGAAAGCATATATTGGACTGTGGGTAATATGAAGCAGATATTGAGTACGGGCGACGAGGAGTAAACTGCGTTTGATGAATCTTTGCCAGTTTATCACTTCTTCCTTCACAGTGCCAGAAGTAAAGCAGATGTCCATGGTATATGTAGCTGTTTCCAGCTCGAACATTCTGCATAGTTGTTGTGTCATAGACATATTACACATGGGACTACTTGTCACATGTACCATACTGTTTTCAGGAAGGGGATTCAATGAACGAGGTGAGTCGCGGAAATACCATGGTTGACTGTAGATCGTAATAGAGATCTGGTACATCGAACGCCAGCCGTCATTGGTAGAACCTGTAGGTTGACAGAATCCGGAATTCTAGAACCAGGCGAGGCTTGGATTAGGCAGAGGGTTAGAGCCGATAAGGTGTGGATTAACCTTCGTACCAAGATTCGCATATTGATCCTTGCATTGATATATGGTATCATAGACAATGCTAGAATGATGATGTTGGAATGCAGTGGTATGATCTACCTTCGGACCGTGGATGCAATAAATTTGAACCGTGGGTATGATCAGTATCCGGTGATAAGGACTTTATGATTATAAGCAGATACTGGTACACCTTAAAGCATGCTGCCGGGATATTGATGATGCTACTAGCTATGTGATCACTGTCCTAAGTTACAGCCAATTATGTACTTTAGGGATATCCCTTCCTGTCCGCACCATTGTATTCATTAATCTCAAGTTAACCTGTCGACTACGGACAATAATGAGGACCAATCTGGAGCTGAATCTAATGCCAAGAAATTCTAAATCCTACTGCCACAATGTTCCTTGGAATCGATTGTGCGATGAAAACTCGGGCCCACCCGACAACCCCTAACTGAAAAAAAAAAAATTGAAATGAAGCCCAACGCGGGGGTTGAACCCGCAACCTTGAGATTAAGAGTCTCACGCTCTGCCGATTGAGCTAGCCGGGCTGCTATTATGAAAGGCGAGGTTGCAGAGTGCACTACAAGGAAGCGCATCCCTTTTGCCCTGTTCCGAAAGAAACTGACCAGACCAGTCAGTGACTTGGCATGATACGCTGTATTCCTTGGACCATAGAAGGAAATGACGAGCTAGGTTGTTTAACAAGGCCATATCAACCGATGAACAAATACTAATAATTATACCATAGAATTAAGAACCGAAGCACCAAAGTGGGCGTACACGCACATCTCCAAATCAGAAACCGAAAATATATAATATAAATCATACCAAAGGCACAAGGAGCTGGAGACATGCAACAAACTCAACCATTACTAGGGGCATCATCCACCCGATTCATCAAAGTAACAGATTCAGAACCTCCAACAGCAGATTCTTTGCTTGTTTCACTGGCGGGATTGGAAGACCCATCAACTCAGCAACAGCAATCTGCGCAGTGTGGACTCTGTAGTCGATTTCCAGAGTCGTGTCCCCGGGGATTTCGACAAACTGGCCGACACAGGCGATATTTGTCGTCCATTTGGGAATGACCGGTGGGCGGTCGCCCGATCCGCGTGTTAGGAAAGGCGCTGTGCCCAGCGGGAGGCCGCAGGGGATGGTTGTCGCTGCAGCAAGAATGGAGGCCCCCTCATCAGAATCTTCAGCGCAGCCAAGGTGTGCCAGGACCTCTTTCAAAATCTCCTGTCCGCTGCACCGCCACATTTCCTTCTTGACGAAGTTGCCTTCTGCAGCCGGGTTTAGAGCATACCCGAGCATGACAGTGGCATTGTCTGATTGCGTGGAGAACACGGGTTGGTGCGGTACGCTGATCGTCACTCCCCAGTTGCTGTCGCTGAGAGAGAGGAAACCGCCCGTTCCTAGGCTGTCTCGTGTAGTTCGCTCGTAGAGGGCGTTAAATTTGGGACCTTTGAACGTTGTTGTAAAAGTTTCAATGGTGGCCTCGAGAATCCTCGGTAGGAAGTTCATCGGATTACCAAACTTGGTGGACTTCTGGGAGAGCTTCTCCCAGAGCATCCAGTCACCGTCCATAACGTCTTCCCAATTGGCTGTGAGACCATCTGGTGGCGTAGAATCAGACCCAAGGGCGGCTCCCGAACCGGTCGAGCCAAGAGAAACGATGAGAATATCGACCGGGTCCAGAGTGATAAGTTCGTGAGCTCCAGCTTCTGTCACAACTTCAATCTGGGACACCGTCGTCGGACCACCCTCGGGATAGGCCTTAAGATCTGTGACCTGCTGGTGGAAGCGGAAGTCGACGCCTTGGGCCTTGAGGAATGCTGTAAGGGGTTCGATCACCGACTCAACGAGGTTGTAGTCAGTCCGTTGCGCTTCCCGTATTCTGTTGAGAGATCTGAGATCGCCGAGGTATTTGCGCAGGTGGCGTTGGAACTCAATCGCACTATGTCCAGGCTTCAGGCCAAACCTGACGGTGTCCGAAGTTAGAAAAGGCATCTCGGATGAATGAAGCTGGTTGGATTTGTGTGTTTGCAAACTCACGTCGTAGACCAAAGCATCCAGAATTCCGTCTCGAAAAATCCGGAATCGAAGATATCCTTAACGCTCTTACTGGCAATCGCGCTCTTGTGCTCGAGCATGAACCCGATAAGCACCATCCGCTGGTTCAGCCCAAGATGAACGCCAGCATGATGGGACACCTCAGGTCCCGACGCACCAGCCGTAACGAACCTTGCGAGGGGAGCATGGGCTTTGGCGCCGGAAGTGAAAAGCCTGTCCAGGATGCTGGCCGGGAAATGATGGCTTGCTTCGTGGTGCTCCTCAACTTTCTGCTGCCCCGGAGAGCGCCTCTCGCTATCCCGATCGTGGACAGTCTCGTGGATGGTCTTTTCGGGATTATTCACGCTCGGAAGTAGCGACAGGAGCTTTTCGACACAGGCGCCGTGAAAGTGCGGGGTGCATTCAAAGGGTAGAAAGTAGCCGGATTCTTCGTCTCCCAGCATCCGCATCCCGCCGCCGCTGCCTTGGTGGGTATCGATTATGTGGATACTCGGGCCAGGGACTTTGGCGTCCTTGATCAGGTGTAGGGCTGCGGCGAGTGAGGAGATACCGCTCCCCACCAGCCAAGCCTGGGTATTGTTAGGGTCACGGGTCTGCATTTTGAATGATGATTGTATGTTGCGGTTTCTCGTTGTACGTTGAACGTGGACGACTATGGTAGGATACAATCTCATTTATATAGCCATGTCTTGTCTATTGGGTTTGCACATGCCCGTTACATGTATCGAAGAATAGTAATGTGTGGCCTGATGTCAACCGCATGGTTTTGGGATCATGGCGTCAGGCAGCAATCTGGGGTTTGCGCCCGTGATGCATTGCTTGATGGATGGCTTGATGCTAGATCGTTCCTGCTGTGGCGAATGCGGGGGAAAGCCAAGTTACTGCGGGACATTTCGCTGCGGACAAACTGTATATAGTAGCATAGCCAGAGCATAAAGGTGAAATGGGCTACTATGTTATTCATCCCAGACCTTCCTGACCAGGCATTCCCAACACGCCTCTGTAAAATTCGAAAGAAGAGTTCTTTCTCGGAGTATGTCGTTGTGACGGGGTTCGGCACATATCGCCGATCACAAGCAAATTCACCTCTCGGCCCGAGTCTTTCCTAATCCTCTAGCCCAGGTGATCCTCAGGCCAGTGATGGTGCCACCAAGCATTCAGGGTCTCGTAGAACGAAATAAGGCAGTAAGCGTCATAACTTTGGAGGCAGCCATATATGGACCTTGCCGATCGGAACATTTTCCCGGCCAACGGCGACTGCCTACTGTGGCATTTTAAAATATGAACGAGAGATCCTTGACATCGAGTCGCAACGACTTCCAAATTAGTACATCCATGCGCGTCGCTCGTGCCAGCATCAATCGAAAAGCAATGTTTGATTACTACTGTCATGACGCTTGGCTATATCTAGGCTGTTAACCACCATTGGGTGCCTGATTCCCGCCATAAAGCTCCGTGGCTATTTCTCTCTTCTGATCACATACAAGTATTAAGACCCCGCGTGGCAGAAAAAAAGCCAGTACCCTATTGCACGAGGAAATTAGGATAAGACTAAAATTGCTTTATTCCAACATGAACCTCTTTTAGGCGTCTCACTCTTTTGCAGCCCTAGCATCGGCTTGGGGGGAGACCTATGTGTCTGGGCCAGCGGCAGGAGATTTACAAAGAATACTGCAAGTTGCTTATATTCCTATTGCGCTATCTGTCATCCCGGATAGCCCTCGTAAGCATCGATGTCATGAAAAGCTTCCTGAATTCTCAACTCCATCACTAGGCCGATCGCTTTATCTCGGGAAGATTCGCGGGGGAACGGGGTTTCCGGTCCAGACCGGTGGGTGACGACAGACTTCGCCAAAACTATCGTCGAGGAGTATCGTGGAGAATGCCATTCAGGTACTGCACTCCGATTAAAGTAGAAAGCTCCATGACGATCCGAACGGCGGGCAGCTCAGTCGGCGGCTCAGGAACGATGGTGGTGGCAAATCGTGGGACGTCGTAACAAGTGGAGAAAGTCTAGACCACGCCGCGCCATGTGGCCCACGCTTGTGGAGTTTGACGTTCAGGGACACGCGTGTATCTATTCAAGTTCTAGAAGCTCGGTATACTTGACGTGGAAGTCTATCCCACTTTGTGACCGTCCTGAAGCTGACGCAACGGCCTCGAATATCATCTCCACTGCCATGTATAAAAGGCCTATGCGCTATGCTCATCAATCGCTCTGCATCAACGCATACTTCCTTTGAACATCATATTCTATCTTCTTCTCTATCTTCTCGAGGTTGATCCTCATACATTCATTGTCCTTGTCTGTTGATCAGACCCAACTTTCATTTCATTTCGTCCCGACGCCTAGACTTTGATAAGTCATCTTCACCACGAGATCCATCCACTCCTTCAGTATGATCTTTGCCAAGCTCTCCCTCGCCGCAGCCCTTGCCTTGGGCGCATCTGCTCTCCCGCAAGGCTCCCAGTCCACCACCACCAGCTCTGCAACGCCCAGCAGCAGCAGCACCCCCACCCCTTCCGGAGGAGGCGGCGGCATCACCATCGTGAACAACCTCAACACAACCGTCCACCTCTGGTCCACATCCTCCACCTCAGGCTCCAATGACATGAAATCCCTAACGGCCGGAGGCGGAAGCTCCACTGAGACCTGGCAAACCACCTCCGACGGCGGCTTCTCGATCAAAATGTCCACGACCCAGGACCAGAGCAGTGTGCTGCAGTTCGAGTACACCAACTCGGGCGACGAACTGTACTGGGATCTGTCATCCATTGACCTTGACAAGGACTCGGCGTTTGTCAAGGGCGGGTTTTCGGCCACCGCTGATGATGACAGCTGCGCCGCTCTTACTTGTGCTGCGGGGGATGCCGACTGTGCTGCTTCGTACCAGAAGCCTGATGATAAGAATACCCATAGTTGCTCGTCTACCGCGGCCATCACTCTGACCTTGGGTTGAGGCTGCTGGGGCCCCTTCTTGGAACGAACTCGTTCCCCTGTCCATAGTTTTTGAGGTCCGTGCAACATCATCTTAACCCGCTTGCTGGGGCTTTCCAGGTCCCCTTTCTTTCTTTCTTTCCTTCTTTCCTTTCTTTCTTTCTTTCCTTCTTTCCTTTCTTTCTTTCTTTCTTTCTTTCCTTTTGTGGTTAGACACTTCTGTCAGCTTTTTGTCACGCCCAGTTATAGACATACTTTTATATATAGAGTCATAGAACATACGCAATGAATTCTACTCACAGGCTACACTAGGTTGCAAAAATGGCGCAAACGTTTATTCTCATCCTTTGTTCCCGAAGTCCTAATCAAGATTGCGCTAAACCTCTTTGGGATTATCTTCCCCGAATATTTGTTACCGGCTTCTGTATTATAACCGTAATAGTTAGTTAATGAACTGATTGACCTGACTCAGCGCTGTTTTCATGAGTCTTCTCCTCTGATAGGATACAAGGACATTTCTTGCCACATGGGCATTTCTTCCAAATCCACCCACGATCCTCTCGGAGAATCACATCAAACATCCTCAGAGCCCACACAGATGGCTCCCAATCTCGACCCTCTAAACTGGAGTTCACCCATGACATGATCCTAGGGAATGAACCCGCCCCTTACCTTACATATACTCTCAGCAGAGCAGAAAAGCATAAAGCATAAATTCACTAAGCTAACATATCCTCGTTGCATTGAGAGGTTGGAAATCACAAGAAATACGTAATTCGGATTTCCTTGAATCAATCAAGAATCCCAGCCGTTGATATAAGAGAAACCCTGCCAGACGCATGACCGAGACCAAGAAGTCCATTGTTTAGGGCAAAACACACCGGACGATATGCCGGTGGTAGCCAAAGGATTTTCCTCCTCTGAAGACAAAGCCATTGATCACGCAATACAGATATACCAGCACCGGCTTTGAACCACACCCATCCAGAATGACCCGCTAGTGTTTGCTGCAGTTCACCCGTGGCGGGGTCCCAAAGCTTGATGCTCTTGTCATCTGCGCTAGATGCTAGTTGCCTGCTATCTGGTGAGAAGGCAAGTGACCGAACTGGATCAGAATGGCCTTTGAGAGTGTGCCGCAGCTTGCCTGTAGTAGGGTCCCAGAGCTTAATAGTGTTGTCGCCAGAGCCTGAGGCTAGTTTCCTGCCATCTAGTGAGAAAGTGACTGATATAACCCAACTAGAATGGCCTTCAAGCGTCTGCTGCAGCGTGCCTGTAGTAGGGTCCCATAGCTTAATAGTATTGTCACTAGAGCCTGAAGCTAGTTGCCTGCCATCTGGTGAGAAGGCAACTGATAAGACCCAATCAGAATGGCTTTTAAGAGTCTGCTGCAGCTTGCCTGTAATGGGATCCCAGAGCCTGATAGTCTTGTCACTAGAGCCTGATACTAGCTGCCTGTTATCTGGTGAAAACGCAATTGACCGAATAAAACCAGAATGGCTTCCAAGGATATGCTGCAGCTTGCCTGTCATTCGGTCCCAGAGCCTAATGGTCTTATCATCAGAGCCTGATGCTACTTGCTTGCCATCTTGTGAGAAGGCAATTGACCAGACTGAGTCAAAATGACCTTCAAGGGTCTGTGATAGCTCAACCATAGTGTGATCCCAGAGTTTAACAGTCTTGTCATCAGATCCAGAGGCGAGCTGTCTGCCATCTGGTGAGAAGATGACCGACCGAATTGGATCAGAATGGCCTTCAAAGGTTTGGAGCTCCTCGCCCGTGATGGGGTCCCAAAGCTTGATAGTCTTATCACCAGATCCTGAAGCAAGTTGCCTGCCATCTAGCGAGAAGGTAACTGACCGAACCCAACCAGAATGACCTTCAAGAGTCTGTTGTAGCTTGCCTGTGATGGAATCCCAGAGCTTGATAGTCTTATCACTAGAGCTTGATGCTAATTGCTTCCCATCTGGGGAGAAGACGACTGATGATACGAAGCCAGAATGACCTTTAAGGTTCTGCCGCAGCTCGCCTGTCATAGGGTCCCAGACCATAATGGTTTTGTCATTAGAGCCTGATGCCAATTGCTTCCCATCTGGTGAGAAGGCAACTGATCGAACGGAATCAGAATGACCTTCAAGGTTCTGCCGCAGCTCGCCTGTTGTAGGGTCCCAGAGCTTTATAGTGTTGTCACTAGAGCTAGATGCTAGTTCCTTGCTGTCTGGTGAGAAGGCGACTAGCAGAATCGAATCAGAATGGCCTTCGAGAGTCTGCTGTTCTGCACCCCACGACTCTTCAACCTCTGGTAACTGGGACCGACTAGACAGATTATTGCTGAACATCCTCCTAGTTATTGAGTTTCCAGGGCAAAATATCAGCCCTGATGTATAGAGCTGAAGAGGTGCGGTCTCAGCCAAATGTCGATTCTTGAGGACAAACCGCCTAGCATCATAAAGGAATTTTGAGTCTTGAGAAGACTTATCATCCTAGATTTCTTGTTAGTTGCTTTTTCAATAATTCACGAATACTTACTTGTATGGCAAACTGTAATCTACTTATTGCGTCAAAGACATTAGATATGAGTCCCAGGATACTCATCACTTCCATCCAATGCAGCAGATGTTTTCTTAGAAATAAACATGCTCTTTCAACCGCATTGGTAGGGCTGTGACTTTGCATCAAGTGCTGGATCCAATAACAGCACGCGTATTGTAGTTCTGATGGCAGATACTCATTGATGGAATCAGACTCGATCTCGCTTCGTTGCAAACAATCATTCGGTAATTTGCAAATATTTTTCTTTAACGTTTTGTCCATTACCACTAGACATTGATCGGTAAGCTTCTGGTGTATTGCCTCAGAGTCTATCCAGAATTTCTCGCTCTCTTTGTCATCCTTGGTTGTATAGTCCAGAAGGAAATCCCGAAATGATAGATGTTGAAGTTTGACTGGGGTGTCCAGATCATCTGGTACTATAAGGACCGAATGAAGTTGACTGAGTCGCTTTTTGATCTTGGTTGGATCAATGCCAAGAAGCTTTGATACTCCATTGACTGGGAGTGGAGTAGCAAGCATAATTATAGGTCCGACCATCTGCCTGAACTCCTTAGCGATCTGTTGGGCCTCAAATCTATCCTGATCCTTGAAAAGTTGATTAAGGACAGGAAGGTAGGTGCTGGCCATCTTGGAGACATATGTGGACTTGGCTGAAAGGATTTCTTGAAGGCGGTCTCGAGGATCCCAGTTCATATCACCAATGTATTGGCATAGTGTAGCAGCAGAGATGAATAGCGGCACTGTTCTTGCAAGAAGATCGTTAATAGCCTTTTCACCAGGCCATTCTGCGGGAAGATCATGATTCTCTCGGATTCTTGAGAAGGAATGATCCAAAAAAATTGAGATATCATGAGTTATTTCTGACGTAGGAATGCTGTGTAGATCCACATTCTGGAGGCTGTCTTTAACCGCCTTAAGACTTAGGCGAATTGCCAACTCGGGTCTGCTAGTCAGGAAAAATCGTAAACGGACGGACTTTGATTCTTGTGCCCGAGATAGGAGCCGTAGAAGGACCTTAATATTATGGTCATCACTGTCTGTATCTGACTGGCATTCATCTAATGCGTCAATTACAGCCACCATAGTAACAGCGCGGCCTAGATCCAGATTGATGAGTGGTTGGAGTATTAGTTTATTGAATTGTTCTGTGGGCACCTTTCCCGATATATAAGGATCAGCCTCAACTGCCTTCTGTATCCCAGGGCCCAGCTCAGGAATAGCAATCGCTAACTGTTGTGCGAGGGTTGAGAAGAGCCATTTTGCGTTATTTCGGCCCTCTTCACCTCTTTTGAAAAAGAAACTGGCGGCAAGTAATCTCTTATCGTTAAGCTGCCTTGCAATTGTCCTAGAAATAGTCGACTTTCCAGTACCAGCTCCGCCATTCAAAAGGTAGATGCATTTTCCTTGAGGTGCTTCAGCCCAGTCTGTAACCTGACGAAGCAATTCAACCCTGGTTTTCGGCAAACACTCTTTGTGTTTATTCTCGGAAGAATCGTAGGCGGCTTCTTCAACGATCTTCAAGCTACGCAGGTCAAATTTTCGTTCAAATCGGTCGGTAGAAAGCCTGAATAAGGGTAGAAGTAAGTAATTAGCAAACGAAAAGGTATATTGTAAGCTGTGACCCACACATGATCAATTTGCAATGCTGCGACAAACAGTGACGTACACCCCTTCAGCTGGCTGATAACCTCATCTACCTCCATGCGCTGCAAAGGCCATTTCCAGTATCGAAATGCCCGCCTCCTGATTGAGCTCTGTGTAGTTTCTGGATTGATCTTATCACCCAAGTTTCTTAGAATGACGTTACATTTTCCAACGTCATCAAATATCTTCTGAAGGGCGATAAGATTCTCGCCCCCTGGTCCATGGAGAACGTTATTGAGTGACTCGAGTATACTTCTAAGGCTGTTAATCTCCCCTTTCAGGTCATTGATCTCTTTTCGGGCATTTTTGACTCTTTTAATGTAGTTTCCACAAATGTCCGCAAGAGCGCCTGCTAATTGAATGACCGCAATCACGCTCGCCGCGCATGACAAAGGATCCATTATGACAAAACCAGGGGAAAGTAACTGTGTTGATGTGATGCAGGAAGACTGGCGAGAAGCTGTCATTTCTGCCCATCTCAGAAAATCAACAGAGAGGGGTAAGCGCCGACAAAGTGAGGCTGCGAGAATAGGCCTTCTGATTGGTTACCACTCAGGAGCCAATCATTTCTTCAGAGGCAAAAGGCCAGTTTACTTGTACTGACAGAGCACAAGGACCAATTACTAAACCTCAATCGAATTCAAAATAGCCATTGGATCAACTCGGGCCAGCAAACTCTCTGCATGGAACCTTTTCACCAATCATTGGTTCAATCGCATACAGCGGTACAGATCCTTGGTACTGTATGATTTGATGCAGTGTCTCATCATTACTGATAGATGACACGGAATATAGATGATCCGGGCCCTAACCCGAACAAGCTTAGTATTAGGGCTTTGAAGAAACGGGAGAGGATAAACAGTTGCGCCAATTTTGCAACCAGGTGTACCTCTCACATCAGCGTCAGCCGTAAATGATTCTAATGTTCGCATTCTTACTCGGCTTTTCTTGGCCACCAGTTCATTCATGGGAGTGGCCAGAATATTTGTGTGAAACTAGCCAGAAGCCACTCTATCTCTCTCCCTTGTGATCAAAAGATCAGTCAGACCGAAAGGAAATAGCTTCCATCATTGTCGCCAAATCAAGCACCCCTTACTCCCCTTTGTGATGCTCCAGAGTACCTAGTACTCTTTGACCTGTCAGCGTTGTCTTCTTTCATATCGGTGGGGCCGAAAATCATCGGACTCAACTTCTCATCCAATCTTGAGCCAGTGCCAAGCACTCTGGAAAGACATAATCGAGTAGGATTGGACGGGATGCCACGCTGCGGAGTCGCTGGGGATTCGATCCCGTCTAGCCCCCTACGTCATGCATGACAATCCCGAAAAGAGTCGGAGTTCTCCCACCAGAACACAGGTAATGGAATGATGCAGTGTTCGATTCTCAGTGATATATAAGACGTCCTATTGTAGTATGCAGACCTCATTAAGCTAAGCTACATTGTTTATCTCAAATTCTGATTTTTTTACTTGACTTCTCCCTTCCGACACAATGAGCAACGAAAACAGTGGTCGCCTTGGCGGGAAAGTGGCCATCGTTACCGGAGGGTCTCGAGGTATCGGCGAGCGCATTGCACTCGAACTTGCGCAGAATGGAGCAAAGGTAGGACTCCATCATGACCTAAAAGTGGAACCTAATGTCACTTGTTATTAACGGATCACGGAAGGTCTCGGTTACCTATACCTCCAGCGGAAGCGAAAAGCAGGTGGACTCTCTGATCGAAACCATCAACGGACTCGGCAACGGCTCTGCTGCCATTAGTATAAAGGCCGATCTGCGAGACCCCAACTCGCCGGCCAAAATAGTAACCGAAACAATCAAGCACTTTGGCGAGCATATTGACATCCTGGTTAACAATGCCGGCGTCGAACTCGTCAAGCCTATCCCAGACATCACTGTCGATGACTTTAGCTTCGTCTACGACCTCAACGTCCGCGCACCGCTGCTTATGCTCCAATCGGTTCTCCCACACTTACGCGCCCCAGGGCGAATCATCAACATCGGCTCTGTAGGTGGACGGAGCGGCTTCAAGCAGCTTTCCGTATATTGCTCCTCAAAGGCGGCTCTGGAAGGAATGACGAGATGCTGGGCTGCCGAGTTGGGGAGTGCTGGACACACGGTTAATTGTGTGAACCCGGGCCCCGTTCAGACGGATCTCATCGGGAATATTCCGCAGGAGACGGTGAAGATGCAGAAGGATTCGACTCCGATACAGAATAGATTGGGCACCGTCGAGGATATCGCGCCGGTGGTTGTTTGGCTTGCGAGTGAGGGGAGTAGGTGGATTACGGGGCAGGTTATTTCGGCTAGTGGGGGGTGGGCTATGTACTAAATTAGAATATACTGTTACCGGACTTGCCAGTCGAGCGAGACGCTGTTAACATGACAATTTATGTTAGTTTAGCTAGTGGCTCAGAGTAAATTATTGCGGGTCAATGCCCGAGTAACTTAGCAATAAGGTCCCCGGAATTAGAATCCTTATACACCCAGCAGGAACCAATTCATCAAGTCACCCGCCTTGCAACGGCCAGCACATGATCTGCATTGCCCAGGATACTCGGATCTTCTGCAAACCGAAGCACAACATCGGCCCACTTCTCATAAGCATCATCCGGCAGTTGATTGATCTTAGAGGCTAACCCTCCGCCAAGGAACCCTTCGCAGGCTACTAACCTTTCCAGTTGTAGCCCAGGGATCGATTCGAATATCTTCCTGACTTCTGCTGGGTTCGCATGATACGAGGAGACAAGCGGATTCCGCGTATATTTCCCATCAGCAAGATACTTTGCGTAAAAAGCATCATAATCGGCCAAGAGTCGCATGGGATCTCGCTGGGCAATGTCTCGCAAGTGAGCGTACTGAAGAACGAATGCAGCGACCAGGGTCCCACCGGGCTTGAGTGACGCAGCACATGTGGAGAGAACATTACGGCGCTCGTCCTCTTCGAGTAGGTGGTAGAGCGGGCCTTGACATAGGACGAGATCGTATTTCTTCTCTTGGAAGATGGCAGGGTTGGCGCGGATGTCTCGTGCATCCGCCTGAATAACAGCAGTGAGCTTTGTGTCCGTTTTGGTAGCCGTTTCGCGGGCTATCTCGAGCTCCTGGTCGGATATGTCCACGAGTGTGACTGAATGGCCCAACTGTGTTAGTTTCAGAGCTGTACACTGTTAGTTGCAGTTCAGAGCCTTGGAACACACTTTCGCCTTCTGAGATGATATTGCAGTAACTTACCATATCGACCAGTTCCTCCTCCAAGATCTAGGATTTCTAACGGGTCATTTGTTTCCAGCTGGCTCAGACACTGAGTAACCACTCTCCAAGAAATGGAAAATTCGAGTCGACAATTGTTGAGACGGTCATGTTCCATCCTGGCATTTTGGTCGTACCAGATAGCGACTTTTTTTGTATCGGTCATTGTTTGTCTGATATGTCGGCCCGGAAGTGAGAAGCCTTAATAATGGTCGTTGTTTAAATATTCCTTGCTGGGAAGAAAGTAGATCGAGGGCACGCGAAAGATGGTATCTATTTAACAAGGGTCGAAAATGTCTCACCTATGCCGCAATTGGTAACCTCGTACTGCGCCCGACAGCTCCGCAACGAAATCACGCATTGGAAAAAATGCCTCATACAATGCACCCTGTAGAGTTGGACTCACCGATGGGGTACCTCGTTATAGTTGAGTGCCTACTAAAGTAAGGATGCCCGTCGTCAGAAAGTGCGCACTCTACAATGGTAGACCGGACATGTGGCACCGGATATATATCGCCACTGTCTTCGGCGATACTCTCCCGGAGTTGGTCATGCATCAAGGATAATATTTCTATCCAATAGGATCTAAGCCGTCTCGCGTACTATAGCTTCTGAGACCTTTATCAAGCGGGACGGATAGAGTACTGCTGTCATTGAAATTCTGGGTCAGGGGAACGACGGGTGTCAGTCCCATGGCGGTGTTGTGCGGGGTTCCAACTTCCCCAAGTTTCACTTCCCGCCGTCTCCCCCACTTTACCCATCATCTCGAAATTCAACATTGACTTTGCAAAGGAGATCGCCTCGAATGTAGTTGGTGCTTGGAGTTGTTTGATGGGACCCCAATTCCAACAGGAGCTTTGTATCTATTTACCCTATCATGTCGCTCTTACCGTGTTCTTCCATTGGCGACAATGGTGCATCAAGTTATCCATCCTCATCTTCTGCTATAAAATCCAACTAGCACAAGCGGATGCAGTAAGACAAGTTACACGCAGCACCACACGACTGTTCATTATCAATAGTGTCCTCGACGAGACGACCGACATAATTAGTAACCCTTCGCTCCCCCAAAGCCTCCCCCATCCTTGCTCAGCTGCTCTCTGCTCTGTTCTGCCCTCCTCGCTCACTGTACCTCGTAACACCCGATGAGAGAATACTTGAGCGCCCCTCGACTAACAATTGCCACTTGGCTAGTCCTCTCAATCCCCATCCTCACCCTCCGCCGCATCCGCATCCCCCGCCCCCACCCGGGATATACTTATCCTCCTCTCCGCCCCCGTTCGTCATGCTTGTAGTCATTGCCGCGACGATTATCCGCGTCGTCGTGGTCGACGTGACCCTCAAGGCCAACACCTCGCGATACCTGGGGAGTTTCGTGGAGGTGGGCACCGCCATCATCGTTGCGTGCTCCACGGGGTTTCAGCAGCTTCTTGCCACCACTCAGAATCAATCAGCATCTGTATGCGGATGGGGATGTGGTCCCGCCGAATTTGATTAGGAAGGGGGTTGGATCCAGGCAGATGGAACAATGGGGATTTGGGGCTCCTCCGCGGGCAGCCAGCCAGGGCGAGGATGACGTCTGCTTTTAGATGTCGGAAATCGGATCGATGTCTTTCGACTAGACCCCACGGCTATCGCGATCATTGCGCGTTGCGCGCAGACAGCCAAGACTGGTGTTTGTCTGGAGACCCAGCACGTGGCTGTTGGATCTGACACTGCTGGATTCCCCCGATGACGGGACGGGGAATGATGGAGAGGGAAGTGTACGGTCGAACGGACATGAGCGGATACATGAAGGGCAGCAGATTCAATATGAGGATTGGGGTACATACTATATCTGGGCCTTCATAGGTTCTCGACATCTATCAGGGGATACGCGACGGCTTTTATTAAACAAGGTGTATACATGAACAAAAAAGAAGTTGATTGCACTACCCAGGTAAGCGACGCGGTGATCGCGAGGTAAACATTATCCTGAAGAATATGGATGATCAGAATCAGGGTCTCTCCACCCTTATCCATTGGCGCCTCTCAAGGCCCCTGATATTCCAATAGCGGCCAGCTGCACCTGTCTGGATATTCGCGTGTTAAGATCTCTAGTTCTGTTTTTTTTTGTGATTTCTTTTGCCCCTAATGATTTGATACCAACCTTAAACCCATCCTTCAGCCTTCACCCGAACTTGCTGCGTAAGGTAATACCAAATCCTGCGTCCAAAGTCACGAACCCCAAAACTCCTTAATCCATTCATGCGACGGACAATTTGTTCGAACCCCGATTGTCCAGCAAGATCTGCCGGCGTATATCCATCACGATCCGCGCACCTAAAATCAGCCTTTGCCTGAAGAAGCCCCTCCACCATCGCTGCATCGCCCTGCCAGGCGGCCCAATGCAAGGGCGTTCTACCGCAATGGTCCTGGCGGTCTACTTCAACGCCGTGAGCCAGGAGCAGAGCGACAACTTGGTGGTTCTGCGAGTGCACAGCCCAGTGCAAAACCGTGTAGCCTCCTGAGGTCTGCGCTGAGGTATCGGCCCCTCTACCGACTAACAGCTGGATCATTGCAAAGTCTCCATGGGAGACAGCCAGATGCAATGCCGTTGTGCCCCCTCGTGCTGCAATATCGGGATCGAGCCCGGCATCCAGTAGAAGACGTGCGGAACTTGCATGGCCATTCTTGCACGCACTGTGGAGCGCGGTATGCCCGATGCGATTTGCCAAGTGGAGATCGAACTTCTTTTCTGTAAGCGACACGATGATATTGTCCAACTGCTTGGCGGCGCAGATGTGCAAGGCCGTGTTTCCCTCGCTATCTCGGATTGGGACCCAGTATTTTGGCTTATATTGTCGATCGATCCCCGGTATTGCGAGGGATAGATTAATGAGGTCCCATGGTTCGAGTAGGCGGGCTATTAGGAGTAGGACCTCTACTGGGAGCATGGTCTGTTAAAGGTGTTCTATCAAATGGAATGGTAGGAATTGACAGGGGAAAATATGTTTAGTCTGGCTGCAGATGTTCTTGGAGATATAAGGGGTTTTGGAGACACGAGCGGTTTCTCCAAATTGGGGAAACCCGGCAGTTGGCCCGGCCCCGGGGGACCTGATTAAGTGTCTCCGTCAGGGAGGGATAAATGCCCTATTAAACGAGATTGCTCGATAAGTTAAGAAAGCGCAAGTTAACCTACGTTAGCTGATTACCCTCATTCCCTCAAGAGTTCGAATTATCAGCACAAGACCAAAGCCCACCAGACGCCCATCGACTCGAAGCAACAATAGCAACAATCGACGAACACGTTCCCGAAGCCATGATAAACGTCCTCAGAACAATTAGTATCACACTGAAAACGACAACAACGCCTATTTGAGAGTCGGCTGTCCCCGACCTGGGTTCCAGTTATCGAACAGCCACATACATCCCATCGGCTAATAGGAGATGGATGTTCCGAAGGGCACCGATCAGAGAGACTAGATCGCCAAAGATGGGCATGCCGCTTGAAATTAGGTATGAAGAAATGGCTATGGCGAGCTGAAGCCGAGCCAGGTTGCCCAGTGGATGAATGTGTTGGCGGCTAGGTGCCGAGATCCGGGAAGGATGCGGATGAAGATGTGTTTGCTTGCGAACTGTTCCCGTTAGACAATGTGCTCAAGGTAAAGGTAGGAGGAAATAGAATAGAGGGACATACCTGTAGGACGACAATTGTACCAACCACCGAGCCAGGAAGCTCAATGCCATACGAGACCTTCTTGATGAGTATGCTAGACGAGCCGAGCGCTGACGACACAACGTATGACTCGCAGAAGTAGTAGATGGGGATACAGACGAGGGCATGGCTAAATCGCTATGATGGATGGTATGGACTCATGTAGTCGGTTACCTGACAGGCTGCTAGAGAAATGCTAGGTATAGTTGCGGCTGGTGGTGGTGTAGCGGTTTGTTGTTCCCCAGGGATCCCATATGTATATTATGTACATATCGCCCGGATCATCCGAAACACCAGAAGCTTGAATACAGCTAAAGCCCATCAGGTAAGCCATGACGTAGACCTGGTTCAACGAAGTACTTAATTACGTACTTCACTCCATAGCCGGCACCGCCAAACGAAACAAATTCCCTGGGTCAAACGTCACCTTCAGAGCCCTAACCACCTCGGCATTTGCCTGATACACCTTGTCCAACACTTTATCCGGCGACCCTCCACGACGCGCGTTATACAAAGAAATATAAGCGGTCGGAAGTACATTCTCTGGATCAACCTCTTGAATTTCAACCGCCATCTGCGCCGCCCATTTCTCTGCTTCTTCCTGCGCAGACGGGACGGCCGCGTACCCTAGAATCTCAAGCATGTAGTGCGGTTCTCGAGTCGCAAAAACCGACGAGACTTCACTTCCAGCTCCCTCGGTTGACAGACCACGCCGCAACTGATGCAGGGAGAACATGGTCGCAAGATCAGTTGGTAGACGGGCAAGATTTCGACCGATGGCCTCGGCGACGTTCTCCGGGATCCGAGCGAGATTGTGTGTCCAGGGTGAGCCATACACGCCTGTCGGTAAATGCGCGCTGCTGGCAAACCATTCGGGGATGGTGGTAGGCCCCACGAGGTTCACATTGCATGGGGCCAGGCTGGCTATTCTCTCCGCCCAACGCTTGCCTTCATCAATTTGGGACTTGGATCCGCTCCAGACGAACAACGCGGCAAACGCCCGGCCGTGGGGTGAGTTGAAGACGATTCGTTGCACTGTTAGTTGTGGAGGAAGGCCTTCGGTATCTAGGAGGTTCGTGTAGGCGTTGTTGAAGTCGACAAATGTCTTTGCGATGTCGGTTGAGTCGAAGATGATGGGGCCTGCTAGGAACTGTGTGGAATTCGATAATTAGTGTCGTAGATATCAAGTGCTGACTAGCCTCGAGGGACTCACCCCGGTCAAAGGATAAACCTTGACGGTAAGCTGGACGATAACACCGAAGAGACCACCGGCACCCCGGATCCCCTGTAACAGCTCTTGGTCCGCAGTCCGGATTTCACCATTAGCATCGACAATGGTTGCGCCGATAATCTGATCGACACCTAGTCCCCAATGCGAGGAGAAGGGCCCATATCCGCCGTACGTCGCCCAGCCAGTGTACCCGACTGACGGGACCGCTCCAGTCGGGGTGGCGAGACCCTCTTCCCACAGCCTGTTACCCAGCTCCCCCTGCAAGATGCCTCCGCCGACAGTTGCCGATTTGCGATCCGGTGCAACAGCCACAGAGTTCAAGGCGCGCAGGTCAATCTGTAAAGCCTCGTTCACAGACGACCGCCCCTCTAGATTATGCCCTCCTGAGCGTAGTGTGAAGGGCACTGAGTTGGCCTTGACGAACTTTATCAAAGCAGCCACGTCGCGCGCAGATTGCGGCTGGACGATGGCGAGAGGTGTTCCAGCACCAGAGGTGTTCCATACCTGTCGCAAAGAGTCGAATTCGGAAAAGGACGGGGGGAAGTACTTGATACTTGGTTGTTGGGCGAGGAAGCCCTCTTGGGCGAGGAGGTGGGTGTTGGTCGACATAATGGTATGGAGCAGGGTTTAGAATTGGATATGTTAGGACTTTTCTCGCATTTAAAGACCTCGCATCAACGGACAGGCTGCGCGCAATACCGAGCTTATCTCCGTTATGCATGGGTCTGAGTCGTCAGAGTGCAGCCTGGGCAGTGTGGATCATTGCACTAATACTCACTCAAAACACGGAGAGGCGCTATTAAGCCTCACTACACGCAGGAACCCATCAGGGAATTGGACGTGTCATTGCTAGTGGGCGCTTGCGCGCGCTATAATCTGACAATCTGACTCAGACCGCGACACAGCAAGTCGCGACGCGCGTGAATACTAGGCCTATCAGATTGCATTTTCCATGGGCTTAAGCTGCGATCACCGAGAGCCAGAGAAATATGGAGTCCTCAACCACAGTCTTCAGATGCAATCTGCCATCCTGAAGATCCACTTGAGGACATATTGCACTATCTCGTTGGCCAGTTCGGTTAGCAAATACTATTTGGCAACAGAAAACATGGCAGTATTTCGGTGGAGAGGCAGACATGACTGTCTCGCGCAATATTCCACGTTTAGCAGTTTCTATTAGACTTCATCCTCAACGTTCCTAGGTCAGTTTCCTCGTCTTGGATGAGCTGAACACCAGCGCAAATACGGACGCGCATACGCGACGCCAAGCGAGGACGATAAGAACGAGACAGGCGCTAGCGGGAAGGCTCCGAACATCCCAGGCGTGCCTTGAACGCGCAGCTAACCTCCGGCATTCAAGTATAAAGGACATCCTCGGAGCCCATTCTGCGCGAACAGTGGCGCAGAATCAAACCACCCGCTTATACCCGAGAGCAGAATCATGACAGAAACAAAATCCGAAAACGAAGCACAACCTGTGCCAGAGCCGGAGTTTTTTCCGAGGCAGCCCCCGAGAGTTATTATCCCAACGGAACTCGGCACGATACGCACTCGACGACTCATTCTCCGGCCACTGGCGCTTTCTGATGCAGAGGATATCTTCGAGCACCGACGGCTTCAAGCTGTTGCGGACTGGCTGTGCGTTCCATGCCTATTCTATATGCAATCATACCGAACCTGGTGGGGGAAGAGGACGGAACGAAACAATGAGCAAGAGGAAACATTGACCGACTAACATGCCCCCTTACCCCCTAGAATCAACCCAATACCCGACAACACCGTCGACGATACGCGAGAGTATATCAAGGAGCAGATCTTCACGACACCCGATGCATCAGGTGCGACAGGTCGCATGTTCTCCTACGCGATCCTTCTGGCCGACGACCCCACGGAAAAAGTTATTGGCGCACTAGGGATTCATGCTCTCGTCCCCGCGCCAGTGATCTGGTACCATACTCACCCGTATAGTTGGGGGCAGGGGTTTGCGAGTGAGGCGCTAGGCGCGGTACTGGATGCGTGGTGGAAGTTGCCTCGGTCGAACACGGAGAAGGATCGGGAGGAGGCGAGGACTGAAAAGGTGTTTGCAGGGTGTGGCATTAGAAATGTTGCGAGCTTGAAGATTTTGTCTAAGAATAGGTTTAGGCCCTTTAAGGAGATCAACCTGCTTGGGAGGGATGCGATGTTGCTTGCGGCCGAGAGGCCGAACGATGAGCTGGTCTAGGTAGCGTTTTGACAACAGGGGGCTGGATGATAAGAGACAGCATTGTCGAATTTTGCATTCCATCGGTATTGAGTGACCAGTGTGGGTGTTCCAAAGCTAGGGCACCACTCAACTCCTGCTTAAGCGGGTAATAGGCCCTCTTGCATGTGAATCAAGAGCCGCATCGACCAGCCCAAGTTACACGACGTACCACGCGCGGCGGACTTGAGGAACGGAGATTTTGAGCCAGATTGCTCAACCGGTCTGTTATTTCGTTAGATTCGGTGCTTATGGGAGAGAGGACAGGTGATTCATAGTCCCACCCGCCAAGATGTTGAGATCTATTAGAGCGCGCTCGCGATGATGGTACGGATGTTGCAGCGAAAGCACCACCGGACACCAGATCTTCTCTATGCTACTGTTGATACATATGAGATGGGGTCGCCAAACAAGTCATTCTTGGACGCCTCTGAGTTTTGACACTGTGCATGCAGACAATGTAGCACGGCGAGAATGCATCACTGAACTGCTTCGTTCACGTACAGGGAGGAGCGACATCTCTTTTGAAACATCTCGAACATGGCAGATGCAGTGACGAGGGACTCGCCATGGCGTTACTCAATCGGCAGAACTGGTCCGTAGTAAGTGTAAAGGCATGAGCATGTGTACCTGCAATGATCCCCTAACTACATTCGGGCGTTCTTTGTTTTTATCCAACGTTTGGTTCCGACATTGACTGGGGGTTACCTAACTAGAGGAGGGAAGGAGACGCCTATAGCCCAGCTATTTAGTCACCTGGCCGACTGTGCGCGAGTACAAAAGGACTTACACGGGATCCTCGCGGGCCAGGTTCCCGACCGCCAGGTAACATGCGAAGCATTGCACCAGCGCTGGTTGATACTTGAGAAGAGCCTCACAGTAGGCTGCTTCAATGGGGCTGCCCTAAACCTCGACGGCCCGCCTTCGCCGTGTCCAGAAGCAAATTAGGCGACGGGCTTAACCTACTGACCCCGGACCTCGCTACTCTGCCTTACGAATTCAAGAGCCTCAACACAGCTAAAACGTATTTTCTATTCTGCGTCGCTCTCGTTGTGATCCGTCGGGTGATCTAACAAGCCGAAATGACCCTCTTCGGATGCGTGGATCCCACGGCCATGGTAGAGTATGTAGGCGAGATTTGCCGATAAATAGCATGCATCCCGACAATCAAATGTCATCTGGACACGCCGTGCCATTTGCCGTATCAGGGCTTGTAGATATTTTACCGAGTGCGAGGGAAGAGGCCTGTTCAGGTGGTACCAGCACATTTACCCTGGCATTCGATCGCGTGGGGTCGGTGCAGCTCAAGGCGTTCGTGTGGAAGAGATGGAGATGTGGAATGTGATACATAGACGAGAAGAATATTAGCATGAATAAAGATAATAAGATTTCACACTAATCTATACTCGCAGGAATGTGTGGTTCATTCCCCGCCCCACTCGCCACTACCTCACCTTCGTTTGCGTCATCGACAAAATCCCTCCTTAGCTGCCACACATCAGAGATACCAGCAAAACCAACATGCAGAACCCTTTAGCTGTGGTATTCCTGGCGATCATCCTGGGCACGTTTGCCGTGAGCCATGATAACCTCGAACCTGGCCTGGGCAGCATCAACCTCTACCTCTTCGAAGACGATTGGAACGCGGACGTAAAGTGCGCTGACTTGACGCCAATTGCATGCCTCAGTTCCAGGGCAGCAATCGATACGTCGCGCCTACATTGCGGGCGATTCCGCTCGAATAGCCTGGGGAATCTGCTGATGGGCGAGGACAAGCAGCTGAGTCTCTTCACGCAGCCTGAGGGCCCTACCCTCCTGGGACTGCAGTCGCGGGGGCCAACCGCAAGGTGGATGACCATTGGGCCAAACGCACACGCAAACAGGGTACGACAACTTGGAATGCCCTGGTTATATTGATATCGCCCACAGCTGACTACGGCATTTTGCTCTAGATTCCGCGAGACTTTCTCCACGTCGAGGTTCCTGAGCCAGGGCTTTTGGCAGGGCCTGGATGGTATATAAGCCCAGATCCCGCGACGGGCAATTTGAGTTTGGTCGCGAGCGAGCCAACGGCTGATTATAGCAAGGGGCCTTTGGGTCTGTGCTTTGAATCTCACCCTGGCTAAGGTGGGTGCGGCAATCACAGCGGATGAACGAGTGGCTCTGGGTTGTTTGATCGGGGTCCATCAAAAGATTGGTCCTGGGCATCTACACATGACGCGCACGGTGATCAGAGGATGAATTACTTGCATGGGAAATCAGGCTAGCATTGGCCTACAAAAGCTGCATTAAGAGTGACCCATCATACGTCTTTACCAGTCGCCACTCTTCCAGCACTGTCATTGTCACACAGGTCCACGCTCTTCTATTCGTTGCGGCGTCTTGGGGAAGGGCGATTGAGATGTGAGGATGGTTTGTGACGCAAAAAGAAAAGGAGGATGTGAATAATAGGGCGGTCGCTTGGTCTGGGCCGGGGTAATTTTGGGTTCGCGAGTTATATGTACTCATTCGGGTCCTCTTCTAGCCTCCTAGCATGATATAACACAGTTCTCAGCAACTTACTTAGCCTTACACATGGCGGTCTTCGGATGCACCGCTCTGGCTCCATAGTCAGGCTCGGCGGATTGGTGATCTAGAAATGAGAGGTTAAAGGCTAAACCTATGGAGGATTTACGCTCCTTTGGAGAGGAGATATTTGGGCGGTTATTTGTAGGGAAGAAACGTTATTCCGCGCCCTGGCAAACCCCTGTTAAATCCCCCAAAACTATCCAAACCTGTTCAGGACCCCAAGTCAGCATCCTTTGCTCGCCAGGATCTGTAGCTTAAGGTCCATGGGGTAGCTGAGAAGTGAGAAAAGTGGACTTGGGTCTACCCTCCTGTATGCAACCCGGACCTAGACCCCCAAACCTGCACCCGTGCCCTGATGTCAACCCCAAGCCTCGAAGTCGCTCTCCCGTGACCCCCACGCGACTGCGTGCTTCGGGTCCTTGCTATTCGTAGGGTGAAGCTCTATTCTCTTCTTCCTATTGTGTCACCAGCGTGCAAGCTTTACTGGAGCATGCCCGCAGAATCCAAACATATAATAGGACCGCAATCATTGGTTGGGGTAACAGGGACATGCCTTGGTCAACCCCAGCTAGAGAAACAAATATATCAATTCAACAACTCCCACAATCCGGTACATGACATGATCACCGCCAACTGGCAAGAAGGAAAAGAAATCATGGTCCACCATCGCCACGGTCAAACCCAATAACCAACACCAGCCCAGACCGGAAACCCAGCGCCACGACATCATCCTTTACCGCCGAAGCCGACGGCTCGTGGCCCCTCAATAGACACATAATCGGGGTCCCATTGACCGTTATCCAGGGCTTCTCCAGCAGGACCGTGTTGCTCTTATTAGGCGTAAAGTAATCCCATTCGCCCCTTAAATCCCGGATATCAATACTGCCCTTATCCGTGACCAGTTGCGTACCGTCGGATGAGAACTTTGCCTGGGACACCAAGACCCGCATCCGGAACTCGTACTTCATTCTTTCAGTACGACTAAGGTCCCATAGTTGAAGGCGGTCATGTCGGTAAATCACACTTAATAGGGATTTGCCATCCGGGGAGAATGCCACAGATGTAGTGAGGAAGCCACATTCTAGCCTGTGTCGCACGGTGCCATCAGTGACGTTCCATAGAATGATCTGGTCTGGGCGGCTCGAGGACGTTGCCACCATTTGGCTGTCCGGCGAGAAGGCAGCTGCCCAGACGTTCGAGTCATGGGCCAAACACTGCTTTAGAGCCCCACTCGTAGGATCATAAAGATACACTCCTTCCGATCCGGCAGCCGAAGCCAGAAGTTTTCCATCCGGTGAGAAGGCCAGCACACTCACGATCGCCGGCTGGTCTAGTATATGCAGCGTGGCCCCCGTGGTGGTATCGCATATTCTGACGGTTTTATCATGCGAACTAGAGGCCAGGATTCCGTCGCCTGAAGGTGAAAAAGACAAATGATTTACCCTGTCCGAATGACCTATGAGCGTTCGTTGGACAGTCCCTGTTAGGCAGTCCCATAACGTGATAGTACCGTCAAGGGATCCGGCAGCCACCAGCTTGCCATTTGGAGAAAATTCAAGCACCTGAACGCGGGTTCCAGGAGCTTCTTCACCACCACCACCAAAGCCTTCAAGTGGAGATTCCCTAATTGCATCCCAAGAATCCGGAACTTGTGGTAGAGAACGTATCTCCTTTGGTCGTTCAATGCTGTATCTCCTTCGGATCGCGGAATTCGATGGAGAGAAGACCAGAGCTGACGAGTAAAGCTGAAGCGGGATGTTGTGTGCCAGCTCTCGAAATGAACTACAAAACCGGACCCCGTCCTCCAGGATCTCAAGCACAACCTTATGGCCCTGTTTGTGAATTAGTTATATTGTTGCAGATCTAGAGGAAAGGAGGCCCACCAGAAAGACTTGTTGGAGCTCGTGGAGCGTCCTGCTGAGATTACCAGAGCCATCAACAGAAAAAATCGCTTCCAACCAGTGCAGAAAATGCTCTTCGAGAAATTCGGCCACCTCTGCAATCCAGGCTTCTGGTGGACTGCTCTTAACAAAGTGATCCGCCCAGAAAAGGACCGCATACATCAATTCACGCGGAATATCCTTCTCTACGGCTCTGACATCCCTTCTTCTGCGCAAAAACGCCGTTGTTCCGTAGTCGTTTAAGTTCAAGATATTCTTCTTCATCCGGTCACGCAGCTGCCTCAGGCAGCCTTTGGCGAGTTTCAAATGCATCGCCTGCGCGTCGACCCAGAACGGGGTCTTTGTTCGAGTATGCGGATCGAGGAGAAACTCTCGGAATGACAAATGGAATGGCCGAATCACCTCGAAGTTGGATTCCGGCACGCTGAATACCGAATTTAGGGAGTTGAACCTCAGCCGGACGATCTTTTCGGGCATGGAAATAAGCTGAGAGATTGAGGCGACTGTCATCGGCGTGACCAGCAGTATTCCTGCACCGACAACATCCCGAAATTCATCAATCAGCCTTCCCTTCTTGGATTCGGTCTGATTAGCAAGAAGTTGATTGAAGATCGGCATATACGTCACACTCAACTTTGACTCCTCGCTCTGATAATTGAGGACCTCAGATAAACTCTCGTCTGGGTCCCATTGAGGGTCCTCCAACACACGGCATATGGTGGCGGCAAAGACAAATAATGGAACGGATGTCGTGACGAGTTTTTGGACATTGCTGGCGCCGGGCCAATCCGCCGGTAGGTCCCTGTCTTTTCTGATCCGCGCTAGGCGATGATGGAAAAACATCGATATGTCGTGGCGGATTTCGGCTGTGGGGATATCGTGAAGAACAAGATGTTGATGTGCCTCAGGACTTTTCATAAGGCCCATTCGGATCGGCAGCTCGGGGCGGCTGGTGAGAAAGACGCGGACATCAACCGGACCTACTTTTCCAAGGTCAGGGAGCAGCTCCAGAAGGAGCCGGACGTCCTGCACTGGCTGACATTCGTCCAGCGCGTCGACAACGAGGACTATGGTTTGTCTGCTGGAAGTCTGCTGGCTCAAGGCCCCGAGTGGCTGAAGGAGTAGCTTCCCGAACTGCTCCTTGAATGACTTTGTCGATACCTGATGGTCTTCCTTCAATACTGCTCCAATGCCGGCATTTAGTCCTGGCACGTTTCTGGCTAATTGACTGGCGATCGTGGTGATGAATCTGCTCGCTTCGCCCCGCTCACCCTCGCCCCTCTTGAAAAAGAAACTCGCGCCCAACAATCCTTGGGCTCTGAAGTTACTGGCAACCGTCCGAGAGATAGTCGACTTACCCGAGCCAGCCATCCCGTTCAACCAGAAGATACATTTTCCCTCTGGCGACCGTGCCCATTGATTTATCTGGTCGAGGATCCTGGTCCGAGTACCGGGCAAGCATTCGGTCTCATGCTGGTTAATGTAGGAGTCGAATTCTGCGGCTGATATCGTGGGCAGCTTCTCCATGTCGAGCTTCTGGCCGATATTTTCTGTTTGCCGCGAAACTTCGGTAAGAAGTACGCTGTCTGGGAGGTTAGTTTGTGGGACCTTGTGACGAGGAATAGCTACTGTACGTCTGATCGACCTGTAAGACCAGGTTCAGCGATGCCTTATGTTTGTCCAGGTCCCTCTTGATACCTTCAACTTCAGTACGCTGCAATGGCCATTTCAGCGCTCGAATCCCCAGCTTACTCATCGCTTTGTGTGGATGCCCTGGATCAAGCTGCTTGTCGAGAGTAGTCAAAGCGAGAAGACACTTATCAAGGTCCACAGCGATGATATCCGAAGAAACCAGCTTGGCCGCATGAGGTCCAGCGAGTAGCTCCGCGAGCTTCTCGAGGGTCCTGGCGAACTGGACGATTTCTGATTGCAGCGAGGCTACATCTTCGCGGGCACTGCTCACCGACTTGGCGTAGCGCCCGCAGCTCCGTGCGATGCTCGCTGTGAGTTGAATAAGAGCGATAACACTGGCCGTTATTGACAAAGGATCCATGAGGAAGTGGGAGGAATCTCCGTGTCCCCCTGGGAAACGCGTGCGTGGTTGAGCGTGGGGAGGAAGGAGCGAGCGGGGCGGGCTGTTGGCTTTAAGTAAGCCTGAGGCTGAATTATGAACGATGGAACACGGCCGATGGCTCGACGGTCAGGCCCTTGCGTGGCGCTCCTTGGTCTTGTCTGGTCACAATAGCCGATACGATGAGAACGATGGCGCCGGCAACATCCCCGGCACAACTCAACATGCCGTGCCATGAACCACGATTTATGGGTGCACTATACATGTCCTGAATGGGCTGGGTTGCCCGAGGCGCAGTTCAACAAGGCTGGCAGTGTGATTAGCAATCTAGTCCCAGTCCCAACTAGAAGCTGGATCTTTATCCGGCACCTCCCATATGCGTGGAATATAGTCCACGTGTTCCCCATCCAGCTCCAACCCGAGTTGGCCGCAAGTCCGGATTCAGGCATCGATGCGGCGTCCGCGGCTAGGCAGCTCCTCATAGTGTATGAATTTCAGGCTACCATACTTCCGTCGCTCTGGAATCCGCAATCCAAACTATTCTTTCAGACGTGAAATCGGCGTGGAAGGGTGTTCATTGGGATAAAACGGGAACTCCTGGTGGTCGGGGCCGGCGGCAGCAGGAGCATTTAGGTCGAGTGTCCATCTGGGGCCGTGCTCCTGGTGTGGCATTTAAGCCTGTGATTAGCTTGAAATTGCGAGTGATACGACTTCGTTGACCTTTTCTTGGAAATTGATACTGGGGTTGTATGAATTGTATGTGGGTTGGTATTTATGGAGAATATATAAACGTCGACATCATGGCGCGCAAAGCAGACTGTCCCATGGCGTAGAGTACCGCCAAAACAGCTGCAATCCAGGGCAAGGTTATACAATGCTACGGTTCATCTTCCCATACCGCTTCGTTACCGAGTTAATCTTGACTTTTGGCAACCTCTGGTCAAGCCCCATCAGCCCATCCACGGCAATCTGGGCGCTCCGAATGCCATACTCAAGTCCACAGACCGTTTCTTCGGGAACTTCCGAAAACACCCCAATGACCCCAATGTTACTCGGGCTCAGCGGAAAGGTACGGGGCCGGTCGCCATGGGCGCGTTTTACGAGTGCAGCCGAGGCCAGAGGCCACAGGGTGGGGATGGTTGTCGCGCTGGAGAGAGTCTCCTCGAACGCGGGCCATGGCGCCAGGTGTGATAACAACTCGCTGAGGATCTCCTGCCCAGCACAGCAGCACATGGGCTTATGAATGAAATTGCCCGCCTGTTCTGCTGTGAGGCCGTAGCCCTGGATTGTACTGACCTCCTCTGAGCACCCTTCGGACGCGGCCGCGGAACTCGTGGGGATTTGTTGACGCGAAAGACAGAGGCATAGTGACCAGTTGCTGTCTGGCAGACAGAGTGTGGAGTCTTCGCCGATGCAATGCTCCAGGTAGGTGTAGAGGTCCGAGCTACAAGGATCAAGGATAACTGTGAAGGATTCCATTTTCGATTCGGATAGATGGGTACAGAATGCGGAGGGATTGCCAAACTCGGGGGAGACACGGGCAAGTCGGAACCACAGGGACCACGCGGGATTAAGAATTCGCTCTGCTCGTACCGGTATGGGCGATGGCGCTGTTCCATTACTCCCAACCAGCGAGCCTGAGTCTGTTGAGCCGAGGGACACAATGAGAATATCGTCTCGCTGGATGGGGATATCGAAGGACTTATTGCCCGTTTTCGCTTTGATACTCGATGCACACCTCCACGAGCTTTCTTTGGTGAACTTGATATTCTGAATCGAGGTGTCGGGCCAGAACTCAACTCCCTCACTGTGTAGATACTCGTCCACGGTCTCGTACAGGAACTTTGTGACGTGCCAGAAATCCACTGGTGTATCGATACGGCCATCTTGAGCCTCCTGCAAATACCTTCTAAGGCAGTTCTGGAACTCCATAGCGCTATGGGACGGCCGGTATCCAAATCTTCAAACCAGTAGTGGTTTAGTTAAGGGGATACACCTCTCCTCAACCCGAGATCGAAGGGATCTAGCCTACCTCATGGAAAGCAATATCCAGAGTTCTGACCCGAAAAAGGATGCCCGAAAGCAGTCGCCCACGGTCTTGCAGGCCAAGCTCTGGCCATCATCGAGCATGACTTTCAAAAGATCCTTTCGGTCTGCTGGTCGCAGATGACTGACAGGTTGGTGGATTTTCTGGATCCTACAACTACCGTTGCGGAGCACGTAAAAGGAGTTCCACTGCGTTGAATCGCGCTCGTTGTCCACTCTCATGATCCCATCAAGGTTATGCGCATCTCGTCCTGCGAACCTGGAAACGCAAGATAAGAGGTGTGCTGTGCACCCGTCAATTGAGCCCGACACAAACCGTATTCCTTGACCCCGTTTTGATCGAAGGCCCCTGTCGTGGATAATCTGGTCACTGTCCTCAGGACGGTTGGACAGTATGTGGACGTGGGGACCTGGAATGTGGGCGTCGTGGATGAGATAGACCGCAGCAGCGAGCGACGATAGATCTGAGCCAATGATCCAGGCGTGAGTGACCTGAGGATTTCTCCGACAAGACATTCTGCTTTGCATATCGATAAAGCCTTGCTCCATCCGCGATATTGGCCTTAATACATCCGAAAAGGGCTCTATTGCTGCGACAGGTTCATTAAGATCTGTATTTGATCGTTCCTCTCGATCGGCCACTAGACCGGGACTGCTTGGGCCCGGTTATAGCAGTCCCTGTCCGAGTGTGTTTGACAGTGGTCTGACCGGTATAGACTACGTAAGGAACCCTATCCGGAGCTCTCCACAGCCCACTTGAACGATCGTAGTCCAATCATTTTCCAGCTTGCTCCGGTCCACCATTTGGAACGTTAGTGAACACGTGGGACTCGCCAAACTATCCTAGAGTGAGGGATTCCTGAATCACGACGATATGAGATCATTTTTTTAAGCGAGACTAGGCCAATAGGGAACATGATTAGAGCGGGCCCTTAAAGTTTGGATTTTCTTTGGTCGTCACACACACGTGGTAGCACATACGATAGTCCACATGGGAGGCTTCGAGTTACGGGCACTCGATACAACGATGCAAGATGATCTGTGACATGATATGATAAAAATTCGTCTCCCAGGCAATGGTGCCTGCCTCCTCCTCCTCACAGTCCATCGGTCGAAGGAACCAATTTCTGAAGGATATTTCTTCCCTGCCCGGGTTTTCGACCCACGGCGGATAGCCTATGACTTGACAGTTGATATACGCGCCGACTCTGGATGGTGTGACCCGTCAAGTAGGAGAGAAAAATCCACTCCTGAATTTGCATGAGAATGTAAAGGGTTGATCAAGAGATGGGGTAACGGATCTAGAGATGGTTTGGCACTCGACCACGCCACCAGTAGTCACACTACCTGCTAGTGACATCACGAAAACCAAATGCGCACACCCAGTGTTGGTAGCCATGTCTAGTATTGTTTACCGCTCCCTGCCGTTGTAGGCTATGTGCTGGCTTCTCTTCCTGCTTGATTTTGTCCTCAACAGAAAGAGAGAATGAACGCGCCCGAAAACGGCGCGAGTAAAACGCGATTGCTATTCTTGCAGTAGGTTGACGTCCCAATCTGATTTATTCCCTGGCCTTGGTATTATCTCTTCAAATGCCAGGCTAGGCACGATGCGGTTGATGAATCAAGCTCTAGTGCTGGAGCTGAGGCGCCAGCTGGAAGGGACCCGGGCGGAGATATCACATTTGGGTTCGGAGACTTACCATGCGGATATCAAGTCCTGGTCCGAAACATGCGAGAAGGATGCTGTATGTCTTACCCGCGATGGCGTAGCTGCCGATTCCCATTCTTAAACTCCCGTACACTCTGGGCGATGGTCGATCATGGCTGATGCAGTCCAGGGGGCCATCGTCAAGGTCACCTCCGCGGAAGAGGTTTCCAAAACCATCGTCTTTGCGCGACGTCACAACATTGAATTTGTTGCCAAAGCAGGGGGCCATTCGACCAGCAGCGAGTCTGCAACCCGCGGTGGAATCGTGATCAGTCTAGAAAGGATGCGAGATGTTGTCGTGGATCCCGCCTCGAAGACTGTACGCGTCCAAGGTGGCTGCAGGTGGGAGGACGTGAATCAAGCGACCAGCGCGTATGGCCTTGCGGTGGTGGGAGCGACAGCGAGTCAGACAGGGGTAAGCGCATCAGCTTTGGGTGGCGGATTTGGGTGGCTCACTGGGCAATACGGGCTGATCAGCGACAACCTGGTGATGGCGACTATGGTTTTGGCGGATGGCAGCGTTCTTGAGACATCGGAAGACCGGCACAGTGATCTCTTTTGGGCGATTCGCGGCGCTGGTCAGGCGTTTGGGATCGCGACGGAGCTGGTCTTCAAAGCGCACAGTATCCCCGACAAGGTGTTTGGAGGCTCGCTCAACTTTGAAGCCGACAAACTCGCCACAATCGTCGCGTTCGCGAACCGGTTCCATCAGCAGCAAGACGAACACAGTGGATTTTTCTTCGGCTTCAGACGCCCCTCTCCTGAGGATGAATGCGTGGTTATGACGCTGCTCTTCTACAATGGTCCTATTGAAAAGGCGACCGCGTTCTTTGAACCGGTTCTCTCACTGCAGTGCGCGCTTGGCAAGGCCGATATGATGTCCTATACAGAGGTGAATAGACTCGCCAATGTCGAGCCAACACCAAAAGGTCGGAAATGGATTGGAGGAACCGAGATCAGCTTCCCACTGGAAGAGAAGCTGGCCCACGAGCTCTGGCTTGAGTTCGATCGCCTTATGCATCTTTCCCCCACCATGGACAACAGCGTACTGGCGTTTGAGCTTCTGCCCTATGGGCAAGTCACCAGTGTACCGATTGAGGCCACTGCATGTGCCAACCGTGGCCACTCTTACAATGCGGGATTACTCTTGTGCTGGCAAAACCCTGACGATGACCCAGTCGTCACTCAGAAAGGTAGGGCACTTTTGCGCAACATTCGAAGGTGGCAACCGCTCTCCTATATCGATGGCGATGACCACGTCCGGGCTTACGCTAATTACGCTGGTAAGTCTGCATTCGCTGTGGAAACGCATTTTGCTCACACATGCCAGGGCACAATTACAGTCCCAAGTACGTCTTTGGAGTCAACCTGCCGAGACTCCAAGAGTTGAAACGGAGGTACGACCCGCACAATGCGTTTCATAAATGGCACAATCTGGTCACTCCATCTGAAGATATTCCTCGGTGACATCGATTGACCCGCTCTCGCAATACTTGACTGCACACTGTATGGTCTCAACCTCCAAATCCTTGCAGGACCTTCAATCATATCGAAGCAGCGATACTCTCATATTAACTACTCTTCTCGTGAAGAGCTTTTGATTGCACATCTTCGTCCCCTTCGCCCACAATCGTCAGCTTTATCTGCCCCCAGTGTATTTATCGCGTTTACCGGCTTAGTCGAACGTAGAATGACAAAATCTTCAGGACTCCGGTGTCGTAGGGGATAAGGTTATAGGTCTATCCATTGTGCGTTGCAGATCTGTGGGATCTCCCCCAAGACCCTCTCTTGCTGCGATAACCAACGAGAGAGCTGGGGGTAGTAGAAGAGTACTCTTGTCCCAACCATAGCCTGATTTTTGTTTTCATTTTCTGACTTTGCTAGCAGCTCTATATTGCAAAGCTCAGAAACTCGGATATGGATGTATCGTACTTTACTATTCGACTTTCCGAGGAAGTGCCCATTTCTAAGGGTTACCTTCATCGATATCGAGGAACGAACGCCAAACAGGCGAATAAATAGGCAAAATAAAGTATTTCAAACTGGCTTCTGTGGCAAAGATCAGAGCGCTCTGGCACGTCGACGCCTAACTGATGGTTGATGATAAACATCTATAGCTTGGGCGAGGGTCTCGTGAGAATTCATGTTTGAACGTCTTCAGCCTCGTAACTTCAACGACAGCGAATTTGGTAGAGTGAGTGCGAGTTGCCGTCAGGTTCAACATTGCCAGCGCCAATACTAGTACAGGGTAGTTGACATTGCTTCTTTGAATGCCATGTGGTCCCTCGTACCACGACAGCCAAGTCTTGGGGGCCGTCACTGGTGCGTATCTTAGACAATGCCCCGCTCGTGGAACGCTCTCGGCCGCGACCCGAACCACGGACGTGCATATCGACTGGACACGGATCCCCATGGCTCCAATGTGGATCTTAGTCCCGCTTTCATTGCTTCCATGTTTTACTAGAAATCTGAGAGACGACTGAAGAAGATATCGATCAGACCACTGTATATCCGCGTCTCCGTAGTCACCAAATATCAAAGTCAGGAGAATCGACATCGGGTGGGAACAAAAAGCTTTTCTATCTCTCTCCCTCTCGGCTGACTTTGTACGGACACTCAAATTTAGGAATAATATCATGCAAAGAGAGATCTCTCGGGTTGCGATCATCGGCGTCGGCCAAGTCGGTGCTGCTGTTGCATATGCGCTCATCCTCGGCTGCGTCGCTGATGAAGTCCTCCTCGTTGATATCCGCGGAGAATGGCGGGACGGGCAGGTGCGCGACTTGGCGGACGTGGCATATGCAGAAGGGAGCAGGACCCGTGTCCACGCCGCCGACTTCCGTGAAGCCAGCCAGTGTGACATTGTGGTGATCACGGCTGGTTCAAAGTTCTCTTATGGTACGTGCATGCGCATGTAGACACACACAACCGCAAGCCGCTATATTGAGGCGGCAGGAATGTATCGGCCGATAAAGTGGGCAACATATGCTAAAGCCTGCCTAGGACAAACCAGCCTGGACTACCTGTTCCGAAACACGGGGATCCTCAGGTCTGTGGTCAACGAGATGAAGCCATTCAGATCAGATACCATTCTGCTTGTCGTCGCAAACCCAGTCGACCTCTTGACTTCGCTGGCCAAGGAGCTTGCTGGACTACCCCCCTCTCAGGTCATAGGGTCGGGAACTTTGCTTGCTTCCGTCCGGCTTCGCGGGCTGTTGGCGGACAGTGTTAACGTATGTTGCAATTTCCCCCCCCCCCCCTCTTGGGCGAGAGGCAATACTAAGAAGAGGGCACAGGTTGCACAGAGTTCGATAGATCTATATGTGCTCGGGATCCACGGCGACGAGGAGGTTGCCGTCTGGTCAACTGCAACAATCGGCGGCGTGCCTCTAAAGCACGCCCTCCCTGCCGCGAGTGAGGACGCGGAGAAAGAACGGCTCGCACGGGAATGCAAAACGCGGTCGCGCAGCATTGTCAGCGCCAAGGGGGCAATGTCCTTTGGGATTGGATCCGTCGTCTCAAGTATCTGTACCTCGATCTTGCAGGACAAGCGCAACGTTCGACCGGTCAGCCACTTCCAGCCGGAGTTTGGATGCTGTTTCAGTTTGCCTGTTGTTCTTGGACGCACGGGCATTATTCAAGGGGTCCCTGCGGGCTTAAGCGCCGCGGAGCAAGAGGCTGTGGTGAGGTCTGCGAAGGAGTTGAGACGCACGCTGGATAGGGTATCGGAACAGTTTTGATCATTTATTGTTTGTGACCATCATCGCAAATTGTATTGAAACTGCAACGAAATTGCAAATTCTCATTTCAAGGGACACACGAGAACAACCAAAGTAGTCACGCCGTACATGCATTACTTCTAAACAGGCTCATTGGTCAGTGGATGACACATGTTCCTCTTCAGTGCTACAAGCCTGTTCGGACTGACGGAGATTGAATCAGTATACTGCTTTGCGAGGAACTGAGCGAACTCCGGGTGATCGCACTGATACCAACCTTGCACCCCTTTTGCGGCAGACTGCGATAACCTCTGCAATCATCCACTGGACTCCTTGTCCTGCTAGCTAAACAGATCGGCCAGCTTCTCTGAGTCCCGGTGGATTCCGAGGGTCAGCTGCGTTAGGTCTTTCGAGCCAATCGAGAATCCATCTTTTTGGGATTTGAGAAGTGGCTGTGCGGCTGTCTGGGAGATCTCAGAGGAAGAGGACGCTGCGATGCGGTTGTGCCTTATCAGGTGCACTTGGGATGGAAGCGATGGCAGGGCGCCGCGCATGGCCCTTGCGAGGGTCAACAAACTCATGACATTCATGCTACTCTTAAAGTGTGTATGTGGTGATCTACCTCCAGCAGGTCTGGTACCCCAGGAACTGCTATAAAGCTCACTGATCGTAGGTGATATATATTATGGGGGCTCCGAGAAAACCAGCGTCGCGTGCCTAATCTCTGCCCCCTGAAGGAACGCCTTGATCCTCGCAAACTCCTTGAACCCTTCACTCTCCGCAAACTGCATATGCTTTTCGACATTCTCCCACCCGAAAAACAACACGAACTCCTCCTTCGAATTCCCCTCCTCACCAGCCTCCTTATCCTCCCTCCACGCGCCCCATATCCCCTTGCTCCCATTGAATTCCTCAAGATGATGCTTCGTTTCATATAAGGTCCGCTGGAAAGCCTCCTTATCGCCATCCGAGAGGAAATACCTCCCAATAGCAACAACATCAGCCTTAAGCGGACGCTCCTCCTGATTCCCCGTTGCATCCGACGAAGGGATGTGAAGATGTTCCAAGAAAACGAGCTCCACATCCGCCGCCAAACCACCCATAATCGCCTGATTCGTCTCGGACGGAATCCACTCGTCGACATGCCGCGAGACAGACGCCCATTTCCCGAGGATGTAGAACACGCTCGGATCTTCGATCTGCGATAGCACGTGTGTGGGCGAGTTCGTGTATCGTGCTTGTTCTGGGATTCCCTCGCGCAGCTTGCGCAGTGTGTCCTCATTTGCTGGGGCTGTGATGGGTTGGCCGTTTTTGAGCCGGAGGCAGGCGAGCTCGCGGACGGGCATGTTTGCGTTGGGGCGCGTAGGTATGGAATCTCTGCAGACCAAAGTGACTGGCGCGGAAAATACGTTCTGACGAAGAGAGTGACTTTGTGAATATGCGCGTGTACTTTGTGGCAGGGTTCAAGGTGTTAAGTAGTACACGATGTACGCCGACGCCAGTAAGGCAGCAAGGCGTGACGACAGACCACTCCTGACGGAGCTGCTGCCCATGATCGTGAGTTCTATTTTAAGATCGACTTGGCCAACTTGGGAAGTAGGCTAGCCAGGAAGGGGAAGGCGCGGTCGTATGCCAACCCAAATTGCCAGCCAAGCCTGGACAGTCCGCGGAGGGTCCAGGGCTTCGTACGATAGCCTACATCGTACAGTAATATCTGCTCGAAACCTTATCAGGAAAACCAAGGGGAGTGTTATTAAGCGGCGCAATCTTAATATGACCAGAGAATCTGGAGGGTGGTTCAACGCTTAACACGTAGTGTCAGGGTATGCCGGGTGAGTTCGGGTCGCCCAGTTTGAGGTTCTTACCCTGTATGGGGGATTTTTTTTCATCCTACCGTGGCTTAGGTGAAGGAGAAGGGGGCAAATGAATATTTCGACTAGTTACACTGTCTTATCTGGATGAAATACGGTGCTTGGCCTCAAGGGTATGAATTACTACCTGGGAGGATTCTAGCGAAGTCTTACGGAGTTGAAGAAGATTAACGGCCTGATCAATTGAATACCCTTGCGAGCGGGGAGGTCAGATACTTGATAATTGGGCAAAATACCTCAGCCAGTAGAGAAAGTAGACGTCCGTGCGTCAGGCGTGCAGAATGTGCAGAGTGTACAGATATTGCTGGGCAAGGACAGTATTTCGATGAGACGACTTTACGTGAGCGATTTGTATAGACAGCTGCCGATGAATCGCTGTGTGTAGGTTCCTCGCACTTCGCAAAACAGGGTCAAGTATTGGAGCATCGCCCTGATGGGATAGCACGATCTCAGGTGCCTTGATAGCCAAAAGAGGGTTGTCACTTGGTAGACTCAGTGTTCCAAATCGGGCTACGGAGGGAATATCTGGAGACCGGAAGGTCTAGTACAGACTAGAAAAACAGACTTAGATTATCCAAACGAATGACAGTATACTAGAATTAACAAAGGACAGACATAGAAAGGAACTAAAACTGATCAACACCCTCACCCCACAGACTATAGGCTTCACAGCAAAGCCAGACATTATCAGGGAAAGTCGCACTTCCATCGGCAAAGGGCCCCACTGGCCGAACTGAAAGGAAGCACTTCAGATTTTATTCGGAATCGCAGGAAGTCGTTTGGACCCTTTTAGTGGGTGCCCAAACTGGATGGGCCATTCGGATTCCACAACACAATCTAAGTAGAAAAGAATGACCTCAAACGAGCACACACGAACTGACAAAGACGCCATGGGGCTGGTGTCTTAAAAATGCCCGTGATACAGTCAATCAATCAGTTGAATGAAGCTGATACAATTGTCCATAGCATTCTTCAGGGCTAAATTATCCCCAATCCCGCATTTGCCACGGTCTCCAAGCCCTGGAAGACGGCGAGTTCCACCGAAGGGCTTGCTGGGGCTGGTGCAGATACACCATCATGGATCTCATGTCTGGCATCATAGGCTTGTGGAATTAAGCATGCAATAAATGTACCAAGCCCAGAAACAGCGATCTATCCATCAGGGTGCCACCTCCAAGTCCATCAATTCCGCCCCGCCCAGTAGCCCACCTTCTCTTCTCCCGCAACCCCTCATGCTTGGCATGCAACAATATTCTTCCACCACTCAGAGTAATCCCTTCATCATATATATAAATGACCCCGCGCTCATCCAATTCGCAATTTCTCTCCCTCCTTCACTTATTCCTTCACATCCTCTAGCACGAAGAGCGAGACAAATAAGCAACAATGTCACTCAAATCGCACGCCGAAGCCCTATCCGCCTCCCTCGCAGCAGCCAACCTCGTCCCTGGCTCCGCACCATTAATTCCTGATTCCTTCACACCCACGACGGAGCTCGGGATTGCATTTGGCGAAAAAGGCGTTTCGCTGGGGAATTTATTCCGTGTTAGCGAGGTCAAGGGTGCGCCGACGGTTTCTTTTGCGAAGGAGGTGAGTTGGACTGGAGCCATGCGACCCATGTTCTATCCTTATTGGACATGAAAGTTGCTGTGTAGGAGAGCTAATATAGAGCCTCAGGATAATGCCCCCGAGTCCTCGAGCTACACACTCCTCCTCGTCGACCCCGACGCTCCGACGCCCGATGATCCCAAGTTTGCGTACTGGCGCCACTGGGTCGTCTCTGGCCTGAAGCCCTCTGAAAGCGCCGAGGGAAAGGTATTGACAGAATACTTGGGTCCAGGCCCAAAGGATGAGTATGTGTCCTCCTCTCGTACATTCTGCTCCGCCATCAGTTAGATGCGAGCTCCTCGGAAACCGTCATCAAGCTAATATAGTTGATACAGCTCTCGTCCACACCGCTACCTCTTCCTCCTCTTCCGAGAACCCGAGGGTCTCGCTCTCGAGAAAGAGGATGTTGGCGGGGAGGAATTCGTACAGCGACGTTCGTTCCAGGCGGCGGAGTGGACGGCGAAGCATGGGCTTACTCTTGTTGGTGTTAATTGGATGCTTGGCGCTGGAGATGGGTGGAAGGAGTAGATGGTTATTATAAAGCTACTGTCGGGAATCCGCGGTATAGGCGCCGCAATAAACAGTCATGTCTATCATTTTGCACAAGTGTTGTTGTTGTTATATGATGCCGACTTGGATATACATAGATTGTTCCCCCACGTCTTGCAGCCCTGCTCTGTTGATCGGGTAAGCTAGCCTGGCCATGGGACACAGATTTGAGCGTGCGAGTCTAGTACTGTCGATGTGTAGCAGACTGGCAAGAACACGAATCAAACATTGTTCATCACCGATGTAATCTTACACATCCGACAAGGGCCTGTGGGCTGGAGTGTACCAAGACATCGGGCATGCCTAACCAAGTCTCTTTAAAGAACCTGTCGATTGTACAAACCATGATCGGATCTAAAATACCCCGGCGTTATCCAAGACGTTTGTGAACAGGCGGTGTATTTCATTTGGTTGTGTTGACCTAGTATGTTTGCATCAGCTCCCTGATGCAAGGGGTCGGGCACCGTTATCGATTGCCAACTCATGAACATCCCACCATCCCACAACCGGAGCTGAACACTGATACGGGGGCTGAATTTCAGGCGGGAACCCCGATAGGAGAGCCAGGACAATGCACAGGACAATCCGCACGCTTACCAGGTGACCCCGGGTCCGCTTTACGCTGGGTCAACCCGGGCTCGATCCAGAGTAACCGCATACACCCTATTCTCCCAAAGAAACCCACCAGGATCCTGCTGATGCGAATATAACCAGCAGCCTCATGCCTATTTACATTTCCCCGCGCAGTGTCATCTAATCATCGCCAAATCAGCAAAATGGCCTGCACAATCCCACCCAAAACCTGGGAAACCGGCTTCGCGCGCCCCACCGGGTCATACTCCTGGCAAGACGAAGCAAAGTTCACTTCGCAAACAGGCGAGCGGTCGCACTACTCCATTCCGCCACATATTGAACCGCCGAGCTCGACCGTGGGAAACACCCTTGGGGTTGGCGGTCTCCGGACGTGGCCGAGCTATTATGATGGGACCGCGTACGCGGTGCCGGAGTGGTTTAGGCCGGCGAGGGAGGTGGATGTGCTGATTTGCGGTGGTGAGTCTTTCCAGTGGTATAGATGTCCATTGAATAAGACAATTAGCTGACGCCGATACAGCGGGTCCTTTTGGACTACAGGTTGGACTCATCTTGGCGCGGCAAGGGATCAGCTTCCGAATCATCGGTAAATCCTTTTCACATAGTCCAGGACCAGGGGCACTGATAGTACAAAGACAAAGCAAACACCCCCTGCCTCTCCGGGCGAGCAGACGCGATCCATCCACGCGGCCTCGAACTCCTCCACCAATGGGGTCTCGTCAACGAGGCGATAGAAGAAGGGCCCCTCCTCAATTCCACTGCCATCTACCGCAACGGCGTCCAGCTCTTCCACAGCCACGAACCGACGAGCGACTCGCGGTACCAGGGCGCTACTGTCATCACGCAGGGCCAGATGGAGCGCATCTATATCCGTGATCTGCTCCGCCACAAAACCGTCGTTGAGCGGGAGACCATTGTTGATAGCTTTGAGGTGTTTGATGGCTCGGGGTCGAGTCACCCGGTGCAGGTCAATTTGAAGAACATTGGGAATGGCAGGGAGGAGATGGTGCGGGCGAAGTATCTGATTGGGGCTGATGGCGCTGCGAGCAGCATCCGTGAGCAGTTGAAGATCAAATTTGACGGGCTGGCTACGGATATTTACTGGGCGATTCTGGATTGTCGGTTCAAGACGGATTATCCGCACATGTATGGGCTGAGGTGAGTACTCCTGGTCGTTGAATTGTACTCGGCTAATGGGTTGCAGCATGGTGATCAGCGCCGAACACGGAGGATCGATCATCATTCCTCGCGAGGAGGGCTACACACGGTAAGCCACATTGCCATGTCAACCGGACTCGGCTGATCATTTCATTTTCCAGCTTCTACGTCCAGGTAAGCGGTGAAATGGCACGACGGCTACATGAAAAGCGACAGGCGAGGAAAAATGCGTCGTCTGTAGGACAAACACGGATTGACGATCACGGCATCACACCCGAGGAGGCACTGGAGCAGCTGAATAAAATCATGTCGCCTTGGAAAATCGAGTTTGCCTCGCCGATGAGCTGGTTCTCTGTCTGGAAAGGTGCGCCACAGTCAATCTCTCTGCGGTCATAATTAACAATAGAACAGTCAACGAGAGGGTAGCGAGGCACTTTTCCTCTCCGGACTTGCGAGTCCATTTGGGCGGGGATGCTGCGTAAGTCAAGTTCCATATTCTAATTCACAGTCCTAACAGCATGGCAGCCATGTGCACAGCGTCCTCGGTGGCTTTGGCTTCAACTCCTCCATGTACGACGCCGCCAACCTCGGCTGGAAACTCGGTCTCTGCATCAAGAAGCAAGCCGAGCCAACAATCCTCCTCCCAACATACGACAGCGAGCGACGAATCTTCGCCAACAGGGTAATCCGCTGCTCCGGCGCGTACCTGCGCTTTATTTGCAACTCGCATCTCCCACTTGCCGCACTGCGCGGCCTCGACGAGAACCTCGAGACTCACGATGAGGTCTTGCCGAAGCTGGATAATACGCCCGAATCGGACTTTCAGTTCGTGTATACGTTCTACAGGCGGCATGCGATGTTCTTGCTTGGAATCGAGTGGCCCATTATCGAGTCGTCTATCTGTCCGCCGGATACTCGGGCCGAGCAGAGGCCCGTGTCCCTCCGGAATGGAGTTCGTCCGCCGAATCCACGAGTTTGTCTCGAAACCAAATATACAGCATACCTATACGATAAAATGGGAGGGGTCTCGCGTTTCCATATCATCATCTTCGGATCGGATATGCAGGGCCCGGTCCGGAAGCAGCTGGCAATCTTCTCGCAAAAGGCGTTCCGGAAGAACAGCTTCTTCCACCAGTACGGTGGCAAGGACCGATTCAACATCATCCTCGTCGCAAAGGTCTTACCCCACGAAGCGGCAACCTTACTGGGACCACGCGACGGCGAAGAAGACGACCTGAAATCCCTCCGCGAGCAAGCAACCGTCGTATTCGACGACCGCGTCCCCGACGACGACGCACACTATTGGTACGGAGTGAATCACGCGCGCGGGGCAGTCGTTGCTGTTCGTCCGGACTTGGCTGTCGGGATCAGTATCTGGCCGGAAAACGTGGAGGAGCTCGATGCGTATTTTGGGTCGTTCCTTGTGCGACAGACTGCCGCACGGCCGGAGAATGCAAAGGGTGCTGTGGAGGTTGTCAGCAACGAGGTCAGTGGTTCCGAAGGGAGCGACAAGGGAGTTGCCGCGCATCGGAGGAGGTCGATTCGGTCGTGGATTTCGGATATTCTGGCGTAGCCATGTGGCTTGAGCTGAGCCTGGTTTGAAACGCATATATCGAAGTCCTTGGTCTACCAGAGTCAATACAAAGGAGTTAGCTGTGGAGCAGTATGTGCGAAGTGCGCGTTTGTAGTTCTTGTGCAAGGTCACACTAGCAAGGTGGTACTAACCCGTAGGCTGGAATGACCTGCATGCGTATACAATTCTCCGAGATTGTTTGCGACTCGAAACGGTTGCACGGTGTACGACCATGTGTGCTCACTGGCATCTAGACCCTTTGGTCCGAACGCTGATGACTGATCCCTCGGACCTGAACTTTGTGTAAACAGTATGACCGCATGTCATATCGTGTCGTATCCGCAGAATGATTCTCAACACGGCACGGAGGATGTGACAGAAACACGCCTCGTCATCAGCACGCAAACCGTTGGGTAGGGTGGCATCGACGAGCGAGGTCGTAGCTGACTACATAGCGCGCCAAAGGACAGGAAAGTTCACGGTATACGAGGATGGTTGCACAGAGGTTGCAATTGTCCCAAAATATTGCCGATCCGTGATAAATTGGTTAAGCAATCAGCGGCAATTCCTCCAAGATTCGGCGACCTGAGAATCTGACGTGCGGGGATTTGTTAAAGTTCAAGATAGTTTGTGATACGAGCCGATATGCAAGGACCCTAGTTGATGACCCTGCCTTGCTTCAAAGACCGGCCTTTTCAGATTGATCTACTCTAGTATGGCGTGTGCAATAGACAAAGTGGTACCAAGTGGCGTTCTCGGTTGCTTGCACTGGTGATTTCCCAAGAGGAGAGAAGTTAAGATAGTTTAGACCGTTTATCAACATGTATACCAAGTCATCCGAAACTCCAAAGATAGGCATCTGCCCGGCAAAGGCACCAACACCGCGTAACTCCAACGTCGTAATCGTGATATATCCAACACCCCGCTGCATGTCTCAGTTGGAACGCCTAATCATCAGTCTTGATGACCGCGGAAATGGAAAACTTTGTCACCGCCTCAAACATGGCGCCGAGTTTGTCGGTCGAGCAGACGGCCTGGATACATACTTTACGCTGGGTTCCTGCAGAACTAGAAGGTGTGCTGGCGTCCTTGTCGGATAACGAGGCACAAGAGAATGGGGGAGTCAGTTTTGGAGAGGAGGTGCTGGATATCCTGTTTTGTAGCATTATGTCGTTGTAGGCATTACCAGTGAATGCGCAGTCAAGAGGCATTTCTGCTGCATGGGGTACTGCACGATATTAGTTCCAGTAGGAAAAAAGCAGAAAGGTAAACGAACCACTTCTCGATAGTGCCATGAGCTCTGGGTCGATGTCGAAAACTGGGGCATTGGAAGGCATGGACAGCCAGTCAATACCATGGCGTGTCGTATCGCATTGGAAGCCAGGTGTCTCCTGGGTAATGTCGAAAATCGGTTCGCTGGACGTGGACGGAAAGAGGTCGTGGTCGCTGCTTGCCCTCGAGTGCTCCCACAGGACCTCCTGCCACGAGCCAAAGTCGATCGACCCATCCACCCCGAGAACACTGTTGACCCCATCACTTGGATCGTTCTTCAGCCGTCTTTGAAGAATGTGATATCTGTTCTTCGCTGCAAGGCTCGTCCTCCCGGGAAAGTACAACGAGACGATCTGCTGCCAGTAGTGGCCATGTTTGTTGACGTTTTGAATCAGCATCTGGTCCTGTGCCATGTCAGAACGTCTCAGAATATGGATGGTGAACAAACCTCTTGCGGCGTCCAAGGACTATGATCAATCTCCGGATTAATAGCGTGACTCCATCGCTTCGAACACTGGTCCGGCAATCTGGTCCCCACGGCCGATGCCACAATCGCCCACTTTGTCCCATGCCGTTCAATCGCCTTGCGCAGTCGGTCGTCCTCGGCTTCTGTCCACGGTCCTTTCTTCACCTTTGCCGCTGCTGTGCCATACCATCGCTTGCGGCAGTCTTTGTTCGTTCTCCCCGGTAGAAACGCGGCAATCTCGTGCCAACTGACGTTGTCACCCTTGGATTGTGCTACAGAGAAGTGGTTAGTATACCCCGACGATCTAGACTCGAGTTCACGACGTACCGATTTTCACTTCTCGTTTGAGTATCACATCCTCTTCTGGTGTCCAGTTTCTTCTGGGTCGGATCATGGTCGAGCCTGCTTCACGGCTATAGAAATAATCAGCCATCGAGTTGAATAGCTCTCGATTGTTTAGTATGAAGTTTGGCAAGACCGCGATTACACCCCACTCTGATGATATATGATCTTCTGCACCCAACAGCCACCCACAACCCAGAGCAGAGCCATTGAGCGCCTTGGCTAACGGGTCGAGCTGCGCTCGTGCCGGCCTGTAGCCTGGCACAGCCAGTTGCGGTGCGCCCTACGGCAGCGAGGTGAGATAACATACGACTGTCGCGCTGCCTGGACCCCACGTTGCTCACAGTCGTTCCAATTCGTCGAATAGCGAGCTGGTCAGGCCGCGGAGAACAGCTTGTGTAACACAGTCCAAAAGGCCATGCAGGCATCGCGACGCACGGGGGGTGGGCAGCAGCCAACCGGACCGATTCTCTTTCGCTTTTTCTTCCCTCGCCCGCTCGCATGGGCGAACACACGAGCGTGGCTGGCCTTGGCCCTGTCGTATCTTTGGCTCGACGGCATCCCAAGCGTTGGTCTAAGTTCGGCCGTGGAGTGCTTTCTTCACACTACGGAAGCGTCCGCTGCGAATGATTGTAGCCCCACCAGGCCACGGGCCCCGACGATCCCGACATTAGAGCCAATCCTCCGTAAACTTTCAATCAACATTGTGATACTGTCGCATTACCCTTGCCATCGAGCAGTCCAAAGCTGCCGCGGTCAGGGTCCGCCAAGAGGGTCTGCCAGCTCCCACATGGCATGCATTGCATTCCCTCCGAGAAAGGAGCGTATGACCAGGGCCTCTAGTAAGATAATCACCACGCGGGCCTGCGCGAGATGCGAATCCTCGCTTAGATTGGCCCCCAAGGGGCACATGCCAAGCCAGCTGAGATGAACGCCGATCCGACCATGCAGGTCATCGGTGACTTTGGTCAGATTGCTGCGTTTCCTGGGCTGCAATCTGAGGCACAGCAGGCGCGAGTCTTGCCGTCGAAGATGACGACAGGTGCCGGCCAGCGCCAGTGATCGATGATGCTGATTTGCTGCCTGCCAACGATAATCTGTTCGTGGCTCGGATGGCGCGACCGAGCGTCGATAGCCGAGGATTGGCGATCATTTAAAGAACTGGAGCGTATGCATTGGGTGATCTATCGCACGGCCGCCAGAAGCGATTAGAGCATCGGCCTAGATAACAATACTTGCCATCCTCACACTTATTTTGGACTGACTGAGACAATTGCGGAAGATCGGAAATTGGGTCTTGGTTCATATACTCCAAGACTGTTATGCATCCATCTCGGCCCGTCGCATTGCTGTTCAATGTAGAACCCTGCCTCTGCATCCCTGGCAAGCGCTGCAGCGGATTGAACGGACATTTGAGTGAACACGAGGGTGAGCACAATATTACCCTTTGGGCGGAACTCATATTGGCTTACTCGGCCGATGGAGTGCAGGAAATGCAGTGAGAATAGTACTGTTTTATTCTTAGAAACGCTCTGTTCAAAGTTCCCCTGGGCTAGTTGAGTAGCCACAGAACCAATACTGAGAACAGCTGTAGCAGTGCTCTCCATCGCTGGGTTGCGCCAGCCCTCTTCCCTCTCAACGCCACCACTATACCCAACCAAGACAATGCTCAGCTTCCCTTTGGGTAAACCTAACACCGCTCACTCAGAAAATAACTAGTAACATCCAGCTCCCCATCCCCCCTAAACAACACAGCCAAATAACTCTGCAGCCCATTCCCCGTCTCCAACGTCCTCTCCCCCGCAATCCGCTCCAGCATCCTAACATAATTCCCCACATACACGCCCCGCCCCTCTCTCTCCATAAACCGACACGTCCCCTCCGCACTCATCCGGTCATTCTGCCCATAGTGGCTCAGCGCAGCGTAGAACTTGATATCCGGCACCTCAGCACCAGGCGCGATATCAAAGTAGTAGAGGTAATACGCCGCCCGACGCAGCGGCGAGTTTCCCGTCCCGAAGCCATGATAGACAGGGACATCCGCGTCGTCGGGGTAGTTTGCTGGAAGCCCCGTGATTTCCTCGAGGAGAGAATGTAGCTTGCCCAACTGCGCCTCGAGATGCGGCGTCGAGATGCGCCCGCCGAGGGTCATGATCTCGCGCACAGAGGCAAACGTCGTCTTCGGGCAGCGGAAGTAGAATTTCACCCGCGAGTCTGTTCGGCTTGTTGGGGAGGTCGTCCCGTTATCCAGCGCGAGACCCGTCGGGATGAGCGCCTGCCCTTCGGGATTTGTCTTCAGGAACTCGGACAGGACATCAAGCGCGGACGTCGCGTTTTCGCCGTGCGTAGCCAACGCTCCTCGCAATGAGGCATCCCACCGCTCCCAAGGCAAAAGTCTCTCCCCCGCAACCCGGGGGAAGAAGTACGTCTTGAGAGTCAACCCATCATGCAAATAATCATGGCCAAGCATCACGGTCGTCGCGAGCGGGACGCCGCTCTTCTCGTTCGCAACCCAGTACTTGGTCTCCGGGTCAAAGCACGTAGATAGGAAATGGTTCGTCCAGTCGAGGGAGAGCGGCATGCGCTCGTTGAACCCGTGTAGGATTTCTTTTGTCGAGAGTTGGTTCAACGGGTCCAGTGCGGTCCCGCTGTGTGGCCCTATCGGCTCGAACCCGATGCGGATGTCGGGTTTGCTGGAGGGACTGCTCGAGTTCCATTTCCAGGAATAGACCATGGACACGCCGCTGCCTGTCAGGATGCAGTTCCACTTCAACGACCCGTCGGGGGCTGGGGCGGAGCCCATGTATGGGACCTAGACGGTCTCTGTTAGTCAATCCGCTCTAGGACTGGGGTTCATCAAAGCGGGGAAACGTACAGTCCAGTAATAGTGTATAAGCAAATTCTCATACTGCCGTTCCTTCGAGTACCCAGCCTCTTCGAACATTGCCGCCATGTGCGGACCGGTGAGGTCCCACCAGTAATCCGCGTCGGGGTTTCTGCGGGGGAGCCATCGGGAGATGGTTTCGAAGACAGAAAGGTCTCCGGACCGCTTGGCTAGTGTCCTCTCGCCCTTGGCAGCCACGATTTGTTTAGCCTTGGCATGTAAAAGATGATACCTAGTCTTGAGTCCAGGGTATATCTACCTTGGCAGCACCGTTCGACGCCGACATTGTTTGCTTATTGCGCTGGCTTACTGTTGAAATCTCACGGGGTAAGATGAGGATATTGCATGGACCAGATGCACCTTTGCTCTCGATGGATCGAGTTTCTGTTTATATGCCCTCTGGGCTGCCGCACCACCACGACCAGCGATACGACAAACACGCCCTACGCGGGGAAAGTATAGCACGCGGGGACCGGACCCAAAACCAGGGAATTCGTACCAGAGGCTCAAGCGGGCAGTGGCCTATCATCATTGTCACGATCGAAAGGAAGGACGATACATGGCAAATCAGAGCATACGGAGGGTTTCTGTCCCAGCCGGCAGCGCGGTGCACGGGCACGGGGGGTGAATTGTTTCAGCCTCCAAGTCTGAGTACTGAGGGCTCACTACAGCAGCGAAGCGGCGGGGGCTAGATGGGATCGTCGAATCCGTGGTCGCGACTCACGTCCGAATGTCCGAGGCGATGACAAGGGTCGGGGGAATGACTATTCGTTGCGTATCGAGGTCTTGACGCTCGTATTTGCTTACTCTCAGCGCGCACCGGCATCGGAACAGCTGGGATTCTGCCAGACCCTGTGAGATCCTCCATGGCCCGCAGGGGCCTCGACCATAAGTGATATCACTGACTAGGGGTATGTCGTTCGGGATGCATGCAGCTGATCGGAAGATAAAAAGCGCACTAGGCCATATCAAGGGTCCGAGCGTGGCACGACAAGACAGAATCCACAGCGCTATCGGCGAGTGATCTCAACTCTAAGAAACTGGGTGGCCGGAACAAAAGCTGTTGGCAGCAGAGCTGAAGATGGAGGCTGTTTCGAAACAGACCGAACCCCTTGATCCGAAGAAGGAGCGAAGGAGCGAATCCCGTCCACCTAAGCAGGCAAGCCGCGAACTGGAACACCGAACACGAGGGCTTGCACACGACGGTGCGATGTAACTGGCGATTACATCCCAGAAGGTGGCCAGCAGGAGGTGCTGTTGGAGGGGCGGCCCCCGAACCCTGAGTTGGGGCGGCGGGGTTCGCAATCCGCCCGACGCGGACAGGGCTCGGGGATACGCACTTGGCTTGATTGTCGCTTGTCATCTCCGGATACGACCCGTTGAGTTGGGGCCGATTTTTCGGAGTTGCAGGAGGTCTGGATCGTTGGGATCTGCATCCTGGTTGTTCTGATCGTTTCTGCTTGATATCATTATGCATCTCTGCTCTCACCATGAGGGTGGAATGAACCAGGGGAAAGATTAAGGATAACTCCGCACTGCCAATAAACATCGCAGGTTTCTAGAGCCTACTTAGGTTATAAGTTTGCTCGAAGTGAAAGACTGCCTCTTTCTCAGTGCCATACTCGTCGTGCACTGAGGAATTCGGATATATATATCGGTGTTCCAGGTGAAGCATTTGCAGGGTCATGCGCTAATGATTGGAACTTATCGAGGGATAATTATCATTTTTTTTTCTTTTTTGCGACACGTAGTTAATAAGCGCGAGAAGCAGTTGTCTCTCATGGTATTACGTTGAATCTTCGTGGTTGAAGCCGATGGTCAGATAAAGGGGCCAAAAGGGCGCCCTTGGTCCCTCGGAGCAAACGCCGATCGGAGGTCTCGGTCGTAGCGTTCGATGATAACCACGTTTATTGGCCGAACTCCAGGCACCGCCCCTCAATGTGGGGATTTGTAGCCTAATCCCCAGGCACGCACAAACTAGCGTAGGAAGCCTAGTCCAGACGACCAGGTCAAAAAAAAGGATATCGTCTTGGCCGTCGTCGTGAGACATAATCGACGGATACTCGATTTCTACTTCGCACACTCGCAACCTTGGGAATCTTGGTTCAATACTGCACATTGAGTACAATGGGTAGGTCAGAAGCACCATCAAACCCTCACGGGCAAAGCAAAAAACTAATAGCGGCGTCTAGGTTACTCCGAGGTGCGGCACGACAGTCTATTGCCAACTTCATCATCTGGTTTGAGAGACTGACAACCACCAGGCATACTGCCACCTCTGCGGTGTCAGCTTCAATATCTCCCGTTACCGACAGGTCGGGGAGCCTGAGATAGCTACCTATGGCAGCAGTGATGGTATGGACGCGGAAATCGAATGTTTAGAGCTCGAGGAGTGTATGAAAAACGGGTGCACATTTGTTCTGAAATTCCTTAAAGAGGAGGACGATGATCTCGAGAATGATCCGGACTATGAGCCCGACGAGGCGGATTATGACGGGAAGTTGTACGAGTATGGCTCTGACTATGAATCCGACGACGCGATGAGTATCTCCGCCGAGGACGAACACGAGCAAGAAGATAGTACCGAAGAGGACGCTCTGTATCGGGACTTCCTGTCAAAGACAATCCATCGCCGGCCTCGAGTCGGCGAGCCCGTCGGAGCCTACCTCTTCTCCCCGGAAACCCAGCGGACAGATACCCTCATCCCTATAACATCCGAATCACTCCCCGAGGAATATGATCCCGAAGACCTCGAACATCTCCCCGGACCAGGATGCAGACAGGCTCTCGCGTATCCCGGTGCCTCAATCTCCCTCGCAGAGATGCGAGGTTGTCGCACCGCGCAGTTCCTGGTTCATAAGACCTGCGGCAAGGGCAAGTGGAAGCCTGATGGCTTCAACGAGGACTGGGAGATGGGCGAGGACTGGTTCCTCTCCGGTGTGTGCGACGGTATGACGTCGCGCGACTGCGGCTTTCCGACTGTCTGGCCGGCGCGTGGCGGAGTGGCAGTTGTCGCGGCGGATAATATCAATTTTAATGTGAGTCACTACTTCTACCTCACAGCACTACGGTCGGTTGGTATAGAATCAGCCCATTCTAATGTAATTGAAACAGCCTGGGCAAACAGATCCAAACAGCATCGCCATGCCCTTCCACCCGTGGTGCTTCGACATCTTCGCTCGCCAGTCAAAAGTGCATTTCGGCCGGGTGAACGTCGACGGCCTTATGAAGTGGCGGAATGCAGAGAGCGGCTATGAGGAGTTCCACGAGTTCCCCCGGATTGCGGATGTTTTTGAGGCGCAGGAGCAGTGGTGGGAGCATGTTCCGGGAAAGGAGTATCTCGCTGCGAACCCGCTTTATGTGCCTGGTCTCCCTGCCTTGCTTCGAGGTGCGGCTGCGACGGATGGTGGTATGCACCACGAAGGGTTACCGGTTACTGGTGGAGGTATTGACCGCTTGGGAGCTCTACCACTGGATCTCCGCCTCCTCATTGTCAGCTTCCTCGGCTCTGATGATATTACGAATCTACGCGCGGCTTCTAGGGCATTTACGCACCTTCCTAACGGCGTCTGGTATCGACTGGTCCGGCAGGATATGCCTTGGTTGTTCGAAGCATGGGACGAAGAAATCCAGCATACGCCTTCATTCTGGACGACGATGACCGCGAACGAGATCAAGTATGTTGACAACGTCCGCGAGCGTTACTCGACAGTCTTGCGTAATGAACATATGGGCGAGGATGGGATTCTCGACCATCTACTGCCCTGGCAACGCGCGGTCACTGGCCAGATCAAGTTACCCAAGGCAACCACGAACTGGCACCAGGTGTACGTACAAATCAAGGGAAATTGGGGTAATCTTAAAGGATTACGCAACCGGCAGCGGATCTGGGAGGATATGGAGGAGATAATTCGGCGCATTCGGAAATATGAGAATCAGTCGGGGTCCGCAAGAGGGAACAATGATGATGAAGACCAAGATAGTTAAGGAACACGCAAAACGGTTTAGGTTCATAAGTGCCTCGCAATGAGACTGCGTTTCTTGTTGCCCTTTATTCCTTGGCGTTGGGTATCGTAGAAGTCAATACAAAACCACCGCCATCCGGGTAGGCATATGTGAGTAACGGCAGTAGAGCGTGAGGGTAACGACAGTACATGGTAGGGCTAATCAGCTTTTAATGCCGGAGCGGCCCGTCGTGTATTGTAAGACCCTCTATCCAAGGGCGAGTCGGCTCAGTGGGCAAGCCCATACAGCCGTCTCAGGCGTCGCAACATGTTTCCTCTCGAGTCAGATTCCGGGATCCGGCCGAGGCGCCGGGCCATTTTGACAAATTTAACCAATCAAAAAGGCGATGCGTTGAACGCCGTGGCCGCTCATCTGGCCTCCAGGCCCTAGTACGTCCGCCCAGGGAAGCATACACTACTTAATTGCAATCCGAACCTCCTCGCAGAACATGATTTTGTCAGAAAATACCCTGCTCTCATGATGGCCATACGTTCGAAACAAGTTTCCTGGGAGCGACCCCGTATGGGCATGGAGGGATTACCTAGTCGAAACAGGACGTGCTTCCATTGAGCTTCATTATGGTCGTCAACAATATAACCTTTTCTCAAAGGTTCGAGTTGAGATTGATATGCCAGACGTCGAATCCACCTTGCGACGGGTATGAAAGCAGCTTCGATACGAAAAAGCTGCAATTGCAGCGACCCTCGATGGCGACCGAAAGGTATACTAGACTCTCGATGAAGCCGGACTGGAGGAATGGATAGGGTCGACATTCCTAGCTACCGCCGTCAATGACACCGACTCCCTGACGTCAAAGCCTTTTCGCTACGCCACCTTGTATTACCTCCCAGCCACATCTGAACTCGTCTTTCGGGCACGTACATCACTGGGTCATTGACGGCATGGGAACCATCATGTTCTGGCCCTGCTTCGTGGGAGCTCTCGCATCGCCACACCCCGATATTTTTTTCGGCGGCGAACACGTACGCCTGCCGGCCCATCATAATGAAGCCCTCAAATACATGGGCTCTCCTACGCCAGAGCAATTGTCAGCCGCAACAGCCATGATAGCGGGCTACCTACAAAGCCTACCAGGGATCGGACTACCCTCTGAAATCGGCAAAGCACTAGCAGGTGCATGCTGCAATCAAGAGCACATCGCACATCTTCTCCAAGGAAACAACGGCCAAGATCATCGCGGCTTGCAAGGAGAAGAAAGTCAGTGTGATTTCGGCGGTGCGTACAGCGTATGTCTGCATGCTGGTCCAACAAGCGAGGAGCTGCTCAGCTCGACTTTGTTGTCTCCGAGGAGTGTAGTCCGATTAAGAATCGATCTGTTTCCAGTTAGTACTGCGAATGCAACGTCGGACATTATCTGAAGTCATATTATCTCACTCTTGACTGACTAACATCGCGTTCGTCACTCAGGTAGTGCCTTGGACTTCACCGATCGTAAAACGTACCGAGTATTTAATCCCAATCAGACCAGGAGCTGGCGATACGCAATTGCAGTCCAAAGATAAGAAGGTACACATGGATAAAAGATGCCGTTGTACTTTGTCACGCGACTTGTGTTACTTGCGCCCTGTGAATGCTGGAGTTGTTGTTATTAGGTAAATGGCCGGTTATCCTCGGTGGAGCCCAGAATATAAACTGGCGCGACCCCTCACTTTGTCCCTCCATCATTCCTCACCCGCACCAACACAAGATGGAGACCAGCACCACCACCCTCGCCGAATACCTCTTTACGCGTCTTCATCAGCTCGGCGTCGACTCCATCTTTGGCCTGCCCGGTGATTACAACCTGCAGCTGCTGGATTACGTCGCCCCGTCGCGTCTGCACTGGATCGGCAACTGCAATGAGTTGAATGCGGGGTACGCCGCCGATGGCTACTCCAGGATCAAAGGTACCTCAGCTCGCTTTTCTGCCTCGGCATCGGCGTCATCATCGCAATCATCGCAGTCTAATCTTCTCCTCGCTTAGGAATCGGTGCCCTCGTCACAACCTTCGGCGTCGGCGAACTCTCCGCCGTAAACGCAATCGCTGGTGCCTACGCCGAACGCGCCCCCGTCGTCCACATCGTTGGCACACCCGTCCGGCAGTCGCAGGAATCCCGCGCGCGCATCCACCACACCTTCAACGATGGCGAGTACGAGCGATTCGATCGCATGCAGGAACACATTACCGTTGCACAGGCGATCATAAATGACGTTCGCTCCGCCCCCGCCGAAATTGATCGCGTCCTCCGGGAATGCCTCCTCCACAGCCGGCCTGTTAGGATCGCTATGCCGCTTGATATGGTTTCGCTTCGCGTGCCGAAGATGTTGCTTGAGTCAAAGATAGCTATTCCCCTTGCCGCGCGGCAGCCGAAGGTTGAGGATAAGGCGTTGAAGGCGGTGTTGGAGAGGATTTACAATGCGAAGAAGCCGGTTATACTGGTGGATGGGGAATCGCGGTCGGCGAAGATTCTGGATGAGGTGGATCATATCGTGAAATCGACTGGGTGGCCGACTTTTACGTCGGGATTCGGGAAGAGTCTGATTGACGAGACGCTTCCGAATGTCTATGGTGTTTTCACTCCGCAGCACAAGGAGGTTTTCGATTCAGCTGATCTGGTGTTGTGCTTTGGTCCGCATTTTAGTAACACGAACACATATATCTTCCAGACCGTCCCGAAGCCAGAGGTCACCGTTTGTTTCAGTGCGACGTCCGTTCACGTCGGTACGGAGATCCTCCGCGATCTACCAGCGAACAACTTCCTGCCTCAACTCATCGGCCACCTTGACCTCGACAAGGTCGCCAAGTATGAACCCAAACTCACCCACCCCTTCTCCCTCGCCGCACCTGAAGTCTCCAGCACCGAGCTCGTCACACAAGTCGGCGGCTTCTGGCACAAACTCTCCTCTTTCTTCCAGAAGGGCGACATCATCCTCGCGGAAACAGGAACAGCCTCTTATGGAGCGAACGAGTTCCGCCTCCCGCCGAAAACCCGTCTCTTCAAGGCTGTCACCTGGCTCTCCATCGGATACATGCTCCCGGCTACGCTGGGCGCAGCTCTAGCCCAGCGGGACCTGATCGGCCGATCCGAGTACCACGATCTCCTCGAAGCCCGAACAATCCTCTTCATTGGCGACGGAAGTTTCCAACTCACTTCTCAAGAACTCGCAACAATCATCCACCGAAAGCTCAACGTCATCATCTTCCTCATCAACAACGACGGCTACACGATCGAGCGGTGCATCCACGGCCGCGAAGCTGCCTACAACGACATCACCCCTTGGAGATACCTCAAGGGACCCGAATTCTACGGCGCTCCGACAGAAGGCGAGTACGCGGCACATACGTGGGAGGTGCGGACGTGGGGTGATTTGGACAAGGCGTTGACGGATGAGAGGATGCTCAAGGGCAAGGGCGTGCGTATGGTCGAGGTGTTTATGGAGAAGCTGGATGCGCCGCCGCCGCTGGATACGGTGCTGGATATGCAGATTCAGCGGGAGAAGGCGGAACAGTGAACGCTGAGGATACAGGGATGGTTCTAGATACATATCTTGTAGATGGGATACACGCTGCAATACACTTCCAACTTCTCGCGAGCACATTCCGCGTTCATTCGATGACTGATTCCTCACAGACAATCCTCTGTTTAGCGAATCCGCAACCTCGCGTATCGGAGATAACTCGGCCGCGCCCGCATCAGATCGGATCTGTCGGGAATTTCCGCCTAATTGGTACAATCCAGCAAATTTTAGTAGCTGGTTTCAAGTTACGCTTAACACCTCTCAGCCCAGATCAGCCAGGTCCCTTATCAAAGGGATAAATAGTAACTAACTAGTGACATCCCGCTTAATAAGCGGCTTGGAGGCCGTAGGGCACCAACTTGGCGCGGGAATTTCTACCATCCGAATCGTGCGGACAATCGGACAATCCCCACATGGCATCTGCTAACTCCGTCCATGGAACTCCCGTGCACCGGAGATGCACCTCGTATAGGGTTCGATGTTGGTCGTCACTCCAGGCGTGGTGAGTCATTTTTCGACTAATTCGACCTGGTTCAGTTAGGCTGTAGCCACAGGACACTCCGCCGGCCGCCCCCTGAAGCGCACCCTCGCAAACTCCGGTTTCGGGGAATACAGTATTTGGCGGCCCAAGCTGAGCTCGCCCTTCGCATCTGATAAGATTAGATCAGTTCCCCTGCTTCTCCTTTTCTACGATTCTTTGTTTACTCCCACCCGATCTCGTGCCAATCTGCCATTTTGAATCGGAATAGCTACATCTTATTCTCTTGTGGCAAAAGATAAGACGCAACATGGCGTTCGACATGCTCAAGATCATTATACACGGCATAAGCTGGTTCATCCCCTACATGTTCCGCACCGGCCTCCTAAGCCTCTACGCCATCTACCACTTCTACACATACACGGCGACCGAGAGCCCAAAGCACATCGTCGTGATCGGCGGCTCATTCGCAGGCCTTCAACTCGTCAGACGACTCACGCAGACTGTACCCAATGGATACAAGATAATCTGGATCGAGAAGAACTCGCACCTGAATTACGTCTTTGCGTTTCCTCGATTTTCAGTCGTCCCTGGGCTCGAGGAACGCGCGTTTATCCCATATTCAGCCGTCGAAGCAGGCGCACCGAAGGGCTCTCTTCGCCGGGTCCAGGGTACTGTGTCCTGGGTCAATAGGGAAGCACAGAAAATCGCCCTAGACGGCGGCGAGGAAATCCCATTCGAGTACCTCGCCATCGCAACAGGCTCAACACAGCCCCTCCCCGTGCGAGTTCAATCCACCGAGCGGAACGACGCATGCGACGAACTTCGCGCCGTCCAAGCCCACATCAAGGCGAGCCAAAAGATCGCGATCCTCGGCGGTGGCGCCGTGGGCGTCGAGCTCGCGAGCGATATTAAGGATTTCTATCCCGGCAAGGATGTCACCCTTGTTCATTCGAGGGACGTCTTGCTCAATCGGTTTGGGCCGAGGCTCCAGGAGTATGCGCTGCGTGCGTTACGAGATGAGCTTGGGGTTAGAGTTTTGCTCGGGGAGAGGCCGGTTTGCCCCACTGCGTATGGAAAAGGGAGTTTGGCCAGGGATGCGAGGTTGGTGTTTCGTGATGGGCAGGTGGAGGAGTTTGATCTTGTTGTATGTGCACTTCTTATCTTTCTTCTCCCTATTCCTTTTCATGGGCAGGGAGTGTTTGCGAGTGCTAACAAGCTGCCAACAGATCGGGTGTACAGGCCAGCGCCCAAACTCACACATTCTCGCAATGTCATACCCGGAGTCGATCTGCGAAAAGACGTCACGTATTCTTGTCTCGCCGACCCTACAGACGCTTATTTCCGACGCCCGCACAAACGCGACTACGATCCCAACCGCAACCCCCAACCTCAAACCTTGCGACCGGATATTCGCCCTCGGCGACGTAGCCGCACACACGGGGCCCCTAATGGGCCGCGCGGGATTTATGCAGGCTGAAACTGTCATCCAGAATATCCTGAGCCTGATAAATGGTCGCCCCTCGACGAAGATCTACAAACCGAACTGGTTTATCGAGGGCTCGACCAAGCTCACATTGGGGAAGGCGCATCATGCGACTTATTCCCGCATTGCGGGTGAAGGCGGGACCGAGGTGATGATTGTCTCGAGAAAGGGCAAGGAGGATTTGGACATTGGCATGGCATGGAGGCAGTATGGGGTGAGTGGGGAGTTTGAGAGGGTCAAGGGTGGGAAGTTGGATTAGGATTCTGTCGTACTTGTTTTCGTGGGCCGATTGACGCTGCGGTGCCGACCTATCCTCCCCTTTGTGCTTTTTCAGCGGGCAGGGCTGCGTCGGGCGTTCTGTGCAGAGTGAATGGCACTATGCCTCCGCCATTTAAGGAGGCCAAGGATTGAGTCATTGTTGCTATGTTGCACATATTTAGCATCAGCGAGCTTGAAGACAGAGCTCCAGTACAAAAACCTTCTTTCTCTAACAATCCATATATAAAATTGGATCTAAAGCGATCCGACCCCTCTCATCCAGAGGCAGACTGCCACCTCGTCTAGAGAACGAGGTAAGCGTCTAACATCGACACTACGTCGTTTCCCTTGAGCACAAACTTGCCATGTGCCTCAGGCATAAGTGCCGACATCTTCCATTAATTTCCCCAGCCTTTGGTCACCTGACCAGAAATGGGGTGTTCTTCGTCCGCTGATAGGTCACATGAATGCCAGCTCGCTGCTTAATTTTGTTAGATAGGACCTTGGAAGATTCAAGTGAAGGGCTGGCGTCTTGGAGTTACTTAGTGCGCAGCATTCCTACTAGTGACAAGCTTTACTATACCATATCAAGGATGCATACAAACCTGCAAAAGAGCAGTGCACCTAGAAGCGCGTTTTAGGCATGAACTTGAAAGTGCTGCCTTGGGAACAATAAGTAACCATCATAGGGAAATCTCGAGGGTAAGGAGGCTGATTGTAGTAGATACAATTTGTCCGCTTAACGGCTTCGCATCCTCCCCAGAACATACAGTCAAGGCCCCATTAGGTCTAATAACATCAGCAAGGCTTAACTGATCCATCGTCTCCATCCAAATGCTGTCCCCCGAACGGTGAGAGTCCTTCAAATATGATGTGGCGGTGTGTAATAAAGTTGGCACCGGAGTGGCTGTGGTCTACGAAAAGAGTTAGCATCTAATTTTGCCCTAAGGAATTTCTTAATAGACATACGGAAAGCCGATCTGCCACCAGTGAGCGCTGTTCCACATTTCTCGCATTCTAAGGCGTCCATAATATTGCCAAATCTGCAGGTGGAGTTGGAACACTTTTCATGGTTAACCGGTTCGTATAGCGGAGAGTGGGCCATTTTGAGCTTAAGACCTCAACTAAATGACGTACACAGTGTTCGCGGGCAATGAGGACTCTGAAGGAAGGTACGGGGAGGAATAGTGAAAGTGATGAAGGATAAACATGGTTGGCATAGCTATATTTATGTCTTCTTGAATACTAACAAAACTCGAGGTTACTACCCAGTAGTCAGCGTTGCGACAGCTCATGGTGAGAACTAAATGGGCATTTAGCGCCAGACAACTAACGACGAGCGCTAAAACAGCCACAGATTGTTAAATTCGCGATAATTTGTGGTGGGTGCTAATCAGAAATACCCTGTTAGCGCACGACGGCGTGTGATTAGCATTAAGGAGTATTTAGCGCCAGACAATGGACGACGAGCGCTAGATCCACCATGGGTCGCTAGCTCGCGACACTTGATGATTGACACTAAGAACATTGAAGGAGCCTGATCTGCATGCTGTATTGTGTGGAGGGCATTTGTTTGGACGTCGTGGATCCAGAGATTCCAAAACGCCAGAGAGCTCAAAGGCTCGCCTTGCTAGAGGTTGGACAACAATGCATCCCTGGATTGGCGAAGGCTGCAGTTGTCTGTTTATGGGATGAGCCAATGTACGTGCATTCCGTCATCATCAAAAGTATCTTGTGTAGCGTTGGCAAATCAGCAGATCCAGTAAGCAACATCTTCTGGCGTCAACCGCAAGAACCATGGCCAGCCATAGCGGATTTTAGACCTATCTTTCACTTGACAATTGCCATTACCTTATGTAACATAAGGTGAAGAGTATAATTTTTGCCTATAAAGCTGCCAGCCCTGTCCCAAGATGCACACCGCATTTTGGCATAGACCAGCCTGCTTTGTCCTTCTGAGGTCGTCTCCTGCAGGCTTCCTTTAGTTATAGTATTTTAGCATTCTCTAGTGCTATAGTATTAGGAAACCCCATGAGTTGTCCTGGCCTTAGCTAGGAAGCAAGGCGGATCATGACCCTAATATGCTAACTAATTTTATTAGTAAAATCCTTCCAATAAGGAAAATGACAAGGACGACAAGGATGTAAGTAGATATCACGTACTAGCTAATTATAATTTAACTAATAGACCCTTGTTAATAGAAACGCGCGACCTGTTATGTTAGTGGCGTGAAGGATTAGACCACGGAAAAGAAGCGCAATAAACCAGACTCTAATAGCCTGTCTGGTCAGAGTACTACGGCGAGCTTTAAGGTCCTGACCCAGACAAGACACAAATTAACTAGGAGTCCGCTAGTGTCTCTGATTAAAACACTGGTATTAGATCTTTTTCGAATCCGAACACGTTTTGCGTTTCTGATCCGGTCCTTGTTGCTGCCGTCGTAGTAGCAGCAACGCAGGAGCTCTGGGCGACGCTTTGCAAGAAGAGTATCCGGCTCTATGGAACTGACAGCATGTTTGCAGTCATGGGCTGCCAGCTCGCGCTTCTTACCTGGGATATTTGGGTCTATGCGGAGACTCTGGCGCCTCTAGCGATCATCGCTTGGTTAGTATGCACACCCTGCCGCCCAACTGCCCGCCTGCTCACCACTGCTTAGGCTCCTTCCTCTACCCTCTCGGTCCGCCTTCTCACAACAATCAAGACTACACGGCTCCAGGTCCTAACTATCGAGTCCGGTAGCCAGTCCTTCTGGTACGACTGGATAACGAGCTTCACTTCACCAACGGCACAGAGTCCCTGACCACGCTCGCCGTCTCGCCAATTAACCCGGCACACTGGACTTACGGCGAAGGCCAACCTTCCTCTCTCCCTTCCGATCTCAGGAGTAAAACGGCATCCCCTTACACTCCAAACAGCGGCGTCCACATCTCCCATCTCCTCTTCACGGGCCTCCTCCAGCGCCGCCTAAGGGCGGGCGTCACGGGCAACCTGGCGCAAGAATCCGACTCCATGGGGTTGGGCGGCAGCACGTCAATTACGCAATGGGGCCTGTTCTCCTGCGCGGAGATCTGGAATAGCTCGATCTACGGGAACCTCACGCCAACCGCCGTCGTGAAGCCCTCGCAGTGTCGCAAGGGGACGCCCGCAGCGACAATCGAGGACCACTCGCACAACTTCACATATAGTATGCTCAACCTAAATACCAACACAAGTGTTCCCATCTTTGCGTCCTCCCCCAAAAACGTCTACACCTAGAACTATCGGAACCTGGCTGCTGCGTATGCGGCTGCGGTGGGTGTGACTGTCGCGTGTGTGGCTGTGGGGTTCCTGGCGCTGGTGGGGAATGCCCTTGCGTAAAGTAACGCGTTTTCGAGTGTGTTGATGACGACGCGAAAGCCGGAGCTGGATTCGCTAGCTGTGGGCCATTGCTTGTGGGGTGGCGATGCGTTGGACAAGGACGTGGGCAGCGTGCGGCAGAGCTTTGCCGAAGTTGTGGCGCCAGATGGGGAGGGGTGTACGACTGCCAGCAGTAGTAGTAGAAAGCATGGCGTTTGGGATGGAAGGGAATGTCACGGCGATTGTCAAGTGGGAGAAATACTACTAGTTGACATAGGGACCCATAATGGTATTTCTTACGTATATGTGTTCAAGACTCTGGGGTCCAAGCTGTTGCGCAGGGGCCCCATTTTGATGCCGGACGTACAAAGCATGGAAGGAGGACTTCATATTCCAGGTTGGTGACCTGTTCTATGCCAAAGTCCTTGTCATTAAAATTACCCTAGGAGACTCATGGACCCAGGTTAAGGTTAACATCAGCTGCCACAGAAATGCGCTGCACCCGAGAATACAGCCCGGCTAAACTCAGGTCCTAAACTGGGAAGAGAATTGGGCACCTGCGTTCAATCCCGTCCTTAATTTTCAGAGAGCCATGTATAGATCCACAAGGGCCGATGGCAGGTGTAGATGTGGCGCATTCCATATGCCCGCCCTGTCATGAGCGACTGCGTTCGACCCCCAATGAGCTGACTGAGTTCGACCGAGTTCGTCCGACCAGATGACTCGAGGTATTGCCTTGCACACAATTATGCATGATAATGACCGTGGGATGCAAGGTCATTGGACAACCGAATACGAGGCCCACGCGAATGCGAGCAGCAGCCCCATCCGCCGTCTGGACTCTGCCCGCCCAGGCCCAGCCACACAATACGCCGCCGTCAGGTCAACGAGTTCGAAACGCCCCCAACCTTTCTCCAGTGACACTCCCCATCATGCAAACCTTTAGTTCTCCCTCTGTACCCAAAAAGCGGATGCGCCTGGGGACAAGAAGCTGCGCGGAATGCCGTCGGCGCAAGGTGCGCTGCATCTACCTTTCTAACAGCGAGACTTGCCAGCAGTGCGAGGCGCACTGTACGCCATGCCAGAAGCAGGGAACTCCAAAACAGCAGGCTGCGATTTCCAATGGTGATTCAGTCAAAGGTCTGAAAGACCGGGTACAACACCTGGAGAGATTGGTGGGCCAGCTGTGTGGGGGTCAGGGACTCGTGCCTCACGCTTCAGGGAGGATGAGTCCCGCTGCGGCCTTGAGCGTGCTTTGTCCGACATCCGTCCGAAATGTACAGACGGGGCTGTTGAGTCGTGATGCTGGCACGGAAGGCCAGCCGGTTCCTTCTGATGGTCCACTTCTCGGCTTGATGTACGGGGCGCTTGCGATCGAAAGTACGGTGCAGTCGCCGGGTACCATCAACTCCAGGGAGGGCCATGGGAGCCAGGCATTTTATGCGCTGAAGGCACTCTCTCTGCGAAGCGAGGATTTACAACTCGCTCTCGCAATGACGGAAAAATACTGGCCTCTCTGGCCTATCCTGCCGCCGCGCTTTATCCAGGTTGTTCCCTCGCAGGGTGGTGCGCTTGATAGAAAGACGGCGTTGGAGTTTGTGCAGAGCTCTTTCCAATCTTCCATCCCAGAGGTCATGGCAAAGGGTGTACTATGGCTCGCCCTCTGTATTCAACAACTCCCATCTGAATTCGACTTTCGACCACATAACCTCCCTTGCCACCGGTCAGTATTGCTAGAAGCATACATGGCAGGCGCCGAAGACCTGCTCAGATCGCCACACGATACACAAACAACAACTACATTCCTAGAATGCCTCATGTTGCAAACGAAGCTGTGCATCAACATGGCCCGCCCGCGCAAAGCATGGCTGACCGTTCGCCGCGCGCTCGATTTCGCCCTGCTGCAGGGGGCCCAGCGCGTACACAGTGGCCCTCTCTCGGAAACATTGCGGTCACTCTGGCTGGAGATCTGGGTATTCGATCGCCAGCTTTCACTGGGTCTCGGACTGCCGAATTCGGTGCCCGATTCGTACGCGGGCCTGGTCAGCCTGCCGGACGGCGACTTTTCCGTGTGGATGTTTCGTCTCATCGGTGCGGTCGCGGGGCGCATTAATGACAGGAATCTGAACATCGCCAACGTGGACTATGCGGTGACGATGGAGATTGAGCGGGAACTTGTAGATATGCGCGATCGCATGCCTGCCGAATGGGATCTACCCAATACCGAGGAGATGTGCCTCGCCGACGTCTTTACCAAGCAAGTCGGGAAGTTCTACCTCAACCTCTTGCTCAAGAACCTCCACTTCCCGTACATGGTACGAGGCCCCACAAGTAACATCCAACAGGCACACCCACACAGCCGAGCAACCGCCGTCCAGGCCGCACGGCGGATGATTGAGCAGTACCAGGGGTTACGGCGCAGCAATCAAGGCGCACTGTTGATCTGCGACATTATGGACTTTCACACGTTCACGGGGGCGATTGTGCTCATTGTCCATTTGATCTCGCCGCCCGACGCAATAATGGGCGAGCGGGATATCCAGCAAGATGGGCAGGATTGGATGCAGATCCAGGAACTCATTCAGACGTTTGAACACCTCTCGCTGGCAATGACGTGCGCCGTTGCGAAACAGGCCGCTGATCTTCTGGGGTACCTCTACGCTGCTGCGCATGGGTTCTACAGTGGGGATCCCTATGAGGTGGTGATTCCATACTTTGGAAAGGTTCGCATCAGTCCGCCTACTCGGGAACAGCAGCAGCAGAACTCAAGGAGTGCAAGTACTAGCTGCATTGGCGGCGATCTTCAAGTCTCATCTCCGAGCCCGTTTAGCTCAATCGAGTTTAACGCGCAGACATTCTGTCCTCAGGGGCTGAATACAATGGGATTTGGAGGAGGCGAGCTTGGGACGGATTGGAGCTTGTTCTCGAGAGTTGAGGTTGATGCGGATTGGACTGAGGTTTTTACCATTCCAATGAACGATATACCTTGATGTGTACGATATTTCCATACTACTCATAGTCCCATCTGCAATGAACCCTCTCCGCTCATCTTCTTACGCCGGTGCACAGTTCTAAACCGTCTTAGCTCCCTCGGGCTCGCTTCCCTCTGGCGTCCCCGCAGACCGAATCACCCTCGCCGGAACGCCCACCGCAATGCTGAAATCCGGAATATCCCCCTTGACAACAGCCCCCGCCCCAATGGTGCATCCCTGTCCGATAGTCACTCCAGCAAGGATGGTCACGTTTGCTCCGATCCACGTCTCGCTGCCGATAGTCACTGGTCGTGTAAACTCCTTGCCCCAGTTCGCGCGCCGCAGGTTGATGTCCGTGTGGTGCTCGCCCGTGATGATGTTGACGTTTGGACCGATTTCGACGCTGTGGCCGATAGTTACGAGGCCGCAGTCGAGGATCGTCAATCTGTGCCAAAGAGAAAAAAAAAGTAATGAGCTCTGTAATACCCACAGAAGAACTAAAATGCGACTCGGATGGGAACAAGTGGATGGCGCATACCCAAAATTCGCATAAAAGCTCCCCGCACTAACATTACACCCGTAATCGACAAACAGCGGCGGTTCGATATACACGCCGCCCTCGACCTTCCCAAACAATTTTCGCAGTGCCGCGTCTCGTTTCTCGAGGGTTTCGGAATAGGGGACGTCGGGGTGCGGCGGCGCGTTGATTTCTGCGAGGAGGCGGCGCGCTCTTTCGCGGCCGGCGACGAGCTCGGGGGCGATGGGGCTGTAGCTGTTTTTTATTTTTTTTTTACCTCAGTTCATAGTCGTTCGACGTCACTGCTGTTGCGGTAGCAGCGAGAGTTGGGTGCGGGGAGCATACATCATCCCCGAAATCATGCGCTCGTACTCATCACCCCAGGGAACATTTTCGAGAGTCTTTGCCTTTTCGATCGCGGCGGTGTCTTTTTCGGTCGTCGGCAACATCCTGTCAGGGTCTTTCTTTGTGTGTTCTTTGTCGAGTCGTTCAAACAGACAAAGGGCGGGGAGAAGTGCTCTTTATGCGATGTGAGGGGACCGAATACGATAATCGCATGCGGGGATCTTGATGGGATTTCGGGCCTCAATCCCGTGTCCGAGTAAGCTTCTTCCCGTATTTCATGCAGACTGCTGACATGACATGCTTACATAGCTTCGCTGCATGGATGTTTCTCCGCGCCTAAAGCGATTGGTTCGGGGACGAGCGGATTCAAAGACTAGCCTGGAGATGCCCAAATCCAGTACAGACCATGTGATGACAGCTGGATACATGAAGGGAACAAAGAAGGATGTTTTTGTCTTTTTCTAGCAGAAAGATCGGGTGCGCTAAGTCCGCGGTGGGTGTGCTCACGAAACCGAGTATAAAGAAAGTCCACAATCCCGAAACACGACAATGACCCGAGGCAAGAGCGAACAAAGATGTCTCGCTGTCATTCAAGGCCAACTGCACACACATCGAGGATGAAACTCGACAAGATAACGATCACCTTGAGAGGCTAGAAGCGTATCTATTTTTATCAGAATCAAATGGTCGTCGAAAGCGCACATGGATTATAAGGACACGGTCACCCTCAAATCCCATCCAGCGAAGCCATTTCTACAACCTATACACTGACCTCGACTGCAATCTACACAACTATACACACTACACACCCTACCAAAACCACCATGTCGACCAACCGGACTCTCGGAGACACCCCTGAAAAACCCCTCTGGCGCCCCGGCCCCCGCGCCCCGTCCCCAACAAACCGCTACATCCCACCCAAGCAAGAAGAGCGCGACATCGGCCTCTTCTTAGGAATCGGCCACGACACGGGATACTACGGACGCGACTGGATCCTGCTCTTCATGCACCCCAACAACACGCGCTGTGAATACTACCAGTCAGTCAGAATCAGAACCCACGAGCCGCCTCTCGACGCGTCCAACCCGGAGCTCGAAATTACCGATGAGTTTCCCTACGCCAAGGTCCGCCTCGAGAACATGTCCGCAGACGTCGGGGACCTCGCGCGCGATTTCCAGGGGTGGACGGCTGTCGGCACGATTGGGGAGGAGCACTGGGATCGCTTTTACAGTACGTGGCTGGCGACGAAGCCCGGGCCCAGTCAGTGGTTCATGGGGCGGTTCCTGGATGCGCTTGCGCGGCAGAGTCTGATTGAGCAGCGCGAGGTGGACGAGATTTTCTCGTGTGCGGTGTATTCGGATTACGAGGCTGAGATTTGGGGTGGGGATGCGGGGTTCCCTGTTGATCGCGAGTGGATGGAGGAGGCTCAGGGGGAGGAGGAGGTCCAGCGGGTCGAGGATGAGAGGTGAATTGATGAGTTGAATGAGGAGATGAGTGCGGAGAGTGAGAAGGGGGATGCTTGATTGATGCTTCTCATGGGTGGAAGTTTGGGTTGGGGTGCGTCTCGATAAACTTTGAAAGCAGGCTTTCGAGCTGCGTCGAGTCTTGTATATAATGTTCTTTGTTTCTGGGTACCGGCGTTAATGATAAACAATGTCTCTCTTCTTGTTGCGGAAACAAAAGGTGTTTTCTGAAAGACCCCGAACAAAGCCCTGTAGACAAAGGCAATGTAACAAAGACAGCAGAAGGGGCGATCATATATAATGCCCCTGTTTCCCAGACCGTTACACAGGACCACCACCCCCGCCTGCACAACACCGCTGCATATCGACATCTGTACTCACCCGCCCGCAACCTTATCTCAGCCACGCCCGCAATGTCTTGCACCGAGTACTACGACCTGTACCTGGCCCTCGGCCCCGAAGAGACGCACTGCGCAAAGAACAAGGTAACAGAAAAGACCCGCCGCTGGGGCCTCCTCCTACGCAACAGCAAAACAGCAACGTGGGACGGGTACAGCTGCATCGGCGGTCCGCACGCAGGCGGCCCCATAAACCAGGCCACCCCCTATAACAAAGTGCAACGGTACCGAGTCCCCCTGGGCGATCCATTCCTCGGTGTGGAGCGCGTCTACCTGGCTCGCATCGAGGCGCGCGATTGGGAGAAGTTCGACTCGACGTTTATGGACCAGGTGAGTTGGCAGAGTCAGTATTTTGTTGTTGGGTATTTGTATGATCTTGCGCGGCTGAGTGTGATTGACTGGGCTGTTGCGAATGAGTGGGCGCGCAAAGCAAAGTATACGCAGGCGGAGCTGGAGGTGTTGAGTCAGGAGAGGATCAACTCGATTGCGAGGGAGATTGCAGAGGTTGCGCGGACACAGCCACTTTCAGTTTATAGTAGTGTGGTTAGTTATGTTGTTAGCTGGGTGAAATGATATTTACTCTTTTTGGGATTTTTCTTTCGATTCGTGGTACGTAACGCAGATGATAGTCTTTGTAGTTCAGATTGTAGAGTAACAAAGGGCAAGAAGCGCAGAAACACGATTCTTCGGGCCGAACGCGGTAATAGCCTGTGCCCTTGGCTCTACTACTGCTTATACCTTTGTCCGCGTGGGCTCATTGTGAGGTCAAGAATCGTAAAACAAGGGCCGGGACCTGGCGGTCAAGGACTCCCAAGACCAAAGCGCTAGGTGGGATATGCTCAGCGAACGGCTCCTTGCAAGATATTAGCAACCCAGGCCATGGCCTTAGTACATGGTGCCTTACTAAGTCATCGACTGTCAACAAGCCGCTAGGCAAAACGTCGGCAGCGCACGGACTGCCCAGGCCACGACTTGTCCACATCCCGACACTGGAGCGAATACGACCATCACCCTAGCCGAACAATGACTCGTATAGGTGGAAATAAACCTGGAAAGCCCGGCAGTCACTGAGTAATAACGGATCCCGGTAACTGAGATGTCCTATTCCAGGTCGGTAATTCAAGGATTGCGTCGATCTTGCTGTACGTGACTTATGCCATGCCTGCTTTCCCCGCACTTTCGTGGTTTGTCCCCGGATTCCCCCACATTGATGTAACCGAGGGCATTTGAGGATTTGGATCATGGGTGCTGATTCGTGGGATATGGTACATGAATCTATATGTCATCACGGCAATCAAGTATAGCCAAGTGGTTCAGTAGCCGATGAGGAACAGGGTAATTGCCGGGGTTCAGGCGAAGTATAAAAGTCACTCCAAAGCAACTAAATTGATGAGAGCAGATTGATATCGAACGCATCCTCAAGATGAAGTTCATGCGAGCTCTGTCTCTTCTCTCCCTAGTCCCTTCATCACTCTCACTCTCGCTTCCATCCACCCACCTCGACTCTCGGGACCTCTCAAGCACACAAACTCCCCTGCTCATCCAACTAAAACCCAAAATAACTCCAACGCGCGAACTCATCTCCCTAGACGGCCTGTGGTCATTCGCCCTCGCCCAAGAAGGGAACACCACCGCAAAACCATGGACAGCACCCCTCCCCAAGGGCCTCGAATGCCCCGTGCCCGCCTCGTACAACGACATCTTCATCGACCGCAATATCCGCGACCACGTCGGTTGGGTGTACTACCAGCGCGAAATCACCGTTCCCCGCGGATGGTCGAACGAGCGGTACCTCGTCCACGTTGAGGCTGCGACTCACGAGGGACGTATTTACATTAACGATGATCTCGTCGCGGAGCACGAGGGCGGGTATACGCCCTTTGAAGCGGACATCACCGCGCTCGTCAGCGCGGGCGAAAAATTCCGGCTGACAATCGCCGTGAATAATGAGCTTACGATGCAGACCATTCCACCGGGCTCGATCGAGGTTAGTGATATCACTGGCCGACGCGTTCAAACATATCGGCATGATTTCTTCAACTATGCTGGGCTTGCACGGTCCGTTTGGTTGTATTTTGTTCCGAGGGAGCAGTTTATTCGCGATGTCAGCGTTGTTACGGATGTCGAGGGGGAGACGGGATTTATTCGGTATAATGTTACCACGTCGGAGGGGACGACGGGGAATGTGAGGATTGCTGTGGTTGATGAGGAGGGGAAGACCGTTGCCACGGCCTCCGGTGTCAACGGGACGGCAAGAATCGAGTCTGCTCACCTCTGGCAACCCGGCGCCGCATACCTCTACGACTTCACAGTAACCATCGTCGACGCCTCGGACTCAGTAATCGACAGCTACACGCTCCCCGTGGGAATCCGCACAGTCTCCATCCGCGGGACGCAATTCCTCATAAACAACACCCCCTTCTACTTTACGGGTTTCGGCAAACACGAAGACAGTTCTGTCCGGGGCAAGGGCCACGACCAAGCATACATGGTACACGACTTCCAGCTCCTCGACTGGATCGGCGCAAACTCGTTCCGAACCTCACACTACCCCTACGCAGAAGAAGTCCTCGAATTCGCGGACCGACACGGGATCGTCGTCATCGACGAGACGGCTGCTGTCGGGATGGCGTTTTCGCTGAGCGCGGGCTTAGGGGCGGCGTCTTCGTCGCTGACGTTTTCGCCCGAGACTATTAATAATGAGACGCGGCGGAACCATGCACAAGCGATTCGGGAGCTTGTTGCACGCGATAAGAACCATCCGAGCGTGGTGCTGTGGTCGATTGCCAATGAGCCGGCGTCGTTTGAGGAGGGGGCGCGCGGGTATTTTGAGCCGCTGGTTGAGGTGGCCCGGGAGGCGGATCCGGCGGGGAGGCCGGTGGCCTTTGTTAATGTGGGACAGGCGACGTATAAGACGGATAAAATCTCTGATCTATTCGATGTGCTTTGTCTGAATCGGTATTATGGGTGGTATTCGCAGACCGGGGTCCTTGAGGAGGCGGAGGTGGCTCTGGAGGAGGAGCTGCGTGGGTGGGTGGAGTTGTACGACAAGCCGATTATAATCACCGAGTACGGGGCTGATACAGTTGCTGGACTGCACTCTGTCATGGCGGTTCCCTGGAGTGAGGAGTTCCAGGTGCAGTTCTTGGACATGTATCATCGGGTCTTTGATCAGTTTGAGGCGATAGTCGGCGAGCATGTGTGGAACTTTGCGGACTTTCAGACTTCGATGGGGATTATTCGTGTTGATGGGAATAAGAAGGGGGTGTTTACGAGGGATCGGAGGCCCAAGGCTGCGGCGCATAAGCTGAGGGAGAGGTGGACGCAGTTGGGCAGTGAGTGAGTCATAGTATGAGATTTGTAGTGCACTGAGACTTCTCCAGCATCAATACCGCAGGAATAGCCATCTTTTGCGAACGACTTATGAAGTGCAAATCTATTTCTAGGAATCAGCGAGCAGATTTCCGTTCATGTACTTCAATCCGGTATCGACCGCAACAGTAACAACCGTCTTGCCAGGCCCGAGTTCCTTTGCAAGCGCAATCGCCGCGACAACATTAAGTCCCGTCGAAGTGCCAACAAGCAGCCCCTCCTCCCTCGCAAGCCGTCGACACATAGCGCGCCCCTCGTCCTCGGAGACCCCCCATGCATCATCATACAACTCCTTCTCCAGATGCGGCGGGACAAATCCAGGCCCGACCCCTTCAACGCTATGAGAACCACCCATCCGACCCTCGCTGATAACAGGCGCAGAAGCAGGCTCAAGAATCACAACCCGGGTATCAGGCCACTTCGACTTGAGCACCTTGGAAACCCCCATAATCATCCCCGCGCTCCCCGCCGCGCCGCAAAACGCATCAATCCCGTTGGGAAACTGCACCGCCAACTCCTCGCCCAGCGTCGCATACCCAGGCAGCGCATCCGCATTACTAAACTGGCTCGTATAATAGTGCCCATCCTCGCTGGCAATCTCCTTCGCGAGCTTGAGCATATTCGGGAACAGGTCGGGGGTAATCTTGTCGCTCTCAACGATAATAACCTCGGCCCCAAACGCAGCCATCGTCTTTAATTTCTCCGCGGCAAAGGCATTCGACGAAACGACTTTGAATTTGTACCCCTTGACCGCGCAGATAAAGGCGAGCGAGCCGCCTGTACTTCCGCCCGTCGCTTCGACGACGGTCATACCGGGCTTCAGCGTTCCCCGCCGCTCGGCTTCTTCGATCATGGATTTCGCCATGCGGTCTTTGTATGAGCCTGTTGGGTTGAGCGATTCGAGTTTTAGGTAGACCGTTGCATGGTTGTCTGGGACGACCTTGTTGAGGCGCACGACGGGGGTGTTGCCGATCGCGGAGAGGGGCGAGGATACGGGGGGTGGTGGGCCGGCCATGGTGGACGATTTTGAACGTTGGCTCAGTGATGCGATTTCAAGATCAGATCCGCTGAGGAACCTCGAACTTAAGTACCACAGCTGCAAAGACCAATAAATCCTTAGCGTGGATAAGACATGGAGCCAGTTCTATTCTTAGCCTGCATACTAGTACAGATAGCTTGGAGTTCCGGATTTCAACCCCACTCGCCCTAGCTTGTCCCTCTCTCGGCACTGCCCCTGCTGCAATCAAATATACGAGAAACCGGTTCGACGCCGATAAGGTCGGTCAGGACTCTGGGCGCAACTGCGTTCGTGATAGGCGCATTTCGCCGAGGGTCTGATTCGAGGATCCCATGGCTTCAAGCATTTCGCCTACCCGTGGATGGTGTAGAGATGATATCCCAGTCTCTGTCATGGTTCAAGCGGGACTCAATCTGAGGCGATACGAGAAATACAATGTGGGGTGCAGTTGCACTCTGTGCTGATTGTTATTGGGCACAAGACACGAGAGGCCATTGACTTCCCCTCCACGTCTTTACGACCGCACTCGGTCCATAATGGGCGAGAAGGCTATTCATTTGTAGGTACGAACCTTGCGAGTTGGTCACGTTTGTTTCCTCTCAATCACATCGAGGAATAACGTCAGCCGAGCTGATTCAGACCCTTCGCAAAGCAAATATTTATCACAAACTAAATGTTGGAGATTTGTATGCCCTCTAGATCCAGATCGACCTATGTTGGAGAGAGGTCAGCAATGGTCGCATGATCCATCGCTGCAGGCGAATATCTTAAACCTTTTCCTATCGCATCTATTTTAATAAAGCTCTTGGCAACCTGCAATTTCATATCGTTGTTGTTATTAGGAGTGTCTGGTTAGTTCTAGACTAATTAAATATCTATAAACAAAATGCACCTTAAAGAAAGAAAATAAACAAAAAAGGAAAAAGATGAAAGACTATAAAGAACATTAAAAGCTAAAAAGCGCCCAACGGCCACGAAGGCTAATAATGAGAGTGGTAGAAGTTTCAGAAAGATCAAGAGCGCCGAAAGACAAAAGAAATATAAAAGAGATATTCAGAAAAATGGTCAAAATGGAATCAACCAAAAGTTTGGAGCCGTAGCAGCTCATGGAGCAAACGCAGTCCCCAACCGAGCTCATGTTTGAAAGAAGTTGAAGTCGCTTTGTGCCCAGCCTTGTTGGTTTTGCCTTGGTCAAAAAATAACACTTTTGCTTTTATTCCCCAACTCTTTGAAAGTAGACTTGGACTTGGCTGGTTCTTTCTCTCTTACCATCTAGACAAAGCACTATGACCAACAGTTGCCCTACCACCTAGCATTTTAACTCTTTTCCTGGCCGCTGTCTGTATAAGACCTTGTTTCGAGCCTATCTGACTATCTCCCCATTCTCTTGATCTTTTATATCTTCTAATCTCCTCAAGTCTCAATAACGCTTCAGTGTCAACAAAATGCCAAACAAAGTGAGAAAAGTGAAGCCAAGTAAGTCCCCCATGACGCTACTAGCACTAGTAAGGGTTAAGCTAACCTACTGTTATTATTTCCAGTTACTCAGGCTGGGCCTGTTAAGAGTGGCCACTCTACCCTGTTCAAAGTAAATAAGAAGAAGGCAAAGAGGGGCCGAAACAACCAGCGCTTATCCCCCAACACTAAGGGGCCTTGTGCTGATACTGTCCGCCAAGACGCCAACCCTGTGAAGTCACCTGCTGGCTCGCCCTCGAGGTCGCGCTCCTCCCCTGACGCGGAAGAGCCTTGCTCCAATGCTGCTAGCGGCAACGTTGAAGCGCCAACCCCGTCCGCTGAGAAGTCTTGCCCTGAGACTACTAGCGGCGACATATCAACTCCGAAAGCTGATGCTCCATCATGTTCCGACGCTGCTCATCCTCCAGTTGCAACTACTGAAGAGACGACAGAGACCGAGACTTTTGGAGGTGAGAGTGTATCAGTCCTGGAAAGTAAGTGTCTTGATGGTCCGCTTGTTTGTGAGACACTGGCTAACAGAAGGTTCAAGAGCCGCTTGTCTTCAACAAAATCAAGGAAGTTGATTTTGGCAAGACCGGTGGGGAGTTTGTCTCCTTGGAGGAGGCGCAGAGCGAAAAGAGGGTCCGCCTGGCACTGTTTGGTCATGTACAGACCAAAGACGGCGAGACTCCAACAACCGCTATTATCGGCCTGGAACGCAGGGGTCTTCATTACATCATTGTTTTCACTGCCCCGCGCGGCAATGGAAATCCCACGATTGCGCACAAATACATGGATCATTATATCCGTCAAGAGTACAGCGCCATTGTCGAACTGCTCATACCCCTCTTGGGCACTGTATTTGAGGAAGCAGACAACAAGCCCGTGTTAGAAGACAACTTTGAGGCCTTTCTCGATGCCTCAGAGACCTATCTTCGACTTGTCCCCGACACAGCAACTGGGACCCTCAAGCCCTACCCGGAGTTCGCGCGTTCTCAAAGTGTCAACTGGGACAATGTCATGCAGAAAGCATCGCCCACCTGCCCTATGTGGAAGCTGTCGGACGTCAAGCACTTCCGTCCCCATTCCAACACCAACATGATCTACGAGGTTGACCTTGGCGACAACAATGACTTCAATTCTGGCATTTTCAAAAGGGTGGATGACGAAGGCCTTCTTCAACAAGAGTACCGAACTCTACTGCATTGTGGACGGGTGGGTATCCGAGCACCAAGAGTGCTGGGGCTACTTGGTGTTGGTACCAAGTGGGGAGGGTTTCTCATGACAAAGATTTCAGCCTCCTTCTGTCTTGAGGACTGCCACCCCGAGTCAATCAAGGCAACGTCAATACAACCAGCGCTGGCCGACCGTAAACGGTGGTTCGAGCAGATCTCCGACGCTATTCACACTCTTCATCGCGATGGATACGTATGGGGAGATGTCAAGGCAGCCAACGTGCTCATCAACCAGGATGGGGATGCATGCCTGATTGATTTTGAAGGCGGTTGGAGCCCGGGCTGGGTTGACGATGAGCTCGCTGATACTGAGGAAGGTGACTTGCAGGGTCTGCAGAGACTTCGCGACTTCTTGAAACTGGATGAATGAGCGAGAACCTACAACTTCTATTTCAGCCCTGCGTTGCTCTATCCTGCGTCCACTGATCCATGTTACTACTCTTTTCGCTTTGTCTTTTACTTTGCAGATTGCACTATCTAGATCTTGGTCATGCACAATTGCTATCCTCCTCATTATTCCGGACTATGTCTGGGCTTCATCGCGGAACTTGCTCCGGCCAGAGGCGAGAACCTTGAAGATTGAGGAAAGACGAACACTCTTGGAAATCCCCCAGCCAGGCGGACGAAGAATACACTGTAGAGTAGGACGTCACGCTGGCCGTTGACCCAAGAGCATTTGCAGGGAAGGTTTTACAAGAGCGTAATCGTCCAAGCAGACTATGAGCTTTCAAACCAGGGGGTGATGTTATGGTCGGGTTGATCGAACCTTTAGCAGACCAGGTGGATGATATATATGTACAAACCTCTCGTTCCTAGCATGCAAGAGACGAACCCACGCAAGGCCCAGAAGGGAAGCGCCAATTAGAAGCGAATGCAGTCCAGAACAATTACGAAATTCGTTATCTAGCGATTCGGAAGAGATCTAGAGCAACAGGCGAGCGAGCTAAGAACAGAACGATTGCGTTGGATGCAGTCTCATGTGCTAGACTGCTCGTGCCTGAGGATTCACTTGGGACTAGAGGCACAGAACCTTCAGGCCTGAAGAAAAGATGGGTAGCAAGAAAAGGCCTAAAAGGCCATTGACGTAAAAACCAAGGGTCGTTGAAGTTTCAGGATAATCAGGAGAGGGAAAACAAAATTTAGAAAGATTGCCAGAAGAAATTGATTGAAAGGAAAGTTTTAGGGCATGCTACAACGCCGCTGCATCATCTCATACAGTGAAACGAGATCCAGTTGGGAGAGGCTTGAATTCGCCTTTGTGTCCACCCTTTGCTTTCACTTTTGCTTTGACTCGCTACTCTTTGAACGTTGATCGTGGAGCCACATACTGCCCGACGACGACAGGGATTATAAGCCTGTGCCTGGCTGTGGTCGGTACTTGAACTCATTCCAAGCCCATCCAACCATATTCCCATTCTCCGAGTCTTCTGATCTTCGCGAAATCTCAACAAGCTCTACTGCCACAAAATGCCAAACAAGGCCGAAAAATCGAAGGCCGGTAAGTATCTCGAACCATTCCTAGCCCAGAAAAAGGGTCCAGCTAATCAGTTTGTATTAATTCTCTAGTCGCTCAGGCTGCGGCTCTTGAAAGCAGCCCGTCAACTCCAAAACCGAACAAGAAGAGGACGGCGAACAACAATCTCAACAACCCCCGCTCATCCCAAAAGGTTGAAGAAACCCGTGTCGGCTCTGCCACGGCAGACGTCAAAAATGCGACATCCCCTGCTCCCTCGCTTTCGGAACATCCCTGTCCCAAGGCTACAAACAAAGACGTCGATACTGCGAGTCCACCTGCTCAATCGCTCTCCAACCCGCGCTCATCCCATAACGATGCAAAGCCATCCACAAAGAATACCGGCATAGGCGTCAAAGATGCGAAACCTCAAGCCCACTCACCCTCCCCGGATCTGCTTGGCCCGGAGACGAACAAACCCGAGGAGGGTACATCAATCTCGCATGGTAACTAGCTCAATCGATGCCTTGCTACATGGTTATGGCTAATGTGAACCAGAAGACGACTATGTGAGTATCAAGATCAAGCTGGCTGAGGATAGCAATACCGACGGCGAGTTTGTGTCGGTGCAAGACCTGCAAAGTGAAGAGCTGCTTGAACTGCCACGCGTTGGTCATCTCCAGGCGGCAGACGGGACTCTGAAAACTGTCATTCTCAGCATCAAACGGAGAGGCGTCGAGTACCGGATCGTTTTCAGCAATCCGCCAAAAGATCAGGACCGCACGATTGCACATGATTGCATGGATCTCTATGTCCAGGAAGACTATTTTGGCGTTGGAGACCTCCTCCTCCCCCTGTGCGAACCCATTTTCAACGAGGCGGACAACAACCCTATATCAGCCAACAAATTCCAGCGCTTTCTACAATCCGCAGTGACCTATCTTCGGCTTATTCCCACCACGCCGGCAATAGAGCCATACCTGGGCTTTTTGGGTCCCCGCACTGTTGACTGGGACAAATTCCTGCGACTTCACTAGCCTACCTGTCCTTCACGGAAGCTGTCGGACGTCAAAAGCTTCCGTCCCCATACTGCAACAAATATGATATATGAAGTCGAGTTCAAGGACGAGAAGGAGCCCCTGGTTTTCAAGATGGTCGATCGCTATGGACCCTTTGTGCAGGAGTTCATGACTCTCTTACAGTGTGAGAGACTCAAGATTCAAGCACCCAGAATCAAGGGACTACTTGGCGTCGGGACCAACTGCGGAGGCTTTGTTATGACCAAGATCCAGGCCTCTTTTTGCCTTGATGACTGCCACTCCAAGTCGATCAACTCCACCCTTGATGACCGCAAGCGGTGGTATCAGCAGATTTCGGATGCTCTTCAGGCCCTACATGGCGTTGATTACATATGGGGAGACGTCAAACCAGCGAATGTTCTGATTAGTGAGGATGGCGACGCGTGCCTAATTGACTTTGAGGGGGGAAACTGCCCTGACTGGGTTGATGATGAACTTTCTGACACTCCAGCTGGAGACTTCTTGGGAGGATTCGGAAATTCCTGAAGTTGGATGAGTGAGCCAGGGTGGCGGAAGTTGCGGAACAGGTCTTCCCTCCCCTGTATCCATGATCTTCCTGCTTGGTCTTCCCTTGAGATAGGAAATACCAAGCGTTTCCATCTCCACAGCTGACTATTCACACCATCAGAAGAATATCCCTGTACCATACTCCTTTATGCTTTTCTTTAGCTCTTCAAACAACTGCTCAACTGCCTCTTTCGCGGTTGGCACATCCAAAGTACGTAGAAGATCCGCTTTAGTCTATACTTTATGGGAATCTTTGTTTACCAACTCTTTTAGTAACATGTTTCCCGCGTTCTTATTAATTCGCTACTTGAACCGCTTATACTCCTCGCCATCTTTGGCAACCTTCTCACCATTATCCCGGTGCGAGCCATTTGTTGTATCGTTTAATCCGCATTTGGAGGAGCAGCTCTGGTCCCACCAATGCCGTGACCTGAGGCTAATTTTGTCACTTGAAATGAGCTCGGTGGTTCAAAGCTGCTATTGCGTTTCATGGGGCGCTGCGATCCGGTAAATCAAACGGCCACGCGCGAGAGAGCTCCAGCTCTTCTTTCTCATTGCGCGCATGCGCCCGCACAAAGTCATCTCTCGCCTTGGGAAGGATTCGCTCGAGCTCCACGAATTGTGCGTGGCTCACCAATCCCCGGGCCTGGAAATACTGGCTGCCGATCATGCGCTGCACGTCTCCCATCAGCGCCATTGCTGCCGAAGCGCCTGCGCTATCACGTTTGATCTTCCGGAGGACATCGTCCGAGAACGTAAGCGGTGCCTTTGTTCCAGTCCTCGATATCCTCGGGACACCAGCCCAATTCTCCTCTTGCTGCTCGGCTAGGAGTCCGAGATAGGTAGCCTCGCCGTCGACAAGAAGGTTCCGTGCGAACAGAAGTAGGTCGAAGCAGGCTGTCTGCCGGAACTCGAGAGCCTTGAACAACCGGGGCATCGTTTTGTGCAGGAGATATTTGTAAAGTGCGAGCAGAGACATGCTAGTAAATAACGACTCCGCTTTGCGGGTTGCGACTGCTTGGTCGGGTTCGTCCTGGAACAGCGCTTTGACATCGACGAGCTTCGGTCGGTCGAGGAGGCCTTTGAGTGGTGGGCCATTGTAGTCTAGGATATACGGTTCAATGGTGTGATTGTATAGGGGGGCGAGTTCTGTAGATTGCCAATCAATGAAGGCGTATATCTCTGTTGGATCCTCTGGATTGACAAAGACATTCTCGACATGCAAGTCATCATGCCAGATGCAGGACGCAGATATCTCCTCGTCCTCGGGTAGTAAGAAAGTTACCACTTTGAGGTAGCTCTCGATGGCGAAAAGCTTTGTCTCGCGCGACGGCTGGTACGTCCCCGAATAATGGATAGCAATGGGCGATCGTGGCAGTTGCTCCATACTTCTGATACAATAAGCTTCGCGCTCTCCAGTTGCCCGTTCATAAGCGTCTACGGTATCCCACGGGCCTCGGTCAAAATTCAACTTTGCCCTGCCATCATCGACATTCTGCCGACTCACCGAAGGCCCAACAGTGAACCTCTCATCGACGACGTGATTCCCAACCTTATCCGTGTACTGGAGGTTGGGACTTGACTGGTCGAGGTCACTTCGGTAGTACAGACTCCCATACTGCGAAAAGCAAACCTGGGACCAGAGATTCTGGTAGGAGGCGATTTTTTCAAGCACCTTGAACTTAACCGGTACGCCAAGTTTGTCCCACAGGTTACTCGGTGGTACGCCGCGTGCATTCTCCATTAGGATGTACTCCGCCGCCACAGGATTGTCGGTGGAAGAACTCCACGAGAGAACTTTGGGGACCGGCGTACCGAGGACGTTGCTCATCTACCTAATGTCAACACTTCGTGAATAGCCACGACAAAGAAGGGAAGATATGCATACGAAGTCCATAGTAGCGACTTCCGAGGCAGTGGTTAGGTGCGGAAGCCCAGCATTCGGGTTCGGCACTTTGCCCACCGCTTGGAACCCATTGTCCATTGTGAAGCGTATAGCCTTATTGTGCATCCCGTCTGCCATTTTCTCAGTGCCGATACACGTTCGCGGCCCATTACTTGCAGCCTCTGCAGCCCGAACCGCTAAGCGGGCGAGCTCATCAACGTCAAAACGGATGTGTCGCTTGGCCAATTCACTCGCTTCGTCAGTGAGGAATCGGCCGCGGGTGAAGCGAAAAAGGGTTTCATCGTGTGCTGTACGCTCGCACGGTGAAGGGGGTTTAGTCGTTGTTAGCTGCCGGGCTTGGGCGGTGATCATTAGTCGGGCGGGGATTCTAAAAGGTAGGCTGAACGAGGAGTGTGAGCTAAGTGCAAACTTGCGAGCCAGTGGGAATACATAGTGCAGCATCTCCAGTCCGCCAGCGACGGCCACATGGGGAGCCGGTGGGACGAATGTGGAGACACGAGAAGTTGGGCAACGTCGAAGGAGCAAAGGGAAACTGGAAAACAAAAGTCGAGCGGGTGGTTCACTGTATCTTCACGTGACCATCCTGAGGAAAGAGAATGGACTATCGGTCTATTGAACCAACCGCGTCCAGTGATGCCAGGGGCGAGGAAACGGTACAAAGAGCTCGACGACCAGCTATCCTGGCTCGTTGATCTACGCGTTATGCGCATTTGGACCCCATAAGCGTCTGGAAGGCACCTTGGTTCCATGGGCGTATGGTGGAAGCAATCAGACTATCGATCCCATTCAGGGCGTCCATTCGCAAGATAGCTTTCACAGCCTTTGGGTTTCTCAGTTTGTATGGCCATAATTCCTTCTAAAGTGGGAGCGAAAGAAGCCTGCAAATTAGGTCCAATAGGGTTGCCATCGCCGCTGCGGACAAATATATAGTATTCGACACCTCAAGTAGTATGACGTCTCCGGGCAGTACGCTTAGTCTTTTATAAGTGAGCATTTTGCACCTTTATCGGATTATATAGAATATTTCAACAAGTGTTGAAAGATAGTTATTATCTACCGACGCATCTATACATCAAGCGCCTTGCAAACTGCCGGTAATGATGCGATCCAGCAGTAGGTACAGAATCTAAAGACAATAGACGCAAATAGTGGGCTTATCGGATGACCGAAGGCGCTCACACCGAGGACAGGCCGAAAGATCACCTTATGCTGCTACAAAGTAGGATGAATTTATTCCAGGACGGCGTTGAATAATCCTAGGCACGTTTCTAACAACGCTCGCCCCGATCCATCGCGGTATCTTCAGGGACCTTAACCGACTATCACTGAAGCAAGATGTCGCGCAGCAAATTAGAAGCTGGCGGGAGCGCTAGATTTTGCTTCAGATGGTTTGCTATGCCTACTATCCTGGTGGCATGGCCGAAGGATCTCGCTAATGGATTACTCGGTATTGTCGTATGCGAAAGGCGGGCTTGTGAGATCGGAAGGGGATCCAAACAAACGGGCGGCACCGTGTCTGCTCGTTATTCAATGGCTCAATAAATACTAAACCGATGTTTGCAAGATCCAAAGCCCCGAGGATCTGTAGTCGGTGCATAAGCCAACTCAAGCCTCAACAGCTGTCCCCTCCCTGGCCCGATCCTTGATGTCCAAATTCTCCGCATACGCGTCAACATGATACCGCTTAAACTTTCTCGTCGGCACCTTGGCTGCAAACATGATATCCAGCTCCTCAAAGGTCCTCCCCTTTGTCTCCGTTAGCCTAAAGAACCCCCAGACGAGCGTCGCGAAGCCAGTCCCGAACCAGAAGAACCCGGTCTTCCCTCTCCAGTTCCACGCCGTCGGATTCATAAAGTATGGCTCGATTACGTTTGCCACGACGATCGCGATGTAGTACGTGTTTCGCGCGAGGACGATTGTCTTTGAGCGCAGGCGGGTGGATGAGACTTCGGGGCCGATGGACCAGCCAAGGGGTCCGATGGAGAGCGAGAAGGTGAAGAGCCAGATGATGCAGAGGGAGGACTGCGCCCATTTGACGCCGGGCCTATCGCGGACAAGGTCGAGAATCCCGATGATGAACAAATACGCGCACATCATCGACAGCCCACCGAGATACATGGGGCGGCGCCCAAACCCCTTCATGAGGAACCACGAAAGCACCGTCCCAAGAAATGCAATCGCCGTCCCCCCCAGCGCAAGCTTATAGGCGTCATCGGGACTCATCCCGGCCTGCTCAAAGAAATACGTCCCCGAATACGCAAACTGGCTGCCCGCGAGAACCTGGCCCGCAAACGCGACACAGGCAATCTCCGTCCGCCTCAGATTCGAGCCTTTCAGACAATCCCAGTATGAGCTCCCGGCCTCGATCTCGCACTCGATGTTATCCGTGTGGATCATCATCGCGACCATCTGCCGTGCGTTGTGCGCCTCGTCTTTGGCCATGAGGCGCTGGACGGTTTTCTCGGCGGCTTCGTACTGCCCGTTTCGGACCTGCCACCAGGGTGACTCGGGCATGAGGAATGCGATGAAGAAGAGCGGAGCAGGCCAGATCCATTGCACCGCAAAGGGGATTCGGTAGGACCATTCGTCGGGGCGGTTGAGGAGACTTTGGAGCACGCCCATGCTGAGGAACTGGCCGATGGCGAAGCACATATTTGTGTAGGCGGTTAAGTAGCTGCGGAGGGCCATTGGGAGGAGTTCCGAGGAGTAGGCGGGGCCGATTGTTGCGAACATGCCCCAGGGGATTCTTCATTGCCAGTGAGGACCGTGAAAGCGAGGGGGGGAGGAGGGAAGAGGAGGGGAGAGGAGGGGGAGCTCACCCGCAAAGAACCTGCCCAGCGACCTGCGCCTCAACCGTCTTCCCAAAGAAGGACACAAAGATAAATCCACACATACAAAGCAACCCACCCATAAACACCCTCTTGAACCCATAATGCTTGATCAAATACCCATTGAGGAACGCCCCAAGGATACACCCCGCATTCCCACCCGCACCCAGAGCCGACTGCCATTTCTCTGGAACCTCATACCCGTGGGGAAATGCTTGCCCAAACTGGCGCTTGAACTCCGGGTACGCGTAAAAATTTCCGACGAGGTTCGTGTCGTAGCCCTCCATGATGATCGACATGGAGATTGTCAGCGACCACGCCACGGCCCAGGGGTATGCCCGCAGCGCTTGCCGGACCGTCATCGAGTGCTCGGCTTCGTTGGCGGCGCGGGCTTCTTTGGTGCTTGTGTGCCATGTTTCTGCGCGTTTCTTGTAGGGGTCAGAAGGGGCCTCGACGTGAATGGTATCGGGAGTGGTATCTGTTTTCTCGTCCATTGCAATGGGATTGAGTTGAGCAAAGCTAAAGGGGAAGAAATAATTCAAAGTCCCAAATACATAGGCTGCAACAGTCAGATTAGGGAGGGACGATCTGCACGACGTAACATCAAACTGCGTGCAAGGTCAAGCAGCGCGGAAATGTGGAAGTTTATATACATCCAATTTAGCCGGCAGCCGAGGTGAGGTCACTTCGATTACTACTGTTTCTTTGTTCTTCCAATCCAATGACTGCATTCCGCTCAGAGCATCTCCCATGCCGATCCCTTGCCTCCCCATGGGGTAGCGTGCAATGCAAGGAGGTGGATGATTGATCATTGGTCGATTCCAGCCTCTTGGCATGTTGGAGTTGGGGTAGGTTTTTGGTGCGGCCTTGCCGCATTCCGAGTGGTGGATTATGCATGTCATGCGTTCGGATATCCTCCGAAGCCCGGCACGCGGGACGCCGGAAAAGGTTCCAGAGTATCGTCAAATCGCGTAGTTGAGTTGGGGTAGGGTGTTAGTTCAAGTAAGTTAGGTTTTTCAGGATCGAGATCTCAGTCTCACCTGAATTGTGCCGGAGGAGGCGTCGGGTATTTTGCGCGTTTCGGCTTATTTTCGGCTGTGGCTCCACGATTTAGCTTACAACATAACTTTATGCATGTACCATGCGTAGGTCTCAAATGTCCTTAAGCTTCTCGTTGTTGCATCACGTGGTGCTACTACCTACAACCGGATGGAAAAGGAGCGAATCGTGTTCATTTCATCTGATACAGATGGGAAGCTTGGGGTTTCAGGGTCTTGAAAGAGCGTGAAGGTGCTTAGTACAGGTGAGGATCCCGATATATATCGTACCGATCGGCAAACTGCACGAAGAATATCAACTGGGGATACCACCTTGTTCTGTGGCGCTATTTTCATATCGGCCTTGTACTTCCAACAACAGCTGATCGCTCTCCCTGTCCTGCGTTCGGCTCTAATTCTCGATAACGCACTATGGCCAGTATTTCTTCCATTGCTTTCCTAGTAACAAGTAACCAATGGTCCTTGTTACCGCTTTATCAGATTGGGTGCGCTTTCCTCGTTATCGGGTTATTGAAAGGGATATGGAACAATGGCCATTGACATGAATGCACATGAATGCTCCCTCAAAGACACAAAGAGCAAGACTTAATACCAATATATAAGGACCCCTCCAACCATTGTATACGCGATCATCCGCCCTCAACAACTCCTCCCCATCAACTAACCACAGATATACTCCTCGCCATGGCCTTCACAACCACCACCAACCCCGCAGAGGGCCAAACCTCTACAGCAGCAGCCATTCGCAACTACATGGCTCACGAAGTCTACCTCGGCTACGACGAATGCGTACGCCCGGACATCGACACAAAATGGATTGTCATTCTACACGGCACAATCACCAAGTCCTGCACGTGGTACACGACCCAAACGCTCCCCAAGCTCGACGGGTACTACAAGCTCGTCCGGCGGTCGATTCGCGACGTCGAGGGTAAGAACGAGCATAAGCACATCAAGTGCGAGTACGCGATCAGCAAGACTCGGATTGGGAAGATCGGGTGGGATGAGCGCGTGCTGTTTGATGCGTTGTTTGAGGCGACGGAGGCGCAGAGAAGTCGGAGGGCGGTTGTGGATTGGTTGGAGAGGGTTGCGGAGGAGGGGTTGTTGGATCGTGAGGTGTTTAGGAGGGTTATGCGGGAGTTTGAGATGTTGAGGTAGGTGTTCCATTGAATCCTGCACCTATTATAGGGTGGAGAGATGGTTATCTGGGGCAGTATCCATAATAGGTAATATAAACCAAATAGGCTATTGAAACACCATTTTCTGAGGTAAATGTAGTCAGATGCCGCAAGGAAAAACAATAGACTTGCCTTGCTAATATATATCCTAGTCATGTTAAGGATACTAGGACCTCTCCCCAAAGGCGCATTCTTCTATAGGCTAATCTTGGGGCTTTGGGGTATATTAAGGGGTGTTGCCCGCATTTTCATCCCGGTTTCCAAAATTCGGTGTTGCTTTTTTCGCGCTGTTCACAGACAGGTTGGTGAAGTGTATCGCGACATGCGCCGCGATGATTTTCTCTTCGAGATGGACATTATTCTGCACGACTCTGGCTAGTTTGTACTTGACTGGTATGAAAGAGTATCCTTCTTATCCACATCACCTGTGTAGAGTCCTTAACTGACCCTCTGGCGACCAGCAATGGCTCAAGTCTGCCCCGGAAAACGGCTACTGGGGGCCCGCCTACGTCGTCAACTTGCAATCCGAGGTGGACGCGATCGCACAAAGCTGCACAACCATCAATGGCAGCGTCCTCATGTACGCAAACTACACGGGCGCCTTCCACCTCCCCAACGTGCGCAACATCCTCGGCAGCTTGCAGTGGTGGAGTTTGCTGGCGGATCCGTATTCTCCCGACAAGCCGTCGCCGTCGACGATCGATCTTCTGGATCTCGAACTCCTGAGGAATAGCGTTTACATCGACACGCTGCCAGCGCTGAGGAATTTATCGGCGCCGCGGTTGAGGGGTGTTGGGTGAAGTGTTCAGCTTCACTATGCAGTTGACGTGGATGTGCGGGCGTTGAGGAGGCGGAGTATTTCAGTTATACGGGGAATGTTTCCACGTGAGTATGACCAGAAGGATTGGGGACCACAACCGGGGCGGGCAATCGATCGTGAGATCTAAGTGGCAGATGCTAATCTGCAATTGGCATGGCATGCACAGTCTGCGCCTCGACTCCCTCCGCGAACTACGTCAAAGTGCGCGCATTTGTAACAAGGATCGATGCCCAGACAACCTCACGCTTCCATCCCTATCTGTTGCCAGTGCGGTAGAGCTGGACGGGCGGTATCCTGGGTATATCTGCGTCATTTATCTCAAGTTACAGCATTCTAACGCCATATCCAGTGTGTTGCTAACCTAGAACGACGGCGAATAGCTTCGCAATATACAGCATGCGAAATCTGACTGGCAGCTTCAATCTGATCACGAGCGCCCCCCTCAACGTGACTCTCCCTTTCGAAGAGGCAGTGTATGTTTATCCCGCGGGCAACATTGCAGGATTTGTGCTCACAGTCGAGAAAGAAGAACCGCATGGGCCGCGAATCCACTACTAATCTTCCTTCGCAGAACTCACTTTCCCAACCTCAGATCCTGGGAGTCTTTGACAGTTGACTCGCGGCTCGAGATAGACTGCGACGCCACAACAGAACCCGCAACATTCCTATTCCCCCCTCAGGTATATGCTACGTAGCAGGAAGGTCCGCCTGTTGGCTCGGGTACCAATGACCTGGTTTGCACCTTTCCGAGGGGTTGGACATAAACAACTTCCGACAGAAAAGGAAGGAGCTACTGTTGTCCATAGTCGCCCAGGTGACCAGCGCTCTTGCCTGTCTGGTTGTAGAAGGCGATGACTATTGTACAGAGGGCGAGCCAGGAGCGAATAACTATGAAAGTGTGCAAGGTATCGATTATGTTTGGTTATAGACATTATTCTTCTATCATGCAATGTTCAGGACGAGTTTAGACATTAGGATATCCAACACAAACCAAGCCAAAATGACGCTTCAGATGCAGTGTAAAACACAAGAAACAAGAGAAGAAAAAAAGGAAAAAGGAAAAAAAAGAGAATCTAAACATTAACAGGGGTCTGCGTGCCACTCGAACTCGCGCCCCTCGAATCCCTCCACGCATGCCACGCCTTGGCCGGAACCGGCGAGTAAATCGAATAAATCGAGTCCGGCCGCGAGGGCAGATTGCCAATATACAATCTGTGCATGCCGCCCTTCTCCTTGAGCGCAACCTCGCTGCTGTTACTAGACGAGAGTGCGCTGCGCGCGACGTAGCTGTGGCTCTGGTACTTGCCGAGCCAAAGCATCTGCTCGTGCTCGCGGAGGTAGCGGTCGGAGCTGAAGGAGTTTTGCACGTTTGCGCGGCCCAGCATACCGAGTTTGCGGCGCTGCTCGACCTTGGCGTACATGCGTTCGGAGATCTTGCGCGTGTTTTCGGGGGTGGGCCGGAATTCGAGCTCGGGGACGATGTCGCCCGGTGCGTCCTCGGCGAAGGGCGCCCATTGTTCGAGGAGGGCGAGGACGCGGAGTTGAGCGCGGGCGAGCGAGTCGTAGTCGTTGGGCGCGACCACTTCGGAGAAGCGCTTGCCCGTCGCCCGGTCGGTGACCACACAGAATGAAGCGCCAACGTCTGTGCAGACGACGGGGGCACCCGTCAACGCGGCTTCTCCCATGGCGAGTGGGAGACCTTCAGAGGTGGACGAGTTCATGAACAGCCAGGCGTCTTGCAGGACGACGGAGGGATTGCCGAGACCCTTGAGCACGACGTGCTCGCGGAGTCCCTTGGAGGCGATGACTTCTTGACATTCGGAGGCGTAGGCGGGGGCACGTTCCATGTCGCCGTAGATGTGCAGGCGGTAGTCGCGGAAGCCCCATTTGTTGACGATCAGGTCCGTGGCCATGATGGCCGTTTTGATGTCCTTGACGTAACTGTAGCAGGTCTGGTTAGTAGTCGCCCGGATGGGAAAGGAAAGCAAAAGTGGACGTACCGAATATGAGAAAGCATGACCACAGTCGGTGTTTCCGTCTTGATCGTCTCAATGGGCTTGTACTTCTCCATGTTGGTGATACCGTTGACGACAGGATCAATCTTTCTAGCGAACCTGCGGCGGTGCTGCAGGGCTCCCTCGGCCGTACCAAGCTCAATCTCCCAACCGGGATTGAAGTACTCGGCGCAGGGAAGGACCACATCAGCGTGATGTTCAATGAGCACACAGGCCAGGTGACCGAGCGAGATCAGAGTCGTGTTGACAAATGACGAGTCAAATGACACAGCGGCAGACAGGAAGACGGTCATTTCACGGAAACTGACGCAGTGATCCCAGACGTGCAGAGCACACTTGCGCTTGGCCTTGCACAGGACACCGTACGTGGCCCCCGTGAAGTGGTGAGAGACCTGGAAGACATCGGGGATGCGTTCGGGGACGGGGATCGAGAAGATGAACAAGTCTAAGAAAAAGTGTTAGCGAATCGATCAGGAGCCACATCACTAGGAACTTACAGCGATGCCACATATCCAACGCATTGTCGAGCTGATGCAGCGACGGATGCTCTGCGTCCCACCACTGCGAGACAGGCGTGGTATCCTCGACATCATCACTCAACCAAAGCTCCCGCCAGGCATTCTTGACAGTATCACTCATCCACACATCGTTCCAGCTACGGCCAGACTCAAAGTACGTGTTCAGGTCCACCAGCGCATTCGTCGCCTCCTCAATATGGTGCCTCTTGAGGTTCGTCGTCCGTGCACAACGAACCAGCTTGGTGAGAATCGGAACGAAATGCTTCTCGATATCCTCCTTGCGCGTATCCTGCGAGCGCTCGACAACGGCCGAGTCAAGCGTATTCTGGAAGACACCGTGCGTCGGGTTCAGGAAATCCAGACCCCACTGCGGCAGAACGGTGAGGGACTGCACGTTCCGTTCAATCTGGAACTTGGGAACACCGTAGTCGTTTGCGTTTTCGGAGATGATGTGCCAGCGGATCCCGTTGAGGTCGTTGACCATGTCACGACGGCAGGCGGAGACACCACCCGGTTCGTTGGGCCACGTCGCGGTGTCCATGGCGAGAACGTGCAGCTTGGTGTCTGTGTCTTGCAGCTGGGTGGAGAGGGTGCGTGTATTGATGCGCGCATCGCCACCAATTCCAAAGCTGTACAGGTCACTGATCTTGAAGGCGGTTTGGGTCCATGAGCTGATCTCGGGATCGATATCGACTCGGGCGAGGATAGTGTCGACCTGAGCATCGAGGTAATCACCAGCGGCATCCAGACGACCAAAGTCACGGTTTCGCCAGTATGGACGGAGAACGCGATCAGAGCGGAGCAGGAGTTCATCGAGCCAGGTGGTGGTCACAGCATCAAACTCCTTGCTGCTCTTCCATGACTTCCACAGGTGCGTGCGTGCTCGCGAGGTCGGAATAGGCCGGGTCTTGACATTGAGTCCAAGGAGGCGAGAGAGGGGGTTGGTCTTGATCGACTTGAAAAAGAACAGGGGATTGTCATGCAAGAAACTGCTCTTGGCCGGCTTCTCGAGAACGTGGAACCAATCCTCGTCGATCATCGGCGGCGTAGCGACCTCCTCACCATTGAGCGTGGTCGCAATCTCCGGATGGAACTTGTGGTCGTACGTCCATTTGGCGTGGTAGATGTCTCCCTCTTGGAAGAAGGTCGCTTCGCTGACTCGCGGGTACGGGATCCACTTGTCTTCACGCTCCGGACGATGGGGAGGAGGCATGCACCAGGAGACCTTGATCTTGATATGCGGGAACGTGTACTCGGCGCGCAGGAGCTCGTCGTCGAACTTGGCGTGCTTGCGGAAGCGATACTTGAACTCCATCGGGTTGACGCCCTGCATCCCAGAGCCAGAGACGATGTAGCCTCGCTCGTCGTACTGCACGATCTGGCCCTCGAGCTCACCCGCCGTGCACTCGCGCTGGATGGGAAGTTGCCGACCGCGCTTCTTCCCGCCGGTCGGATACTCGTAGGCATAGTCATTCAGCAGCTTGCCGGCCTTGTACTCCTCATGGCGGACGAGAACCAGCTTGTCAGTATACGTGTTGATCGCAAGCAACTGTTTCTGATCCCTCGGCTCATGCGTATGATTCCCAGAATACTGGTAGAGAAGGGTATTGCCATCAGCCTGCGGCTTGAAAAAGCACGTCGTCAACCCGTCCAGGCTCTCAATGATAATGCGATCCTTCTCGAGAACAGTCTTCCACCCGCGCGTATCCTTGTACAGCTTCGAGACCTTCTCGCGGCCATGCAGGAGGACAAGCGGGATGAGGATCCGCTGCAGCAGTTTGCAGAACGACCAGATCCCATTCAGGAGCATTTGCACGGGCCACGCGATGACGAGAGGTTGTCCGCGGAGCATGTACTCCAGCTCGCGCTGGTACTCGGGGTCTGCGACCAGGCAAATGACCAGGAACTTGAGACACGTCCTTGCGCTGTTGAGAATGCGCTTGAAGGATAGTTTCACCACTTCGGTGAAGCCCAGGTTGGCGCCGATGGGCGGCGGCAGCAAGGCTTGGATCGGCTTCTCGAATGTCGAGTCCATGAACACCGGGTAGTCGGGGTACTCGTCGTGCTCCATCCAGCGTTGCGCAAAGTACTTGACGGAGAGGGACATTGCCACGCCCAGGTTATACCGCGCGACGTATGCGCCGACACCCTGGAGATCAGGCACGCCGACCTTACTCTGGAGCCAGGCAAGTTCCTCGCTGGTGACGCGGCCGGGTTTCCCGGAACAGCGGCGGACGAGGAAAGATCGAGCGCAGCGTGGGAGGTCATCCCACTCCAGGTCACAGTCGATACCCAGAAGAAGATGACGGAGGAAGGTGCGCTGTCCATGGTTCGCAACACGGGCGCATTCAGCGGGGGAGCGTTCCAGCTGGTACTTTACACCTTCAGGGACAGAGAGATCATAGTCATCGCGGTGGTCGCCGACAAGCAGCTCAGCCATCATCGAGTGGTCGTGCGATAGACCGAGTTTCGCCTCCGCAGTGGCTTGTACGACAGCTTCGGCGATGGCGCGGCAGTTGCGGCGGATGTTTGTCGTCCAGTCTTGGCCGACGAGGCCGGGGCCGATGACGACGAAGATGTGGAGTTTCTCGCCCGTCAGGCGGCTGACGGCGCGAACGCGTTGCTCCGTTTGCTGGAGGTGTTCGGCGGAGACGAATTCGATGATCGTCTGACCGGAGACCCAGAGGCGGACGACATCACGGAGGAGAGTCTCGGAGTCGGGGAACGCAACCTGCACGAGGGCCGACTGCTTCGCGCCAGAGTTGGACATGATGACCTCCTTGACTTCAATGCCAGGGTGCGTTTCAGGGTCCAGACGGTGACGCATATCTTGGGGCAGTGCATTGATGTTGTCATAGGTCTGAGCGAGTGTAGTCGGGGACAGATCAAGGTACGGCTCAAGCGAGCTGCTGGTGTACGAGGGCGGGGGGCCGCTGGCAGATTTACCACTCGACTGGAACTCGGGCTTGCGCTTGAACGTGGGAAGACCAATATCCGACATCCAGAGGGAGTAGATGGCCGCAGTCCACGTACCAGAACCCAGACAGATGACGCTGCTCCAGGCAAAAGCAGGAATAACTTCGCGAAGGACAATGCCCGTGAGGAAACCGACGAGGGAGCCAAGAGCAAGGCAACGGGCTGCTTGTGGACCAGTGAAGATCCGGTTGTACTGGTAGAACAGCAGACCACTATAGGCGACAATGTATGCGAGATACATGATGGTTGCCTTGGGCGAGCTCTCAAACGTCCACATCAACGCGAGGGTGACGGCCGTACCCCAGATGTGCAGGAAGAAGAACTTCATCAGGTTGCCCCAGTACAATGTCTGCCTCTCACCAGAGTTGTGAGACAGAACCTTGCGCAAGCTGTCCAGAGACGAGATGGACTCTGTGATTCGCTGGGTGACAGACGTCCAGAGAGGCTGTGAGACGGCATCGAGAATGAGAGCACCAGCGAGATAGTACCCCAGACCAAAACCAACAGCCAGGCGGAATTCCGAGCTCGAGGCAGTAGACAGACCAACGAGAGATTCACCGGTAAACAGTGCAGTCCACTTATCCATGAGTGCAATAATAAAGTAGAGGATACCACACCACACATCGGAGCCTGTGTGGCGCCAGTGGAGAAACGCGCTGTGAAGCCTGATACCTTTTTGCATGTCACCCATCGTATCAACAGCAGCCTTGAGCTGCAAGTTCCAGGTGGGACTGTATGCGAGAGGGATCTTAGTGCGCGAGTAACGGCAGTACCAGACGAGCAGGAACATGGTGGACGAATATCCTTCGGCCATCTTGCGAACGAACTCGTCGTTTGTGCCCTTGACCCAGAAGCGACGCTTGCGCTCTCTGGTGACTTCCTCAACGAGGGTCTTGCGGGGGGCTGAAGAGGTGGCGACGTCCTTCTCCACGGGAATGCCGCGGGCTTTCCTCGATTCGACGTACCACTTGACGACTTCTCCGTCCGTCACGCGAGGAATTTTCAAGTACCAGGAGTTCCATTGCGACATGACGCGGCGGGCACCGAGGAGAAGCGAGAGAAGGAAGAGACCGAGCAGGCACAGGTAAATGACCGAGTCATGGCCAACCCAGAGGGTGACGATGGGGGCGACAAAGAGGATGGGAATGCAGGTCATAATTACCGTACGACCCTGCCCTGGTTAGCATAGATGTTGGAGAATATACATCAATGGGAACTTACCGATTGGAACTCAAACCCAGGCATTTGATAAATCGCCAACACCGAGAGAAGCATCAGGTACGCAGCCAGGAAGAAGAAATACAGGAAGAACAGGACACCAGCTGCGAACCCTTTGACACAACCGATCGCGATCATGGCAATAAGACCACCAACAAGCGCAACAGCGCAACCAGCAATGAAGCGGGTCATGATGAACATGCTCATCGCAGGGAAGGCCATCGCGTACAAGTAGTAACTGCCCCCCGAACTGATCCAGCTGCCAAAGCCACCACAGACCAGGAGGGCGACCATGAGCGCAGTAGTGGCGAGTGTCTTGTCCGTGTCGCTCATGAACGTGGTCAGGTACAGTCCTCGTCCAACCGTGGTCAACATGGTGATATCGATCAGGGCAGGCAGGGCGAAGATTCCGAGGAAGGTCACGCGGTAGTAGAAGGGGACTTCGTGCTTGTCACCCTCGGGATCCAGATCCATGTCCATAGACGCGTAGGCAGTAGGCAGTTCAGTAAAGACTTCCTCACGACGAGTGGGCTGGTGCACGTTGTAATACGCGCGGTAGCGGGCGGCGATGATCTTTCCCAGAAGCTTGGGAGTCATATCAAAGAACAGATCGCATCGAGCACCAAGGGCGTACATCTCTGCGAAACAGGCAGCCTGAACAGTGTGCCCGTTGGGGAGAGGGTTGCGGTCGAGGACCTCAAGGTAGATTTCGTTGAGCGAGAGACGACGGAACGCACAGAAGATGGCAAGGGCAAACATGTCGACACCAGCGTCGACGCGATCCGCTTTGAGGATTCCTTGGATGACGGTCGTGAGTTGCCCGAGCGTGTGGGAGTCGCAGGCCATGAGGATTTGCGGGAGGCGGGCATCGACCTCTTTGAACAACTCAAGCGCAGACAGAGCGTCTGGAGCCCAACATCCTTGCTCGCGATACCATGCCAGACGCGCATAGACCAAGTCCTCGGCCGAGATCTTGCCGCTGAGGTATTCACTCGAGCTGAGGGCGCGCAACTGAGCGAGGGTCGGGATGTCCATGAGAAAGTGTTCACAGCAAGCGCGGACCTTGGCCGTCAGATCAGCGCACTCCTGGCAAAGGGTAAGCGAGAGACGGCGCATCCAGAGCATAGCCTCGGTCGGGGTGAGCTGCTCAACATCGCTCACGATCCGCGGCGGCAGCTGCCATTTCTCAGACAGAGTCCCGTTGACCTTTGCGAGCGCAACCTCGGCCATGAAGCACTGGTAGCGAGAATAGCCCCTGCTCGACATGAAGGTATGCAGAATGGAACCCGTGCGATCCTTCTCCGTCTTGCCTGAGAGATAAATGTCGAGCGAGCCAATCCCGTGGTTCTGTTGATACATGCCCCAGATCTGCGTCTCCATGCGCGTGCGGAAGCCAGAGTGCAGACCCGAGTACACTCGGATCGGATCGGTGTCGGACCCTTCGCAGGAGATGAGCAGGTCGTACAGTTCACGGGCGGCCTTTGCACCTTCGGCGTCGGTGGCCTGGAACGCGCGGAGCTCGCCGGCGATTCGTCGGAGTTCGGCCTTCTTGAAGGGGTCCAAGAGGTTGAGTTCGCGGACGTGGCGCTGCGCCTGCAGCAGATCCTCAATCTCCTTGCGCGTGCACTCCAGACCAAGTTGGAAGCAGCCGAGGCCAGAGAGGTCGTGACCATCAGACGAGACGGAGAAGGGGTTTGTCATGAGGGGTTCGTTGAGCGAGGGCCATTGCAGCTCGTCGATGACAAACACCTTGCCATCGTTTTCGATGTTTGGTTGCGGAGGGAGCAGCGCGAGCTTTTGTCGGAGGTTGGGCACAAAGTACTGCAGGGACTCGTAGAAGCTCTCATGGCCGCAGGTGTCGTGCTCGATCTTTCCATTCTGGCGCCAAAAGTCGTGGGCAGCGAGAGTCTGTTCATTCTTCATCCACATCAGCGCACCGATCGGCTCGTGAATGACAGTCTTGCCCGACGCGATCGTCGCATCCGTCAAAGAGCTCTGAGTGCCGATCCAGCTCATGGCACTGTTGTAGTTGCACCATTTGTAGCTGCGATGGAGAACATCATGAGACAACTCCACATCATCATCAACAGTATCCCACATGGCGAGGGTCGAGTCACCAATGGGCTTCTGCGCGGCAGCGACCCGCATCACCGTGCGCATCTTCTCCATCTGGAAGTAGTTGCGCCGGTCGCCGTTGGGCAGGATGGTACCATTGCGGTAGACGACACCCCGGATGCGAGCCATGTCGATTTCGCGGCAGGTCTTTTCGGGGAGGTAGTCCGGGGGCGCAACCTCGAGCCAGACGTCGAGGCCCAGCCCGTTGATGAACTTGACGAGCTCATTCAGGATGACCGGCTGGAAGGTGTCGTGGCAGTCGGCCAACAGGACCGCGTTGAAGAGTGATTGGGAGTCGCCGGGCCGGCGGAGACGGTTGACAAGTGTCGCAGTCAAGCCACGGATGACATGGTCGACTTCATCGCTGTCGGTGCTGGTGTCCGACTCGATGAGCTTGCGAACATCCAGCCGGGCAAGAATATTCGTTGCCGATGTGCCTCTTGCGACAGCATCCAGTACACCAGGCTGGAAGGGATCCAGGACGACCACATCCCATTGTGAGAGGAGCCGTGCCTGGTTGGATGTTGGTGGGTTGGCAAAGCCCCCGAGGTAGACCCCAAACGTCTTGGGATCTGACCGTGTGGAGGGTGGGGTGTATAGAGTCGGGGTCTCCTTCTTTAAGCGCTCGATGACTCGTGCTGTGGATGAAGGGACCTCTGATAGTTGATGGCGTGTCTGGCGACGATGGTCAGCGAGGGTTCATTCATACAAGAAGAGAGAAGGGAGCTCACCTGCCAATATTGATATAGTTTCCGTCCGATCAGGTACAAGAAGTATATACTACCAAGTACAATCGTGACAAGCAGACACGCCGCCAAGACCTATGCACGCTGTTAGGAGTCGCCAGGGGTACAGATTGAAATTCCAAGCAGAACTGCATGGCACTCACCCGCTGCCACCAGGTCTCAGTCATGCGATCCCATCCCGTCGCCTGCAAACCCAGGTACTCGGCCCCCATAGCGACGGCGAGTCCAGTGAACAAAACGAAGGACTAAACAAACAAGAAACGGAAAAGGAAAAAAAGGGTCCAAGAGGTAGCGAGTGAGATCCGATCCTGGTCACCCAGAGGTCGCGGGAGCCGTGTGGGTTATGTAGATAGGAAATGGGGACCAGCACGCACGGCGCGCCACCAGTGACTGGCAGTTCGAAAGTCAGGACCCGCAGCTGGAGCCTCAGCGCCTGGAGTCGGGTCTGCAGAGTTTTAACCAGATGCGTCAGTTGGCGACCAGGGATGGGACGAGTTCTGGAGGCGCCCAATGGGCCGTGAGGGAGTCCGGCGTGTCGTGTCTGTTACCAGTTCACCCCCAAAGAAACCATGGCCCCCAAAATAGAATACTCTGACCGGGGCTGGATGCAAGTCTCACCTTGGTTGGGGCTTTCAGAGACTGAAAGTCTCGTAAAAAGACGGGTTGCTTACATTAGGGCTGACCGATAAGAGCTGTTCTGGCTTTGTCTGCCACCCTCCTTTGAGACGTTTCTTTTCCTGTCGGCCCAGTTCGCCTGCTCGCTGCGAACCCAAGCGCCGCCAAAGTCAAACAAAAGACATACCAAAATCCAAAGTGCGAATCCTTCGCGTTTTGCTGATACGTCTTGTTTTTTTTTTCTTGGATTGCTCCAGACCAACCTGGGACCCTTGTGATACCCCCGAATTTAGACCTGGTGCTCTTGAAACTCCCATTTATTATCCATTTCCACGCCCGACAGGCTGCTGCAATCTTTATCCTCTTCTTTTTCCTTTCCTTCGCCTTCGTTTGTCTGTCTGTCTGTCTGGCTATTGACCCTCCAGAGCAGAAATGGAGGCGCTCCAAAACAGCAAAGAGGGGAGCCGCCCTGGGTTGCACCGAAAGTGCCAGCTGCAGCGCCGCTGGTGGATTGCCATTGGGATTGCAGTGGCCATAGTCGTGATCCTCGTAATTGTCATTCCGCTGGCCATCATCCTCCCCAAGCGCGGAGACGACGGCGGAAAGCCCTCGAGCGTCATCTTCCCGCTGTACATCTATCCCGAGAACAACAGTACCTGGGGGCCATTGTACGAAGCGTAAGTCACTACAATTGTCTACTCCCCATCGAATCTCGTCTTCATGAGACACCGATTGCAGGGTCCCTGTTTCGCGCTGACTCAACCAGGGTCCTGACACACCCGGACCTTCACTTCCTAGTGATTGTGAACCCACAGAGCGGGCCGGGCGAAACATCGTCCCCGGACGAAGCGTACCAGACTGCCCTCCACCAGCTCGACACGTACCCCAACGTGCAGAAAGTGGGATACGTGCGCACGGGGTACGCCGAGCGCAACATCTCCGAGGTGCTTGCGGACGTAGCGACGTACGGCGGGTGGCAGGCGCAGTCGAGCGCGTTTGCGATGGAGGGGATTTTCTTCGACGAGTCGCCACACCAGTATGCGGCCGAGACGGTCGAGTACCTCGAGCGGATTAACCTCGCCGTTAAGAATGTGACGGGGCTGACGGGGGAGCGGACGGTGAGTCTTTTTTTTTTTCCAAACCAACCTTGTCTCAACTCTCGGTGATGTGATCGGTATTTGGCAATGGGAGCCGGCGAAAACGCAACAATCGAGTCAAAATTGGGTCTTTCGGACTGGGTCTGGCGATCGCTCGGGTAAACCGTGGGCTTTTGCCGGGTGGAGCTCGATCTTCCTTCGCGCGGTTGGCGAGGTTTTGTCTCTTGGCCCACTTGCTGCGATCGATTGACCTGATTTACCTGATTCACTCGGTTGGGGCCGCAGCGAAGAGTCAAAACTGACAGTTGGATTGACAGGTCATCCACAACCCAGGCACCATCCCGGACGCGCGCCTCGCCGTCCCCAACACCGACATCACCGTCGTCTTCGAGCAGAGCTACGACCACTACGAGACGAGCCAAAAGGCCGCGCTGTCAGAAGAAAAGGATGCTGACCGGGACAGCTGGGCTTACGTCTTCCACTCGGTGCCGCAGATGAGCAACAGCACTCTGGAGCATTTTGTCAACGACATCAGCCACAAGGCGGCCTGGCTGTATCTGACAACGCGGACCGACAGCTACTACGAGTTCTTCGACCCGCGCCTGGAAGAATTTGTCGATGTCGTGCCGACGTGATTCGCCGAGAGGGATTGCGGCATTCAGCGGTGGTGGAGACGGCATTGAGCTGGTAGGCGCCAGGTTGTGAGACAGCAGACGCAATATTATTACAGTTGCGCTCGAATATAGCCCAAGAATCACCCAAGAATCCAGACTGATGGCGGTGGATCGCAGGTGCAGAAGCGTGGATGAGGCGCCGAGTGGATTGGCCAGTGGTTGTCGGCTACCATGGTCTGTTTTTTGTCTCGTACCTTATCTCTCGAATTATATTAGTGGCTGGCCAGCCTAGTGGCCTTCTTGGGTTAGCGTTCTATTTGGGGGTTTTCCTTTGACACCGGTCAGCAACTAGTGCATGTTTTGGCTTGGTCTGGCGTTTTGGCATTTGGCGTTTGGCATTTGGCATTTCTAGATTCGCAATGGAGGCTGTTGTGAGACTCAGCTCAACCCGGCTAATATGGCTGCTATAAATCCGCGCCATCCATGCAGCAACGCACACGCTGGGATCACCCCATTTTCCTGATTATCTTCCATCCCATTGGCCCATTTATATCATCTCGCCATCTCCGATACCCACCCACCATGCCTCCCAAAGCAGCCGTCGTGGTACCCCTGTACATCTACCCACTGACCTCCGAAACATGGGCCCCCCTCTACACAGCGTCAGTACCCAGCGCGAGTCAAACTTCAATCTCACACAGACCACAGACCACAGACCGCAGACCCCATTGAACATTTACTCACCCGCACAGAATCGAGCAAAATCCCGCCCTCACCTTCCTCGTCATCGTCAACCCCAACAGCGGCCCCGGCGAGCCTGACCAACCCTCCCCGGACCACAATTACGCGCGCGAAGTCCCGCGGCTCAACGCTTACGCCAACGTGTACACCGTAGGCTACATCCGGATCGACTACTGCAGGAAGCCCTTCGGCGAGGCCTGCGATGAGATCGCGCGATACGCCGGGTGGGCCGGGGATTATGAGGCTACGAAGCTCGGCGTGCGCGGCATCTTTGTTGACGAGACGCCGAACCATGAGTCGGAGGAGAGGGTCGAGTACCTTGAGAGGTTGACGAGGTTCATCAAGGGGTGTGAGGGGATTCTAGGTGACAAGTTTGTATGTCCCGTCTGTGTTGTTGTCGTGTTCGAGGTGGTGGGTGGTCAAACCGCGGGCTCCGCTAGGCCGCACCTGTACACTGGCAGTCTCCATCCATCCCGCCCGCATCTCCATATTTACCCGTCCTTTCCAACTTCACTTTCTCCGTGCAAGTTTATCTCGATAAGGTGGTCCTGACTCGCAACACTGCTAACCGACCTCTCCTCTAGGTAATCCACAACCCAGGAACAGCCCCATCCCCGTCAATCGCCGCGACCGCCGAAATGACCTTTATCTGCGAAGAGCCGTACTCGCGGTACCGCAGCGACGAGGTGCAAAGGTGGCTGGAGCTGCATCCGTTTGAGCGGACGCGCGCCGGGTTCATGCTTAGCGGGGTGCCGAACGAGGAGCTGCATGGGCTCGTGCAGGAGCTCCGGCACCGGTCGGCGTACATCTTCGTCACGGAGGTTGTGGATGATTTTTACGAGAGCTTTGGGGAGAGGAGTTGGGGGGCGTTTATGCGGGCGTTGCAGCACGGTGACGGTGAGGAGAGTGGTGAGCAGGATGGTGAGCAGGATGGCGAGCAGGTGGCGTCGGCGAGACCGTTGCCCTAGATTCTCGACTTTTTGTCGTGGACATTAGTACCTGCTTCTGCGATGTATGATCCGTCGCTTCTATGGATGACGAATTTACGGCTGGATTGAACTGATCCCAAAGCCCAACAAACGAACTTGATTTTCCTGACAGATGCACAGTGTCGCTTTGGCCAAGCCACGCCACCTCGCGAGCCATGGCGGCATTGGCGACGAATGTGATTCGTAGCCTGAGCTCAAGACTCACTAGCAGTGTGCTACGTATCATCTCTCCCACTCAGCCGTACACGTGGCGCTCGTATTGGATTCATCAACTGTGCCTTATCATCTTTAGGCTGGAGGCTCCGGAGAGCCTCGCGCCGGCCGGGCGCTGGGACGCTTTTTTTTGGTTGGCCGATTCCTGGGCTGTCGATCTGTTGGTTCTTTTTCCACCTTTTCCTTCGCGCTTCGAGACTTTCTGACAAATGGTCTCGGCTTGAAATTGAGACGCAACGATATTACCGAGTAGTTTCCGGTTTTCTTGCACTCATTCAGTTGTCCAGAGTTCAAATAGATTAAACCTGAGAACCTGATACCGTAATATGGGTCCTGGATTGAAATAGATTAAATCTGGATCAACCTGATTGACTTTGGTTCTAATCTTATCAACCAATTGCCGGACGAAACATGTTGATTCACTCAGAGTTACTCCGGCCGGAGCGACGACTGAAACACTGCATGTCTTGAGCGCCAACCAGGTGTCCAGGATTCAGATTCAACAAAGAACAACAAATGAGTACATTTTCCACCCCGATGAGGGCCATTCAAATCTCACCATCAGCCCAACTCCAGATGGACAAGGAATCGACCTCGTATCCGCGATAAGCCCGCTCAGCAGTCAGCGAAATCATCCGATAACAAGCATCTCACGTCACGTCATCACGGCCCAGATGGCAATAGTCGCGATCCTGAACTTACACTCTTCGTCGTGGGAAAGTATACCCGACAGTGCGGTTGACAGGCACGAGTGGCAGGGGTAAGAGAATCAGAAAGTAAGAAAGTAAGAAAAGACAAGGTTCAAGAGAGTCTAGAACTTGGCTTCCATGGAAACAAATTGCGAGATAATCACGTCAAAGAAGTCCATGAGTGGTTCAGGTAGCCTCATCCCACGGGATTGACATTGAGCTGCAGCTATCCAAGATACCGGTCTCTATTTTCGGTACGAACTCTGGAAGCAGAGATCTCTGCCGAGCCGCATCGCATCGCGCCCGGGATCAATGCCGCCCAAAGTTCAGTTTAGGTCGAGGTTCCAGCCCTAGGAAGTGACCACTAGCCATCGATCATCGAATGATTCTGACCAGAGATCACGGCACGGGAAAGAGAAACGGGAAACGGGGCTGAGTCAAAGCTGAACATTTGTCCATCTTCTGGGCTTCCAGGCTCTGGCCATCCAGACTCTGACTGCGCGACTTTCTCACTCGTCCCACGATAACAGGTGAGACATACAGCAACCTTGAGTAGTACCTACCTCAATTCCTGGCCGTGGCTGCCTGACACAATCCATTGATGCGTGGCGTGGCATGGCACCGGCATTGACATTGACTGGACTGGCAGTGACATGCCGCGACCCTCCGGTCGGTCTGCCCGACTCCATCTCCATGCGGCCTGCAAGATGCAAGAGAAGCGAGGAGAAGTCTCAAGCGCCGGAGTGTACTATTCCTGTACGACACTAAGACATTGTAAGAGCGGCGTAATTCGTACCGCGGCGGTACCATGCCTTGACTTCATCGATGGGCCAGGGCAGTCTTTGACAGCCCCGAGAGAACTGTATCCACCCTCGTTTGGCGGATAAGGGAATGAACCCCCCGGGGACGGGATGGATGTCCGTGTTCACGAACCCCTCCCAGAGCCAGTCTTACAGCGAGCGATCCGCGGTTCATCGAGTACCGGCAGTGAGGAGTACTAGTTAGAGGTCACCCTGCCATGCAGGCTCGAGGTTCCTGCCATGTCCTGTTCACCAGCCTTTCAAGACTCCGGCACGAGCTCGCCGCAGTTCTGCTCTGATCCTCCCACGCCAGCGACAGAGCTCGAGGATATCATTGAACATGACCTCCCACCACCATCTACAGACAGCGAAGCCGACTTTGTCCTTGTAATCGGCGGCCTCGGGTTCATAGGGAGCCACACCTCGCTCGAACTCCTCAAGGCGGGATACAATGTTATAATCGTCGACAACCTCAGCAACAGCTACCGCGATGTCTTCAACCGCGTCCTCCTCGCCGCGAAGCTCTACTGCAGCCGCGCGGGGACATCGTGCCCCAAAGCCGAGCTGTGTTGCGCAGACTACCGCGATACAGATGCCATGACGACCCTGCTCACGAAACACACCCGCGACGCAACCAGCACGACCCCGCGCCGCTCGGATATCATAGGCGTGATCCACTTTGCGGCGTACAAGGAAGTCGCAGAGAGTATCCGGCACCCGCTCAAATACTACAAGAATAATGTCCAGGGGCTCATCGATCTAATCGCCCTGTTGGACGAACACAACATCAAGCAGTTCATCTTCTCCTCCTCTGCGAGCGTCTACGGCACCCTCTCAACAAGAACAAGCACAGGATCAGCATCAGGATCAGGATCAGGCACAGCACGCCTCCGCGAGGAAGACTGCGTCCACGAGCAGGAATCCTACTTCAACCCGGAAACTGGAAGCAGTTTGCACGCGCAGCAGGGCTGCACGGGGATCACGAATCCCTACGGGCGGTCGAAATTCTTCGCCGAGGCGATCCTCGCGGACGTCTGCAAGGCCGATCCGTCGTGGACCGTCCTCGCCCTGCGATACTTCAACCCGATCGGATGCGACCCCTCGGGACTCCTGGGCGAGGACCCGCGCGAGGCCGCGTCGAACCTCTTCCCCGCCGCTGTCAAGGTCCTCACGGGTCAGTACCCGCAACTAAACATCTACGGGACCGACTGGGATACAGCAGACGGAACCGCCGTGCGCGACTTCATCCACGTCTCGGATCTGGCCAAGGGTCACGGCGCGGCGCTCGCTGCTGCGCAAGGGGGTCGGGTGCGCGGTGCGTTCCGGACGTTTAACCTGGGGACGGGAACTGGTCATTCGGTTGGGGAGGTGGTGAGGACGCTACAGGAGGTGACGCAACGGGGGATCCCGACGAGGGCGGTTGGGCGGAGGGATGGCGATGTTGGGTTCTGCGTTGCGATTGCGGATCGTGCGGCGGTTGAGCTGGGGTGGAGGACGGAGAGGTCGTTGCGCGAGGCGTGTGTGGATTTGTGGAATTATCTTAGTATAGAGCGTCAGGTTTGATTTTAGGTTCGTTGTGGTTTGTATGTAGAGGGGCAGGATGTGCTTATCGTATCTAATAGCTTAATGAATAGATTGTGTTTTTGCTATCATCTACCGAATTGAGCCTGCACTTCAAGATACTCCATCTACACTTGGTCATCACCACTGTCATCATCTCATTGATTATGCACCGATCTCATCCTTGCCGCCGACACGTCGGTCCCTAGATCCATTTTCAACACAACCAGTTGTGATCTCAATCTTCAAGTCGATTTTGCAGCTGAAACTTTGATGAATGCCTGCGCCACCGGAGTATATTGTCTCCTCCATCAAACTTTCCACGTGGTACGAAAATAACTCTTCTGAAGAATCCAGACCACCAGCCCCCACGCTACGTGTCCCAGCAAGGTGGTTTAAGTTTTCGTGTTCAACTTAACTTCAGCTCCTGGAAGGTTCATTTTTGACTCCCGCGCGAATCGGCAATAGATGCTAATTCCCGCCCACGCGACGCGTCACAGACGATCTATCCATGCACCCGTCCCTGATCCATCATCGAGACTTTGCAGATGCGGCGGTTACACAGCCCAGCGCGGTTGCCTACATCCATCCCAAGCCCAATCCCCGTACATTTTCAACCCCAGATCGAGGCACGTACGTAACCGTCCGGACAAATGCGTCCTGCTGTGTAACGGCATCCCCGACACGCTGATCATTTAGGTATCCGACGCGAACCAATGGGGGATGCACGGATCCGGCCTGCACCGGCCCGCCTGAAGATTCTATTCTGAACTGGTCGTTTGCTGAAGATCGTCGGTGGGGATGTGTCGGCGCGTATTTTGAAACGGTGTCACGTTATCTGGTGAGCTGGTATCGGTGGATGTGAGCGAGGGCGAGGGCGATTGCGATGCCTTTATGTGTTCGGTAGCGTCTTTGATAAACTTGCAGAGTACAGCAAAAGAATCAGTGCGCCAATTCTATTTATCACTAACACCTGTTGTCCCTTTCTTGACCTATAGGGTAAAAAGGTGCCCTTTTAAGAATAGACAAGGCCGGTATACAGCCAATAAGGTACCTGAGTGCTTTAAAAACAGAACAGAATAAATCACAGCCGGGGTGCTCTAGTGGGTAAGAGCAACCATCTAAACACCCAAGTAGGACTATTTACTAACAAATCCACAGTATGATTCTCGCTTAGGGTTCACCCTTAGCATATCATGGATTTTGCTGCACACTATATATATGATTGATTATACAGGTACAATGATTGGCTTAATACTTCTCTTTGTAGAGAGAATGTAATAAGAATAACCACTGTAGGTATGCTTGCATCTATCAAGGGGGCGCAACGACGATGCTTCTGGTTGAAGTGGTCCAAACGACAATATATATTTTCACACCGGATCCATCCACCTTGTAAACTGTAACTGTACACTATCCTGATGATTATAATCTACCTCCCGACCACGAGACATGATTGTTTTTCACTACCCCCATCTACACTCCACGTTGAATCAACACGGATTTCGCTCGACCGGGAGGCGCTTGTCAAGTGCTGATCAAGATCGCTGCGGCACGAAATTGGCCCCGAATTTCTGAACCAGGCATGGCCAGGAAGAGTCTGTATTGGAATATCAAGGGGAGTCCCTGCTGGGATCCAGAACCACGAGGCCACTAAATGTGGTCGCTTGCAAAGCAATTGCGATCGTGGGATACTGTTGTCTAGTACACGCGAGTGGAAACCTTCCCCGAGTCACGAGAGCAGTTTGCCCACCGAAAGTCGCACCGAACGATATATTTCTGACACGATTTCTGGAATGCCCTGATATCGCTTGCTATAGATGATTTTCGATGTCTCGATTTCTCCACAGCGACAGTTCCGTATCCCGCGCGATTCCACAGTCAGGGGCCGTACCCATCGCACATCTCTAGTCTCCTGGGACAAGGGTGATTTCTCCTTCTCGCTATCGAAATCGAGCCATTGCGGGTTCGCGGTAGTATGGTAGATTGAAGACTGGCCTGAGGTACGCGGGCGACAGGTCGCAGCCATCCATGCTCGTTGCCATATCCCCAGAAAACGAACCCCTCCTCGCCGCCCAGACGTGATCATGCCATCACACAATTCCTAGAACCTTTCGAGGGGTTGATGAAAAGCGCAGGGTTCGAGGATAATAATCGTGCCCCGAGTCGTTCAATGGTGCTACGGAACGAGCAGCACGGTCGCTCCTTCCTTTTTCGCCTGGCAAGATACACAGACAGAAAGAGCGACCCTAGGGCTGCAGTGGCATCTTACTTGGGCAATAGTAATGCGCCTCGGTCCAGGGCTTAGCTACAATACTTGTTCGGGCAGACAAGCAAGCTGTGCTGTTTAATCAAGGCGATCCGCGGTCCGCGGCCTCCTGGTTGAGACACACATATGAAAGTGAGGTTATATGGGGACAAACAAGATACTGTCACCACTCCGCGGTCGTATATCATTTATGTGGGTTCCATCTATCTTGTTCGATTATTGGTGACCCCATACAGTGCTTTCAGCTTGCTAACAAGCCCTCTCTGGAGTCTGGAGCAGCCACTGACAAGAGACCTCGACAGTCGACATTTATGCCTCTGCTTATGCAACCAACACCATCATATCATGACAACGCACGGGGTAGGCGCCTTTGAATCTCGCCTAGATCGCTTAGATCACCCTCTCGCACAGATCACCTCTCCGGGCGGATGATGGTTTCCGAACGCAGATATCGGTGTATCGCGTCCGGGCAGGTGATCGAGTTTCTTTGTTCGTTCGAACCCACCAAAAAGCAAACATCGTCCACACACAAGTCGAGATGGAACCAACAGGACGAGATACATGCGGAGACACCCGGACAAGTGTGCTTGAGATGGTTTTGGGAGAGATGATTGGTCGAATGGACGTCCATGCGGCCTGGGTGCTGAGTACAAATGAAGACAGTGTCCCCAATGCCAAATTTGGCTGCGTTCCTGACCAAGCGTTATTCCTCCACAGCCAGAAAGAGAAAAAGAATGAAGAAACCAACAATCGTCTTCGTCCCCGGCGCCTGGCACCCACCAACAGCCTACGATCTCCTTCTCCCACCTCTCCACGCAGCCGGATACACCACGACATACGTCTACCTCCCCAGTGTCGGCGCCGCAGCACCTGTCGCATTCGAGGATGACGTCGCCGCTGTCCGGAGAGTCGTGGCAGGCCTTGTGGAGCTGGGCAGGGAGGTCGTCGTGGTCTCGCACTCGTATGGAGCGAGTCCAGCGACGGAGGCGCTCAAGGGTCTTGCGAGGAAGGAGCAACAAGAGAAAGGAATGAGTGGGGCAGTGATCCAGCTCCTCTACATTGCGGCGATTGTTCCGACCAAGGGCGTTACTCCTGTCGAGGCATTTGGGCCTATGAAGCCTAAGGAGGAGGGAGGATCGTGGATAGTGAACAACGATTTGGGGGTGAGTTTTGCGTCTATCAAGATGGATATGCTGGTAACTAATCTACTAGGGCGGGTTTGTGTCAGTGAGGAACCCTGAAGAGTGCTTTTACCATGATCTTTCGCCTGAGGTTGCCAAGTATCATGCCTCCTTGCTGCGGCCGCAGTTCCAGCCGTAGGGTTCAAACTTTTGATCTTTCATCTACAGTGCTAACGAAGAAAGATAGGACTGGCTCGAGCCCCTTGACATATGAGGCATATAGAGATATCCCAGCAGCGTATATATTCTGCACAGAAGACCGTGCGTTTCCGATAGCTGGCCAGAGAAAGGTGGTACAGACGACGGGGATCCAGCGAACGACGTCGCTGAAGGCAGGCCACTCACCGTTCCTCTCTGAGCCAAATGGTTTGGTGGACTTTATCCGCGAACTAATGGAGGAAAACTGTGGATGGCGTCGTGTATTTCCCTTGCATTTCCTGTAGCTTGTAGCTACGAACCCAATTAGGAAGGAAGCGCTAGTTGATTGCCAAGCATTGATTGCCGAGGTCAACATTCCAGACCTGCAAAGACCACGGTCTCCCTGAACCTCTCTCTCGATCTCTCTTTAGGCTGTTTGGACCATCCGACGTCAGAATCATCATGAGTGCTCGATACGGCGCGCCAGAACCGCTTGGACACGGAGGTGCTCGCCTCCATCCTGTCACGCTCCCGTTGCTCCGAGTGAACCGAGGAGAAGAGGGGTAAACGCAGCACCTCCGATCAAAGCGCATCCCCACAGACGCCCATCCTACTTATAGCCCAACTAATCCAATCTTACCAAACCACTCGCACACCTCCTCCGTCCACCAACATGCCCTCTGGCAAACGCATAGTCGTAACCGGCGGCTCCGGCCAAGTCGGCCAGCACGTCATCGCAACCCTCCTCGCCCACGGCCACGACATCCTCAACCTCGACCTCGCCCCTCTCCCCGCTCACCTCTCCTCGCGCGTCCACACCCTCCGCACAGACCTCACCGACTCGGGCCAGGTCCACTCAGCGCTGACCTCGCGCTTCCACCCAACCTGCCCCTTCGATCCCGCCCGCGAACCGCTCAACGCGATCCCCGACGCAGTCATCCACCTGGCCGGGTACCCGCGCGGGATGATTGTTCCGGACGGCGAGATGTATCGCACGAATACACAGAGCGGCTATAATGTGATCGAAGCGGCGTGCCGGCTGGGGGTGAAGAAGATCCTCGTCGCGAGCACGGTCTGTGTGTACGGGCCGCCCTACGCCGAAGGCGCGATCGATTTCCCTTCTTTCCCCGTGACGGAAGAAGTCGACGCGGATCCGATGGACATCTACGCGATCTCAAAGGTCTGCGTCGAGCGCACGGCGCGCGGGCTCGCGAAGCGCTTCGCGGCGTTCGGGGTGGATGTTTACGTCTTCCGCATCGCGGCGGTCATCGAGCCCGGCGAGTATAAGCGGTTTTTCGAGAGCTGGGGCGCGGACCCAGTCGACCATAAGGCTGTGGGCTGGAGTTATACGGACGCGAGGGATTTCGGGAAGATGTGTCATCTGGCGGTGCTGAAGGATGGGCTGGGGTTTCAGATTTTCAATGCGACGAATGATGAGATTACGGTGCAGACGGATTTGACGAGTACGCAGTTTTTGAACAAGGCTGCTCCGGGGGTGCCGTTTACGAGGGAGATGGGAGACGATGAAGCGCCGTTGACGAATCGCAAGGCGAGGGAGTTGCTGGGGTTTGAGCAGGATCATTCGTGGCGGATGTACTATCCATAGTTCCCCCAGTTTAATGTATATCCGGCTTATGTATGTAGGAATCAATCAAAGGTCCGCAGAAACCAATTCCTCAACGTCCCCGGGGAATCCCCCTCTCCCTCCCCATATTCACCAATCGGCCTCTCCACAACCAAACTCCCGTGCTCAAGAATAAACGCCAACATCCACCGATCCATACGAAACGACTCATCAATCGACCGTCTACACGCATTATGAAACACCTGCAGCCTCGAGAGCGCAACATCCAGCGTAACCCAGAACGTCTGGAGCTCGGTGAGGATCTCAAAGTTCTGCGCGAGGCGGCGGCGCGCGAGCTGTGTTTTCGCTTCATCGTCTTCGCTAAACAGAAGCATGTGGATATACACTGTTGATGTTACGACGAGCATGTGCCCGACCATGACGTATTGGCATTGGTGCGCTAGGGTGGGTGTGGAGCGGCAGGTGTAGAGGAGGGTGCAGAAGGCGAGGGCGTGTGCGTCGCACTGGGACCGGTAGGATTCTGTCACGGGGGCCGTCGACTGGGGGTCCGGGGTTCGAGCGAGGAATTGGTAGAAGAGAACCTCGTTGTAGTAGTGATATCCGAGATGCAGGGCGGCAAAGGCGTTACCTAGACCAAGCGCGTTGTACCGCTCGAGGTTCTCCGGGGTCTCTTGCAAATCAGGCTGTAGATTTGCCGACCAGTCATGGAGTTCCTGAGCGAGTCCGTCGGCGGCATCGGTGAGAGACTCGTAGTCAATCAAACTGTTGACCGAGGCTTTGTTCAGATTGTGGATGCGCGCCCAGATCCGAGCGAGAATGACCATTTCAGACCATAGCCCTGGACGGTCCTCTGCTACTGTTGCGCCGCTTCGTAAGGAGAGGAAGATATCTTCGCTGGTGGGGAGGGGGTAGGCTTCGACGAAGTCCAGCTGTCGCGGGAGGTTGAGGCCTGCTGAGGACCAGATGTCGATCATGTATAGGGACCACCATACTACTCCTTGTTAGTACTTTCCCTGCTAGAGCCGAGACACATACTTCGTAAATTTATCTGCCTCTCCACCTGGTCTGCACACTGTTTGCTGGGCAAATCGAGAATCAGAGCCAACCGAACAGCAACAGAGTAGTACAAGGACTCGGACTTGGTCTGAGAGTCCGAGAAGCACACGGTGCCAAGCAGGATGCATGCTTGGATTGTGCTCACAGAGATATCCGTGAGATCAAGGAGTTTCCTGGCGCGTTCTGCATATTGGTCCCCTCTTCGACGCCTGTCAATGCCGACAAAGATCCGATTATCAGAGAAGCGAGCACCCAACGCCATCATGCTGAATAGCAGAACATCCGGAAAGTTTCCATCGTCGATCTGCCTCTCAACCGCCGGACGGTGGAAGATGGAATGATGCGTGTCATGGACGACGAGAAAGTAGAGAGTGACCAACTCCCTGCGAAGAGCGAGTGAAGGAAAGTCGTCGGCGACTGGCTGGACCCTTCGCTGGGGAGCCAGCCGCGTGGGAGGCGAACGAGGCCGGACCACCCATCGCTGCAGACTACACTCGATCTTCAGCGAGCTGCATCGGATGCAAACGGTATCCTTGGTATCTAATCGGCATTTTCGCTTATTTGCCCTGGTCCATTAATACCCGATAGTCAGGTTTGAGAGGGAAGCTCACCGGCAGGCGTCGCAGGCCGTCACAGGCCTCATCCCACTGGTGTTGGAGTATCGGAGGATCTCCGGGAGACGCAATCTGAACAGATGAACAGGATTCAATTCCCCCAGAATGCGGAGTCTGGCTGGATTTTATACCCGGCGCCGATCGTCGTTTTCCACCAACCCCGCTTCGCCAATCCCGCTTCTCCAAGGCCGACGTGGAGGGTGTTGTCTGGAGATCGGGGGTATTTATGTCGCACAGCTCCAGCATGCTAGCTGACAAGCAACAGGCAATCTTTCAAGATGCCATCTCAGACAATCTCCGTGGAAAGCAATGCCCTCCAAGTCACCGTCTTCATCGACGAGGATGGGTCGGCATACCTCCAACAGGTGATTCCCCGGGGAAGTACCCCTCAACCATCAGCCTCCAAATACTTCAAAGCGTCGTACGCCCCACTCGTCGAAGTCCGTCTCGCTGGCGAAGGGACGGAAAAGCACAAATCGTCCAAAACACTCGTTGGGACCTATGTCGGACCCCGGCTAAAGTACAAATCGCACGAAACTCAGTATGGAACCGGGAGCAAGACGCTCAATGTCACTTTGGAGGACTCCAAGATCGCAGTGACGGCTCATCTGACCGTCTACGACTCGACTCCCGTCCTTCGCTCGACAGCCGCGATCCAGAATAAGAGCGACAAGCCGATTGTCATCACGCAGCTTACATCGCTCGTCCTGGGCGGGCTGACGACAGGCTCCCAGAAATGGTGGGCCGACTACACGCTCTCCGTACCGAACAACTCGTGGTTCCGCGAGGCACAGTGGATCGAACATGACCTGCCCAGCCTGGGCGTCGACGACTACGGCGCGTACGGCCGTCCGGAGAACCACTGGGCCTCACTCGCCCATTACGCCGTGTCGAACCGCGGTACATTCTCGACAGAAGGCCATCTCCCCATGGGTCTGCTGAAACGTCGCGGCAATGCCGAGACGTGGCTGTGGCAGGTGGAAAACAACGGCTCCTGGCGATGGGAGATCGGCGACTGGAAGGACAGCGTGTACCTTGTGGCCGGGGGCCCGATCGAAACGGACCATGACTGGCGGCAGCGATTGGGTCCGGGAGAGACTTTCACGACTGTGCCCGTTGCATTGTGCCATGTACTCGACGACTATGAGTCGGCCTTCGCTGCCCTAACGCAGTACCGCCGCACCATCCGCCGCAAGCACAAGGATAATCAGACACTACCGATCATCTTCAATGACTACATGAACTGCCTCATGGGCGATCCCACCGATGAGAAGATTCTCGCCCTCATCGACCCCGTCGTTCGTGCTGGAGCAGAATACTTTGTGATTGACTGCGGGTGGTACGCTGACGATGCCGGCTGGTGGGACGATGTCGGCGAGTGGGAACCCTCAAAGAAGCGATTCTCCAAGGGCCTGAAACACCTCCTCACCCAACTAAAGGAGAAAGGTCTCACGCCAGGTCTCTGGATCGAGCCCGAAGTTGTCGGCGTCCGCAGCGTCGTTGCGCACCAGTTACCCGACGAAGCCTTCTTCCAGCGCGACGGGCAGCGCATCGTCGAGAAAGGTCGGTACCAGCTGGACTTCAGACACCCTGCCGTCCGAGAACGCATGCACGGGATTATCCATCGACTTGTCACCGAGTTCGGGGCCGGATACTTCAAGTTCGACTACAACATCGAAGTGACGCAGGGGACAGACGTCAACACCTCGAGCCCCGGATCCGGGCAGCTGGACCATAACCGCGCGTACCTGGCCTGGGTAAACGAACTCCACGATCGCTTCCCAGACCTCGTCATCGAGAACTGCTCGAGCGGCGCGCAGCGCATGGATTATGCTATGCTCGCAACGCATGCTTTACAATCAACCAGCGACCAACAGGACCCCGATCGGTACGCCGCCATCTCCGCCGCACTGCCTACAGCCGTTACACCAGAACAGGGCGCAACATGGGCATACCCGCAGCCGGAATGGGACGACGAGATGAACGCATTGACCGTGGTGAACAGTCTACTCGGTCGGATCCATCTCAGTGGGCGCCTGGATATCCTCTCGCCGACGCAATTCGGCATCATCAAAGAAGGGATGGACGTGTATCGGGAGATCCGCGCGGACCTCCCGACGGCAACGGCGTTCTGGCCGCTGGGGTTACCGCATTGGCATGATGAGTGGCTTGCGTTGGGGATGGCTGCGGAGGGTGGGGGGACGTTTTATATTTCTGTCTGGAGGAGAGGAGGGAAGGATTCAGTGGAGTTGCCTATTGAGAGGTTGAAAGGGCGTGATGTACAGAGTGAGTTGCTCTATCCCAAGGCGTTCGGGGTGGATCATGAGTGGAGGAAGGATGCGGGCGTGTTGAGCGTCGGGGTTCCGTCTGAACTGTGTGCAAGGCTGTTGAGGTTGACCGTCTCCTGAAACGGGGAATTGCTTTTCCCATTCTGCTGGTCCAGACCTGTAGAGCACAGGCAAGAACGCCCGAAGGAAAGTGGTCTTGGATAGGTCTGTAGTCCCAATCAACAAGAGTTCAATAGCATGCCTGCTGGACATGATACGATAGTGAAAAACCAATCCATGATGAAGACGACCTTTGATGGTCATCTTATACCCAGTAGAAGTGCATACGGGGATTACACAGCCGCCCGGATGTCCGCGAGATCCAGCTTTCGGAATGCGCACTGTCTCTGGCTACGGTTTTGTGAGTGCTGCGTGATGCTGATAGCTGGTAGATAGCTGCTTGGAGTACATTGTTCTTAGCCTTGCCCCTGCCAAACTGCCATCGGCCTTGGGAGGGGCAGACCATGGCTGGGGATCTACGCTAATAACATGGCAGAAGGTCGCATGGAGGATAAGGGGCTTAAGGCCAAGATACTTGATGCTGCGACCATATAATATGTTGAAAAAGGATGCGTGGCTGAACAAAGTGACTAGAGTAAAGAATGACACCCAGGTCTCTCTTTAAACAACAACAAACCGAGCACGAGAGAGATAACAGGGGTATTCGACGTCATCCCAGATACTCATGCTCGGACTAAACCAACACATTTTTGTAAAACAGGTTCGATCTGCGATCCCCAGCCTTGCCAGACGAGAACCCCAAGAATAGCCTCGCCTCACCACTAACAGTCTTGTAGATGGCCAACCCCTCCGGCTCACGGAACTCCAGCGTCGACCCAGCACGTGTCAACAGCGGCCCTTGCACGAGCTTTCCGGTGTTCAAGTCCATCGACAAGACCTGCGAATTCACTACCCCGCCGCTAGTCGGGTACGACTCGCCCGTGAGGATATACAGATACCGGCCGTAGACCGTATACCCCTGCGTGACATCCGTGATCCCACCAAGATCGTCCTTGATGTTAGGGAGCTCCCAGTCCACAAGCGGATTCGAGAAGTTGAACTCCCCACCCTTGACCTGATCGAGCGGCCAGACTGCAATATTCTGCTTGTCTCCAAACTGATACCGCACGACGAACCGCTCATGCACCGCGTCAATCGTCGCAGTCCCGCGCTTGAACCTCTCCAACGGGACAATCCGTTCAATATCCTTATTCGTCTTACTATCCAGTGTCTTCCCATCCTCGAACTTGAACCGCCACAGCGCCTTGCCGTACCCGCTTTCTGCGGCGTCAGTCTCCGACCAGATATACGTGTCTTTCCCGACGGGCTCCGCGGCGATATTCACCCCGTGTCCGCAGGCGAGTAGGTCCATGGACCCGAGTAACTTTCCTGAGAAATCGAGCTCGCTGATCGTCAGGTCGCCGGATGTCGTGCTCGCGCCGTTGCGCCGGTTCACAACGAAGAGGCGCCGATTGGTGTTGTCAAAGGTGAAGGATTGCTGGACGGTGTTTGCGGCGGTTTTTTTGTGCCGCCAGAGGTCGTGCGAGGGGGTGGAGAGGTCGAAGCGTGGGGTGTCGGGGATTTGGGCCAGCACAGATACGGCTGCTGTTAGGGCCGCGAAGATTGCTGTTGCTTTCATGGTGGGCAGGTTTCGACTCTGGGGTTTGGAAAGTTGGGGAGATGGTCAAGGGAGCTTGCACTGATAATGTCGAGACGTCCGAGTCCTTAGTTATGTACCGAGCCTCATCCCGCAGTTGCATCGGCTGCAAGTGATCTGCACGGGTCTTCTGTGAAGCTATACGAGGAACACGAGGATCGACAGTGTAAATATAGCAATTGTCATGCAGTTACCCTTGCGCATCCCGCTTCGAACCGAGGGGCCCGAGAAATCCTCGAATCAACGAAAAGAGACTCAAGCATTCTTTGCCCCTGCCGAGTTGATCTGGGCCTCGAGATACGAGAGGGGGGTGGGGCCTGGTACGAGGTTGTAGTGATCGGCCGACGGTGTTGCAGAACACGAGATCTGAACACTGAACATCTGATACTGGACATAGATTGTCAGGGCCATGCAAAAGCGACCCCAGTAGAGGTTGCACTATATGAAACGCCGGCCGTTTGTTGTGCCCTCGAATACGAGCGGACTATGCAGCCCATACAGCGGGCACGGCGGCCCCGAGGGGGGTTTTCGCGCCTTCCTCTTCCGAAATCATGTAGCTCGTACCTTCCCCGAGTTCTAACAATACCTCATACGGCAGGCGCGAGTAGTATCCACGACAACCGTCGGTCGTGATCGCTCCTTCCCGGATTGATATGGGCTTCGTCATGCGGCAAGTAACCCCGAAACCGCAAAAACCGCACAAACAACCCTCCACCCGACCAGAGACACAAGCGGCCAAAATAATTCCTCTCCATACCCATCGCTCATCGCATCCCGTACATGAAACCATGCTGAGAGAGCACTTGAAAATGCATCCCCAAAGCCCTCCCCACCCTCGAGGGTCGGATACGGTAGTATACGACCGTCATGTGGAAGAAAAGTCCTGTACTACTCGCTTCCATAATAAGGACGCCGCGGAGTCTTCAGGGGCGTGTACTAGTGGAACGTAGGAAGCAAAGTGTAAGGACAAGGTTGTCCAATGTTTGGGCGGCTAGGGTGGTGCCATACAGACGGCGGATTGAGGGCGATTGTGTTTGGTCCTGAGGTGGTTAGCGGGAGATGTGAGGATTGGGGGGCGTGGCTTACCATCTTGTCCGTCGTTTCAACGAATTCGTTCCTCAAGCTATGATGTTCCTCGCTGTACGGTTGTTCAGTCTGCTTTCCTGGGTATACGGGTCGAAGGTGCTAAACACAAGGTCACGGCTAACACCCAGCGGTAGGGGGTTTACCAATCATGCAGGTATCTGAAATGGTGTAAGAGACCAGTTGTATACGAGGTCCGTCATGCACAATTCAAACGTGTTCGATGCACTGGCATTGATGGCTCACGAGATACGTTTCTCTAATTTTCAGAGTTGCATCTCAAGGTGTCCTGTCCTGTTAGACACAGCACACCATGGTCCCTGGCTTAAAGTGGACAAAAAGCCGGGCGGCTTTGCAGCGCTCACGCATTTTGCGTGTCCTAAACTGCCCAATGGAGAGGCGTTGTAGAGCACAAATTGTCGAGCGAGTGTGCGACAGAAGATTCTGATCGTTCGGTGATGTCGATATGGCTGTTCCAGTAAATTGAAAGCCGACGACACCTCCTGTCTGCGCCTTATAACATCGCACATGCAATCCTCTCAAACCGCCAGCAACCCCCGAACCGGCCAACGCGCCCAAGCAACCCTCCACCCAGCAGCATACCAAAACGGCCGAATCGTACACTCATGCGCGCCATCGCACTCCAGGAACACAGCACCGCGGAGGTGGCATTCGAGAAAAGGAAACCGACCCCAATGTCCTGCCGACCTTGGAATGCCGGATATGGTTGCCGTGAAAGAGCCAGCAGGCGAGCGCAAATGGGAGAAACGAGACACCTGTTGTGCGCATCCAGAATCGGGTAGTGGGTGCGCGAGCTCGGAGCGGTTGGGGATTACGAGCGGGGAGGTCAACAGGAAGGCGAGTGCGTCGAAGCCTTTTACTACGAGGACTGTGTCGTACATGAGGCGGATTGAGAGAGAGGCTGTGGGTGATTCTGCGATTGTTAGCAGAGTGGACGACAGGTTGGGGCTCGAATAGACTGGGGCTTGCCATGTTTCAATCGGTCGGTGTCTTTGTCGAAGATTTGCAGGGAACCTCACGTTGCAGACGAGGTCTTGAGGTTCAAGGCCATCTTTAAAGAACATCTCTGCCACTAAGACCCTGGATTAAGGTATGATACCAGGCTGCGACCTCAGCAAACGTAACTCGAAAGTATCAATGCCGTGGGGAAATACCGGAGGATCGTCAAGTCCCCGTTATCCAAAAAATTCGGCAACTCCATGTAATATAGACAAGAACACGCAGCCTGACGGCCTAATGAGCTCCTTTCATCACCTCAAACCATCCGAAGCTTTTGTCAATTCAGGTCGGCTTTATGGTAAGACAGAGCATCTCGTCTGCGGCGCGCCTTCGACTCTAAATTCCCACTCGCGTGGAAGATAAAACTCAATTCGCCCCGACGACAGCGTAGCTGAACACCTGCGCGATGCAACCACGGTTATATGACGACCACATACCCACAATTCCCTCGGTAAACCATCTTTTTCGCCATGAATTCGCCGGTGCAACCGAACTGCCGGACCCAGCAGACCGTCTTCCCCCGCACTTCCCCCGCTGATCCCCCGCGTAGTCACGATTTGATTGGGCGGACCTTGGGTCAGTGTTAATGGCCAGGGGTGGCGGAGGATAGAGCCTAGGCAGGTCAAGAATTGCGGCGCATACATAAGCCTTCGAGGCGGCCTTGGAATTGCTTAGCATTCTCCTTCCTACCGTGTTCATGTTCCTACTCCTACCTTTGCGTTTCTCTTTCTTCCTCTCCAGATCCTGGTCGCCACCCCAAAATGAGCGACATCACCATCGACAAGTCGGAAGAGACGCTCAACCGCATGAAGACTGCGGAAAGTGTCTTCCTTCCTATTTCTCGCGAGACGTTTGAGAAGCTCTACCTCAGTCCCAAACACCCCTCTGTTGTCGGCGATCTGCGCAAGAAGTTCGGCAATCCCACGCCGATATGTTTGATGGGTTTCTTGCTCGCTGCGACGCCGAACGCTTGTATTTTGATGGGGTGGAGGGGGGCTGGTGGCAATGGCGGGGCAATTCTGTGGGTTCTCTTTCTCAGTCAGTTCAGCGTGTGGATTTCTGACCTCATTGATTCGCGATGCAGACCGGTCTACATCTTCTTCGGCGGCATCGTGCAGCTCCTGGGTGGAATTGGAGAGTGGATCATTGGAAACACCTTCTCCTGTGCTCTTTTCTTTACATACGGTACGTCCATTCACCTCAGTCTTTTCAAACCAATCGCTCACATTGCTGAATTTCCGCTAGGAACATTCTGGCTCGTCCAAGGCGCAACCCTCATGCCCTTCTTCGCAACAGGAACAAACTACTCTCCAACTGGAAACTCGCTCGAGGGCCAACAAACCGAGTCCTATGCTGCTTCTGTCGGTACGTTCCGCCCTCCTGCACTCCCCATACGTTCTTTGAGCAGAACTCGGAAGAAGAAAAACACCACGCTAACAGATATCAACGCATAGCATTCTACTACGTCTTTCTCGCCCTCCTAACATTCATCTACCTAATCTGCTCCATCCGGACAAACATCTGCCTCTTCACCGCGCTGTTCCTGCTCGTGATAACATTCGCGCTCACGGCCGGGTCCTTCTTCCAGCTTGCGAATGGGGAGGCCGAGTTGGCGCACCGGTTGCAGGTGGTAAGCACACACACCATTCATTTTCACCTACCCCATCTTCTGTTAATTGGAGAGAAAAGGTTGGGAGGGCTAATGGAGGTTCTGTACAGGCTGGCGGCGCATTCAATCTCGCGCTATGCTTCCCCATCTGGCATATTTTCCTCACGCAGGTTCTCGAGGCGGTTGATTTTCCGATTGTGCTGCCTGTTGGGGATTTGAGTACGGTTATTCCGGGCCGAAGTCAGAAAGTAAAGAGAGGTAGCACTGGGGAATGATCTTCATGGAATACGCGGAGGGATTGCGAAAGGGCGATGGCGGAAGGGAGACCTGTCTAGTATTTTGGCGACTATGCCCAAGATAATTCAGTCAATGATAGTACTGAGTTGTCAAATTTATTTTTACGTTCATGTGGTACTAGATACCACACCCCTTATGCAACATTCCTATATCCAAGCTAATAAAACAAAGGCGTTTAACCGCACAAAGCAAAGATGTCCTCTGGGATATACACACTGAGGATATCGATCAGCTTGCTTAATGGAATCCAGTCCAATGTCCCATGAATCGTCTCGATCGCCCGTCCGCTGTATAGCACACGTGCATAAAACTGATTCTTGGACGTTTCCCTACCACCGATGTTAGCCATATCTTACCCAGAAACGCAGAAAAAAAAAAGGACAACAGAAAAGGAGGGAACTTACCAAATCTCAATCGCGATGTTCGACGCCATCCCGGGCCACCTCAGCGCATTGATCCCGAGGGCCCCCAACATCGGCGCGATATCGCCATCGTGCAAAAAGTTGTGACTGTACACGACCTTCGAATCGCCACGCGCAACCGCCTCGAATTTCGCCACAAGCTCTTTGATAAACATCCCCTCAATCACCGTAATGTATTCGGTGACATTCTGGTTCCGTCTCCACCACCAGTTGTACATCCAATCGCCGGCCCGGAACGCCTCGTACGCCTGGTCGGTACTCACACATTTCCCCTCCTCGGTCAGGCTGCAGGGGAGATCGTATCCATTACACAGCCGCGCCTGGAAATTATCCGCGAAATGATCCCACGTATTCAACCAGTCGCTCGCGTCCTGCGCATCAAACATGCTCGCAAGCGTATCCCGCAGCGGCGCCGTAACCGCCAAATGCTCCTCCCACTCGGGCCCCGACTGCACCGCAGCGAGAATCGTGTTCCGCGCCGCGCAGGGGAATCCGCGGTTCACGGTATCCACTGCAGAAGCTTGCTGGTGCAGCGGGAGGGCGCCCTCGTAGTCGGGCCAGAGGCCGCGGAGGACGCCGCCGGCGGATCCCTGGGTCAGTTGGGAGGTCGTTGAGCGGAACCAGACGCGGTCGAGGTCCTTTTTGCCGAGGGTCTTGGGGATGAGGCCCAGTTTCTTGCTGTAGACGGCGTGCAGGTCGCGGCCGTGCTGGTAGCCGTCGAGGTAGCCGCCGATGGTCAGTTGGGGATACTGGCAGGAGCCGTTGACGTAGTTGGTCAGAAAGGGGTTTGTTGGGTCGGTGTAGGCTTTGCCGTAGACTTCAAGGGGCGCGGGGGCGCCTTTGGGGCCGCGGCCGTGGCCCGGGGAGGGGGTCGCGGGAGCCGCGTATTGGTGCTGGTACAGGTCTTCGCAGTTGTATTCTTGGTTCTGCTGAGGTTAGAATTTATCGACACATGGTATACTGCGTGGGGACAAACCTCGCCCCCAGGAAGGATATTATACGGCGTCCGCCTCTGATGCCGCTGGAGATACTCGAGATACACAATCTTGGCCTTGACCTTGCGGTCTTGAACGGGTCCGGGAAGCTCATACGTGTCTACATGCGGATGCGGCATGGAGCAGTAGTTGTAGGTGAGCTCGGTGGGCGGCGGACTCGCCTTATCGGAGGGCGCATTGAAGACCCCACCGTAGGTGCCGAGCGAGGCATTGGTGATGTAGGTGGTGTGGTTGAGGGGCGGGTAGAAGCTGTCGACGTTCTGGGCGGCGAGGGAGCCGCCCGTGAAGAGCAGGCTGAGGAAGAAGGTGAGCATTTCGAGGATGCCCTGATAGACAGATGGTATTTCCATCACATACCGATGGGATGGGAAATTTATATTCCAAGGTTTGGTTGGAATCGAGTTGGAGGTTGTCGACGCTGCAAGGGGCAGCACGATCGGCAGCACGTTGTGATTGGCTGGTGATGGCCACGTGGGCTGAATTGTCTTGGATTATGTCATCTATGCACTGCATTATTCTCCACTGTCCTGCCATGTGTTCGAGTGGACGGTTTCTGTTGGAGAGTCGCAGTGGAATTTAATCTACAACTACTTGGCATTCAATAATGACATTTTTATGCTATATAAATGCTTGGGTGATTGTCTTATCTGATACTTATCATACGGCAGCGGATGGCACGCGACATGCACTTGCTGCTCTAGAGTGCGGAAATATATCTCCGCCCCAAGGCATCCATCCACTCAACGACATCTTGAAGAAAAGTGACACTGCTTCTCCATCTACCTTTTGTATCGTCTGCGCAGAAAACAGCATGGAATATGAAAAGCCACTCGAACATCCTACCGCAGAGGTCGCTTAAACAGAAATAAACACAGTTTTCACAGCCCTACGTAGGCACATGCCTTGTCCCATTTCCGCTCCCGTAGACCAGCGACAAAAGAAAGCCACCGCGTCAGATCTTACCCCATACTCCAGATTCTCGTCCTGACAGCTCGGCCCACTGTTTTAACCAGGGGATCCATAACTATCACGTACGTTGTACTCCGTGGTCGAGAAGGACCTATCTGCTTATCTACCCAAGGGCATATTCTTCCGTTTAATCTTCGTCCGCCATCTACGACTCCTGCCACATCCTTATCCTCATCCTATCCAGATCGACCGACCCATCTATTGACTATCGCGCTAAAATCCACACCGCACCACATCCAAAATGGTCACAACCGGCTCTGCCAACTGATGGAGGCGACGCTGCCGGATTTGAGGGACTGCTCATGCGCTTGCTGTCTGATTCCGATTCTCATGAGGCGCTGGAATTTGGGTGTGAGCGAGCGAAGGTAATGGGGTGAGGAGGCGGAGGGGGACGGGCGTCGTGTTGGGGTGCGGGTTTTACATTGTTGTTGAGTTAGCTGTCGTGGGTGTTTTGGGAGTTTGAATCGACGAATCCCACATGTTTTTTCTAGACCCAACCGTGTGAGGGATCTCTTGCAACTTGGTCGATCAAGAAATCGAACGCTTCGCGGTTCATGACAGAGACGAGTGCGGGGACTCTGGAGTATTCCCGCCCCCACAGATCAGCGAGGGCGCGCAACTTGGGGCGATTCTCGGACTAGTGCTGGTCGTGCATGCCTCTCGTACGTCATACGAAGATGCGACATAAAAGCCAGACCTCAGTATCGATCTGGGGATGCGAGGGTTTATTTATCCTCATTGCGAATGCCCTACTACTGCTCTTGTTCATACATATCCACCATACTCTGAAGCGTATGCTCATGCCCAACTTCAGCGTCTCGCAGCAATCAAGCGTAAAATATCACCGTCTTTCCTCCGCCCTCATACAGCTGTAGGGATAATCATTTGATCAGCATACTTTGTGAAATAACGAACCATCAAAACTTGACCTTCACCCAACCCACACCACGCCACGTACTATAAAACTCCGCATCTCAAAATGTCCCTCAACCCCGATCGCTGCTCCAACTATACCGGTTCCTCGACCCCGACCGGCCTAGACGACTCGGCGTACTTCTGCTACATCCCAATCTACGCGCACTGGAACGCCACAGATGACGATGAGCCCGACCCGCTTGCGATCCTGCGCGGATGTTGCAAAGACCCTTCCGAGAATGTCGGGCTCTACGGGCGCGATAACTGCGAGGCGTACTGCGTCGCCAGTGAGAGTACCCTGGGGAATCTGGAGACCTGTCTTCGGCAGTCGCGGGGGATCCAGGGGTTTGGGTGTGAGTCTACGGCGGTGGGGAGGAATGGAGTAAGTCCAGGGTGGGGGTTTTGGCTTGTTGTTGGGCTTGTTGCAGGGCGTGTTTTGGTTTGAATGGTTCAGTGGATCTTGTATTTATATTCAGCGCTCAGGAGACAGGTAGCTCCAGGTCTACAACCCATCTGGCGACGATCACTCTGCTGCCCACTTATACTGCGACCCCGGATGATCATCCCTCAGCCTGGGTCCTTTTCCATCCTGCAAGAAATTCTCCCTTGTCGTCGTAGCCACATAATCGTCCCAAAAGACCCCTCTCCTCCTAAGTTCCGGCAGTAGATACTTGACAATATCCTCAAAGTCCGCCGGAGCAATCGCATACGACAGATTGAACCCGTCGATCCCACTCTCTTCGATCCAGCGCTCGAGGATATCTGCCACGGTACTCGGAGACCCAATCGCGCGGGCATGAGGACCACCAATGGCAATCTCCTGAGCAACGCGTTTCTTCGTCCATTTCAGGCCATCTGTTCCTGGCACTGTCGCGGTCCATGCATTGACTAGAGATTGAATCGCCCCAGGGCCCGTGAATCGGAAATCCTCCTCGTCATCGAATCTCGAAAGATCGGTCCCCGTCCAGCCTCCAAAAAGCGTCGCTGCGCCCTCAAGATCAACATACTGGAGGTAATCCTCCCATTTTGCCTGCGCCTTTTCGTCGGTTTCGTCGACGATAACTAGGATTCCAGTGATGGTCTTGATACTATTAGGGTCGCGACCGTGCTCGATTGCGCGGGCGCGGATATCCTCGACGGACTTGCGGACTGCTGTGGGTTCAAGCCCGGCAAGGAACATGCACTCGGCGTGCTTCGTTGCAAAGGCTTTACCGGCCGTGCTGGTGCCCGCTTGGAAGATGAAGGGGGTGCGTTGGATAGAGGGTTCGGTTGTCAGGGGCCCGGCTGATTTGAAGTATTCCCTAGAACCGGTTCATGTTAGGACTCGCTCAGGTGTGCATGGTATTGTTCTACGAACCCCCGATGATCAATCCTCCTTACCCTGCCCGGAACAGCGTACTGCTCTGCATCCTTGACGACAGCATCGTCTCTCCATGAACTCTCCCACAGCTTATAGGTTAAATTAAGGTACTCATCCGCCATCTTGTATCGCTCGTCATGGGCGATCTGCGTCTCGAGTCCAACATTCCGTGCGGCGGACTCCAAGTGACTGGTGACAGCATTCCACGCCACGCGACCCTTCGTCAAGTGATCCAACGTTGCGAACCGCCTTGCAAGAAGATGCGGGTTCTCGTACGTCGTCGAGGCCGTGATCCCGAAGGAGAGGTTCTTGGTTACGGCAGCCATTGCGGCAATCGGAAGGCTATTCTATTATCAGACAAGAAGATGAGAGGCACTGGCAAAACATACAAAGGATCAGCCATGGGAATCTGCGCAACCCCGGGAAGACCCGGGTCGAAGCTATCGGGTCCCTTGTAGACGTCGTAAGGACCCAGGACGTCGGCGATGAATATCGAATGGATCTTGCCGGATTCAAGTACTTTGGCCATGTCTGTCCAATACTCGAGATCCGTGTACTGTGCGCTGCGGTTGCGTGGGTGCCGCCAGAGCCCTGGGCGGGGTTAGTAAGGGTGGTTTCTGAGAGGCCCTTTGACGGACCTGGGGCCAGATGGCCGGGTGTGCTCATGGTGAAGCCATTGAGAATCCATTGTTTCTTCTTGGTGGGCTGTTCGGCCATTTTGTTGATTTTGCGAGATGTAGACAAACTGCTTGATCTTGCTCGAAAGCAGCTCGAGGGATCTATATTAAAAACAGATGACCTTGGAATATGTTAAATCAGATCGAGACCGGGATCTGCTCGCATTCTTGAACTTTTGTGGCGCATCCACCATCGGGCCCCTGTCGCTGTTAAGGCTCCCTCAGCGAACGGCGCAACAAGCACCTCAAACTTACCCCAGATCACACCATATACTAGCCCTATCGCAACCACTCCTTCAGATACCCAAGACACCCAATGATTCGTGCGCACGCCATCAAAGCGCCACCGACGACTCCTGTAGAGTTATCGACTCCAAATTTATACTCCACACCAAGAGATTTCGCCAGCGAGGTGCGCCTGTCATCGGTGCTCGTGATGGGATTTCGAGCCGTTTAGCCAGCCCAGTTGGAGATGTTGAGTCGAGCACATCATTTTCGGGACAAAGTCATAATCCGCAATTGCGTTTTGAGCGAGATCGGATGCTCGGCCTGTGAGATAAAGGTGCCTGCGCGACAGGGATTTTTTTTTTTTTTTGCTCGCTCTTGCACAAGTTCCTCACTCGAACACAGTCGCCATGTCGAGTCAGGTCCCTCCTCCGCTGCCTCAAGGCGCAGGATATGGCGTCGTCGTCGGACTCGGCGTTGCCTTTGCCATTGGTATATTTATCCTGTCATGGTCTGGGTAACGAAAATGCTCAAAAAAACCTTCAACGAAGACGCCAACAGCACCGAAACATTCATGGTCGCCAACCGCACAATCGGCACAGGGCTAACCTCGTGCGCCGTCATCTCCTCCTGGCTATACAGCTCCGCTCTGCTCGGCGCAACACTGCTGACATACAGCTACGGGCTTGCCCTGGGCGTCTGGTGGGGAGCCTCGGCCAGCACGATGATTACGCTGATGGCCTACCTCGCGATCCAAGCAAAGCGCCGCGCACCGAATGCGCATACACTCCTTGAGATCATCAAAGTGCGCTATGGAACCCGCGCGCATCAGCTTTGGATCTTCCTGTGTCTGTTGAATAACACGTTTGTGTTTACGAGCATGATTGTTGGGTCGAGTACGAGTGTTAGTGCATTGACTGGAATGAATGTTATCGCGTCCTCGTACTTGCTTCCGCTTGGTGTTGCTGTCTATACGTACTTTGGCGGACTCAAGGCGACTTTCCTCACCGACTACGTTCATACGTTCATCATCATGATAATCATCTGTTGGTTCACCACCAAGGTGATAACCGTCAACGAAATCGGCTCAATCGGCGCATTGTATGACGCCGTCGTCCTCGCTGGAAAAGAAAAGCCCGTTGCAGGTAACTACCAGGGCTCCTACCTAACCATGCGAAGCGAACAATGCCTATACTTCGGCATCCTGCACGTAACCGGCAACGTCGGCGCCGTGATCATGGACACGGGCTTCTGGCAAAAGGGCTTCTCTGCAGACTTTGCAGCTACAGTCCCGGGGTACATTCTCGGCGGCGTGGCCTCTTTCTCTGTTCCGTGGGCGTTCGGCACGATCGTTGGCCTCGCTGCACTCGCGCTGGAGAAGACGTCCGGATGGCCGACCTTCCCGAACGCAATGACGCCTGGCGAGGTCAACGCAGGTCTTGTCCTCCCTTACGTCGCGCAAACCGTCGCGGGCAAGGCAGGCGCCGGCGCAATCCTCGTTACAATCTTCATGTCCACCACATCCATTGCCTCGGCGCAGATGATCGCCACCAGCTCCATCATCTCCTTTGACATCTACGGAACATACATCAACAAAGCACCCACAAACGCACAGCTCCTCCGCTGGTCACACATCGGCGTCGTCTTCTCCTCGCTCTTCATCTCGACGCTCGCAACGGCCTTCCACAAGGGCGGCGTCGATATGACCTGGCTGTTGTACATGATTGGCCTGCTCACGTGTCCCGGTGTCTTTCCCACGTGTCTTGCGCTGCTGTGGAAGCGGCAGACGAGGGCAGCAGCGATTGCGGCTCCGATCGTGGGCATGGCCTCCGGTTTGGCGGTTTGGTTTGGGACGGCGTTTGCGTATTATGGGGAGATTACGATTACTTCGACGGGGGGGACGATGCCTTGTCTTTTCGCGACGATTACGGCTTTTGTCGTTCCGCTTCCTGTTACCGTTATAATTTCCCTGATCCAGAACGAGGAATTTGACTGGGCGATTCTCGGACAGATTGAGCAGGTTCGTCCGGACGAAGGGAAGACCGCTCTACCAGGCCGCACGGATCAAGAAGTGGACGAAACGAGCCCGAGTTTCTTCATGCCCGAACGAACAAAGTATCTCAAGCTGATGAGCCGCTGGGCAGCCTTCTGGGCGGCGTTTACCGTCATCGGACATGTACTCCTCTGGCCCGTGCCCATGTTTGGGGCTAGGATGAGTTTCTCGAAGAGTGTGAGTTTTCTTCACCCTCTCTTGGCAATCGTTGATGCGAAATACTAATGGTGGGATGAATTGGCAGTTCTTCATTGCGTGGGTTGTCATCTCACTCTTATGGTTGTGGTTTACGCTCGTCGTGGCGATCTTCTATCCGCTTGTTGATGGCGGACTGCAGCAGATGTGGGCTGTGCTCAAGAGGAAAAGGACTGGTGAGGACGTTATAGAACGTGGTGAGATCCAAGCAGCTGGATCCTCTGCTGAGGAGGTTGGGGCTATTACGAAAACTTGAGGTCACTGTGATAAAGGAAGCAAGATGTAATCGCCTTGTAGGATGAGAAAAGCTCTTTCAAATAGATTTGAGATTTATAGACGTCACAGAGTAGAAGGAAATCATGATCATGGTATACTAAATTCACAGATTTTGTGATTTGATAGAACACGCCATCTATCAAAACCAATCATAGCACAACCAGTGCTGCTACCTCAATTATTGGAGGGTAATCTGCAGCATCCAGTACCAGTTTGCCTAATCCGGAAGCAATAGCCACTAGTACTGTGAAGTTAACCCGGAAATCATAGTCCCTGTTGTATCCATGAGGAGTTGGGGTAGGTTTCTGTGATTGAGGTGAAGTAAAGGACGAGAAATGGCGCCCACAGGACCATGGGTAAGACAGGCGACCATTCCAGAACTGCGAAACCCACGTTAAGCGTGTTCCGGATGAGAATGACGAAGATCGCGAGTGATATAACGCTCACGTCCTTGCGCGTCGCGAAGCGCCTCTGTGTTGTCAAAGGCAAACGCTATAAGTCCGGACACCAATTCCGTAGACATCCCCATCGCCAATAATATCGCAGGATGTGGGGTCATCGACGTATTGGGTGAGCTGCTGGCTTGGCTGCGCGAGGCTGAGAACCAGAACAAAAAGGTGGGTCCGTGTCAGAGACATGACAGTCATACGCATTGTATGGTGTGGGCGTGAGGCTGGTGCTTAGAAGTATTATAGCTGATAAGAACGAGTAAGCCTTGATGACACAGGTTGGGTTGGGGTCGGGCTCTATTATATACCCCGCTCGTGGCTGGCTGCGCGTCCGATGAAATAAGGCTCTGCGAGACATATCGATGACTTTGAGGAAACTAGTCATCATTGTGAGTATGGGGCTCAGCTAGCCTGACCCATGCAGCCGCTTGGAGCCAGTTCCACCACGCATCGGGCCCTGGAAACTAATCGCTAGCGGCGACTAGACACATCTTGAACGACAGCACGATATCGTTCAAAAATTCTTTGGCGTTTTAAGAAGGCTCAGCGGAACGCGCTTGTAGCATCGAGCACGACCACCGGACTTGGTTAACATGTATCATTGTGGGAATATAACCCTGGCATACCAAGTGAGGAGCTGACGCTCGTATTTCTGTCCCCTGGTGACCGTTCGTTAGGCTAAAGTATACTAGTTAGTTCTTAGTTAGATCGGCAGATGGTCCGTCCGCTTTCCCGAGGTCATGTCAGCACCCAACCAACCCAACGATCTGCAACATCCACCTTTCCGCACCATTATTTACCTATCAGCGGGTTCGCCATGAGCGCTAAACAATTTCTCGCTGATGCTGAAGGCGGCGTGGTGCCGGTGGACAGCCACGAGAAAGTGATGTGGATCGCATTCATCTACATGGACGAGGGGCTATGGGACGGCAACGGCGTCTTTGACGTCGTCGAAACCCTGCATGCGCGCGGGTGGTCGTTTGGGGAAGGGGGGCTGAGGTTTAATCGGTACGTACCCAACTTCCCATCCCCACTACTAGCATTGACCGTACTACGAAGTCTAATAACGACACAACAGCACCCTGGACATATTCTACCTCGCTCAACTTGCAGCAGCCATCTACCACGCTACTAACCAGCTTCATGATGACTTTCCCTACCCTTCCCCCGATGATTTCCAGTCCTTCTACAGCACACACCACGCCCTCCTGCACCCCTCCGCCTGGCACGCCTACTACACCCCCGCCTTTCTCGCCCATCCCACCACAGCGCGCTTCTACCGCCTCCCCAACCTCCAAGACCTACCAGACTCCGACTCCCCATCGTGCCAGCCGCGCCAGCGACCACCCAGCAGCGGCGCACACGCCACGAAAATCCCCTGCTGGGCGAGCATCGTTGCGGGAACGCGCCGCAGGCAACTCACTCTCCCGCCTGGGACTTTCACGGAATTAGCCCTGCGGACGCTGGAGACGAGCACCGCACGGCTGCATGCGGAATATCCGAGTATCGTGCCGGCCTACTCTGAGACACAGGCACGGTTCTGGCTCAACTACATGGGTCTCGACTCCGACAGGGCAGCTTCGGCTTCATCTTGGAACCAGAACCGGTTCGGTGGAGCTGTCGCGCAGGGGTGGTATGACATCTATGCGTGGGAGGGGAAGTACTCGGCGGAGGCGTGGGAAGGGAGTTGTGGGAAAGGAAGGGAGGTTATTGAGCCGGATGTGGAAGATGGGACGTGGAAGAGTGAGGTTATGTGGTGTGGGTGGCCGGATGGTGGGATTGAGTTTTACACGTGGTTAAGGGGATGGGACGGGGAGGTGGGGGGTGAGGAGGAGGTGGAGTTTTTGGCTGCTGTTGCGGTGGAGGAGACAAAGGGTGTAGAGATGGGTGACTTGGATCTTGCAGTGCGGTCGCATATCTTACTTGGGGTGATGGGGGCTGCGGTCAAAACAGGGCAAGAGAGGGAAGATTATCTACAAGAGCTGGAGAAGGGGGTGGTGCAGAGCAGGAGGATCAAAGAGGACAAGGCAGGTGTGTGGCTGAAGGGGGCTTTAGCGGTTATCGAGCCGTATGTGAGGATATGGGACGGGGTGTGGCCTGAAGGAGAGGAGGAGAGGGGGGAGATGCTACGGCGGATCTTGGTCGAGAACGGGCAGCTCTTTGCAAGATATAAGCTCTCGCCGCATTTGAAGGAGTTCAATTTCGAGCTGGGTCCGAGAAAGCTGGTGTAGTAGGTTTGCTTCTAGTCAGATATTCAGATCCATTGTGAGGGCAGTGGTATGCCTATGGCGCAGGCGGAGGTAGTGTTAGTAACTCAACAAAGAGCAGCCACGCTAAGAATCAACGTGTAAGAGACCATGACGAATCTATAGGGTCTTGAATCCAGTTTCTACAGTGTTGGGCATAGTCCTAGTATAGTCGATAGCTATAATTAAAGCCTAATATTACTTTGAGCAGCATTTAAGAAAGATACATATTTCAAGTACTCCCGTTGAGTCGTCTTCGAAAGGACACAGAGACCAAGGTTGAAAGCATAAGGCACAGATATATGTCCGACCGGTCTGGGCGCTTATGTAAAAATTTCAACCCCGCGTCAACTGGAATACGGCACGCACGGACGCACACTATCTCTCTTGGCTCTCGTCATTCTGTCTTCGTGAAATATTGACGAGATTGGCTGATGCAGATTCCAATTGTCAAATAATCATGAAGTTGGGGGACTTCTATCCCAGGGCCCGCCAACAGCGGCCCAGCATCCATGATCCCACCGTTCGACCGCGTCGTCTCGCGCTACTGAAGGCCGCAACAATCAATCTACTCCTGCTGCAATTCCTCTTTCTGGGACTCTTCTGCTACCTCTTCGGCTCACTTTTCCAGCAGACCGGGCACATTCACAACATCAACGTTTTGTTTGTCGACTATGATGGCGGTGCGATTGGCAATGCTGTGCGCAGCGCATACAACAAAATGGCAAGCACTGGCTTTCCGACCCTAGTTGAGCGACCTGCTCTCTTTTACCCCGATCCCAACAGCATCGATGGCGCTGTTTGTGATATCGACTATTGGGCAGCTCTTTACGTCGCCCCCAACTCTTCGAATCTTTTGTCGGCTGCAGTTGCAGGCGGATCAGCAGCTGCCTCATACAATAAAAGCGATGTTATGACGATGGTTTGGAACGAGGCGCGCTATCCCACAGTTGTTGACTCCGCCATATCCGATAATCTAGAGGCGTTGGTGGAAGCTGCACGAGTCGCGTATACACAAGCAGATGGGAAGCAACTTATCCAGACATTGAACGCATCCGACTCTGCTGCCCTGGCTGCTTTTTCGAATCCATGGGTTTTGTCCTCGGTGAACCTGCAACCAACAACACAAGGATCCCGAGCGATCTATAATACGCTGGTCATCATTCTGATCCTGATTCAGGAATTCTTCTTCCTGGGTTATGTGAATGGTCTGTACCAACAATTCCAACTTTACACCTCGCTCTACCCGCATCGAATTGCCATTGTACGCCAGATGATATCGGGTACTTACACATTCATTGGCTCTTTATGTACCACTGGCGCGATCTGGGCGTTCCGCCACGGCTGGCATGTCAGCGGTAGCCAATTTGTCATAACGTGGATGGCCTTGTGGCTTTTCGCGCACTTGAATTTCCTTGTCCTGGATGTCTTTACCATTTGGCTGCCACCTCCATATGTGCCTATGGCATTAATATCCTGGATTGGGGCGAACGTCACATCTATTATTCTCCCTTTTGAGCTCTCGCCCGCCTTTTACCGTGTGGGCTATGCTCTGCCGGCACACAGCATTTTCAATGTCCTTGTCGACATTTGGTCTAGAGGGTGCAATCCGCAGCTCTACTACGCACTCCCCGTTCTCTTCGTCTATGAAGTTGTTGGTCTAATACTAAGTACTGTCGGCGTCTACAGGAGGTCACATTACGCCATGATTCAACAGGAATCTGCTGAGAAGGCCCTGCAAGATCGCATCGAAGCAATGGTCCTTGAGCGACAGTCTCAATTCCACACCGATGAGACGGGTCAAGAAGAGGAGGTAGAGACGTCAGAAACCGGCCAAGAGGCTGGAGAGGCTCCTAGACCGAGGCGGGGAACTACGGCGACTCAACCAGATGAAGAACTCTCGGAGATGATACGGCGGGAAATGTCGCGACCAAAAGTTGAGAGAGTCCCGACCAGCCGCGGAAGTACTGGACCTTGTTTCAATCTTCCCTTCAAGGAATAATATCTCGGACACTTCCTGTATCCGTGTATGTGCTATCACTGCGCAAACTTGAACTTGGGTGTTTCCAAGGTGGTCGCCTCCACTGGACTTTACGTACTTCATGGCGGACATGGCCCCACACAAGATCTTCTATGTACCGTACAGTTACCTGCAATCGCCACATATTGTACAATATATAGGTAGATAATTACTTGTGGTGATTCTAAGTTGTTCTATGGTTAATGAGATAACTCATTTAATTTGGTAGCTCCCCTCCTAGACTGTGTACATAGTGTAGCACAGAATTATGCTGATGTAGTCGATCGCCAAGGCGGATCTGCCGGAAAGCGTCTGTTAGCCTTCTCCTTGGGGTCAATCTAAATATTAAGTATATGGTCGCCTTCCTCCATGGGCGTTAGCTCCCATGCTAAAAGTCTGAGTAAGCGGGGGATACTGCAAAGTAAGGCGTTATGGTCAAGAGTGTCCATCGGCCGCAGAATGCGACGGTTCCAGTCGGGGTCAGGTCACTGACTTGTTACTTTACTTTCTTTGTAAGACGTTTAAAAAGGAATAATGGCAAGATTCTGGTTCACCTCTTTGGGGTCATTGGGTATCTTTGTGTCAACCAGTATCTCAAGTTTCATTCAAGGTTATCTTTCTTCTTTACTACATACTCCTGGATATGTTCCGTCTGGTTCCTCCGAGGGGGATAGATGGTGGCGTCTGGGATCAACCGGCTGCCGAGAAATGGTACCTTTCGAATCACTCTGCGCCCCCTGCAGATAGAACAGTCTCCACTTGTCAGGGCTAAGTTGTTCCAAGGTATTTCCGTGGCCTCCTCCGCGGAGGCTTTGCTCTCAGGGAATCCGAACCGACGCCATCTTACAGCGGATGACTTCAGTGTAAAGTCTCCCGGGACCCTGTTGTCCCTGTTCCCCGTTTTCAACTGTACTACTCTTGTATCCATGGCTTCCCCTTCAGTCTAATCAGAGGTCCGCAGGGAGATCCATTGCTTTCCCCACTATCTGTCTAGCTCGATATTCTATTATTTCCTCAAGGACTAAGCAATATGCTCACGAGCTGGTTCCTATCTTCTTGATCTTTTTCTTTTTTTTATTTTATTCGCACCGTATCCGATATCCAAAGTTCCGAATTACGCACACTATGGATCCATCCGTCACTTCGATGCCCCTGCCGTCACGTGGGGGTCCATACTCCAAGACAAACAATAGCCAAAACCGAAACCAGAACAAAACAGCTGGTGTCAATCATTGACAAGCCTCGTGGGCTGGCCCAGCCGATGCAAGAAACTCCAGCCAGCGCGGGTGAAGGGGCGCCTCGAAGCGCGACAGGATCAGAGTGATATGGTAGGAAGACAGTGGCCCGGAGACGGACTGGCTGAAGCTCTCAAATGACACTTTTACCGGCACCCGTCAGCTTGTAGTATCGAGGGAATATACAACGGTAAGACAATCGGGGGAAAACGAGCAAACTTACAAGCCAGTAGCCTCGCCTGCGTCCAGATTCTCGCAAAGTGTTTGAGTAGCAGATGGAGAATCGTAATGTCGTGCTCGATACTGGCGCGGACCGCATCATCCAGCAGGGCCCCGGACTTGCGGTGCAGATCGAAGAAGATGAGGGTGGTGAAAATGGTAAACGTGATGGCCGGGTCGACCGTGAGGCAGAATGCGCTGTCCCAATGCGCCGCGAGCGCCGCGATATCCTGGCACGTTTCCAGAACGCGCTGCCAGCTTGCCGGCCAGTCGTCTGCTTCGCGCTGCCCGCACATGATGAGGGAGAGAAGGAGCTGCGCCTTGCGCAGGTGGAAGACAGTGATCAGTCGTGCGTGGTGGTTGATGGGCGCCTCGTTTGAGAATGCGCTGCGTCGCGGGTTGAGCCAGCCTGGGGGGAGGGCGAGACGTAGGGTGGTTAGCTGCCGTTCGACGAGGGAGACTTGAGCCAGGATTCCAGCTTGCCATTTCAGCATGCGCATGCGAAGGACCACCCCCGCCTGGCGCAAGGTTGCGGCCGTTATATTGTGGATGTTGTCGAGCAACGTCTCAGGGTCCGATGTGATGGCCGGGAGGAGTGCAGAGAGACCATTCCCGTTGGGTGGAAGGAGAATCGCCTGCGAGGTATTGGTTGCTTGATGACTGAGGCTGAAAGAGGTATTGATGATCGCATCGTCAATCAAGTACGGCGTTCCCGAGGCGAGATTGGAGTAGGCGTCGAGTCGGTAAAGGCGCCACCAAAGTGTACGCCATTCCTGGATATCCTCTTCGCTGATCATGCTCCAGTCGAGGTACAACGCGCGCATATGGTCCAGACGATCCAGCCCGATACGATAGGCCATGCGGATGACCCTGCCGATCCGCAACCAGGAGTGGTGGCCGGGGAAATCATGAAATTCGTAAAACGCCAATATATAGGCCTTGCGGAACTGATCAAGGGATGGGGTGTCTCCGACAAGGTCATCTTCCAGCAGGCTCGAGCTGAGCAAGGAGTCAAGCTCCTCGTCCAGATTCGGCCCGTCGTCACCCATAGAGAAGCGGGTCAATTTGCCTGTAATGATGGCCACGGTTGTGATCAGGTCTTGATTACATAGCGAGTTATGATAGCGGTGGAGAAAGCGGTCTCTGCAGAAGATCGGATTCGCATCCTGTGCGATATCAAAGAAGCCTCGGATGCTATCGCGGTAGGAAAACTTAGCTTTGAAGTGAGGCAAAGGAAAGGCTACGTACAGGTCTTCCTCTTGCTGGGCGGAGAAGTGCAGATAGCTAGAACACGAGGGACTGACGCTCCGGTGCTGCACTGAGCCTGCATGGGTAGACGGATCATGCGAGGCCAGATCCGCTGGGGTGGGAAGCTTGCCTGTTGGGGAACAAACGGGGTGGGGATCCGGCACAGTCAGGGTCCCGTCTGGGGAAGCTGGCCGCATACATTAGCGGCGCAGTATGGATTGAGGGGACTGGCACAGGTACCAAACGGAATGTGGGATCTTGATCGGCGCCTGGTTTGCCGTGAACCACGAGATGGACCAGGCCTGCGTTTCACCAGGGAATACGTGCACGTCGTGCCGACTGATTCTTTCTAACCTCTAGTTTGGACATGGTGCGCGGACCTGCATCGGCAAAAACATATCTATAATGGAGATGGGGAAATTTGTACCCCAGCTACTACGCCACTTCAAAATTTCATGGGCATCGCCTTTGCCTGAGTGGCAAACCCATGCATCCTGGTTTTGGAAGCAATCCGGGTTAATAGTACGTTTAGAGAGACGGGCAGCTCCTTGAGATACAATTGGCGCCTCTTGGCCAGGGCGATGGTTATACTAGACGTGCTGTGGAGTTCTCTGTGGTATAGTTCTAAATATTCTTGCCTTCTGGGATTAAGTGTACACGTCTTATAGAGATGTATATTTTGGTCAAGAATCCAATGTGGTGATGGGTTGTGGGCATCAGCGCAGTGCCACGGCCTCGAGCACAAAGTAAAGGGACCTCCCTTGTTCATTGTCTTTAACTCCTCTGTATGTAAAGCAATCTGCAATGCGCTGTTAACCTCAACTCACAAATCCTACTACGGACAGACCCTGGGAGAGTCACTTTCCAAGCCGAAGTTGAACAACACAATTGTCTTCTCGATCGGTCCAGGTGCGAAAAAGCAGGAACTGCACCGCGATGACGTGATCCACCACAACCAGTTGTCCGCCATCACGGCCGATAAGTATAAACCCGGCCGGGATAGCGGAGTTGGTTTATTTGTTGCCGGGGAAAAATGAACTATGTAGAATGGAGCTACGCGGTTTATTCCTGGTAGCCACCTCTGGGCTACAGAAACGCCGCCTTCTGAGGAGAAGGCTGTTCACGCAGAGCTTAACCCAGGGGATGCTTTCATCATGCTCAGTAGTTGCTTCCATGGCGGAAGCGCCAACCAAACAGAAAGTGAGGAAAGGTTGGTGTATAGCTGCTTTATGACCAAAGGATATCTTCGACAGGTGAGTTTGTTGACCGGCCCTGTCTTCTTCCCTGGTAACGGCGACTCCATATATGCGTCAGAGCGTGCAGCCAACCAAGAATGCCTCACCAAGCTGTATAAACCAAGACTGGCGGGAAGTCACGTATATTCTTTACTGTATATTAGATCTTGAGAGTAAAACTTCTATTGCATTTGCCCGCCGTTATCGAGGAAGCTTGGCCGGTACCCTACCCTATCCTACCACCAAGTGGGTACATACCCTTTTGGAAGAGGGACGAAATGCAGTGGCCTGGTTTATATACCTCCTCCGTGTTATCCTTGCTCAGAATAGTTAATATGAGCTTCTGTTCCCCCGTTCGCTTGGTCATCTCACTCAACCTCAGCCACAACAGGAACTTTATCCCGTGTTGGGTAGATACGGCCTAGTTGTCCGGCGATTGGACATGGAGCGGTGAGACAAATTCTATGTTTTGACTATTCCTGGATGGTGCAAGACTATGAAGGTAGGAGGGTGCATAGCTATGATAGAGACCCTGAGGGAGTGAAGTTTGGTCTTTGCGGTAAGGTGATGTGGAAAGCAGATGCTCCCTCAGCTGGACTGCGACCGAACCGGAGACATCTCCGCTTTGTAAGGAGAGGGGTAGTAAAATACTAAGACATTTGAAGCACTCGGTTAAGTCAATTGAATCATGAATCCATACTTCGGCAATATATGGGTTATAAAGTTAGGTATTTAGTCTCCATATCATTCCTGTACACCAAGAAACTTGCGTCAACAGCGTACATTCTTGCAAGGTGACATGTTGCCTTCAACAAATTTGGGCAGGCAATGCCACTGCCGGTACCATCCTTGCCAGTCGTGCCGGTTTATCTGCTGTAGTCTGACTCGCCGTAGTTCGATTCTCCGTGTCTGCTCGACCTAGAGTCTCCATAACCGGTAGAGCTGGTGTTGCCACGGCTGCCGTATTCAGACTCTCCATAGCGGCTGGATTTGGAGTCATCTTTGGATTCGCTGTAGCTCGACTCGTTTCGGTCGCTAGACCTGGAGTCACCATAGCCACCGGAGCTGGTGTTGTCACGGGCAGTGGAAGTAGACTCTCCATAGCCGCTCGACTTGGATCCGTGGTTGGATTCGCCGTAGCTGGACTCATTTCGCCCACTAGACCTGGAGTCTCCATATCCACTGGACTTGTTGTCGCCGTAGCTCGACTCATCACGGTCGCTGGATCTCGAGTCTCCATAGCCGCTGGTTGATTTAGAGTCGCCGTAGCTTGAGCCAGTATTACGGCCGCTGGATGTCGAGTCGCCATAGCTGGAGCTTGAGTTGCCGTAGCCACTGGATTTGTTGTCACCGTAGCTAGTAGACGTGGAGTCACCGTAGCTTGATTCATTATGGCCGCTGGCTCTCGAGTTGCCGTAGCCACTGGACTTGTTGTCATCATAGGTGGAGCTGCCACGGCCGCTAGAGGTGGAGTCGCCATAGCTGGACTCATTGCGGCTGCTGGAAGTAGAGTCGCCGTAGCTTGATTCATTGCGGCCGCTGGACCGGGAGTCTCCATAGCCAGACTTGGTGTTGGAGCTGCCATAGCTTGACTCGTTCCGGCTGCTAGAGTTGCCGTATCCAGAGTCACCGTAACCACCGGAGCTGGAGTTGTTGTAGTCGTCGTCGTTGTAGCCCATCTTGAATGATTTGCTCTCTAGAGTGCAGAGGGATTGAGTAGTTGTTGTTGTTTGAATACCAAGCTGAGTGCAGCGAGCGCCGGCAGGCTTATATAGGGCCGGCTCACAAGTCACAGTCACCTTCAGGGGAGGGGGGTCGCACGCAATTCAATCTCCAACCAGACGGCCCACACCACACCTCCACGGTGGCTGTTCGTCGGGGTTCATTCGCTATTCCCGATCTCTGGTTCCGGAGGGGTAAAAGCATGCGATGCATGTCCAATAACACGCGGGTAAGCTCAGAATCCCCAACCTGACAGTGTTCGCGCTCGAGCTAGCAGAGGGCGCTCGGATCGACTTCCCCGCTTGGTTGTGCAGCTGTGCGTATGCACCGCCACTTGTTTTTCAGCCACATCTCCAGGTCAGCCCCAGGCAGCCACAATCTCAATCTCTGCAAACACCAGAAGACTCAGCCCACAGAGAATGATAGAATAACAGGCTCCCAAGGAGTTTGAAACTGTTTTCAGAGGTATGGAAAGCCACAGATAGGCTCTCTTGAACCCCAGACGCACTCACAAACGGCTTGTTGGTTGGATCTGAAGGCTGCAGCGAGATCTCTCACCCGAATCAGGGAAACGCAGATCGATTCAGCTGTGCCAGATTGCGCGATTACCCCACTATGGCGCCACAAAAACAATAGTTCAACAGAGGAGGAGGGGTAGATAGCTCTCGCGGCCGAGTCCGGCTTTGAAGCTGAACAGGTGGCGAAAATCCGAATAATGTCTCGCTGGGAAAAGCAGGCTTCATTGGCATAAGGATTCTCATGTTATCGCGCAATTTCGTCCCTGGGTACAAGGAAAAAACTGGCTCTGAAAGCTTAACGGGTGCCTTGAGGAAATACTAGAGCCAGGCTTGCCCGATGGCCAATTTTCTGGCCTCAGCTTGCGCGAGTGGGTCCAGACTCTGGCTGGGACCTCGGACACTGTCGACATCCCCTCTCTGTTGCGCTGATCCTTCAAACCCCGGGATGCTCGGAAGAGACGCCCTTTGTTTCGTTTATTTTTGTTTAGAACTTGCTTGTGGCAAAATCTGCCGCTCAGATCGATCGTCGCTGGAGCACATTCAGAGAACAGAGTAACTAGTTACTAGAAGATTAAGTTAGCAGAAAATGAGGAATGGGCGCATTCCTCAAAAATCAAGAGGAGCACCCTAGTGTCTAAGAGAAGCTTTACCACCACCCCGTTCCCAAATTCTTGCAGCCATGAACAATAGTGTCCGATTATAATTATCCTTTAAGTCCACATCCACTTGGACAGTGTCAAGTAGAAGCTTCACCACGGCTTCATGACCACCTCGTGCAGGCCAGGATAATTGCAGTCCAATGGTATTGCCCACACAGGACGCGATGAAGGACTGTCTTGAATCAGAGGTGGGATTCTCCAGATGGGAAGTAGATAGTACGGCACCAAGGGTGAGAAACTTACCAGGGAGGTCACGGTTCTTTCCTTGGTGGTCCCTGCGGTATTGGCGACCTTAGTAGAGAGTAGAAGTAGGAAGTTGGCCTTGTAAGCAAAGACAAGGCAGTATCGCAGCCAGTTCCTTCAGACTGATGTGCAAAATCTGATTCGGATACTCTTTAAAAAAGATTAAGCTATGAATGAGCTATATTACCATGTAGACCGTACAGAATGTAGCGCCAGACTTACTCTCCGAGTGTCGCCAATGGAGAATAATGACACCCCAAGGTTAGAATCATTGGGAAATATTTGAGCAGTGATAGTAGATTCACCTTTTCCACCAAAAACCTCGATCGATGACCAATCAAGTAGAATCCGAAGGGTGATTTGCCCGAGATCATTGCTGGATAGTGGGGCATAATAAACACCGGGAAACAGAGCACTGAAAGAAGAGTCGCCCGCCGAGCTCCGGTCGACAAACATTTGGCCCATCGCGAAATCATAGCCAACGCGCACACCGGCTCCGTTCTCACCTGCCCTCAGGTTGACCCCGAATTCTTGGGTGTCTTTCCCAGCTTGAAAGGTCAATTCCACATCCAGTGTCTTGGCGCTAACTGGGAGGGTGATATTACCAGATGGCATTCGACCCCATTTGCGTTGATATAGTGGTTTGCGCGATTCAAGAGAGGAGAGATCGGGCTGTGGGTTTTGCACTAGTTGCACCTTTCCGTTGATGGTCTTCAACCCCAGGCGACGTGGAATGCTCATGGCGCTTCGCCAAGGGGATGTTGGGATATCAGTTCCATAAGCCCAGTCGTTCATCCAGCCGATTGCGACGCGCTCATTTGTCGGGAGCCCGTTCCAGGGAATGGCCGCATAGTAGTCAGGCCCCCAATCGACCCAGTTTGCTTGTGCCGGAAGAGGGCTGTCTGTAAAGACGATCTGGCCTATGTTCAGATGGCCATAGCCACCTGTTGATGTGTCAACGAGCTCAATCTGGGCTGCTTGTCCCAGCAGACCAGCAACGTTCCAGCTGCTCCATATCATCCCGCCACCACTGACCCCCGTCGTGGAGCGTACAACCTCCCCATTAACCAGGAGGTTGATAGTCGTCTCGGAGCTCAGAGATGTCCCGTATGTGGCCACATTATGTGGATTGCTGCAGCAGCCAATTTGGAATTGGATGTAGCTCGAAGAGATGTTGAAGTTTTGAGACATGAGTGTGCCAACAATACTGTCACCCCCGTCCCACAAAGTCAGCACCTGGCCGTTGCTGGGACCTTTCCCTACAAAGTCACCGGTAGGAGTCCAAGACGATGCACTAAAGCTTGGTTCGCTCCAATCTTCAAAGACTGTGAAATCGACCGGTGCCTGTGGGGAATGGATGCTGTCCGCATCTGCTATGAACGTTGTCCCATCGAAGCTCCCAATAACATATTGCGTCCCTGATCCCTGCGGAAGCGCGACAGTGCCCGGATTCAACCCCAGCATCAAAACCCACTTTGTGTGACGGCTCTTGCCATCCACTTGCAGCTGAAACAGGCTTGGGCACTCCCACTGACCGCCGACTGCATTGACAGGGCCAAACTCGCCAACATGGGACCAGTCCTTCAAATCAGAGGAAGTATAGAAAAGCACCTTGTGCTGAAATGCCAAGGAAACGGCCATGACCCACTGTTTCCTCGGCGCATACCAGAAAACGAATGGGTCGCGAAAGTTCTGGTACTGGTCGGCGTACTCCGCAGGCGGCTCCAGAATGACTGGGTTGTCTTCGTGCTCGATCCAGGTGAGACCATCATCCAGACTGTATGCGACCGACTGAGACTCCTGGCCGCTTCGGACGGTTTTGTTGTTCGGGAGGGTCAAGTCCTGTGTGTAATGGGATGTATACACAGCCACCAAAGGTGGCTTGCGTGCGCGTCCCCAGCCAGAGGTGCGTTGATCGTCGGTGACAGCGCTGCCGGAGTAGTACAGCTCGGTCAATGGACCGGATGGCGCATTAAAGGCGTTGAGCGCCACTGGCAGCTCATCCCAATGCATCAAGTCTGTGCTGACGGCGTGGCCCCACGAGATATTCCCCCACACGTCGCCGGTCGGATTGTACTGGTAGAACATGTGATATTTTCCCTGGTGGAAAACCAGTCCGTTCGGGTCATTAATCCAGTTCTTCGCCGGGGAGAAATGATACTGAGGTCGATATCGCTCTTGGTAATTGTCCGCATTGACACAGGCAAGAAAGCCGGCCACCTGGAGAAGGACTGCAAGCATTGCGAAAGATCGCTCGTTGCTTGTTATTCAGCTGTGACGAAGAAGACCAGTAGAAGAATGGATGAACTTGCGACGACAAAGAAAGGAGCCAGAATTTGGAGACGTGGGTGCCTTCATATACTATTTGTCTTCCATAGATTCTTAGAAGCAGTCCAAAGGTGCTGTCGTAAGTGTCGAAGCCCTAGTGGCCCTGCGCTGCTCCTGGGCCAGACCTGCAGTAAGTAGTAGCGCCCGATAGCCTTGAAAGATGGAGATGTGACCGCGGGAGTTCAGCTGTGGGCCCCGGACCCATCCATGGAACATTCCATGCCTCTCGGAAGTTACATGCGGTTAGCCCTGAGTGCAGCTGGGGATTCTCGAACTGGCCTTGATGAGGGACGGGCGCGAGTGGCGCTTCGCGACCAATGAATGCCCGCAAGATGCGAAGTTTACAAAGTTTCCTCCATTGCCCCATCATGCAAAATCGCGGACAAGAGGAGTGGCCTCCGCGAAGTTACCCGCATGGCGGGACGCCCCGCAAATTACTGACCCCAACACAAGGCAACCCGGAAGAAAGACCTAAGAAAAACGTGTTCAGCAACCAAACACCGGATTTTGTCGCGGAAGCAAGGATTTCCTACCCGGCCTTTCTACCGCTGTCAGGCGCTTTCTGAGCGGTTTCTTTGTGCTGATAATCAGGCTCGTATCGGAGTGTACGTTGAGTCTGATTGCCATATCAAACACTGCATTCGCTACACACCTTTAACATCTTAATCCATGAGTCACTTAAAGACTTATGGTTGATTCAGCATAGAGCAACTTTCATAGTATAAGAAACACAAGGGGTGATTAGGTAACCTTACATAAGAGTTATATATATAAGATGGTAGTATGGAGGGGTAGTAATAATCTTCTCTTAACTTAGTATCTTAATTTCGTAATAAAGTAATAAAGGCTTAATCCCTCTAAAGTATCAAACATGAGAGAAAAGTCCGAAAATAATGATCGGCAGCCAACAACTACGTCATAAAAGCAGCATAAGTAAATGAAGTCAAGGTCAACTTCCCCAAGTCAGACACAACCTCAATCCCCTCCGCGTCTTGATTCGGGTAGATTAGGGCCGACAGCGCTGCGACACCACCATTCACAAATATCTCAACCGAGTTCCAATCGACATATATTGCCAGCCCGACTCTGTCCCCACCTATAGGGTTTACCAAACTCCTTCTTGCGTCCCAAACCTGCTTAGGCCCCGATGCCAGATTATCCGAAGCGAAGCCATCAGAGTTTCTAAGCAAAAACAGCTCAGTATTCGCAAAGTCATACCCAATTGTTGTGTTTGAGGTCCCATCGGATTTAATCCGGAAGTATACCAGGTTACCGTCGTCACCATCCTGTTTGGAGACTGTCGCTCGAATAACATATGCACCCCCTGTAAGTCCACCAGGAAGCGAGGCTGTTGCCGGGTCCGTTGTGATTTCCGTCCCGTTCACACTGACAGGGGTGCCAAACACGGCTTCATATGCAGAAATCGGAAGACTGACGAGTCTAGGAGTTCCATTGACTGTCTGGTATTTGATCTCCCGCACTAAACTCTGCTGTCCCTCAAAGTTCCCGTAGTAGGGCAGCCTGTTGGCGTATTCCCAATTATTCATCCAGCCAATGGCGTAGCGGCTTCCAAATCTGTCATTTGGATTTTCCCAGCTGACAGTGGCGTAAAAGTCCGGACCTTCATCCAGCCACTGTGGAGAGCTGGCTGCGGCTCTAAAATTAGTACCATTCCATGTTCCTGACCAGTAAACGGTGCCTGTTGTCTTTCCGTGAAGATATCCATTGGCGCTGAGAGCAAGAATCCAGAGACGTGTCTCCGAGTCCCCGTCAAGATCGAGTTGGTATAGATCTGGGCACTCAAGAATACCCAAGTCAACACCAGATGCTACCGGCGAGAAAGTTGATATGAATGTCCAAGTCTTGAGATCAGGCGACGTATAGAACCCAATATAACTTCCTTCTGCGAGCGCAGCAACCCAATGCCCAGCACTCTCATCCCAGAAAATCTTGGGATCGCGAAACGCCGGTTTATTGTCTGGGTCCGGATTAGGCATCACTGGGTTGCCCTTAAAGGCAGTGAAAGTGTAACCCATATCAGTGGAATAAAAAAGGGACTGCTGCTGAATCCCGTCTGCCATCTGAGTTAGGACAGCAACGACAGCATTCTGCCCGAACCCCGACCTATTAGCCGTGTCAACCACGGAGCTGCCGCTTTCTATGTCTCCCAGTATTAAACCGCTGGCAGGGTTAGGCTGATACTTTTCAATTGCAACGCCCTGGCGCGTCCATTGAACCATGTCGGTGCTGGTAACGTGGTACCATTCTGTTCCGCCTGCGCCGGGATTCGATCTATCCCAGTCGGAATTCCAGAGGTAGTATAAATGCCATTTGCCGCTCAAGAATAATGCGCGTTGCGGGTCATTCATCCATTTCGTTTCCGGTGTGATGTGGTAGCTGGGTCGCGTTTGGCCAGAGACAGATCTGATCATTTCAGCTAGTAATATGACTGTCGAGACTAAGAGAGTTTGAAATATGAGTCTCATGGTTGCAGAGACATGGATACAAGGCATTGCGCTATGATGGAAAGAATAGTAGTTGAAGACAGGATAAATCCAAAATCTTGTAAAGTGTAGAAAAAGATAGCAAGATGAGATGATCAGCTCGAGTCTCCTTCGTTTAAATGCAATATAAATGAGATTCCACTAGATGCTCGACCTATTGATATATGTTGATCTCAGGAACTCTGTTTCCGTCATATGCGGCCGGGGGGGTGGAGAACCCTGGGGTAAAACCCGGGGAAAGGTTGAGATCGCGGAGAGAGTGGATACATCCGCGAGAGGCATGACCTTGACATCTGCCCCGACTCAGCTCCCTATACCGTAATCTCCCGCCTGTCGATCCTAAACGTAGTGTAGCAATCCTGCACGAAAGCTTACCCTAGTTTTTGTTGCTCTTCACTACCTTTCCACCAAAAAGGTGCACCGAATCTATGATCGCTACTATCTGCCGACAAAGTATTGCTGGGTGGCATCGTTTGTGCCCTCACTTTTGTTACAGATTCTGTATCAGCGTTGGGTCGGAGGGCAGGTCCATATCCCCTCAAACTGCAAGCGGGAGATTCGGGAAGTGGGACTCACTTGATCAATACAACGTTTGGCTTGTACCCAACACTCCTTGTTGCTTCCTGCATGACCTGCTCGATCTTATACGCAGGGTGCCCCTCGTGGCTCTAGGTATGACCAACATGGTCAGTTAATGAAACTCGAGCCCGCGACAATATATAAATTTCAAAGCCGCCAAAGCACTGGATTTCAATGGATGAGACAAGCTTACCTTATCGGACATAGCTCCACTAGCAACACTCTCAACCATATTGACGCTCCAACCAGCATGGCGAAGCTGAGCACGGAGGTTCTTTCGATATCCAGTGCCGTCACTAGACTTGTAGCCCTCGGTGATTGAGGCTCCGAGGGGCAGAATGCGAAGGGTGAATGAATTGGCAGCGCGAGGCTCCACACGAAGATCAACGCCAGGAAAAGAAAAAGATGGACCGTGGTCGGTATCTCTGACTTCCAGCGAGCCATGCCAGATGGTAGAGTTATCAAACCGGAGACCCAAGGGAGCAGCCGTGGTTGTACGAGAGAGCAAGCAGCCTGCTGCGAGGAGGACCGCGCCATTCAAGACGCCGCTCCAGGGCACCATATCTGCGGTTTGGGCTGTTGACGGTAGAGTGGGATATTCAGAAACTGGATGATGATATAGCATTGTTCCTTGCGGGCAACGTGGGATTTTATTACTTATTTTCAGCGTTCATTCTGCCTTTGAGATGCCTCGTGGCATACTTGCTCATATCGAGCACTCGTCGTCCTGCTGTCTACCGAGGCAGGGTATCGCCTGCTGCGGCAACAGGCATTTATCCTGGCATTGACAATTATCCCGCGCGGAGATTGCGTGTCAGTCAAAGGGGGTTTGCCTACGATACTAGTTCGAGGTGCGAAAGACCGACAGCCACTCGACGAGCACACATGTAGGGCAGAGCAATCTAGATGCTGGTTACAAGCTCAACCCCTGAATCGCTGTCCACTTGTCCAGGCGAAACGGCATGAAGGATGCAATATTTGCACCTTGCGCCGGAAGTGAAGGTGACCATGACTAGATATGTTCAGCAGCGGTATCACTGAGGGCATACTATACCCGAATGTTTTGCCTGGTCCGCGCTTCCAGTGAGGAGTAGGATGCCGGACCAGGTCTCAAGAAGTCTCTGGCGCACGCACCCGAGCGCACTCAACACTGTGAATGTTATTGCCGAATACATTGCCGGATGCGTCAAATCAACGCGCCAGTAACAAGGTATGTGTACTGTGCCCCGTGCTCCATTGGCTGGTGATACATGAGAGACTTGTTGGCGTAGTATCGGGGCTTCAATCTATGAGCATTTCTCTCTAGCCGAGAAGCTGTCTTGGTCAAAATAATCAACCAGGGTCCGATAGTCAAGTATCGCGCGAGGCGAGCTGGCTCCGAGCGTACGGACGAGGGAGTTCATTGATGTCGGTTCAAATTAGACCAAATCCGTAGGACCTGTCGGCGGACACCTGGTACTAGCTAAGAAGCGATGCTGGTGCACGAAGCAGAGCCCGACAAGCACACCTCAATGGAATGAACTCAAAATCTGTAGGTACGGCCGGCCATGCGATTCACATCAGATACATTGAATACGAAAAGCCAAACGGCTGGGGTCCAAATAGGAATCAACCACACCCATCAATATAGACGGTGTACCGTACCTCAGCACATTGTTAAACCGGGGAAAATAGCCTGCAGCTTTGGCCATTTAAGGCCCTGTCACAGCCATCGGCTACATTAGCCGCTTTTTGCCGCCGCTACTTACTCGCATCCATGTAAAATATTACGCTGGCGTCGCGCGAACAGTCGAGACCTACTTTCCTTTCGGCGCTGTTAGCTAACCGCGACATGCTCCGCGAGTAGCTGAACAACAATCTGGATAGGTCGGACTTCACTGTGATTCTGCCAAGGCGACACACACTCCAATCAGGAAAGAGTCGCTTCGAGCTGGAGCCGCAGAGTCCTCGATAAGACCATCGAACCGCCCGTGCACTGCCCGTGCACCCCTGGCACTCCGGCGCGGGCCGGCCAACATCCATTAGGCCAAGATGAACCCTGATTTGCGAAATCAGACTCTCGAGATCCTGCAGGCGGGCCGGCCTACTATAGTGAACCTATGATTTGCCCTTTTCCAGAACCAGCCAGGGTTGTATCATGTCGGGCCGTTTACTTTTTATTAGACTTAGTGCATTATCCCTACTAGATCGATTTGTTCTGACTCAGACCCTGGGCTTCTGGTATCTAGCTCGCTATATGTCTCATTTCCGGTAAAATAGTGTTATCTAGTCGTAAGATAACATGCGCATCTCTGGCTCTTCGCTAGCACCGCAAGGAACCGCCGAGCCCCGGCCTCAATATTCACCTAGCCTCTTTCATTCCCTGACTCCGGCGACTCATCATCCACCTCTTATTCACGTGGGGATTGCACCCCTGCGTATGCAGGTCCCGCCAATCTGGGTGCCCTGTTTCCCCCCGTCTAGCCCACCAGTTCTGGCAGATCTGGCTTTTCGTCCCGAGCCCGATGGCGGAATCGTATGGTGATGGGTTATATCCGATCACAAATAATGCCATGGAACTAGTGATAGGCAACCAGAAGTCTCGGAGATTAGATGCGAGGAGGTGCAGCGCTCGGTCGAACATGTGATTTTAACAGTGGTTGCTCGTCGTTTCCTCTTTCTCCACAACACCCCCAACCTTCTTCTTTTTTCAAAGGTCCTGTCTTGCACCACCGTCCTGTCTTACCATCTTATCTCTCCTCCTCGTCCGTTTTCCCACCTTCGGTTTGTCGTCCGGTCACCTATTGAATCATTGGGACTCCATATCTTGGTCTGGCCGTCATCTGATAATGACCCAACTACCCAGGAGAAAACCGCCTCCCAACCTGACCCCAGCGTATGTACTACCCCAACAGCTCTATACCAAGGATAAACTCGCTAATGCAACGGGTTTACCCCCGAAAAGCGCCTTGGTAGCGTCACCAACCCGCAGCCAACCAGTTCCAAACGCCTCTGGGACTCTCTCCGTGTACACAGAGCTCTTCCCCGCCACCGAAGATACACCAATCGCACATGGCGGAATATGGATCCTGGACCTGAACTCTACCCGCTCGTGGCCAATTCCTGGCACCCCCAGTGCCCGGTTTCCTCAGTGGCTTGGTCGCAGCGACCAGCTTATCTGGCTCGAGGCGTGCCCGGATGGGCATACGCGGTTTGTCGTTGCGGATGCCCGCCTTCGCGGGGAGAGGTATGTGGCTGGAACTGTTGCGGGGCCGGTTTGGGATCTTCGCACGACGCGTGTTGCGAATATGGGGGATCCCGCGGATGATGTCGACGATGATCTGGGTTTTGCCGTTGTCGGGGAGGTCGATGGCGACGGGCGGTTATTCAATCCACTGGAAGGTGGTCGGAGTCTGAAGGATACGGCTGGTGGCCCGGGAATCTGTCGTCGTCCTGGCCATGTCCACTGCCGACAGGAGATGGGCCACCGGCGAATTGTCATATGGTTTGGCTCCCTTGTTTGACCACCCACGGATTCCCCGCGTGGCCGATATACCATTCCCAGGGTGACAAACCTGATGGCGTACTTCGATCTCGGGAACGTCTCGCTGCAGTCCCAGTCTGACGAGAAGGGACAAGAGATTTGTCCAGACTTTGTTATATCTTCCTGGGTGATCCTCTTCACGGCCCAAGATCCCGAGGTCGACAGTGCAACACACACGGTCTCTTCATGCTACATCTGCCCGATGCTCGACTGGAGCGGGCTGCTCGTTCCCGACGACTACTACAAAGCGTTCCGGCATCGTGGCCTTGGAGGAGCCTGCTCATCTCCAGCAGTAAGCAACAGAGGGCAAGTAGGATTCCTAGCCCAGAAGCAAGACGGGTTTGCGGCGGGTAAGAACCGGATTATTGTTGTCACCGACAACCAGAGGGGGCTATATGAGGAGATATTCGCCTCTGCTGATGGCAAGGGTCAGTGGGACCTCAGTCCCTCTCGTGTCTCATTCGCCGCCAACGGGAGACTGCTTCTCAGTGTCGAAGAAAAGGGCCGGAAAGTGCTGTATCAGCTGGATCCCGTTGATGGGGCGACACCGGCTGATCTAAAGCGCATCGCTCCATCCGCCTCGTCCGCAAAGTCTATTGTCTATGCCACACCACTAGGCGACAGTCCTTCGAGGATCCTACTTACCTGCGAGAGTTTTGTCCAACCACCACAGTTCATCCCCTGCACGACCTTGTCGCTGGAGCTATAGCTGAGTTCCCACTCGATAATCCACGCTTCGGACTATCCAAGGACCAAATAAAAGAGGCTTGGTTCCCCAGCGCAGACAACCGCAAGATCCACGCATGGGTGATCAAGCCGTCGTTCTTCAACCCAGAACACAAGTACCCCCTCGCCTACTTTATCCAGGATAGCCAACACGGCAGCTGGAGCAGTATCTGGAGTACCAGCACCACCACCAGCCCGAATCTAGCCTTCTTCGCCGAACACGGCTACGTGGTCGTCGCGCCCAATATTACAGGGAGCATTGGGTACGGCGAGGACTTCGTAAACGGCACACAGCATTCCCCCACTGACACGGCCTACCAAGACCTTCACCACGGATTCAAGTACATCCAGAATGAACTCCCCTACATTGACAGCCGCCGCGCCGTTGCCCTCGGATGTGAGTACGGTGGATACATGGTAAACTGGATCCAGGGCCACGACCTCGGCCGTCGATTCCGCGCGCTAGTGTCTTGTAACGGGATCTTCAGTATCATGACCTACCTCGCGGCTGACGTGCAGCATCCCGGCTTCCACGAGCTGGGCGGGCCACCCTGGCTCGCTGCGGAGGAGTGGAGGCGCGCGGATCCCGCGCGGCATCTACATAACTGGAAGACGCCGCAGATGGTTATTTACGACCCGGTAGATGCGCAGGTTCGCGTCTCTGACGCACTGGCGGCTGTCAAGACACTGCGGCTCAGGGAGGTGGAGTGTGAGTTCTTGGATTTGGAGGCAAGTGGGGGCCATATGAACCGACCAGAACGTCAAGTGCTGTTTTATCACACTGTTCTTGATTGGATGGCAAGGTATACAAAGTAATCGACAGTCAATGTATGAGAAAGCAGCCGGCCGTACGCCGGTTGAAAGTGCCGTGTGCGCTACAGCGCCTAACGCTTGTTCAAAACTACAGACTGATGTTTCATTTTCCAGGTGATCTGAATAACTTTCTATCTACATTCAACGATGCTCTGAGTTAAGCAGTTACTGGCGGGTTTGTGCTTTGTAGGCCAAGCGGTCTGTTGTGCAGGGTCCCAAGATATATATCGGGGGTATTGGCTTGGACAGTAGGGCAATTGAACAGCATCACTTTAATCAACTATCAACGGGTGCAAGTCCATTTTTATTGATTAAGCCTGTATATTATAAAAGCCCACTGGCACATGCTCAGATGCTGGATCTAAGAACATAGTGTTCACACTGTTGACATTCAACTTTTTATATAGGTTGATGTGCCTGATAAAGACACTTTGGATGACCAGTAAGATTCCAAGGTATGTGCTTGTTGAACAGACCGCGAGGTACTTTCGCATGTGGCTCAAGCAAGCGCAGTACGAGGCCCTGAGCTCAACAACACTGAAGCCAAGAACACCGCGACTGCTACATCGTCGTGGTTTCTAGTCTGTGTGACTTCTGACTTGGCTTGGGGATCAGCCGAGTCCATGATAATTTGTATCAAAGAGTCATATTACATACGGTACAGTTCCTCTAGAGGTTTTCAGGGCTGTAGCACTCGAGATACTTCTCGCCACGCCGGCAAGGGTTCTCGCGAAGAGCCTCGCAACATGCAATGGTAGTCTGGTCATAACAGCTATCCTCTGTAGTGCCGTTTTGGGCGACGGCAAGGACAATGTTTCCGTCGCTGAGGACCCGGAAGGGCTCGAAGGGCGACGATCCACAGTAGTCGGACCTATATCCATACTCAGGCGCTCTCCAGTCGCATCCGCGGCCAGCTACAATGCAGCTGAAATCGTCGGGGTTCAACGTCGCAGAGGGCGAGGGGTCACGGTGCCCGTTGGGGATGGTAGTGGCGAAGAAGAAGAGGCCCCTTGTGCGGCTGCCGTGCTGGCTAGCATCAGGGCGACGAGGTTGAGCATTAGGTGCATTGTGTAGGTAGGTCTGGCGACAGGCTTGTTCGTGCTTTGCAAAGCTGTTGGAAATGGGCGATAGAGGTCTTAAGTCTTCGCGACTTCTGAGACAACAACAGCGAAGAGACAAGACTGCACCGAGATCTGCCGGGTCGATCGCGGCCTGCGGATTCTGGCGATAGCATCTCCATCTGAACTCAATTAGATATGTCTTTTGATGATCAGTATATATCTAGCCATGAAGATATATTTATTGAGAGCCACGCGGGCAAAGTATGACTATTGATCGTCAGTTTGTGATGTCTTTGGCATTGAATGATCTGCAGCATTCGCGTTTTGGGTTACACGAAGGAAAACTCTGCGACCTTCGGAACTTCAGGCCAAAATAAGAGACAAAAGAGTTTCGCTTGTCAATTTCTCTCGTCTTGAGGAGTTTGAAGAGTCAAAATGATTGATGGATGAGAATTCATCGCATTTTCCAGCCTATGTTTATTGTTGAGTCCTCTGCTCTCGTCGGCCAATGGGGGGTAAACGGAGCTCAGGCACCCATGAGGCTGCAAAAATGTTTAATGCAGGTTTTGACGATCTGCAGTGGTTCCTTGATGGAGGATCAAAAAACATCGCAAGCTCAATGAGAGTTTGTCTTCGCCAGGACATCGCGATGCTGGCTGGTGGAGAAGCGAGCGGAACCTCCGACCGCGACGCCGCGTGCGAGTCCATAGAGATACTACGGCCTGTGGCCGACACATCTCAGCGAGCTTGCTCTTCCAACGAGATTAGACGAATGAGCCTATTGTTACACAGCTTTGGCCTGAAGTCAGAAGTCGGCCAGACCGACCATCATGATGGCGCTAGCGGTGGAGAGAATGGGACGCGATATTTTTAGCAGCGGGCGTTCCTCGCAGCCTGAGGCAGCAAAGGCTCTCCGGCTGTTGAACGCGCCACCCGTGGAAACACTGGAAACCCATCGTGGTTCCCCTTTCAACGCCGCTGGAACCAAGAAACCTTCTTTTGTTCCCATCTCAAATTGCAAGAATGTGACAAAGAAATCCCTGGAGCTTGGACTCTGAAGCTGCGAAAGCCGAGACAAGGCTGAGATGACGGTCGCACGAGCTGAGGCTGTGCCAGGCTGTCCGCCTGCAGGTCGGAGCGAAATGGCCCCCTCATTTAACTGAAGCACCTGCGCTCGTCCGTTTGAGATCTTCTCCTGCACCTCCAAATCACTGGCCATCATGGCTTCCGAATCGAACAGTAATTCGTATCGGTTGCCGCCGCTGCCAAACTACCTCTCCTCGTGGAACAACCCATTCGACCTGGGCGACCGCGCGAATATCCGCTACGAGTCCGCCGCTTCACACGAACACGAACACGAGCAGGAGCCGGAGCCGGGACACAAGCACGAACCACCCGTTGGCCTGGGAATCAGCGACAGCCAGCCATCGCCCTCCTCCCTCCCCAACCATCCAACGCACTCCCGCACCGTGAGCTACGACGACACAGCGACCCTCGGTCGGTCGCCTAGTAACCGCGCTTCCTCGCGCTTCGCCGGCTCCGATGCTGCTCTGCTCGGCGAGCACTCCCCGCCGCTCAAATGTCCGACCACAAAAACCATCGTCCACCGCCGACTGGGCTGGGTCCCGGTCACTATCCTCGTCCTCGGCTTTTACTCTACCCTTGTCTCCGGTCTATACCTCGTCGTCGCGTTCCTGAAACCTCGATATGGAAAGGGCGTGGGAGTGGATGGAAAACTGGCACCGTCGACGGCGAGTCTGCTCAGTACGCTGTTTGCAAAGACGGTTGAGCTGGCATACGTGACCGTTTGCGTGGCGTTTCTGGGACAGGTTCTTACTCGTCGGGCAATCACAAGAGGGTCCAAGGGGATATCGATCGCAGATATGAGCATGCGGACGTGGATTATGCAGCCGGGGTCGATGATCGTCCACTGGGAAAGCCTTCGATATTCGGGCTGGACAATCCTCGGGGCGATTACATTGACCGCAACGATAGTCGCGATGCTGTATACCACCGCTGCCGAAGCTCTAGGTAGGGTTTTCACCTGATCGCAGATGGCCGAGCTAACAGAATAGTGACCCCCAAACTCCGGATGGGCCCTTTCGAAGATCGCATGCTCGTCGGAGATGTCCACGCCTCGTTCGCCAATACCATATACCTCGCGAACAACTGTCAGACGCCGGTTGCCCTGGCATCCGACTCAGACTACCGCAACCTCACCTGCCTGGATATGCAGCACGCCGGCCAGGCGTACCATAACTACCAGGCTTTCCTCCACGCGTGGAGCCTCGCGACCGAAGGGAATTGGTCAAGTTTAACACAGTTGTCGTCTCGACCTCGTCCGGTCGGCTCCGTCAACGATAATACCACGATGACGGGAAGTTGGATTGAGATGCAGAATATGACGGCGCTCTCGGAGAAATATGGTCGCATTGTGCACAATGTGACAGCTGCGATGCCGCATGGAGGGATTATAGGCGCCGCAAATCACCCTGATAACGACATTACCCAACCGAGAGATCGGTCGGGCGAGGGAAACTATGACCTGGATGCATCTGTCCCATCGCCAGCGGTCAACGTGCTTTGTGTGGGCATGACAAAGACCGAGCTAAAGCCCATCGTTTATGACGAGTGGCCAAACACGGAGGGCAAATTCGATCCAGTAACATGGACGACCGAGGTGCCCGGTAATGTCCCGCCTCCTGCCGACTGGCACAATCGCACAGTTGTGGACGATATCTTTGGCTTTGGACCCGACTATCCTGGCTACTATGCGCCCATCTTTGGAAAACTCCCGAAGCCGCACAACACTATCCTCAACGTCACTGGCCAATACCTTCCGGGCGCGATCTACCTCCTCGGGGCGGCCCCGGAGGATGTCCAGCCACCGTATGTTCTTTGCTCACTCCGAGCAAAACAGTCGCCTGCGTGCTCAACCCAGTACAAAGCCACAGCCACCGGTTCGGAGCTTAGCACAAGGTGCGAAGACGGTCACTCGCTCCAGTACAACGTTCGCAATCCTGATACCCCGACCGAAATCTGGACACCCGACTGGAAAAGCATCGCGTCGGAGTGGGCCTTCACTATTTCTCTGAACGCAGGTATCACAGATGGGGCGTCCATGAACGCCCGCCTTCTCATGCAGTTCTTCCCCAAGACTCCGTGGCTAGACCCGAACCTTCCTTCCATCAGCGAAGCCCTGGCAGTCCTAGCAGGAAACACGCTCCTCATGAGCTCTCAGAACGCCCCATTCGTCCATTTCTGGAACTATACTGCCCATGAGGCTCCGGATAACATCCTCCCCGAGCCAGTCACGCAATCCTTCAACGCAACCCTCCGCTCGGTCGAGTACGCCTCCGGCGGTACCCAACGGTGGCAGGGCATCTTCTACCCAATCCTCATCTTCGCCTTCATCACCAGCGCCCTCTGCCTCGCCTTTCTAATCCTCGAAGTCCGCGGCAAGCAAATCACCGACTTCACCGAACCGCAAAACCTCTTCGCGCTGGCCATGAATAGCCCCTCCACATCTCGTCTGCAAGGAGCCTGCGGCTCCGGACCCGAGGGACGGCAGCTGAAAGAGCGCTGGTACGTGGCGATGGAGGAACACGATGAGCATTATTATATCCAACCCAAGGCCGAGGAGAATACGCCGAGGGTGTCGATTCATCGCAGTCCGTCGGTTGATGATATCGAGATGGAGGAGCACGGGCCGTTGAAGACGGCCGCGACGAGTAGTCCGGCGATGGATGAGTATCGCCGCCTATCCTCGCGGAAGAGCTGGGTGTCGAGGACGTTTTATTAATGGGACTATTATATATCTCGAATAATGTCTAGCCTAATGTTTGTGTGGATAATCGAATTCTAGCCTTGGGCGGTTTTGTGCTTTGTTGCATATCGTCACCACCCCGTCGTATGCCTGGGGTGGAATGAGGGGTGGAATGAGAGGTCTCCCATTTTTTAAGAACTATAGCAGAGCCTGGGTGGTACAAAGATAGTAGTGTCTTCTTGTTCCCCACTCTCCATAGAATTGACCGTGCGTGGAAAACATCGGGTCCTTCAAGGTTCGAAGTTGCGCTCCACCCACGGTAGGCATCGCGACGCAACAAGATGCTCCGCTACCCTAGAGACCTCATGGAGGCTGACTGATCGAAAGGATATGCCAGGGTGATGACTCGATTGCGCAATTCTGGCCGTGTCTTTCCATCTGCCCTGGAGTCGCCCATAGCTCGCTCGATGGGGTTCGGCCGGAGTGGATGAAGGATTAGGTGAGGGAGTGATTTAAATGTAGATGATCATAATCCTTTACTAGTATCAGGTGTACTACAAGAAAGCCTTATACCGCTATTACATTAATCAATGGTTGAACTGGCATTACCTCTCCCTTACCCCTTTACTATACATTAATCGTTAACCTCAACCCTCCATCCCTCCCTCAAAGCACACCACACACGCACTATGGATTATCTGGCCGAGTATCTAACTGACAACCTTCGAAACCCCAAACTCCGTAACCCCCTCGAAAACCGAACCCACAGACCATAGCTTCACCCTCGGAAACCCAACCCCATCCCCATGATACTCCAGCGTCTCATCCCCATCCTCCAACTTCTTCGCATACGCAAGCCCCCATTTCCCCTTGAACCCCGGCTTGATAGCCAGCCACGGGTTCTCGCGCCCGTTCTCTGGGTCGTCCGTTGCGATTACGGCGTCTTGGATGCTCGCAGGCCAGCGCGATCTCGATAGTGGTGGTTGCACGAGTGAGAGGGGGGCCATTCGGGGAATGGGGACACGCGGGAGCGAGGAGCCCTTTAGTAAAGCACTGAAGAAGGGGACCTTGGGGTTGAATGGGGCGGGGGTGTCCGAGGGGTGGTAGACGCGGAGCTCGAGGTCGGATTTGCCGACGGGTTTGAAGTCGAAGACGGCGCGGTGCTTGGGGATGTCTGCACGGTCATCAGCATAAATACTACTCAGATGGAAGGGTATAGAAATGGGGTATATACTCCAATTCCTCCTCCCATTCCACACACTCGCATCCGTCGAAACATAGATTGTACTAATCCGCAGGTCGGCCTTGCCACTATGCGGATTGACCGCACGACCCGGGATGAGAATCAACTCGTCGTACGGTCCGACATCCGTTTCCTCGTAGCGCACAATCATGATACCTTTGAGCCATCCCTCGCGGAACTGCGATTTCCCGCTGGGTAGTTTTTGAAGTGCCTCTGGGTGGATTGTTTCGAAGGGGTGGTAGGCGCCTGGGGGAAGGATGTCTTGTAGGATCTCGGCCCGGTTGTTTGGGTTTTGAGCGGGCGAGTCGGGTTTGTCGATGTCGGTGTAGAGGAATGTCCAACTTTTTGAACCCAGGGTCCAGGGGGGTGGGGCGATGGGGACGCCTTTGGGTGGTGAGGAGCCGGGGGTTGAGGGGGTGGGTGGTGTGGGGAGGAAGTCGGTCATCTTTGGTACTAGGTATGGACCTTTGAAGGCCTCCGTTGGATGTGATGCACGAGTGCAAGAATCAAGTGATGAGACAGGATGATTTAAATCAGAACAGCCCCCGCATCCTTGCGTGGGCGCATTCTTTGTACACCGATGTACTCCGTAACATGTGAAGATCTACGGATCGTCGCGGACTTGGGATGACCTCATCCCAGCCTTTAAGACGTTAGCCTCCATGTTAGCACAAGATTAGCTGACTCAAGCTCGACGAGTAGGCTTCTTGACTTTGGATACTCGTAAATAAGGACTAGGTTATGCCACAGTGATGACGACTGCGCAGAATTGCGGGCGCGCATTCCAGGCTTGGGCCTATCATCGCCTCGGCTCTCGATCCTCGGCTTCAACGTTGCACTCCGCATCCAGACTATTTGCACCCGATATCCTCCCTCAGTCGTGCAATTCTGACTTATGTATCTAATGGCTTGGTGCAGTGATAATTAAGTTGAGTCGCGAAAGAGTATGGATAGCGTAGGTATGCGGTAAACGCCAAGAAGTAGACTCGCACTGGCGATGGTACGAGTAGTAGGTAGTAGTCGCTTGATTTCCGTGTGGTTCTGGCCTGTAATGTCTTCTCATTAGTCTTTTGTCGGTAGTAACTAGTATGTGGTGTTAATGGAATGAAGGCACGCGAGCCCCAAATTGCAATTATCTGGATCCTGCGATGCACTCACAATTCCAAGATAACTATAGAATCCATGACAACCACGTCTGGACTGAAAAATAGTCCTCTTAGTTATTTGTAGTCCTGTGTGTTTTCGCCAGCTGTGTCACCGTCGCTATTATAAAAGTTATAATATAGGCTAAAGTTTCCATTCACGCCTCTGAGACCTCGTCGGGATCCTTACTAATCTGATTCTTAAATGAGCAAGCCATATCTCTAGCGGGCTGCTAGGCGCTGGATGTTAGAAAAAGCCCAATGGCCTGTCTAGAGCGAGTACTTATCGTGGGCCTGTAGCCGGGAGGGGCGCAATCAGAGTGTATTTCTATCCGCCAGCTCTTGAACGTCTGCGTCTGCTGTGTGTTGTTGTATCTAGACAAAGGCGCGGCCAAATACGTATGTCCGGATAGGTGCACTCGCAGAACTCTGCGGCTTAGGGAGTGGATGGTCTTGATCTTGCTCCGCCAGATGTTGGTTGCGCTTTGTGTATTTACAGATAAGTGGATGTTCCTTTCGGGATGAATACCACAAAGCCACGATATCAAATCTGCTTTACTGGAGAATAACAAAACTAAGAGAAGCATGTTTCATTACCACGTTCAATGTGTGCAATTATGAAGGATCACAAGTATAGCAGCCATATCGTCCACAAAGGAATGATGCGAGAAACCCGGCTCACAAAGTATAAGCTCGAGCAAGATACAAAGCAGATCAAAGCAGCAAGACCCGAACAAACGATATCAACTCACAAAGGCGATGAAGGTATAAAAAATGGCCGCTTTCCACGACATCAGATGGAATCTACAACTCAGCTCATCCATCCAACTTCAACACACGATCAATCAATCGCAAACCTATTCAGCTATAACTAACTCCCAACCAGCAATTCTCTCACACAAACAAAGCACCAACCCCAACACCAATCTTTCAACATGGCTCCCACTTCATCAATGGTCGGCCTCAAAGGTCCCGGCTACAGCGTCACTTCGACAGGCCACCTAAAACACACAGCATCAGGCTTTATCCTCGAAGAAGTTCCCATCGGAATCTTCGTCCAGGTCACGCCCCCCAACCCGGCAGCTGCATCCGGCTATGCTCTAACACTCGCAGACTTCAAGGGCCATTGGCGCATCAGCCAGACGAACACCCCGGCAGTTGGGGACACGGCGCATGGGCATTGGTTGAAGGATGATATTATCTATTGGGTCAAGGGGCGTGTTACGGATATCCATCGGGATAAGACGTTTCATATCGTTACCGGTGAGGATATGGCCACGGCTGAGACGTATTGGGGGAGGGATGAGGAGAATGGGACCAAGCCTGCTCTTGGGTTTCGGTAGTTTGGAGTTTTCTTTTTGTTCCCTTTTTTTTGGTTGAGGGGAGGTGTACGCACGGTGTGGAGAATGAGGACATAGTCTATCGTTTAGGTTTCCGGTATGGAAATCAGTAATGTCAGTTGTTATTCTTGAATTTGGTCTTTTCCTGGAGTTTGCATGCGTTTCACTCGCTGTACCTACGGTACTGATCTTCGGTATCAAAAGTTTGTTTCAGCCCGCAAAGGGCTACTTGTCCCAAATGCCGTGTTTGTCTTTGACTGTTTAACAAACTTTGGCTGGCTGTTGGTTAGATCAACAACAGGAACAAATCTCCTGACTCGAGCTTTCAATGCCTCGAGGAAAGAGTTTGGGTATAAAGGCGCATTGTTATAGTAGACAGAGGCATGGGGGATTTCTGACAAGCTTATCTCTTTTGGCCTCATCCGCCTTGGTCTCGAGCCCATTGTCAGGTACGACTTCATCAATATAAAACATTGAAGCACAAAGCCCAATGCAACTCAGAAAGGGATAACCTTTAGAACGCTCGATAGACAAGGTGGAAAGTTGCAATGATATCCGGGGTCTCAATGCGCTCAAGGTCCACAAACGATGGGATGAAAGATTATCGAGACACAAAGAGGCTGCTGGTATATAAAGGCGCAAAATATTCAGCTGTCTACAGCCCATCAACACGATCAACAAAATCGACCAACAGCTTCTCCATCACTTCCAAAACCAAGCATCAACAACCAACAATCTCACCTAACCATTAACCTACCCAGCAGTTCTAACTCCACACACCAAACTAAAAATGTCTAGCCTAATCGGAACCATCGCAAACGGCTTCGAGGTTACTCCCGCCCCCTCGGGCTTCCTCAAAGAGGCCACGGGAACCGCCAAGCAGGTCATCGAGTTTCCAATCTTCATCACGGTCTGTCCACGGGAAGAGGACCTCCCCGAGGCGTATCCGCTGAAAGCGACAGAGTTCGTTCCGGAGCCGTGCGGCGCCCCTAACGTCGGGGACCTGATGATGGGTTACTGGATCCGGGACGGGGTCGTGCATTGGACGCCGGGCAAGGTTGACAAGGCGGAGCGCAACAAAGAGGTTCTTGATTGTTGAGAAGGGGTCCATGGAGGCCTATACAGACAGGGACCCCAAGAATGGGACCAAGCCTGCTCTTGGGTTTCGTTAATTTCTAGGCTGATATGGATGGGGTTTGCTATTCGGTTGCTAATAAAACAAAAGAAACCAGATGTATCGAGATAGTCTAGTTATGCTTAATTGAATGGAGGTTGGTTGTTTTTATCCGAATAGCCTTGATATTGTAGCCAGTAAATCCCAGGGTATTAACAGTACTGTACGGGTAAGGAGCGTTTTGGAGATAATATAGTCCCATAGCCTAACCAAGCAAATTACGGGCTCCATGGTCCGAGTCAGTGCGTTCGTGGAAGCCCAGCAATATCAAGCCAGGTGAGGCAAGGAATGGTTGGCTCTGCAACAGTCTTGCCATAATATCTGAACCATGCAAAGCCAGCTCCAGGAAGAGATACTAATCTATAAAACTAATCCCCTACAGACGGCTGACCCTGGAGAGACGCTCTATAATAGTAGGGTCACTCGCGCCCGGTCCCAAGCTACAACCAAAACCCCACAAGCACAGCCCACATGATCCGTCTAAAACACTACACCCTTGACCTGGGCCACCTTATGCACATTGATATTGCGGATCATTGCCGTCCAGATGAAACAAAGAACCATAATTCCCGTGCCCGCAGCCAACATCCTCGTCTGCGCATACCCATACGCCTTTTGAACGCCCAACCTTGCCGCACTTCCAATTGGATATCCTTTCTGCGTATCCAAGTTGCCGACGATATCATCGATGTTGGGCAGTTCCGAGGCAGGGAGGTCCTTCTTCAATGCCTTGCGGAAGGTATTCGTCCAGATGGCGCCTGAGATTGTATTCCCCATCGCATCTCCAACTGTTCCGACGACGTTGAGGAGGGCCAGAACGGCTGCAACGTGCTGATGGTCAACTGCCGCTAGAATGGCGAGCTGCTCAATAATAATAAAGATACTCCCACCAATCGAGATGAAAATCTGACACATGACCAAATATCCAACAGACTGGTTCGGCCGGCGGAAGTAAATCATGAGCCCCTGCGCAAAGATATACAGCGGAACCGCAATGTAGAGTAACCACTTGAACCGCCCCGTCTTGTGAATACTCCATCCCACAAGGAACAGCAGTACCCCACTCACGACATCAAACGTGTTACTCACGTACCCGGCCTCTGAAAGTGTGAGGTCATTGACTACCTGCAGGAAGGACGTAAAGTAGTTTGCCCAGCAGTAATAGGCGATTTGGTAGGTTGCGTCGAGGAGACAGGCGCCGATGACGGTGCGGTCGCGGATGAAGCTGAATTTGATCATGGGGACGGGGGCGATGTAGAGTTCGTGGATGACGAAGACGGCGAGCATTACCACGCCCACGACGATCATTGCGATGATGTAGCCAGTTGACCAGCCGTGGGGTGCGGAGTCGGCGATTTCAAAGGGGAGGAAGAAGACTGTTAACCCGGCGGAGAAGACGAAGACGCCGAATGCTGAAATCTTTTATTAGCTTGGAGTCTTGTTTGCGGGCAATGTTGGTAGGGTAGGGTGGGGTGTACCATCAAACTCGACAATATAATGCCAGATACTCTGCATCAGCGTCCGTCCGCTAGACTCCCGAGCGAGCGCTCCTTGGCTGGCCGCCTTCCTCAGATTCACTTTGAAGAGCACGAACAGCGGCGCAGCGACGATGGGGAAAATAATCGCGAACGCGCCGAAGCCCCAGCGCCAGCTGTACTTCTCTTCAAACTCCTCGGCGGCCTTAGGGCCTGCAAAGGCTGTGATGATATAGGGCGAGGATGTGAAGGCGTAAGCGAGGGCTCGATTCTTCAGTCTTGACGAGTCGGCTGTGATGACGTCGACGGTGTATGTCATTCCGCCGAAGCCGAGGGTGTAGAAGACCTATTGCAATGCTGTTAGCACGGTCATCATAATACATGGTGGGCTTGAGTCTGGGAACATACATATGCAGCGCAGAACGTAGGCAGGTTATGGCACGCAGCCATCATAACCAGACCCATGGTCGCAAAGAGGGTCATAAGCGCGAAACCCTCAGCACGGCCCCATACGTCAAGAATCTTCGCGAGGGGGATATAAACAGCGGCAGTGACGGCGTCCGCAACGACATAGATCGTTGTCAGGAGCGAGTGAGAGTCCCAGTCGCTGGTAACGTATGGCAGGAGACTAGACAAGATCGAGGATTGAAAGGCGTTGACGAAGTAGAGGAACCATATGCTGTCGAGGGATCAGTAAGGGAAGGGTGGCAATGGTGGGAGGCATCGGACTTGATAAAAACTGCAATCAGGGCAGCCTTCGACCAGGTGGCCGTGACGGCCTCGACGTCGTTAACACCACGCTGGGTGTTCTCATGTGCATCCTGCGGTTGGACGTTGTCGTTCTGAGAACTGCCTTCGGGAGAATTCTCGGGCTTGAATCCCTCCCCAGGGGCAAGACCAGACTCGGGTGAAGGATCGATCTTGAAAGCTTGTTCTGTAGTGACAGCCTCAGGAGCAACAAACTCATCGGTATTGCGACGGCGGAATGCAGAGCGCAGCCTAGACCTGACAGCCATATTATCGATTCGGGATTGTCGATTGTCGATTTCAAGGGAGGCACCAATGAATCGAGATCAGGAAGAGGGAAACCCTTGCCCTTATAGAAGTCAAGCTCGAGCTAGCGACAGTCGTAGGCCCACCGACTAGAAAGCTCCGACGTCGGCTGATTGAGTTGCGAGCAACGGGTGCGTAATGGATACAGGAAACAAGCTGGCTACACGGGCCCTGGTTTGTCCGCCTTTTCTCTAGCTAACTATCTCGAGGATAAACTCCGCTGGAAGTCCACATGGCACATGGTAGCCTCAGACCGTTGACCAGACGGGTGCGCAGCGATGGGGGAGATAATCTAATCAGATAGGATGAGTGGATGGGAAGCGTTGTGACTCGCTGACACGCTGGAAAAGATGTTGAAGCGTGGATCTGTTGGCTCACTTCCACTGCAGGACTCGAGTGGAATGCCGGAAAAGCGGGATCTGATAACTTGCATCGTGTCATGATGGATGGAGACTGCAACCAGGCCCACATTCCATGCGGCCTCGGGCGGTTGAGGGACACCCAGAATCTTCGAACATTCGCCCATGCTGCCCATGTCTTTTGTCTGTGGCTACTACAGATTAGATTCCAAGAGCCTAATTTGGAGATAAGAAATGGTGTCCTGAAATACGGGAATCGCCGACCTAATTATTCTATCATGACGGAATGCAGGGCAATCAGATAAGATGAGATAATTTTCGTGGACCGTGGATTGTGTGGAATGTGGTGCTGTAGAGTGGATCACGCACGCCTGGCACAACCAAGCATTGGCCAAGCAGACTCGCTTCGATGCTTGAATACGCGAAGCCTTGAGCCCAGGTCCACGTAAGACATGGCTTGCTTCAGTCCACTCCCACACCGGGCTCCCCGTTATCATTGGTCTTTCGTCGCTCTTTTTTACGGAATGTGGCTCTGCCGCTCTACGAGATCGAAGAATTTTCCAGGCCAGTCAAGGAGTCCTTGCTAACCCCCATGTGTCAAAAGTTGACGATCTGATAATTTATTTTGAGATCTGTTAACTCTGGTTCCCAGCTCGATGACGTTGTAGGGTGCCAACGAGGAGCCTCCTTGTATCCCGTGCGCATCAAGATTACTCTACTTTACATCAAGATCACTCATCTTGCAACAGGTCTCTTCTCGAACGAGAACCTACAAGCTGTTAGACAGCCCTACAGATGTGAACTGAGATTGCCGAAAATTTCTCGTCCTTACTCGACTTCTCCACCCCGCTTCGCCCTCATGTTGGAATCGTCGTCGCCACGAACCAGAGCGGAGCACAAGCTCAAATAGCCAACCCACATCGAGGAACCGAAGCGATCTCGAGTCGCGGGCCGGCTACTTGGGCGACGGATTGCAAAAGTCGTGCTATATAACTTGCGACTCGATCCGTATCCACGGGTCCACGGCGCCGTGCGAGGCTAGAAGACTTGAGCACGCGACCATGAAGAATGGGAAACTATTACAGACTGGCACACCAGTACAGATGGTGTGGATCTACTCTTTCAACGGACTCTCGGCTTCATTGCCACTCGATAGAAGATATATTGCGTCGGCGTCATAGGTTCGATATTATATTGCAGCAAACAAAACTGATTCAGAGACAAGGGACATCATCAGACATCGCAGTGCTGAAAGAAGCCTAGCTATGCAAAAAGTCCCCCGCAGCCTTCCTCAGCGCCATCAACTCCACCAACACCGGCCCAGCATAGGCCCCATCAATATCATCCCCCAAATCCACCGCGCCCTCTGGCACAATCGCAATAGCACGGCCTGGAGGTCATCAGCACCACACATCGACACTCAAATTAGATCCCAGCATAGTACATACCATGCACCCCCTCATCCGCCACTATCCTCCCCAGCGCCTGGCTCAGCACATCATGCGGCACAAGCGTAATCCCCTTATCCGGCAGGATCCCAAACTCCGCCATACGCCCCAACGCAGCCTCAATCATGGGCGTTTTCATCGCCCAGGGACAGATTGCGTTGACGCGCACATTGAGCTGTGAATGCGCCTGGGCGCGGATTCCGCGGAAAAGCCCGCGGCTTCCGAATTTCGAGGCTGTGTATGCTGTGCTGTGTGTGTCGTCGACGTAGCCTGCTAGGCTGGAGACTATGGTTAGGGACTTGGATTTGAGGGCTGCGGAGGTGTTCTGTGGTGTCAGGCGGAAGTAGTGGAGTGCGAGGGTTGCGGTGTAGAATGTTCCTTTGAGGTTGACTTCGATCGGAGCGAGGCTGGGGATTGGAGGAGCGATATCGAGAGAGGGTTCCGTCACCGCAACATGGTCGACTAGATGGCCTGTTCCATCCACGCCCGCAAACGCAGCGACGGCGTCGAGAGTCTTTGTCGGTGAGAACCGGAGTGCAGCTTGGAAAGTAGCGACCTGGGAGTCCCAGTTCGTGATGTCGCAGTGCACATATTGCACTTTGTAGCCCTGTTCGGAGAGCTCTGTTGCAGTTGCAGAACCGTCTTGAATATCCGCGATTGTGACGAAGGCGCCGGATTTGGCGAAGAATGTTGCGGCGTGTTGGCCAAGGCCGGACGCTCCGCCTGTGATTAGAATCGAGAGACCCTTCAGATTCGAGGGGTCTGTTGGGGAAAGAGGTGCAATGGCCATTATTCCTGTGGGAGGGGATTTTTCTGGTAGTGTCGGGGTTTGATGTCGTGCTGTTGTTGACTGGTGGGTTGGTTCTCTCGAATAATCCGCATTCGGGGCGCCCTTTATATATATCGCTTGAGGCCGCATACCTTGACCAAAGCATTCATCGCCAAGATCAGCCTCGCGATAATACCAGCACGAATACAGCTCGTCACAAAAGCCAATCAAACAGTGAGAAGCTTAGCTGGGTTGGCACGCGAGCTGAACCCACATGTTCCGCCGAACGCTCCGCCGAACACTCCGCCGAGGGTTGCGGCATCACCGAGAGGGCTACGAAACACACCATACGAGCTGAAACTTTGACGTCTACTACTGTGGCTGATAGTGATGGCTGGCTGAATGGCACGAACACCAGTACGAAGACGAAGTACTCATTCGGGAGATAGTCTCAGTACCAGACAACTTGTGGCTCTCTCCTCGCTTATGTGTCGGAGGAAGGAGCGATCATCGTCCGCGGGTGTCTTCCTCGTCGCTTGACTCATCGCAAACAGAAGGTACGGCCAAGAGTTGCTACGCCGGTTGTGCGTTCCATATTCACCAATTAAGGGATCGTTCGTTCCTATTTTACGATCAAGTAACCAGTTATAACCAAAAGGAACCACCGCCCCCGCCCCAAAGTTGAGCCTTCCTCAATCGATCAAAAACTTCTTACGAGCCGCTCATAGCCTCGTCGTTGTCGTTGCTCATACAAGCAGCGCAGCCCAAATGATCACGCATCCCGACGTCACATATTCCATTTTGATATCCGCATCCTATCATCAATTTCAGAAGATTAGCATCATTTTCCGTAACACGAGTGACCTGGAGAGATTCATGATCCAACCTTTGCAAACAGCGACGCCTGCCCGATCCCCATCCGCTCCCCAATCCACCCCAAGCATCTCTTGAAATACTCCTGCATCTCCGGAAACACCGTCGGCAGCTTGGAAAGAGCGTAGAGCTGATGCATGAGAAGTAGCCCGCCTGCCGCTCTTCCCGGGTTCGAGATATCATGCGTTGCATCCTGCCGTAGGAACGCCTGCACGTCTTCGGTAAGGAGATATGGGATCGAGGCGATGATATCACAAAGCAAGGTTATGAGATCTCGCTTGTATGGTGCTTGCTCAGAGGCTTCTGGTTCGAGTATCTCGGATATTCGAATGATGAGGTCCAGCAAGAAACATCGCGCGGTTCGTGAGATGTTCCAAATAGCTGCGAAACTCATGTCGAAGTAGACGTCGACGCGACCGGGCCAAGATCCGACTCCCGGTCTGAATTGGCGAGATGTATAGTCGGGCTTTATATGCCTGGCTGTTGTCGGTTTGAACTTGTCGCTCTGCGCTTGTTGCCACTGAGCTATGTCGGTATTTAGAGCTGAGGCCTCTGCTAGAAGGATGCGTAGTTGTTCAGTGCCATGGAGTGATGGCTGTGATAATAGGGTCTCTGATGCGCGGCATATTGATTGCAAACGCAGGAGTAAAGTGTCGAGATCTTTTCCCCGGCCGAGTGAGCACACTGTGGAGAACATTCCCTGGCCCTATCTTCAATGGTTAGTAGCCAGAGCGAACCGTTCTACCAAGTCACTCACACGTAGTGCGTTAGGTAACAGAGACCGCCCCGAACAGACAGCTTCCAGGAGGGACAACGGATCATTCTCTATCCGTAGCAGCGCAGCTAATCCACCTGCATGGGCAGCATGATTTCCAGGAGCGGTGTCACGAGCCATGATCATCTGTTTCTCATGAGCATTCTCGGCCACAAGCCTAGATAACGTACGGTGACGACATACCTCATACAAACCAAGAAGAATAGCCATAACCACAGTCGGCTCCTTGTCAATTGCCCCCGGATCTCTAATCGCTTGGGCTAAAGCACTCAACAGCTCATGGTAGAGCTCCTCGGCCTCTTGCACGAAAAACGGCCGGAACAGTTTGACTCCATGACTCGCATAGCCAACCGCCATACACGCCTTAGCCACCTGGGACTGGAGGCCCGATCGATGAACCATACGTTCCAGCCCGCCAAGGAACCCTCGGGATAATGTCGGGTTGATGGGAACGATGCAGAAATCATAAAAGAACGCACGGAGTGCACACTCTCCCATAACATCGCGTGGCACTTCTTTCGGCAGAATGTCTGGGGGAAGGCTACTTGATCCTGGGACTGGGACGCGCACAGGGAGACTGCATTTCCGGGCCATTGAGTGGAAAGGTAGGGGGCGGGGTGGTTGAGTATTTGATTGTTGTTCGTGCTGTCGGAAGATCAGATTGCCATTTGCGTGGGCTTCGTAGCCGCGACAGACGCGGTTGGTGTTTAGGCACCGAAGGCAGGACTATACGCTCGGTAGAGCACTGTTAGAGTGGACGGATTGTGTAGTGCATCCAGTGGTAGAGCAGGGGCAGGTCTCTCTTAGGGGGGAGGCCGACACGTACAGGGCGGGTCTCATCGCACTAGTGGGAGACGGTCAGCCCTGAATTGTTCTATGGTATGGAGTGACAACCTTCTTCCTCCGTTTCTTGCAAGTCAGGCACCCTCTTGATGGGCCAAAATACACCATGGCTGCTGTAGAGTCCTTCTTCGAGGCCAGATCAACCAATACTAATCGTCTCGAATATGGGGTAATAGCGGCTATGTCCGAGGCGCGACTCCAGTACGGCGTCGATGATCGTAGACGAGGGGCAGTTCAGGATTGACGTCGACTCATCATGATTCAGCCCCTTCAGCTGCATCCTACGCTATTCTCTCTTGAGTTTAGTCCTCATCACAGTGACGGGGATTCAAGCCTCGATGGTTTGGCCAGGCCCGCTGAGTCCAGGAAACGTCGAATTGATTAGACCATTTTCAGTATCTAACGCCGGTTAGACAGCTATCAACCAGAATTTCCCAAGCTTCTCGGATTTATGAGTTGATGGTTGATCTTTCGGCGATAGTATGTCATCTCGGATATAAATCTTCGGGGGTCCCAAAGCAGTAAATATCCCGAGTCCGAGCTCCGAGGCCGGGCTCCGAACAATAAAAAGTCATTATTAAACCACGGGAGGTTCTCTATAATTTCTTCTTCATATCGAAATCCCCGTTTAAAAGCACAGGGTTGAGACCATACGACGCCATGAGCGATCAATCGAACCAGTTCTCGCCGCGCTTCGACGAGAAAGACCGCGATCCCACATGCCCATCTCCTCATCAGCTAGATGCAGAAGAACCATCCACAGGGTCGGCCCCAAAGCCACCTACTGGCCCCAGTCCACCCCCAAACGGCGGCCTTGACGCCTGGCTGCACGTACTTGGCGGCTTCATGCTCTTCTTCAACACGTGGGGCATGCTCAACACCTTTGGCGTCTTCCAAACATACTACGAGTCCGGCGCCCTCTTCTCCCGCTCCTCCTCTGATATCTCTTGGATTGGGTCAATCCAGGCAACAATGCTCCTGCTTGTCGGCTTTGTTACTGGACCGATCTATGACCGGGGGTACCTCCGCGCGCTTCTTGTGGCAGGAAGTTTCGGTATCGTCTTCGGGACAATGATGCTTAGTCTCTGCAAGGAGTACTGGCAGGTTCTCCTCGCCCAAGGCTTCACCGTTGGAATCGGCGCAGGGTGTCTATTCGTCCCCTGTGTCTCACTCCTCCCGACATACTTCAGCACGAAACTCGGGGCAGCTCTCGGTCTTGCCGTCTCCGGGTCCTCACTAGGCGGAGTCATCTACCCCATCGTTCTCAACCGCCTGCTGGGCCCGCTGGGCTTTGGCTGGTCCGTCCGTGTAATCGGCTTCATTGCGCTCGGCACCCTTCTCCTCCCAATTGCGATCATGAAGCAGCGCGTCAAGCCGCCCAAGGCCCGTGCGCTAATCGACTGGTCTGCGTTTACCGACGTCCCATACATGACCTTCGTCCTCGGCGGCCTCATCGCATTCATGGGTCTCTTCACGCTCTTCTTCTACATCTCATACGTCGGGTCCGCGCGCGGACTAGTTTCAAACGACATGGCCTTCTACCTCGTCCCGATCCTCAACGCAGCAAGCTGCTTCGGCCGAACCATCCCCAACGCCATGGCGGATAAACTCGGTCCCTTCAACCTGATCACGCCTTGCTGCGCAATGGTCGGCGTGCTCATCCTGTGCCTGATCACCGTGACAAGCGAAGCAGGCCTGATCGTCATCGCGGTCTTCTCGGGGTTCTTCAGCGGCGCGCTGATTGGGCTCCCGCCATTGTGCTTTGTCGCGCTTACGGAGGATAAGAGTAAGATTGGGACGAGGATCGGGATGGGCTTTGGGATGATGGCGTTTGGGGTTCTGGCTGGGGGCCCTGGGGCAGGGGATATTCTTGGTGGGGCGGGGGATTTGAATTGGGATGGGCTTTGGGTGTTTGGGGGGGTTGCTACGCTTGTTGCTGCGGGTGTGTTTTTTGTGCTTAGGATTGTGAGGGGTGGGTTCAAGGTGGCGGTTAAGGTGTAGACAGACACACAAGGTGGGATGTGTTTTCTTTTCTACAAGGTTGTCCGGATAGGAGATTGTATAGATTTGTAGATAGAAGACGCCGGCCGCTCACTGATAGATTACTGAATTAGAGGGAAGCACTTGATTAATATTCATGCAATGTTGCAATTAACCCACTACTTCTTTGGCATATTCTCTCTATTTGAAGTTATTCATGACTCGGGTTTCCCGGTTCATTATGGATGACGTTAAACGAGGATGTCACGTCTGAAAAGCCATCCCAGGTTTAGGCCGCACCCCGTCATCAAAACCCAATTCCCAAACCCAAGTATCATGGTCAAGAGCTCTCCTCCACCTCATCACTGGTAGGCACAGCCGGCATCGGCCCCGTATGCCCCTGAAAATCCGTACTCCGTGCAACATCCTCCCACTCCAAAACGCCATTCAAGTGCGCAATCTTCTCCTTCAAAGCCTTCAGACAGTCACTCCCAAACGGCACACGCAGCGGAATCTCTTTCCCCGCACCAATCCCCACCCCCTTTGCAAGCTGAATAATCTTCGATACCACCTCCACCGCGTTCCCTGGCTCGTTGCGGTAATTGCCTGCGCCGCGGACACGGCACGCGTCGTTGAGAGGGCGCCAGAAGTCGACGCGGTGAGGGGCGTGGTTTATGTTTTTCATTACCTCTGTGCTGCAGATGCCTGCTTCGACGATCAGAGGTTTTATTCCCGGGGAGAGGAAGGCGAGTTCTTTCGAGAGGGACTCGACGGCGCCTGCGTTGTTGGGTTAGTCATGTCCCAGCCGTAATGTGCACAAGAAGAGAAAGAGAAAGAGAGAAAGGGAGAGAACTCAGAGAGGATTATAGGAATCAAATACCTTCAAGCGCCCATTTACTAGCACAGTACGCCGACGCCACTGGCTCGCCGTAGAACCCGGCCTGCGAGCCCATGTAGATGATCACCCCCTGGCCCTTTTCGCCCTTGCTTCGGAAGTGTGGCAGTGCCGAGCGGGTGAGGTTGATGGGCCCGTGGAAGTTCGTTTCAAAGGAGCGCTGCATTTCCTCGTGGCTGATCGATGCAGTGTCAGTCACTAATCAGTACTACAAGTCAACCCCCATTCAGGTTAAAAATATACATACGTGAGCTCCTCGACAACCCCGCACTGGATATACCCTGCATTATTAACCAGCACGTCGACGGTCCCGTAGATGTCAATCGCTTGCTGGAACTTTGCATCGAGTTCAGCCTGCGGGGCAGTGACGTCGAGGTCGAGGATCGTCGCGCCCGTGTCTTTCAGGTGAGCGAGCTTTGTCTCGGCATTGCGACCTGTCGCAACCACGTCATCGCCAAGTGCGCGCAGTTGTCGAACGAATTGCTCGCCGAAGCCGCTGGAGCAGCCCGTGATAAACCAGACTTGTTTCTTGGGTGGGGAGGTCATCGTGATGGTCATGGAAGGTTGGGGGAAATGGTGAGGGTTGAAGAGGGTTGAAATGGAAGGGGGCTCAATGCACTCTTAAGTCCTGTAAAAACTGTGGGCCAGATCTGCAGCAAATGGAGGCTGTACAACGTATGGAGGCGACCTGAGGCCATCGTAAAGTAGGCCAAAGAGTGCACTGCCCTAGGACCCAGCAGAGCACGATCAAGCCAGTGAGAATAACAAAGCGCGGCGCTAGTGCCAACGCTACAGAGGAATTTATGCAGAGATGTAAGGCTAAACTAAGTAGAGAACTCACCGTGGCCCCCACGTCACATTATCGAGATCTAGCTGAAGACTAAAGAGGCAGCTGTGATCCCCACAGGCCCACATCGCTAGCGGGTTTTACTCCGTCTATTCAGCCGCATCTGGCTTGGTCCTGCGTACTAATGGCGTGTCGCTCTCTGGCGAAACAAGGAAATCTCGTCCTTCAAGAAGACACTCGGGTGGGCAATTTCATTTCCTCAACTTACATGACATTGCACCAAGATCCGTCAACTGGGGACCTACACTTGGCGTGTCGCCGAGGGGCCCGCCGCTCCGGAGACGACAGATTCTCAACAAGATTATCCCTTATCGCCATCAAAAACGTGTCCACATACGCATCCGCGTAATAGGCCTCGTTGTAGCACGCGCTCAGGTACATGGCATCCCCCCAACTCCACGACCTCACATACACCTGTTTGGACAGCATCTGACCGAAGACCTGCACGTTGCGAACATGGATAGTCTCACCATACGACCTCTGAATCCGCTCCTCGAGCGCACCCATGTTAAAGAAATACGGCGACGAGTTCTGCGGCTGGTCGGGCGGCGCAGGATGCCCCGTCTCCACGAGCGCCGCGACCTTCTCAGCAAACGCCACCCGCACAAAGAGCATGTCGCTCGCGCCGCGTTCCCACGTCTGCCGGCACATCGGCTCGACGATTTGCACGAGCTCGCTCCAGGGCGCGCGGGCGTCGATGTTGATTGGGATGCCGGTCATTCGGAGGAGAGGCGCCTGTGTGGGTCCCCCGAATGGAGGCAGCCAGTGTCGGCGCAGGTCAAACGCCATGAGGGAGATGTACCGTGTTGCGAGGCTACATTGGGGCGCGCGAGCGGCTGTCTCGACGACGACCGAGGTGTGCATTGCGCCGCTCAGAGCGATGTCCCTTTCGTGGCAGCCATCGCGGAGCGCGGTGGCTTGTTTTGCGGGGATGCGCAGTTCGACGTGCCGCGTGCACATTGGCTTCGCGGCTACTTTGTCGGCATCGATGGGGAGGCCAATTGATGGCCCGCCTCTCTGGTGGAGGGCTATGAGTTTGTCTGCGCGGCGCGACCAGCTCGGGTCGCGGGTGGTGGGCATCCCGACAACGATATCCAGGGGAGGGAACAGCTGGCGTGCTTCGGAGCCGTCCAGGTTCGCGGGGAGTGGATAGGGGTTATGCAGGTGGGAGAGAAGCTGGTGCAGGAAGGTGGTGATGGCGTACTCATCCAGTCGGTACGGGCCCGAGACGATGCAGATCTCGTTACTGGCCGGGATCCAGTGGCAGGTCGCATGGGAGCCCGCGAGGTGTTGCTCCCGGAGGAGATGGCCGCTCGACTGCACCGCCTCCTCCACGTGGAAGGTCAGATCGCACCAGGTGTCGAGCTCGGTCTCGGTGCGGATCGGGGAGTAGCGCTTCTCGCCTGGGTGATATGTGGTGGCGATGTCTGGGTGCCGTAGACGGAGGCATTTCCAAGCGGATCTTAACCCTGCGACCAAGTCAATCGGCGCGGGATCTTCGATTTGGACAGCGCCAACCAGCAGGAAATGGTCATGGCCGTCTAGGCCTTGGCTGGCGCCCACCAGCTGGAAGTATCGCTCGTAGCAGTCGAGGGGACGACTCCAGAAACCAGCCTGCTGCGTCCACGACATTGTTATTGTCGATGCTGAGCGACAAAGGACCATATGCAATTTGGGGATCCTCCGTGGAGCAAGACAAGAGAGAAATGGAGGCAAGTCTTTGAAAGTTGAAACGACCAGGGGTGCTCAACTCCCCCTCGTCGTTTGTTCTTTCACCTTCTTTGTTCCCTCCTGGCAGCCACAAATCTTACTTCCATATCCTGGGCCCAATCATCGCAGACAAGTGGACCGGTCTAGATGCTGACGATCAATTAGTTCACCTACCAGAAGATATCACTTTTATCTGCAAGTAACGAGTCGCCACCACCCAACGCTGAACGGATGCCCCGGGTTCTTCCTCCGCTGTTTGACGTCACCACAGGGAACCTTCTCCGCCTTCGTTGGTGATAAATACCCTGCTAAACACCCCTTTTCGCCCGATGCTCCACAAGTGACCCCAGATGTCTTGGATTGTAGTTCCGTAGACCAACTATTGGGCAATGCCTGAAGAGCTGGCTGATGGTGCAGAGTAACAAATCAAGGTCTAGGGAAGTAGCCTTTTCTTTGCATCGAATCCTTATAGCCTATACAAGGGTTGTACCATTGCTACATCATCCGAACACACCTATTAAACAAAGAATTGTTAGGTATCGGTCCAGCCTTTCGTGCCATTGGCCATACAAGTGCTCTTGTTTTGTCCAATCTCACTATCCAAAAAAAACCATGGTAACTTTTACTGCAGCTGGAATACACACCAAGCCACGCTCACAAGTCAATTTTCGTGCTCTCGACAGTATCATCATCATCTCCATCTCCATCGCCATCGCCATCGCCATCGCCATCACCATCACCATCACCATCACCATCACCATCCCAAATCTGCCCGTTCTTCTCCTTCACAATGCTCCACTTCCCACCCTTGCTATCTAGAATCTTGATATCTTTGGGCCGGAGAAAGAGCGGTTCCGTGATTGCGTGGTACTCGTCAAGGTAGGGTCTTCTCATTCCAACCTACATCTGTCTTAACCAGAGAAGGATACACTAGCAAGGGGAAGACAGATACATTAACCAGCCATTCTCGGGTAGACGACCTATAATCAACTGATCAGACCTGATCGAAATGGAGCGAGGGTTGGAGGTGCTATACCAATTCTTCAACATGAGAATCTGCCCCTTATCCTCCTGCGACTGGTAGACCTCAAACAGGGTACAGTAGGGCTCACTGGCGATCTTGTTGAAGACGGACCCGAGGGCCGCGAAGAAAGTGTCGAGGTCTTCCTCAGCGAGGTAGACGGTGACTTGGAGGGAGATGCTGTCGCTGTCATGAGAAGACATGGTGGTGGTTGGATAGTAAGTCACGAAGGACGAGCGTGTGCGTAGATGATTGATATGCAGCGGACCCCTGATGTATAGGAAAACTCTGTGGGCTAGATTATTCAGCCGCCCATACTCACTCAACATACCTGATGTTAGAGATCAATAGCTAGCTGTAACACCCGCTGGTCATGGGCTGCTTGATCATGCTGTATCTGCTCCCGGTTGTGATACCTGAGGTAAACCCTTGCTTCAAACTCGGCCAATATATTGTTTTTCCCATGGCACATTCTTCGAACGTATCGGGACCGGGCCGCACTGGCTACCATAGACGAAAGTATGGTTGCACTACGTGCTCCATCAGCCGTTATTAATACATGCTTCCATTAAACGGCTTGTAGGGTACGCAGCCTTTGGCCTCCAGGAGAGCATGCAATCAAAGTGATGGAAGGTCGTGAGGTATTGTAATAACAAGGCCATGATCACCATGCTACGGGTATTGGGCCATCTGTTTCACTGTGGTCTATATACACCCAGCATAGTAAATAGGTTTGTGGGACCAGCAGATTGTACTACTCGGTAATCAAAAGACACGCGTCAATCCGCTCCAGCTCATGGTGATTGACGTGCCCATCCTAGATAGACCTATCTAGAGGGTGTATAAGCTGTAAGTCTGGTATGTCTCAGCAATCTCCTTCTTTGTTACATACGTGCTCATGCTTACTTTACTTGGCACCTGCAAGCTCTGCAGGTGGTATGGAGAAGAACGGGGCATTGAAAAGAGAGATGTCCTCTTTGAGAAAGTGGCCATGTCGTGACGTTGTCTAGTCCCATTAGCATCGTCAAGACGAAGCATTAGTCCTGGAAGTATGTGTACGAACCGCGTCATTTCTGGCAGGATCCGGGTGATAGAAGCGGTTCGAATTCCATCGACTTTTCGGCACTTCAGTCACGGTAGATCGCCCTTCTAGAAGTAATCTCCAGAATGACTCGGGTGTATCGGCGTCGTTGGGGAATTTGAGAGCGATACCAACCACGGCAATCAGCTCGAGTTCACTCGTCGCCGTGGTCGACTCAGCGGACACACCATCGCCATTGGGGGGGTATGGGTGAGGAGTCCATTTTGCACTGGCGCAATAAGAATCCTGTCGTTAGTGAGCTTTGATGTACCTGTAAATCCTCCAATGAAACTTTTTGACTCGATGAATATCGCTGTTAGGTGTCACACTTGCTGAAATATGTGGATATGCTGAATCTTGGGCCGCATCAGGCCACAAGCATGCGCTGATTTTGAATGACTGCGGTGATTTGCAGCGTGTCGTACACCGGTAATCTGTAATCAGTCTGAAAGTAAATCCTCAAGTAAGAAGGTGAGGGGGCTCTCAGGCTCACAGCACACGACTGTGTACGCCCGTCAGCGGACGACGAGGTTGTCCTTGGATGCGAGCCAACACACTCTGTATACATTCTTGTTGGCCGATTAGCATTGCCCGGTTACTGGCGCATACTCGATCACCCTTCTAAATCAAGTTCCTACCGTGTGCACCCACTATGGTCGGAGTTCCTCTGGATGTTAGCGGCGCCATGGCACGCCGTGTCTCGGCGTCAATGATGACACTTGTGGCAGTTGCTTTGGGCTTACGAGCATGGGCCAAGTGTGTTTATCATCAGCACCAGTTGGGCTGTGGTGTTTCTCAGCCATCTAGTTGGCCAATGCAGCCTGGCGCCTCGAGTTTCAGGCCACATGCATTCAAAGATCAGCGTGATCAGCATCTTGCTCCTGGAATTGTTGTCAGTGCAAGCCTCTGCATAATCTGGGCATTTGCCCCATAGCGCCTGTGTAACATGTGCTGTGCGTGCTTACCTCCTCTGGGACCCGCGGACAGGAATCCATCGCAGACTCGGTCGCTCTCGACATCTCGCGACAACACGGCGTCAAAGCTCGGGGCGGTGTTCAAGGCACTTTTTCGCATTGAGCAACACAAGGCAGGCCAGCTCGCAGAGCGAGGCCCCTATCGCTCTCCAGAGTCTCATCCGAGTTGGGTACGTATATATCTTATTCGATCCGCAACTGCATCACGGTGATCTGATGGTCACACACCAGGGCTCTATTCGATATACCAACTCTGCCAACGCATCAACCATTACGACTCGACCCAGGGTGCAGAACGGGTACATCTACTGGATCTACAGCTCCAGCCAAACAAGCCAGACTGTCTACCTCGAAGGCGAAGGGTTCCCGCTCCGGCTGAATCTGTGGACAGGACAAGTCTCGCCGATCGCCTCCTTCAAGACTGCGGCTGGATACACAGCGATCAATGTGACCATTGGCCAAAATGGCGCCGAGGCAATTTTTCTAGGCCGTCCGAATCCATATGGAGTGAAGAACCTGAATCGCCACCTCGTCGCTACCGACGCAGAGGGCATCACAGACGAAGATGGCAAGGTCTATGTGCGCGCAACCAAGAATGGAAACCACTCTGCCCAGCTGTCTACCGGTCAAACGGCGGCCGTCCGATTCTATTCTATCCCAGGCCCGATTGTACCCACGCGGTGGTCCCTCACCGTCGAAGACTGGTCACCGGCAGTCGCCAACGCAACCGGACGAGACTCGCCTCTCACAGACAAGACCACTCTGTCTCCAGTGACTCTAGAAACGCTGCGGTCCTGGCATAACATCTCAGGACGTGAATATGCCAGCGGCGTAGGAACCTACAGGACAACAGCGAACCTAACCCTCACTCAGCCCCGAGGGTCGCAGAAGCCGCAGTCGCTGGGGGTTTACCTCTGCGTCGGAGACGTGCAAGGATCGTCGAGCCTCAGGATCAATAACCAGGTTGTCCCCGGCCTCGACTTTTTCAACTCGGCTCCTCTGGATGTGACTCGGCACCTTCGCGACGGAGAGAATGGTAAGCTTTACATCCATCCAAGATAGCCTTCCCCGTATATCCAAGTAGAGTTAGAGAGCTAACAGAAGTTTATGGACAGACATTGAGATTACAGTCGCGACAACGCTATGGAACAAGCTTCGAAAGACCTGGCCAGCCTTGTGCGGGGCGGCGGGGCGTTGGAGCCCGAAAAGATTGGGCTGCTGGGACCGGTGACTTTGACGTACTACGCGCAGGAGCAGGTTGTGTAACTTGAGAGACATAGCTGAGATCACGGATCCGAGCGCATCATTGCGTTTTTGAAGTCGGTAGGACAACTAGAAGCTCAAAGCCTCAAATGATCGACACTCAACGACTACTTGGTCGGAGCGTATGCGTATTACGTGTCCGGCTTATGCTGCTCGGTGGCTTGGCCCAGGGTACAGGCAGCGAGAGTTAAAAGGCGTTTAGAGCCTCTTCGGACAATTTAGTCTTCTGCTGCAACATTGATTTCCTCCAAGGTACACCGGATCGATACAGTTCCATCTCATCGCCCACTATCTAAACACACCCGCGTACCAACCATCTCTACCCACTACCTATAGCCGCAGATATAAACCTAGCAGCAAATGGCCGCCCCATCCCTCAACGAGCAGCGACTCGCCGTCGCCTCCGCCGAAGCCTCAGGCCTCGACCAACTCGGCCCCTGCCCACCGCATCTCGACGAAACATGGATCGAGATCCCACTCCCCAACAACCAAACAAACAAAACCAAAGTTGTGTGGCCAAAAGCGCTAGAGAAGCAGAAGCAACGCCCGCTACAATGCCCACTCGTCATTTACTACCATGGGGGCGGCCTCTCGGTGGGTAGTCCCGATTCAGTCCTAGCACCTGCTCGCGCGTTCGCGACGCTCTTCTCTTGCGTAGTCGCTTGCCCGAGTTTAAATCAGCTTCCTGTGCTACCGTTTCCGAAGCCCGTGGAGAATGCCTGGGAGGTTTGTGCGTGGTTGTCTGATGTGCGGAATCTGAACGACGGGGTGTTGAAGGATGCTGGAACCGTCGTCAATTCAGAGCGTGGCTTTGTGGTCGGTGGACTCAGCGCTGGCGGCGCTACAGCTGCTGTCATTGGAGCGATATCCGGTGCCATCTTGGCTGAAGTCGAACAGTTTGCTGGGTTGACGCCTCTAAGGAGTACCATCACGGGGATCTTCTCGGGAATCCCCTTCCTAGCGACCCAGGCTATGCTCCCAGCACAATACGGCGACATGCTCAAATCCCGCGAGGAAAACTCTGACGCTATAGGCGACGCAATGCGAAATGAACTCGAGTCCTATCTGGACGTCCACTCGCACTGGTTCTCGCCGCTGAATCTCGATATATCGAATCCGGAAACGGTGCAAAATCATCCACGGAAAGTATTCGTCTATGGAGGGCAGCTCGATCCGTTCCGCGATGATTCGGTGATCTACGCCAAGTGGCTCGAGCAGTTGAGCGGCGTGCAGGTTGGAGCTGTGATGCTTGAAGGGGAGGGGCATAATGCGTGGGTTACGCCGCCATTTCCGGCCAGCCATACGCAAGAGATCAAGGTGCCGACTCTCGATGGGATGGCCTGGCTTTTGGGGAAAGAGTGGGATAGGGGGCAGGAGTTGCCTTATTAGCCGTATATAGCCACCCTAAGGGGTGGACTGTGGGTGGCAGTTGTATACCTCTTTTGCGGTGATTGCAGATGTGTGTCTCGAAGTTGGAATATGAGTGCTTTATCCCTTGAAATGCCTTTCCCTATATGCCCCGCAGTATACCGGTGTATCGGCCCCTGGAATAAGGGCCGGCCGGGATCGGGCATCGGCTGGATCTCGGTTGGTTCCAGACTCGGCGTGTGGGGCAGACGCGCGGCACTTTCCCTCAATGGGCGACCCATTTCGCGGGGAAAGCCAGGCCCCTAAAATTTAGCAGCCCCCCTAATTTTCAGTCTTGACTCTTGCACGATCTCCTGCTGCAGCATTTGAATTTCTCCACCACCAGACACAGTTCCCACCAATTGTCGGCAACTTCTGACTCTTATGGCCTCGCTCTCCAAGTCTCATCGAACGACAATCCGCAGGCATGTCTTCAAGGCCTGTGAAGGCTGCAGGCAGCAAAAGACCAAATGCAGTGGCGAATCGCCCTGTGCGCGCTGCGTCAAACTGTCGCTTCCCTGTGTTATACGGAACATCGCGAGGCAGCGCCGGGATCCGACCACAGAGACTGCGCATAATGACTGCCCTGACTCGTTGATGATGGCGCTTAAGCCGGTGCGTATTCACAACGCGACAACAGGCAGAACGGCTGTCTATGGTCCGACATCGACCGTTGCTCTTCTCCATCTGATCGCACGCGAGAGTCGGGCAAGCCCTTCTCCTCCGGCTGGAGCCTTACAGGGCGTTATCGATAGCAACCTGTCTATTGACCCGCTCAACTACGGTCCTCTTCTTGCTCAACAGCATCACTGTTCGCTTTCATTACAGGCATCATTGATACCACCGCTTTGCATAACAACTATACCGAATAATATCTTGCAGCTTTTCCTCCAGAAATACGTCGTCACCGCATGGAAGCTGCTCCCACTCCAGTCTCCCACCCAGCTCCAGGCCATTTACACTTCCTCCTGCCGCGCGCTTAGCTCCAACAGTGGCCCTCCAATCATGTATCCGATTCTACTCTATCAGCTAGCCTTGGGCTCACTATGCACGGCTCAGGGTGAGCTTTCGGACATGCTAGCTCAGGAGAGCGAGCTTTTCATGTCCGCTGGAGGATACCTCTCCGACGAGCTGGAATTACAACTGAACGTCTTGATGATGAGTTTCCCATTCATGCTCATGATGCCATGTCAGGCTTACTGACCTGTGTGCTTTCACGCGTTCTATCACAGTGAGATCGGCAGCCTTGACAAGGCTTATTCAATGTTGGGTCACATAGCCAGTAGAATATACGCTGCTGGTCTTCATCTGGAACCACGTGCTCCGGCTGTTGATCGACTCCTCCGAATGATCCTTTCCACGGAAAGGTGTGATACTCAACTACATTACTTATGAACAGATATACTGACCGTCATAGTTATCTCTGCGTCGCCCTCGGGCGACCGCCCCTTTTCAGTCCAAACCTCACAGTCCCGAAGAAAGACGAGCCACTCAATACGCAAATCATCACCGGCCTCTTCGACATTACAAAATCCATTCTCACAACTAACCAAGAACCAAAAGCGACGTTTGACGGGGTCTGCCACTCAATCTGGAACAACCACGCCCGGCTTGAGTCATTCTGGGAAGAACACCAGCCTACCTTGTTGATTGCGCACACCGATCCTGCCAGCCCGGGACATGTCGAGGAGGGCATGTTTCTAGATACTATTAGTGCGTTGCTTGACCCTTCGCGGCTATCCCATGCTGACCCGTTATAGTGTACGAATACGCCGTAATTGCAAATCTCAAACCGTTCCTCTTGTACCTGGGGTACAGCCATATCGTGAACAGAGACGGGAAAGACCCATTTCTCGTCGAGCTGGGATCCTCTACCCCAGTCAGGCAGGACCCGAGAGTCGAGAAAGCGCTGGAGATCATCCTCGCCTCGGCGAAGCGAATCATATCCCTCATTTTCGGCATCTGCCAGCGGGGGTCGGTGTCGAAGGTATGCGTTTCACCTAAAGTCAGCGCCAAACTCATGATTACTAAACGTAGAGCGACTAACCTTGCTAGGACCTCCCAATGCATTCTTTCTTTATTGAAACGGCTTGCGTGTCGCTGCTTGCATACGGGCTGTGGTGTGGAGACCCGGGCGTCGTCTGGGAGAGCATCGACACGGGTGTGCGGTGCTTGGAAGAGCTGCAGTATCAGCGAGTAGCGGCGATGAGGCTTGCCGCTCTTCGGGCAACGATTGAGCAGTCTGGGCTGAGGAGAGAGTAGCCCAAGTGTATCTATAATTGGTTGCGATCTGTTGAGCCCGGAGGACCGCGCTGGATAGTGGTCTTTAAATCCGAATTTGTTTCTCAAGCCGTGTCGCTAGTAGAGCTTCAATATCGAGTAACTAGACAAGATAAATGTAATGACAGTGCTTCTCAACTACACAAGCTTATCAATCGTGTACCTGGCTGCGCAAGGCTAGCTAGATCAGGAAAGGGCGATTCTTCCACCCCACTCGGCTTTGGAAGCTGCAGATCCAACTAGACGTTTGTGGCTAGCCTTGCGCAGGAATCATGGCGTGCTGATAAATCTACATCGTTGAGAGACCTATACCTCAGGATTTCGTCGGAGATAATGGCATATGCTCAATGTAAGTCCACCGGACATAACAGAATGTCCCGATTGTCCACGAAACTCGCCGTAGAGCGAGAGGTATTTATACCACTATCAACACCCCCCAAGACCAATCCATCTACAGCTTGAACAGCACACTCCAGCTTCCTATCCAAGCCTCTACTCCCATATTAAAGACTCAAGACTCCCCTCTATACCACTACCAAAATGGCCAATACCACCACCAACACCGCCGCCTGGCTCCCCACCCCCAAAGCCCACCCCTTCACCATCGACTCCGCCCCTCTCTGGACCCCCTCGGCAAACGAAATTCTCCTCCACAACCACGCCCTCGCCATCAACCCCGTCGACCCCAGCCTCCAACAAAACCCCTGGTTCCCTCTCAACTACCCAACCATGCTCGGGCAAGACGTCGCCGGCGAAGTCGCCGCCGTCGGACCCGGTGTCACTCGCTTCAAGGTCGGCGATCGCGTCGTCGGGCATGCAGTCGGGATGACATCTGGTCGGAAGGAGGAGAATGCGTTTCAGAAGTACACGATCCTCAACACGAACATGGCGAGCCATATCCCCGAGCATGTTTCGTATGAGAGGGCCGTTGTGCTCCCGCTGGGGCTTTCGACGGCCGCGTGTGGGTTGTTTCAGGAGGATTTTTTGAACCTGCGGTTTCCGACTGAGCCTAGGGCTCAAGTGCAGGGAGAGGCGCTGCTCGTTTGGGGCGGCGCGAGTAGTGTCGGGAGCAATGCGGTCCAGCTTGCGGTTGCGGCTGGGTACGAGGTGTACGCGACTGCGTCGCCGAAGAACTTCGAGTACGTGAAGCGGCTCGGTGCGACGGAGGTCTTCGACTACAATTCCCCGGCCGTCGTCGACGACATCGTCACTGCACTAGCGGGTAAGACTCTCGCCGGCGCAATCGACTGCATCGGACCCCCCGCGACAACGCCAACCGTAGACGCCGTGCTGCGCGCCGAGGGCGTCAAGTTCGTATCCACCGTGAAACCCAGATATACAGCGCCCGAGGGTGTGACTGTGAAAAGTATCTTTGGAACGTCGCTGAAGGATAACGAGGTTGGGAAGGCGATCTATGAGGATTTCCTGCCCAAGGCCTTGGAAGCCGGGAGCTTTGTTCCGGCGCCGGAGCCACTCGTTGCGGGGAGGGGGCTGGAGAGTCTTCAGGGGGCGGTGGATTTGATGGGCAAGGGGGTTTCGGCGAGGAAGATTGTTGTTTTGCTGTGATTGCTGGGGTGGTGGTGGTCTTTCTTGTATACATGATTATGCTGTCCTTTGATTGACATCTGCCTGATTTTGTCTTGACTTGTATTCGCTCCCTGAGATATTCAACTCGGATATTCCCGTACACACAACTTAGACAATGCACCTGTCCAAATAGATCCAAGCTTCAGTCACTTCACGCATTGCCCGGTCCAAGCAAGTACAACCAACGTCCACGCTCGGAGGGCCCGAAAGAACAGCCCAAATTCGGTAAGCTAGGCCGAGGACCTTCGTGAATACAATGGTAGACGGGGTGGAGCTGGACCCTTGGCCCCTCGCTTCTAATTAGTATGACTGGGTCGGCCGAAGCGTGCTCCGAGACGCACGCAGCCTGCGGTCAAATGTGCCCAGGCAGCTTTTAAATAGGACTAAAAGAATGCGGGCTGGATCAGATAGACAGCGCACGAAAATTGTCGCCGTGCCCGAGCGTGCGGCTGAGGCGCCCCGATCTGCAGGGCGGCACATCTGCCCTAAACTGGCTTAGGGAGGGGCCAAAACAGATCCAAGCCTCCATAGACAGGTCTAGCAGTGACGTACTAAGGTTTGGGGATATAAAGAAAGCTTGCGACCGCTTTATTGTTCAGATTCCTTATTATCGCACGCCACATCATCTACAAGCCCTTGAAGCCCCCTACTCCAACTCTCGCGCAGCAAGTTCAACTTCCCAAAATTACCCCTCTACTCCGCCAAAATAATGGCCCTCGTCCCACAATCCCGCAAGCTCCAAGTCGACTTCTCCTGGAAGCGCTTCAAAGGCCTCATCACCGACGCCAACGACACAACCAACACACCCCTCTACATCGTCCACTGGAACGCCTTCAAATCCCCACACATGACATTCAAGCGCCCCAGCGATGATCAAGTAGTCGGCACAGGAACGCTGCACCTCGTGCGCATAAACGCCGACTTTGTCGTCAACGGGCGCGCGGGGACACTTGTCGCCCAGAAGCGCTTCAAGACACTCTACACGCACGAATCGCATGCATACGCGGACCCCGAGACGGGAAAACCGACTACCTTGACCTGGACGAGCGACAGCGGATTCACGACGTGGGACTTTGTATGCGTTGATGAGCGCCAGAGGCCTGTCGCCAAGTACACGGCGAAGATCTGGGGCGTCAAGAAGATTGGGTATGTTGAGTTTATGGATGATCGGGTGTTGACGGAGGAGGCAAGGGATGAGATTGTTGTTACGGGCATTACGCTCTTCTACTGCATGTGGTTGCGCGTGAATAGTATCTTCTCGCTGTTTGGGGCGTTCTTTCATAGTACGCCGGATTCGCAGGGGAAATGAGTGGACTTGAGGGGTGCGATGATTGTTGGATTAGGGCTGTTTTTTTTTTGGGAGCTTATTCTTGCAGCTTTTTTCCATCGTTACTTAATACCGAATATTATCTTCGTGGTTCCGATTTGTACTTGATCGGGCTGATGCTGTAGTATCTCAACCCCATGGTGCAGCTCGGGTATGATCTCTTGGGAAAAACACTATAATGAGGAACCGTAAATGGTGTATCGAGTCATACATGGCCTTGGTCTTGCATTATGGTTAGAAGTGATGTTTTTTAGCGATCCAACCCTGTAATCCGGGGAGGCTGGCGTTCAGCCCAATAGGAATCACGGATATATATCGTGAGCCGTGAGTGGGAAGTTAAACCGCCCTCGAAGTACAATGAGCGTTCACAAATAAGCTAAAAAGACCCAGAGTCCACTTTCTACTCTTCATAGGGACCAATAACTATAGAATAAACACAAATGTGTCCGTTTCGCCCCCACGATGCGAACCGAGAATTCAGCGTCGGTCACAAGAATCGATTTCCTGCACTTCAAATTTGCTACAATAGCATTGTCGGCTATAAAGCAAACTAGGGAGCAAAATCTTCCTCAAGGTCTCATAACTCAGTTGGTTAGAGTGTGGTGCTAATCACGCCAAAGTCGAGGGTTACCCTCTGGGACCACGTCTTTTTTGCCTATGTTTTTGTTTTCCACTTGGGCTGGACGCTTCCTCCTTTCTTCACAAATTCTTTGTTTGTTTGCTTTATCTGCACCCACTCTCATTTTTACCTCGATAAGTCCACTAATTTACACTCGACCTTTAGCGCAATCGCGCTCCGTGGTGACGCGGCCGCGACTTGGTGCTTTCGGACGAATTCTTCACGTGCCTCCGCCGACCGCTCCGCCGCGCCAAGGGGGGCCTTCCAACGAGACGGGATCACCATCGCTCCTTCCCATTGGGGATTTCGGCCTCCGAGGGCCTCTACAGGGCAGGAGCGACCGGAGCTTGGTTGCCCGGCGACCTGCCGTATGCAATCCATCTAGGCGGTCGGTCGCACCTTCCTATTTCGCTAGACACACATTTGGGAGCCTGGCCGCTTAACTCAGTCCCAACCAAGATACTATACAGATACTGCAACTTGTCTCGCGAACTCGTAATAACTGTACTATACTACAGGAGTCCTGAAAACCCGGACGGGTCGCCTATTTGGTCCTCCCACTCCTCAAACGGCCACAGCCAATTCAGCGACGAAAACATATGATCGCCATTCTCGGGCTCGATCAAGTCCCGCCAGGGTTGTCCATCTTGCATAGAACCATAGCCCTCGATACCCGGATCGCCAGGCGGATTTGGCGAGACGGAGGGCTCGATCCTACTCGATGATGGCGGCGCTTCCTCGGTGGGATTCACTTGGTTGGGCCTTGCAAGTGCCAGAGGTGGAGAGTCGTCGAGGAGGACTTCATCCGGCGCTTCCTCTATGGGAACACTTGAACCGAAAACCTTGCTGCGCTTTTCGAGGCGTTCCAACTTGGCTCCTCGGAAGTCGAGGAAGTTGTACTCTGCCACGTCCTGGCCGATGAGAGGGTGCTTACTAGAAGGTGTGAGGTTAGCCAGCTCGAGGAACCTGAAGAATACTCCGTAGGAACAGACCTTCGAATAAGAGCTAGATCTTGATTATTCAGGAGATCCGTACAGTCGCATCGCACGACTCGATGGATTGCTTCCAGGTGCTGGACATGTCAGTACTGAGACCAATGGGGATTTGAAAACTCACGAGGTGCTTGATGAACTCTGATCGCCTTGCGATGCTTCTGATGATGGTGAGGAGGTGAGTGATCGCTTCCACCAGCTCGGCTGCTTTTGGGTCGATAGATGGGTCCTCGCTCGCTAGGCGCCGGGGTTCAAAGAGGAGAACTATACATTGTCAAGGTGGGTTGGGCCCACAAAGGTAGAGGTGTACAGACTTTCAAGTGCAACATAAGCCTGAATTCCAATATGAGGATCGAAGCATATTGTGTGCCTGAGCCCTTCAGAGACCACGTCTGCGACGGCAAGTGCTCGCGTGATCCTGTTGCGCCGGACCTGTGACACCAAGGCCGACTTCGTCGAGTCCCGGAGGTAGATTTGTAAAGCTGCCCGCCCGAGGATGATGAAGAGATTTTGACGCAAAACGTGCAGTAGAATAAAAGTAGTCAGCCGATTGCGATGGAGTAGAAGATTGTCAGGGATAAAGTGGAAGCGCTGCGGCAACGCTGCAAAGACCTCTTCTGTATCGGCCTGGAGGGCTAATAGATCTCTTGATAGTCTTTCCACACTTTGCTCCTGATAGGATGCACGAAACGCAAAGTGCAGTGCCCGACGACGGGCCGCAGCGGTGCGTAGGATGTAGGCCGACATGTCGAGAGATGCGTGGGGGAGGTTGTCAGCTGTCACATTCGAGAGGACTTGACCAGGAAACAGCGGCTCCGTCACGACGCGATCATTACCGAGAAAGCTCTCCTCGTCGCAGGGGAGCTGGATGCGATATGCATGTTCGTCAACCGTCTGGGAGCCATAACGCCCGCCGTCGGTCATTGAGTCTAGATAGAACGTAGACCATGCGACGCGGCGAAGGGCTTCCCGCGAGAGTAGAGGTGATAAGGTCTGTTGAGAAGGAAAGTCTGCTGGGTATGTCCGGTCAAACGTGTGAAGAGACATCGTCTGCATCATACTAGACAAGAGCTACCTGTTAGCGAGCTATAAACGACCCCGCGGGAATCCATCTCACCGTGTGCAGTTTCCCCCCAGAAGATAGGCAGAGGTGCTCCTGTTGCCCCTGTGCATATCATAATGTTGTGCGAGGAGTAAGGCCTGAGTGCCGTTAGTCTAAGACCAGAGCTTGACAGCTCGGGCATCTGCTGCTCGTTATCAAAGCTTGTCACCGCCGTACCATGAGTTGAACAGCCCCATAACCTTGATAGATACGAGGAATCAGAGTACCAATGGCCGCATCAGCCCAAGCATCTGCCCTCGCAATACTTTCCGGCGTTACCGGGGCACCGAACCTATACTTCAAGATCAGTCATTGAAGCTTGCAATCCTGAGTGTTATGGCAGTTGCCATCTCACCGCGTCGCACTGGCAATCATCATCAAAGTCAGTTCGCGAGAGACTTCCCCTTCATCTAGGAGGCGGGCAAAGTGGTAGGGATGAATAAAAGTCAGGAACCCAAAGTCTGGAATATAATCAACAAACGTGTGTCGCTCAAGATTCTAAGATATACTCACGGTGCACCGACGAAAAGTAGAGCTGGACCAAGTCTTCGAGCTCGTTCCCAACGGGAAGTTGACCTAAAGCCGTATGATTTGATGATGTGTGATCCATCGGTAGCGAGAGCTCTCTTCTTGAGCCGTGATGGGATGAATGTGTATGTACTGACTGAGTAGTATGATTCTGCGCCGCGTTGATGTAGTCTGAATGAGGCGGAGAGTCCGAATCAACATCCCGGCGCGTTCTCACGCACTCAAGACCTAGAGCTTTACATCTCTCGCAAACATCATTAACTTCGCCGACGCACTTGAGCTATTTATGTGAGTCTGTGCATTATTGTGTTGGACTTGAAGGCAAGTAGATTACCTTCTTCTCCCGACAAGCATCGCACGCCGTGGCATTGGGTCTCCTCGGTGCTCTTGATCGCTTTTGCTCCATGAACCACGAGCAGGATCGATTGCCTTTGTGACACTGTGTACATACAGGTCTGTGCTCATCGCATTTGATCTACAGAGAGGAATGTTAGTTCGGTCATGGGATTGAGCATTCCAGATCGCGAAGAAAAAGACGGGAATGGATCATGGCTATCGCACCTTCCGGGCTCGACATGTTTGGCAGCCCGTCCGTGTCCGCTGGATTCTCGAGCGTGGAAACGGCTGCAGGTTGTCCATCTGATCGGTGACGGAGAAGAAAGTGGGAATACAAAAGTCGGGGTCGAATTGTCAGCCATGAGGGGCGTAGGCGCTCCAGAGCCGAAATCGGGGACGCCCCACTAACGATGGTATGATGCAATTCTCCTACTAGTGGTATACCTATTCATCGAGAATTTCTACCGGGGAACATTGGAACGAGGTTATGATAGGCGGCTGAAATGTTTATCACGAGATTGTCTTCTACTGACAGCTCAATGGCCGCTCACCCCCTCTAGCCTCCATCCAGGCCTTCTGCAGGCCCATCTCATCCTCCCATAGTTCCGGAGCCTCCTCAGCACTGTGTCCCGGCGCAATAGCCCCCTCGCCCCATACAATCCCACACTCGACTACATACTCGTCCCAATGCCTCAACAGCTCCTGCAACTTCTCAGGCTTCTCCTTCGCTAGATCTCTAGTCTCGCCAGGATCCTCCACGACATTAAACAATTCCCACCCTTCATCACCCTCACCTGCGCCTCCCTGCGCCTTTGCAAAGTGTACGATCTTCCAGTCGCCCTTACGCAGCGCCCCGCGCGCGAAAAGCTCCCACCCAATTGGCTCTGAAGATGCATGTATGGCCCACGACTCGTCTTTCTCTACGGCTTCGCCGCGTGCGAAGAAGGGGACCCAAGACTTGCCTTTGACTGCGTGGACTGATCGGCCCCGGAAGGTGGTCATCGCGCGCTGACCCTTTGCCCGGGCAGGTTGCAGGGACACATTGGCTAGGTCGAGGAATGTGGGGACAAAGTCCATGACCGTTGTGAATGAGCGGCTGAATGAGCCTGCAGTGATGGATGGGAGACTGCTCGCTGGAGGCTTAACTACACAGGGGACGAGAATGCCACCCTGCGAGGGATAGCATTTGAATAGTCGGGATGGGGCAGTTGATGCTTGTGCCCATAATGGACCGAGCCTGAATTTGTAAGCTTGGCTGTGCTCAATCCTCAGAAAGCGACACGTACCAAGTGTAAGAATTGTAGGCTCCAATGTTGTCGTATGAGTTGTCATAGTATTTCTTGATGGCTCCCATGATGTTTTCTCCCAGAACAGCTACAAACTGTCAGCTTGAGAACGAGGTCTTCAAGGTTGAAGTACTTACGGACAGCTTCCAGGCTATTGGACAATAGTTAGCCCAAGCTCAGAAGGTAAAAGTGACAGGGACAAACTTACGCTGCCCCCTCAGCTCCATTGTCGCTCATAAAGACAATCATCGTGTTGTCGTATTCACCAGTCCTCTTCAAGTAGTCGATCACCTTGCCGACGTTGACATCGATTGTGTCCACCATTCCTGCATAGGTTTCCATCGCCCTGCTTGACAGGCGTTTCTCCTCTGCGGTCAAGCTGTCCCACTCTTCAGCACCGACCCTTGCTGTTTCCACATTGTGAGGAACGACAGATTCGTCAATGATGCCCAGCTCGACGAGTTGCTTCAGACGGCGTTCCCGCAGAGCATATGGACCGTCGTCATAGACTCCTTTGTATCTAGAAGAACAGATTAGATGACATCGACTCATAGAACATATTCGAAGCTCACTTGTCACGCTGTGCTCGAGAGCACTGCAGCGGCCAATGCGGCGCCGTGTATGGCAGGAACGAAAAGAACGGTTTCGCTTTCTCATCCTCAGTGCGCTCTTCGAAGAACTTGATGAGGCGGTCGGTGTAGTAGTCGGTCGAGTAGAAACCCTCGGGGTCTTCGTTCTTATTAGGCGTTCTGATGCAGAATCCCCATTAGCGAGAAGCATAGCAGAGGGGCCTTCTGACTTACATATCAACCTTTCCGTCTCTATCCGCATGGATAGGCCGGCCGCCGATCGGAAATCTCTCTTGAACCGGCTCCCACCCATAGTGATTGGAGCAGCCAGGAAGCATCGCGAACGCCTTTTGGAAGCCCCGTTCCCAGGGTCCCTGCGATGAGCGCAGCCCGAGATGCCACTGATAGAAGTCAGCAACCGTAGAAAGAGCGATTATCGGCCATGAAGGTCGTACCTTTCCTGACATGACTGTAAAGTACCCATTGTCTTCCAAGATTTCAGGAAGCGTTGCGACGTCTCTGTTCAGATATCCTTCGTATCCTGCTTTCCCGGAATACCGCGCTGCTCCTTGCGCGTGCTGTTTGAATTCAATTAGAACACCCAGTCCTCCGAGATGGGCATCTGTTCCGCTCAGCAGCATGGCTCGAGTCGGTGAACATGCTGCGGCGGCATGGTGGTTGAGCATGCGGACGCCCTCGCTGGCCAGATGGTCGATGTTCGGAGTCTGGATTTCGGAGCCATAGCAGCCTATATCCGAGAAGCCCTTCAACAGTCAGCATGTAATCGCGAATGCCTGGGAAGTGGAGTACCAGATCATCAGCGAGGATGAAGAGGAAATTCGGGCGCTTTGAAGTGTTTCCCATGTTGAAGGAAAGGTTGTAATGAGGCAAGAGAACCACACCCCGCGAAGAAAATACAGCTTATGAATCCCACGACTCAGCGCAATCTCGACAAGCGGAGTCAGAATTGCGACACTCAATTTATTCTAGCCACTGGACCATGAATTCCTGCGAGGTTGGGGGTTGTTGGCAAGAGATACAAGCTCGCTCGGAGCGGGCAGCCCTCGCTCGGAGCGGGCAGCCCTCGCTCGGAACATAGCAGGCTCGCTCGGAGGCGCTGAAGGTGTTCCGAGCGAGAACGGAGGCGCGTCTGGTGCATTGGTTGGATCGAGATTACCCCAGGTTGTGGGGGTATTGTGCCATCCGAGCTAAAACGAGTAGTCTCCAATGTGGATCTCCCCTTGGCTGTTGTCGTGATTTACAAACTCCTCGCTGTCGACCTTGTACAAAAGCCATTAGGCCTGCAGCATGCTTGACAAAGAGGTAGCTTACGCTTCGCAATCGATACGAGAAGGACATTGCGTTTGTGAACTGTCTTGCCAGACGTCTCGCAAATATGGGGACCCAACGCTCAGCCTGGTCCATGGCGACCCCCATGCTTCTTTTCTCCTGTTTCTGTCTGCTCACCGGCGACATGCTGTTTGGCTACGACACGAGCAGCTTTGGAGGCATTCTAGGAAACCCGGTATGCTGTTTCATCCAGACTATTTCTCAGTAGACTGACAGACCCAGGGCTTCATCAACCAATTCGGCACGTACAATCCCAAAACCCAGAAATACGCAATTGACTCGCTACATACCTCGCTTCTGTCATCGCTTGCGTTTATCGGAAAATTTCTTGGTTGTTTTTTCGCTGGACCGGCTATCGAGAAGTTTGGCCACCGAATTGTCTTTCAGGCTTTGTCTGTAATTTCGGTCATCGGTGTCATCAGTAGGTTCTTATTCTCAAAGTTCCATCGTATCGCAGCTGACATTTATCCAGTTGAGATCACTGCTGCTGATACTGCTCCTGGAACTGGACGCTTGGCGCAATTCATTGTTGGCCGCATTGTCGTCTATATCTCTGTTGGTCTGGTCGAAGTCGATGTAACGTGAGTGTCCAGTTGAAGTCCATCACAATCTTACCCTGACAGCTAGCCCAGAACATATCAGACCGAAATCGTACCCGCTTCTTTCCGCGGACTGGTCGTGGTCTCTTTGCAACTCTTCCTTGTTGCCGGAGGCCTCCTCGCCAGCGGCGTCAACAAGGCGTTTGAAACCCGTGCGGACGGGGTGGGTTGGAAAACAGTGACTGGCATCCAGTTTGCTTTCCCCGTTTGTGAGTCACGCCTGTTGGAATTACTATCTTGCGAAGCTCTCTGATAATGTGTTAGTGATCCTTTTCTGTACATTGTTTATACCCCACTCGCCCCGCTGGCTCCTTTCCAAAGACAGAGAGGAGGATGCCCTCGCTTCCCTTCGCCGACTACGACCCAAGGAAGATGCCCTCAACGGAAACTGCGAGGCAGAGCTCCAGGAAATCCGCGATGCACTCCACGAGGAAGTGCACAAAGCATCGTGGGCTGACCTCGTCCGGGGAAGCAACCTCCGCCGCACGCTTATTGTTATCGCGTGTTATTTCTTCCAGCAGGTAAGCTCAATCTCCAGAGAAATATACAGGGAGAAGGCGGATCTAACTTACGCAGGCCACTGGTCAAGCCTTCGTGTCTACATATCAACACAGATTCTATCAGCAGAACGGCTTCGCGGAGCATGCGTACACCTATCCCCTCATCAGCAGCGTCTTTGGTATAGTGGCTGTGATTATGGCCATGTACTTTGTTGATAAGCTTGGGTAAGTGCTTCACTTTCTAGGTGTCAGAGCCCAGTCCACTAATTAATAAATCTAGTCGCCGATATACATTCTTCATCAGCTACATTTTCCAGGCTTTGTGGATGTATGTACTGGCCGGCCTCGGAGGAGAGTCAGATCCCAGCAGCACGACGAGAAACACCATCGTGGCGGCCTTTATGCTCTATCAGGTCTTCTACAATGTACGTCTATCCTTCCTACCTAGTCACCCTGAATGCTCTGACCCAGACATTTGCTCCAGGCCGGCGGCGCATCAATCCCATACCTCATCGGCGCCGAAGTCCCCAACGCCGCCGTGCGCGAGAAAACGCAATCCCTCGGAGCTGCATGGAACGTAGTCTGGGCGTTTGCAACGAACTTTGTTATCCCTTATATGATGGCTGATATCCACTCCGGCGTTGGGTGGGTATTCGGAAGCGTTTCCGTTGTGGCGCTGCTGTGGACTTTCTTCTTCCTTCCTGAGACCAAGGTACGTCATAGCACTGATGAGAATTGGAAGTCTAACGCTGATGATCTTTCGAACAGGGGCGAACTTTGGAGGAATTGGATGCTGTCTTTGCTGTCCCGTATAATCCGTTCAGCAGGGCTGATGTGTACTATACCAACAATGAGCGCGGAGACGTGACTTCGAAGGGCGTGCCGTGGGGTGACCAGGGGTCGAAGACGAGTCAGCCGGACGTGACTGCTGTATAGGAAAAGTGGGACTGGGACCTAATTCTGCTTGATGGCCTTTCACGCAGCATACCAAGATATCGCCACCTCGAATCTATACCCGCAATTCAGACTTTATTAGACCTTCTACGATACGGGTGGTTCAGCCATCCGCATACAAAAATGGAATCCTTAGCGCCATGCTTTTATCGTATATTCAGCTGATGATGGAAGAGGCCAAATTATTGTTGACTCCTTTTGGCAGGCACTCGCCCTGTGCCATTGGGCACCTCATGGGCCGCTCCTTCCATTTAGATCTTCAACAACACAGGAAACCGCCACCCTTCGTGCCTTCCCTTTTGAATTCATTTTGGAAAATGAGGAAAGAGCGACCCTGGGCCTGGGCCATCAACCGCTCCTTCCTCTTTGGGTTCCGTGCAAAACAGGAACCTCCAACTGGCGGTGCTTTCCTCTCCAGATTTCATTTTGCATATGAAAAACCCTACTAACCCGCAAACTCTGTCTCCCACACCATAACTCAACCTATGGTACAAGAACGAATAAACAAAGAACACAGCAATAAAATATCCACACCCTGTAAGCCTATTCCAACCCAAACCCCTGCCCCTCCAAGACCCCCCTAACGTGCTCCCTCCCCTCCAAGCCCCCATCCGCATGCCACCGCGCCACAAACTCACTCCAATGGTTGCGTCCAACATTCAAATACCGATGATAATGCCTCCCGAGTACCTCATCATATCTCTCCACATTCCGCTCCTGCTCGCTATCATCCCACGTCTCCAGATGCAACATCTCGCTCATCGGCAATCGCGGCTTCACCCCCTCCTCCACAGAAGTATCCGCATACCCAACCGCAATCCCAAACAGCGAAAAGACGCGTGGCGGGAGGCGAAGTAGCTCCGACAATTCCGCAGCATGATTCCGTACCCCGCCGACATAGCTTATCCCCAGCCCCAGCGCCTCAGCGGCAATAGCCGCATTCTGTCCCGCGATCGAGGTGCCGATGCTCGCTGTAAGCAGCATGTCAAACTTCTCGAGTGGCTTCCCCAGTGTTTTGTTTTTGGTCACGAGGCTGGCAATTCGGGCCAGGTCTGCGCAGAAGATGAGGAAGAGGGGTGCGGAGTGGAGGAAGGGTTGGTTTCCCGAGAGCTGGGCGACGGCGGCCTTGTGTGCTGAATCGCGGATGGCGAGGATGCTGTATGTTTGGAGCATTGAGGAGGTCGAGGCGCTTTGGGCGCTGACGAGGAGGATTGGGAGGGTTGAGGAGGGGAGAGGGGTGTTGTGGAAGCTGCGGATTGTGCGGTGGGTGATGATTGTCGATAGCGTTGCGAGCTGGGAGGGGGCGAGGGAGGTGTCGAGGTCGAGGTCGAGGGGGATGGTGTCTTTGTAACGATTGGAGACCATTTCGGGAAGGGTAGGGATTGGTTCTTGGTGGCTCCACGGCTGTAGTTGCGATATTCTGTTTGATCTGCTGTTATCGTTTATTGTGATGATGAGTATCGACTGACTGGATTGGTCCTTTTATCTGCTTTCATAGGGAAATTAAGTATATTCGTCCATTAACAAGGTATGACAGGCTGAGTAAAACAACGTCGAACATTATCTGTAGCCGTTTATAAATGATGAGCAATGCGCGTTGTTTATACATGGACCAGGGTGCTGTATGCACAGGTAAGGTTGTACAATGTGCTGGTCTGCGTGGTAGGCTATTCGGATGTGAGATGCCTGAACCCCTGCACACTTGATGCCACATAACTAGGCAACATCTCGGACGTCCTTCTTGGGCCGCAAATCCGCGAGACACGGAGCATGGAATATTCGTCCGGACAACACGCCCTTGAGCGTTCCGAGGCTGACGACGACCCAGAGGATGACGACACACACTGAGAGTATCTGCAACATCATTAGTCTGCTGATGATACCATGAACAGCGGGAGAGGATGACGGACCGTCCCTAATACCCTAAAGAACTCCGATGGCAGCTCAGCCCCCAGTTGACATGTACACGCCGTGAAAACGCCAATCGGGAAAGTGAACCCCCACCAGCCGATATTGAACGGAAACGTCTTGCATTTTACAATGGACGCTAATGCAAAGAAGAGCCAGACCAGGCCGAATGACCATAACGTCAGGCCAATCAGGAAACCGACAGTGTAGAGTATCGGGCCAGACGAGGGATTCAAGGTCCCCGTCTCGGGGAAGATTTTCTCAGCTGCTTTGCCGAGTTTCATTGCGCTGATGCGTGTAAGCTTCTAGTCTCGATATCAGGATAATTGCCGGCGACTTACCCAAATCCACCCTGCCCCAGCGGTCCAAGCGGGAGGAAAACACTGACAATCACAGCCTTTGGAGGGATTTTGTGGAGGGTCAAGCGCTGCAGGTAGATTACCATGACCATCAATGCCAGGGGTAATCCAATCGCCCAAAGCACGTAGCTGACAATCACCGTCCATAATGCGTGCTGTGGATTGGGTAGAATATCTGCGACCATTGCACCCGAAGATGCCGCTACCACGCAGCTGACAATGGGTAGTAGCCAAACGGCGGTCATGGAGGAGAGCTGTGTTTCGTCATTTCTTGATATCCTATAGGAAATTTATTAGCAAATCAGAGCACAGATGTAGACAAGGGTAGTCACTATACAGTATAAAAGGCAGCGAGAGAGCTGTTACAACAGAAACCACGGCATCCGCAATCCACATCGCCCACGCAACGTTATGGGATGCTCCACCCCAGGTTGGAACACAGACGAGACAGAACATGTTGATGATCGTGGCGAAGCCCATTGGGAATGTTCCGATGAACATTGACTGCACCGGGTGAATGATCATGGCATGGAAGATTTCCGGATAGAGAGTGTAGCGCAAAAGGGAGAGGATGCATGCTGCGACGAATAACAGGACATTCAGAGAGAAAATGACCACCGAGATCCAGTATAGCCATATCCCGTTGTACGGTAGTGTGTTGAGAAGGATCGAGACGATTCCTGTTCCCATTATGACCGAGAACCAACTGTAGTCTCGTTAGTCTGGGTCATGGAAGATATGTGGTAGAAACCCTGTACTCACGATGGCGTAAAGTTCCGGACGACTCTTCGCCACCCGACCTCGTGCTTGCTGAGCGCAGGTTGCACTGTATCCTGCTCTTGAGGTTGCGTAGACATGGTTCACTGCGTTCTCAAAATACAAATACAAAAGCTAGGAAGTAGTCGAATAGTGACTTTAAGCGAGTGCCTTGTGGTTAAGTATCGTGGGGTGACTCATGATGTGTTCTGGTCCACTAAGCATGAGGCGGTTCGGAAGTGCGGATCCGAAAATCACGAGTCAATCCCACCTTTTTTCGGTCGAAAAATTCAGCATCATGCAGGAAGACAGTCTCCGGATATATTCATGGGCGTAGAAGAATTGAGCGTTGATTAACGATCCTTGGGTTGATCGAAGCCGCGGGTCGCCGACAGTCCTTGGGGTTGCCATATGGGAAACGCAACCACTATGAAGAAAAAGGATCAGTAAGTTTCAGTATGATATTTAAACTGGAAACTGATATAACACACAGGGCTAGCGCTTCGTTGAGCCTCAAAAGAGCCGCTCCAGGCCAGGCCACGGAAGCCTTCTAGAAGACCACGGGATTCCGCAGTGTACACCCAACCCTTTTTTTCGTTCAGTTTTGTCTTTCCCTGTTCATGTTGAACTCGACATTTCATGTGGAAACGAAGCTCTCAGATATGCTACCCATAAAGTGTGCCGGTAGTATCTGGGGCTCAAGAGCAAAATCACGGGGAGAGAAGGAGACGCAGCAATAGAAAGTACAAACAAGAGAGCTTCTGGCCTTCTTATCCCTTCTTTCTAATCCCTATCTCAAGCCGGCCAACCTGGCAATCGGAAATGTGTAGATTATAATGGGTATTTGGCTCAATGAGTCAGTATGTTTACGATCTGAATCTCCAAAGTCGTGCAAGGGCTAGTAAACAGGTTGCGGCTGGTCCCCAACAGGCTGATTATAAGAATAATGTATAATACAGAAATGAGTGTGGTAGGCCTAGGTAGGTCTAACAGGCAAGTTTAGCACCTCTGATGGACTAAAGTGTAGGGAGTACTCGACAAATCAAAGAGGACCCTTTGTTTCCACTCCTCATCGCTTGCGGTGCCTGGAAATGGCGCCAGCAGGGGGACCGAGTCTTCCTTTTGCCCGTCGGAACACCTGGCGTGCCTTCTCCGCATAATATGCAAGATGATCTCGCTGAGCATTGGCCATAGCAGCTGTCGGAGGAACCTAGACGCCACAAACTGCTCAAAGCGGTTTGATTCAGCACACTAGCGGCCGCGAGGAGATCTACCGAGGTCGTGGACTGATTAATCGAAGCTCCGAGCCCTAACCGACGCCCTTGTAGGTACCCAATCCGCTGTCCCCAACAGTCAGATTCCGTATGTGATTAGCGAGACACTCATCAGCCATGGATCATTACTCAGCCGGCAAATTTGAGCGAATAATATAGTAGAAAAGTGCTCCCTGGCCTTTCCAACTCGGACGATTTATCGATTAGTGATCACAACGGAAGATGGGTGAGTTGCTGTCGGGTCGGGTTGAAAGAAGCCTTGGTGAAAGCTGGGAAGAGAGATGATGTATATAGAAATCGCATCTCACAACAATTTCAGGTTTGGTCCCACTGTCCCGATTATACTGTAGCAAAAGTGCTGATAAGATGGGGGATAGCAAAACACCAGAGATCCAGACCCTGCCATGGGAAAACCCGCAGCAGACCAAGAATCCAAAGAACTGGCCATTTGCGAGAAGGATTGCTCATACACTCCCGCCAGTCCTCAATGCGTTTGTGATGTGAGTGTAGAAATTATCAAGCCACTTCCTACATATTATGCAAGTCTTCATGAGGATGACTGTAACTAACAAACCCAGCGCATTCGCCTCAGCCGTCGTGGAGCCCGTCATTCCAGCTCTCATTGACCATTTCCACGTCTCCGAGACTATCGCAACCCTCAGTTTAACACTGTATACACTCGGCATCGGTATCGGCCCCGTCTTCCTCGCACCATTGTCCGAAATCCTTGGCAGGAAATGGACGTTGGTCACGACACTCGCATTTCTCCTCGCGTTCACGGCGGGGGCAGGTGCCGCGAACAACGTCGCTTCCTTCCTCGTCTGTCGGGCTCTCGCCGGGTTCCTGGGGTCTGCAGGTATCGCCGTCGGCGGCGGAACCATGACTGACATCTGGGGAGTTGGAAAGGAAGGGAGTCTCACTTCTCTCGCCTTCATCCTCACCTCCTTCCTAGGGCCAACCTTTGGGCCTATCGTCGGCGTCTACGTTGTCGCTGACCGCGGCGGCGACTGGAGGTGGTCGATGTGGATTATCCTTCTTCTCGGAGCGCCTGCGTTTATTGCTCTGCTCTTCACATCCGAGACGTACAAGGCCAAGATCCTCAATGAGCACAAGGGCGACCTGTCCCCCGTCGGATTCGCCAAGAGCGTCGTGTCGTTCGCCTGCGTCCGCGTCACGAAAATGCTCTTCACCGAGGTCATCGTCTTCTCGTTAATACTCTACAGCTCCTACGCCTACGCGATGGTCTTTAGCTTCTTTGGCAGCTTTCCCTACGTATTGGAGACGGTCTACGGATTCAACCAAAAACACGCTCGTCTCGCCTTGCTCAGTCCTATCATCGGATACTTCTGCGCGGCAATTATATTCATGGTCTTGCATGCGACGGTGTATAAACGCGCGACAAAGGTTGCAGGGGGCATGGCTGCACCGGAGCATCGATTGTATATCGGGATGGTGGGCAGTGTCTTTTTACCGGCTGGTCTGTTCTGGTATGCTTGGGAGGCGCATTCTGGTGGACACTGGGCTGCTCTCGTTGCGTCAGGGATCTTTCTTGGGATTGGGGCTTTTGCTATTCTGGTAAGACGACCTTGCTCTTGTCGTTGAACCTACTAACAATGATTCAAGTTGTCGTCGATCATATACATGGTCGACGTCTATCGCTCGGGAAGTGTGGCATCTGGTACGCTCTCACCCGCCCAGGCCTCTCCTCCTATGCAATGTTTTCCACTGCTAACCAAGTCTATTCAATATAGCCCTCGCAGCAAACGGTCTCGTCCGGTATATCTTCGAAGCCGTATTCCCACTCTTCACAATCCAGATGTACCAGAATCTGCACGTCCACTGGGCCAGCAGCGTATTCGCGTTCCTGTCACTGGTTCAGCTCCCGATCCCCTGGCTGCTGTTCAAATTTGGGCCTAAGTTGCGAGAGAAGAGCAATTTTTGAACCTACGAATCGGTTGAATCATGGTCAGTTTAATTGATGACGATCTGGGTTTTGATTCTGACATGAGGTTCAGCCTGGCTGTGGTTCCGGCACGGGATATATATAGATGGATATTAGATAATCGTATGCTACTCTTTCTCATCTACGCCCGCCTACTGTTAGAAAGGGCGAATATAATAATCAAACTCGTATTGAGGCATTGCTACAATACACCAGCTTGAATTAGTTAACCCGCGCTTAGATTCAGGATCCTCTATATCAAGAGTGAGGTTGAGAAGCGCTGAAAATTGTGCCAGAGTAGATACCCACACTCAAAGCTTTCAGATAGTTAGGCAGACTCTAGGCCTCTTATCGACGTAATGGCTTTTCAATCATGTTGGCTACCTTTCGTCCCGGTCGCCGCCAAAGGCCGAGATGTGGTCGTCACCCTCTATTTCGAAGAGGCCTACATCCGGCGGGGTTGTCAAATTCAGCGCGGGAGATGACACAAAGCCAAAGACATTGCTGCGGTGGTTTATCGCGACGTGGATATAGGTAATTCTTTCCAGGCTGCGCCGAGGATTATACTGGTGCGTAGGCCGAATCGTAGACCTGGCGCTGGTGAGCATGGCTACCCCTCTAATTGATGGAATGCTAAAGGATATTCAAGTCAACAATGATTTTTAATTTTAGATTACGATTAAATAATATGCCAAGGACAACCAACGAGATGAATAGGGATCAAAACCTCTTGAATATCTAGCACCTCCCAGCCGGACACCCAACCCCCGTTCCCCATCCCTCCCCACCTACCCCCAAAATCGACAGGAGCGCATTCACACTCCCCCCAATGCCCTCCCCCGCCATCATGCCCGCCGCAACAGCAGCCCCATACTCCTCGTATCCTACAAGCGAGCGTTTTCTCCAAACCGCCGCAACAAGCGCACCAATGACCATCGCAATCCCGTAATGCGTCGCCGGGAGGGTAAACGCCATGGCGAGGATCATGAAATTCGGATGATATTTGCGGGCGTGCGCCCATTTGTCGACGAGGATGAAGTGGCGAAGGAGGACCATAGCTGAGCCGACGATGCCCATGATGCTCGAGAAGATTAGGCTTGAGCGCGGGATCGGTAAGGTGGGTTCTGTTGCGGCGACGGCGATGACGCGCCAGGCACTTGCGGCGGGGAGGGAGAATTCACACGAGTCTGTGGGGTTCGGGTCCGACGCGAGGATGCAGGGGTACGCGGTGGAGAAGACTATGAAGATTAGCGGGGAGATAAATGTTGCGAGCAGGGTGCCGATTATCTGCGTGAGGTATTGGGTGCTTGGGGGTGTGCCCAGGAGGAAGCCGACGCGGAAGTCGCCCATTAGGTCTAGAGGGTGAGTGTCCAATATCAGCTATTGAAGTTGAGGGCGGCATACCTGTTGCTTGGCTGGCAGCGATGTTGGTTAATGCACCTCCAATGAGGTTCAGTCTTTGTGCTGCCTCGATACTTGGTTGGCTGTTGACGACTCCCAGGATGACCTGCGAGACTTTGGATAGTGTACCCAGCGGTGTCGTATCTGCCTGTCGTTACCTCAATTCAAACTCCATATATTAGCCGGGCATACGTACCCGTCGCCCCTGTAGCCTGAATCGCCAACAGCGACATGCCGAACGCGAGGAAGAGCGAGAGTAGTGTCATCACGTACGACATGCCAAACTGAGCTTTCAGAGCAGGACACGATAGCACGATCACTAGTATCACACCTGGCAGCCACATCCATAGTCGGACTCGATTGCTGTCAGCAGGATCGGGCTTCTCTGGCTGCTCGAGGCTAGTGTATGCATATCCTTTGCCGAGTTTCAGCTTGGCCCACTTTACCAATAGGCTAAATCCATCGCGCAGGACGATCCATATCACGCGCCATTGGCAGGCGAGTTCTGGATATTCATGTTAAACTGGGCGTTCTTGCCGTATGAGTGGGAACGTACCTGTAAGAGCCGTCGTAGTCATACAGATAACCCCTGGCCAAAGTAGCCAGTACCGTGGACTCGGATGGTCAGCCGTCGCCAGCTCCTTTGATAGGGACGTGTAGCTCATTAGCTCCGTCCATGGCCCCTCACTCGAGCGATGCTGCCCAAAGGCAATTCCGTTCGAAACCAAAAGTGGCCCGATAACCCCCCTGAAACACAAACGAGCCATAAGCTAGGCGAACAGACAGCACCGAAGAAGGCGACCTACCAAGCAAGAACAGACCCAGCGAGAAATGAGACTGCGACGTTGACGCTGACAAGCATTCCAGATCCGATGAATGCAGGTGTCCATTCAATGTACCAGCCCCAGCTTTCGAGTGACATTGCTGCGCTAACTGTAATTCCGGTGGTCACCATCCAGGTAAACGGGTGCCAGTCCTGGCCTTGTCAGCCTCTCTTCTGGGCGGAGCTTGGATTTATGTACCCATAGTATTCCTATCGCATACTGAGACGCCACCCGCAATATCAAGGCTGCAAGGAAGGAAATTACCACAACCCGTAGCTTCCGTCGCGCCTTAAGCCCGCCTTCGAGTGCCTGATGCATACTACGAATCGTCGTCGCCGTCGCAGTCGAGGAGGGAAAGCGGAGATCTAACTCGCGTGCAACCTGAACGAGGAAGAAGTGGCGGACTAGAACACAAGTCAACCCTATTCCATATATTTCAAGCCCCGATGGTACGCAACATACGTGGAGCGATAGAAAACAACCCAAACAGACCCCCCAGCCCCGTCAAGAGCGTGAGATGGAAGTAGTCTGCCCCAGGTGTCTTCAATAATCCCAGTTGATGCAGCGCAGGGACGGCCGAAACGAATACACCGGAAAGCCCTCCAGCGGCGGTAGCAGCCGTCTGGACGATATTATTCTCGTGCGGGCCAAAGGCGTGATTTGAGAATGAGGACGCGGACCACTGTTTGAGGACGACGAAGCCGATGATTGACTAGTGAGATGGGGATGTGAGCTATGTGCAAAGGCGAGTGATATATTTGGATGAATCGCATACCCCGAAAATGTTCGCCGATGTCGTCCATCCTGCCTTCAAACCAAGGTAGATATTCGAGGTATTGACGAGCGTCCCGCAGAGACTCCCAACCAGGATCGCACGGAGAGTGAGGATTCGTCGTTCATTCGGCTCCGAATTTGGGAAAGGGGCGAAAGGGTTGGGCTCCTCGACTGTGTCTGAGCAAGTTCGACTGGGAGACTCCATCTTTGACAATTAAATCAAGGCGATGGTCAATTCAGCTGAAATATACGAGTCAGTAGGCATTGGCATCTTGGCAGGCGGCCTTATTGAGGACTTCTATTGAGCGAGCTCCCAGCTCTTTGTCTACCGGAATAGGAACAGCTATCTATCCCCACGAATAGACTGCGCTTGTCCGAGCCAGCTTCAGCGAAGATAACTGCTACACAATTTTCCCCATGTTTCAGATTTCCACGAGGAGCTCTTTACCCCGCAGAAACGCTCCTGGGCGTCGGTGGAGCCGAGGATCAGAGCCGAGCGGCCGAGCCTCCTCAGCCCTCACTTGCCCAGCCCTCAGCCGTCAGCCCCACGGTCCAGCAATTTAGCAGAATACATAAATGAATGGCCCCCAAGCCAGAAACAATTCCTGTCCCCACCCAAGAGTCTCCTCACACGACATCAAAATGTCCCTCGAACGGAAAATCCAAACCCCACTAACCGAAATCCTCAACATCCCCCACCCCGTCATGCTGGCAGGGATGGGCGTGTCTGCGGGACCTCCCCTTGCAGCGGCGGTAACAAACGCCGGTGGAATCGGTGTCCTCGGCGGGTTCAGCGCGACGCCCGAGCGATTGCGCGAGCTTATCCATGAACTCAAGGAGCTGCTTGTTGACAAGGATGCGCCATTTGGGGTTGATTTGCTTCTACCGAAGATTGGCGGTGGGGCGCGGAAGACAAAGTAAGTTGCCTCTTTTCATGTTAGAAATTGTGTTTACAGGGATCGGAGACTAATGTGGTATGTTGCTGTGTGGCAGTTACGACTACACAAACGGCCAACTCGACGCCCTAATCGACGTCGTCATCCAGGAACGCGCAAAAGTCTTCGTATCCGCCATAGGGATCCCACCCAAGCACGTCATCGACCGCCTCCACGCCGCCGGAATCCTCTACATGAACATGATCGGCCACCCCAAACACGTCGCAAAGTGCGTCGAAGCCGGCGTCGACATCTTGGGAGCCCAGGGTTCAGAGGGCGGCGGTCACACCGGGAATATACCTACGGGGATTCTGGTTACGAGTGTTGCGAAGATGGTCCGGGGCGTGAAGAGTGCGTTTACGGGTGAGGATGTGCAGGTTGTTGCGGCGGGGGGCATGGTTGATGGGGAGGGGTTGGCCGCGGCGATTATGATGGGGGCCAGTGGGGTGTGGATGGGGACGAGGTTTCTGCTTGCGGAGGAGGCGACGGTTGCGAGGGCGTTTCAGGAGGCGGTACAGACTTGCGGGTATGATGATACGATCCGGACGATTATTTATTCGGTGAGTTTGTTTCTGCATCGTGAGGTGTTGAGAATTGGGAGGTGGGCTTATTCTAACTGGAGCAGGGCCGTCCGTTACGAATCAAGAAGACGCCGTACGTGGTCAACTGGGAGGAAAATCGACAGGCGGAGATCAAGGAGCTTACGGGACGGGGGATCCTCCCAGTAGCCCATGATGCGGAGCAGCACCCCGAAGATGACGAGATCCTCGAGAACATCGTCCCATACCTCATGGGAATAGCGGCTGCGCAAATCGACAAAGTGATGCCCGCCCGAGATATCGTGAATGAGGTGGTCAATGAGGCGGCCGTGAGACTTATGGCGGGCACTCGCGCAATTGTCACGAAGCCGAAGCTGTAATCTGAGCACTGTTCGTACTCAACGAGCCAGTAGTCTGGCAGTCATGGGAGGAATCAGCAGGAATGAGAAGGATTTACACCGTACACCGTGTAGGAATCCAAGAAATGGCCGCCTATTTAGTTAAAATGCCGATCAAGTGATCGATCCAGCATGCTGCAATGGATTTTAACTGCACTCAACATTGACGTCCCGCTGCTCTTCGAGCCTGTTGCCATGACTCGCCTGCAACCGCCAGTCTGAGAAAGCACTTGCCAGCGCCAGCGCCACTCGTAGATCGTCGTTCGGAGATTAAACCATCTACGAATGCTCCACATTGTGCCCCCAAACCCCATTGACCCGGATGCGGGCGCTAGCCGCTAGTGCCATTGAACATGAACGGATTAGTTAATGTAGAACTATTTATAGTACTAATGGTTGGGTTCCTTGGAGAGGCACAAGAATCTCTTCCGGTAGAGAGAATGGACCATCTTAGTTCCTCGAAGAACCTCTCTCTAATAATTCTATTATCAATCATCCGATGTCGCTAATCCTGATGTTCTGATGTACTTAAACCACGAGATATCTATTTATGACAGTCCACTAGTAGGTGAGTATGTGACGGAACGACTGGCCAGACGAACGAAGACGCTGGGCAGTCTAGAGCGGAAGAAGGTCTGACATGAGACTGTAACCACAATGAAAGATTTGCACGAGGGGCACAAGCTATCGTGGAAAAGATTAATTAGGCTTTGGGAATAAATTCAAAATGATATCTGAGAAATCTACAGTATCATGTCTGTCTCAAGAGATATGAGAAAGAAAAAAGCTGTACACTACGTGCGTGGACTGAGTAAATAACTGGGTAGTACAAAAAGGAACACAAAAGAAAAGAAAACTACTGCAGCCCCAAAGCAACAGGCGTAATCGTCGTCGTAATTGCCGTGGGAGTTCCACAGCCCGTCTTCGTATTGCAAGCAACAGAGGTTCGAGCGCAGCCGCTGCCCGTAGCGCCAGCGATGCAGGTCGTCGTGCAGTCACTATATGGAGTTGGTGTAGGGCACGCAGCGTCATCAAGACTGGTCCGGGTGGTCATTGGGCCCGGGGTTGTTGCCCTGGACGATTTGGGATCCTGCGGATCGGGAAAGGCTGCAATCGCTATTAGTACCTGGTAGGAACGTTTGTTGGCAACATGCAACTTACTCACCTGGGTCCATGTCTGGAACCTCAATGCCGCCGAATGGAAGACACGACGGTCCAATGCAGGCACCTTTGAGGCAATCCTTGCCCAGTGGGCCACAGTAACCTCCCTGTCGGCACAGAGGGCCCTCGCAACTACCGCTTTCCTTGCACGCGCCTCCAACACAGTTTCCGCCGCGCTGGCACAAGGGTCCTTTACAGTTGCCCGAGCTCCCACATTTGGGCCCGGTGCAGTCGCCCCCTCGTGTACAGAATTGGCCTTCGCAGTCGCCGCCTTTGACGCAGTTCGGTCCCGCGCAGTCGATGCCCTATGATGATGTTAGTAGTAGTCATGCACATGAGAAAAGGGCAACGTACTGTTTCTCCACACGGCTTGTTAGTTCCATCCATGCAGTCCGCAACAAGATCGTAGTTGCAGTCCAAGCAGGGCCAGCCACAGTTTTTGGTACACAACTGGCCGATCCCGGTGGTGGCGGTTGGACTTGGAGCACCGGAAACGTGAGTGATTGTGATAAATTCAAGCCACGGATCCACCGTGGGCGTTGCAGTAGGGTAGCTATTCCAAGGCCAGGGCTTCGGGGTGATAGTTCGTGTCTCGGTGGTCGTAGTCGGCAGACATGAAATTCCCGCGCTGGCCAAGGCAGGCGCGTCATCGGTGATGACGATGGGGTCGGCCTGGAAGCTGATTTGGGGATAGATGGTCGTTGTATCGATCTTTTCAGCAATCGCCACGTTGGACACAGGAACCAACGTAGCAGTGGTTGTGGGGATGATGAGGACAGTAGTGACAGAAATCGAGACAAAGGTTGCCCCAGCGCCCATGGAAACGGAGCAGCCAACCTCGATGATCGTCGTACTCGGTTCGAAGCTGATGGTCGTCGGAGCGCCAAATGTCATTGGTGGCAAGGCATAGATGCATGGGGGCTCGCAAGCTACCGTGATCTGTGTCCCGTCGCGGTTCCCCCTGCCGCCATAGTCTGGGGGCCAGAAGCTGGAATCGATGTAGACCCTGCTGAAGCCGGCTGTCTCGTCAGTCTGATCATCACGAATATCACCAATCACATCAAGTGTGTCTGAACCGGGCGCCACAGGCAGCTTAGGGTCGTCACAGCAGCTTCCTTCGTCTCCCTGGTGGTTGACCACAGCACACGAGGGATTGTACCAAGTCGCAGCCTGGTTGCCGTAAACGTCTCTGATGACGTGCATATCAGCACGCCCGTTGCCGTCCAGATCGGGAAAGTAAACGCAGGTGCCGGCACGATCACTTTGGTAGACGGGCTTCTCCTGACGATCCCAGTGGATGTACGAGCCTTGAAGCTTTGATCGGTCTCCAAGGCCCCTGTTGTACCAAACGTAGCCATCTCCGTTGAATTTGTCGACCCAGATCATGTCATCCAATCCGTCTCCGTTGACATCTGCGAAGCGGAGATTGGCACGGTCCTTTTCCTGGGAGTACTTGATCTGGCCGACTCTCTCCCAGTTGTTGTCGTCCTTGTGGATGAAGCCGGTAATATGGCCATCTCGTCTGATACACAGGTAGTCATCTCGTCCGTTACCATCGATATCAGCGAACTGGACCGCCTGGTCATGGAGGTCGAAGCCACGGTGCTCCTTGCACGACACGCCGGACGCAGATGAATCGGCATTGCGGAACAACTCCCATGTCCCGGGCATGGACCAGTCCTTGGTCTTGCGATAGTGGTTGAGCCACACTGAGGGCCGGTTGTCATTGTCGGGATCCGTCCAGACGATATCGCAGTCCCCGTCGCCATCCCAGTCCATGAGATGCACATCGCGACGGTCAAGATGCTGGCCAGCCGTCTGTGCCGGGTCGAAGATGGTCACCTGGGCCCCCCAGTAGGACTCATCCTCCTTGAGCTTGTATATCCCTGCATTTGGGTACATGACCATTTTCCCGTTTGAAAAGGTCCAGACATAGTCCTCGCGACCATCTTCATGACCCATCATGTTGCAGTACTTGACGCCATCCGCTTTGACCTTTGTGCCGCCGGATCCCTGGTTCTTCCATGCCCTCATGTGGAAGAGGTGCTTGTCGTCTTGAAGCCAATGTTCCAGGTAGACGTAATCCTTTCGGCCGAGCAGTCCGAAATCCTGCGGTTCACCATAGACGCGACCAAAGAGGATACGAGTACGCATATCCCCATTCGGGTGCAGCCACTCGACGCCCGAATGCGTGTACCCCGAGGACAGACCCTTGGCAAACCCCTGCCGCCAATCTACCTTGAGCCCATCGCCAATGCTACCGCTTTGGCACGTTCTCGAATTCGTCCACGTCTCCACCTCACCCTTGTCGCTGACCCAGAGCCAGTCTGCTCTCCCGTCTCCATTTATATCGACCATGCGCACCCCGGTAATGTTGCCCTTGTGCTTGCCGGTAAACCGCATCCCCAGGGGCTGCCAGTATTTTGGGATATCGTCGACCCATCCATTACGCCAGGCGTGGATGTTGCCCTCGTTGTCGATGGCCAGGTAATCGCCGCGGCCGTCGCCGTCAATGTCGGCAATTCGGATGCGCCATCGCGCGAACCCTTCGTTTCTTTTGATCAAGCCAGTCTCACTGACTCGTTTGAAAGTTGGAGGTTTGCCATCAGTGCCATCGCCCTGGTTAATCGAGAGGTATGCGTCGCCATTTTCAGCGATACAGACGAGATCGTCGAGTCCGTCGGCTGAGATGATCAGTTAGCTTGACTCTGGCAAGCGTGGGACGATAGGTTAGAGCACTTACAGTTCATATCAACGAAGAAAATCCCCCTGGGCTGACAATTGAGATCCGGCTGGAGATCCGCGATTTTCTCAAATCTGCCCTCTGTCTTGCCTGTATTTCTCCAAACAGCAAACATATTCCCGTGAGGCGCGTCCTTTTTATCGAACCAGGCAACAAGGTCGTCGCGATTCTGACCATACAGCCCGGCGAAGAAGAATTGCTCTCGATCAAAATCCGACTCGTACTTCCAGATGATGCCCTTGGAGTGTGCCTCGTGCTGGTAGATCCCATCGTCCCAGCCCGAGCCCTGCTGCGTCAACCCGGCATATTCGCCAGTGCCGTATTCCTTGTTGGATGTTTCGGTGACTGTGGTTTTCTGATCAATCGCCACGGGCGCCTTGATCTTGCCGTCGTTGTGAGCTTTGATGATGGATTGCCAGAAGATGTAGGCCATCTTGCGATGCCCTTCGTTGTTCGGATGGACCCCGTCTGATTGCATGTCCTCGGCACCGATCCATCCTTTCGCCTCACCGGTGGGAGAGTCCATCTCAGCGAGGTAGATACAATGGCCGGATTTCAGCTCATCAATCAGCTCCCTGTAAAAGGTGTTGATGGTTGGATTGTGCTTCTTGCCCCTGTCTCGGGAACTGGGGATTAAAGTCGAGAGAATGACGCATGCGCTGGACATGTCTTCAGCCTGCCAGATAGTGTCGAGTAAAGTGTGCATGCGCTTCTTTGCGCCGGGGACGTCGATGTCGTCAAGGGCATCGTTGGCTCCGACGTTCAGAACGACAATGTTGGGCTTGAGTTGTTGTGAGTTCTTAAAGTGGTCGACAGTTTCCGAGATGACTGCTCCAGGCGTGCCTTCGTGGTCCTATCGGAAAGGCTGGGTCAGTACTGCTGAGGTAGAAAGGTCTCATCCAGGACTTACGTTGTCTGTAAAGGTTCCATCATGCTTGGAACCAACCATGTCCACCTCAAGCCCACTGTGCCTGAGTGCCTGCCGCAAAGGGCCTCGAAAGCTAAAAATAAAATCAGTCTGTGCCTCACTAAAGGCAGAATGCGCGGACATACCCATTTCGTGGATGAGACCCTATTCCAGCAACAATAGAGGCACCCAGCGGCATGATCCGCAATGCAGGGAGGGTGCCATCTCGTCGAGCAATGGAGTGAGTAGGATATTCGAATTTTGGGTATGAAAAAGTGTTGTTCGAGGATGAGAAGTCGTCAAGCGCAGCAGCTGCAGAGACGCCAGCGGTAGCCTGAAGCACAGCTCCAATGGCTACCAGTAGCGCTGGTAGAGACCTCATGGTCGGTCGATTTTCGAAGAGCAATAGTTGTATCTTTTCGCAGCAAAGTAAATGTAATCAGGTATATGACGAAGCACCTTTGTGCTTCATGAGGGGAGCATGACTTATATCTGGACTAAACCCGCGTTTCAATCCTGCTTTGATCATTCTGGTCTTGAAAGGTGCCGCATCCAGGCTCACCGCGCCCCCATCATCAATATGGGCATATGTTTCGAAGGTCGACTCTTTGTCTACCCTGTACGACCATCCGCGCCTGACAATGACTGCGGTCTTTCAACAACTTGCTGGCTCTCGGTAGCGCTTACCTAGTTATGAGCATGATAGGCGCACTGGACACTTGTCCCATAAAATAGGCTCCTCATGCAATACCTTATGCGACAAACAACAGTGGCAGCCGGGATTGGATGGAGAGGATGGGTCCCTGACTCGGCCAAGTCGCAAGGTCCCTGAGACCCTTTGGCGGCTCTTTGTTGGAGGCGCATTGACCAAACTAAAAATATCCACATCCCGAACAAAGACGACCCTTGTTTCAGAAGGTATCTTCAGAAGTGAGTCCATCTGCACGCCATCTAATTCGCACTTGTTCGCCTGCATCAGACACCGGACCATCCGACTGACGGTCATCGTTTGCTTCAAGGGACTGATCCGTCTCGTATGCGTAGATGGATAACGGGACGTGTCATCTATCATCCATCTGCTTGAGTAGATAACCCTCGGACAAAATGGATGACCCGACAGCACCCGTTAACGGCAAATGTCGAGAAGAGTCAAGTTTTTGATATAAAGCGATCTAAATTTGCCAATCGGAATCAGAGTGAGGCAACCGCATTGTTCACCTGCGCAGGCAAGATTGTCTTCCAGGTCTGTGGGATGCCAATGTGCATCTCCAGAAAGGGCTGGCCCAGTCTACACTGTCATACTGGGAACCCAGTGTTTGATAGTCCTGTCCAACGATGACGCAGTCAGAGAACTACTTGACAGGAACAGCGAGGACACTCTGATTGGCAGGAGACGTACATTGGACTTTGGAGATAAGAATTGTACTATCATCTTCAAGATCAACCTTGGCAGGAAAGATTAATTCATACAAGACTGTGCGTGGAAAGACAATGTATTCCCTACTGAAGACCAGTGTAGTATTGCCTATAACCATACGGTCAAGCTTGGTGCAGCCGCGTCGTGCAATACATCAATTGGAGCAATGGCCCGCAGCCGTATCAGCATCGCAAGAATTAAGATAACGCAGTCCATGGCCAAACTTGAAGACTGGATCCCTGGTATCAAACGGAACGTCCTCCATAGCGGCCTCGACAGCCTCCATCGAGCGTGGCAGGTCATAAGGGAGTTTGCCCTCAGGCCAGGTGTGTCCAAACACAACATCTAAAAAGGCGTCTGAACTACTGCCAAAGCTGCCCAGCACAGCTGCAGCCTGCTCGACAATTTCAGGGATTGCAACGGGGCGGTCGAATTTGAGGTCAACAATGGTGGGGACGGCCTTGTAGATGGCTGCCTGCCGGGCCTTTTCTGTCGTGTTGAACTCGAGGCTACCAGAATGGAAGCTTGCCGCGAAGCCCCCGGGGTGAGCGTTGTAGGGTGCAGCGAGTCGGAGGAGAGCATAATCTGCCTCGTCGGGGGAATCCACAGTCTCGATGTTTCGCTCCGCCAACGGAGCCGAAGTGATTCCTTCCACATAAAACTTTGTTGTCCTGGTGTTGGGATTCAAGGGGAGGATGTTATTGTTGTTGGTGAGAAGGGTGTATGACCTACGCTGCGTCTCGTTGGCAATGCGAGTAAAGTAGGGGTTTCCAACAATCTTGGCCGCAGCTTCAGGGTCAACGTAAGGGTTGTCAAAGAGACCAAGGATGAATTTTTCGCGCATCAGGCGGCGAACCGATACGTCAAGGCGACCCTCGGAGATGATCCCATCCTTGACAAGTTGAACCAGCATCTCAGGGATCTTCTCACCACCAAACTGATCACACCCAGCCTCAAGAATCATAGCCATCCGCTCTGGCTGGCCAAGGTCTTCCACACCCCAAGCTATCGCGTCCAGACTTTGACCACGGGCAATAAAGTCGCTAATCAAGGCCCAGTCAGTAACCACAATGCCCTCGAAGCCGAGCTCACCGCGGAGCAAATCGGTAACAAGGCCTTTATTATATGATCCCCCAACCGAATCATACTTGGTTCCAGTAGGGCGGGCGTAATATGGCATTATCTGGCGGGCACCAGCCTCCACTGCGGCGCGGAATGGCTTAAGATGGTACTCCAAGTTTTTCCCCGGGTAAGTGGCATTCTTGCCGTAGTTGAAGTGAGAATCCTCCCCATTTTCCGCAGGGCCACCTCCAGGAAAGTGCTTTGTGACGGTGGTCACAGAGTTCTTGCCAAGCTTTTCACCCTGCAGGCCTTTGATATAGGCAACAATCAGCTCGCTGGTTAGGTCTGCACCTTCACCCCAGGTACCGCTAATTCGCGACCACCGAGGCTCTGTTGCAACGTCAACCTGGGGGTGAAGAGCCGCGCGAAGGCCAACAGCAACGTACTCCTCGCGGGCAATTGTAGCAAACGTTTTGACTAGGTCAGGATCGCGCAGGGCAGCAAAGCCAAGGGTTTCAGGCCACTGGGAAAAGACACCTGCCATAAAGCCGGTACCAACATTTTCAGTGAAATGATGCCTTGGGTCTGAAGATATTGTGACAGGAATGCCTAGCCTGGTTTCGGCGGCACGCTTCTGGACGCGGTTCGTAAACTCGGCAACTTGTTTGGCATCAAGGATGTCACCGACCAAGTTGAAGTGGGTCATCAACATATCGCCGAGCAGGACCTCGGTGCTGTTGCGGTTTGATTCTGGGTCGCCAGTGTCGAGGGTGCCATTGGGGCCTTGGTAGAGCTGGATTTGAAACATTTGCCCGGCCTTCTCCTCGAGTGTCATGCGGCTGACAAGGTCGTCCACTCGCTGGTCAATGCAGTACGAGGAGTTTTTGTAGATTGGGAGAGTCGCCATCTGATCCCGCTCGTCAAGGACGGCCGGAGCACAGAAGCCCAAGGCCGCCAAGGCAGTAAACGTCAGGATAAAGACAGCAGCTCGCATGATTGTTGACGGGGGCGGCGCAAATGTGTAAGGTAGACTCGGGTGTCCGGTAACAATGGCGATAGTCAGGGAAGATTTGAGCGCGATCTACTCGTCTTTATATAGTCGCGTCCTTGCATTTATCTGGTGTGTACTCCAACACAATGTTGCGGGCCAGCTAAAGACCCTCCCCCACTATCCATTTTAGCTCGGTGTTAGGTACCAGACATTGTATATGCGTTACTGGAGCCATCATTAAATGAGGTGCGCGATTCCCCGATTACGCTCCCAGTTCCCTAAAGCCGCTCTATGCCAGGAGGCCAAGGATAACATCAGAATTGCAGCCTAGAGACTCGGATGAGGACAGCAATTGCACACTGCCAGAGCGCGAGCGGAATGACCGACGCCCTCTCCATCAAACGCGATGCTGAATCCGCATATCCGGTTCTCAATACGCCGCAGCTGGACCCCGCAAGTCCAGAAAGTTCGTTCGGGGAAACCTCGGGATACTGTATTTGCTTAGCGTTCTTAGGTCTCAACTTCAGATTCAACTGCCGACAAGAACGCCAAGGGCCTGGGATTACGACGAAGCGATCCCTATGGTCCTAGCTGGTTGGCTTCCCTTCCTAAATCAGAGTATATCAGTGGGGGAAGCATTCCTTCCCGCTGAGTAATCGGGTGACGATTTCGGAACTTGATACTCTGCGGACTTCACTGGGTCTTTGGAAGGGTGCAATTTCGATGGTCTAGGTCAGATGGATACAAACGAAATCGCTTAGAGAATATGTAGGCGAGCAGAATCCTCTAAGGCCTAAATACAAAGAGGGGGTGCCATGGCCGTATTAACGGGATACTGCAGATCTTCCCCAAGTTTGATATGGAACGATCCTTATTCGCCGACCAGACTCAACGTGGGGCAACCCCGCACCTTCACCTGTCTCCAGGTTTGTAGGATTTTCATTTCACGCGAGGGTACTCGCTCCTGTTTGTATACATGTCAGCAAACCACCAAGATGGATCACTCCCCATGTACTTCGGAAATTACAGCTTACCAGTGTCCGATCTGCTCCAAGCAGTATAAGCGCAGGGAGCACCTCCAACGCCACATTGCCTCCCACACCTCCAACCGGCCTCACCAATGCAGCACTTGCGACAGCACGTTCCAGCGAACCGATGTGCTCAGACGACATATCCGGACTTGCTCTGGGCGGAAATCTAGCCAAAGCAGCTGCCCCGGAAGAAGGCGCTCCTGTGATCGGTGCATCCGACTGAAGAAGTCGTGTAATTCGCGCCAGCCATGCCAGCGCTGCACAAGTCAAGATGTAGCATGCTGCTACTCCACGAGCTCTTCCAGTAGGCAGCCTAGCGAAAGGCCGATAGTTGATGATCTGGGAGGAATTGACCTCGACTTGGATTTCGGAAGCTTCCTCGACCATCCGGTGCCGACGACGACGATGCCCCCGGCAGTTCCAGGGTCGTTCTTTCCCGATCTGGTCGACTATTCCAGTCTGAGCTGGCAGGACTTTTTAGCCATGACTGCGGGAGGGGAGACTCTCCGAACGCCTCCGGTTCTAGATACCGACTCCCTCCGCTCGCTCCGTTTCCTGGACAAGTTCACCAGCAACACTGGGTTTGTCGCGAGTTTCGACTGTGGGACTGAGGCACAAAGACATCAAGTTATCTCCTCTCTGCATCTCAGAGCAATGCCACCGCTTGATTCTTCGCTCGGATCAGGCCAGCAGCTCAGTCCCACCGAGAGTCTACCGGCCAGCTGGAGTGACGACCCTTTGTCCCTGAAGACCCATCAAATCCTACTCCTCGTGAAGGAAGTGGTCATGATCAAGCCGCGCAACAGTGCTGTTACACTGGATTGGTCTCCTGTGCTCGAGCAAATGTGTCTCCAGTTTTTCTCTCCCGCAAGTCTGCGAAAGTTTCTTCAGCTGTACTGGTCCATTTGGCATCCAAATGTCAACTTCGTCCATCGGCCTAGTTTTGAACTTTTGAGTGCAAAACCCTCTGTCCTGGCTACCATGGCTCTGATTGGTAAGAATGTCTCAAGCCTTAGCTGCAGCGTCGATTGATTCTTTCTCTAGGTGCCTGTGTCTCGCCGCTACCGGCAGACAATGCTAATGCCAGGATGTGGTTCAACTGTGTGGAGGAATTGGTTTTTATTGACCAAGACTTCAACAGCGACCTGGCAATCTCCTCTTCTACTGCCATAGGCCGCCACCGCCACAAGATACAGTCCCTTCAAGCCGCTTACATGGTCTGTCTCTATCAGACTTGGGAGGGCGATGATGCAAGTAAGCGAAGGGTGCGTCGCAATCGGTTCGCAACTCTTGTCTCGGTAAGCTTTTCACCTTCTCTGCCAGATTCAATGCTGATTGGCCCGAAGACCGCCCGTGATGTCGGGATTCCCATGGCACGGCACACACAGTACTCTCGACAACAGAGACATGAATTCGATTGGGCGGACTTTGCTGTTCGAGAGGAACTCGTCAGGTATGAACAAACCAAGTCATCCTCTGGATCGTCTCACTAACGCCCCGTAGACTCCTCACGTGGATATTTCTCCTAGATACAGCCTTCATCATCTTCAACAATCTCCCTCCTCGAATGGTCATCAAGGAGATGAAGATGAGCACTGCTGTACCGGAGGCTTGCTTTCAGGCGTTTACCGGCGATGAGTGCTTTGAGAAATTACAATTGTTCCTGCCCCCTGAGAGTTCGTACTGGAAGGTCTCGTTGTGCAGCGCTTTTCAGACGCTGTGCAAAAATAATCTTGCGATCACTGCTCGTGATGGACTGGCCTCTCTCGGACCATTGAATCTATTCGTGTTGGCATCAGGTGAGTCACTTCTCTTGCGGCTTTTCTGAATATTTTTACTGATACTTTGATAGCTATCCACTCGCTGATTTTCCAATACCGGAATTCGTGGGACAGCTTACAACTTCTACCTCCCATCCACAACGCCCTGAACAACTGGAAGAGCATCTGGCAACAGTTCACGGCAAGCCTGGTACCAGGGATGTCGCCTCATGTTACTGTCGACCACGACAATCTACAGCCAGACACCTTGTGGAAACGCGTTGGGTTCTGCAGCTACTGCCCGGAGTACTGGTTACTGGCTAACTTGATGACGGATATGCTCACTGCGCGAAACACCACCGAGGCTTTAGATGAAGGAAGGCAGAATGAGTTGGAGCGACTCGAGGATGGACCCCTGGATTCGATACTGAACAAGTATGATCAGACCAGCATGCGGCAAGTCAACGACTTGATCCTCAGCTTGTCGGACTTTCGCATTGCAGGTTAATTACGAGATACGACAACCAACGATACGGTCGCTCCTTCTCTAATTTATGGTGTATCAATATAAGGAAAGAGCGATCCAGCCCCCGGACCCAGAGGCGCGCCTTCCGATCGGGATTGTAATGAGTACGGAAGGTACGGTGGTCGCTCCTTCCTCAACTCCAGGTAATATTCAGGGACCGAAAGACTGAGTCGTGCAGGACGTACCATTCTGGAAGTTGGGCCTTCTGGATTTCCTGATCTGCAACCATAGAGCAGGCCATCCCACCTCCGCTCCGCCTCCGAATGTCTCCCACCCCCAACTCCGACTCCTCCTTCCCCTCCCGGGGTATGAACTGCAGATCGGGGCAAAACACCAGTTCCTCACGATAGTTTCAAGAAGCTCGTAGGGCTTGCCTCACCTACTTAAACAAGGTCTTGACCCGGTCCGTTGCAATTCTTCTGACACTTCCGTCGGCTCTCCATCGCCGTTCAAAACTTCACACTTGCTTCTGCAATGCCCTCCATTTCCTCGATTGCCGCCATTGTTGCGGCGCTGGCCATCGTTGCCCGCCTGCTCCTCATCGGTCGTCGCCCGAAGAACTATCCTCCGGGCCCTCCCACACTACCCCTCCTAGGAAACATCCATCAGGTAAGCGTCTCTTCTTCATACCCATCGGACATACTCTTATTCCAGGATAGATGCCCACCCGCGATGCGCACCTTCAGTTTGAGAAATGGGCCCGCGAATATGGCCCAGTTTATAGTCTCATGCTGGGAACCCAATGCCTTATCGTCCTGTCCAGTGACGAGGCAGTCAAAGAACTACTTGACAGACGCAGTGGAATATACTCTGATCGACAAGAGATGTATATCGGCCAAGTCCTGTGCAGTGGCGGGCTTCGCCTGTTGATGATGGTACCTCACCTTGTCCATAGTTGCGTGACGTTCGCTAACCACAGCACAGGGATATGGACCTACATGGCGCATGGTATGTGAACACGATCCTATCCATTATTTGAAGGATACTGACAGGACAGTTCCGCAAAATGGTCCACGGCCTGCTCAACGTCGTGACATCCAAAAACTACGTCCCCTACCAAATGCTCGAAAACAAGCAGATGCTCTACGAGTTCCTCACCCAGCCCGACGACTTCCTTAAACACATCCGACGCTACTCCAACGCTCTGACCACAACAATGGTCTTCGGCTGGCGCACGCCCACCTACGAGGACGCGAAAATGAAACAGCTCTTTGACGGTTTCTCCGAATTTGCAGAGATCAACCAGACCGGCGCCGCGGCATTCATCGACTTCTTCCCTCTGCTGCGCAAACTCCCTGCGTTTTTGCTTCCCACACAGAATAAAGCGAGGGAGCTACACAAACACGAAAAGGCGCTTTACAAGGGCCACTGGCTCAAAGCCAAAGAGGATATTCGAAACAATAACATCAAACCCTGCTTCTGCATCGGCATGTACGAAGCCCAGAAGCGCGATGGCTTCAGCGACGACCAAGCATCCTATATCTCAGGCACATTGCTCGAAGCCGGCTCTGACACGACCTCGAGTACGCTATACGCATTCGTACAGGCGATGCTCCTATTCCCAGACGTCCAGCGCAAAGCACAGGAAGAAATCGATCGCGTTATCGGGCCCGACCGGCTCCCTGTCATGGATGATCTACAGGACCTCCAGTACATCCGCGCCTGTATGAAAGAGTCGCTCCGCTGGATGCCGACGACCATCCTCGGCGCCGTTCCGCACGCCGTAACACAGGATGATGAATACATGGGCTACTTTATCCCCAAGGGCGCGGGTGTCATGAATAACGTCTGGGGAATCCACATGGACCCGAAGCGGCACCCGAATCCCCGCAAGTTCAACCCGGACCGGTACAAGGACGATAAACAGTCTCTCGGCGACGCCGCTGCAAATCCGGATGCCTCGAAGCGAGATGCATTCACTTTTGGAGCCGGTCGTCGCATCTGTCCTGGGATCCACGTTGCCGAGCGCAGTCTCTTCCTCGGTATGTCGAGGATCCTGTGGGCATTTGATATCCGACCGGCGCTCGATGAGAGTGGGAAAGAGATCATCCCGGATAAAGATCGGCTCACGCAAGGGTTTGTGTGTATGCCTGAGGAGTTCCCGGCGACGATTACGCCCAGGTCGAGGGAGAGGGCGGAGATGGTGAGGAGGGAGTGGGAGGCGGCTGAGAAGGAGAATTTGGATCCCGAGACGAAGCAGTGGGTTGTGTCGCCGGTCGAGCAGGGTAAGGCTTTGAGGGGTGTAGCTTAGTTTGTAGGGTTTATTTTCAGCTCCGGTCGTTCATCCATGCTCCCTGCGATCTACTCTTTTATTGATCAATGACAGAGAGGTCTATTGCAGCGACACGGTAGAGATAGGCGACTATTCATGGCTTCATGTCTTTATTCTCTCGTAATACATCAATATATTTTTTGAACATGGTTACCTGTAGCTATACCGTGAACTTTTCGAGCCACGCATCGCGAGATTAGAGGAGGATGGGAGATGCAGACTTCTCCCCAGCATCTCTCCTCGACAGTATGAGATATAAAACAATTGACATCATCAGTGACCTCTATTCCACCGGCACAGTCCCGGATTTACGGACCTCTCCCACATTCGCCGCCATGCCCCACCTCAACCCCCGCAACCTCCGCCATGCCTGCTCGAAATCCCGTCCTCAGCAACCGACGAAAGGTCGTGCCCACCACACATATCAACCTGCAACTTACCTCAACATCTTCAGATCCCCTCACACATCCCCTCTAGCAGTCTACAACCCGCCTTCTACAATGACGTGTCCAGCACAGCCACGCGCCCTAATCTCCTACGCCCCGCACAGCGACGGCGGCTGGAAACTGCACCCCGTCACGCTGCGCCCGCTCCGCGAAAGAGAACTCCTTGTCGACATCGTCGCGTCGGGAATATGCCAGACGGATCTGCATTTTGCGGGGGCCGAGTCCGGGTTTGGCGTGCATTATCCGAGGGTCATGGGGCATGAGGGTATGTATTCATTCAGCATTTTCTGTTCTCTTCCGTGAAGGCCTCATTCTAAGGTGAACAGGCGCCGGATATGTCCGTGAGATTGGACCTGGGGTCACTGTAGCAAAGATTGGAGATCCAGTCATCATGTCCTTCTCCGCGTGTAAATCGTGCGAGCCGTGCGAGAGGGGACACCCGGCACACTGTTTCAATTTCAACGCGATTAATTTCGAGGTGGTTCCGGAGAATTTCGTCTTCAAATCACTCGCATCACTATCCACACAGACACCGACCCAGACGGATTCATCAACTCCGGAAATCTACGGCAAGTTCTTCGGACAGTCCAGCTTCGCAAGCGTCTCGATCGTCCGCGAGGATTCCATCGTTAACGTTTCGGGTCTTGTTAGCTCAAAAAAGGACCTTGCGCTGCTTTCGCCGTTGGGATGTGGGATTCAGACGGGGAGTGGAGCGATTATCAATGCGGCGCGTGCTGGGCCAAATGATCGCGTTGCGGTTATTGGGCTCGGAGGTGTGGGATTGAGTGCGGTTATGGGCGCGAGGATTGCAGGATGTGCCCAGATTATCGGCATCGATCGCCATCAGTCGAGATTGGCACTTGCCAAGGAACTGGGGGCTACGCATGTTGTTCGAGTTGACCCCGGGGCGGATCTAAGCAATGTCACGGAGGCAGTCAAGGCTGTGACCAGTGGTCTCGGGACGAATATCACACTCGATACGACGGGTGTTCCGGCGCTGATTGCGGAGGGGGTTAAGATGACGGCGTTCAAGGGCAAGGTGCTGCAGGTTGGAACGGCGCCGGAGACGGGGACGTTGACGATCCCGATTCATGAGTTTATGGTTTCGGGGAAGCAGTTTATTGGCGTTGTCGAGGGTGATGTTGTGCCTCGAGAGTATATCCCAAAGTTGATTACTTGGGCGAAAGAAGGGAAGCTGCCGCTGGAGAAGATGGTCAAGTTCTATGCGGCCGAGGACTTTGAGGTTGCGATTCGCGATATGCAGGGTGGTCAAACAGTCAAGCCTGTGATTTTATGGTAGCATATCAAGCATTCATACACAATTAATCGATCACGGAGGGTGACAGAAACTCTCCCTACCACACCACACTGTCTCTTGCTATACCAGGCATGAACCCGCCGAACGGGAATAGGCCAAGACCCCTTGAGCACTAATTAGTCGGAACCCTGAGTAGTTGTTCGTCGAATCCGAAATGGGTTCGGATCATTGCATGTGGTCAAAAGTGCGGCTCCGAAATAAAAAAAAACTAACAGAAAGTTGAGCAACTGTCGCCATTGGCATTTCGCCCTTCGCAAATCCCGCTCTGGTAACCGTCGAGCCAAAAATACAGCTGCCGGTTGTGGAGTGGTAGAACAGTTAGTATAACCAAGTTTTGCACGAAGAAAGTAGTATTCACCCTGATGATCTCATGGTGTGGCGACGGAACTAGTACGGTCAGTTTACTCTGTCCCAGGGCCGCGGCCGCCTTAACCGCCCCGAAGAGGCCAAAGAAGAAAGCCCGAGCCTAGAGCCAGGCGCTGGGGTTTGGGGAGCGGAGAAGCAAAAGATCTCCCCGAGGGGCCGGGGGTCTGACCAATTAGGTCCCTATGACAGTCACCAGCATACATGAGGCGGACGAGATGTTTCAGTGCTTTAAACTCCTGCAACCGGTTCACCCCATTTATTATAGGGCTTTTGGGAGAAGTCGTATGTACATGGTTGCTCGAGTCCTGTTGGCACCGTGTAGCAGAATCCGTGGACCCGACTCCTGTTCATGCGCGAGAACTCATGGCCCTTATTTTTTCAGCCACTTAATGCGATGTCTTAGTCTTGCTGAATGCTCACAGTGACCTGGGAGCGAAATCGGACCCGTGCGGCTAGATCCACGGATGCGTCCGACCGTGCTGCCACCCCCTCAAAGCGAGATTATCCATGGGTTGATCCGTGCTCCTGCTGAGCTAGTTTTTGTCTTCTCCCACCGTTGAGTCCCTCCGTGAGACAGCCCATGCCGGACCCTAAGCGAACCAAATGTAACCCTAGCAACTGGTCAGTGGCGAGAATGAGTCGAGCAAGGCTCTTAACAGTATTTTATACCGTCTGTACTGATTCTATACAGACTTTGAGAAGTCGGTACGCTCGCTTACATTAAATACTGATAAGGGGTATTTTATGCAGTAGCATGTGATCTCGGCCTCAACCCGGTGCACGTTTCTTTGCACCACGGGAATTCTCCGGCTCGTCTTCCAGGGACTGCTATTTGCGTCGCCAACCGGTTCTCACCATGTCTTCTGCGAAGAGCAGCGACAATCTGCTCAACCTCTGTCCTACTGAAATTTGGGCTATGATCATTGACATTGTAGGTTCTCCCTCCATTCCGTCCAAGGCACCTTGCAGCTGACCAGAGTTGTTGTGTAAGGCAAGCTTCGATGGGATTTCTGGGGAACACTTCATTCGCTGAACTTATCATGTCGCTTTTTCCATCACATTGTGTCTCCAGTACTATTTAGTACCGTTCGTATCCACTTCCCTCTCACCAAACCCCCTCGGGCCTTTCGATTCCAAACCGAACGCCCTGCACGACCGCTCCCCTACTTCCTATCAGAAACCCCTGGAAGCAGCCTTGGGCCTCGTATAGACGAATCCCAAGACAATCGCACACTCCATCCATTTATTAATTCGAATGTTCGCCAGACGGTTTTCCATCATGTCCGGATACTCGTTATATCCTATGGACTCGGCTATGAAGAGGGAAACCATAGCCAGCCAATTCAGCGGCTTGTGGAGAACATGAGAAATCTAGACACTATTAGGTACGGAATAATGAGGCTGTATTTATATTTGAACGCTAATACAGGCAGATGGCGTGGTATCCCATTTCCTTCACAGCTGGTTCAGATGCTTCATGGCAGACAATTCCCACCACAGATTTACTATGAAGGCTCACCACAAGCAGTTATCAGCGAATCTCTACTTATCGGCGCCTTTTATATTAAATCGCTAAGCATAACTTGCACCCCAGCTCTCCAAGAACCTATTTCCAACGAGCTTGGAAAGGTTATCCTCTCCCTGCCGAAACTAGAGCGATTGATATTAAAGCAAGTTGCCAATCGGTACTGGAGGGATAATAGTACTCCTATAAGCCCTACCTTTCGCTTAGACGTCGACTCCAAACTGCCACCTTCCCTTCGGATACTCTCGCTTGCCAACTTTACATTTGATGAAGAGCAGGCAATTTCATGGGCACGGTGTATCACGGAGTGTGACATTCAGCACCTCCGACTGGACGGGTACCTGCAGATATCAGTGCTACTAAAGGCACTTACTGGCTCCGTGCCTGGTTTGAAATCATTTGCAAGCCGTGTTATCAGCGAGCCAGACGTCCTAAGAAGCCATGGTGACTTTCTTGCTATATTGGATTGCTTCTTACAATCTATCACTAATTTGGAGTGCTTCACAAGCAATGATATTCCTAAGGAAGTCCTTACTTCTGTAATTCGTCATCATGGGAATCACCTGCGGCAACTTCGGTTTCGACAGACAAGCAGCATGGCAAGCATCCTCCCACGATCAGAAGGCAAAATATGCCTCTTTTCACTCGAGGAGATAGTTCAGTTGTCGAACGGACTCGCACAGGTTGAGAGGCTAGGTCTTGACCTATTCTTCAAGGACCCAACTGTATGTAAAATTGACAAACTGGAAAAAGTCCATACTAATATATCTCAGCCCTATGACTACCTCGAGGCATTAGCCCGCTTCCCAAGCCTCAAGTATCTTGAACTAAACACTCCTAACTTTTGCGCTGTACCATCGCTGGGCGAATCGATAATCAAGGAGGCATTTCAGTACGTGGGCGCACGAACGGAACGCTGCTTAGCCGGACTTGATATCAAGGTTGGGGAGTGGGAGCGGCTGTTCTTTGGCTCTAAGAACAAGGCCTTGATACATAACCATATTTTTACAGCGTGGAGAGAGAGCAATGTGCCTAATCTAGTACATGTGACTCACCTGCCATGCAGATTGGGCAGCTTTTCGCACCTCGCAGAAGATAGTATGTTTGAACAGACGATGCACTCAGCTGGGCTATGGCCTTCAGACAGAGTATCCTCTGGCCCCGGAATTTGGTAAAGGGTATCGCAGGGTCAGTCATGGTGTGCTCAATTGGGCTTGAAGAGCAGCATAATTCTTCTCCCGATATCGAGGCATTACTAGCATAATTTTTCCTTTTCAGTCATACTTTCCCACATATCGGCTGTTGATAATCTTGCGGATTTTCGGGTTCAAACGTCCTAGGATCTATGTCTTCCCTGTAACGAACGACTACATGGCCCTCACACCAGGTCCAAGCTCTATTTATTATCAGTGTTCCTGGATCCACTTCATTGGTTTGCAACCCCCAGCGAACTACCCCTTGATCATTTGATTTTTTTTTTTGTTTATATCCTCGTAAGTACAGGAAATTCCTGTATGCCGGTCGTTTTTATCCATCAACATTGCTGTTCATGTCACGAATTAGCACTTGACAACGTGATTGAGGTATCCTATGGAAGGACTTCCCAGAAACATAGAATGCGAAGCTATCAGCGTTCCTCAGAGAGCTGCTGTCAGCAGCAAGTGTAGTAACGGCGGGCCAGCCCTAGGCCCCATCATTGGCTCCTCCATTAAATGAGATATCAACTGGAGGAAGCTGTCAGTAGTTATACAAGTATCCAAGTGGTTGGTCACTCCGTACAATACTGCAGTCTGTCCGAAACCAAATTTGAATTTGATGTCTCATGCAGCAAGGCAAACCCCAGCGTTCTGCTCTTCACGTCTGAAATGTGAAATCCCTTGGTACTGTAGCTTTGTGACGCAAGCCCTCCCAACGTTTCATCGTATCCCAGACAACACAGCTGCATCCGGCGGAAAGGCATGAGATGGGACGTTCTTGCCGTTTGCGACCATCCGGTGTGGGAAGATATTGGGGTGATCTGCCCCAGATTCTGGTTGTGTGGTCTGACAAGGTTGGATAAGTGTGCCAACAGCTAGAGTGTGGACAGATCGAAGAGTGGGAGAAATTTCCCTCTTGACCCTATGACTACCAGATTTGGGAACCAACTTTGGCTCTTCATTCATTTGCTTTGATTCTATCTACGATTTGTCACTTCGTTCATGGCATTCCCTCCGGTGCGAGAAACCCCCTCGGATTGATTGTGTCTCTCAGCGATTCTATAAACCTACGATGGATGTAGCCATTAGAGTCAAGTCGATCCATCACATCGCCTATAAAAGTTCAGGTGTGTGTCAACCGCTCGACGGACTCTGCACAGCTGGGATCTCCCTTCGCTCAATATAGCCGGCCGCCTCGCCGGCGTCTACACCAAACGTTGGAGGACTAGTCGAAGGAGACAACGTATTCGGCTGGTATTTTCATCGGCTACTGTCTAGGAAATATCTCGGGGCCTCTCTTATTGGATTAGTACGTTGCATCCCTACATCCCTACCTACCTACGACATGCTAACCGATCTGTGTCAGCGGCGACGCACCCCAATATAATCCGCGGTTTATGCACGTCATGATCTGCGTGGCGGCCTGTTTTGTACTGGCGCAGTTGCTTCGCGTTCACCTTGCCACGGAAAATATAAGGCGGAATAGGGTTCATGGACTGGCTGGTGTGGGTCAGGGCCTTGAGGATATTACTGACATGGGGAATAAGGATTTTCGGTACTTGCTGTAGAGCGGCGTTCTTAGACATTGTTCACAATGGGCGGGTGCAGGGTACCTGGTAAAGGGACCACTGGCTAAGCTAAGCAAGAGTGTGCGAGGAATACTGAGGTCAGCAATACTTCCATTTCTTTCAAGAACTATGATTATCATATCCATCATTCTCGATACATTTGTCGTTTGACCCTGCTGAGTCCTCCCCCCGTGCAGCTATTCGATCTTTTCGAGATCTCGCACAGCCTTGATACCTTCCGCCTTCAAGACAGCCTGCACAGAGTCCCTCCTCTCCAGCGCTTCAACCAGAGCGGTATACTTGGGGTACACGCTAAGATCAATGTCCCTCTTGCCAACCCAGCGATACAGCGGATACAAAAACGCGTCGACAGCAGTCAGCTCTTCGCCAACGGCGTATTCCCGTTGCAGCTTGCTCTCAATGTACGCAAAGGCTTGTATGACATTCTCCCTCGCCTTGTCCTTGATCCCTTGATGCACCTTGGGATCCGGATCTGTCGTCCACCGCCACGGCCTGAACAAATGCCCAAACGCGGCAGAGTGGACAGTCCCGGAGAGATAGTTCATCCATTCGTATACCCGAACCGTGTCAAGTGGTGTCTTGCCCATGAAATTCTTGGCCGGCGCAAGTTGGGAGATGACGGTGCAGACGGCGGGGAGTTCGGTGATGACTTCGCCGTCGACGACAATGACCGGGACACGCATTTTGGGGTTCAGATTCTTGTATTCGGGAGAGAACTGGATTTCAGTCCCGTTGTATTGGATTAGCAGAGGCTCGTATGGGAGTCCTGCCTCGTGGAGGAGGATGTGCGGTGCGAGGCTGCAGGCGCCGGGCGCATGGAAGAATTTGATGTCGGGCATATTGGTGAAATGTGATCTGGGGATTTGGAGCATGGATAGATTCGACCTGTGGGGTACGAACCGGTATTTATACAGGCTTCGGCCCCCGAACGCTGCATTATTAATCCGGACACGAGGTCGAGCTTGGCCTGCCCTGTTTTGGAGCGATCCCACCGGCTCTGACGTCGACTCCTCGAGTGAGCAACGCAAGCCCGGCAGAAGCTGATAAATCTGCCACAACTGGCGATGGTCGTTCGAAACCTTGGTGTAGCTGTCACTTAGACTGTGATAGCCGCTTCAAACGCCTATTGCCCACGCGAGATAAGCACTTCCTGTCGGAGTTTCTCAATCTTCTTCCAGCGATGATTGTCGGACACGGGCTGAGCGGCTTTCCAGTAATCAAAGACACGAGACGCTAGTTCCCAGGCCTGTACTTCTCCGAAGGGCTCTTCGCGCAGATACGAGAGTAGGTTAATGAGTGCATCCCACTCAATATACGTCTGGAACAACCACAGCCACTGCTTCCCGGCCTCGTATTGCCGTAGATTTTCGGCATCTTGGAGGAGCTTCACCCAGGCAGCAATGCTTGGTGGTTGCTCTTCCTGAGTTTGAGCTTGAGGCATCAGCCGAAGCTTTGCCAGCACAAGTCTCATGGATTCTATCGTAACCATGTCAAATGGGACCTGCTCATCACAATGCGCCAGGTACTGGTTCTCAATTCGGTCTTGAAAGAGGTCAATAGCATGGCACCTTTGAGGCATTGTCATTGACATGTAGTCGTTTTCGTCGGAAAACCCTTTGGAGAACACCAGTTGTCGGGCGAAGTAGCTCCCCTCAAAGCGAACCAAGCTGTACAGCATCTCTGTTCGGCCAGTTTCGGCGACCACGGGTCGGCTCATCGCAGGATGGAGATTTGCATCTGCCACATTTGACGGTAGCCGCGTGTTGAATGATGATTCGAGGATACAGGGCTCTGACTGACGGTCCTCTGCCACACGGATGTCCAGGATGCAGAGCTGCCACCAGAGACGACGTCGCATCTCGACTTCAAACTGAGGGAGTCCGGCTGCTTCTCCGTCCTTGTTGAGTCCCATCTTGAGAGCCATTCCAACAGCTAATCCTACACGAGTGTAGACGTCTGCCCCTTGATCATCCGATCGCCCGGTAACCTAGGAGGGTGAGTGACTGTCAAGGACAGGAAATATCGGGTACTTACCAAGTAGATCGTTAACGCTTGCAAGACCACCATATCTGATGCCTCCAGGAGGTTTAAGCGAGAAAGAAGGTTCTCACACGCGGTACGGTACCTGATTCCATAAGCAAGACAGCGCAAAATTGTCGAAGCCCTACCTTTTAAGCAGAACGGACCTCGCTTCCTCGAACTGCTCTAGGCAGTCCTCACTAGACGTGACAACCACTGCTGCATAATAGATAACAAAGAGCAGGCATTCGGAGGCCAAGTCCAACGCATCCCGACCACGTACTGCCTTCATCACCAGTTTCTGTACTGTGGGTGTATGAAACACTTTCAGCAGAGGGTCGACAACCTCCAAGTACTTTTGCCACAGCAGAGCAATAGTTGGGCGAGATGGGCGGAACTGGTCTAAATCGATTGGCAGTTGCGGATTAACAATTGACGAGGGTGCAATCCCTATAGATTGGACTGAAGCCGGCTCATCCATCAGGTACTGTGTCGGCTGCTGGCGGCTTTCTGATAGTTCTGCATGGTCATGCTCGAGTATGGACGGGCTCGCTGGCAAGGGGCCTGGGTACGATTTATCGACCTCAGATAGTCGTTGCTCGACGGCAAAAAGTCTCGTCTCTAGAGATGCAACGCGATCAAGAGCCGTTTGGTCTTCATCGAGAACAGATCGCCCTGCAGGGTACTTGCACTTGATCCGGGTTTTGACGCAGTAGGAGCACGGATGCGAGCGGTCGCACTTGATCTTGCGGCGGCGACACTCGAAGCAGGAGCGACCGGGCGCAATCTGCCTCCGTGGCATTTGGATATGATATCTGAGCTTCGGGCTACCCAAAGTCTCCAAAGTTCGACTGATTTGCAATGGGAGAGGGGAGAGGATCGGAGAGAACGGAGAGAACGGAGGGAGCGGAGAAGGCGGACAACATCCGGCGAGGCCACTGACAAAGCCGAGCACGACACCACAGTGGGGACCATCTGCACTGCCTTTGCTGCCTATGCACACGGCCAGACTAACCCAGATGAGAGGATTCGCCGCAATCTAACTAAGGAAGCTGAGAGGAAATGTAAGCCCAGCCGATTTAGGCTTGGTCAGACGTGGAGATAGCGGAGCCAGGTGTATGTCCATTTCTAAGCTCAAGCTGAGCTTTTCAGACTCGTCCTTTCTATACATCTGATTGCATCGCGGAGCGGACGCAGCGGTTCGTGTCCGACCGATTTGTCAGTCGTATCTCGGATTAAAAACATGGCCTGCTCATCAGATCTAACGGGCCATAAATACGCCATTTCCTAGCAAGATCTGATCCAACACAAATCCTCAACAATCTATCATTCTCTCAAGATTTATTCGCTCAACTCAATTCCAGTCAGGCAAGAATGACATTTCCTCTCAAGAACATTGCCCTCGTTGGGGTAAGTATACCAACCTTCAGAGGTTTGCGCCATCTGACGTCCTACAGGCAAGCGGAAACATCGGCCAGATCATTCTTGCAGCACTTTTAGGAGCCTCTGAGTTCAATGTCACCGTCTTGACTCGCGCCTCGAGTACTGCTACGTTCCCATCTGGCGCCGCGGTCCGCAAGTCCGACTTCTCTAGTGCGGATCTCCAGGCTGCGCTCAAGGGACAAGACGTCGTGATCTCCGCAGTCGGCGCAACCGGATTCGGCGAGCAGAAGAATCTCATCGATGCCTCCATTGCAGCCGGTGTCTCAAGGTTTATCCCCTCGGAATTCTCGTCGGATGCCCTGAACGATGTGGTCCTCAGGTTACTTCCATTGTTCGCCCAAAAGAAGGAAGTCATTGAGTACCTCAGGTCGAAGGAGTCGGATTCATTTGCCTGGACTGGAATCGCCACGTCTGGTCTGTTTGACTGGGTAGGAGTAACCATTCCTCTCGCGAAAGCTTTCTCACTGACGGATGATAGGGCCTTGCCAACGGCTTCCTGGGCTACGACATCGCAGCTCGAACTGCAACTATCTGGGATTCAGGCGACAGCAAGTTCACAATGACCAATCAAAAGCAGCTGGGAGACGCCGTGATCTCTGTTCTGGAGCGTCCTCAGGCTACCGCCAACCAGTACCTCTATGTTTCCTCTGTGGAAACCTCTCAGCACGAAGTCCTTGCTGCGTTTGAACGCGCCACGTCCTCCTCGTGGACCGTGGTCAACACAACAACCGAAGCAGAGGTTGCCGATGCCACCAAGAAGCTTGGTCAGGGCGATTTTAGCGGTGCACTTACTCTCGTGCGCGCCACGGCGTACTCGAACCTTCCTGGTTTGGGTGCGAACTATGCAAAGGATAGGAAGCTGGCAAACGACCTGCTTGGGTTGCAGGAGGAGAGTGTTCAGGAGACTATCGATAGAATCGTCAAGGTAGCCTCATCGCCTTAACCACAGCCTTTCGGCTAGTATGATAGTTGGCGGCCGTTAATTGATCCAGTAGCAAACCACCACCATTGCATAAAAGTGTAGCAAACACATACAACAGTAGGGATTCTACCGCCGTGGGGCTTGAACGGGGATAGAAGTCGGGTGGGCGCCGCCGTGTGAGTAAGTCGCACCACTTCCAACAGAGCCACAAACACTGCCAGGAAAGGTTGCTGCCTCAAACGCCTCGCCGTGGACGATTGCCTGGATGAACACGGTGCTTTTGGTCGCCTTCAGTTGGCAGGGGTTTTCAAGTCAACCTTACTGCCAGTTCAGACATGAAGATGATCAGCTTAGCTTGGCACTTGCACTCAAACTGTGGCGAGCTCTTCGTTTTCTCTTTCGTACTCGTACCTCTTCTGGATTCTTCCCAAAAGTTTCGATTGCTCGCCCACCAAGACATTAAACGCGTGGACCTCACCTGATTTCCTTCTCGGGTCATTATCGTCCGGGCCTTAAGTAACATTTTATTGAGGTGGAGTGAGTGGTTTCCCCCACATTCCTCAATAAACCTCCCAATCAATTCCCAGGCTTCGTGCCAGAGCTGGCAGATCCAGTTCCTGGTCAGGCTGCTCCTTGCGAGCTAAGGCATTAAATTCCTGTTCGGACTCGTCGATTTCTGCAACCAGCGGGACCAGGAAGCATGCCAATAGCATTGAATCCTTGACTGACTGCTCCTTCACGCGTTAATTTCTCTACTCTCCAAGGAAACCAACACAACTCGCCGATTGCGATTGGCCCGTACAACTTTGCTCCCGCGCGAAGTTTCCAACGACCATGAATTTCAACAGGTTTATGAACCTCAATCCAGAGGTTCAGTCAGTGAGTGGCTACGTCGCTTATAAGTGTCTGTACAATCCTGAAATAATCTAGATTATGTCTCAGATATCTCATTTTTTTCCGGTTTCCAACGTCATTCCCTAGTCTTCTTCCTTGACCGAGATATTCGCACAGTAGGTTTTATTGTCCACTACGGAGTTCTAAGATTTGCGGGATGGAAGTTAGGACTCTATAGGCTATAGATTCCTTTTTCGTGCAAAGACTAGGACAGGGCAACTGTAACCTTTGTGTCATGAACCTTGCCATTCAATACGCCCGCCAAGCGTCGACTGCTCAAGGTTTATTCTCGTGGTTCCGAATCCCCCACTTGAAAATCATAGGTGGAATATCAACCGCTCCTCTGGGAATTAGGAAAATCTAGGCTAATATTAAGTAACCGACGCCCTAGTCAGGCAGCTGACCGATCAGGTCAAGCCGGTTGCAATCCCCTTTTATTTAAGTTCGATGCCGCTTGCAGTTCAGCCGGGCAGGGGATGGTAATAAGTGTCTCACCGGCCAGAGCGGTGCGGATATTACCCCAGATTCGTTGCTTCACGCCAGAAACAGAAAGAATGGTGTTCGACCAGGGCAGACTCCGCTTCTGCCGCACCAGGCCCCGGGTCTTTGTAATCACTGATATTGCAAACGAGCCCGACGATACCCAATCCCTAGTCCGACTTCTGCTCTACGGAAATGAATTCGACATCAGGGGCATAGTCGCCTGTACATCGACCTGGCTTCGCACGTCAGTGTATCCAGGCGAAATTGAAAGGTTGATTAATGCCTATGTGACTGTTGTGCCAAATCTCAACACACATGTACACCCAGAGAACCAATACCCCGGGGCCGGAGACCTTCTTGGTATCATCCGCCAGGGACCGCCAGTTTACGGAAAGCGAGCCCTAGACCCGGATATCCCGCTTAGCGACGGCGCAGAGCTCTTGATTGAGCAGTTATCTTGTTCTTCCAACGATCCTCTCTGGGTGCTTTGCTGGGGCGGTACAAACGTCCTTGCCCAGGCCCTGCAATACCTCCACAAGACCCAATCCGTCTCGGCCTTTACCGATCTTCGCTCTCGAATTCGCGTCTACGCTATTTCCGACCAGGATGACACCGGTCTCTGGATCCGTACCAGTTACCCGGATATCTTCTATATATGTTCCGTGCACGCTTGGAATAGCTACGCCCTGGCTACATGGACTGGAATCTCCGGCGATCTCCAGGGACCTGAATTCCCCGACTTTGGCGGCCCGGATACTACCAAAGTCAGCCCTCTGTGGGTGAAAGATCATATCCAGAAGATCGGACCGTTGGGCAGCGTATACCCAGATACTCAGTATATTATGGAAGGTGACACGCCGACGTTCCTCTACCTTATCCAGAACGGGCTCGGGTGCGCCGAACATCCTGGTGGGGAAGCTGGGGTGGTCGGTATGCCCCTGTTGACATGGGGCTCGCGGCCCGGCATTACAGTGATACGATAGATAGGGTCGTGGGCGCGGATGGTCGGTGCTATGTTAGTAACCGGGCGACAATCTGGAGATGGCGGGAAGCTTATCAGAACGACTTTGCGGCGCGGATGAGGTGGACGGTTGAAGGTGCAGCGGTGGCAAACCATGCACCGGTTGTGGTTGTCAATGGGGATCAAGGGCCCGAGCCGTTGATGTTGTTTGCGGAGGCGGGTGAGAGCGTCTTTCTTGATGCGTCGGACAGCTACGATCCTGATGGAGACCAGTTGACTTTCAGGTGGTTTCAGTACCGGGAGCCAACAGCAGCGCTAGGATTAGTCATTGATCCCCAGGTTGCTGTGCTTGAAATCACGTCTACTGAGGACCCCGGAGTCCCCGGCGGCAAGGTAAGGATTACTGTTCCTGGGCCTGAACATTGCGCAGTTCGCTTTGGTACCGGGAGCAAATTGCCTACGGGTCAGACTCTGCATGTGATTCTGGAGGTTAAAGATAATGGGTTGCCCTGTTTATACTCGTACAAAAGAATAGTTATCCAGGTGACAAACGCGCAGCTCTTGTCTGAAGGGCAGAAACTATAATGCTGAAATGGACAGTCCAGGTGTTTGAATGGCCCGGCCAGATATTCATATCATCAACAGAAATTCCAAGCCAATCAATCAGGCAGAATGTGGTATGGTATGTGGAGAAGACGTTATATAGGCAAATTGCGGCCTCGAGATATTAGAGTATACGAACATATGCCTCCGATGACAAAGGGAACAAAAATTCAGATGCGGGACCTGAACATCTGCAGAATATGATACCCAGTCGTACCCATGAAGAGGAGGACGAAGAGAATGGCGCCGCCCATGCTGGGATCGTAAGGATAGACGGCGAAGGGAGCATCGCCCGAACCTTTCGTGGCGCCCATTGTGAGGTGTACAGTACGGCTCTAAAGAACACGAAAAGTGGCAAAGACAAAAAAATGAGAGAAATAATGAGTGGGATAATGGCAGAAAAGAGAGTAGGGAGATGATTTTTGAAAAATCAACCGAAATGACCTTATTGCTTCCAGGCGGTTGAGTATATATGTCGCTCCAACTAGGACGTTTAAGAAGAGTGTGGGGTTCGTAACTGCGGGCCTACATCCGCACTTGAGAGACAATCGAGGTCAAGTGATGGCCTCAAGGCAGAGCACTTCGACTGTTGAGCGAGAGTATTATTGATATCTAGAATGCATCCTCGTGGACTGTTCGGCAGGAGCCATAAGTATAGCCTTTTGCGACCGACGGATGGGGCAACTGCTCTGCTCATTGCACATCATGTCCGTGTTTGAAGGAGCGTCGAATGGCCACAAGGATTGAATTCTGAACAAGAAAAGATTCATATTCCTTCAATATAGGCCAATGGATGAGAGCTCCTGAAGAAGTTACTCAGGTGGAAGCTCGCTATTATTCCGCCACCAAGAAGCCACAGCTGATATCCCCTACCTGACGCCCGCGGTCATATGTGCTGCTAGCACTGTGCTTAACTTAATATAACTTCCTACGCATCCATGGAATATTGTATTGAAGCAACATGGCACGCTAGAGTAGGGGGATAGTGGATCTGTTACCTTTTCCGCCAGCATAGCTCTCTGTACGAGGATCGTGATACCTATACGAACACGAAAAGCGGGCCATGAGCGGCAGCACTGCCAATGAGGAGCGGACCTGGAAGATCTTTCTGGTTATGTCCTCCCACTAAAATCTCTGTAAATTCGTGGGAGCCAACCACAGGCTCAGGACAAACTCGTATTCGTATAAGATCTCGAAGTTGGAGCCGCCATTTTGAATGGGATATGTGGAGCCATGAAACGGTCGTAAATCTTTCAGCGTGTGATAGGATAAGGGACTTGTCAACAATTGAGTTTTCGAGTCGCCCGGGACGCAGGCGTCATGAGTGCTACTTTGGTCCGGCGGTTCGGTGCATCTTACGAATCCCAATGGCCATCTTAGCCCAGGCACAAGTGGTAAATAAGGTGATGAGATTGACTTTATACTCACATTGATAGCAGTATTCCATGGCTCATTCAGTGTGATCCAATTCTCGACCCTGTCTCCAGACCCCTCATAACATGGTCTCGCGTACCACTCAAAGTCTTTCTGGGACTCCTTAATATCTAGCCAACCGTCTTACCGGTCTTGCAGCGCCTGTGGATACCTCATCGCCTCTGACAGAGGCCAACCTGTTCAGGAAACTGAGGATTTGACGAAAGATGGTTGGATTTCATATTTTCGGGGGATTTGTGGATCAAAATCGGAGCATTTCGCCGAGATACTACTCCGCTTAATCAATGCCCGCAGTGGAATGGGGGATAATCCTCTTGGCCCCGCAAGGGCATACGCTCTCCACAAATCGACGGCCGATGATGGGTTGGCTCTGCCAAGAAATTAAAAAGTAGTAATGAGACGTGATCTAACTAACGATCGAGTCCGATGACAAAACACATCAGACAAGCCACGCCGTTCCGTTCCCTCCCCTCCACTGCGGCTTTCGCTCTCACGCAGCTTATTTCCCCCACCGTCAAGCATTCCCTCTTGGGAGCACAGTCTCTATGCACGAAAGACCGAAAGGATGCGCTGCTGATGGCCACTATTCAGGCAGGCTGCTTAAACTATACTGTTTTGTTACAAACTTTTTTCTACGGACTAGCAGGCCACATTATGTTTCACAGCCAGGTACTACCCTGAGGCGAATAGTCCTAAAATTAAAGTTAAGGCCGGATTTCGTCCAGGGGGAGCGGTGCTCATATGATGTCAGTGATGATACTCTCTTTAGATAATCAGTAGCTAGGTCGCCTTGTTTAGAACATAAACTTCAACCTCTGCAATACCCGTGCGAGCAGGTATGCAAGTCGCAATAGGGAACTCTCCTGGGCTGGGCTCTTCGTTGGGCAAGACCACAGCAGAGCCTCCTCTCGTCTCATCGCCGTTCAACAGGCGCAGCGGACGGAGATTGCCCTCTTCACTCACTTCCATTTCTTTGGCCTTCAAAATCCCGGTGAACCCGACTCCCTTTTTCACACTCTTGAAGGAGACCTGGAAGCCGTATCCGACAAGTAGGAACTTCTGATCAGCCAGCCTGATGATAATGCCGGCACCAGGGCCCGGTTTACCAAAGACAGACGCTCGCTCAACGGTGACTTGCATATCCCCGAACAACTTAGTCCATGGCTTCTCAAGTCTTCGATCCCGTATCTCATCAAAGTAGAATCCGAGGCGGTCGACCAGCGAAGAACCCACTACCAGATCCTTGACCTGGCTCAGAAGTTTGTACTCCCTGCCAACGGCTTCCGGACCTGTGTCGATGCCAAACGGACTTACCCCTAACGCACCATACGCTCCATGGGCGAGCCATATCCTGCGAGCCCCGTGTTCATCGCGCCTTTGTTCCGGAATAAAGAGTGGATTTCCCTTATCTGTAAAATCCTTACATACCGTCTCGTAATCCTGCAAGTAGAGATCTGGCGAGATAAAGTCCAACGAAGGGGCGGCAAATCGCCAGATATCAAGAACGTGCGCGCAAGGTCCGCCAGAAGGGTACTGCCCCGGGCTAAAACCACCGGCGACGGCAGCACTGGATACCACTGATGAAGCGAGACCGGCATCTAGAGCATCGAGGCCATCCAGGTTAAGCCAGGCGTTGGCATAGTGTGGTATTGGGTAGCGCTTCTTGCCGAAAGCGGCGACCCTTTCTATGTACCGGGCAAAATGAAAAGCCATAAACACCTCGTCGGCCGGCGCTCCGGCTCCAAAGGCATCTTCCCATGAGTGCTCTCCGTCTTTCGGGACGTTGGGGAATCGCTTTGCAAACAGTGGATGTGGGTTGTCGGCCAGGTGACGGAGAAGCGATTCCGGGACAGGCTCCCTGAAAGCCGCTTCAGCAAGGGAAGATCTATCTCTCGAATCGCCCAGTATCCCCGGCTCATTCTCCACTTGGACCATGAGGATAGTAGAGTGGTCTGCATCAAAGTCCTTCAAGTGTTGTAACAGCTTGCCAAACGCCCTTGCGTCCGCCTCTGCACATTCCGTAGACAAGGGCGTTATAGTATCAAGAATCTTTTGGCCGCCCCCTGGCTCTATTGATAGTACTCTCGGGAATCGCTGCGGGTCTGTCTTGACCCACGAAGGAGCGTACGTGCTGAGAGCATTCTTGTATGCACCGAACCATAAGAGTACAAGACGCATATCGTGCTCCCGAGCGCCGAGAATAATCTTGTCCAGCTCCGAAAAGTCAAACTTGCCCTCGAATGGCTCGATCTGCTCCCAGGACACGGAGCCGAGCAAGGTATTGATGCCCTGTTTCTTCATAGCTGGCCATACGTCGGCCATGTAGCGGGCCGAACTGAGAGAAGAGTTATGCAGCTCACCGGCAAGCATGAGAAAGGGTTTGCCGTTAACAATAAGACGAGTGTGATTCTTGTCACGCCGCAGGTAGGGATGCATTGGAGCCTGACGTTCGCCGTCGGCGGCCATCATTGTGGAAAAGAGGTAGCTAGACGATTGTGAGACGCAATCGTCGTAGAGATCACATACCATTCAATCATTGTATACTTATTGAATTCTCTCGCAGCCAGCATATTCGATCGGTGTCTTTGCCAGGCCATGGCAATTCTTTACTCCATCTCCTGCCGTCGGTGCAACTGTGGAGCTGGAGACCCACCATTTGTCCGAACATTCTACGAAACGACCACAAATCAAACACGCTCGCTGAGCTCAAAAAGTGTATAAAGCGAGGCAAAATGATTGGACTTATTTCGGCAAAGCTTTGCAGTGTGTTGCGCAATGGAGCAAGTGCGAGTCAACCCGGTCATTCCAGGCTTCGCCCCTGACCCTTCGATTGTCTATGTCGATGGCACCTACTTTCTTGTCAATTCCAGCTTCCACATATTCCCCGGATTACCAGTATATGCATCAAACGACCTTAGGCGGTGGAAGCATATTGGTAAATTTCCCTACCCTTGTCGCTTGCCACCGTTTCCTGCTGACGAGGATAACTATCAGGTAACGCTTTGAATCGCCCTGGACAATTAAGTCTCCGACACTCTGTCACCAAGATCGTCGTCGACCCGACTGTCCCAGAAGACAAGGTACTCGCGCAGGGAGGAATTTATGCCCCCACGATCAGATATCACAAGGGCACCTTTTACATCGTCTGCACCAATGTCCTACATAAGCAATCCCAAGCACCAGATGTGAGTGAATATGAAAATTTCATCTTGTCAACCACAAACATCTGGGCCGACGAATGGAGCGACCCGATCTTCTACGATTTCAAAGGGATTGACACCAGTTTGTTCTGGGACAACGACGACCGCGTATACCTCGTCGGCGCTGCTTCTTCTCCCAATGCCAAGACCAAGATCCGGCAATTCGAGATTGATCTCAAGACAGGGGCAAAACTCTCCGAGGAAAAGTTACTCTGGGAGGGAGTCACTAAGGTATACCCTGAGGGTCCGCACATGTATAAGAAGGACGGATGGTATTACCTTCTTATTGCCGAAGGTGGCTGTTTTGCTAATCACCATACCATAATGTCAAGGTCGCGGGATATCTGGGGTCCGTACGAGGTGAATCCAGCAAACCCGGTGATGAAGAAGGCGGATCCCAGTGCATATATCCAGCACACAGGTCACGGCGATCTTTTCCAGAGTCCCTCAGGACAGTGGTACTTTGTGTGCCTGGGCGTCAGAAAGACCAACGGTCGGTTCATCATGGGTCGCGAATCTGTCCTCACCACGGCCACCTGGCCCGAGGGTGAATATCCGAAGATAGATCCTGTCCAAGTGGATGCGTTGCTTGCCACCAAGGGAGGTGATTTACCTGTATGGCCTGCCAGCAGGACGGCCGACCGCCCTGATGTGGCTTTCGTCCATATCCGCGATCCCATTGGAGAACATTATAAACTGGAGGGAAACATCATCTCCCTGACGGCAACGAAGGCGGACGTATCTCAATCAGACGAGCCAGTAACATTCATTGGCAAGCGTCAGAGACGCCTAACGGGCTCGAGTTCAGCAGTACTAGGTCCCTTTGTGCCATCAAAGCTCAAGGGCTCTGCTCTCAAGACTGGGCTGTGCTACTACAAAGATGAGCACCGCTTCATCCGTGCTTTCCTAGACGTGGATCTTGGGGGTGTGGTCCTGGAGATTGTCAATAAGGCGAAGTCTATTGAATTGAGGACAGCTTATCACCTTGGCGTCCTGAACAGCGACACAAGTATTGCGTTCGGTTTTGACCATACTGAGGTGGAGTTTGTGTTCTGGTATGCAGCAAGCAACAACCCAGAGGGGAAGAAGGAACTTGGGAGAGTAGATACCCTTGACATGACTGGGCTTGACTTCGTGGGACCTATTATTGGGATCTTTGCCACAAGCGATGTGGAGGTAGAAGCTCGGTATTCCAGCTTTGTTGTAGCATGAAAGAGGCGAATAAGGGACCATTAGGTTTATGATAGAAGAATAATATGTTTCTGCCATGTTCCCCGCCCAGCTCCTGCACGTATTATCGTGCTGCTATTTCCTGGCCGCGGAATATTCTTGCGAGCGTAAATACGCCGATAACAAGTATTCCAGTATCAGGGATCTTGAAAGCACAGCGCAGTGTTCTGTTAACATCATTTGATGCTAAAATGCTAGGAATGCGCGTATCTAGGCCTCTAACTGGTGATTCTAAAAGGATCGATTGACATGCCAGATCCCACCACAATCATCGGATGGCCCGGATACTGCTTTTCAAGTTTCGCGGGTCCCTCTAAAACAAAGAGTACTTTGGCGACGCTCAGATATATAATGTATCATTTGGGCAGCATCAGAGATTCTGTGATGCTGTGCTCGTCTACTCTAAAAAAAGGCTATGTTCAATAGTGATCGACTAAGAACTGAAACTGACGTGAATGCAGCCATGACCGTCTAAGTATATTCTCTATCAAGTGTAACTCCTCACAAACCAGACCAAAAATAATCGGCAACAAGATCAAAAGGTTGCCGGAGAATCTCATCCTTAGGGTCAGCGCTCGTGGGGATGATAATTTCAAACGTTCCCTTTTCTGCAAACCACTTTGCCTCTCCACCTGGTGGGACCTGGCATTTCAAGGTCCAGTCCGGCATAGAGCGACGCCGCAGTGCTGCACATTCCAAACCAGTCGCTCATCACCAGGCCGTCCCATTTCCAGTCATCTCAAAGAACGTGGTTGATAAGCCATGGATCTTCGGACGTGTGTACTCCATTGATCTTGTGGTAGGAGGGCAGGTTCATACTGTAATCGCGGGGATACTCAACTTCTTGATACCTGAAGTCTTCCAATTATCTTTACCAGATATCAGCTCAATCTTCTCGTGAATGGCCATCTCTGCCAACACCCTGTCTACGTCGATGAACACCATGGCTGCGTCGAAACCAAAACTGTAAGAGGATACCTGATCGTAAATGGTACCACGCCGGAGTCATACTTCTCGCACACATCGAAATACTTATAATTCCTGAAAGAACTGAGAATTGGTGACTGCATCGAGTGATTGAGTATGTGGCATAATTTGTTTGGACTTACTCCACAATTTGTCCACCCGAATGCGACGATCCTTGAATTCGGAGATGCAAGATTTTGTTTCCGGTGCCTGGTGGGCATTTTCCCAGAGAGCATCACGACCAGCCAGGTTTCCTGCGATTGTTGCAAAGCCATCTCAGCCTGAACGATAGCGAATCCGTTGTTCAAGGTTCCAGGTGCGCTTACGTAGGCGAGGCACTGTGCTCCGCTGGCCTGGCTAGCTTTCCCCATCCATCGCTCTAACCCTCACGTTGAGCATTTACTCCCATGCCCTGTGAGTGGCCGATGACTAATGGGCTGGACTATCGTAGCAACTCATTCAGTGGCCGACTGCGGGAACTTCAATATCATCGCCGCGTGGGATTTTGCTGCCCAGCAATTTCGATCACCCAAGGTTCCTCACCCACACGTCCAGGGCAAAGCGGTCTTCAAACATCAAAATCCTCGCGACAATCCATATCCCTTCCCTGGAGGTCAGCCAATATTGTGTACGATATCCCCATGTCTCACGCCGGGAGAACCGTTATCCAGGGGTCGGTCCAGACCTCCCCAAAGTGAAAGTCGGTGGCTGGTAATTCTCGGTTAACTCAAGCTTTTATTTGTTCCCTTAATAGGTGATCATGACGGAGAGTTTGGGGTATAAAGCCACTAAATCTGTGTAGAGATATCACAAAGGCAGAACCTCTTAGTCACATAACTTAGTTAAGCTAACCAGGCCTATTGACATTTCATATATCTACAATGCTATACATTCTAGATATTAATTTCATCTCTTATATATATGTATATATTCTTTGTTTGTTTCTTCTTGGGCTATTATTCTCTATCACACTAGCTCACATATAACCTTGAATCCGCATGGCCTCACATCGGGTAACAAACGAAATGCGAGGAGAGGTTACCAGAAGGTAACGAATTTAGCCAGGTAGCCCCTCCCGCCCATGCGAGCATCCAGTAATCTCATGCTCGGTGAAATTCGGCGGAACTGTGAATGTCTCGGCCAATTACACAGATGCTGTGGCTGCAAAAGCTCCGAGCCCGACTGAGCTCATGTGGGGTTGAGTCATGTGGTCGAAGCAGTGGTCCCATGGGGGCAAATCCGGGGAGCAGACGATATTGCCCCAGCTCCCTATAAACAGCAAAGTTATATATATATAGAGGCTCATCTCGTTTGTTGCAAAGTGCTTGTGAATCGTCAACTTCGCTCATTGTTTCCCTTCTCACTCTCCAATTCTTCAAGTATCCTACTCCAACAAGATGGCATCTGCCAGAGGGGACCAGCTGGGAATCCAACAGCTGTGCACCAACGAGTCATGGTGGCGTGTGCCACACCTGGTTAAACTGAACCTGTTGCTTTTTGTGCCGTTCTTGAGCAGCTATGTCGGTGGCTTCGACGGAAGCATGCTCAACGGGGTCCAGACTCTCACACACTGGAAGGAATGTAAGTTCCGTGGCCGTACCCCAATGCATACAATCGGATCGGTTCGGACAGACGACTGAAGGCTAATACGGGGGTGGATCTACAGACTTCGACCATCCATCAGGGTCCATCCTGAGTCTCATGGTTAACATGCAGGTCATTGGTGGTGCAGTTTCTCTGCCTCTCGCTCCCTTCGCCGCGGATAAGTTCGGACGACGACACCCCATCCTTGCGGGATCTATTATCATCATTGGCGGTGCATTGCTGCAAGGATGTGCTCAGAATATGGGCATGTTCCTAGCTGGGCGGTTCTTCATCGGTCTGGGCGGGGGATTCGTCGCAACCGCTGCCCCGCCACTTCTTGGAGAGCTGGCGTACCCGACCCATCGAGCCTTCATCACGGCTGTCTACAACACCACCTGGGTAAGCAGAAAGTTTCCCTTTCTCTTGCTTGATTTCCTCTGATGAATTATATCATAGTATGTGGGAGCCATCGTCGCCGCTTGGTCGACATATGGTTCATTTAAGATAGCAAACAATTGGAGCTGGCGAATTCCGTCCCTCTTGCAGGCCACCGTGTCTATTATACAGATCATCTTTATCTATTTCGTGCCAGAGAGCCCCAGGTGGCTTATTGCCAACAACCAGACGACGCAGGCTACCAAGATCCTTAGCAAATATCACACGGGTTCAGAGGAGCCGAATGAGCTTGTACGGCTCCAGGTCGCCGAGATTACTGCTGCCATCGAGTTTGAGCGCACATGCAATTCAGTCTCTTACCTACAGTTCTTTCAGACAAGTAAGCTCTTCTACCCATTGACGTCCAAGGCGCGATGCTAATGCCTATTTCCTTGACTCTCAGAGGGAAACCGTCATCGGCTGTTCATCGTTGTCGCGATTGGCTTCATCATTCAGTGGTGCGGGAACCAGCTGATCTCCTCATATCTCGCCCTTGTGCTTATCGACACCGGCATTACCAACCCCGAAACACAAAATCTTATCAATGGCGGCCTGCAGATCTACAATTGGGTCATCGCCTGTACCTGCTCCACCCTTCTCGACCGCCTCGGCAGACGATTCCTTCTGTTGAGTTCGAACATCGGCATGTTAATCGCCTTCACCATCTGGACTATCCTCGCGGCACGGAACCAACAAACCGAAGACGCCCATCAAGGGCTTGCTATCGGCGTCTTGGTGATGATATTCGTCTTCATGTTTTTCTATAACCTCGCTATGAACCCCGTGCCAATCGCCTATATCCTCGAGGTACTACCATATACACTCCGCACAAAGGGTCTTACTGCGTTTAACTTGGCGCAATACTGCAGCGGCATCTTCAACGGCTTCGTTAACCCGGTCGCACTGGACGCGCTGAGATGGCGGTACTATATAGTGTTTGTCTGCGCCCTGGTGTTATGGCTGATTGTTATCTACTTCACTTTCCCCGAAACTCGTGGCTTGACACTGGAGGAGGTCAGTCAGATATTTGATGGGAGAGAAGCTCTACATAGAACGTATGACATCAAGACCGAGGGGCTTGATGAGGCAGAGCATACGGAGAAGGTAACCTCCGATCATAAGGCGTGATGCGACGTCGGGATCCAGCGGACCGCGAGAAAGGCGGGTAGAGTCTTTGTTTAACCAAGAAATAACCTGGATTTTTCTGTGCGGAGGGGAGAGGGGTTGACTCGTGCCGCCCGTGGCAAATGCAATTGGGGGTATAGGTAGCCTGTGATATACAAGGGAGAGATGCGGGGTGGTAGAGATAGCGAGATAGCTTACGGGCCGGATCGAATGTATGAAGGGCTTGGACCATCCATTTATAGTCATGCCAGTCTGGAATAGCGGTAGTCATTGCTGCAAAACTGGTGTAAGTTTGAGCATCTCCGGAGGAACTCAAGGAGTTGATAATAGCTTTTTCCCAACCTCGCACAGAAATCAGGAATAGTTACAGGTAGTGGTACAGTACATAGTACAGTACATACCGTTAACAACCTTCCATGGAGCAAAGCGTGTCCTACCAAGGAAAAGACCCGAATTCTTGAAATCCGGGGAAGGGAAAGAGTGAAAGAGACGGCCAATGCTGGTTGTGCATATATGGGAGAATGGGGCTCTTTTGGATATCCGATACTGTGGAGCAAGTGATAGAGCTTAAACACCGCAATGAGATTTTCAAAGACGAACTTCAACAGGGAGGATTCCCAATAAATTTAGGTTCGCGGAAGAGTATTACATGAAGAAAGGATTTAAGGTCATAGAGGAAGCGTTGCAAATAGTAGCAGACACCGACCGTATCCTCGACAAGGCCGGAATAGCTAAAATATAGGCCGTCATTTTGAAATATCCCCGAACGAGGCCAGGTGAGAAGACATATTGGAACATCCACCGAAACTAGTAAATGAAACCGTATTGATCCTATGCCCCTTTTCGACAGAAAAAAAAAAAAAAAAAAAAAACATGAGATTGAGGAGTCTCAATCATTGCGCACTAGCAATCTTCGAGGCAGAATGCTTAGAACAGTTGACATCCGATTATTGTCCCACCACGTCTGATGCTCTTGAATCCAGGCGGACTAGCATGTCAATCAAGCGCATGGCACACCGATTCGCCTGTGACTTGACTGCTTCATTCAAGCCACTATGTGCTAGCTCGAGGAGCAGGCTGCCAACGTGTCTGATCTTCTCAGCCTATTTGGAGCATCTCGTATAAGCGGGCAAATATGTAAAAGAAGACATTGGATGTTATGTTTGGGCAACTTACGCAGTGCTCTCCCTCCACCTGAAGATGTAGAAAGCAGACGCTCTCAAGGACGTTTAGAAAATCTTGGGCTAGTTCAATCTGCCTCGTGGCAATCGTCAGGGGATCCGCGCTGAGGCCGATAGCCTCTGTCATACCATACTGGATCGCAGCGTTCAGGACAAAAACCTTTATGCTGTGAAGATTGAGAAGATAGGTCGTTCGCTGGCGCTGCAAGATGTCGAGAAGGCGTTGCTCTGCGCCGTGGGGGACGCCGGAAGATGACTTCACTGGTGATCGCACCCAGGCTGGGGACTCGTTCGTCAAGATGATCAGCTCAAAGTACGCTTCAGATACCTGCGCCATGCTTGCGGAAGATATTTCCGTGTGGTTATTTGGGTCAGACGACCTCCCGGAATGTGAGACCATGGCTTGGATAACACTGGCGGCCAAGGCCCACAGGCGCCGTATGACGTGGAATCTCTCCAAAAGTTGGCATTCTAGTCCAGGGTCAATTTGTTCCTGTCCGCGGTCAAAGAGTGGCACGGGGTTTTGAAAATGATCCTTGAGGGTCAGTTCACGCTCAAACAGCGGTTCATGAATTGTTACTGGACGAGTCTTCATAACCAAGGCGGTTTTGTCGCACACGTAGAGCTGCCAAAAGGCGTTTCGGAGGATATTTTCCTCAATAGGTTCCAGTCCTGCCAGTGAACCTTCGTCGTAGAGACGCATTTGCATTGCCATGAGTCCCGCCTGATTCAGAATATGAAAGGCCACCTCCTGCTTCCCAGTGGCTTGCTGTATAGCCGACGAGAGTAACATGCGGATGCTGAGCGATGAGTAGTTGGGGTGCTCAATATCATAGTCTTCGTAGATCCTGAGTGTCTGCCGCGATGCACGGAGGAATAGTGGGCCGATAAGATGCTTGTTGGGTAGGAGATGCTCTGGGACAACGTATGCTACCTCTGCACATAGGGCTGTGAGAAGAGTGAGACTCCGGAGGATCTCTATGTGCTCCCGCTCAGTATCGGCAGCAAAACTGCCCCAGATCCGCGCGTGGTGATCTGCAAGGCCGTCCGCGCTCGAGGGCAGGTTAAAGAAGCGATTTGCGGTTTCTCGAAGGCGACCTTCATGGCATATGGGGACTGCTCCGAAAACGTACTGGGTGTAGAGTGAAATGCAGTGATCTGCGATCGATGCTGCTGTGTGGGACGGAGTTTCACTTAGCAGCCCTGCCAGGAGGTCTAGATGCACTTGAGAAGCTGTTTGGGTTTGGCTTCCTAGGAGTTCAATTGCACTCTTCGCTAAAGGGCTGTTGGAAGCCAGGTATGAAGACCCCCTGGCAACGAGGTGCCCAGCACCACCCGATTCCACCGATGAAGCTGTGGCTGGGGAAGTTGATTCAAGAGACTCTCTCGGGCTATGGTCTAGCAATTTGACTGGCTTTGGACCCCTTTTTTGTGGGATCGGGTATCGACAGGGGGCCTTTGCTGCATGGCAGTTCTTGCACGTTGGGAAACCGTCGCACTGGTCGTTCCTCGTTAGCCAGACGCGGCCGACTCTTTCTTCGCGGAAAACCCCGGATCAACATTACTTACTTTCACTTTCCGACGACGACATTCCATGCAAGCCTGCCTTTTGCCAGGAGAAGTCATTATGGGGCTGCCAGAAGATGTTCGGTGGAATTTCAGGTCGGCGAATTCGCCAGGGTCGACACTCACTTTAAGTGGAGCTGTCCCGGCTAAATGGAGTCTTGGTAAATCCACAAATTTGCCGAGTGGGCCGGTCTCGAGCTCCAGGTCCACTCATGCGACCCAGCCGGCGAATGAATGCTTCTGTGGCGGGATTTCGGGAATCCCCACGCGAGCCTGTTCTCTCCCCCAGTGCAAGTGGTGGCTGCGATTCTTCAACTTGGTCCCTCAAATTCGGAGCAAGGTTGCAGCCCATGCTTTGCGGAGTTCTATTTCACGGGGCAGCTTAAGCCGATCGACGCATCCATGTACTTTGGAGAACTCTGGGGTACATTAGTGCGGGGCAGCAGAGAGTGGTTTAGTGGTCCAATCATGTCGTCCTCGTACTCATTGCCTGCTGTCGTATTCGTCATATTTTCGTACATTCGTATTCGTAATTGTGTCCCCTCATGTGTGTACAAAGCATATACAAAGAATACCAACGAGGACACTATGAGACGATGCAACTGGTGCTCCTGAACTTTCCAATGATTGTCTCTACAGTGCTCTAGTTCCTACTACTTGGGGTTTCTCGCCCTGTAGCCTATCAAGGTGTCCGCCTGGCAGCGTTGGACCAGTTCGAACACCCTCCAGTCAAATCAAAGATCAAGTTTCGTTATTAGTGAGAACTCACGTGATTAAGTCTTATCAGTTCATGTGCTCCATACCAAAGCCAGGATGCAGGTTCCCAGATGCAAGCGTCCCCGTCGCGTTGGTCCAGCGTGATATTGCTGACCTTGTGTCTAATAGCGCTGGTGGCTTGCAGCTAGTCCCCTTTTACTATTATGGTAATCCTAGTAGCGCTTCCCCACCTATAGACTAGAACATGTTTGGGTTTGGTACTCAAGCTTTTTAAAGTCTATTTAAAGGAGCGTTAGAAGTAGTAGTAGAGAATAATATCTTTATTGATTATGGATGTAATTAGATGGATCTCCTAATCTAAACATGCTGTATGTACAAGAAGGAATAGCTAGAGAAGAGTGTTACGGGCTGAGCTCGACCCTTGGGAGAACTCGGCCTTTAGCCTCGTGGCTCTGGAACGTCCCTACTAAGTACATGACCTATATATTCTTATATCTTACTATGATTACCTAGATTACTATTCCTTGGCTATTCCTTTTATACTAATAGGCGTGCTAGCCGTATTGAGGCCGCGTTTGCCACGAGCTCATTAGGATATCATGTGCAGGTAAAGGCATGTTTCCGTCTCCCACTGCACAGATGGGGTGTCAAGGACTACTATTCCTGTCACGGAACATGTTAAGGACACCAAGACAATGGCCTCCTCGGCAGAACTCTTTTCCTCATCAAGATTCATCGGGACCGCACGTGGACCGTGCATGAGTGATCCCCACTTCGGCCCAACAGCAGCAACAGACGAGGAGGATCAAAGTTAATAGCTCCCAAAATGGAAGTTCTTGGCTCCGTTTAACGTTCTTAACCGGAGGGTTTGCAAGAAATTCAAAGCTATGTTGGAGTGACAAGTGCTTCGCATACCTACCAATTGGCCGCGTACCAGTAATCCGAGGCAGGTGCGAGGTTGGCCGCAGGTTGACGTGAAGAATCCATCGGGCAATTACCAGAGGGTTCCCCACATCGTTTCCACCACGCCACTCATCGTATTCGGGAGAATACTTGTCTGGCACGAAACAAAAGGTCTGCCTAATTTCCCCGAGTGCCCGCTGCTCCCGAGCTGAAATTCGGTATACCTGCTGGATATATCAGTCTGATGTCACAAGATTGTGTAAATCAAACGACGGAGTCATCCACGAACCTAAAAGAGCATTGAGTAATGAGCTGCAGTTACCTCTGTAAATCTTGTTGCAAGTGATTCAACTATACCTTAGAAAATTGGAGCATGTGTTCGCCTTGGGAGATGCTCCAAAGCGGAAAGGTTCACTCCGGGGGAATTGCGGAGGAAGCCTCACGAACTCCGTCATTCAGGCAAGGATGTGACCTCGCCAATCAGCGGCTGTGGCCCGTATTCGTACCATACCTCGTAGTCAACTAAGAGCGAGCGTGCTGTCCAAGGATGTTTATATAAAGCCCTACGAAAAGTAGAATTAAATGAGTTATATTAAACCCCAGAGAGTTTCAAAAGATATACCCTGTCGATACGATGAAGGCCGCGACATTCGTCATCGCGCTCCTGGCCGCTCTCCAAGGCACCAATGCCCTCGACGGCATGGGAACCACGCCTTTGAGGAAGGAGGCAGCCAAAAAGGACATTCTCATCGGGTCCGGCGCTATCAACCCAAGCTATCTTGATGATCCTCAGTTCGCAGCCGTTTTGGCAAAGCAGTTCAACAGCCTCTCGCCTGAAAATGAGATGAAGTGGTCCTTTATTCACCCGACCAAAGACCACTACGACTGGTCAAAGATCGACCGCCTTGTTACGTTTGCCGAAGACCATGACATGGTGCTCAAGGGCCATGGCCTGATCATGAGCTGTTGCAATCCCGACTATTTACTCAACATTACGGACCCCACGGAGTTTCGTGCTGCAATGGCAGCCCATTTCAACGCGGTCATGGGCCGTTATAATGGCAAGGCAGATAGGTGGGACGTTGTTGTCGAGCCCCTGAAAACACAGGGGGGTGGCTTGCAAGCTATCCCCTTCTACAATGTGCTTGGTCCCGGGTACCTCGCAGAAGCCTTCCACATGGCTCGGGCAGCAGACCAGGACGCAAAGCTATTCCTAAATGAAAATCTGGTTGAATCTATCCCTAGCAAGCGTCAGGAACTCTATGAGCTTGTCTCCCAGCTTATAGCAGATGGAGCCCCGATTGATGGAATTGCCTTGCAGTTGCACATTACTGAAGTACCCCTGGTACCAGGAGTAATCACGGAGCTGGTAAAATCCTATAAGGAGCTTGGACTGGAAACCACGATTGCTGAAATGGATGTCCACACGCTTAATGCCACACTTCAGACCAAGATTTACGGCGACGTTATCAACGAGGCTCTACACGCAGGAATAACAGATATTAGCTTCTGGGGCTTTACGGATAGGCACGCCTATACCTGGGTCGAGGGCGCGAAGCCATTGATGTTCGACGAGTGCTACCGCCCCAAGGGCGCATTCTACGCTACTCACGGTGCCCTGAAGAGCTTCGCGGATGGGCACTAGGATGCTAGAGGACCTGGACCATTCGGGACTGTGTAATTGACTGGGCTGACAGCTCCAAGAATTTACTTGCGCGTCTGAAGAACTCACCCTTTTTTTTTAATGTTCACCCAGTCTTAAGAGGCATGGTACTCCAATCTACATAATAACATGCTGCTACCTCTTTTTGCCTTTACAATCATTATGCACCCGTGTATAATATAATATTAACAGAGCCCTCTTAAATTACCATTAAGCTCCAGATTATATTTCAAATTAAAATACTTACCAGCGGCATGCCCCTATCGGACCATGATCCCACTTCCTTCTAGATTTCGAACTGGCCGGTAAGGTAGTGCTACAAAAGCTGATTACTATAGGTCAATTATGATCGGCTCGCATTAGCATGATACTCGCTTCGAATCTCTCCGCAAGGAGTTGTCTCTGGGAAGCGCTAGAGCCGCGCTAACAACTCCCTAAACAATCCCTGTCCCCGCTGTTCCCCAAGCGGGAAAAGAGCATGGAAAGAACAGGGCATCTTAATCTCGCGCCCAGGAGCCAGTTATGACTCGGCGTGCAGGGAGGCGGTCCAACCCTTTGGCCACGATCTCCTTGGACCCTAACAATGGCTCGAATTCAGCCGCGAGGCAGTATCCCGCTGGTGCTCTGTGGGCTGATTGCACAGCTAAGGCTTTGGGTGGTTTGATCCTGTATTCCTAGTCCGCAAATCAGCAGCTTTGGACGGCCAACAGGATATTCCGCGAGGGTTGGCGAATTGCTCTGACGGCTGCAAGGCACCAGATATTCTATTCATGGAAGGACACAATTGTCTTGTCCATGGCTTGGTGCATCTGGTCATATAAAAGGCGACCCTTTCCAACTTGCTATTTTTTTGGTGGGATACGACAGATATCTAAACCTCCCATCCATCCCCATCATGCAGAAACTCCTCCTCGCCCGGTTCCCCTGTAACACACTCGGCCAGCATCGGCGAATCCTGATTCCAACTAGACATGATCAAATCCGCATCCGCCGCTCTCTCGCGAACCCGGGCGGGAAGAATCTGCCCCTTATGGTTTACCCCCAGTAGAAGAAGCCAGCCCTCCTCGCAAGCCTTGCGGTCCGCGGTACAAACCAACAGGTTCTGATCAGCATCACCACGCTCGCTCTGAGAATCAAGCCCAAGAATCCTTATACTATTCAGCTGGTCGGGGTAGCGGCAAAAGGCATCGACCAGCCACGACGGCATCGACCAGGGTCTTGCGACCACGTTGCCCTCGTGTAACTCGGAGGTCTCGACATCTGCATGGTCGAAGGCGAAGTTCTTATTTAGCAACAAGGGTTCGTCGCCGTCTGCATTCTCGTCGAGATTCTGCAGCGCGTAGAAGTACAGCCGCTTGTAGCCGTCGTCCGCAGCGCGTTGGCTTGCCTCGTTATTCTTCTCGCCGAACCACGTGCGGATCCAGAACGACTTGCTGTAGTGACCGTCACACGCGCGCTCCCCAGGGGTAAGTAGATCTACATGGACGCCGGCAGGGACTTCGTCCGTGGTGGACACGTAGCCCCGGGCGTATTGCTGGTGTACAGTCAAGACAAATTTAATCCTATTTGTTGCCTGGACTTGGTACTAACTTCTCTAGCTCGATGGCCGAGTCCGATGCAACGCTGCACCAGCGACCGTTTCTGTTCTTCTTTGCTGAGCGGGGATGCTATGTCCCAGTGTTCCTGCGCAGAGTTATCATTGTGCGAGAATCGCGGGGAAACAACTAACTCACCAGGATCCAATGATCAAATGGGAGTTCTCCAAAATCGGGGACGTCTAGGGTTGAGGTGTCGACGTCCATGATGTCTTCTGGGATGTACTTGAGGTTTGCAGCCCATTTGTTTGGTGCTATAGGATGCTCTATAGGCAGCCAACATCCAGACCCTCTTACGCCGCTCGCCCCACTTCTCTCTCTCTTGCAAAAGCCTGCCATGGAGCTAGGGTACCGTCCACGGGTGCAGCGGTAATTAGCCTCTTCTCCTGTCGCACTTGGAGCTGGGTCGACCCTACGGAGTAATTTCTCTTACCCGGGGTCAGGGAAACTAAGAGACCGAGTTTTGCTGATTATAGTGCCCAGGAATGATCTACCACTACGATGGCCGTAAATGGGGATGAGGGCAAGGGAGTATACGAGGGTATAAAACATTATAATGCTGAGCAATAGGAAAGATAGTGATTTAATGACTTTACTAACATGAGCAATAGCAAAAGAGACCAGGAAAGAGCCAAGGCATGTAGTATTATAGTACTTAACTGGAAGACAGGGATAGGATCATATGCTTTTTCAGTTTAGTACTGTGGATTTGGGATCTGTATGAATATAGGACACCAATTATACCTCACGTGGCCAAGGTACTAGACGTCGTTGATGACATACCGGAGCCAGGAGCCCCGAGCTTCTCCATATGGTATGAAAGACAGAGATACCCTTTGTTATCTGTTTGCTTTTCGCACTCACTACGAGTTCTATTTTCAGTTTCCCACCCCTCGCTATCCTCAACCAGTCAGAGCAGGCCTGGAGCCGCCACGATCGAACATCCTGGCAGATCCACCAAGGGCTTGTGTGGCACAGTCAAAGTGCATAGGCGATTGCTAGCCAATCAATATTGCCAAGGTTGCTAGTGCTGGAACTAGGTTGGTTGCTTGCATGCACTGCCTGGCCTTCCTTCGAGATCAATCGAACGTTATCAACCATAGAACACCTTTACGCCATCCATGCGACGGATTATGACCGCATAGTGTACCTCTATCAGGGCCAAGGCATATAGGTTAATGCTTTTCCTATTATTATTCATGGATGCCGATATAAAAAGAGAGCAGACTGTCATCTGCCAGCACAAAGCTGACCCCTTCCACCAACTCCCCTTGGAATTTCCAATCGAGATTCAGATCTAGTGTCTATCTTAGTCTCAATCCACCCTCAATGTCTCAGGTCTCTAGCTCACTAATGCCTCGAAGATCATCCTTCTCCTCCCGCCCCCATCTCTCCACGATCCTAAGCCTCTACCCGGAGGAAGAGCCCCGGTGCGCTGGCATCGCCCGCACACAAGGGCGTCGCTGCCGACTGCGCACAAACGCCTGCGGCCGAAAGGCTGCCGTCTCCCTCCTGGATAGAGGAACTGAAGCCCTCCACGCTGGAAGAGACATCACCCGTACCTTGAGAACTCTTGCTCCACACGTCCTCTGCACGCGCTGGCACCAGGGGCAGGCCTCTGAGCTTTTTGAGAAGTGGCAAAGGCAGATTGCGGAATTTCTAGAGTCTGTCCCTGAGTCGTCGTTGACGGACACGCAGCGGCCGCTAGTAGTGCGGCGGCGAGAGAGACCAGCGGTGGGCGGGAATGATGATAATCGGATGCGTGAACAGCCGGAAATGTGGACACCTGACGATGCTTTTGAGAGAATGCTGGAGACTCGCTTGGACGCGTTAAGCCGAGTGATAGAGGAGACAGAGGCCAGGCTTTTGAGCGAGCTTCCCGCTACTAATACTCGCCGCCGGCGTGATAGGAATGCGGCTGCTGCCACCAGTCCCGGAATGAATACTGCGGACGGCGCTGCACCCCGTCGGAGACGATCGCAGGGAGTTATGCACCCATTTACAGAGATTGTACGGCCAGACGTCCGTATTGGAGCAGGTCGCCACGATTTGTTGTCGCTCCGTGTCCTGGTTAGTGTGGAGATTGAGCCTGTAACGGCTGAGAATGGGAACGAGGGTGAGGATGTGAACGAGAACGACGAGGACGAGAATAGGGACGACAGCGAAGACGATAGTAGCGACTACGATATTGAGAACGAAGACATGGACGATCCTGCAGCTCTTGATCAGGCAGCTACTAGCAGGGGTACACAACGCACGGCGCCAACCCACGGGGTCCGGCGTCAACTAATCGAGGGAGAATGCGGCATCTGTCTCGAGCCATTACGAGGCCCGGGCATGAGCGAGTCGCGATCCGGCCGACCAGACGACGAACTAGATCGGGGGCTTTCTTGGTGCAGAGCACAATGCGGCGTGAACTATCATACGAGTTGCATTGATGAATGGGTAGCGGTAGCAACAACATGTCCGCATTGTCGGGCCACGTGGGGGACTTAGAGGCTCGCTTTTGTCTTTTGTATCAATGGAGGTTTTGGCTTGTGTTACAGCTACTAGGCTTGTGGTTTGTGAGTCTCTTTTAATCTGGTATGGCAACAGAGTGTATTGTATGGATTATGGCATTTGTTTTGACTAGGCTGGATGCAAGCTTCACACTCCCTAAATCTGAATACAGAATGCATAGGTTGGGCATACAGCAAAGAGATAGATGCTGGAAGCCGCTTGATTAACGCACCAACATAGAGGAGTCAAACCAACCAAAGCTTATCACCACTTTTGCTGCATAGAATCTCGCCTTATACGACTTATGCAATCATTTAGGGAGAGGAAGGCGATAGTAGAGAAAAGCGTGCTCCTAACCTGACTTCGAGCATATAGTAACTTGTACCAAGTTGATTGCAATAAAGGCTCTCTATCAATAATCTATACATTTGCGAGCCTCCAGCGCTGCTGTCTGCATTAGGTTTTACCTTCCAGGCCAAATCAGCACTAACATTATTATTTCCTTTCTTTATTTAAATCATTTTTATTCCCCTTTCCGCTGAAGTTGAACTGGGTTCCACCAAGGCACCGCAAGCATCCGACGCAGAAAAGTGTTTAGCGCGCGGAGACAAAAAAAGGCCCAACACATAGACAGCGTCCTTCGAGGTTAAGTAGCAGTAGCAGGGTTTGTCTGAGTCCGCCGATCCCCGTCAGAACACGGCGGTGGAGCCGTTTCTCTTTGTTTGTAGGTGGTTGTAAGGTGACGTGATTCCCTGACAGCTTCTTCTCATTAATTCCCCCTAGGGAGCAAAAAAAAAAAGCTACCAAAGACATACAGCAGTATGGATTCGCATGCGGTCACCCACCAACTACAAGCCTACCAGCGTGTGGCTTAAACGCGGATAGAAGCATGGAGCTAGACGTCCACTCAAGGCCCACCAATGATCCGCTACTGTGTAATACTAGTACGCGGCATTGCAATCCATCATATCAGACCTGACTTGGAGCACCACAGGCCACAGTGTCTACAGATCTAACGTGGAATTAAGAGGTTCGTTTTGTATGGCTCAAAGCTTAGGTTGTTTTCATGCACAATCAGCATGGACTGGCGGTGCAGGTACGCACGACAAGCAGATGGACTATTATCAGTCGTCTCCTGACTATTGGCAGTCCTTCAAGGAAGCCAATGTGACTCTCTTGTCTACTTGCCCATTCCATGACCCCGCCTCGACCACTTAGAGCTTCACCTTCCACGAATCATGCTTGGACATCCTGCTCGAGAAACCTGGGGGATCACGAAAATTCAGGGTTTGCTCCAAAGGGAGTTTGGGTATGTCTTGGGCGAGTCGAAGAGATGTTGCGATATCCAGGAGTTGCTCTCGTCATTCACTGAAGGCACTCAAGGGGAATTTTGCAAGTATGAGACGCCACTATTTGTCCATAAAGCCTATAGAAATGCCGAGTTGATGTTGGCGAAGAGATCAAGGATAGGCCAGGTCACTACAATGTGTACCTGCAGGTCAACAGCCAGGCACAGAGCGATGGCCTCAAAAACTGGCTGAAGAAGAACCCGCACGGTAACCTCGCAACAACCCAGATCAATCGCAGAGTAGAGGGGAAGGAACGGGAGGAGGAAGGCAAGCGCGCCATGTTGGATTTGGTTGAGCAGGGTAAGAAGAATCTCAAGGGGTAAGATCAGTCCTGTGGAGGTGGGAACGGCCATGTCCTCCTCGCTGCTTCAGGGGTGAGCTCTTCGCTCATAGTTTCGAGGTACATCTCGAACAGCTCCTTGTTCGCCTGGGCAGTTATCTCCCATCTGGAATGCGGGACCCAGCCGGAGTTATCAGTGTGCAGCTGGCTCTTCACGAGGTCCCAGAGGTAGAGGGTGTCCTCATATTTTGACTTTTGTTTCTCATGGGTCGTTCGCTCATTTTCGGTGATCTGGAAGGGACAATCGCCATGGAGATCCAGCAATGACCAGTCCTTGGATAGTTGAATCAAACATTCGCGTATTGGCACCAAACTACCGTGAAACCCCAGCTGACCACATACAAAGGGCTCCCACAATCGGCGGTCAAGCTTCATAGCATCATAGACGTGTTTATTATAAGCCAGGCAGGCCATCTCATAGTACTTAGACTGCGACGCCAACTCATAATTGGTTTTTGCCTGCTCCTGTTCTTCGGGAGTCAGGCTATCCATGTTGTCAGGCAATGATGGTAATTCCATGCCTGAAGTGTAGTTTTTTTGGCGGCGCAAGAAAGTCTAGAAATTGAGATTGCAGAAACAAGGGCGCGGCATGGCATGACTGCCAGTCAATGAGCCCTTCAATTTTGGCAGGATCAGTAGGGGAAAAAAAGATATTTCCCAGATGTAAGTCAGTATGCCACAGGACGGGATCGGAAACATTCACCACCTGTTGGTCCTGTGACAAGGTCGGCAGGGCCTTGTGCAGTTTGTCCAAGAGGATTCTATATTCATCTATCGATTGAGTCTCGTCGAAATTGGAGAGTTCCCGCTGCACCTCTGCTCTTGATCTTTCAATACGGTCAAATTGTCGCTGGAGAGCGGATAGAGCATAATCTTGAAGGCGCGTCCCTGGACCCAGTCAGTACCCACCATCGGCACCGTAGGTCGCAAAGGCACAGGAATACTTACATGGCCCTACATTTGCCGGTCGTTGTCCAATGACGTTGGTGGAATCGTCGTGCCACCATGTGCGTCTACAGGAGGGTCCAACGCAGAATAGGCAGTCGGGATCGAGATCTTGGGGAAGTGGATGCTGTCTGATCGTACTTGGTAGCAATTCACGAAGGAAGAGACCGCCATAGGCAGGAAGAACAATGTTGGCCAGTTCCTTCTCTGTCTGGATGACCTGGTCGATTATTTTATATCGTTCCAAAGTGTTCATAGAGTCCCACTTCTCCACCAAGGGAACCCCATTCACTTTTTTCCATTATAATGAATTCTGCACCCACTGCATTGTCAGCACCAGAGCTCCACGCAAAAACGCGTGGCACTCGGATAGACGTCCGGGATTGTACTTTTGAAAGACTGTCAGCTATCGCATAGATGAAGTACTCACCAAAGCGACATACGGAGTTTCAAAGTAGCAACTTCAGAAGCAGTGGTCAGTGTCGGAGGGCCGGCATTCGGACAAGGAAGCTTCGCTATGACCTCGTTCCCATCGTCCATAGTAAGGAGTAACGCTTTATTGAAGTTTCCTTCCTGTTTGACCACGCGAACACACTTTGTCGCATTACTCAATTGTGCCGCAGCAATGCGACAAAGATTATCGAGATCGAATTTCAGATAGCGCTGCTGCTGCTGGGCTTTCTCATCCACAAGCCATCGGCCAGAGGTGTAGCGATAGAGGTCATCTGACTCCGCTGTATCGAGGCCAAAGCACAATAAGTCTTTTGGGCATAAAGATAAGAAAGGTAAGCTTGTAGAACAGACCTGCAAAGCCAAGTCCTGATGAGTCCTTCATTGGAACTGCTTTATGAAAGTGTCGTTTGTTCTGGAGGGAAGATACCCATGAAGGATTACTATTACCACCGGAAGGACAGCTACGCCGCGGGAGGTTTGATAGCGTCGGTCCAAAAAGGAATCGAAGCCGTCTCCAGTGTAATGGCTTCGTTCTCATAGTTGGAGAGCGTGCACCAGTGCAGGGCATGCAGGCAGTTGTGAGATTAAACTGAGGTCGGAGACAACCCGGCTGTGCTTACATAAACATGCAACACTCACGTGGGCGGTGTAGGGCGAAGGAGAACCCCGGAAACTAAAACATGGCACCACAACGGTTGTCCATTTTGCAAATATCTTCGTGGAGGGGCTTCTGACTAGTAAGCGACTGTTAACAATTGTACTGTACGGGCTATAAGTGTTAACAATTACATGCACGGAGTACAGATTTCCAGGGCCAACCATGCTGCTGACAAAAAAAGGTCTGTCACGAGATAAAAGGCTGCGTTCACAGCTTGGGCTTGGCAGGCGAAGTTCAAGAGGGCTTTAGTGAAGAAGGCCTGAAGGCAAGGGCGCTAAGCCTGACTAGTCTGGGGAGGGCGCAAAATGCTGGGTGAGCAAAAACATACAACAGTAGGGATTCGCATGTGGTCACCCACCATACTACTAACCTACCGGCGTGTGGCTTAAGTACGGCTGAGCGGACGGGAAGCCCTGTTCTCCACACCCTGTGGTCGTATGTGCATGTTTAGACGCAAGAATAACTTATAGAGGTTTTGGAAATAAGATCTCGAGGGTTTCTCCCATACACAGCACTCGCCAAACAGCCATTGGTTTCAAGATTGAGCCTATATTGTATGCTCTTGACGATTGTTTGGGGACGAGATCTTCAAAAGGGGGGTCTTTTCTATCAATTACCTTACGATCTACGCATGAAATATCTGAGACAAAGCAAATAAACTCACATTTGATGTACAAGTAAGCCAGCCAGATAACCTGACTACCCTTCTGCTTACTCTAAATGATTAAATATCCAATGGATAAACTATTTACCACCTACTTACCTCCAAACCCGCAAGACCAAGCAACCACTTACCTGAACCCAAGCGCAGGCTTCGTCCCAGTCCAGGGATTCCTTGCGAAGCACAGCGTTTCCACCTCCTCCTTTCCCTCCTCAGTAACCAGCCCGATGCTCATATCCTTCGCAACATGACAGACGCGCCCCTTAGACCACCGGACCAGCTTGTCGTCCGCAGCAATCCACAAGCCAATCCCGACGCCCTTGGCGTCGGGGAGCTTGAAATCGCAATTGTCGCAAAGAGCGAGCCGCATCAGGTCTTCCTTGTTCAAAAGCACGTCACGACTCTCTCTCTCGTCTTTGGCGTCTCGGGGGTTCGTCATCACGATCAGGGGGAACGTGATGATGCTGTATACCTTGCCCCGGGCAGCGCGGAGGGTGTCTCCGGGTGTCTCCACGAAGCCGTCGCAGATGTCGCCCATCTTGATCTGCTGAACTGGAGCCATCTTGGATACTGAGTTGCTGTTGGGGTTGGAGTGGTTGGTAAATGGTGCTTAGTTGAAGAGAGCAAGGCTGGTGATTGAGTGGTGAGTGGTTGAAGGATGTGATTGCGATGCTCCGCGCAATCTATCGTGGTATTTATATACCACTTCCCTCAACACTTGAAAGACTAGGTCTTCTCATTCTTTTGTTAGACATTGATAGTGCCTTTGTATACACGTTCCTTATCTATACTAACAGAAAGGGGTGTGTCCTTTGTGCACGGCTACAACTATTGTCTGTGACGATGAAGGCGCATTGTATAACCACGATGAAAGTTTTTCAACCCATGTCGACCTTTTTGTGGCCGCATTATAGAGGTCTGCAGCTTGGAACCCTCAAAGGTTGTTTCCTTTTGCTTGTCTATTGTGGTTTTAAAGGGGCAGTCTATAAAGATTTGTTTCTTTTATGAAGTCTCTATTGCTTCGAATTGAGACCTATACGCAGTCAACAAAGGGCGGCATGGCAAAAGAGACGCATAAGCTTTTTCATAAAGATCTGGACAATGCGACAGAAGGGTCTCTCATTTCAAGACATCCTGAAAGTGGGAGGGTTACCTTCAGCGACGCAACAGAGACGGCTGATAACCAACTACTAGATGACGATATCTGATATTGTTCCTAAGAGACTACTATCAGTTGCAATTAGGATTTGGGCAAAAATATATTGGTAAGGGTTATGCAACACACTTTTCCGTCATAGTAGAAAATAAATAATAATCACAATCCGCCTCCTATACCAAAAGCGCCGGATCCTCCATCGCCCATGTCGAACTCTCTCCTTTTCCATCAGAGTCAACGATCGCAACAGAATAATCCTGACAAACCTTCCGCACACTCCCAAACCCATACCTCAGCAGCCCGGCCGGATCGACCCAGAATCCAAAAGTCCGTTTGCAGAGACGCGGAGGCCCGTCCTTAAACACCAATGTCGTATGCTGTCTTTTTTCCAAGTCAGCACGGGTCTGCAACACGGACTCCGAGATGTCTTGGGCCGTGATGGGCTCCACGCATAGGTACAGCTTGAATGTTAGGATCTCTTTCACGGTGCCTCTTGCGGGTTGGAGGTAGCCTTTGGAGGTTAGGGTGAAGCCTTGGGCTTGAGAGCCAAGTTCGAGCGCTGTATTCGCCATTCTGTGAGAGCTAGAGTGTGTGTAGGGGTAGTAGGTCCTTGGTGAGATCGATTGTTAGATGTGTCGCAGGTGACAGACACGCTCTTAGAAAAGGCTATAGCATCATTTATAGTCGGCCGGCTATGTTTACACAATGAGCCCTTTCTCTTGGCCGCTATTCTTTGTGTTGCTTTGTCTCTTTAGGTGATGATTGTTGAAGGCATCTCAAAAGAGTCGTCAGCCCCCCATACATCCCAAAGCACGTTGACTGGGGGCTCTGGGAGGGAGTTGGATTCAGACAACAGCCAAGAACTTGGGTACAGGAACTTAAGTTTCTTAATATCCAAGAATCCTCTATCGGCGCCTAAGAGCTTAGCTTGCATTATCTACTCCGTATGGACTGTTTCCCCTAGCTGAGCGAACAATATATATATAGAACAACAGGGAAACTCCAAACCCAGGACCTAATGACCGACACTTTGTATTAATAAAATAAAGCACACATGGACCAGTAGAAATGCCTATATACCCATAAATACCCAAACACACGATTTTCTTGCTTAGCGAGAGATCTATACTTTGATTCCCAAGTTGGTCGGAGGAAAGGTTATTCCGTGCTTGCCGTCACGCGTTGTTGACAACCTCCTTCTTCCCTGATCTTCTGCCTCAGCGCAGTTGAACCCGACGAAGCCTTGAGGCGATCGCACTCTAATCTTAACATGGTGCTGTTATTGTGTACCAGACTCCCGACCGAATTGTTCTTTCGATCCGGCTTCGCACGATGACCCCCATCGGAGTTTCCTGCCACCAAACGCGCTCCCCGACTGACGCGCCCGGTTCCATCCGTCTTGTTCGATTTTAGGCATGCTTGAAATTTCGAGAAATGCAAGTTGACGAAGCTGGGAAGAAGGCGATCATAGCCTGGAATATAAATTGAAGGGGAATTGGTGTCCATGGACTGCTGTCCGGCGTCTCTTTCAAAGTCTCCGACACGCTGCTCGCCAACGGACCTGGGGTGCGTTCCGGGAAAGGAAGACTACAAGATATCTATATCGCGCGGATGTGATCGTGGTTATGTGGCTTCAAAGACGGACCCCACATACAGTGTGAAATTGATGCTATGCTGAGTTCACGTTTGGTAGGTTATACCCTCCACTCCCCGAGATAATCCTGAATGCTTTCTGGAAGAAATCCCAAATGTCCTGCCCTACCCACTGCGACATGATCTGGTTTCGACTGTGCTCCATTTCCTTGCGAAATGGGCCGGCAACCTGCTCCAGTTAGACCATCACAACCCTCGGAAGAGATGAGGAGAAACGTACCAAAGTGCAAGTACCGCTCTCCGCCCCGACCGAACTCTGCGCGATGGCCAGTCCTACATCCTCCGGCGTATTCGGCTTGAGACCATCAGCTTCCCACTGCTTCCCTGCCTTGGCTGTGATATTTGTCGTTGTGAAAAAGGGCGAGATACCCGTGACTGTGATGCCGTGTTTCTTGGCTGCGACGTGGGAGCTTCGTATCAGACCGATGATCGCATGCTTGGAAGCGACGTATGCGGATACCCCGGTGCCACCAAAATATCCTGACGTCGAGGCAACTAGGACGATTGATTTTCGGCCGGTCCTCTCGCCCGCGGATGATTTCATATGGTGCATCGCCAGTCTCAGAGCTAACCTTGTCAGCCTCTACTCCGTGTTGAGGCAGATTGATACTCACTGTTCAACGTCCCTTTGACATTTACATCAATCACCTTGAACGCCCCCGTAGACTCTAACAGATTACCATCGGCATCTGTACTCTCGATATCAAGTGTCTCCGTCTTTTCCATAATACCCGCGTTGGCAACAACAGTATCGAGGCTTCCGTATCTTTCCACCGTGCTGCGGAAAAGATGTGTCATTTGTTTCCAGTCGAGGATGTCCACAGGCACGAAGCTGGCTTTCTCTGGATGTGCGAAAGTAGCGATTGCTTTCTCAGCGAGCTCCGATGAGCTGGGAATATCGGCGATGACTACATTCGCGCCGTGTCTGTTGAAGACTCTTGCTGTTGCTTCGCCGATGCCTCCTGCACCGCCTGTGACGATGACCGTCTTTGATGCCAGTTGGGCATAGAAATCTGAATCTGTATGACCGCTGGGCAACATTTTGCTTGATGACTTTCCCATTCTGCTGGAAGCTTTCAGGACGTGACTCGGTATTTGCTCTGATAATAAGGAACGAACCAACACTGAACTGCCGAAGCTTATCTCCCGTCAGCAGGGAATACCCCCAACTGACTCGTCTCCTATCCTTGTCTCACCCGAAGGGCGTATTTGCCGATTCCACAGTTGGAGATATTGCTCGCTCCCCCCACGGAGTATTCCCGTGAATGACTGACTCGTGGAGCTATGACAAACAAGGTGACGATCAGAGCTCCGCAGAAGCGGGGGTGCCTGGGGAGTTGTGTTCCACCTCCGATGCCTAACAATAGAGGTCGCACAGTGCAAAGCATGCAAGTCATCCGGAGCCCGGAGGGTGGTCCGGCGCATGATGCATACCCCCTCCCCACTAACCGAGGTTTCCCCGACTCCCCGCATACGCCTCTGACGTGGGTGATCTCCAATCTCCAAGATTTGTGGAGCTTAAGACGATCTGTGTTTATCGAATTCAAAAATGATGATTTCGGAGATGACAATTGCTCCCCGGATCGCAAAGGAGACATCTCGGCCTGTCGCATCGCAATAAGGGGAAGGCGCCACTCCTGCCGACTGCATTTCACCAACCTCTGCAGGATCGATATAATCTCCCTCTACCAGCGCCGAAGCCACATCCTCCGGATACGATACTCCACGCCTTGCCCCTCACTTCCAGCTGATCTCCAGCTCACTCAACCCACCATGCCACCTGCACCACCAAACCTAACCCCCCTCTTCACAACCCTCGAGGAAAAATTCTCCGCCGCAGGCTTCGACCCCAGCCGCTGGCCCATCCTCGCAATCGCAACCCTCACAGCCTCAACGGAACCAGACCAAGCCCACCAACTCTACACATACCTCACCTCCAAACCCGAATATGCCTCCCCGGAATCCCGACAAGCGCTCGTCCGCCGCCTCCGCGAAGCCCTCGTGAAATCCATCTCCATCGTCGGCGTCTGCAAGCCCATCGAGTCGATACTGTCTATTGCGAGTGTTGAGCGCGAGGAGGATCGCGATTATACATCTACCCGTGAAGGGTGGCAGTGCAATGAAGCGAATCACCAGCGCGGGATAGACTGGTTTAGTAAACTGTACAAGGGGAACTCCGGGACGACGATCGGGCTCTTCGATGCGCATAAGGATTTCGCGTGGATTAGCCAGGAGATTACGTATGGATTTTATCTATCTGATCGGAAGATCTTGGATGATCTCGACACGCAGCTTGTTGTGCTGCCCGGGATTATGATTCAGAATCTGAGGCTCGAGACGCATTGGCATATTCGCGGGACGAGGAGGCTTGGGGTTAGTAAGGAGAAGGTGCAGGTTGTTTGGGAGTGTGTCAAGGATGTGGCAGATTTCTTGGGGATGAGGGTTGATAAAGTTCCAACTGTAGACGATGTTGAAAGTGACGTTTGACCAGCTTGTTAGAGAGGGTAGAAGGAATAGAAGAAAGACTTAATCAATTCAATACCACTGCGCCTACCCGCGATATCCCATAAAAGTCCCCAACAACCAAATCTTCACCAAAAACCTACGCAACCCAAGGAACCTGATCCGTCCCCTTCATCTTCCGATTCAGTCTCCGATAATAAACCGTCAACCCCAGCGCCAAACACGCCGAGCAAAAGCTCATCGCCGCATTAACCCCATGCCCCAACCGATACGCAGGCTTATCCTGAGCCCGATAAATCCACACCCCGATAATCTGACCGGGCCCCGAGAATGCGATATTCAGCGCAATGGTCAGCGATGCAGCTGTCGTGTTGCGCACGTTGTCGCCGACCCAGGCGTTGAGCGAGGGGAGGCCGCCGAAGACGCCGATTGTGGAGATGCACAGGAAGGCGTAGCGGGCAGTGAATGCGTCTGCGGGGAGGCATGCTGGATTTGTTAGTACATCCTCGGTTCAGGTTGCTTGGATTGATAGTCGAGGGCATACCCTGAATGATAAACGCAATACAAGCAGCCCCAGAAGAGCACGTCGCGATCAGTCCGCGTGTCTTCAGGCGGTCAGAGAGCCAGGCGAGCAACAGAGTGACGGGATACGCGATGCCGTACGGAGGGACGGTAAAGAGCTGCGCTCGGAGATCACTGTATCCAAGACCCTCGATGATGGTGGGAGCAAAGTATCCGAGCGAGGCGACGCCAGTGCCGACGGTAAGGTAGGTCAGGTAGTGCATATACATGCGGAGGTCGGTGAGTGTTGCTTTGGCGTCTTCCCAGCTGAGTTTGTCGGAGCTGAGAGCATGTTAGCTGTGGTATTATCAGTGCAGGGGATGGTACGTACCCCGCGCTACGGTGGGCTCCTAGTCGGCGAGCCGACAGCTCTTTCTCTTCCGGTGTCAGCCAGCCGGCTTTTTCGGGATAGCTGGGCATGAAGAAGAAGACGAGGATCCCGGCAGCGACTGTAGGTAGCTTCCGTTAGATAATGGCTTAGCCAGGCATCGCGCGGTTAACTTACTGGATGGAACCCCCTCGATGATGAAGAGCCACCTCCATCCTTCAAGCCCTTGTCGGCCGTTGAGTCTGCCGACACCATACGCAATAGCGCTGAGAGGCGTTAATATCAACTCAACATTAGAGACTTCATATGACTTACCCTCCAAATGCACCCGAGAGTGTAGCACTGCAGAGGAAAATAGCAATCCGAATAGCACGCTCTCCGGGCTTATACCAAAAGGTGAAGTAGAAGATCATGCCGGGGAAGACTCCTGCCTCAGCCGCACCGAGCAAGAACCGAAGCACGGCTAATTCGGCATATGTGTGCGTAAAGCCAATGCCTGTGCAAAACGCTCCAAATGCGACGACAAGGAAGCCAAGCCATCTGAAGTCATTAGTTGTTATCCTTCTTTAGAAGCTGTACTGGTGGGCTGACCGATGGGGTTGAAACCGCTTCAGCGCCAAGTTGCTGGGAGCCTCGAATATTGAGTATGCCACGAGGAACAGCATCATGGCGATTGTATAGTTATGGTTTGTGATGTTGTTTGTGTCCATGAGGGTATCATTCGTAGTGGAGTTCATGATTCGGGCATTTCCTAGATATTATAAGTTGTAAGTCGGCTGCAGGGCATACTAGAGGAGGGGGGGGGTTTCATCGCGGACCAATGTTGGATCTGTCGAGATAGCACAGCAAATAGATGATGGCCGTCGGCACGAGAAGTCGTTTATCGATTTTTCGAATGAGTCTGATACAAAATGTCTTAGCGATTGTCGCCAGATATCACAACAAGGACATTGTGATTACCTTTTCTCAGCTTCGGCCTCCTCCAGGCTGAGCTCCTGGATCTGCTCGGACTGGCTGGACCGGCGCTTGCTGTCCAGATCAGCTTCGAGATTATCGCTTGCAGTCATTTTGGTGATGTATATCGAGTCGAGTTCCAACTGCTTTTCGGGATTTTGCATAGTTGTTGAATGAACTCGCTTCAGACGATATTTAAGGAGACCGATATGCTCGGAGATGTCTCCACCCTCCCCGCGTCTTGACCTCCTGATTACCCCGGATTTGCTGATGTCTTGGTCGTGGAGTACTGGAGCACTGGAGACTCGTGGCTGACTCGACTGAGAGCAAGCCCACTGCCCAAAGCGCAAGGAAACCACGAGAAAAAGATGTCTCCAACTTCCAAGGTCGCGACTCGGCGAGTCAAGCAGACAAAGGGATGGCGCAAAGCCCGTGCCCGACGCAGCAGTGGGTACATTTCCCGAAAGGAGCAGCCAGCATAAGCCAATCAATCGCCCCCTGTCGCAACAGGGTTTCTCGGATTGCCACAAGCGGATGCGCGGGATGGCGATCGGCGGAGGGGGCAAAGTGCTCCGGGGGCCAAAGTCCAGTCGTCGCTCGTACTTTGTGGGGATCCCCGGAGGGCTCCGGTGGACTTGGATTTGGAGATGAGGGCTCGTCTCGAGGATCGGATCGGAGATGCTGCGAGATCGATGCGATCATCGCGTCTTGCGGGGTTCATTGTATGCGGGGGTGCTTGATTTTGTGATTCCTCATCAGAGATGATTATAATCATGGAGGGGCGAAAGGGGTCAACCGCTTCAACCCATTTCTTCTCTCTAGCAAACTCATCACCATGACTGTCTCTATCCAAGATCAAGGCCCCGTGAACGTGCCTCTTGGAAAGTGGCCAGCAACATCGCCGTCCAACCTGTCCTCTGCAGACGCCGACGCGGTTGCGCAAGGAGTCGTGGATCAACTCAACCAGGCAGTGGCAAAGGGCGATTTCGGGTCGGTCGCGTCTCTATTCTACAGCACCGGCTACTGGCGAGACCACCTTTGCCTGGCCTGGGATCTCAAGACAGTAAAAGGCCCCAAGGACATTGCTGCATTCCTGCAAAGCTCGAAGACTGGGCCCTTCCAAGTCGAAATCGATCGCACTTCTGCTTTTCGACAACCGACAGCCTGCGCACTCGATGGACTCGGTAACTCGCATGGAATTCAGTTTTTCACCACGATTACACTCGAGTTTGGAAAGGGGAGGGGTCTTGTTAGACTAGTGGAGGAGGATGGGCAGTGGAAGATCCTGACACTGTTTACCTCGTTGGTCGAGTTGAAGGGACATGAGGAGCCACTGAATGGGCGTCGCTCGAAGGGAGTCGAGCACGGAGGACGACCCGACCGCAAGAACTGGAAGGAGCGACGAGAGGAGGATGCTGAGTTTACCGATAGAGAACCCGCCGTGTTGATTATTGGTAGGTCTATCTAGGTTCACCTCTTATACAAGCCTAGTACTCTGACGACTTCGCAGGCGCCGGCCAGGGCGGCTTAACAGCTGCAGCTCGGCTGAAGATGCTCAACGTCGACGCCCTGGTCATTGACCAGAATGACCGCATTGGAGATAACTGGCGCCAGCGATATCGCCAGCTCGTTCTCCACGACCCCGTCTGGTACGACCATATGCCCTACGTGAGCTTTCCACCTCACTGGCCAGTCTTTACGCCAAAGGACAAGCTCGCCGAGTGGTTCGAGTCCTACGCAAAGGTACTCGAACTGAACGTCTGGACGAGGACGACTCTTAGAACTCCAACATGGGATGGGAAGAAGTGGACTGTCGTCCTTGAGCGACGGAATGCTGATAACAGCGTGTCTACGAGGACTATTCACCCGCGCCATATCATTCAGGCCACTGGCCACTCTGGCGAGAAATATGTCCCACCGCTTGCTGGCCTGGATAGCTTCAAGGGCGATCGCATCTGCCACAGCTCGGACTTCGAGGGCGCCCTGCACGAACACAAGGGCAAAAAGGCGATCGTCATTGGATCGTGCAACTCCGGCCACGATATCGCGCAGGATTTCTACGAAAAGGGCTACGAGGTCACGATGGTCCAACGGAGTACCACGTGCGTTGTCTCCTCGGAGGCAATCACGAACATTGGCCTTGCTGGTCTGTACGACGAGAATGGACCGCCAACTGAGGATGCAGATCTGTGGCTCTGGGGTTTGCCTGCTGAGTTACTCAAGACACAACAGATTGGCGTGACTAAATTGGAGAACGAGCATGACAAGGCTACGCTTGATGGTCTCGAGCGAGCGGGATTTAAAGTGGACAAGGGACCGGATGGAGCGGGCCTGCTGCAGAAGTATTTCCAGCGTGGTGGTGGATACTACATTGATGTCGGTGCAAGTCAGTTGATCATTGATGGAAAGATCAAGGTCAAGCAAGGAGTTGAAATCGAACAAGTTCTGCCCCGGGGTCTGAAGTTTGCCGATGGAAGCGAGCTCGAGGCAGATGAGATTATCCTTGCTACCGGATACCAGAACATGCGCACGCAGACCAGACGCCTGTTTGGGGACGAGACGGCGGATGCAGTTGGCGATGTGTGGGGATTCGACGCAAACGGCGAGATGCGAGGCATTTGGAGGCCGTCGGGACACCAGGGGCTGTGGTTCATGGGAGGCAACCTGGCGATTTCAAGATACTATTCCAGGATCCTGGGATTACAGATCAAGGCTACTGAGATTGGCCTTTCTCATTAACATGGAGCCCTCACAGGAGATAGATGATAAATGATGAATAATACCTGATAAATCGTACTTTTGCAGAGGAAGAGGATCCGGAGGAAGCGGGACAGCTGCAAATGCTCACCGACACCTGACCAAGCCCAAAGCAATTGGTCCAACGCGAGAGTCTGGTGGAGCCCACCCCGTTTGTACCCCGGAAGCAAAGAGGCCAGCTGGGCGTATCAAGCAGCCGCGGGGTTTGCTCACGTCTCTGCGTCCGGAGCAGACTCCGGGCGTCTTGAAATCCAGAACGATTCCTCCTCCACCACACCCACACCCATACACAGCCGCTTGACTCGTGCCCACTGTGCAAAAACATGGCAAGCCACATTGGCGACGAGATAAGCCCCGAAGACGCCAGCGAGCGGCGGGGCAAGAAGCGCCGCACTGATGTCGCGCGACAGGTATGTCGTGCTGATGGACTTGTCCAATTCGCAGGATCAATAATCAACGGCCAAAGCTAGGCCTGTGAGCGCTGTCGCGTGAAGAAGACTCGCTGCGACGAGCAGTTCCCCTGTGGACTGTGTCGCAGTCTGGGGGTCGAGTGTCTGTACAGCCATCGGAAACCCTCGCGGTAAACACACTCTTGGACAAGAAGAAGAAATGCCCAATTAACCATCTGCCAGCAGTGAACTGTCCTCAAACGCACTGCTCCGGATTCTTGGCAGACTAGAGTCCAAAGTCGACAACATTGCTGCAAAAGGGCCAGGCCAGTTCTCATACGCGACCGAGCCATGGCCAGCAGAGGCAGAAGCAGGAGCAGGCTACGACAATCCACGATCGACCAGTTACATTTCTCCAGGGGCGCATGAGGTGGTGGAGACGGCGCCGCATTACCCACAGTCGGCTATCGTCCCGTGGAGTGCACACCAGGTGATTGCCTGGAAGCCTGTGCTTTCTATGCTGCCCGACGCAGTCCAGTTGATCGTGAGCGAGTGCGGCATCGACTATTCGTCCTCGCTGGAGCTGAAGCGACCGCGCCTTCCGATCGTGCCCCGGCCTGGCACCAAGGACGAGGACTCGCTGGGGAATCTCAGTATCTCGCTCGTCAAGGAGCTGTGCCACTCTTATTTTGCGACCTTTCACCTAAACTATCCCTTTGTGGATCGCACCTTCTTCTTTCGACATACCCTTCCCACTGCCATCAATGGGGAGTTTGGCTATGACGTCGAGAGCTGTGTACTGCTGGCGGTGATGGCCCTGGGCTGCTGGTCCAAGATTGCTCTCCGCGAAGCCAGCGACTTTCGTGCCCAGGGCCGCTGGAGTACATTGCCTCAAGATGGGTTCCGCGAGGACAGGCGCAGTAGCACTGATGGGACTACACCTGGCCTTGTCTTCTTCAACGAATCCCGAAAACGCATCGGGTGGTTGATTAATGACAACTGTATGCAGAGTTGCCAATACTATCTGCTGTCAGGGTATGCCTTCCTGCAACTAGGTACTAAAATCATAACTCACCGTCGCAGGCTATTCTACGCTCAACTAGTACGCCCTGTCGACTGGTGCACCATGACCAATCGGGCAAGCGTGTGCTGCCGAATGTTCTGGGAGAAGTACACGTCCCCTACCTCGTAAGCGGTGCAAGCATCCAAACTAACAGTCACTATAGCGTTCCAACACCCTGCGACGAATGGGTGGCGGATATGCAGTCCCGCCTGTTCTGGAACATCGTCATGTTCGACTCCATCTTAACACAGGAACTAAGACTTCCCGGTTGCCATTTAGACGAGATGGCTCAACGGATACCGCTGCCGAGGTTTATCAGAATGAAGGAGCCGTCCTTCCTCCCACTGAATCCAGAAGCCGACGAGGAGGATTCCTTTCACCAGTATCACTTTCTGGCACAGGTTGCTCATCGGATACTCCTGAACAGGACCAAGACTACCATGTTTGTGACGAGTATGATCCCTACGTCCGCCTCTCGATCTCTCTCTAATGTTACGGTAGGCGAGTATAGTTCGCAGTCAGTCGCAGAGGAACTCCATCAGCAGCTCGAACGATGGCGGGAACGACTGCCCGCAACCCTTCAGTTCAATGATGATCACCTCGTCCCGTTGCCCGAGTCTCCAAGCCAGATCCTCGTCGTCTCGTGGCTTCGGTTCCGATACATCATAGCAAAGTTCCATTTCGGAAGGCTTATAATGTAAGTCTCGCCCTGGTGCCCACTCGCTTGACATCGACGCCATGTGAAGCTAACTCACCCAGCCACAAAACCCTCCACCACCCAACGAACCCAACAGACGAAGAGCTCCGTCGATGCACCGAGTTCTTCAACCAGATCTTTGGCTGGGAGCCCTTCATCCGCCTATTCTCCGTCATGAAGAGCTGCATGCCGATGAAGTTCCATATAGCCTGCCAGTACGTCCTTGTCCACATCTGACTGTTGAACCGCATTGGTATACTGACGTGCGATAACAGACTCTTCGCCCAGATTATCATGGTCTACTGCTTCCGGCATAACCCTGAGCCCCGACTGCGCCAGGTGCTCCCCGCTGCGTACCCGCAATGGTGCTCGTTTGCCCTGGGCTTTTTACAGGACGCGGCGCGCTCGAGTCCGACGTTGGCAAAGGATGCGGAGATTGCAACGGTCTTGTGCCAGGATCTGATGCTAAGTTAGAGGGCGATAATCTAACTAATGAATGATCGGATGAAAGAACAAACGTAGACTACGTAGTTTAGCTTACAATCTAAATCCCAACTCCGTAAGGCCTGCCTAGTGATCAATGATTGATCAACTGTCAATATGGAGTAATCCCACAAACAGAACCTAAAAGATCTAATCTCGCTCAAAAGGCCGAGAGGAGATTGGAGATGTGATTCACGAGTCAGTGGTCCCGGTGGTCCCCACCTCGCCTCCCCTCCCCCCACCCCCCGGAGCGCCGGAGCTCAGGAACACGTCCGAGACAGCGCGCAGTAGGCCCAAAAATCCAATCTGCCCTATCGACTTACTTTCTTATCTTAGTGTGTCACTTTATAGTGTCTTACGTGATTGTAGCATGGATAATTAAACAGTCCAAATTCTTGCATTCGCAGTATAGATAGCAATTTTTCTTTCTCCCTTTTCCTTTTCCCCTTCAACAAACTCCATACTTCATACCACCCGCTCTCCCTCACCTCCATAATATCTACAACACATCTCACAATAGACTACAATGGAAACCCTAGCAAAATACCCCGACCTGCACAACAAAACCGCCCTGATAATGGGCATCGGGCAATCCAAAATCCCCGGCTCAGAAACATGGGGCAACGGCGCCGCAATCGCACGCGTCCTTGCTCACAGTGGCGCCAAAGTCTTCGGCTGCGACCTCAGCCTCCCCGCCGCAGAGTTTACCGCATCGCGGATCCGCGCAGACGGCGGGGTCTGCGATGTTATCCAGGCGGATGTCACGTCCGTGTCTGATGTGAAGAAGGTCGTTGATGCTGTTCTCGAAAAATATGGACGCATCGATATCCTGGTTAATAACGTTGGCGCGACGGCCACGGGCGATCCGGCGAGTATGGACGAGGAGACTTGGGAGAGGCAGATTAGGATCAACCTGAAGAGCGTGTATACGGCCTGTCATGTTGTGCTTCCCGTCATGGAGAAGCAGGGGAGCGGGGTGGTGATTAATAACGCGAGTATCGCGGGGATGCGGTATATCGGCAAGCCACAAGTTGCATACTCTTCTGCAAAAGCAGCTGTTATCCACTTTACGCGGGTTACTGCCGTCATGTATGCGGGCAAGGGCGTGCGTCTGAACTCGATTGCGCCTGGGCTGATGTATACGCCGCTCGTGGAGAGTATGAAGACCTCGCAGCCCGAGGCGTATCGGAAGATCATGGAGCAGCCGATTCCGATGGGGAGGATGGGCGATGCGTTTGATGTTGCGACGGCGACGGCCTTTCTGGCGAGTGATGCGGCAAAGTATATCACAGGGCAGAATTTGGTCATCGATGGGGGGTTTACGAGTAGTGCTGTGTCAAAGTTGTGATTTTTCTTCTTGGCTTTAGCGTTCAAAGTGCGCGGATACAGTGGTCTATGTTCAAATCTCTTGCATTGCTCGAAATGCTATGAGTAATGATGTTTATATTGTCAAAACAATCTGGTTAAAAATCCCCTTGAACCTCCCCTCCGGATCCCTAGAACGTCTTCTCATCCCATCCTTGCCCACCGAGTCAATACGATTCGTGTATCCCTTTTTCACATCAGCACAATCTCGTCTACTCACCCCGCCTCATACATTTATCTGATGATGACGTGCAAGAGGTCCATCTCCTCAAACCTTCAACAACAACTGTCAAGATCAGCCCATGGCGAAACACAATTCCCATCCAACTAATATGCTCCTATCCAAATGTACGACTTGCGATTTCTTCCCTTCGGAGCGAATTCTGGGAATTAGCACAATTAGCGTGGTGGTCCGCCAGTTGTGTGCGAACCGATGAGCAAAATGCAAATACCTAGTGATGGGCTTTAGTTAATGGGAATGATGCTCATTGGTATAGGTCGAGGATAGAGGAAATTGCAAGTTAAATATCATAATTTAGAACGTAGTATGCGACCCAGATCCTGAACAGTTTAACAAACAACAAAAAGAACACAACAAGACACATCGATACGGGCGAGTCCTAGGGCGTGAGTAGGTACATATTCGTCAAGTTCGCTGTGCCGGTCGGCCAACTTCGAAACGTCCAAATTCTGCTCTGGTTAGGAACGAGTTCTCAAAAGGTGTATATGGGGGAATTGCCCAGGAAAGTGCGTACGAAAGCCCACATAAATATTCATCAGCAAACCGGCTTCCGCCAGGGAATCAAACTCTTGAGGATGTTGAGCGACGCCAGGAACTGGAATTAAGCCCCACCCGGTCGCAACTGGGGCTCGCTCGGCATCTCCCGCCCGATCGACGCTTGATCGCCCTAACATTCTTTAATCCCATGGCCGAAGAACAGAAGAAATCCGAGCAAAACACACTATTTCTCCGATTCCAGCGATTTGCCATCGCGTACATGCCAATGATCGAGGTTGGGATTGTAATGATGAGAGTCAGGAGGGCTAATAAGTTTTCCGTGGACAAGCCCATTGTAGCGTAGTTAGGGAGGAGGTTTCAAGGAGTGGAAACGAAAACAGTTGAGTGGTTATAAAGTGCAAGCCTGACAAATATTTCGTCAAAGTCTTGAGAAAAAATCGACGCGTCCTCCACGAATTCCACACCGCTACCACCTCCACTGGTAAGGCGCTGTTGATGGTGAGGGGACCTGGGAGGGTGCTAACAACATTTGACCAATCAAGTAAAGTTCGCTCAGGTAGGCTGGCTGGTAGCAAACCTGCCGTGGTGACTTATATTCGTAGACATTTAATATCGAAAACGATTTTCGCAGTGGGTGTCTCATTCCTTTGACCGGCCTGCCCGTTTTACAGTCTCCCTCTCCCGCGGCGCCTTTGTGGTTGTGATGGACACTGCAAAATATGAGAGAATTTCTCCCAGTACGGGCGTTGGTCTGCTGTAGAAAGTCTTGGAAGTGATGCTTGACCTCCTCATACCTCCCTAGCATCATGGCCCGCCTGAGTCTTGACCGGATTATAGCGTACAAAGTCCTTCTCAAGAACAGCCGACATCCCCAGGGCCATCGTAAGAGCCATGGCAACAATCTCCTCCAGTACGCTCATACACAGATAAATCGTTGGGTTTCCCGTCAGGACCGTGAATGAAGAATTGTCGGCATAATCGCTAATCGCTGAGTAGACTAGCCGTACAACGAGGAAAGGGCAAGAAAGCGCAACGGCGAGGAAGAGCTTCTTTTGAAATGCGCCGAGTGAGTACTGGAGCTGAAGCCAGAGCCAACCGGCCATCAAGGCGAAGACGACAAAGGTAGCGATAAAGAGGGCCATGGAGACTTTAACCATGGTGCCCGGGTGATAGGTTCCGTCATCGCTGTCGTCTGCAGTGCTTACTCCCGCGATACCGAGGATTAGGCCAACAAAACAGACGATCGTTACGATGTTGAGGAACCTTGGAGGTAGTCGCTGGTCCGTATCGCTAAACGCCGCTGTTAGTCCATATCAATCGAAGAGACAACATCCCAGTCAACCACTTACATCTGTCTTAGGACGCCAACGTAGGTTAGCAACAGTGGTGCGAGACCGATCAGCTCGCATACGGCCACGGCGACCTCTGCATCGTGTGAATCGTGGTCAATTGTCACCAATGAGGAGATACTGCCAGCGATACGAATCAGAGAGAGGGTGACCCCGTATCGCCAGATCTTGCTGCCAGCTCTCCATCCGGTGCGGTTCCAGATGAACAAGGCGGCGACGAGAATCAAGGGGAATATGATGAGCTGGAGGATTGCAATGCCATCTCGGTAGGTGACGGTTCCCATTGTTGTGGTGGAATTGTTGCAGAGTAAGATTGGGGAATGAAAATGGAAAGAACTTTGTCTGTGTAACTCAAGGTCAGAAAAGTGAAGCCTTTATATCTTCGATCGAACGTCTCCCTCTGGCTTCCTTTATATCTGTCAGAGTGCGTCACCTTCAACTACTGGATAAACCTCAACCTCACCTGATTGGCCGAACATCTAAGATACCTAGTTTGGACTAGCGCATCTGTATGGATTTGGGGGCGGTTCAGCTGGTGGAGCCCAAGAGAGCTGAGCGAGGCGAAGCTTGTTCACTTTAGTCTTCTGAAAGCCAAGTTTCTTCGTGCTGCATCTCTCCTTCCCTTTTCGCGGTTCCTGGATGACGAACCCGGGGTAAACCATGTCACCGCACTTTGGGTCTCACGCAAAGCCCTCGAGAAACTGCGCCAATTGTCGGACGGTCAAGCGACGAGTGGGTGCCCTATCTTTCCTCCTCTTTTCCCTGTGGCTTTCTTGCATGGCTGTGGAGGGCTTGACTGATTCCTGACAGTGCGATAACCAACGACCCCACTGCGGCCAATGCATCCGCACGCGCGAAACATGCCGTGGCTATCGAGACGAATGGGAGCTCGTCTTCCGCGACCAAACCAGCCAGATCATAAAGCGGTCCAAGGCAAAGACTTCGACATCATCAGCGACCGACATGTCAGAAAATGGTCATAAAACGGCCGACTCGCCCGAACCCGTTCGCGGGCTGGCCCCCAACCTCGACGAGATCGGCGTCAACTATTTCCTGCATAATTTCATTATTGGCGGACACTCGCCCTCGAGTGGGTATCTAAATTATATCCCGCTTGTTTATAGCGCCGATGGCGATTGCCCAACGTTGGTCGCTAGCATGGCGGCCGTTGGTCTTGTTGCGCTAGCGAATTCATCTCGACAGCCTGAGTTGGTTAGACATGCACGCACCAAATATTCCGAGGCAATCCATCGCGTGAACACGGCTCTGTCGTCACCCGTCGATTCGGTAAAGGATAGTACTTTGATGTCAGTAATCTCACTAGGTGTATTCGAACACGTCTCCAATCTCGAATCATGGGCCCGACATGTCCATGGCGCTGCAGCGCTCCTGGTTGCCCGGGGAAAGAGCCAGTTTTCCAGCACCGCCGCTCTGCTCATGTTTAACCAAGTGCGGACGGATCTGGTGTTTGCCTGCGTGCATGATAATCGGCCGTTTCCACAGGACATGGGGGAGCTGCAGGACGAGGCAATGAAGCATGTCGATCCTACAAGTGCGTTTTGGCGTCTGGGTGTGTTGGCTGCTCGACATGCGAACCTCCTCTGGGGCGTCCGGAAGAATAACGGGGAGATTCCCTGGACTGTTTTCCTAAAACAAGCGACCGCACTCCAGAAAGACTTTCAGCACGTTCTTGAATTGCTCGCTGTTCAGGAACCGTATACTCCCTGCCAAGCGGCTGATGCCGATTCAGAGCTATTTTACAACGGTCGATATGACATGTATCAGTCAACCTGGGCTATCAGAGTCTGGAACAACGCCCGGATGGCGCAGATGGTGGTCTGCAATATCATGTACTACCTTCTGAACAAGATCCTCTCCACGAATCTCGCACCGCAGACACGGGCGCATTTGGATCTGGAGCTTCGGGAATCACTGCAGCTTCAGGCAAAGCTAGCGGCCGATATGCTGGGCACTGTTCCACAAGGCTTGGGGCTAGTATCACCAACCTTTACTGGATACCATTTCCCGTCTCTGGATACCTTGTCCACGAACGCATCAGGCGGGTACCTGCTGACCTGGACTCTCTACACGGCGGGGCAATCTATGGTTGTCGGAAGTAAGACTCGGCAGTGGGTTGTCGGACGGCTCCAACATATCGGGCAATATGCAGGCAATGCAGTCGCCCTGCAGCTTCTGGAGGTTATCGTCAAGGTTGATAAGATCCGCCTAAGAGAGGAATGCGATGATCAAGCAAAGAAGATGGTAGATGTGCATGATCTTCGAAATTAGACATTTACACTCAACTGTATATGATATTTGTATTCGAGAGCAAGCAATATCTACCTCGCTATGTGCCATGGCTCCTGCCCGAGGTGAAACGAGGTCACTATTCCTCCACGATATCAACCTTGTTCTTATCTACTCAACGTCAGTATCTGGATTCATAAATTATAGTAATAACTCACAGAAGGCAACATAACCCTCGATATTCTTAGCAGCGTCATACGTCTCCTTGTAGTACCAGGCTGCGTTCTCAAGCGTCTGGCCATCAACCACAATACTCCAGTACGACGCATGCCCCTTCCACGGACATAAGGTCGACAAATCGGAGTCTTTCAGAAGCGACTTGTCTTTGATCGCAGACGGCGGAAACTGGATTGGTCAGCCAAAATACGCGGGGTAACTAATCGGCGCAAGTGCCTGCATACGTAGATGTTCCCTTCAACGACCTCCCATGTATCCGTCTCTGCGATGATGTGGTCGCCCACTTTGGCAACGGCGCGAGGCATCTTGGAGTTTGATGAGAATGAATGGATATGGAAGGTTGTGAAGAAGATGAAAAGAAGAAGAGAAAGGTTAAATGGTGAGACGTTGAGCCATATGCGGGTGTGTAAGCCGATGACTAATTCGGCGCCAGCTTGGGACTTTCGTCAATTCTGTCAAGAATGGCGGCATCGATCTATATACATACATCACTTGAGATAAGATACAGAGAATGGAACACGTTGAGCTTGATCTCTATCGTCGAACGCCAACCTCGTGGTGCAGCCTCAGTTCAATCGCGGTAAACGGGCAGGGATGAAACAAGATGCAAGGAGTCCCAGTCGACCATGACTCTGCAGGCTGTGCGACCCAGACTTGCTCCGAAGGGGCACGCTGGCCCTTGGGCCACCGGTGTATTTAATGCGGCCGGTGACGGCAAGAGCGACTCACCGAGTCTGCACCCGACAATCTGGGAGACAAGTGCGACGTCTCGATTCAATCTAGACGTGCTCCGCATCATATCTCAAGGCGACACCATGAAGGTCATCATTGTGGGAGCTGGAATCGCAGGACTAGCCGCAGGCATCGGTCTCCGACGAGGAGGACACCAGGTCACGGTGAGTCCATCCACAAACTCCCCGATCCCACATTCCACCAGAAGACTCGAGTCACTCACCCTCACGCCTCCAGATCTACGAACGCTCCAGCCTCGCCCGCGAAATCGGCGCCGCGCTAAACATCTGTCCAAACGCCTCGCGCGTTCTGTTAGAATGGAAATTCCAAGTCGAGCGTGCGCGCCTGGTCACGGCCCGTCGGCACATCCTCGCCCGCGGAGACACGCTCGAGACCCTGAGGGACATGGCGTACCCGGACTTCCGAGAGCACTCTGGCGGCCCGTGGTACTTGGCTCACCGAGTTGATCTACATAACGAGTTGCAACGACTGGCGCGGGATCCGGAGGGACAGGGTCGGCCTGTGGATATCCGGCTGCGCTCTGAGGTCGTCGGGTATGATGCGGATAAGGGCTCAGTCACGCTGGCGGATGGGTCGGTTCAGTATGGGGATCTAGTGATCGGGGCGGATGGGGTGCACAGTACGGCGATTCGCGCTGTACATGGCCATTCTACCCACGTTGAGCCGACGGGGTGGTCGGTCTTTCGGTTTTTGATTCCTACAGAAGATTTGCGGAACGATCCTGACATTGCGCCGACACTTGATAAAGGGGCCACAACCGTGACTGATGGGATGTTGACGATATTTACTGCACCAGAAGGTCAGCGGAGATTGGTGCGGTATCCTTGTGCTGAGTATGTGCCCAGTTGCCAGTGAGTTTCTGTGCTGGATGCTGACCATCGGTAGCAACACGATTCAGAACTTCGTGGCCATGTACAACGATCCGCAGATTGACGATCATGAACGAGAAGGTCGGTACCTGCTGATCGAACCGTAAGCATTTGGCATTCAATAAACGACTGACGAATGCGCAGACTGGGATCGCTCCGCGACCATCGACGACATCCTGTCCTACTACCATGATTTTCATCCCGATCTCCTGAATGTCATCAGGTAGGCTCATGCTCTTCTCATTTACGTCCTGGCTAATAGTTGAAACAGAAAAGCGACCGACATCAAGCGGTGGCCACTTCTCTACCGCGACCCCCTCCCAACAATCAGCAAGGGCCGTCTCGTACTAATCGGCGACGCTGCTCATCCTATGCTTCCCCGTGAGTATCTCGCAAAGCGCCATGTGCCCTCTAACGATATCCAGACCAAGGCCAAGGCGGCGCCATGTCAATCGAAGACGGCGGCGCCCTAGGCGAAGTGTTTGCGGGTCTCCCGGAGGGAACCCCGGGAGACGAGATTCACCGGCGCATCGCACTGTTCGAGAAGATCCGACATAAGCGCGCGTCGGGGATCCAGGTCATGTCGAACGCCGGGCAGGACCAGATGTGGAGGGTGCGCGATCGCATGCGGCCGTTTATGCCCGACGGAGTTGAGCCGCCGAACACGATCCCAGAGATCTGGGAGCATAATTTCCGCTATGATGTCCTGGCGGATAGTCGGCGGCAGCTGAAGGAGTATCTAGAGGGGAGGTAGAGTTAAGTGGTTTATGTCGTGGGGTATTTCTATTTCTATTTATTGGCGGGTATCCAACATACCGTTGTGTGCGTATGTGCTCTATTTTAGCTGGAATGTTACTTTCGTCTGGCCCTCCTTGAGACGGACGATGTTGCCCTCGGTCATGTCCACGTCTGCAGAGGCGATGTCCTTGTTCACCACCTTGACAGCCACCGCCCCCTGGATCTTCCCCTTGATGACCTCCACCGCCACTCCATCCAGGCCATCTTGGACCCTCAGAGCAACCTTGAACTCACCAGCCTTTTCATGATCCGCAATCTGAACTGTCTTATCCATCCCCTCCACCCAGTTAACCAGTAGCTCCACATCCTCACTCCAGTCATATACCACGCTCTCCTTCCTTTCACCCACGCTACGGAATATAGCAGACCCCGGCCGCAAAAGAACGGGCAAGGAGAAGAAATCATGTTCCTCAGATACATACCCGCCTCCCGTACGGATTTTTCCATCGAGTAAACCGTACCAGTCGCCCTTGGGCAGGTAGTACTGGATGCTCCCCTCGGCATTGAACACCGGCGCGACGAGGAGACTATCGCCGAGGAAGTATTGCATATCGAGATGCCAGACAATCGGGTCCTCGGGGTACTCGAGGAACATGGCCCGTAACATTGGCACGCCGGTCTGGTGTGTCTCGATGGCGCTAGAGTAGAGGTACGGCATGAGAGAGTGTTTGGTCTGCACAAAGTGCTTGAGGACTTTGTCAGCTTCGCCGGTTGAGTCGATGAGCCAGGGGACCTATCCATGGTTAGTCTCTCTCACAAAGTCCAGGAAGGTGTCTCATGGAGTAGCCTTACCCGGAAACTCCCACTCCCATGCAACCGCGAATGACTCGAGAACAACCCAAACGCAATCCATCGCTTGAACAGCGCGGGATCCGGCTTCCCCTCGAACCCCCCAATATCATGCGCCCAGTACCCGAACCCCGAAAGCGCCAGGCTCATCCCGCCGCGGAGCGTCTCGGCCATCGCCTCAAAGGTACTGTACGGATCTCCGCCCCAGTGCACGGGGAACCGCTGGCACCCGGCTGTGGCGGACCGCGCGAAGAGGGCGGCCTTGTGTGCACCGAAGTTCTTCTCGAGTACCTCGAAGGTGACTTTGTTGTAGAGGAAGGCGTAGTAGTTGTGCATCTTTTCGGGGCTGGAGCCATCGTGGTAGACGACGTCGCCGGTGGGGATGCGCTCGCCGAAGTCGGTCTGGCATTTGCAGTGGTTAGATGGTGTTGTTAGTTTGGGTTGGGTTGTGGTGCGCACCTTGAATGAATCGACGCCCATGTCGATGAGGGCCTGGAGCTTGCCCTGGTACCACTTGCAGGCATCGGGATTTGTAAAGTCGACGAAGCCCATTCCCGCTTGCTGTTGCATTAACCGGTCAGTGAGGTCAATGGAGAAGCCGGAGGCTGCAAACATACCCAGAAGTCATACTGCCACACGCTTCCATCTGTGCGCTTGAGCAGGAATCCCTGGTCTGCGGCCTCGCCAAAGATGGAACTCTCCTGCGCAATGTACGAGTTGATCCACACGCAGATCTAGCACCCAGTTAGCAGTTGTCGCCTTGGAACTCTAAGGAAGGGAGGACAGACATGAATCCCCCGCTTCTTAATCCGCTCCAGCTGCCCCTTCGCATCGGGGAAATAATCCTTGTCGAACTCATAATCACACCACTTGAACCCGGGCATCCAGAAGCAGTCGAAATGGAACACGCTCACGGGAATCTCGCGCTCCGCCATCCCATCAAGGAACGAAGTAACAGTCCCCTCATCGTATTCCGTCGTGAAGCTCGTGCTGAGCCACAGCCCAAACGTCCACGCCGGTGGGAGAGCGGGCTTCCCCGTGATGGTTGTGTACCGCTCGATGATGGACTTGGGGTCCGGGCCGTAGATGAGATACATGGAGAGCGATTCGCCGGGGACAGAGATGTTCACGCGGGTTGTGCGCTCGGACTGGATTTCAAAGGAGAGGAAGTTGGAGGTTGGGATGAAGATGCCGTAGCCGGCGGAGGTCACGAAGAAGGGGATATTCTTGTATGTCAGTTCCGAGCCCGTGCCCCCGTCTTCGTTCCAGATTTCGACGCTCTATTGGATGATTAGCATTGCCGGGCTATTATGTATGAGTTTGATCTACTTACCTGTCCGTTCTTCACAAAGGGGCCGAATCGCTCGCCCAGCCCGTAGACCTTGTCTCCGACGCCGAGCTGGAGCTGGTAGGTCACCCATCGCTTGCCCTTGTTGGGGTCGAGATAGTTGGCGCGGGGATGCAGAGCGGTGGTGCCCTGCTTCACATAGCCAACCGAGCGCCATCCGAGTTTAGTGAGGAGTTTGTTCTTCGCGTGGAAGCTGACATCAAACGACTTGGGTCGGGTATCCACCGAGGCAGAGAGACTGCCTGCATCGAGCTTCAGGCCCTCTTCAGCCTTTGTCGTCTGAACTGCCGGCTGCTCCGGTCGGCCCGCGGGGAAAAGCTCAAAGTGCGGGCCTTGTGTGACGCTCTTTTGTTTTGTCCAGTGGGTCGACGAGAGATACAGTACATTCTCAAGGGGTGAGCTGAGGGAGTGTGTGAGGGTTGGGTTGTTGAGCGTGTCTCCCCGGTGGTTGATGGGCTTCGACGACTGCAGAAGAAATGTCAGTTAATAACTTCCAAGGCAGCCATGACAAGCTTGGCAGAAGCTTACTGTGACGAAATGCAGCTTGTCGCCGCGAGTCTCGGCAACGACGGTTTCCACGGCCCAGTCGATGAGCGTGTCTGGCGCTGGGTGCCAGCAGCCGTGAGAGAATTTCACCATGGTTTCTGCTAGCAAGGAGAATGTCTACTCAGGTGGAATCAAATCATCAATCAGCCGATGTCTTTCTTATACATTTGCGCAGCTCAGAGATGCGCTAGCCCTGTCGTGTCACTTGTCACCGGCCAGCATCGGCACATTCGAGCATTTAGGCGCCGGATATTCACACAAAACAGCTGTTTTTACCCGGGCATCCAGTTAAATATCAGGTTCAGGTCCCGTATCCATGGAAGAGCAGTTCCGAGTCAAGCCCACTTGATGCCTTACTCCAAATATGCCGTTGTTAGCGAGCCTTGGCTGACACTAGATCGATAACCCCCACGTGGGGGCCAGTCCCAGCGCCTCGGTTTGGCTCTTGGGCAGCCCTGTGGCACCACCCGACACAAGGAAATCCTGTCTGGAGCATGGCAGCTGTGGCAAACTTGGAGACTCTCGCTGCTGACTCCAGCTCGTCCAATCTGCTATCCGGACAGTTCCGATCAAGTTACTCCAACTGGGATTCGAATTTAGCCTGCACGTTTTGCCGGGGCTCCCCATGGGGCCCGGATTGCTTCTGCCACGAGGATTCTGGAGCTTTGAACCGGGTATTTTGGTAGCTATAAAATGCTCAATGCCACGCGGGTTTTCATTATGACATGTCCTATTCAGAAATCTTGGAGTAGACGCCGTCAACATGGCTTCCTCGAATGACCAGCGCATCAACGCCTATACATGGGCATGCGGTCTCTTTGCCGCGGTTGGTACCCTCGCCAGGCTTTTCTGTCAATGGTTCTAACGTTCTTTTCCTCCTCCAGGTCGGCTCCCTTCTGTACGGTATCGACTCCGGAATCGTCTCCACGGTTATCGCGCAACCCGAGTTCCTGGATTACTTCGCTCCTTTCACTCGTAAAGTCGCCCTCTCGTTTCCGTGAATCCACATCTAACACCTTGAAGCTAGCATCAAAGGCGCTGTCGTGAGTACATTCGGCGCAGGCACGGTGTTTGGTGTCTTCTTCGCAGGATGGAGTGCCGACTACCTCGGGCGCAAGAAGACGATCGCCATTGGAGCCGTGATCGCCCTGATTGCTGGAATTATTCAGGCCGCCACGGTGCATGTTGGCATGCTGATCGCCGGGCGAATCGTCGGAGGGTTCGCCGTGGGAATCATGAGTCAGTTATTCGATTTTGGGGGGGATAAAGTTAATGATACTGACCTGAGTAGATATGACGATTCCCATCTACAACTCAGAAATTGCCCCATCGCATAGGCGGGGTTTGATTGCTGGTCTGCACGCTCAGTTTGTTGGAATCGGTTTTGCTCTTGCCAACGTACGTTGTCTCTCCTCTTCATTCAATCTGCAAGTGGCTAACATTGTCCAGTGGGTGGGCTTCGGCTGCTCTTACTCGACAGGCCAATTCCAATGGCGATTTCCTCTGGCTTTTCGTAAGAATAAAACGCCCTCTCCACTTGTTGTACAGGCTGACAAGCTTCCTTTGCAGAATGTCTCCCGGCCATTATCATCCTCATTGGCATCTTCTGGCTCCCATACTCCCCGCGCTGGCTCCTCGAGCAAGAGCGCGACGACGAGGCTCTCAGAGTAATCAAGAAACTCCACGGCCACGAAGGCCAAGACGACACCCTCGTCCGCGCCGAGTTCCACCAGATCCGCGAACAGCTCCGGTTCGAGAAGAGCCAGTATGTGGCCGGATGGGCCGACCTCTTCAACCGCGCCAGCAACCGGAAGCGTCTTATTCTCGCTGTGCTTGTCCAGGCATTTACGCAGCTGAGCGGTATCAATGTTATCAACTACTACCAGACAGATCTGTACAAGGGGTTGGGGATGCAGGGGCATAATGTTACTCTGCTTGCGGGGTGAGTTTCAATGGGTTGGTCTGGTTGGAAAGTGCTGACTCGGTCTGTTTAGTATCTACGGGCTTGTCGGACCCCTCGCCAACTTGGTCTGCCTGTACTATGTCGATACCTGGGGTCGCAAGAAGACGCTGTGGATCACCGGTGTCGCCATGACACTCGACATGGCCATTGTCATGGGCCTTTCTGGCGGATTCGTCAACAGCGACAACATGGTGGCCAAGGGCTTCACCATTGCCTTTATCTTCCTGTTCTCCATGATGTGAGTTTGCCCTTTCCAAGTCAGCTAATACCACAACTGACCATGCCTAGCTACTCCCTCGGCTACAACTCGATCCACTACATCTACGTCCCCGAAATCATGACCATGGCCATCCGCGCCAAGGGCTCGTCCATCTCGGTGGTGTGCAATGTCCTCATCAACATCGTCTTCAACCAGGTCTCGCCAATTGCCTTTAGCAACGTCGGATACAAGTACTATTCGCTGTTCATCTGCACAAACATTGTCGGCGCAATCACGGTCTTCTTGTACTTCCCCGAGACCAAGGGCAAGACACTCGAGGAGATTGGGCATATCTTTGGGGACGATGTTGTCGTTGCGGATCTGCAGCAGGCGAGGGAGAAGATCGAGGCGACGGATGTCGAGATGGTTGAGCAGGTGGAGGAGCGGAGGTGATTGTGTCGTCATCTGAACGCTGTGGGATATACTTTGGCAAGTATGCCTCTGTTGCTCGTGCCAGCAAGATGCACGCTGTACTGTAATGTCGGATGTGAAGGGGACAGACCTGTTGGGAACACGCTCTGACTCGAGTTATCCCGAATTTACCTTTCTCCTTCCTGATCACCATCATCACCAATAATACTTGTCTTTTTTCATACATCCTCCCTGTCTGCCGCCCCATCAGAGCGGGTCAGTACTTTTCTCTCGGTAGGAACCAAAAAATAAGCAGGCGGCGGATCACCCACATCCGTCGACGATCGCACAGTTTTGTGTCAAAAGAAGACTGTAACTCGATTATGGGGCATGGACTTTGATCTCAAATGCAAGGAGCGGACCTTGGTGGCCGGTGCACGCGACACTCGCTCTGAGAGTCTTGACTCCTGATGCCCAGCGCTGTGCACCGCCACCCTCTGGCACTAATTGGGCCTCGACCCAGCCCCAGAGTAATTGTGATCAGTCCAATGCTCGAGTTTCATACTTCGCAGTTCTTGGAATCGTCGCTCGCCATTCTGCTTCGTCTTTCGTGCGACAGCATCCCCCTCGTGGGCGTCTCAGCTGCAGGAACAGCCACCATCCTGGCCCATCCATCCCATCCCGACAACCTGGCACGCGACCACGACAGAATTCACCGCAAAAAGCCTCTGCCAAGTCTGGAGGATTGGCAGCCGCGGGTACCGCGATGCGCAAGATGGGGGGCATCGGGCTTTACATAACGCCGCAGCAGCGCCCGGACTGCCGATCGCGCTCGGTGCCGGTCGGCTCTCGATCAGGATAGGGCTGCAATGGCGACATGCGCCCGTATATCACCTCTTCAATCTCCGATGGTGCATGTCGTCTTGGAAAGCAAGGGTTTCAGAACAAGCTCATGCGAGATCTTATCGAGATGAGATGCCATGGCATGGCATGGCATGCGCTGGACCCTGATTCTGAGTGCGACGCGGCTGGATCCAGAGCTTGCGCGTTAGCATTGCTCCTGGGATCCTCTCTTTGCTGTTACACTGAAGTTCATGTTGGGCTCTTCGAGTTCAATATCGAGGTGATGCCAGCCGTTAAGGGGCCTCGAAACGGCTGGCCAGGAGCGCACTTGCATAATTTCAAGCCGCGGGAGCCCTCGGATTCATTGGACTCTGGCGAGCGAGAAAAAGCAAAAAAAAAAAAAAAAAAACAGCAGCAGCTCTGTGGAGATCAGCCCTCATCTTCCATCAGAAGCGCGGCAGATGGCGTGATAGCGCTTCGGATCGCACAATGCCATCATCCATCCTTCTCCCCCACCAGTCTCGCTCCTCACGTCCATCTTTGCTTTTCTCTCGCGTCATTCTCACCACCTTTTAATCATGCCCTCCCAGACTCCCGGTTCCGACCCCTTTCCGCGTTGTAGATAATGTGATTGAGACCCTGCCTTGGCCTGCTGCACCTTGCTCATGGAGTGCGAGGCGAGGCCACGCGCTATACCCATCACCTCCTGCTCCTGCCGGCCAAGCAAGGCACTGTCGTCTCTATCCAGGGACACCAAGACAAGCTAGCCTCACCATGAAGCTCTCCAGCGAGCAGCTATATCGCCTGTCCATTGCGGGCCGTACGGCATCGGGACTCTCGCTGCTGGGCGTGGCAACAATATTCGCGACGTTTACATTCTCAGAGAACTTTCGCAGTCCAACACATCGTATTATGCTCATCAATGCGTTCTATAACCTCTTTGACTTTATCGCGACGATGATCTCGGTTAGTGGGCCCGAGGCGGGGGATCATTCTGCACTGTGCAGGTTTCAGGGGTTTTGTTTGCAGATGTATGATCCTCGACTCTGAATGGGGATGCGATGGCACTGGCAGAACTGATAACATTGCAGGTTCCCTGTTGCGGATGTGCTGTGGACGCTCGCCATGACGTGGGACGTTGTCCTCGTCGTCTTCTATCACTATGAGCCCGAGCGGCTGCGGCGTCTAGAGAAGAAGTATCTCGTGGTTATTACCACTCTTACATTCATCCCTGCGCTAGTCTTCCTTTTCGTCCGTGACTCGGATAAGGGTCCGATATATGGCAGTGTAGTGGTGAGTCTTGGTTCCCTCCCCAAGCCCGTCATTATCAGCATGATACTGATAGATCGTGCCAGTTCTGGTGCTCCATCTCCCCCAACTGGGTTCTCTTCCGGATCATATTCTACTACGCGCCGATATGGTATGCTTCCGTTCTTTGGAACATAATCTAAGGCTCTTGTACTGACTGTCGCAGGATCATCATCATGGTCGTCTTCATCCTGTACATCTACATCGGCCACGAGATCTTCCAACTGCGCCACGAACTCATGCTCACAAACAACGACTGCCTCATCCTCTCCTCCACCGCATCCCCAAGCAACGAGTCCATCACAGCGCGGCCCCCGACGAGTCGAGACGATATGAAACATCTTGATGGTACACACTCTCACCTCGCAATCCCCAGTTCACACTCGGTAGTATTATATTAGTTCTAACGGAGCGTTCAGGCCCCATAATCCGTCCCCAATCCGCCGTCTCCCTCCGCAAATTCCTCCTCATGCCAATTCTCTTCTTCCTCGCGCTGCTGACGACGTGGGTCACCCCGACGATAAACCGGATCTATGCCTTTCGGCATCCGGGCCAGGAACCCTATCCGCTTATGGTTGCTGTTGCGGCGCTCGGGTCCCTGAGGGGGTTCTGGAATGGGATTATTTTTGTGTCGATGAGGTCCAAGGGGAAGGGAAAGGGGAGGAGATAGAGCTTCTATTCTTCTGGGGTTTATGAGGGGGTGGGGAGTGGTCATGGGGGGTGCACTACTGGATGCACTATACACTTTTTTTTCTCTGAGATACTGTATCTAGGGTTTTATGGGTCACGGTTTGGACTGGATTGGGACGGTTGGAACGGCGTTCTGGGCGGATAGCGTGGTGCTTACAGGGATTTTCATTTCGGGATAATTAACCGATGCAATGGGTATAATTGATCAAATATAAGCTTATCTCTCATTGACTACTGCCTAGTTGCTTCCTGCATGATAAATTCCCTTCTCCCTCGGCCGCCACACCCAGCCACAGCCAAATACGCACCTGCCCTCGACTCCCCTCGCCAGCTCATCAACCATCGCAGTCATCCTACTCACGATTCTCAGTATGAATAGTCGGCCCCTTCTCACTCTCTGCCTCGGTCTGCCTCCCGACCAATTGGGCAACCTTCTCCGTCGCCGCCTCACCACCGACAATAGCCGCATCGCCATCGAAGAACTTGGCAATCTCCTCGAGGGGAGTCTCCTTGGTCTCGATGTAGAACTTCCAGACGATAAACAGCTCGAAGAGCAGCCACACGCAGTAGAAGATGTAGTACTTCCACCCAATGTCCTTGAGCGCGATCGGGTTGACGTACTGGTTGAACCACAGACTCGTGTTGACGCACAGGAACATGATGGTCAGGCCCTTGGCGCGGAGTCTGTAGGGCAGGATCTCGGACGAGTAAGACACAAGGAGACCGCTGAAACCGATGTTGTACGAGATGTAGAAGAGGAAGATGAACGCAATGACGGCGTTTCCGGCGTTGGTGTCCTTGCCGCCGGGGCCCTCGGGGAAGCGGGCGAGGGAGATGGTTGTTGACGTGAAGCAGGCGATCATGGCCATGCACGAGGTGAGGAAGAGTTTGCGACGGCCAAAGTGTTCGACGAAGAAGGCGATACCGGTTGCGGAGACGGCGTTGACGGCGTTGAGGACCAGGTTGATGGTGAGGACTTTGTTGCTGTCGGTGATGCCGATGAGTTTGAGGACCTGCTCTGTCAGCTATGCTCCGTCTCTGAGCTCCACGGTCTGCGCTCTTACCTCGGGGAGGAAGTACGAAACGATTCCATTGCCCGACCACTGGGAGAAGAAACCGATGGAGACCAGAATGATCAATCGGTGACGGTTTCCAGGGGTCGACCAGAATTCAGCCCACGAATTACCCTCGAGCTCCTTCTCCATGGCGATGGTCTGCTGGATCTCGTCAAACTCGACGTTGACAAGTTCGTCATCCTCGTCGCCTTGGGCGTGGACGTATGCCAGGACCTTCTTGGCCTCTTGGATCCTCCCTTTCGAGACGAGCCAGCGGGGAGACTCGGGGACCATCCTGTTACTTGTCAGCCTGGAAACGGCGGTCCCGACGGGGAGGAAGAACAAATTACCAGATGAAGACCAGCTGGCAAATAGACGGGGCACCTTGAAGAAGACACGGCACTCGCCACGACCAGTCACTGCCGGTGATCTTGTTTGTGCCTACCAGGGTCAGTCTGTGCATCCTCTGTCCTGCCGAGGATGAAGCTTACCAAGGGCAACACCGGCACCAACCAGACTTCCAATATACCAGAGCGAGTTGTAAATGGTACTGTAGACGGCACGATGCTGGGGGTGGACAAGCTCAGTGACCAACAGAGGAGAACATTCCTGAGCAATTCCCAGACCAAAGCCGAGAATAATCCGACCGACGACAAACAGCGCGACTTTGTATCCAATGGAAACCATCGCGACGCCAAAGAGCATAATCACGCACCCGATGACAACGCCGACGCGACGACCGAGGTGGTCGGCCACATAAGGTACGACCGGAATGGCAAGCATAGAACCAATGGACATGGACGCCGCAAGAAGTCCAAGAGTCGAGCCTTCGGGATAGTTGTATGCTTGGAATCTGTTAGCATGTCGCTGGTTCAAGCGATCAAGTAGACGTACATTTCTTCCAGTCCTCAAGAGCCTGCAAGCCGTTCATCAGAGAACCGTCGTAGCCTGTAGCCATGTCAGTAGGGGGATAGGCGAAACTCGAGCAAGGCAACTCGGACCGTTTGTCGCAGAAGTAATCATGGCAGCCCACAGGGTGAGATAGACGAATCGCATCCCCTTCATCTTCCACCAAGTGACCTTGGGCCACTCCCGGCCCGCAAGAGTAAAGGTGTCTTTCCCCATGGCGGCTGCGTTGAGAGACACGTCTCGGCAAGTGTGCTGTGGAGACAACAATTCAAGACGGGGAGGGAGCGCAAGATATAAGGCTGCAAGACTCCAACTGCGGGTTGACGGGCCTCGACTGGCGGCAAAATGGATGAATTGAGAGACATTAATCCCTGCTCACGAGTACCAACTAAGCTTCTTCGCGACGCGGCATCCCTGAAAAGCATGGTGTCTCCTTCCAGCCGACAGACGGAGTCGGCTGATTGGGAGAAAGGGAATATTTGAGCAGGGGGGCATGAGTATAGCGCTGTGCTAGGCCTTGTTGGCCACTCCATCTCGTGTGAAGCTAGGGGGCATTTATCCGGCAGGGTGACTGCTCAAGGTCGCATTCAACGGGCCGTGTTGCTTTGAGGAAGGAGAATTAAGGTCTGATGGCCCTCGCTTCCCCCGCAGGAACCCCATGTTTGGACACGGCTCGCCAATCTCGCCCCCCACGCTTGATTGGCTGCGAATGCACGCTATTATCAATGCGCAAGGGGCCCCAAGCTTCAAAGAGCCAACGACAGCCAATCAGCACAAGGAAAGGAGGCCACCAGGAGTCCAGGCCGAGAACTCAAGCTTCTTATGGTCTAGCTTGGTACAAGTCCTCCGGTCCAAAAGTGGAAAGTGCCATCTTTGCACCAGCTGCCCAGCTCCCTCTCGCCGCCGGTCAGAAGGTCAAGATGAACTCTGGTATGATAGCTGAATGCTTTGATGGATCGAGGCTAATGTTGGCCAAATAGGCTAATCTTCGACGCCTCTCAAAGAGGTGCGAGGGTCTCATGATGCGGGCCAAAAATAGTCGGGAGCCACGCGCAAGAGATCCCCTTCCTGAGTCCCAACTCCCGAGGTCTTCTCCCCAGGTCTTCTCCCCGGGCGGCTTCGCTTGTCTGGATTCAAGCAGGAGTGCTCAGCCATGTGGCTGTTCATCACACCTCGTATTGCAAGGCCTGCTTGTCCCAACCGGGACTAGTGCGGCGACAAAAGTGGCTGAGTAGCCTCATTCTGTGCTGCCTGCAAGGCACAGACAAAACGAACTTCTTCTCCAGGAACCTCACCTCACTTTGGCCCTGTCGCTTCACCACTGTGGCAAGATGAATAGGCTCAGAGCCATCGGCAGAGATGCCCTCAACGCCACTTCCTTTGGACTCTTCGTCGCCTTTCTGTGGCTGTTATGGCTCGGTATGGCGGTCATCAACGGAGTGTACTACATTTGCCATCCGCACAGGTTCATCACCATGCGTCGTTTGCGTGGCGGGAGTCCGCCGGTAACACTTTCTCGCTCGCGGAGGCCTCTTACAACATCCGCTATGCAGGCACATCCACAGCAGCAGTCCCCCTTCTTCAAGCTGCCGCCGGAACTGCGCCAGATGGTATATCGCGAAGTCCTCATCCCCCGTGCTCCCATCCACGTACGACGGACGCATCGGAGGCTCTGCAGCACGCCGTGTGGGGGAGTCCCGCATAGCAAATGTGCACAGCGCATGGCAGCAGATGGGACAGTCCTACGGCGACTGCAAGACGAAGCGCCTCACCGGGATAGAATCCTCCCTTTACTACGGACCTGTCGTGGAATGTAAGAAGTAGCCAAGCTGTCTGTACTAGAACGCTCCGCCTAACGATGACGCAGATACTTCGAAGCCGTCGACTTGATCTACACTGCCAATACACTCTTCTTCGAGGATCTGGCAACTCTTGCGGCTTTCCCTCGATGCGTCACTCCCGATCGCCTCTCTGCCATTCAATGTGTTCGGCTGGATCTTTTCCCTTTCAAAGATGAAATGATCTACCTTGACACGATCCAAACGGGCTGGCAACCTGCCATTGACGCTCTCGTCGCGATGCACGGGCTAGTCGACCTAGCAGTCAGGATACCCTGGTCGGTGGACTTGCCGCGGTGGGAATTATATCGCGATTTCCTACTTGGTCCTTTGAAGGAAGTGACCGCGGCAAGACGTTTCGTCGTTGAACTCCCGCCCAGCGCAGACTTGGAAAGTAATGTCGACGGAGTCGACGGCGAGGTCCCATACACCATCGTGGCCAACGCTGAACTCCAGGTACATTATTCGAGATGCAATTGGTGGGGAGGGGACGGGAAACTGCCGAGATACTTTCCACCGTTGTAAAGTCGTCTTTGAAACTCTATTAAATTATGTCTATGCAACGTAAGCGGAAGAAAATGTACATAGCCGGAACAGATCAGTTCACAACCACCCCTTCGGTCCACCCCAGTTACCCTTCACCATGGACTGGTAGTACACCCAGGGGAAGAAGGTCTTCTTAAGGTGGTAGAACTCCTTCCGGGGAATCGCCTGGTCGATCCCGAACCACTTTCCAAACGTCTCCTTGGGGACACCGCCGTACTTGAACTCTGCGAGGAGAACCTTGCCGTACTCCGTGAGCAGCGGGCAGGAGGTGTAGCCGTCGTAGATGGCATCAGGCTCCTTGCCGTCGATTGTGCGGAGCAGATTCTGTACGAGGACCGGGGCTTCGGCTGTAACTGCCGCGGCAGTCTTGGATGTGGGCAGGCTAGAGGCGTCGCCGGCGGACCAGACGTTTCCGAACTTCTTGTGCCGTGTCGTGCCGTCGTCGACGTCGACATATCCAGCCTCGTTGGCGAGAGCGCTGTTCTTGACGAAAGCGTGCGGACCCATCTTCGGGACGACGTGCAGGAGGTCAAAGTCGCGTGTCACGTTGGCAGCGCCGTTGGGACGCGCAAATGTCGCCTTCTTGCCCTCGATCGCGACGAGGTCATGCGTAAAGAGACCCTCGACCCCACGCTCCTTGCGCAGCTCCTCGAGCTTAGCGCTGTACTTAGGCACGCCGAACATAGTAGGTGTCCCCGTAGCAAAGGCAATCTTGATGGCCGAGCCGGCGGGGTTGGTGGGGTCGTAGAGCCCGGCCTTCTTCCAGTAGTCGAGGGCGAGCCACATGATCTTCTGCGGGGCGCCGGCGCACTTGATGACGCCCGCGGGCTGCGTGAAGATCGCGTTGCCCTTCTTCAGCTTCTCGATAGAGGGAAAGACATTAGCGCACGTGTCGTACGAGTAGATGGTGGAGACAGCCGGCTCCGGGGCGGCCAGCGCCTCGGAGAGGCCCTTGACGCTGCCGAAATCGAGCGCAACGCCGGGGGCGACAATCAGGTGGTCGTAGTTGAGCTTGTTGCTGTTGCCCAGCGTGATGTAGTTCTCCTCTGGTGTGAACGTGCCGACGCTCTCGTTGTAGAACTTGAGTTTTGGGTCGATGAGCCCGTGCAGGGGTTGGCGGAGCTCCTCGCGGGTCTTGAGGCCGCCGCCGACGAGCGTCCAGCCGGGCTGGTAGTTGTGCCAGAGGGCCGGGTCGACAACGGCAATGTCGTCCTGGACGAAGCGGCCGGAGCGCAGGAGCTGGTGGCTGATGGCGAGGCCAGCAGTGCCGCCGCCAATCACAACCACTTTGTGAGAGCGCGAGGCAGCGCTCACGGGGGAGGCGGAGGCGGTCGCATAGCCGCGGCTTGTCGCGAGGGCAGCACGAGCTGCAGAGGCCACTTTACTGCGCACCATTTTTGAAGATTTCGATCGAGTCTGGATTCAATTCTGTTGCGTCGATCTGAAAATTTGATGGCGGGGAAAGAAAAACAGCTTAGTCAGCCGATGGCCTGATGGCGCGATTCGGACGAGTTGCTCCGATCCCGCAGCCAATTTAGGGGCAGGCTCCGCTTTCGGCCCCGCTGCTCCTGGCCAGAATCCTCATCGCTCTGGCAACTGCGCCACGGTTACTGCGGCGAATTCACAATCAACCCCTCATCGTCTGCTCGACGCGTCCATTCCATCCAGCTCCCATCGTAGAGCCTGCGCTCCATCCCGTAGCCACTCAGTTGCAGAGCCAAATCCAGCGCTGCGGCAGTTACACCCGAATTACACGTCAGCACTGCCGGAACGTTGTCCTTGACTCCGGCCGCCTGGAATACATTTCTCAGCTCGTCAGCCGACAGAATCGTCTTCTCAGCTCCGAGTATCGAAGCGAGTGGTACGTTCAGCGCCGCTGGCATATGTCCCGACCGTAAGGTGGGATTGAGCTCTGGTTCCTTTCCGGAGAAGCGACCGGCGATTCGAGCATCGATAATCTGGAACTCGTCGTGCTTTGGACTAGAAATGAGAGAATCGCGTAGTTCCTCGTAGGATATCACCTCCCTTGCGTCCGGTTCTTTGACGGGGTAGTGGCTCGGCTTTGTGTCAAGGGTATGTGAAGGCCCAGATTCTACGGGGTATCCCTGGCTCACGTAGCGAGGGAAGTTGTTCAGGACACGGACGTCGCGATGGCCGAAGTGGCGGTAGGCCCACGCGACGCGTGGTGAAGAGTAAAGTCCAACCTCCAGGAGGTCGTAGACCACAAGGATATCGTCCGGTTGGACGCCGAGATCTTGCATGCTTTTCGAAAAGTGCTCTGCCGATGGAAGCATTTGGGGATAAGGAGAGCTTGTGTCTCTTATTTGTTCCATGTTGAAGAATCTATCGGTCGTTAATCTCGGATTGGTTGAAAGGTTGTGGAGATATATATTTACATCGAGCCTGGAATGTGGTGTTTTTCATATTGATCTAGAGAGGACGTTTGGCCAGCAGCGACCGGGATAATCCGGCGAGGGCGAGAGTCTGAAGTTATGGCTTGATAAAGTTCTTTTGGGGTCACTAGCAGAGCCGAGAACGGGTTCCAAGTTGGCGAAGCCATGATGTCGAGAGTTGTGCTGGCGAGTCTACGAGGGTCAACTGCGAAATGCTGAAGATGCGGAACATTTTTGTGCTTTGCTCGCTAAAGAAAAATCATTACATAATTCGTTGCATAAAGTCATAAGTTCATAGCCAGCCACGTGACGTGAGATCAGCCTGCCGCGCCGCTTGTGCCTTGGGAATTCCACCAACTCTCGTGCCAGTTGCGCCAGATCAGCTCGTTTTCAAACGCGCGCACAACATCTACCGGCTGTGAGATGGTTTGAGTGCCATCGATATTTGTGGAGTTGAGATCGATTCCAGGCGCAGGACCCACATTAAGCGCAATCTGGTTCTGGAGCTGAAAGGGGATCCCGAAAGGATCATCGAGCGTGTTGTCTGCTTGGAGAGGAAAGTCTGACGAAAGGTTCTGGAGCGGCCCAAAAGGGGCAAAAGAGTGCGTAGCCGAGAAATCGACTTCGTTGGTCGCTGGCTGGAGACCCTGTTCGGGGAGATTCGGTCTCTCGTACTGGCCCGTCGAATGGGAGATTGTGAGGTTGACGCCCAGCAGAGGGTCTCGCGTACTGTGCACTGCCCGCGAAATGTCATTCAGTGCACCCATCGCATCTACAAGCGGTACAAAGTCTGGCCGAATAGAGGCCCTCTTCTTCATCTCGCTTACGGCCGCCTCAAGGGAAGCGATGTCCTCCTCGTACTCGCTCGGATCGGTGGCAGACAAGATATGGTAGTACAAGGTGAAGAAGGCGCAGAATGGATAAAAAGTGACAAGGCTTCGGGCATCGTTAACTTGAACCTGCACAAGAACAGATCAGAAGACTTACTGCGTGTGGAATCCCTGAAGCCCCTCGTGAGCACCCGTGAGAGGCTTGTCTGACCACTCGAGAATGACTTGGATCACAGTCCTCGCAGCCTTGATCGCCTGTGGGTGTGCGATCTGGTCATTGGAGCACGCTCTGCGGCGCATGAAGATGATGAAGCTATAAAAGGCGATGACTGAATCGGCGAAGATCCACGACTCCATGGGTCCCGTTTTAGGTGATCTCGCCATGGACAGCAATTCCCACTCGTCGAGCAACTCTTCGATTTGCTTACAGAAAAGATCAATCTTGTTCTCAACCTCGTCTGTCATCTCGCTGGCCAACCCCTTGGTGGTATCGAAGAACTCGGACAAGATGAACATTGCGCGTGCCCAGACAATCATGATGATACAACGGGCCCGTTTCGGCTGCTCTGCCGGTGGAGAGATTTGCGAAGGAAATCTGACTTGCATGGGCGGGCATTTCAAAGCACTGGGCTTTTCGTACCAGAGCCTGAAAAGGAAGTCGGTCTCCACCAAAGTCCAGTGTAGCTGGCGGAGGTTCTCCTTCTCATTCTCCTCCCGCGAACCAGACCCCGGCGAGTCAACATCGTGGACTCCGAGCATGTCCCCGAACCGACAGGCCTCGCGGTGGAATTGCCATGCTAGGTGATAGTCGAAGCTATTCACCGCAGCCCATGCCTGCATAAAGTCATTCCATAAATTCAATCGCGACACACACTATGCTCCGGACGCACGCCAACTTACAGTCAAGTTTGCCGCAAAAAGGTCCAGAGGAGATCCCTTGGCGGATTCTAGCCATGCAGGAACGAGCTGGAGACATTTGTAGTAGGTCCTCGTCGCTAGCCTTACCTCCGACTCTGTGCACATACTCTGTGCTAACTGGATGGCGTTGTAGTAGATGATCCGCATCGCAGGGTCGACTTGGGCATAGGGCGAATCGATGATATGGGGCATCGCTCTCAACAATTCCCAATCGACCACGGTCCTGAATGAATCGCAGATGGTCAAGTAGCACGCAATGCTGTCGATGAAAGCTTTGTTTCCGGTTAGCTTGACGGCTCTTGAAGACGCGACGAACTTACTATCCAGATACCGCGATATCTCGCTTGCCGACAGGTTAACCTTTGCAGCGTCCATTGAACTTGACTCTGGCCGTGCACTCGGGGCTGCTAGGCGGACCAAGGCCGTGTCGAGTCGGTTGATGGCATTACTGACGGTGGACTGCGCCCACGGCGATGGGGGGTCAGAAATCAGCTGACCCTTGTTTGTGAGGTCCTCAATGTTGTCCTTTGCCCCGCTGACAAGACGGTAGATCCATGCTGCTAGGGTCAATAAGGTTGCACTGCGGGGAAAGAGAATCGGACATTCGCACTGCTGGTTGCGTTTTCGGGCTCGGAGCTCACACGGGGTGGTTCCGTGCGGGGGCTGGCCTGTTTCGAAAGAGTGTCAAGTGCAGGTGGCGTTAGACTCTGACTCTGACTATTCCCGATACGCTCCTCTAGAGCCTCAAGCCGATGGCCAAGGCGATCCATCTCGGTCTTTTGTCTACATAATTGCCAGTGGTTAGGATCGGATTTGCTCGAGCTTGTTTGCAATTGCCTACCGTGCTCCACGAGCCTTTCTTCTTTCGGGATACCGACACTGCACGTTGCTGGCCTGGCATCGGTCACAGTCGGGCTCTCCCCGGTCGCATTTCAGCTCGACGATGTCAGCGTACTCTTGACGATCTTGCAGTGCGGCATACCTTTCTTTCGCGGCATCTCGAGCACTGTAGAATGTTAGTTGGAAGAAGAAAGAGGGCTCAATGGGAGTCGTTACCGATAGCTTCACGCGAAATGAGTTCACACTATAAGGCTCCATCTCGATAGTCACAGTGTTGGTGAGCTGAGGGCTGCAAACGATGACGGCAAGGAAGGAGAGTCGGACTCTTATGAGACCGAGTGTCCGGGGCTCGGACTCCGCGGGCAGTGGCCGTCAGCATCAGGCGTCCGAGCAACAGCCAATCAGCCCTTGCTGACGGGGCTTGGCAGCCTGGGCGGAGTCACCGTGATCCACGCAGTCTGCCCTTGGCTCGGCGGGCCCCGCGGCGGCCGAATGACCAACGCGCAAAAACACGAGCTCCAAGCAAACGGAGCTGGAATCCTGCGCGGATGTTCGCTGCCTCCCTTTCCGAACCTGACGGGCGATGGATTAATATAAGGACTCTGCGCGCTCTGTGCCTTGTCGACTTGCATCATCGCTCCTCGCTGTTGCGCTACCGCATCTCATCTACAGGTGAACATGGAGCAAACCACCCGTGACGAGATCAGTCTGGGGAGTCAAACCCCCACCAACAGCCAGGTATGGGATGCCGAGGGCAAACGGTCCGTTGAAGACGACAACGTTGAGCGCGACCACAGAGTCGCCCAGCTCGCCCGTACCATCAGCGCTCGATCAAGACAATCACATCACCAACTGCCCTTCGAAGCCGGAAAGGATGGTCTTCTGGACCCCCAGAGCCCTCGGTTCAATGCTCGCGCATGGGCCAAAGCCTTTTACAATATTCGATACAGTTCCGACGATGGCGTTCCTCCACGAGTTTCGGGTTTCGCATTCAAAGACGTCAATGTTGTCGGCTATGGAAGCCCAGTGGACTACCAGATGAGTGTGGGAAACGCGCTGCTCAAACTCCCGACTCTCGCCATGCAAATGCTTCGTGGGCAGAAACAAAAGATTGAGATTCTTAGGGATGTGGATGGGTTGCTCCTTCCCGGAGAGCAGCTGTGCGTCCTGGGACCCCCGGGCTCCGGCTGCACGACTCTCCTCAAAACAATCGCTCAGGAAACGTACGGCTTCGAGGTTGACCCAGCCTCGTACATCAACTACCAAGGAGTCACCCCGAAACAAATGTCGACGAGCTTCCGCGGCGAGGCCATCTATACTGCCGAAGTCGACGCACACTATCCCCAGCTCGCCGTGGGGGACACCCTCTACTTTGCCGCTCTCACCAGGACCCCTCGCGAGATCCCTGGTGGCATGAGCCGCGAGGAGTATGCCACTCACCTTCGCGATGTAATCATGTCCACCTTCGGTATCAGCCATACTATTAACACCCGTGTCGGAAATGACTTTGTCCGTGGTGTCAGCGGTGGTGAAAGAAAACGAGTCACAATTGCAGAGGCGGCCTTGAGCTATGCTCCGCTACAGTGCTGGGATAACAGTACCAGAGGCTTGGACAGTGCAAATGCCGTGGAGTGAGTGATCAGATCCGCCGTGCTATTATTCGATCGACTGACATTTGCAGGTTCTGTCGCACATTACGTACCCAGGGAGATGTTTTTGGGGTGACCTCATGTGTAGCCATCTATCAGGCGCCTCAAGCGGCCTATGAGGTAAGTGGAGCAGAGAATGAAGCGGATCTAGCTGCGCTGACATCTTTCTCTCTAGTTGTTTGACAAAGTCACCGTGCTTTATGAAGGAAAGCAGATCTATTTCGGCCCTGCCAGTGAGGCCAGAGACTATTTCATCCGAATGGGTTTCATTTGCCCGGAGGCTCAAACAGCTCCCGACTTCCTGACTTCAATGTCCAGCCCCGCTGAACGTGTGGTCGCACCCGGCTACGAGAACCTCGTACCTAGGACATCCGAAGAATTTGCGCAGCGCTGGAAGGAAAGCCCCGAACGCCAGGCTCTTCTCAGCCAGATCAATCAATACGTCGAGGAGCATCCATTCGATGCCGCTGACTTGGCCACTTTCGCTTCCTCTCGACAAGCCGAGAAGTCGACAAAGCAGCGCTCAAACTCTCCATACACCTTGTCCTACTGGGGTCAGATCCGTGCCTGCCTCTGGAGGGACTGGAGACGACTCAAGAACGATCCCAGCATCACTCTTGCCATGCTGATTATGAATTTCTTCGAGGCCTTGGTTATTTCGAGTGTTTTCTACAATCTTTCCAACGATACAGGCTCGTTCTTCTACAGAGGAGCGCTTTTGTTCATGATGGTCCTGCTCAACGCCTTCTCCAGTATGCTTGAAATCCTTACGCTGTACGAGAAGCGAACAATCGTCGAGAAGCACAATCGATATGCCTTGTATCACCCGAGTGCAGAAGCAATTTCGTCAATGATCATGGATATGCCTTACAAGATCATGAACTCTCTGCTCACCAACCTTACCCTCTACTTCATGGGAAATCTTCGACGCGAACCAGGTGCATTCTTCTTCATGTTCCTGATCTCGTTTTCGATGATGATGGGAATGTCCATGTTCTTTCGCTTCTTTGCCTCAATCACCAAATCCATCGAACAAGCCCTCGCCCCATCAGCAATTATTCTCCTCGGACTTGTGCTCTACACAGGGTTTGCAATCCCGGTCAGTTATATGCGTGGATGGGCCGCTTGGATCCGGTGGTTGAATCCTGTGTCTTATGGGTTCGAGGCAGTCATGGTGAACGAGTTCCATGGACGTGAATTTCCCTGTGTGTCTTTTGTACCGTCCGGGCCAGGCTACGAAAATGTTTCACTTTCTGAAAAGGTGTGCTCGACGGTTGGATCTGTCCCAGGTTCCACTGTGGTCCAAGGCACTGAATTTGTGCGCTCCGCATATGGCTACTTGAGCAGAAATCGCTGGCGGAACTTTGGCATCATCCTCGCGCTCGCAATTTTCCTTTGCATCTGCCATTTGGTCACTTCTGAAATTGTTTCTGCGCAGCGCTCAAAGGGTGAAGTGCTTGTCTTCCGTCGCGGAAAAGCGCAGCAGGCTCGCGCGAAGCGACAGAATGGTGACGAGGAGCAAATCTCCAACCCCGTCGCCCGCAGCGTGAATGTTGGCAATGAAGGTTCTACTGACATCGCTGGCGTCGAGAAGCAAAGCTCCATCTTCCACTGGGAAGATGTGACCTACGATATCAAGATTAAAAAGGAGGACCGACGTATTCTTGATCATGTTGATGGCTGGATCCGACCAGGCACTTTGACGGCTCTTATGGTATGTTCCCAAGCAACAGGCTGGATCTGAACTTGTACTAACAGGCATTTACAGGGAGTCTCTGGCGCAGGAAAGACTACTTTGCTCGACGTCCTTGCCAGTCGTACGACCATGGGAGTCATTACTGGAAGCATGCTTGTGGATGGCCGACCTCGTGATGATTCCTTCCAGCGCAAGACTGGCTATGTTCAACAGCAGGACCTTCATCTGCATACCTCGACCGTTCGGGAGGCCTTGGAGTTCAGCGCTCTGCTCAGACAACCACCCCAGTATACTCGGGCTGAGAAGCTCGCGTACGTGGACACTGTCATTGATCTTCTGAACATGCGCGAGTACGCCGACGCCATTGTGGGAGTGCCTGGCGAGGGTCTCAACGTGGAACAACGCAAGCGACTTACCATTGGAGTTGAATTAGCTGCTCGTCCCAAGCTCTTGCTCTTCCTCGATGAACCTACTTCTGGATTGGACAGTCAAACCTCGTGGTCCATCTGCAACCTCATGGAGACTCTAACCAAGAATGGACAAGCCATTCTGTGCACCATTCACCAGCCATCTGCCATGTTGTTCCAGCGTTTTGACCGACTTCTCTTGCTTGCGAAGGGAGGAAGGACCGTCTACTTTGGTGAAGTCGGTACTGGAGCGAAAACCCTCATGGATTACTTCGTTCGCAACGGCGGGGCCCCGTGCCCGGAAGGTGCCAACCCTGCAGAACACATGCTGGAGGTTATTGGTGCAGCGCCCGGAGCACAGACCCAGATTGACTGGCCAACCGTGTGGAGACAGAGTCCCGAATACGCACGAGTCCGAAGTCATCTCAGTGAACTAAGAGCACTTGCCAACCAGCCCTCCGCAGTATCTGACCCAAACGACAAGTCCAGTTACGCCGAGTTTGCGGCACCCATGTCTGAACAGCTCCTGCAGGTTGGACGTCGCGTTTTCCAGCAGTACTGGCGCTCACCATCTTATGTGTATTCCAAGGCTATACTGACAATCGGCTGCGTAAGTTCCCCGCATTCATTCAAGGTACCCGATCTGACCATACTAGGCAATTTTCATCGGATTCTCCTTTTTCAAGATGGGCAATACTCAACAGGGACTGCAGAACCAAATGTTTGGTGTCTTTGTCTTCCTCTTCGTCATTATGCAGCTCATCATCCAAATTATCCCGTCTTTTGTTACTCAGCGAACACTGTACGAGTCTCGGGAGCGGCAGTCCAAGACCTATGCGTGGCAAGCTTTTGTCGTCAGCAATATCGCTGTTGAGTTTTTCTGGAACACGGTAAGTCTCCTCAACCTAATGATCAACCCATCGGCTAATCGTATCTCGTCAGATTATGGCAGTCTTCTGTTACCTTGTCTGGTTCTATCCTGTTGGCCTGTATCGCAACGCTGAGTACACAGATACGGTGCACTCGCGCAGTACCTTGACGCTGCTTGTCATCTGGGCATCCTTCCTTTTTGCCAGCTCATTTGCGCACATGCTGATCGCCGGAATCGAGACCGCGGATGGAGCATCTGCTCTGTGCAATGTCATGTTCATCATGATGTACGCCTTCTGCGGTATTCTGGCCGGGCCCGATGCTCTCCCTGGATTCTGGATCTTCATGTACCGGGTCAACCCTTTGACGTACCTGGTCTCGTCTTTACTTTCTGCGGGACTCGGTGATGCGCGCATGTATTGTGCGGACAATGAGCTTCTTACCTTCTCGGCCCCAGATGGTATGGCTTGCGGCGACTACATGCAAGACTACCAGGCAGCGAACGGCGGCTATCTGCTCAACCCCAACGCTCAGGGCGGCGAGCAGTGCAACTACTGCGCCTTGGAGTACACCAACGACTACTTGAGTGGCTTCAGCATCAACTTCGACAACCGCTGGCGAGACTTTGGGCTCTTGTGGGTGTACATTGTTGTCAATACTGTTGGAGCGATTGTCTTCTACAAGCTGTTCCGCGTCCCCAGGACGAAGAAGGCTCAGAAAGCTTGATCCCTACACTTCAACATCTCCTTCACAACATTTCCCTCACATACTAATATCTCTAATATTTCTTAATCCTTTGGCGTTGTTGATTTTTTTTGCGTTTTTGCTTTGTGTAATAGAGAATATGTTCGATAGAAATACATCGTTTGGCTTAGTTATGCACGCATAGCTTAGTCATCCTGTAGACACCACGTTTCCCCAACTGCGGGCGGCAACTGACCGACTCCGCAACACCAGCACCAGCTCCATCTCCATCTCCAAACAACCATCCATTGAACCCTCATCTTCCTCTGAATCACCGCCATTTAAACCCATCACGATGCGCCTTCCTACCTTTGTCGCTCTCCTCACCCTTGCCCTGACTGGCTTCACCCAAGCCGCCGAGCTCGGCATCGAAACCACCCACGCTGTCGAGTGCACCCGCAAGACGGCCAAGGGCGACACCGTCCACATGCACTACCGTGGCACTCTGGCCTCCGACGGCTCAGAATTCGACGCCAGCTACAACCGCGGGAAGCCCTTCACATTCCCTCTCGGCGCCGGTCGGGTTATCAAGGGGTAAGCAAGCTCCTTGTGGATTGTTCCGTGGTCGAGGATACGCGGGGCACGGGAGACAGCAAGGCTAATTGATATGAACAGTTGGGACCAGGGCCTGCTCGACATGTGCGTAGGCGAGAAGCGCACCCTTACCATCCCCCCGGAGTACGGATACGGCGACCGTGGCGTTGGACCGATCCCCGGCGGCTCGACGCTCATCTTCGAGACAGAGTTGATTGGAATTGAGGGCGTTCCCAAGGATGAGCTGTGATGGACCAGTCGGGCGGACCTTCTTACGACCATATGTGGTCACAATTACAATACTCTTTTCGAGTCATCGTCATGATCCGATTATGTACTTAAATGAGATACGACATTCGTTTCGGCTGGCCGCGCAGCGTCACATATCCACATTATACCAGACATCTATCGTGTATATACAAGCAAAACAAGCAAGCTCATGTGAATCAAACATCCCCTGCGACGGGCTCTTCCTTTCCTGACTTGCGGCGACGGTGTAGGAAGAAGTTTTGCACGTTCAGTGCGAATGCCAGCAGCCACGATGCCCCGGCGAGGATACAGATGGCGGTCAGGCCGCGGTGGTACAAGGGTCGGTCGTTTGTGCGGAAGATCTGGGAACCGGAAATTCCGGCGCAGTTGGCGGCCATGACGACCAGTCTGGAAGGGAGTATTAATTGGCTGTTTTTGTTTGGCAGGGCCAGGGAGGGGAGGACATACGCCATGGCGACACTTCGTTCTTGGGGGGATCGACAGTAGACTGAGAGCCATCCGATGTTCAGGATGCTTTGAAGAGTGTTAACAAGCTGACTTTCTTTCAGGACCGAAGATGGAGTGGTACTTACTGCATACTCGCGTAGGCGACGTTGGCTACCGCAAGAACCCCATACCGATGCCAGTGCCCCGATGTGACTGGCGTGATGCGAAGGCAGGCGTACGAAATGACGTTCCAGGTAATTGCAACGAGCACAAAGGGGCCACGATGCCCGACCTTATCGGCAAGATACGACAGAATCAAGATCCATATCATGCCGCAGTACACAGGCACGGATGCTAACGCATTCGCGCGCACTGCACCAAAGCCGAAGGACTTGATCATGCTGGGCGTATACTGTGTCAGTCCCTGAAAGCCGGACATGGCGACGAGGGTAATGAAGAAGTGTTGGATAATTCGGGGCTGGCGGACGGTCTTGAGGATATCCCGGCCTGTGATCTTGAGATGGCCGGCTGCTTTGCGGGGGTCGTCGAGGAGGACACGCTGTGTTGCGATGTGGGATTCGCGTGGGGTGAAGTAGCTCCAGCGGCCGCCGCTGAGCCTGCTGAGGAGCGGGCGCCCGTCCCCTACTTTTGGGGGGACAAGAAAGACGAAGATGATTCCAATGAAGAGAGTGATTACTCCTTCAACTGCTCGTTTGTCAGCACTCTGTTTGAGATGAAGATTAGGCATGTCTTACCCAGGAATATCCACCGCCATCCAGCAAGGCCGCGCTTCCCTGACAGCGTCAACAGGCCAGCGGAGATGAGACTCGACGTGGCACCCGAGAACATTTGTCCGAAGAAGAAAAGCGTTACGCGAAGACTTGTCTCCTCACGCTTATACCATGTCGACAGGTAATAGAGGGCTCCAGGAATGAAGCCACCCTCAAGCAGACCCAGCAAAAACCTCGTCACCAAGTATGCAGGATACGAATTGACAAAGCATTGGAACGTTGCAACCAGCCCCCATGCGAAGATCTGGACCGACAACCATCTCTGAGGGCCGACTCGCTGCATTATCACGTTTGACGGGATTTCACTGATGACGATACCGGCGGACAGTAATTGAGATCCGACATTGATCTGGTTTGTTGTGATGTTGAGGTCTTCCGTGATGGTTGAGGTAAGGGCAGCGCTGATGTTTCCGCGGTCGATCTGGAGGGCGAAGAAGGCAAGACCGAGGATGGGGATGAGGATCGTGTCGAGTCTAACAGGTTAGAAAGGGCTTGGAGAGATACAGAAAGGGGGTGGCATACTTGAACTTCAGCTTCTTCTCCTCCGTCTCACTCCAATCCTGGACAATGGGGGCAACATCGTCACCCAGAGTCTCAGCAAGGGGGAGCTTCTTCTCAGAGTCAATGACATCGACCTCAGCCTCCTTTGCAAGGCCCGACATGATGAAGCACGATCAAGACAGAGAAAAAGAGAAAACCAACGACTATCAACCAATGCTCCGGAAGATGGTAGTCTGCGTTGGGAGATTCCCGGCCCTCGCTGGCAACTTATATACGCTGGCATTCTGAGACGCTTGCGACTAAAAAAGAAAAAAAAAAACTCCTCACTTATCTCAGGCCGTCCGGAATTACGTTGGCAGTCGGTATACTCCAGTCTGCCATGCCATGTTTTGGTGGTGTCGACAATCGAAGCCGCTATGGCGCAATCATCGGCCACGCTGAGCCCAGATCTTGACTCGTCAAGCGTCTTATCGATCTCAGACTAACCAGTGGGGCTTCTGCAAGTTACCCACGCGCAAAATGCCGTCTTCGCGTGCGGAGGTTATGCCACCAGCTCTTTTCTCCAATGATCGTGGGCTTTTACGCTGAAAGTGGAGGATTTCTACTTTCTTCGTAAGCGGAGGAGGGCATTTTATTATCTTCCGCCTCGCTTATAGTAGACTATTCAAGCGGACTGACTTGGCGTTCTATTTACTTTGCAGGAGTAGTTTGCTCCTTCTATACCCACGCGTCCCAGCTCAGCCCGTACCGCGAGTATGACAGTGCCTCTTGTGGGCCCTCTGACTCTACAATGTACCCCCGCTCGCAGCGGTCGTACGAGACCCGTGCCTGGCTGGCATAGAATCCGTCATATTGCGAGCCCAACGCATCCTGCAGGTTCTGGACTTTCCCGTCTGGGTGCAGCACATCCCATGGCTTGATGCATGTGGAGCCTTTGCATGATTTGAGAACAAGAAGGATGGAGTCTAGGCGTGTGATGACCTGTGACAGGCTATACCCGAGCAGTTCAACCTCGGTGTCCTGCGCTGCTTCAGGTGACGAGTAGAGGTTGTTCAGCTGGTATGGGTCGGCCTAGAGTAGTTAGTACTACTCATGCACGCGGCTTGAAGCAGGAGACACCCACAGTCAGATCATAGAGTTCGTGCTCGTTGTTGCACCAGACGGAGTAGTACAGGTTGTAGTTCTCGCCGATGATTCGAACCGACTTGTATGTGTTGTTCAGAATGATCGGGGTGTGATTTGGGTTGGCTGCAAGATCTGGTCAGTCTTCTCGCCGTGCAACGGAGATGGGAATCTGCTTACATAGAGCGCCCTTTTCCCCTTCGAGGTATCCCAATCCCCAATATTCGACTGTGACATGCTCGTGTCGCTGATACGCGGAATGTGCATCGCCGCGCACCGGAATAGGGGTCCCGTCAAAGTCCTCGCGCAATGGAATCCCCGCAAGATCAAAGATGCTCGGAACAAGATCGATATGTGTGGTAACCGTGTCTTGGGTCTCATCAGCCGCAACCCCAGGTCCACGAATGATGAGCGGCACCCGAATATCCTCCTCAAAGCCACAGGTCTTCCCTGGAGGCAAGCGGTGCTGCCCAATATGGTAGCCGTTGTCGGATGTATAGATGATGTACGTGTTGTCCGCCTGCCCACTGGCCTCAAGCCGCGTGACGAGGGAATCGACCAGCTCATCGACGCCTTGAAGGGCCTGCAGCCGCCTACGGTAGAAGAGGTCGTGGTAAGCGACAGTATCCTCGTCCTGCTTGGGGAGATTCCGGATCCAGTTCACCCCGCTGGGTTCGTCCGGGTTGAAGTGTTCTGTGCGCGGGACTGTAACGCCGTCGAAGAGGTCCTTGTGGCGATCCAATGGGATCGGCTCGGTCATGACTGGCGGCACCACGGCATCGACTGCACCAGGATCTACATTGGAGTGAGGCGCGACGGGTGCAACAGTGAGGAAGAACGGTCTCTCGCCCGCGAGCGCATCGTCCAGGAAGCCCAACGCCTTCTCGGTGATGACCTCGATTGTATGTCGCCCCTCGTAGCTGACAGGCGCATCCTGGTTTCGCTGGTAGGTGGAGTTCAGATACGAGTAGGTGTATGGATCCAGGAGGAAATCCGACCCATTGAAGCCGTTGACGTGTGGGCTGTGGTAGTTGTCGACGGTGTGTGCGTTGAAGAGTTTGCCCGTGTAGAACGTGTCATACCCCGCGTTTTGCAGCCACACCGGCAGGAAGTTGTCGTTGAACCCGCGATCCACAAACTTGGGATAGCCGCCTGGGAAGGTTAGAATAGTTCTTCGAATCAAAAGAATGAGCACTCACCATACGGCGGACTGACGTCTGTGACGTTTGTGTTGTGCGCCTGGCGGCCAGTCCACAGGCTCACGCGCGACGGGCAGCAGAGCGCCGTAGTGACGAAGTGGTTGCGGAAAAATGTCCCTTTTTGCTTGAGGTGTTTCAGCATCAATGGCATGTAATCGATCGAGTCGAGCTTGAGATCCTGGTCGTCGGTGATGACAAAGATAAAGTTGGGCTGGTCGGACTCGGATGAGGCTCCCAGAATCTGCTGGAGAGCGTCGGGCGCAAGACTCGCTGCATTGGCTGCAGCAAGCAGACCGAATACGGTCCCAAACGAGAGCTTCATGATCATGTCCTGTTCGATGTGAGATGCATCCAGGAACAGGAACAAGAGTTGTTTAAGTCGGAACGTGAGGGGAAATTCCGGCGAAGCTTGACTCCACCAAGACGACTAAATAGTAGCGTAAATTAAAGAGGGTCCAGTCCAGATGACACCATTTTAGGGCCGATTGGGCACTCTTTGTACGGAACCATCGGCTGTCAAAAACATGGAGGCACTGAGGCTGTTGGAGATATCTTCGCGATGGACTCATGCCCTGCACAAATGGCGTGCTCCCACTTGTCGGCCGGGCACCACCGATGCCCTTATCGCCGACACCACCGACTGCTCGTCGCTTTTATATCTTTTTTTTTTCTTCTGACGGGCTCTGAGCTTGTCCTGCCAACCTGCAACCATGGCTGCTCACACCGACGAGACGATGCCTCTGAACCCCGGGGGTGTTGATTCGGACACCTACCAGACCATTACCGCGGATCCGACCAAGCAGCCGACAAGTACAAGCCATGTTATCGCCAACGAGGAAGCTTCTGCTCCGGAGAGCCCCGCGGAGCCGGCCGTTCAAGTGTTGACCAGCGTGGGCAGCATCATCACCGTCCTGCTTCTCGGCGAGTTCATCTCCAATGCTGATTCGACCCTCATCATGACCGCGACGGCTCGCATCACCTCCGAGTTCAACAAGCTCCAGGGCGCAGCGTGGCTGTCGACTGGATACACCATCGGTGTTTGCGCTGCGCAGCCAATGTACGGAAAACTGAGCGACATCTACGGACGGAAGCCTCTGTTACTGGGGTCCTACTTTTTCCTCGCGCTGGGCTGTGTTATTTGGTGAGTCGCTCGCTCAGGCTCGCACTTCTACGACTAACGCAATCATCGCAGCGGGCTGGCAACTGATCTATCGGTTGTAATTCTCGGACGCACTCTCAGCGGTATTGGAGGTGCCGGAGTTATGACCATGAGCTCCATCATTATTACTGGTAAGGCCCTTTACACTGTAGACAATTCCCCGGCTAATGGGTTAGATATCGTCTCGAAGCGTGAGGTTGCCAAATGGCGAGCGTACATCAACGTGTCAATGACCCTCGGCCGTAGTGTTGGGGGTCCTATCGGTGGTGTTTTGACTGATACAATCGGCTGGCGATGGTATGCGTCTTTCTATATCTTCATGCTATCGAATTCTCTAACATATATAGGGCGTTTCTGCTGCAAGCTCCCCTCCTCGGTCTCGCCGCCCTCCTTGTCACCCTCCAGCTCAAGCTCGCCCCTCGAGCTTCCTCGGATACAGAATCAGATGGGTCCAAGATACGCCGTATCGATTTTCGCGGTGGGTTTCTGCTCGCCGTCAGCATTGCTACGAGTATCCTTCTCCTCGACCGAGGCGGAAAGTCATTCCCATGGGCGTCGCTACCAACATTGGGTCTCACAACTATCGCTACCCTGGCTTTCGCTCTCTTTGCCTACACTGAGCTATACGTCGCGGCGGAGCCTATCTTCGATCTCCGCATTCTTCGTCGCCCGAACGTCACGCCGAGTTATCTGGTCAGCGCTCTGCAGGCGGCCGCTCAGGTGGGTATGATGTTCACGGTCCCTCTCTACTTTCAGGTGACGCAGCGCGTATCCAGCACCGTCGCCGGAGCCCACCTCGTCCCCGCGGTTCTCGGAAACACCATTGGCGGACTCAGCGCAGGCATGTTCATCCGCAAGACCGGAAACTACAAGCCTGTCCTCACCGTGGCCGGACTCATCGCATGCATCTCGTACGTGCTTCAAATCCTTCGGTGGAACGGCAACACGGGTGCATGGGAGTCGCTGTACATCATCTTTGGTGGACTGGGATCCGGTACCTGCTCGTCGGCAGCATTTGTTAGCATGACTGCATTCCTCGAGCCGCAGGAGATTGCCATGGCTACGAGTGGTTATCTCCTGCTGTTGAATTTTGCCTTGACGTCTGGAATCACTAGTATCTACACGGTGCAGGGTCTGGAGTTCAAGAGGCAGATGCAGCACCGAGTGCATGGGCCGGATGCAAAGACGATCATTGAGCATGCGCTCTCGAGCGTCCGGTATATCAGTCAACTTAGTGGCTCTGTCCGAGAGATCGTCGTCAGCTGTTATGTCGCTGGGTTGAAACATGGTTACCGTAAGTGTCCTATGATGAGAAGACTCGTGGTGACTGCGCTAACGATTGAATAGTTGTATCCCTCATTTGCTCAGCTCTCTCCTCGATTATAGCTTTGACCGCCAGAAACCACCGACTTTGAATAGAATTCGTGTATGAACCGTGTATATCTGCAGGACACTTGGGGTTGGTTGAATAGCTTAAGGAAGGAATGGGAGACTGTTCGTGTAACCAAAATATATTTCGGCTCGTGCTCTCGGCAACACCAGATTGAATCGCTGTTTCCACCCAATATCTTCAGTAGCTTATTCACTACACGATTAGACCATCTACAAATTACTTTTATTCCTTCACCTCGTCCCCTGCAATGCTCAAAGGTGAAGCCACGGTGGCTGAGCACGTGGCGTTTGCTTAGCGAGGCGCGTCGCACACGCGAAATTGGCGTGACGCCTGCAGGAGCAGTAACAGCAAAGCAAACATGACGAGTCTGCAGAAATCGCGCTGGGCGCCCGCATCAAACGAGAACAACAAATCACCATCATCATCCTCATCAAGACCCTCAGCCCTCCTCTCCCCAACCGCCGAACTCTCCCGGTTCATCAAGATTGTGGCGCGGCTGAAATGGAAGCTCCCGTTTCTGGCCGAGGGGTACCGCCTCGCGACGCACCCGCCCGACACTGGAATTGACGTTGCCCAGGCCGAGATTATGTTCAAGCTGGATTTCCACGAGTACTATGCCTTGCTCGAGCGCGCACTTGTCCATCTACTGGGTGTGTTTGGGATTGCGGTTTCGGGCGTGCCAAAGAATGCGGGGTGGGCCGGTCCGGCTTCGCATCGGTACCACGCGAATGTTCTCGACGCGCTGGATGCGAAGAGTAGTCCGTTGAGATCCGTTCTGGGGAGCGGCGAGCGGTTCACGCAGCTGAAGCGCGCGAAAGAGTTGCGCAATCGGTGGAAGACCGCCGACCTCTCGCAAGAGGAGAAGGAGCGGGAGGAGGCGGGGTTTTACAGCGTGAGAGCGCAGAAAGTGATGCCGCTGGAAAGCTACGATCTTGAGAAGATACTCACAGTCATCTTCGAGGGGCTGGAGGATGCCTACCGCCTTGCAGAGACATATGCGGCGGAGCACGACACGGTTTCCAACGGTCGCGGCGAGGCTGGAGGCACCGATATGGACTGGGACTTTATCGTCGATGCTATGGATTGGGAGGCTGTGTGATGGCCGTCGCAGCTATACAGAGTAACGACCTTGTTACCGAATGCAGCAGAGCATTGAGTCAGGCATCGGCGGAACTAGCAATGGATTGAAACGAGTGCGAATACGCTCGTCCTGCGACAGCAAAACCTGCCTTTCCAAGCAGGCTCATTGGCTACACCATCTGCTCACAGTGAGCTGGTCGTGAAGCTTGGAGCCTCGGGGTCACGACCGAATTACTACGAAAGGCTAGAGCTCAGGAGCTCTTCCTCATACTTAATTGGCTGCACCGATTAACGGTGGAGATCGGGCGAGGGGCCGAAAGCTTGTCGAGCTACAAAGCATAACCCAGATTTATTAGCTGCTCAGAAGAAGAGTTGTATAAGAGACGAGCTGGACCCTGCTGCTGTACCTCTGGAATTCATCTCAATTCCACCCTCTCGCTCAGCAAATCATCAAAATGTCCACGCCAGACCGTGACCTATTCGTCAAAGGCGCCGCCTTCACCAAGAAGAATCATCGCGATCTCTACGCGGCGATCGATCCCACGAGACCTGAGCTCTCGCAAGCCGGCAAGGTCGTGGTTATCACAGGAGCGACTCGAGGACTTGGGCAATTGGTGGGTTACTCGAATTTCTGAAAAGCGCTACTCTAACGGTTACCTGACAGGCATTCGCTGCATCTTTCGCACGGGCCAACGCCAAAGTTATCGCCATACTCGGACGCTCTGCGGATGCGCTGGCGGAGACGAAGAAGATTATCACCGAGATCAATCCAGCGACGGAGGTGAATGCTATTGTTGTGGATGTCCTCGACGAGGTCGGCGTGGCCGGAGCATTTGATGAAATCGAGTCCAAATTTGGAGTCCCACACGTCCTTATCAACAACGCGGGTGTGCTTGGCCCTCTCGCATCGACAGTAGATACGGACATCGCGTCATGGTGGCAGACTCAGGTTTGTTTACTCTAAGCCACCTGCGACCCGGCAAAATCTAACAACAACCAGGAAATCAACATCAAGGGAACATTTCTCACAACGAAAGCTTTCCTAAGCAAGACCGGGCCGAACCCATCATCGCCGACAACGATAATCAACATGACTTCGGGAGGAGCGGTCGCTTTACCACCGGGAATGGGCGCCTATTCTATCGCGAAACTCGCCGTCACGAAATTTACCTCTTATCTCCAATCGGAACATCCAACGATTACCTCGGTCAGTCTCGATCCGGGTGTCGTCGGCACAGATATGGGGCACAGTGTCCCATTCCTCGCTCCCTTTATCGGCGATACATACGAGCTCGTCGGAGGCGCAGGGGTCTGGTTGAGCAGCGGCGACCGCGCATTCCTCTCGGGGCGGGTGTTCTCGGCGAATTGGGACGTAGAGGAGCTCGAGGCGCGGAAACAAGAAATCGTGGACAAGAATCTACTGACGATATGCTACCGCGGCGAATTCGGGGGCGCAGACGTGGTTGTGGAGTAAGGTGTCGATGATTTGGTGGTGATGGACCCTGGCGCTGGTGATGACGACATGCGGACAGGAACCGGCCAAGATTCGCACTCTCGCCGTCACAATGACGCACGACCGAGAGAACTATAAAACCACTCAAAAACTCACTCCACGAATTTTATTTACCAATTAATCCATCAATCTCTTTCCCAATTCTACATACACTACTCTAAACCTCTTCTCCTTCTACACCTCCACACCACAATGTTCAGCCGAACCTCCCGCCCCGCCGCCCGCTGCGCCCGCGGCCAACTCTACGGCCCTAGCAAAGCCCGCCTGCAGTCCACCACATCCCAATCCTCTACTTCTTCATCGCCAGGCACAAACCCGGCCCTTGTCGGCGGTCTCGCCGGTGGAGCAGTCGCCTTTGGCCTGGGCTACGCCTGGTACCACTTTTCCGGCGCCAAGACCGCCGTGCGCACGGTCAAGGAGACGCAAAAATACGCCAACAGCGTCAAGCAAGGGATCGTCAAGAACGCGCCCGAACCCGACAAGGCGCTGGAGTGGTTCCGTGAGACCACCAAGAGGTATGCGGCGTTTATCCCGGGCGCCCGGGGGACAATCGACACTGCATTCGACGATCTCGAGAAGATCCGCGAGAAGCACGGCGAGGAATTCGATGCCATTATGCGCGATGCGTATGGCGAGATGAGGGACCTGACGAAGAAGGGCGGCGCGAATATGGATACGGCATTTCAGGCGCTGCAGATTCTGCAGAAGCATCTGAATCGCCTGTTGGATCTCTCCGCAGATGCCGCGGACGATATTTTGAACAACCACCCGAAGCTCAAGGAGAAGATTGGGGGGAGCTGGGATCAGTTGAAGGAGATGGGCGAAGCGTATGGGCCTCAGGCCAAGGAGGAGGTTAACAAGACGTGGGAGCAGGTTGTGGGGATTGTGAAGAAGGGGCCGAGCCTTGATGCCGTGGAGGAGGTTAAGAAGCTTCTCCAGGAGAAGCGCGAGAAGCTGCAGAAGCTGGGCGACGAGGCATGGAAGAAGGGAATGGAGGAGTCGAAGGAGTATCTCGACAAGAACCCCAAGGTCAAGGAGCTGGTTGAGAATAATGCCGATGCACTGAAGAAGGCTAACTTCACCGAGCTTTGGGGCTTGGTAAAAGAGAGCGCTTCGTCTGGAAAGACCGAGGAACTCGAGAAGTATGTCAAGGACAAGGTTGGAAAGGCCAAGGATACCGCGCAGAGCTCGGGGATTGATCTGGACAAGTGGTCGAGCCTGGTCCCCGGCGGTTCAGAGATTCTGAGCCAGTTGCAGACTCTGCAGTCTTTGGGCGAGAAGAAGGGCAAGGAGGCCGAGGGTGTGCTCAAGGAGGCGGCCAGCGAGCTGCAAGAAGTCTTGAAGAAGCGAAAGGACCAGCTGGAGAAGATTGCTGACGAGGCCAAGCAAGAGAGCAAGTAAACGGGACGATCCCATACTGTACACTAGACATTTCCTTGAATAAACTATGATGATGTTCATGCAACCACCCGCTTTGCAATGGGTAGACGAAGGCGAGGTGAATTCCACATATAAAGTTCACGCGGAGTGGTGAGTCGAGGTTGATGCAGCCCAAGCTTTGATAGAAGTAGTGGTAGCCATTGCGTAGGATGAGGGTGGCAAAGCAGAGAATCCTGGCAACTTCCGCCAAATAGATCTGGAAGAGAGACTTTTTGCAGTGTGGTTTGAAGAATCTGAGATGCGAGTGGCGGTATTTGAGCTATAAAATGGCCCAAAAACGGCAGCCTACAATGGGTCTGAAGAGTGTCTACTGCGGGCCTAGAGGAAGCGCGTGACTAATGGACATCGAGTAGATTTTAATTGGATGTAGTTACAAAAGTATATGCCAAAGAGATGTAAAAGAAGGGAAGTTTTGGAGAAGTGTACGGACAGAGGCCCTTGGGAACGAGTCTAGTGTCGAGTTGAATGAGTCGACATAGCATTTCTGGATAAGGCGACTATGCCCACTTGCCGAGAAGCGCCATGAGTCCAACACCCCAGAGGAGTGAAACAACCATGAAGACGAGTCGCTTGTTGTCCTGGGTGCGGTGGGGGTCGAAGAGGAAATCACGAGCCAGCAGCTCGACGAGACCGGTGTAAACGAGAATCCCCGCGGAGATGGCGTCGAGCACACCAGAGACCACGTTGGCCGTGTAGGATCCGGCGTTGTAGGTCGTGCGGACACCGAGGCCGATGGCGATGGAGATGGGGGTTGTGAGTCCATAGAGCGCGCACAGGATCCAGGGGAGCCAGCTTCCCTTGCGGAAGGGGATGGCGGACATGCGAGCACCAATACCGAGACCTTCGAAAGACTGGTGGAAGACGAGGACGGGGTATAGGGTCGAGAACTCCTCTCCGGTGGTGCCCAGGTTGAGGCCGATGATGACCGAGTGGAAGATGACTCCGAACTCGAGGATGAGGAAGGCGGCAATCTGCTGCTTGAAGGAGCGCTCGATCGAGCCGGAGTCGAGGGACTGGGTTTCGACATCGTCGTTGGTCTTCTTGCCGGGGCGGACGTCGGCGGCGATGGCTTCTTCGTTATTGACGGTGCTGGTCATGAAGCGTTCGGGATCCTCTCTGCAGACCCCGTACTTGACCTCGACGTATCGCTCCGCGCCAAAGTCGAGAAGGAAGATGCCCATGACCGCCGCCAGAACGATAGCAGGACACCACGAATAGTCCGCCCAGTGGCCAGTCATGCCAACACAGCTTGCAGGGCCAATCTCATCGTAGGCAGGGTCGAGCAGATGGATAAAGGCAGTTGCGACAATAACACCAGCACCAAAGTATCGGGCAAACAGGTACACGTAGAGAGGGATATGGAGACGAGGGATCCGCTTGGCCAGCACGGGGAACACAGTAACAGCGGTAGAGACGATCAGGATGACAAAGATGGAAGAGACACGCGCACCCAGGCGGCCATCATAGTCGTTCTCACCTGCATTGAGGTAGCAGGTGATATCGCGAGGATCGGCGGTATCCAAATCGACGGCGTGAGGATCGAAAGACATGTTGAGAAGCAGAAGAGAAGATGAAGGAGGAATCCGGATAGCTGCACGTCCAGGAACAGAACCTGGGAGAGAAGCTCATACTTATAGAGCAAATCTGTCTGTCAAAAGGACCACGGGGGCCGACCGAGAGCCACATGGCATGCAAGATGTCTGAATGGGGACCTTGGGCGACCAAGGGGGCCATTTATGTCATCTCCACTCGAGCCTTGTGGGAAGACCTCGCTTAGCAACAAGTTGTCAACGTCTCAGTGGCATGGGTTGATGCTACGATGAGTATTGGGACGACATACGCCTGCACACGGCTCCTTGTAAAGCGCGACCTGATTCAGGGCAACCGGGGCTGAAGCGCTCTTGCCGCAGTCCACGCAGGAGCCCGTCGGCGAAGACCGAGTGACAGATTCTGTAGCCCACCGACTTGGCTACAGGAGATTTGAAGCTTGGTTTAGCTTGGGAGTTGCTTGTGTCTAACCGGTGCGACAGCCAAGACAGCCCGGTGAGTGGTTGATGTGGGTGGGCTGGTCCGAGTCAGCGCGAGTAGCTCGAGGACCTTGGGGGGTGGGCTACGGTGGATGTGGAGCGCGTCAGCGAAGAGATTTTGAGATCGAACCATCGCTGACCAGAAGAATCCTACAGTGATGTCGGCTGAGAATCGCCGCAGAACAGTATCGAGGGTCTATTCCATTCTTTTGTTTGTTTCTGTCTATCAACATGCACGCCATGGCTCATAATCAATCACCCGGCGCCACCCCATAACAAAGCTCAAAACTGTCCTGGAACGCATGCTTGGACGACCAGCAGACAACGTCTAGACTCGTGCCCAGGTTCGACGGGTCTGGGTTATCCCCCGTCCCCTCGTTGCCCAGGTAGAACCGGCGGCAAAAGTCGCTGAAGCGAAAGGTCCCGGAGCCGTGCGCTCTGACAGACAACCAGTCGTTGTTCTCGACGACAACGCGTTTGCGCTCGTGGCTGTCCACCCACTCGACCACCACATCGTCCTGGTCGACCAAGGGCGTGTCGATGGATCTGGTTCCCCCTGCGATACTCACGCAGAAGCGCGATCGCTTCGTCGTTGAAAGGCAGACAAGGTTGCCGCAGCAATACCAGTAGGTATTGGGATATCCACAACGCCGGATGAAGAAGCTGTGGCCGGAGATGTAGTCGTGCTCGTTGTCGCAGGGCTGGAGTGCAGCGCCCGGGTTTACATTCTGCTGCAGCGGATAGAGGAAGATCTTGCCGGTGACTGAACTGAGAACTGAATCCTGGTCTCCGGTGCTTTGAGGAGCCAGAGCGTCGCTGAGTGCTGCGAGGAGCTGTGCCCCTTCTTTGGCTTGGAGCACCCACAGCTTGGGGGAGAGTCGCTCGACTCCCGTAGGCGTCATGGTCGTTCCGCCGCTACTTGCTCCCGGTAGCTTCACTTCTTTGCCCTCGCTATCCTGGAGAATGCGGAACAAGGTATCGGCTGTATTGCGATCAGGCGAGAGGGCGATCCAGGTGGACTGCGAGGAGTAGTTGCCTGGATCGGCAGGCTTGGCCGTGATATAATGCATGTACACCATTTTGGCTGCGTGATGGATTAATGTCAAGACCAGGTTCCAGGCGGCAGAGCCGGTATATGAATGTGTGATGGCGCAGTGACGTGGCGATGGAAAGCTGGAACAGCTGCCGAGTGGTGAACCAGACTCTGGCTGGTGACCCTACTAGTACCTCCCCGGCGCAAAATCAAAGAGATAGATAGTCCCGTCCGTGCATTCCATCACAGCCCGATGTCCATCGGCGAATCTCAGGTGGGCAGCCCTGGGACCTTGTGGAAAAGGGCGTCGCAATCTGGCGCGCTTGGATAGAGGAAGGAGGCTGACTCTGCTGGCGTCGGTTGCGGTCAGATGCAGGCCATCATCACACTGTCCGGGGAATGTAAAGTACGTTGATCGCGCAGCTTGCATCTGCGAGAGAGTATCGGAATTGATTACTTCCACCAGGCTTGAGCAGAGGGGCCGGCTGTCCAACCTCGGATTGTCTACAGTTAGGACGCGACTAGTGAACGGATCCAAGCACAGCAGGTTGGCCTTGCACAGTACCGTGTCAACACGTGTGGCGACAAACTGTCCACTGCTCTGGCGAGAAAAGGTCTCCACCTTGAGGAGGTTTTGATGCACGGCGTGGCTTATGATGGAGAATCCTGTGCGGCTGGGGCTCACGCGGACGTATGAAGGACCGATCAGGATGACTCGTGTCTTCTGTCGCAGGCTTCCATCCTCACCATTGATGAGGTATATCGTGGCAAGCCTTTCACGGAGCCCTCTTTGGGTTTTGAAGGCCAGTATGACCTCGTCGCCCTCCACGTCGAGGAGTTCGAGGGGGTGTCCGAAGCGATAGCTTTTGGTATCGTCCATGCCATAGAAACAGTTTGTATGTGGCACGATTGTATCGGTCTCGTAGAGCAGCTCCCCAGACAGCAGCGCATGTGCCTTGATCATCGCCGGACCATCCCCGTGAGTGACGGATCCGAAGTACGCACGCTTCTCGCCAACCATGACTGGCACATACCGAGGGCCATCGTCTTCATGACGCTGGTAAGCGTGAGACCAAACTTGACTCCCACTCTCGAGACAGAAGAGAGTGTCTCGAGCATTCTCGAGCAGCGTACCACTCGGAGGTGGCTGAACATTGTATCGGATCAGCAGATGGCCGTTGGCACCGAGTAGAACGAGTTCGCCTGGCTCGTGAAGCGCTTCGTGGACGCCGGTTGGGTTCAGTTTGATCCCTGGATGGAGTTCTCCGTCGGATCTGTACGACAGGTCTTGCCAAAAGACACCATCCTTGTCATTGATCCAGGCGCAATACTTTCCTGCAATCGTAAAAGCCTTGGCAGTCTCGAACTTGCGCACAGCTGAAGGTTCGCCGCGGCCAATGCTCTTTTGGACTGCAGCTAAAGCATTATTAGTGACCGGCACTCCTTTGTTCGGCCAAGGCAGCACACCTTGTTCTTTGAAAAAGCGTACAGAGTTTTCCAAGTTACAATGGTCAGAGAGAGGCAACTCATGGAGAAAATGGAGGCGAAGACCAGGCGAGACCATCCACTGGCGGACGAAGAGAGCCCATCCCCGGCTGACGCTCTCGCACCGAGCGATATCCGACACCGACAGATGTTTGAGGATGGCACTGGCGCATTCAACGCTCAGAATCTGGAACGGGTCGGCCATTCTCGAGAAAGAGGAAGAATCTCGAGATTTCTCGAACTTCTCGAGGTGGTGGGAGGCCTCGTATTGCACAGCCCCACCACCAGCTCAATCAGGGAAGGTTGGACTCGTGACAACAGTAATCATCATTCAATACTCCGTGTGGTTTGTATCTACAGATGCTTCAATACTACCAAGGCACCTCCATATCGCCGGTATAAGAAAGAAACTTGCCCGACGCCGTCTCCCGCGTTGCCTCATCGACGATCTGGAGTATTCCCCTGACGCTATTGTCCACCGTCTCCGGAGGCCCAGGGGCGTAATTCCAGTCCCTGGCCGCGATATTCCCCAGGTTTGTCTGCACCCATCCTGGATGCAACGCGATCGCGACCAGCCCATCAGCCGCGTGCTGGAGATGCAGGGCTTTGGTGAGCCAGTTGGTGGCTGCTTTGCTGGGGCCGTACGCCCCACCAGGGAACCGCTCCTGGCCGCCGATCGAGCCGACCGATGAGGATACGCTTATATACTTGGGGCTGCTGGGGGCTTTTTGCAAAAGAGGCCATAGAGCCTGGAAGACGAGCAGAGGAGCGATTGTATTGACCTCGAAGCAGCTGCGCAGCTCATCGGCGGTGGTCTCGACGGCGGGGTTCATGCGGGTGGAGAAGCCGGCGTTGTTGATGAGGACGTCGATATGCTCGACCGAAGGGGCAGCTGCGGCAAGCCTCTCACGAATGGCCTCTGGGGAGATGGCAGTAGAGAAATCAAGCTGGATAATATGGAGAGAACTCTGTGCGCCGGGGGCGATGGTCTCCGCGCAGAGGCTGGCAGCGGCTTCATCGTTGCGCACGGTCGCAATGACGGTGGTGGAGGGACGAGCAACGAGTTCCTTGACAAGACCGAGGCCGATGCCTCGATTGGCGCCCGTGACGACCCAAACAGATGACTTGGAAGCAGAAGTGAGGCTCATGGTGTTGGTTTGGGAGAATGTGGGAGAGGGAGAAGTACAAAAGTGGAGAAGAATAGACGAGAATTTATACCCCGAGCGTGCCCCGCGTAGCGCCAACCGTCGGCAACCCCGAATCCTTTTGGGCATTCTGCAAGTGGTCAAAAGACAGCTTGATGATAGTAGCATCTTGTTGATGGCAGGATTTGAAGTGTGTGCTATCAATATGAGGGTTCAGGGATGATCGGCAGTCTGCACCAAGAGAGCCTCACCAGCATGACAAACCAGCCGGATCGAGGGAGCTACTGAAGAAAGGTCCCGCGCCTGATCTCGTCGCTCGAGTTCTATAGATTGTCGGTCGAAGACGGCCCAGCCAGAGACTCAGGGGGACGGCAGAGACAAATGCCCACTTGCTCACAATGCCAAGTGTTCCGCATATATTGGGCACAGACATCGATTGCTCAACCAGGGAGACATGATTCTGAAAGGAGTGTTTTTCGGCCGGACGAACAAAGTGGTGGATCCTTTACGTGGTAATGGTAGTATCCTTCTCCCGGGCTGGGATATTTAACCGACAGATCGTGTTAGGTTTACCCGCCAAAGACCCTGGAAGTAGATGGACAGAGTAATGACAAGGGCTGCTTGGAAGGTCGGATACGAGGTACTTTTCGAGGGCATGGCACGGTGCCTTTTGCTGCCTTCACACAGTCAAGACTGGTTCTATCCGACGATATTTATAGAAGGTTGAGGTTGAGGGAATACGGAAGAGTGCCTTGATTCGGGCATGTGTGGAGTGGGCAGTTGCGGAGACTCCGAGACGTTATCCAGAATGAAGTCAGTTCCCCTGATCAAAAGGCCGAGGTTGAATGACTTCATATACAGACTGGGGAGAGATCACCCGGATGGCGGATGCGTTCCTCCACCAGAGCCAATTGCATCCCCCAAATCTATTCTTAGCGCCCCCACAGCCGGCATTTCGCTGAGACGCTGCCAATCAGCGGGTTGCTGTGTCTCAGCTGCCCTGCTTGGCTGTCCATCTCCCAACGCATAAATAGCGGCGTGACCTGCTGCTGCTTCTTCTGTCCATCATCAAACAATCCAACATTCAAATCATCACAATGAAGCTCAACTACCTCGCCGTTGCCGCCTCCCTTGGCCTGACTGCCGTCGCCCAGCCCACTGGCACCTGCGCGCCCTCCAAGCCCGACACCTTTGGCCTCGTTGCCATCAGCTCCGGCGATGCCGTCCAGTATGCCGGCTTCAACGCCGCTCTGAGGAGCATTTTTGCCGGCCTCCCCAGCCAGAACGCCACCTGCGACGGGACCGACGATGGCTTCGCCACGTTCTACCTCAAGGACGGCGCCCTCTTCCTCTACGGCCCCAACGAGCAGCAGGTATACGTCGACCGCTCCGGAATGGGTATGCACCTCACCATCTAACCCTGACGAGCATTGCTAACTTTCGTAGGCCAAGGCAAGATCGGATACACCGTGAGCGGCGAGTCCGGCCCTCGCAACGGCGAGCGCACCGGCTGGGCCATCAACGAGGACAACCACCTCCAGTTCGACGGCAGCGACCTCATCGCTTGCCCCAACAGCATTGATGGTGCCTATAGTATCTGGGCCTCGGCTGGTATCGATAACCCGGCTGGCAACTCCGACTGCGTTGGCATCGCCGCTCGCGTCGAGAAGGAGGCCGAGCCCACCAGCTGCTCCTACACTACTTCCCCTTAATTCTGCATGATACATACTCGAACCCTAGACGCCACACCCTGTACATAGTCTCTCCTTAATATGTGGATGGTGGATGAAATGTTGTGTTGAAAATATACCTGTACAAAATATAACTAATGCATACCTCGAGCTTCGGAATTCCTCTTTCAGACAGTCGCGTCTTTCATGGCAAGGTTCACTGATCGCAGAGCCTTGATATCCTGTTGTGGGTCACCGTCGAGGGTAATGATATCCACCTGGCGCTCTTCTTCGTACCAACCAAATCGTCGCCCCGACATGTCCCACAGTACATGACTCCAGTACGTCGGGGACAGGGATCCCGGCCTCGATCATCAACTCAAGCTCCCTGACATTGTCCCCGTGAGGATACCTCCCTGTATCGCCACCACACGCGACTCGGACACCCATGTCATGCGCCGGCTTAATTTGCTTCAGGATCCGAGGGAAACGCCCTCAAGCGTGCAACAGTGCTCAGAGACAGGAGCCCGCGCCAGGGCTGCTTCCTTGACGATCATATCCATCACTTCTTGCGAGAACACCATGTAATCGGGACTAGGCTCCTTGGGCGGATGCAGCACGCCTGGAATATAAGGATGCTGCTGGGCCGAAGGCCAATCCGTCGTCGGTAATCAGCGAAGAACTTGATGATATCGGCTCCGGCTGCGATTCGGCGTCGAACCGCTTGTCGGCATTGCTCAACGCCATCGACGGCGTCTGCGCCAGCCGGGAGGCAGTGGCCGCCGGCACAGTTCTCTGTCCGTAGCTCGAAGGACCCGGTGCTTGCGAGGACTTTGGTCGCGACGAAGAGGCGCGGACCTGGTGTTAGACCTCGTGCAATCGCGTTTCGGAGATTGGCGTTGAACTCTTGCATTCCTTCTGATCCGAGATCCCTGTACAAGAATGTTGATTCATGACGCGCACTGGAAGGATTGAGAAGACTAACCTGTACATCGTGTATCCGGCAAGCAGTGCTATGCGGCAGTGGTTGACTACGCGAACAATTCTCTTGGGAATGCTTTCGTCTCGTTTCTCTATGAAGGCTCCTGCTTCACTTTGTGACTCAGTCCACTGACATCGCAGACTGATGCTTATGTGATTTACTCATACGAATGCAAAAAGACGTGAGTACGCGCATCTACCAGACCGGGCATCACGTATTTTCCTCGTAAATCGACATCGCCCGCTGGAAGTGGTTCTAGGGCTGCTGCAGTATCCTGACGCTCGTAAACTCGGACTATCAGCCCCGTCGCGGAGTCACACCGTTATGGAAACATTGTGCCGAACGCGCTTCAGCTTGGGGTCGAGGAGACTTGATGTGTGCAGAGTAAACTGAGTCATTGTGGCTTCGACGCACGTCTATGTTGATGCGAAACCGACAATAGGGATAATAATCCCTACAATGGTTCGTGGTGCATTTCGTCGCCCATTTCCGGTTGACTGAATCTCTTCCCAGCACGCCCAGATCACAGTTAGGGTGAAATACGAGAGAAATCTGCCCCGGCGGTTATACGAGACAACTTTCTGCAGAAAGAGTTTATTTAGCAGCGACGGTTTCAAGGGTCCCTATGAAACCGGCCGGCATGCTTGGCCTGGCCTCGATTGGCAGCAAACGCTCCGCGCCACAGGGTCGGCGGCTACACCCTCGACACCAACAAAGGGCATTGCTTCAGCCCTTTTATTATATTATTCTAGTTGTTCCGGTGAAGGCATCAGGGGAATATATTGTGATCATTCTTGTCTATTTCCATTGTATGGATTCCCTCAGTAATTGGGCCACACCATGCACTACTCTCATAACCCGAACAACAGGCTCAAGCCAGCAGTAGAAAAGCCACCACATTCACAATGGGACTCGCTATCTCTGGACACATGGATGTGGGAGATTGCCTCCCTGGCCTTTAGCACCCTGTGTTTTGCCGCGATTCTCGCATTACTTCTCGCCTACAATGACAAGCCGTGGCCAGAATTGCCCCACGGACTCACGCTCAACGCGATAGTTTCCGTACTGGCAACCGGGACCAAGTCGTCCTTGATCTTCGTCACAAGCACAGCAATCGGGCAACTGAAGTGGATCTGGTATCGACAGCGACATCATCTGCAGGATATGCTGCTGTTCGACGACGCCAGCCGAGGACCACTGGGGTCCCTGTTGATCTTGTTTCGATACAAATCGTGGTCTCTGGTCTCCCTCGGGGCGTTAATTACCGTTCTATCTCTTGCTTTTGATCCGTTCATGCAGCAATTACTGAGCTACCCACTTCGCGAGGCACCGAGCGACTCGGCCCTTGCCAGCGTACACCAATGCACGACGTACGAACCCGGACCGCAGGACGACTTTGGCCTACGAAAAGCGACAAACGCTGGAATCTGGACTGACAAGTTTGAGCTGGATCCCATGTGCGAGTCTGGGAATTGCACGTGGCCTGCATTCAGCTCTGTTGGGATTTGCAGCGTCTGCGAAGACATCACGCCCCTTGCGCAGATCAAGGGTTGCGTCCTGCCATTCAATGCGTCCCTCGTCAACACTACGCAAAAAGCACGTTGCATGATTTCGGTCTCTCCGGGCAACAGCAAATTGATTCCCTTTGAAGCTGTTCCAGCTACCGCCCTCACTATTGATAAGGAATTGCGGTCGGACTTTTTTTTACCTTGATGTCCCCAAGGAAGTGGTTTGGGCGCATATGCCATTGCAGCGTGCCGAGGGCAATCCATACCCCTCTGAGGGCGTTTATAACACATCCCTTCAGGTCATCACCCACGCAAGCTTCAGCCTTTCTACCGAAGATTCTGTCGACGAGCACCCAGAGCGCGGTCTGCGGATCGAAAAGGTAACCCAATGTGGCCTTACTATGTGCTCGAGAGTACCAGGTCGCGGTCGCGAACGGACAAGCGTCGATCGACGTTACCTCGGTGGACTACGGCAATATTGCCCTTTCAGGTGCCGACGGCGAGGAGACATGCTGGGTCTCCAATGCACAGGTTGACGGGAGACCGGCATTTGAAGTCTGCGGCGTCGTCAATCTGGCACATGGCTTGGGAACAACTGCTCTCGAGGGCCGCTACTACTATGACTGGCTGTACAGCCCGTCCGACACCCTCGCCCCTGGTGAGCTAAATTGGAGATTCAATAGAATTGGGCTCGCAAACACCGACAAAAGCACCATAGCTCATAATATGGACAGCATTTTGAGCACTACTCTCCCTCGCCTGCTGCACAATGTCGCAGCCTCCTTGACCCAGCTCGGCCGCGACAGAGCAAACTCGACCGTCCGTGGAACCGCCTCGGTCAGCGAAGCCTACGTTCGGGTAAATTGGGTTTGGCTGAGCCTTCCTGCGACGGTGGTTGTGCTCACGTTGGTATTTTTGGTCCTGACACTGCTGGCAAATAGAGAACAGGGCGCGGAGCTCTGGAAGTCGTCCATTCTGCCCGTCCTATATCATGGTCTGGATGATAGTGCCTTGTGGCATAACGAGCAATACAGGACAGCCAGTCGCATGGAGGCTTGTTCGCAGCGGGTTGAAGTGAGATTACAACCGTCTGAGCGAGGAAACGGTTGTTGTTGAAATGACGAGATGATTTATGTATTTCTATATGCAGGAATGACATGACTTTATGCTCCATCGAGGTGCCTTTGTAACTGCATGCTAAGCCATATGTAGTCGATATATTGGGTATTGCAGGGCATATCCTTGCTCTTCTCGATGTGGAGGGTGACAATGAGGAGAGTGAAAATGGCATAAAGCACCCGGTTTGATAGATTCACACCAGACATGAGGCCGCCGAGAATTCTCTTGACATCGTCTGCTCGAGTCAGAATATGGGCGTCAGAAACAGGAAGTCCTGCATCATGTATACGGTGGCCAAGTCCATCATGGCCATTCTCTAGGAGCATCTCAGCCACGGATTTCTTGTTCGCGGACCGTAATTTCTTCATCCACCTCGGACATTATCACAATATCAGTGGTTTACAACGATGTAAATTACGCATGACCTTCCACATTGCGCGCCCGAACTAAGTGAAAGAAAGAGTATACATCACGTACAGTGTCAGCGAATTCCCTTGGACGTGGCTCCTGCAGAAGTATAGCATCTGTCGAGTCCTGACTTTGTACATGGTTGGGTGGTGTGAGTTGCTCTTCTCCTCTCCGCATCGTATAAGCTACGACTAATGATATTTGTATTCACAGCAATATGCTTGTTGTGTATCAGCGCATGCAACAATTGGTGGCAGCTCATGGCTCTCCGTGCCCTTCAGGGATTCTTCGAGTGCAACATTACTCCTGGATTGCTGATGATCATGGGAGCATGGTGTCGGACCGATGAACACGCAAACAGGTCACTGTTCTGGCGGTCCTCGGAGAGATTCTTTTCGATTGTTTGCAACAACATGATATACGGTATTGCGCGCCATGTTACCAAAGTCGGCGGTATAGATCCCTGGCGCTGGATTTTGCTCTTCCTGGGCGGGCTTACTCTCCTGGGGGCTGTTCTTGCCTGGTTTATCCTTGGGTCTCCCCATGAAGTCGAGTTCCTGAATGAGGAGAAACGGCGCATGGCGCGAGTGACCATTTAGATGACCTCTCTATTGCAATCGGCTAACATAATGCAGCTATGCTCGGGTTATCATGAGGCAGATGGCCGAAGACACCGCGGGCAAGAAATGGTCGTGGGAGCAATTCTGGGAGTGCATCAAGGGTCCGCAGGTATACTTTGGGCTCTTCAACACGATGCTGGCCTGTATTCCGAACGGGTAAGCTAAGACTGAGGCCCGGGTCTCGTATAGCTCAAAACTACTTGGAGTTGCAGCGGCATCATGGCCTTCGGCTCCCTGATGTACCGGACCTTTAGGATTTGATGAGTGGGGATCTATGCTGTATGGGCTGCCGCGGAATGGAATGTAATCACATCGAAGTCGAGAGCAATATATTCGTACTGATAGACGGTAGATATATACGTGGTCGTGTTACCCTGGTTGCCGTCTACCTTGGGAAATGTTAGAACCAGCGCATGTGGATCATGATTATCTCAAGCGTCTGGCCGTGCATGGGAATTGTCGTCATCTCATTGCTTCCCAACACTTCAGAGCACAGGTGGGTAAAATGGGGCATGTTTGACATGAGAGATGTCTTTTCTTTGGCATTATTCCTCAGCTGGGGTATGCGTAAAGCCAATCCACGACCTATAAAGAGAGACATAGATCCTCTAACATGCCTGACAGTCACATCCAGCGTCACCGGCAGGACCAAGCGGAATGTCGTCTCCGCACTCACCCTGGTCTCCTATTGTGTTGGCAACATGATCGGCGCTCAGGTCTTCCAATCAAAGGACGCCCCTCGCTATATTCCAGGCACGATTACATGCTGCGTATGCTTCGGACTAGGGGTAATTCTCATTATCGTGTGGCGATTGTGGTACATGTACATGAACAGACGCCGAGACCGGTTGGCGGCAGAGTCTGGCCTGTCCGAGGAGGAGCTCAAGCAGATGGGCATGCAGTTGGGAATGCAGGACAAGACGGATCTTTAGAACCCTCATTTTAGATACAGTATGTAAAGGCCTAGCAAAGCTATGTAAAGGAGATTCGGAGGGGATGCGAAATTGCGCAGCATGAACATGGCGATATTGCACTTGGGGATGAAATTCGAACGCAGTAGGACTGACAACAATTCTCGGTGATTTTTTAGCATATTCAAGACGTTCCCAAAACACCTATTGTGACCAGTCGTGATCGGATTCCATGCGGCTCTTCAGGCGTGGTCTGATCCCTTAGGCATATTGGGAGCGATCCGTCCACCCAGGGCGAAGGTATTCGCCGTCAAATAGAGGATCAAAAGCTGACCGATGCGCGCCCAGCACCTTCCACTGCACATCAAGGGACCCCCCAGCCTCGTCCATTGCCCAGATACTAAGCCCAATAGTGTTGTCACCATTGTAGTTGAGGATGCCCGGAAAGACTGGCAGAATAGTTAGTTTCGAATATGTTAACAAGCCTAATATGTAGAGCCATAGGGTGCACGTACCAGGGAATGTAATTTCATTAGAGATGAAGGGAGAGTTTTCGCAAACTGGTACCCATTGACGTACAACTGAGCTCGAAGCTTCGCTCTCTCCTCTGCCTGGAGCTCGAAAGCCAGGCTGACGTCGTATCCCTCTGGGATATCCAACGGCACAATAGTACGATAGAAGCGTGAACCGGCACCAGTAAATCCATCAGCTGGTGTTCCAGTCTCCCAAGAGGCATCGTCGAAGCCGGGGAGATGCCAGCCAAGGCGCTCTGCATGGAGGCCGCCCTCATTATACGTCCCACGAATCGGCTCCAGGAGGTGATTGCCACCCGCGTTGCCGGCGACCTTCCAGGACGTAAAGCTGGCGGAATCCCCACCCGCAGTGATCAAAGTGGCGTTGAGAATGCCTCGTGGGTCGGGTGCTGCCTCTCGCTGCTCTTTGCCCATGGTATCTTGGATGACAAAAAGGACGTTGTCGCCCTCGGTGCTGAGCGGCACGTCCTCGAAGAATACCTCGAGCTCTCCCGTCTTGTTGGTCATTGCGCCGTGCCAGGACCCGAGGAATCTGCCGTTGGCGTAGACTGAGAACCCGCTAGCAAGGCCACCAATAACACGAAGATAAGCACCGGTGGGCGAATCGTCGGCTGGAGCATCGAAGTGGCCTCGCCAGAGGATGTTACCAGCCTGGTAGCCATACTCGTCCGCAAAGAGCACGGGGTACGTGTCTGGGGGAACAAAGTGAAGCGTTTCCATATGATCCGCATCTGGGCAGGGTCCTGTTAGTTCAGGAGGCTCATATAGGGCTCGTTGGTACATTTTCTCACCTGTCCAGTTGGAATCGTCCTAGTCTGTCGCTGCCTCTGGGAGGTTGTCGGCGACCTTCCATTCGGTAAGAGGCGGCAGGTTGGCTGCCAGGCTCTCAAGGGTGACTTCTGGTGCGGGAAGTGTTCCAATCAAAGTGCCGTACTTGGACTTCGTGACCCTGAGCTTTGAACCGTTGAATGTGACCTTCTTGACCCTTTTCGGCGCCCAAATATCGACGTCGGTTTCTTCATTCCAGTCGCCCGTGATGTGGATGGTGTCGCCTTTGATTTCGGCGGTGCGAATGAGGTACGGCCCCTGGACAAGAACTATAGTTATCTGTTAGCACCTGAGCACTCCCTGCACGCAGCAATGGCTGGGTAGATACCTGTAGAGTTCTCCCACGCGAGAGGGTCATTGTCCAGTGTAGGAGCCCAGAACTTGTAAGCGCCCTGCCGATCAACGACCACTGCCTGGACATGGTTATTGTAGTCAATGACCAGCTTCTCTTCGCCCGTCACCACGTTTGCGACCACGCCATTGCGAGTCTTGGTCAGTGTGCGCTTCGTGTCGGCGTTGCCACTGACGACCCTGCCCGACTTGGCGCCTTTGAGCAGGAACTCGCCCTCTTCTCCCTCCGGAGCCCAGAATACAACGACTTGCCGGTCTCCCAGATCGGCGACGGTGAGGACTTCCAGAGTGGCGTAGGTGATTTTTTTGCCGGATGATCCAATGCTGAAATCGGTGACGAGAACCTTGGACTCGGTTCCGTTGAGCGTAATGGATCCTCTGCTGGGCACCGTGAGGTCGCCGATCTCAGTTGATACATCCAACCGGAACTTGGTCACCTCTGTCGAGGGGGAGTAGTCGTGGCGGACGACATAATAAGCAGCGTCCGTATCAGGGTTCCGGAGTTCCGCCGTGAAGATGTCCGAGTCGGTGGCGTACGCCGTACTGTTCCCGACACGCTCGACTTTGGTGAAGTCGCGGGCAACGCGCATAAAAAGACCGAAGAGCTTGCTTTCACTGTACTTGTCGCTAATCAACCTATTCTCATGGATGGGAGCCGAGTAGTCATAGCTGGTCCCGACCTCGGGGAAGCCGATATTGCCCCAGTTGGTGCCGCCGTAGAGCATGTAGATGTTGACAGCCGACACCTTCTGGGCCAGGTTGTGGCGGAAGAACAGGTTCACCCAGCCTGGTCCCATGTTTTCTCTGCAACCCCCAGCCGGTCCATCCCAAGGGTTGAATGAGCCTCCCTGGAACTCCATCAAGAACGAGGGCTGGGTTTGCGCCACCTCCTGGAAGTGGCTGTAGTAATCAAAGACGGTGTATGGCTCTACCTGGCCGTTGACGGGGAGACATTGTTCCAGGTTGCAGGTCCAGCAGGCCGGATAGTGGTCCAGTCCATACACATCAGCCTCGCCGCCGACGTTGCTGAAATCCTTGGACCAGGAGCGCGTCCACATGTTGGGGTTGTTTGCAGTAAACGGGACGTCAATACCCCAACCTCTGTGCTTTTCCTCCAGCAGCTCCATGTAATGAACGGCGGTTTCATTCGGTGTTCTTGTCTCTTGATCTATCCACTGCACGCCGTATTCATTTTCAATCTGCCACATGATGATTGGACCTCCGTTGGTAATCAGGTACGGTCGCACGTACTCTGCCACGGCCCCAGAGTAACGGGTCCAGGCCTTTGTGTATTCCGTGCTGTTGTCGCGAAGAGGCCCGTATTCGCCAGTAGTCAGCCATCCAGGGAAGCCTCCTCCATTTGCCTCTGCGTTGCTGTACGGCCCAGGTCGGTAGACGATGTAAAGTCCAACCTCTTGGGCTATATCAAAGGCTTTGGCAAAGTCATGTGCTCCTGTTTCGAAATCCAATGTTTCGTTGTTGGGAGCATGCCACCCCCAGTGTTCGTAGAGACCGATTCCGTTGAATCTATGCCGATAAGTAATGGTCCAGTATCAGCCGACTATTCATGAGCTGGGCTTACCCGGCTGCCTTTATCTTTTGAAAAATATCCCGCCATAGCTCAGGCACAGGGATACGCCAGAGATGCAGCTGGTTCAAGGTCAGCCAACTGCGCATATACGGTAGCCCGAGGGGAGATCTGATGTACTTCTCCAGACCAAAGAAACAGGCGTTCGCCATTGACCATCACGCTGTAATGGTCCCTGCGTCATGATAGGTCAGTGTCCATGGCGAACAATACATATTCAGGGAGTGGTACCATTGTACAACCTTGTTCAGACCATTGTCGTGGAGAGGCCAATCCTGCGCAGTAGCCTGACTCGCGAGGCCGGCGATGGCCAGCCCCCTCCCCAGAGTGTGCCAAAGCCTCATACTTACTGAGCGACAACAGCCCTGAAAGAGAAGCGGTCGATAACACTTCGCAATTGATCTGACCTGCTCATGGTGGTTTCTCTTCGACTCTTTTATACCTCCCCATGGCTTCTGATCGTGCGAAATATGCCCAATATGGAAACCTTGGTAACCCCGCACTTCCCCCGGGGCCGCCTCCAGGCTGTCTTTTTAGCCGTAAGCCATAGCATCCGTCTTGGCTTTGGAGAACGGAAATGAGGATAAAATGCCCACATACCGACGGCTGTATGTTTCTTGGTGTGGGGCCGGATATTACTTTGCCTCCGACGGATATCCAACCCCTCATCCGCCCGTCTCGGCGCAGGACTTTGATTGTCCTGTTTCCGACGGCCTCGTAGAGCTCTGGGATGCCCTGATATTGGCCTGTCTAGCCGAGCGGTGAATTGCATCGCGTAGAACCAACTATTTATGCAACAGAAATAGCATTAAGCAACAACACGGGCATCGAAGTTATGCTTTGGCCCCGTCAATGGTTGGAGGACTGATAGATATGGCTAAGAACTGTCTAGGGGTCGTACTGAGGACGGCTAGACAGGGAATCGAATCAGTTTAGTTTGAATTACAAATCACTTGATATGGCACTATGGCATAGCTAGTATCGTCTCGGTGTGCCTAATTCCACTTCCTGATTTCCGTGCGAACGTACCCTCAAAGATGGGTTTAATACAGAGTGTCAAAAATGGATAGACTATCATAAGCCTGACCGTTGGGGTCGAAAAGAACGTTACTCTCGCAGGGAGATCCCAAAACAGCGTTGTGAATCCACGCGGGCTCCCAATAGTTCAAGCCAGTGGCCCCCGGAATAGATCTGAGAGTCGAGGCCAAACGTTGTAGATATTCTGCCTGACCAGCCGGACTCAGGGGAATGTCAAGCTGGTCAGCGGGGAATGGGGTCGTGGGGTTGGAGCACTGGGTCGGCCAGTTGGTTTCAACCACCTGAACTTCTTTTTGGTATTGCGTGGCGAGGCTGGTCAAACTTGCAGTCAAGGCATCCATTGTGGCGCCTTCGCCCCAGAAGGGGTAGAATGATACGGCGATGACATCCCAATCGTCGAGGGAGAGGTGGCCGGTGTTCAAGACCAGATCATAGAACCAATGCTGCAGTTCAGCGTCATAGCCGTGGGCAAGGTGAGTCACGACCTTCGTATGCCCTCCCAATGATGATTCTCGCACCGCACGCGCCGCAGTGTGCAGAAGACGAGCAAGATTCTCTGGGTTCTCGTAGCTACCGGTGGGCCAGAGCATCCCCGATGGGATCTCGTTGCCAATCGTGATTGTTTCGGGGTAAAGGTTCTCCGCCGCGAATGTCTCGCAGACTTCCGACGTATAGGCGTATAGTTGAGTTTCGAGTGCATCAATCTCAGTCGGCCAGCCAGTTGGGATATCCTGCTGCCCTGGGTTGGTCCATGTGTCGCTATAGTGGAGATTGAGACCAAACATCAACCCTGCATCTGTTGCCCGTCTCGCCAGCTGGAGGTTGTACTGGATACCGTAATCCCCGTCGACCGTCCAGACTCGTTGGCGGACCATGTTGACGCCGGCTTCGACGAGAATTTGTTCCAGTGGCTTCTCGACCGACTGGGAGTCTTTGTAAACAACTCCGTAGTCTCGCTCCTCCACCAACACGGAGGACCAGTCGACCCCGACGTAAAGCAGAGGGCTTGCTCTGCCGGTAACTGTGCATACAGACGAGGCCAAACTCTTGGGCGCCATCAAAGACACGATGGTGCCGATTAAGGCCCCGTAGGCGATGTTCATGATGAAGCGTGGTGGGATGTAGGACCCGCGTAAGGTATCAACTGACAATGTATGATAAGAACAAGAGCACAAGGCGATGGGGTGGTAAATAGAGGTGGAAATTAACCAGGGGCAGACCTCACCGCGGATATCGAAGCTCGCCTTCGTTGTTCATGAGTCCAATCAACGTGAAACAGGAGCCGACTGAATAAATTGAATCGTCACCGCAATGGCCAATAGCATGGCCTCGGGGATCCCGGAAAACGCTGGGCATGGGTAAGCCAGTTGCAGAGCTCGGCCAAGGCCCACGGCTTTTGGGATCCGCTTTGGCATCCGGCGGATATCTCAGGCCCTGGAAGGAGGAAGGCGAAAAGGGCCAAGGTTGTTCACTGTCTGGTCCCGTCCCGTTCTGTCATCGTCCGGAACGCATGGGGATGATGAAAAAGATCCAAACGAAGATAATGTGGTCTATACGGGAGTAATGAAGCATAGCATGATTATAATTCACGTTTTCTTTGGGATATGAGATTGTCCAGCCGAGTCCACGGTACATGGACTATCTCACTACATATCTGACAATATGGAGAGTAACTACTCATTCCATGTACGAGGTACTCTGCCTTCGAGATACAAAGTCCCCTCGAAAGACATCATCTTGGCCACAGGTCTAAGCTCCCTCATGCGCGGTGTCTTCAGCATGGACCACCTGGGCCTTGTCAAGGTGGCCCATCTCCTGCGCAAAGGTTGTCCGCGGTACCCATTTAGCACTGTTGCGTGGACTAACCTCCTCCAACATGCGATCCACCTGCTCAAGCGAGAGACCCTTCATCTCTGGAACCAGGAAATACGCGAACAACGCACCCAAAAGACACAGCGAGCCCCAGAAGAAAAACACCTTGGGCCCCAGGTTGACTGCTCCCTTCTCATCACCGGTCATATACGGAGCTATGACCGCGAGGATGCAGTTCCAGAACCAACAGGATGCCGTGGAGATGGCCACACCGCGAGACCGGATCGGGAGAGAAAAGGTTTCGCCCACAACAACCCACGCCGTCGGACCCCAGGTGGTGGCGAAGAAGAAAATTTGAAAACAAATAACTGCAATCATGCCCTTGACGGCTGTTTCGTTGTTGGGCTGAGCTGTTCCGACGGCTGCGATGATGTATTGCATCAGGAACATCCCAAGCCCGCCATAAACGAGCAACGGCCGGCGCCCAAAGCGCTCGATGGTCCAGAAGGCAAGTGGAGTGGAGACCACATTGACGAGGGTGGTGATGAGGGAGATGAGGAATGGATCCGAGATGGTGCCCAGCTGCTGAAAGAAGGTCGTTCCGTAGTAGAAGATAAAGTTCATGCCGCTGAGCTGCTGCATGCCTTGAATGCCCGCCCCAACAATGGTCCTTCTGAGATTCGAGCTGGGCTTACTGATGGAGCCTTTGAAGCACACAAGCCACGAACTGATATATCCAGTCTCGGGGGTGACGAGCGACTCGTATTCATGGTTTGCGACAATTTCCGCCAGTTCATTCCGGATGTAGTGGGAGTCGGCCGGCTGTCCGCGGATGTAGCAGAGCGAGTCCGTTGCCCTGTCGAGCTTTCCTTTCTTGACGAAATAACGAGGGGACTCGGCTGGAGACTTGTATTAGTTTTTCAACTGAAGGGTCAGTGGCGTACGAGGGTCATACGGAGAACAAACAGGGCGACCGCAAGTATAATAGCCCAGATAAACTGAATCGCAATTGGAACACGATAGGAAATGGTGTCATTTCGGTCCTGGGTTCCGTAGACGACGCAGTTGGCGAGTAACAAGCCGATGGTGCTATGATCTCCGGTGTCAGTCCTCACTCGTGTATTGCCTTGATCCAAGCGGCGACTTACATAGCAAACTGGTAAGCAGACACGACAGCCCCTCGGATCTTCTTGGGCGAAACCTCGGACATGTAGAGGATGATGACGGCAGACTCAAAGCCTACACCAAGGCCGGCCACGAAACGTCCGATGGTCATCACAGCCAACTGGCCGCTGCTCGCAGTTTGAAGGACAACCCCACAGCTAAATATCGCGCAGCCCATGAGGATAGTAATCCGGCGTCCCCAGAGATCGGCCAGGTCACCAGCAACGATGGCGCCCAGAAAGGTTCCGAGCGACAGAATCGAGGTCATGAGGGACTTGTCGGACGACGGAATGGCAAACGGGCGCGAGGAATCGACCGGAGCTCCAGCGTTGAAGTCGTACTCCAAGCCAGTGTACTGCTGAATGACATACGGCATTCCCAGCACGCCCGACATCCAGCCGATATCGTATCCAAAGAAGACACCTCCAAATGCAGCCGAGACACAGACAAGATAGCCTTTCCAGGTGATGGGGGCCTCGAGGTCCGAAGGGTCGCCTGTCCCACGGACATTGTCGTTGGTCGTCGCCATGGTGATATAAGCGTCAGGAGTGTATAACTAAAAGAAGAATTCGAAATAAAGGCTAGTGGCTTAGTGGGTCGGAGACTTGGTACAAGGCAAGACGAGCGGCTTAAGAACAACCCCCTTGGATCGTGTGGAGAGCCGAAATGTCAGCTCCTGCTCAGCACCGATGATCCTTCAAAAACCAGATGAGGGTTTCCGGCTTGGCAAGGACACAATGAGCTCCGTCGGATAAGCTGGCCAAAGCCTGCGCAGGTGAATATCCGAAACGGTCTCCGGTTTTCTGTCTCGTGCTTGCGCCCCCCAAATATCCGGTGGCCCCCGCTTCCCTGGCTCGGCAGCCATTATCGTCACATTCAAAATGGGCAAGATTGTGCTTATGGAGTACTTTCGAGTACCTCCTCGGTGGCTCTTTGTGAAAATCACAGATGACACGGGTTCCTTTGGATGGGGCGAAGCGTCCCTCGAGGGTCACACTGGTGCAGTGGAAGGGTGTCTGGACGGCTGGTTCGAGAGGTACAAGGGGCTAGACGCAGAGTATATTGGCCATGTTCCCCAATCAGATGTACAACCTCTGACGTGATGGCTTAGCGACATTGAGAATATTTGGCAGCTCTCGTGGCGCGGCAGCTTCTACCGCGGAGGACCGGTCTTTATGAGTGCTCTATCAGGCATCGACATTGCCCTGTGGGACTTGAAAGGTTTGTAGAGATTCTCGCAATCCTGTCAAGTATGCAATGATGAAGAGCCTTGGCTGACACTTACGCAAGCCAAGAAGCTTGGGGTGCCGATATACCACCTACTGGGGGGCAAGGTCAGGGAGAAGATCCGAGTATACGCTTGGGTTGGGGGAGACCGGCCAACAGAAGTTGAAGCTCAAACGTACGTTACCACCTGCCTCGATGATATCCGTACTCATTTTCATTAGCCGAGAACGCATAAACCAGGGATTTCACGCCGTCAAGATGAATGGTACGGGGGACACGGCCTGGCTTGACTCACCATCGGTACTTGCAGAGGTCGTTAAGCGGCTCAAAGCTGTCAAAGCACTGGGAGTTGATGTTGCCGTCGACTTTCATGGGCGAGTTCATAGGCCCATGGCCAAGCAGCTTGCAAGACTGTTGGAGCCGCTTGAACCACTTTTCATTGAGGAGCCCCTACTTGGGGAACATATTGGAGCGATAAAACAGGTCTCAGAACTGACTACGGTTCCACTTGCGCTCGGGGAGCGCTTGTATAGTCGCTGGGATGTACGGCCATTCTTGGAGGCAGGGTGTGTAGATATACTGCAGCCTGATATCTGCCATGTTGGTGGCATCTCCGAACTGCGACGCATTGCGGCCATGTGCGAGACTTACGATGTGGGCGTTGCACCACATTGCCCTTTAGGACCCATCGCCCTCGCCGCCAACATGCAGGTCAATGCAACGTTGGCTAATTTTGCCATACAGGAAATGGGGCTTGGAATGCACTATAACAACACTGGACAGGACATCACGAGCTATATCAAACACCCCGAGGTTTGGAAAGTGCGAGACGGATATGTTGACGTACTGGCTGGGCCGGGGCTGGGGATTGAGATTGACGAGCTGGAAGTGAGGAGGCTGTCTAGGGATGCAAAGCCATGGCCCACTCCAGAGTTTCGCGGGCCTTGTGGCGAGCTACGGGAGTGGTGAGGGTGAACCAGCTTGCAGTGGAAATCAGCTCTTGGGTTACTAGGATTAGGGAGCTGGTAGACACTGTTGGTCTCGGAGATGGTGTCCTCTCTATATAAACAAAATTGTTCTTAAACCTAGTACATACGACCACAGGGTGTGGAGAACAGGGCTTCCCGTCCGCTCAGCCGTACTTAAGCCACACGCCGGTAGGTTAGTAGTATGGTGGGTGACCACATGCGAATCCCTACTGTTGTATGTTTTTACGAAGATTTTTGTTCCTATTTTGCTCGAGAAGCAATAAAAAAGTGTCCTTGCCGTACGCAGAGATTGTCTAATGCTTCATTACTTGTATATAGACTGCACACATCAAGCTTGCTAGTCAATGTCGACTGTAAGGCGATTATAGCCAAGGCGGGAGTGGGTCGGGGTTCAGCCAACACGACAATATATTAATCAACACACCAGGCATTCGAGACTGTAGTGTGGACAAGATATAAATATATACTCCCTATATCCATGCTCCATCAACAGAATAACAACTTCCACTGACAAACGAGCTTTCAGGCCCGAGTAAGAACAGAATGACCTTGGCAACTTCCTCCGCCGTACCCTGCCGCTGGAATGCAATTGGATCATCAAAGGGAGCATCAGATGCTCGCCCGACCTGATCCCAATGACCCTGCATCATTGGCGTGTAGATTGGTCCTGGAGCAACGGCGTTGACTCGAACCTCGCGGTGCCCATTCTCCTTTGCGGCCACGCGAGTCAGTCCTAGAACACCATGTTTGCTTGCGGCGTATGCCCCATGGTATGCCACCCCTACTCGTCGTGATCCGGACGTCAGCCAGTTTGTTCACGGAAACTAGACACAGTGGAACGATTCAGAGCCAGGGTACCCACCAGTTGTAGCGTGTATCGATGCCATATTGACAATGGAGCCACCATCACTGATATGGTTCAGCTCAGCTCTCAGGCAATACATGAGTCCTGTGAGGTTGACGTTCAAAATCCTAAACCATTCGTCGTCGTCAAGCTCCGCGACGGACTTGACTCCGTGGTCTTTGCCAATAATCCCCGCAACGTTGGCTGCCCCATCGAGACGATGATATTTGGCCTTGATGTCCGAAATCCAGTTGTCGACTTGTTGTCTGTTCGAGACGTCGACTTGTGTGGCCATGAACTCGACAGGCGGATCCTGGGCGGAGAAATGTGATTCGGCCTGATGTAGATCAACGTCGGCGAGACAGACGATTCCGCCGCGGGCGGCGATGAGTTTGGCTGTGGCGAGGCCAATACCACTTCCAGCGCCTGTGACAGCATACACCTTTCCTTGCAGCGACATGATTTTGGATTCCACAAAAGATCTCCCCCGCAGCTTGTCCTCATAAAGCGACGATGATCATGTGATCTTACGGAAAAGTCAACTCCGTCGGAGCCGTAAATGCTCATCATTGGTTAGAATTATCCGATGGAGACTGGACATAAATTGGGTATGACTTCGTTGTAGATACGATCTTGCAGTGAATCTACGAATGGCCGGCTCGCTTATGAAAAAGGAAACAACAATACTGTTGATTACAGGTTGTACAATCCATTGAAGCCGGAAATGGCCTGTAATCACGGACGGTTAGCCAAGAGGTGATCGAGGATACATACCAGGGTCGCCACACTCACCATCGAGTCAAACTGGCCCCAACTAGTCAGGTCTTGCAAAGAATCGCTCGGACTGAGGTGGAAATCGCCTAGGTTACCCATTGCTTCCAGGTCAGGAATCGAATTGGGGAACCCATCTCCGATATCTTGCGTACTCGAACTAAGCCCCTCGACTTCTGCACTCATTGTATTCAATGAATGATGGATTGGTGTTGGTTGATTCTCTGGAAACTGTACTGTTGCTATTTGACGTAGTGCCTCACTCCGAAGCTCCTCCAGGACGAGACAATAACGTGCAGTTAGCGATCCTGGCTCAGATGTGTCGAAAATCTGCCGCTGGCATCGTTCGGCGGCGGTGAAATATGTTGTGTAGGTCTCATTCGGCTCGTTGCTGTGCTGTATAGTGTAGACATAGAGAATCACGGATGCGGAGAATGCGAAATAGGGCGTGAACTGCCAGTATTTGGTGTAAGTGGTTGCCAAACGTTCGGGTATAGTAACATACCCAAAAGGCCCGAAAGAGCTGGTTGGCCTGGATCATCCTGTCCACGACCCGAACGATCTCCATCCCTGCGTTGAGACACTCATCAACACTTTCTGCGACATGGACCTGTCGCTCTTGGTCTTGGCGCTGCGTCGTCGAGGTCCTGTTGGTTAATCTCGCGAAATTGGCGAGCAAAAGCGGGCGATTGATGAGGATGACCGTATGCCAATAGGCAAGGTTCAGGATATTCTGCTGTCGTTGATAGATGAGAACCAACGGCGCAGCATTTGAACTGCTTTGACCGAGAAAATCAGATAGCTCCGCGCGCCATGCTCTGACTTGATTCATATACTTGGCTGTTAGCGAGAACCGCTCGGTCATGGACATGGCTTTGATTGAGTAGATGTCGCTCAACACCCCACTCAGGATCTGAGACAGCCTATGCAACACCATGTCAGCTGTGAGTGAGCCGCAACCGGGGTAAAGATGTACTTTGCGTAGCTGACTGGGCCAAACATCGTAGACAGCCCTCGGTCAGCGGGAAGAGTGAGCGAGTCAGTGCTTTTGGGAATATCTTGATCGTCCACACATGATGGAAACTGTTGATCGATATCCTTGTCGTTAAACGTTCGCGGTCTTCCAAGGGCAGTACTGAGATAGTTGTCAAGGCTGTATGCGCTCCAAAAGGTTCGACGACGGCATTCAATCTCGACCTGAGTCATGGTGCTCGAGGATGCTTGTCGATAGCGATGGAGACCCAGAGCGAAGATCAGCCGGCTGACGGTTCCAAAAAGACTCCAGCAGTGGTTGATACGGGACTGGGAAAGAAGCCAGAGACACTGGCACAGCCGAGCCTGAATGCTCGCAAGCCGGACAGGGCCACTCTCCTTGGATAGCTGTTGGTTTGCTGCTCGAAAATACCGACCACTGGAACGACGTATTAGCATTGGCGACCCGATTGGATATGCAAGAGCTCGGCATACCTCGTGTTGGCCTCTATCGGAGAAAGCTTGGGCACGGTATGCTCCTGCGCAATGGCAAAAATCATGAAGAGCACTGCTGTCTGCGCAGGCGCTGCATCTCGCTCGCGCATGACACCACGAGTCTCGTAGAACTCGTCAAACCATTGCTCGATGGTTGGGCGATGCAGAAAACGATCTACAGGGACAGCAAAATCAAAGTATCTACGGACGAGGGCCGCAGTGTCCTCGCGGTGAAGTAGCATGGCAAAGGTCAAGTCGGGAATGATGGGAGCAGTCTCACCAGTGAGAGAGCACGCATCGTCGTAAGGCAATGAAGAGTCACCAAAGTTGAAGACGGAAATACCTCTTGGAAGCGCAACGGACTGTTGGAAGCGCTTTTGGACTCGAGCGAGAAAAGAAAGACCGGATGAGGGACCGACATAGTGGCCCTCCAGATCAGCCTCTGCCGGCTCCGGTGAGGTGCGCGAGACAGGCTCGCTATTAGGCAAGAGGTTCCCTTGCAGCAAGGCATCGTGAGATGCAGGATCAGTAGCGGTCGAATTAGGAGGACAGCGGATCGTTCTTTGGCTTTTGTCCTGGAGAGCTCGTGGGCCTGCAGCCAGGCGAGCAGGAGGGCCGAGGTCTGTCACTCGAACGGCTGGTTGTCTTCCTCGAGTGTAGGATGCGTTGTAGGAGCAGGTGGTGGATGCCTCGATGCACACATGGCATGGGCGCTGGCCGGTACATCGCACCTTTCTTCTGCGACACGTTAAACGACCACTGCCGAGCAGTGGGGAGATGACTGCAGCTTACTTTTTGCACCGATCGCAGGCACGCGTCACACGGATCCGGCCCGATCTACGACTCCAGGCCTCTGATGGATCGGGAGTCGTAGGGTTGCCATCTGGGGAGATTGGCTCCATAACTGCGAGTGTCTGCAGTGGGACGGAGAAGACGACCTTTGGAAATTGGAATAACTTGACCGTCTCCTTTTCCGTCTTGGCAATTGGCATGTGGGGAAAGGGCGCGGGGAAGAAGGGAACAAATCAACATGATGCTGACAAAGGAATTCAAAGGAAGACTTGCATCAGATTAATGGGGTCGTGAGACTCTGGGGCTCCAGCAGGTGGGCATGCACCACAGAATAAATCCCCAGAATGCGCACTTTTCCGATCTACTCGAGATATGGAACAAGCTACAGGAACACTAAGTTAGTGTTAAGATGAGATGCGTCATCCTGGCTGGTGCCTGGTGAGATGACTCGCCCCGAGCCGCCCCCAAAATCCTCCAAAATCCCTCGAAATTTTCCGGATGGCCACGCCTGGGAGCTGTCGCAACATCAAAAAAATACGAAAATGGCACCCACAACAGAGCACATTCTTCCACCCACCATGCGTTCATGGGTACGTACAAGACGTGGTCCTGCCAGCAGTACGCTCCAACTGGCCAGCATCCCCACGCCCGACGTGCCGACCGAGCCGTCGTCGGATGTGCTCATTCGCGTGTCGCATGCCTCGCTCCAAGTGAGCACTGAGATGATGATGAAGGCAATTCCATCTCTGCCCTTTTCTGGCCCGTGGGTCCCCGAGCTCGAATTGTCTGGACACATCGTGACCGCGGGCGGCGGAGCCCCGGCCCAGTTGCGCACTCCAGGCACGCGCGTCATTGCCTTTCGGAACCCCCTCGCGGCCATGTTGATGGGTCACGGCGTGCTGGCCGAGTATGTTCGACTCCCCAGTAATCAGGTGTGTCTCATTGACCCTGCAGTGGACATGGCGGCTGCCTCTGGCATCCACTGCTCGGGAAGTGCGGCGCTCAACATGATTCGAACCGCAGGCGTGCGGGAGGGTCATCGTGTGCTGGTAAACGGGGCCAGCGGCTCAGCCGGGTCGCTTCTCGTGCAGTTGTGCAAGATTCGAGGAGCCGCGGTCGTTGGTGTTGCCAGTGGTGGGAACGAGGCCATGGTGCGCGGGCTGGGCGCCGACGAGGTGAGTGCACCTTGCGACTTTTCGGATGAAGATATCATGATGGCTAACTGGGCGTACAGTTCATTGACTATCGACAACACCTCCCTCTTTCCGCGTATCTTGCGCAAATGTACGGCGATCGGCCGTTCGATTTTATTCTGGACTGTGTCGGCACTCAAGAGCTGTTTGTGCACTCGCCAGATTATCTGAAGCCCGACGGGGGTGTGGTCAACATTGGAATGCTCGAGGGAGTCGGGGTGACGGTGTGGAATATGCTCGTCAACAGTTGGCTGCCAACACGCCTGGGAGGAGTGCCACGCCGATACATTGGAATCAGTTCACCCCCGAAGCGTGATGACGCGATCTATCTGGCCCATCTAATCGAGCAGGGCCGCCTGCGGATTCCCGTCGATTCGGTCTTCCCCATGGAGGATGCACTAGGCGCATACGAGCGTATCGCCACCCAACGCGCTCGCGGCAAAGTTGTGATTAGAGTTGGTAGTGAGTAGACATTTTGCGGACGGCTGAAAAAGGGTGTCTTGTACTTTGCACGAGGAGACGAGTGTTTTTATGGAGGAAGAGGGGCATCAGCCAGGTACCGAGGTTCGCACTCGCCGAGGGTCGATCGGCTCGTGGGCTTGCTTGTCACTTAAGAGCACCATCAGTACATCATATTTTCTCTAGAAACGATCCACCATGGCGAAATCTCCTCCTGCCTCGTACTCTCAGCTGGAGCTGCGTGATGTCCGAGTTTCGCATGTCCCAGAATCCTCCCCAGCTCCAACTCCCGTCATTCTGGTCCACTTGGATCGGCCGCGGCAGAAAAATGCCTTTACACTGAGCATGCAGGAGAGCCTCATTAAACTCTACACACTTTTTGATGTGGATCCTCGAGTCAAGGCCATCGTATTAACCGGTAGCGGATCTGCCTTTTGCGCTGGGATGGATCTGAATATCGGCTTCGGAGCACGAGGCAAGGCGAGCGATCAGCTATCGTTCGGCAAGACCCAGCGCAATCTTGATCACAGAGACAGGTAAGGCTCAAAACCATTAGCAATGCGCCTTGTATGATTGACAATACCGCAGTGGAGGTCAGCTGGCGTTGGCGATCCACAACTGCAGCAAGCCCACCATCGTCGCCATCAATGGCGCCGCAGTCGGCATCGGCATCACCATGTGTCTGCCAGCGACTATTCGCATCGCGTGCAACCAAGCCAAGGTCGGCTTCGTATTTGCTCGCCGTGGGTTGACCATGGAAGCGTGCTCGGCCTGGTTCTTGCCTCGTCTGATCGGCCTGTCCAAAGCCATGCATCTCGCGGCGACAGGGTCGCTTTACTCGGCGAGTGACCCCCTTCTCCAAGGATTATTCTCCGAGATTCTCCCTACGCCAGAGGCTACATTACAGCGGGCACTAGAGATTGCACAAGATATTGCCGTAAATACTTCGGTCGTATCCACGAAACTGATGAGGGATATGATGTGTCGCGCGCCCGAGTCGCCCGAGGAGATGCACCTGCTGGACTCTCGAGTAATCAACGCTCGCTATGGCAGCCATGACAATCTTGAGGGTGTCCGAAGTTTCTTTGAGAAGCGTCCCCCAGCGTTCGCAGATACCATGCACGACCACAAGCCCGATTTCCATCCATGGTGGAAGCCTGTCGACGTACGCGGTCCGAGCAAGTTATGAACAAATATGTACATTAACCGTGACTTGGTTTTCTATTGATAAGCCCATGACCAGGATCCTTAGACCGGGAATGCAGTAACGTACTCTTGATCAACGGTTTCTGATACGCCCTCAGCACGGTGTGGTTCCTCCAGTCACTCCAGTCGTGGTTGAGCAGTGCCCACCAGTCATCATGGTCAGCAATGCCCTCGCGCATGTAGTATGAACCGCCCAAGTTCCATTCAAAATGTCCAATCGGCCCTCTGATTCGGTTCGCATCTAGCTCCCGATGATCTCCGGTAAGGAAGTCCTTGAGGCATGACGCGTACACACTCTGGTAGTCGGAGCTATTCTGAGCGAACCCAAACTCGGTGAGGATGACGGGTGCGATATTGCGCGCGGTTGTCGCCGGACTCACATCGAGGGCGTTGAACCCTCGTTTGTAGAGTTCGGATTGGAAGAAAGTACAGTTTGTGATCGAGTTGTCGTAGCTGTGTAGCTCAAAGACAATCTTGTCTGCGTAGTCAAAGTCACCCAACCTGAAGACTCTTTGATCCTCGGGGGGACTGATGGGTTCGCCAGCGGTAATGGGATTCAGTTCGTGGTCGTAGTTGAGACCCGAGATGATGACGAGGGCATCCGGTGCGGCGGCATTGACAATATTCGCAGCGTCGATCATCTCATCATACCACAACGACCACCCGTACGTATCGTTGGCAGGGTTATTGACAATTCGAAGCTCATTGCGGAGCGAGAATGCGGTGGCAGCTGGCCACTTTGCAGCGTAGCCGGCCATGTACTCGAGGCTGCGCTTCCACTTGGCCACGTCAAAGTAGGTGTCGCCAAACCAGCCATTGCCATCACCTGGACTGCAGCACCATTGAGCCTTGGAAACGTGGTTGTTGAAGACCAAATGCAGGTGTTGTTTGGCAAGCTCCGCGGCGACAGCATCCCAAACCTGGAGTCTGGTAGTGTTCTCGGTGAAGTTGGGATTGTGATTGAGTATTTGAGCCACGATATTCGAGGCCAATTGAGGACCAAGGACCTTGGTCATGGTGTCCTTGATGGTCACGTCGCCGCCGTTGTCGAGAATGTCATCAACCATCTCGGTGGCCCAGCCCATCCGGACCGAGTTGTACTGGAGTGATTTGATCTTGGCCACGATGTCGGCAATGGAGGAGTACTGTAGACCCTCGGGGATCATGGTTTCACCCTCGCCTGGCCAATTGATCCCGACGTACACAAATGGCGATCCGGTGGCATCCTTGATGATCGGACCTTCGGTATGGAAAGGACTTTGGGGCCAAGGGGTGGGATGGCGCGAAGCAGCTGCTTGACTGCACAGCAGGGCGAACAGAATGCCAGAGCTAAGCATCATGATGAGTATGATGAATTCTAACGATAATGTGAGCTGTGATCCAGCTATATGTGTTTCTAGATGGATCCGACGATGCTGACCGATCTACTCCAAATTTGCTGGCTCGGCGTCCACGATGATTGGTGGAATTGAAGGGATGCAGCATGCTTATGGGTGCGCTAATGCAACGGAGATGCGATGAAAAAGGCCAACTTTGCCCGCCTCCAACTCCCCAGACTTTCCCCGCATGCTCTGCGCAGGGTTATCTTTCTCCGCTCCCAGTCTCGATCCCTTGCATTCGCCCACAACCCCGGATCTTCACCTTCGACCGTTGGAAATGCCGCCCCGATCAAACGCCTGGTGATTTTCCCTTTGCACCACTCGGCTGAAGCTTGGCTAATCAATGTCAGTGATAAATGCCGTCGGTTACACCGGAAATGTCCGTCATGTCCTCAGTTGAGCATCCGCATGCTGACCTCAGGTAGGCGACCTGGCGCGGCCTCAGTGCGGACTTTGCCAGAGAACTGGAGAGCAGTGTCGCAACCCAAGAAAGGGACTTCGTTTCAAGCAAGTCCGCCCCGAGAATACCCCAGTCGCTGCTCCCATCCCGGAGACCATCTTCGGACAGAGTATTCCGCCCTAATCGACTGCCTGTCTAGCTCCAATAGTCTGACGCCGCTTGTGACCTAGTCCGATATATCGACGAAACCGATGAAACCATCCATACCCACCACGCGCGCCGCGTTCCCCGAGCCCCTTCTGCGTTCTCAACTTCCCTGGAGCTTACGCCAGGGAGTCCAGAACGGTTATCGGAATCAGGTGATAGTGCAGGCCAAGTACCGACAATTATCGACGTGTCACCCCCGCCTGAGGCACCAGCGCTTCAGGTGGACTCCCCTTCGTCTGTAGGAACACCGTCGATTCGCTGCTGGTCATTCCAGGGACCGACCGAAGTCCTGCTTCTTGAACACTTCACACAAACCCTCTCGCCCTTTGTAAGTGCTCCATCCCGGCCCAGCTGGTGAGCAAAAAACAATAATGTGTGTAGTTTGACATGTGTGATCCTGAACGCCACTTCGCCATTCAAGTCCCCATTCGAGCCCGAAACTACCCCCCGCTGATGGATGCAATCCTGGCCTTGGGTGCTCGGCATATGTGCCTCACTGGCAGGGATGTAGACTCCTACCTGGCGACCGACTATTATCAGAGATGTTTGCGGGTGCTTATCCCAGAGCTGGATCGAGTGCAACCGGATCGCGTGGATGACTTGTTGGCAGCAACCATTATTCTCCGCCTGCATGAAGAACTCGACGGGCCCTTTGGAGACTTTCAGACATATCGACACTCTATAGGCACGCGTGCTCTCCTACAGAGCCAAGCTATTGATTCCTCATTAGCGTCTGGGCTTCGCCGTGCCGCAGCATGGGCAGGAGTAAGACAAGAGATCTACGCCTCGATCAAGCTGCATCGTCCCCCTGCCATGAAGCCATCGACGGACATGTTAGATCATCTCGGGTCTTTATCTCATGATGGTGCATGGGCAGACCGCGCAGGTGGTCATTGCTTGGATGTGCTGGACTTTTGTTTTGGTGACAATAGTGTGAATGGCAATATGTACGACAAGTTACTCGCCGCTAATGCAGGATGGGAGGCCGAGCGTCCAGCATCCTATGACCCCCTCTGCTTTGATATACGGGCAGACCCTGAGGACGGGGTAGATTTGGGCTGGGACGTCCGATATCATGCAGACTGGCACGGTATCAACCCCAGATTGAACTAAGTAGATCACTCATTTCCTAACATCCGCCTGTAGCGATTGGATGGGCGTACAAGACGCTGGCTCGGATCCTTCTCGTGATTCACAACCCAAGACAACCCCGAGTGGGACTCAATAGGATCTCGGCGTGGGAGAAAGTGCTGGTATGTGCATCCGAATGTACTGGCGGAAGGATACTGACTTGGGTATCATGTCAAGAAAGAGGTGCACTACTCAATCAAGCTGCTATGCTCCATCGCTCGTTGCAGAGCGACAGTCCCAGGGCCCTCGCTGATTGCATGCATGGCAGTGTGGCTTGCGGGGGACATGGTTGAAGAAGGGCGGGAACAAAAAGAGGTCCTGGAGTTATTATCAGCAACTGAAGCAGTTCATGGCTGGCCAACCGAAGATATCCGAACAGAGCTTGAGGGCGTGTGGTCAAGCGAGTCGTGAACGTGGCGCGGGGCGGGCGGCGGGCTTTTTATGCCCTTTTCGGACATTTGTCGCCCACGGGGCACCGTTAATCAGAGCTGTATCTACATTTAACATTTGTTCGTGTCGCTTCCAATTCTACTAGATACAGAGATCCCCAGACTTTATCCTTGTCTTCCAAAATGCCAATCGCGGTCAGACCAGAGCAGGAGCTTGCCCTGCATGAAAAGCAGTTCTATGTCAATGATGGACTACTTCCCGCGCATGCCATTGGCGCACTCGAACCTACCACGCTCGACACGCCCTTGGAAGAGATGCAGCGGAGGTATCGAGAGAACGGCTACCTATTCGTCAAAGGCGTCGTGCCGCGCGAAGACATTCTGAAAGTCCGTCAAAAGTATTTCGAAAAACTCGCCCCCACAGGCTGTCTCGCGCCTGGAACTAAGCCGGTTGAAGGTGTGTTTGACATGAGCCAAAATCGACTCAGCTTCCCCGGTGTCGGCGCTGGGCCAGTCGATACAGATGAGAATGGCGACGTTGCTGGAGCAGACCCGAAAATCGCAAAACTATTCAACGACCTTGCTCTGGAAGCTCATCACGAAGACTGGTACAAGGAGGACCTGTGCCGCCACCCTGCTATACAGGATCTGGTGGCCAAATTGACCGGCTGGGGTGACAACACCTTGAGCATCCGCCGGACACTATTACGGAATAACATGCCGCACAACACGGCCATTGGAGTCCACTACGATCAGATCTTTCTCCGCCATGGAGAGGACACCTTCGTCACAGCTTGGGTCCCGATCGGCGATATCAGCATCGAGGGGGGAGGATTGATCTATCTCGAAAAGGGGCACGACATTGGCGAGCAGACTGAGAGAGACTTTATGACACGTGCCCGCGCCGCTGGCATGACCGAGCAAGAGACCAAGGATGCCTACAACGCGAATATGCTGGCAGGTGGCCTGCTCGATGTTGGACCTGCTCGCTATGCAGAAAAGTACAACAGACGCTGGCTCCTCACCGCATATGAAGCTGGCGATGTTGTGTTTCACAATCCTTATGCTGTAGGCTTCCGAGAAATGTTGCGACTTGGAGAGGGATCCTTATGCTAATTGTCTTCAGATACACGCATCATGTATTAACCATGATCCGAATAATGTTATCCGTCTGGGCACAGATCTGCGATACGTCGATTCCAGCCGCCCTTGGGATACCGTAAGTAATACATCGCGGCGGTAGTAGCATTGCTAGAATGAATACACTGACGCATTTTAGCGGTGGTCGAACATCCTCAAACCTGGCGATGGCCTTTAACGTCCTCGGTGTGTTCCAGGACAGGCACTTGATAGTGACCATCAACTAGTCTACCTGAACCCATGCATTATTTTGACCCGGCAGCAATAGTAGTAGCTACGGTCTGGGTATGTCAAATAGTATTATCACATACGTTGGTGTTTATGATCATGCAGTGTACCTTGTATTCTTTCGTGTTGAACCCACAGATTATTATATTTAAGAGCTACCCAGCAAGGACTAAAACATAGCTATATTATTCTGTTGATTCGAACTCTGCTCGTTACGCCCTTGATGGAATTCCAAGCGAGCCTCGTCACCGACAATGTATATCCGAATTAAATTCTACGCGGCTGTCCTATTCTTAGAATGCGTGTTGGGGCTCTCGTAGTTATGCATTGGTCTTAGTATTGAAGAGATAGTGTAACATAAGTGACATGCGCGGTGGCTCTCACCTAATCCCGTACTACATTTATGACAACTGTAACGACTCTAGTACGGCCTATCTAGCCCTCTACCTCTTCCTATATTGCACTTTGTTTGGCCATCTACTCGAGACGCCATAGATAGTTATACGACCGCTACGCTGTTTGCACAGAGCTGGCACCGACCGTGTTGAATACAGTGTCGGTGCTCCGCTTCTCCAGACTCTTACTGACTGGGTTTCGTGCCTCCTACGATAGAAAAGTCAGATGGGCCACAAATGATGGATGGGTCGAGGGAATATTCCGGGAGACTCACAAATATTTCGTCCATTTCTTCCAGGGTTCTGTCCTTGGTCTCGGGGAAGAAAAAGAAGATGAAGACTCCCTCAAAGATATCCCAGAAGACGAAGAAGAGATAGAAGTAATAACTAATGTCAGCGAAAGCCGGGCCAGAGGAGTACTGTATCACCACACTGCTGGCGGCGGAGGCCAGGTTGCCGATTGCAGTGCCCTTGGCCCGTGTAGTCGTCGTCAGGGTCTCCACGATATACATTGTCTGCAGCGGAGTCCACCCAAATGAGAAGACAGCACCAAAGAGAAACACAAATACAATGGTGCCGTAAGCCGCCGTGGTGTTGCCCTCAATGGCGGCCTTTGATGTTCCTGTAATAACGGCAAAGCAGATGGAACAAAACCCAATGGACCACAGGAGTATCGGTCTTCGTCCGATCCTGTCACAGAACTGGGCGCCCAGAATAGAAGCAATAAAGCATATGACCGGGTTAAGACCGTTAATCAACAGTTGGGTGTCTTCGGATGTTATGCCGGCATTTGCGAGCATGACAGGTAGGTAGTATCCAGTGACCGAGTTCCCACTGAGTTGGCCAAAGCAGGCCATTCCTAGTACACACACAAGTCGGCGGCGTGCGGAGTGAGTGCTGATGAGTTCCTTATAGTCCCACCATTTCTTATCGGACGCATCGCGGCGGATCGTGTGCTGCATCTCCACCATTTGCAGGCGAACAATAGGGTGATCCTCCGAGCCCTCACCATGATACCTTGCTAGAACTGCCCGTGCTTGCTCTATCTTGCCGTGCGCGATGAGCCACCGAGGGGATTCGGGGATAAACCAGACTCCTACTCCCACAATCACCGAGGAACAGAGCTGGAGCCAGATCGGGATCCGGAAGGCGTACGGATTGTCCCATTTTGCACAGCCGTATATGGTCCAGCTTGCAATTATGGACCCGAGCCACCTACGAAGACATTAGCTTCCTAGCGCCTCGCGGCAGATCATATGGGCTATCAGAAGCCAACTCACCACATGCAGTTATATAGGCCGGTTTGAACTCCGCGAAACTTAGGATGAGACATTTCGCTGACGTAGCATGGCGCGCTGACGGAGCAGAAACTGACCCCAAACCCGAGAATAAACCGGCCGCCGATGAACATCTGAATATTATGGGCGGGTGCCTGTATACATGTACCGAGGATGATCAGAGCAGCACCGGCGAGCATGCCCGCACGTCGTCCAAGATAATCGTTGATGGGGCCAGTGAAGGGTATGGCTGCCACGGAACCTATATTGTAGACGGCCATAATGAACCCAACCTGCGAACCTGTGGTTCCGCTGCCGTGAAATGAGTATGGTGCATGGGATTGAGCAACAGGGACGGATACGTACGTATTGAAAGTGTCCTGGTAGGAGCTCATGGCATTTAGCCCGCCCATTAGGGAGCCGTCGAAGCCATTTAGGCACCCGCAGAAGTAGGAAATGAGCAGACATCCGTAAAGCCGAAACATGCTCTTGGTCCAGGGACTGCAGCGGATTTCCGCCACTCGCTCAGCAACATCCAACAGCTCATTGGTGTTGCCGACGACTTCGAGGTGGGATGCATCGAGTGAAGACTTTGTGGGCTCGTCACCCTCTTTCAATTGGGAACTCATTGTGGGATAATTTGGAATGACTCGCAATGTTGCTTATCGCGAGAGACTCTTGTACAATGAAGGGAGAGAGGGTGATATAAGAATGGTTCTGTCCCCAATATCCTCCCTTTGCAAGTGGCTGATAGGCTGTCCATTTGCATACTTGGACGAGGCGCGGGGTCCCCGTGGAGTAGAGACTGGTTCAAGGGCCGTGGCATGCTTTCCCCAGACAGGCGCGGACAAAACTTGCCTATTACAGAAGGACCCACTCCACTGCGCACTCCGATTTCTCGGGGAAGTCGGATGGACAATTCAAGGTTTACTGACACTAACCTCCAACTCTCAAACATGGCGCCATATCGCCTGATATGATAGTGCCGGGACAAGGAAGAGACAATTTCCGACTTTACGCGCGGAGCTATGTTGACAGCCGCTTTGGATGACCTCGAGCTTCATGCAGCCACAATTTCTGTTAAAACATCCGTTAATGACAGCGGGCGACATGCTCAGGAAGAGCTTAACTATTGTAGACATATCCTGTGGAGTCCTCCTGGACATGGTATGGCGAGAAATGATGCAGTGGACATTGCTTTATCAAAAAGTCTCCAAGGCCGCAGGTCAAACGAGAGAATATTGTCTTCCTGCTCTTGAAATACTGTGAGCACCCATACTCCTGGAAGTGAAGTTTCCAGGTTGAGCATGAGTTCTAACCGCCAAGAAGCCATGTCGACAGTTGCAAAGGGGCCAGCCCAGCGCGAGCAGCTGACGTCGCTTCACTCTTGGGTTCTCTCTCAGTCCGTCTCATCCTCTCGGATAGTCTTTGCCGGGGACTCTGCTGGTTGCAACCTCATCTACTTGACACTGCTTCACCTGCGCGATACCCAGCCCCGCCCCTCCTGCGTCGTTGCCATGTCGCCATGGCTTGACTCGACTGGTACAAATACAGTGGGATCTGAGCACTTGCACACGGATTCCATGTTCCCTTTTGATCTGCTTGTTCCCTTGACAAACGAGGCCTCTGTAGAGACTCGAGGGCCTCGAGAATGTCACCAGTAGGGCTTCGTCAGACGGGTGATAAAAAGGGTTTTCAGCCTTCACCCGCTGTTCCAACGTGTCGAGGTTCTGCTGTAAAGCTGGTGACGAGTCTCAAAAGGAGCAGTACTCCCGCATCATCTCTTTAAGGAGTTCGATTTTGGAATCGATTAGATCTAATCTCCCACCCTCAGTCTGCGGTCCCAACATTCTGTACACAAGCAAGACCGCAGCAGCGAGCCATAATGCGCTGGCCGTGAGCGGGTGGGCGTATTTCTCCGGCTCCCTAGCGTGAGGCGCTGCAAGAGAGAAGATATTCTCCACAGCCGCAACGTATTTAGAAACGCCCTCAGCTCAGCGAGCCTGAGCCCCACTGGCTTGCGGTTTCTGACCGGATATGCCCTGACCCGAGAGTGCCTCCGTCGCTCGGTCGACAATGTTTTTGAACCAGTTCAGGGCCAAACTAGGTGAAATTTCCAACACCCTGGACTTGTGATGAGCCATGAAGCGCGCCATCTCAATCATGATGTGGATATTGTACGCGGGGGCGTGAAGGAACCTTGCTCTTCGTGTGGCCGGAATTCCCACCACCGTTGTATTTGTGGGAGATCCCTGGGTTGCAAGGTGTTCGCGCACCATTTCAGCTTTTTGCTGCGTGAATCGCTTAGTTGGAAAAGTGTGTTTGACAATTGCAAAAGTCTAACATGTTAGTGCCAGAGCATTACGTCTCTTCAAATTTCCAAGGACCCATCAGTCTCGATGCCCCTGTTCAAGAATGAACTAATTTGAAGACAAATCTGCTCAGTCGAACAACAATTATGATTGCCCATCGCCTCTCAACTGTGAAGAAAGCAGACAAACATCGCCGTCATCTCCAATGGAAGTTTGGTCGAACAAGGGACACATGCACAGCTGACTGCCCGGGATATAAACCAAAGCCAAAATTGACGAGTTGCCGGTGTGCCCAACCCGGCGAGATTTAAGCAGCGGCTGAAAATGAAGTGCGATTTATGCCGTGACTGGATGCCCCACTAAAATCCCAATACCCCCGCGTTGGCCGGGCTTCTCTGTGGATCTTTCGAGTTCCAGGGCCCCGGCTGACCTTTATGTATTCTGTCCGACCGGTGATGTTGATGCAGGGTTAGGTCTTTAGTCTGCTTGCTCGAGTCGAACATGTGACTATGCAGACGCTCAAGGCACTCGATAGCCTTGCCCTGCCTACGAGCAAGTTGTAACTTGAACTCTGAAACATATTGTGGTTAAAAGATGGCGGTAGACTTGGGGAGACAGGTAGAAGTAGCCATGACGACTCACTTCGTCGAACATTGGTAGCTCTGGTCGTAAGAACAGCTTTATAATATAGACTGAGAATCAAAGCGCCCTACCCTGTATTTTTTCTTTCAGAAACATTGCAGTGTTGAAAGAATGAGAACAATTCGTAAACTAACGCATTTGATCTAAAATACAGGAAAGCGGGAGTAAATTCCGGTACGTTGTCTGACTAAGATGCGCCGCTGATGCCACGAGTTGAGCATCGCAAAGTCTAATGCTCCCGCCTCGGTCGTCTGCCCCCACGATTTCCGCTCTCGCGGATGAGAGATCGTACGAGTGCAGTATGCCATCAAACGACGCAGATGATTCAAGGGTTGCCAGTATCATCGTCTGTAACACGGTGGTGCTGGCCCTCGCCTCGATTGGCGCCTGCGGCCGTGTCACAGCCCAGATCTACATGGGCCGCTTTGATCCCGACGATGGTGCGTGCTCCAATCCATGATGACTATGCGTGGCTTACAGGTTGTCTAGCTTTCTTTCTTACTAGTTGGGTAGATTTCAAGCACCAAGGTTTACGCGACCAGCTCCCGGCTAACAAACGGTTCAGGTATTCGCGTTTGTGCTATGCTTTACAGCCATGTGGAGTATGTCGATGCTCTCGTCAAGCTCGTTTCTGACATTCTCGCAGTGACTCGTTATGGCTACGGAAGACACTTTGAGCTCATCCAAGATGACACAGAGACAGTGGCTACGTTTCTCAAGGTACATTATGCAGTCCATAAGACTTGTGGAGAGACTGACTGTGAGTAATCAGCTCAACTTTGTCACCGCAATTGCGTATCTCATCTCCTTAACCACGATCAAAATATCATTCTGTCTCCTGTACCTCAAGGTGTTCTCAGTAACCCATCTCCGGTGCGTATACTACCTGCTCATTGGGTTCGTGATATGCGAATTCATAGAGGAATTGTTCGTTTTTATATTCCAATGTTCGCCGGTCAACAAGTATTTTTACCCGGCGACGATTCCGGGAGTCTGCAGAGACCTTTACGTTTTCTATTATGTCTCTTTCGCAATCAAGCTGGTTACCGACATAGTCCTGTTTCTGTTGCCTATCCCACAGTTGTTGAAGCTTCACGCCCCTATCGGCGTCAAGACAGGTCTGATTGTCATGTTTGGGTTGGGGTTATTGTGAGTTTTCTCCCAAAGCCCTTTTGCTTCTCCTTTTCATTGAATCTGCGCTGAGCCTGCTTTAGGGTATGTGTAACAAGCATTGTCCGGATTGTATATATCAGGCATTTCCAGATTGATTTTACTTGTCAGCCCACCCCATCAATACCGTCCCTACCACACTCTTTTTCCTTTTCTCGTCTCTAATTGTGTATCCAGGGGAGCTCGTCCGCGCCTCAAGCTGGTCATCTGTCGAGGTTTGCACCGCTATATTAATCGCCTCGATCCCATCCCTACGAAAACTGCTCGTCTTAGTATACCCTTCGATGCGGCGGGCCTTCTCTCTCCCCTGCAGCCGCGAGCGACGAGAGGGTGATAACTCAACACACGTTCGTTCAGTCGACCAGGGATACTTTGGTATCACTGTTGCTCAGAGACCTGCTACCACTCCAGACTGTTTTCCTCTGCCGTCACCAGGACTGGCGGAAGAAACTCGCATTGGAATGTTTTCTTTCCCTGGGGGTGTAGCGCCTGTTACTTCGGCGGCTATGGTGCAATGTTCAGACGGGAACAAGGCCTAATTCGAACCTTATAAAATACTTATACTACATTGGCCTTGTTCCCCATGTCGGGGTGGGTGGCGGGGGGTAGATACACGGCCATAAAGCCAGGTCCCTTAGGGATATGCACCTGCGCGGTGTCGGTCGTTGTTGTGGTATGATATGAAATTCCTGCTCACACGATGCGAATCATGGGCCTCAAATCAAAGGAAGTCAGACGCACAAGCCTGGGAAATCTAATCGCTCCTCGAACACCCCCCAAGGTCCCAAAGTCTCTTGAACTCGCTATCCCGCTCCAGCAGTGCGCAAGGACTGTCGCATTCCAAAATCCGACCACCGCCCATGACAGCTACACGATCAAAGTCGACGACGGCTCCGAGGCGATGCGCGACAGCAATGACGGTGCAGCTGGCAAATTGCTCACGCATGACCTCCCTGATCAGTCGCTCGGACCGCTCGTCGACGTTGCTGCTCGCCTCGTCGATTAGAATAATCCGCTTGCCGGCTAGCATGGCCCGGGCGATGCACAGGAGCTGCCGCTGGCCCTGTGAGAGCCGGTCGCCGTCCAGTGGGCTGTCGAGGCCACCTAGTCGAACCACGAGATCCTCAAGTTGGAGTCGGCGCAGAACTTGGAGGATCCTGCTGTCGCTGTGTTCTTGCCGATGCCGCCGCTGCTGCTCCTGATGTTCGTGCTCCACCTTGCCCTGCGGTCGGTGAAGGACAACGAGGTTGTCACGAAGGTTTGTATGCTTGAGGAAGAAAGGGTTCTGCGGCACGACGGCCACTGCAGCGCGCACAACCTGCCGTGGTAGCGTCGTGATGTCGACTCCATCGATGGTGATGCGCGAGCCCGGTGCGACTTCGAGGAGCCGCAGGATGCAGCCCAAGAGAGAACTCTTGCCGCTCCCGCTGCGGCCACAGATGCCGACCTTGGTGCCAGCGGGGATGTCGAGGGTCACGCCGCGGAGGACGGGGTCTCCATGGCCGCCACTCTCCCGGGAGTCATACGCGGCCACCAAATCCTCGATGACGACGTGGCCATGCGTCGGCCAGTTCTCGGGCACGGTGCCCGTCTCAGTGGGACGGTTCTCCGACACGGTGCCGGTGCAAAAGGTCTTGACTCGCGCGACGGCACCTAACGAGGTCTCGAGCTTGGTCCAATCCTGGATGACCCGGGCCAGCGACTGGCCGAATGACATGATTTGCACGAAGGCCAAAGCCACAAGCTGCGGCGATAGTTGGTCCCGCAACTTGACGACCAGGACCATCATGACGGTTACAAGGACGACAGTCATCAGGTCCAGCACGAGGGCCAGCCAGCGCTGGATGCAAAACAGCAGGTAGAATGGTCTTTGCGAGGCGTCGAGGAGATCCAGATACCGCTCGATGAAACGTGGGCCCCACGCGAACGCCCGTACCGTCGACAGGCCCTGGAGGAGGTCGAGGAACTGTGTGAAGAGAGGGGATTTGGCTTCGAGATCAAGGAGTCTGATTTGCTGAGACGTCCGAAGGTAGAACTTTTGTAGCACTGTTGGGTCATGGCCATAGTGGCTTGGGCGTCAGTGGAGCGGGCTTTTGTGACACGTCAAGGAGCAGTACTCACACCAACAGAAAGCGACGAACGGTACCAGTGCGACTGCAAAATACCCAGAAAAGACGCACATCAGAATAATCGACATGATGATCAGGCAAACGTTGATGCACAAATCCACCAGGGCAAATGCCAGCTCCGTGTCAATGACCGACATGTCTTGGCTGAAGCGATTTGTGAGGACTCCGACGTCGGTGCGCGAGAAGAAGACGAGAGGCGCATCCATAACCACTCGTAGGAGCCGAGCGTGGAGAACCCCAGAGCTCAAGGGGACCATGACGACCAGGAAGAAATATGCCGTCGCAGTGATGCCCACAACGGTACACCCAGTGAGCATTGCGAAGAGCCCCAGGTAGTAGTTGTTGGTCGCCTGGCCGGATTCGTCTGCAGTTTGCGTCCAGAAACTGAGGACGAGGCCTGTCATCCGATGCCCTGCCGCGTACAAAATCACCAACGCGGCGAGCAGGATAGTGTGCCATACAGGGACAGAGCCAAAGTAATAGGCATAGGTGGCGAACTCGCCGAGGACTTGACCGGGCGACCCCGCGTCGTCACTGTTCTGCTCAGCGTCTCGTTCGGATGGGCCATTAGGAACAGTCTCAGGGCGATGCTGCATCAAAGCTCTGACTGCATTAGGGTCACCGTTTTGCTCGACTGCCAGTCCGTGCAGATAATGTGTATCCGATTGGAGTTGGGCAAATGGGCCTTGATGCACAACATGGCCAGTAACATCCAGAGCAACGACGTGATCGGCGTAGGCGAGTCTGTGGATGGCATTCGTGGCACAGACCACGGTGATGCCCATTTGCCGGAAGATACCCGTCTCAGTGAAAAGATTCTGGAAAACGTGCTCCTCAGTCGCCGCGTCCTGCCCTGCAAAGACATCGTCCAGCATGACCGTCCTTTCCCTCGAGTAGACAGCTCGAGCCAATGCGAGGCGCTGCCTTTGGCCGCCGCTCAACGAGAATCCTGCGCTGCCCGCCTTAGTCGTATCGCCTTTGGGAAAGTGGGCAAAGTCTTGCTCCAGCCCGCACGCGTGAACAACTGTGTTGTACCATTTGGAGTCGTAGCTCCCACTGCCGAGGATATTCTGCCGGATTGTCAGGTTCTGGATCCAGGGCTCCTGACCAACAAACGCAACGTTGCCCAGATCACCATGAATTGAACCTGATCGGAGGGGGACTTCTCCCAGAATGGCTCGGATGAGGGTGCTCTTGCCCGAGCCCACCGGTCCGACGACAAAGGTGAAGCAAGATTTGCGAATATTGAGGGTGATGTCGTTGAGAATGTCGGGCTTTCCAGGAACCCAGCCAAAGCTAGCGCTCGATAACGCCATGAGAGTATCGCCTTTCTCATATGTATGACCCGCCTGGTTCAAGGGCAGGCGGCAATCGGTACAGCCTTCCGACAGCAAGTAGGCTTGGATGCGAGAAAAGCACGCGAGGGCGGCACTGACGTATGGAATAGTACGAAAAACAGCACTCAGGGGGTCCGACAAGAGGTAGATCAACGAGAGCGAAGTGTAAGCCGACTCGGTGTTCAACGGCTGACCAGTGCTCTTGGAAATAACCACAAACGTTGCAAACGCCGCCAGAGGGGCGATGGTCGCAGTATTCATTGCTGATCGGCAAAGGAGTCAGCAGCAGCGTCAAGACGACACGTTGTAAACTATCACTCGAGCACGTACCAATGAAAATCTGGACAGTAGACAGTCTCCGATACTGCTTGGACAGGTCCAGCTCTGTTATCCGGAGGCCTTGAATCATGCTTGCGACGACATCTACCAAGCCGAGCATTTTGACTTCCTAGACCGAACCTGTTAGCGCAATTGCCTCCGATCAGGACACGGGATTGCTAGGATTATTAGGTCTAACCTTCATCGATGCGAGGACGGAAGCCGTCACATCGACCCGCGTTTGGATCCCCCTCATCCATCTTTTCTTGGCCGGGCCAATGAACCGGGCCAGCTGCAATGTGCCAGTAGTAGCAATTATAGCTACAGCGACGGGGGCCAGAGCGGCAAGACCAAGCTGCCTGTACAGGAGGAAGATGGCGACTGCAGACTCGATGGGCGCGGCCCAAAGCTCGTGCAAGGATGTGGCGCTTTGACAGATACTCTCAGTGTCGGTAGACATGAGCGATACTGCCACGGACTCGTCGAGAGCCGTGCTACTGACATTCAAGGTATTTGTGTATATTAGACTGCAAAGACTGCCGCGAATAGCAGTGACAAATCGATATGTCATCTGATAATGGAAGCCGTTTGAGATTGCTTGCCCGAGGAAGACCAGCAGCCATGCGCCCGTGAGCCCCCATCCAATCTCGTCCGGCTGCGATGGATCGGCCGTCCACGAGGTCGTCCTGGCGATGAGAAAGGGCAGCGTGTACTTGAAAGCTGCCAATGAAAGCCGAGGCGCCATGCCCGCCAAGAAGATATACTTTGTGGCTGACAAGGTGGACAAGGCCAAGGCATGGCGGTTGGACGGGTTGGACGACCCAAACGAGTCGCGGGCTTCGGGGAGCAGTGTTCGTGCAGCCAGGCTGTCATGGATGGGGAGCATGTCAGGACCAGTCAGGGGGCGAGCAAATCCAGTTCGCATCAATGAATTGAGCCACAAGAACACACTCCGGGCCAGTATCCCACTGGTCGCCTCTGGTGAGAGATGCTGGTACTGGGACAAGAGAATGGGTCGCTTCTCCCAAGCTTCCGAAGTCAAGACAACGAGTTTGATGACAACAGTTGCGGTGAAGAGGCTCGAGATGGTGGAGTCGTGATTGGCAAGCCACAGGGTTCTGGCAACGGCGCAGTCAAAGAGCAGAGTAAAGAGCAAATACACGTTGATGATGGTCGATGGTCGCACCGAGCGCGCGTGCTCGGCGTGGGACAGAAATAAGAGCAAAAATCCATCGACAAACGCGAGCACCGCGGCCGATGTGCGCAGTTGAGAGAAGGGCCATTTCTGTGCATTCAGGGCGCAGTATAGCAGGACCACAAGCTGCAGAGCCGTGTAGACACCGATAAGACCCTACAGTGACTGAACCAGTCAGCGACAATCTAGCCAGCAGAATCTATAGTGGGAGTTTATTACGTGCCACTTTCACGAACGATTGGTGGGTTTTGGCGACCTTGCGAGGCTGCCTGGCGAGCCAGAAGAGACGCTGCAGGGCAACAACCAGAAAGAGGGCCGAAGGGACGATGCGCAGAACAGCGTCCTCAAAGGCCGGCGTAAAGTCAAACGCACCTGTGTGAGAAACGACGGCAAACCGAGCTTCGGGCGCCATTTCTTCCTCGGCGAGAGTTGGGCAAACCACTGTACGGGGAGGGTGGTAGTTATAAAATCCCAGTGTTGGTTGCGTGATGCAAAGGAATCTGGCGCGATATGACATCTTACCGGTCCATTGGCGTGTCTTTATATAGTCAGCGGCGGTTACCTGCCTTAGTTGTCTCGCTGTAGGCAACATAGTTTTGCACCTTGCACAAAGTCAGAGGCCGGCTTTGGTACACTACTATAAAGTGTATATTTTGCAGGTGAAGGATCAAGCCAGCTATTTTGTCGCCTCGGTCTCTGACTATGTCACCGAAATACACCGTTAGCATGCGTGAACCAAAGGAACTAGCTGTAATATTACATGTACCTTGTTTTACGCATGTATTTTGCTGCTACTAGTAGCGCTAATGAGGCCGAGAAGGCATACTTCAACAGCTATTTGCCTGTAGTCAATTACACTTAGAGTTGGATCTATTTGCGCAACTCCTCCCCAGTCGCCTTCTTTACCCTCGCATCCGCTCCCAGGAATGCACCAAGCACATCCTTCATCTTCTTAACAACAGCCGGATCGCTCTCTATCGCTTTCACGAGTGCCGCTCCGTTCTCTGCCAGCCAGTCTACCTCGGTGCTAGCAAACGTTCCATCCCACTCAGGTCCGACGAGGGGATCCGTAGTGGAGTGCTGGCGCGGACGAGTTGATGTAGTCTAGACGTCATATTAGGGGGCTGTCTTCTTCAGAGGAGAGTCCCGAAGAAGCGGATACTTCGCAAGAGTTGTCTCGTCCAAGGGTGTTTCTACTAGCTCCTTCAGGTTATGTGCTGGTACCTCAGCTCGGCCGTGGCGAGGACTTCGCCGATGTTGGCGTTACTAGCTGAGATCATATAAGTAGTTGCCTTGGCAGATAGCTGTACTGATACCTACCTGGCAATCATAATAACAGGTTGCTCCTTCCCCGTCTCGCGGTACAGCTTTGCATATGTCTCGAGAATGTGATAGCGTGGCGCCATGGGATGCTTGCACAGTGCCAACTAGAGCACGTGGCATGGATGGAGGGGATGGAACATATAGTCAGGGCAGGGTCTTCGCCCTTGTGCATGAGCGAGTCGTCAGAATAAGCGGCCACCTCTGGGTTGCAAATTCCTAATAATTGGTTCGAGGAACACCACTTTCAGTGCTATGCTTACCATTGATATAAGGACTGCTGAAGAGATAATTAGCCTGGCTCGCCGCAATGCCCTGTGCTAGACTAAACACCGAGGTTCCAGAATGCGAATGCCATCCGCATGAAGCTTCTTAGCGGCGACTATTAAAGGACCAGTCACTGAGATCTTCATTATATACTAGTCGCGAGACACCCCAACCTCCTTAAAACCTTGTTATAGGCATAGCACTGCTTTAGAACAGCCTCGGTGTCGTACATGTGGTGGGGGGAGACCTGAAGTAGAACACGCGCTCGGATATTCCTGAGGCTGTTAGCGCAGAATTGGACGGTTTAAAAGGTTAGTAGTGGGTTCTTTGCAGCGCACAGCAGATAAACCACTTGGTTAAAGACCTCCTCCTAGCCCTTGCTTCTATACTCCTTCACCTTTTCCAGGAACATTTCCTGGTACTAGGGCTTGAGCATTGTATCACAGTAAATAACCTGGTTAAAGGTTTCTTCTTTGTAGTCAGCCCTGACTTGACGAGATGTGTGTCAGGCCAATGTAGCACTCACGATTGTGGGCTCTGAAGGGCAGAGTATGTTGAGACCTTGGGGTCAACTGTGTTGATATTGACATTGTATATGTCCTCTAACGCCTGACGCCGGCTTCTATAAGAGCCCATGTTTGCAGTTATTGATCACTGGGTATCTGGTGACTTGATGCCAGTTCCAGAAGGCCAGGACACTCATGTGTGTTTAAATCTGTTTTGTCTATCTTGTAACACATCCTGCATGCTACCCCGCGGTTTCCAGGCCTGCTGAAGTGCCCCGCCAACTTATCGACAAGCAGTGGTTGTTACTTGGGCAGGAAACAAGCTGGCTGACTCGGTCTTGAACGCGGGCGGATGGGCGGACGGCCACACCGCATTGGACTAGCGAGTCAGACAGATTTCAGAGTCCTCTTGTCAGATCTTGTTTCCCTATTATCTTCCCCAGTAAGAGATTCCACTCTTTCCTAACTACCATTATGTTTTAGCACTTAATCCACACCCTTTCTAACCTCTCGCCCACCATCCTTCTCTGTTGATAGCTTAAGTCTCTGTTTGTCACGCGCAGCTCCTTCCACGGTTCCTTTGGGGAGTTTTGAACAAATCACCAAATGATGAAGCACAGAACGAGAAAGGTGAGAATAATTGGCTGCAGTACTGCAAGCCCCTTGGCCGGCGCGATCGCGCCCACCATAAACGGAATTATGGACGCACCCGAGGCTCTAACCGCAGAGCAGACTCCCACTGCTGGCACCCGCATCCTGGCGGGGAGCAGGTTGGATAGCCATGGAATCACACAAGGAAAGATAGGCCCCAAGACTAACCCCAGAGCGGAAGAGTTAGCCAGCGTACCTGAAGTATTAGAGCATGATTCCTTATCCAGAAATGCTGCAAAAATTGCGGAAGCCATAAAGTTTTGGGATTAGCCAGAAGCAAAAATGCATTGCCACGGCAATACTTAAGTAGAATATCACGGCCCATTTGGAGCTCTTGAAGGTGCGCCCTGTCACAAAGCCCAGCACCATCCGCCCTACTGTAATACCTGCCCAGAGCCCACTGGACACCATCCCGGGTTGGAAGTCACCTCCATGCCGAATCCGGCGCATAAAAGTCACAATCCAGCCTCCCAGCGCAACTTCGCAGCCAACATAAGAGAGAGGTTTTATGCTGCACAAGAGCACCACGCGATTCTGCAAGCACTGAAAGGTCCGACTGCGCGCCAGAAAGTTTGCAGCTGGTTGAACAGCACTTATTGCCGGCAAGGGATGCGCATTTCCCGATGGCTGCCCGTCGGTCTCTGCAGCACTTTCACGACACAGGCGTCTATTCCGTCTAGCAAACACCGCAAGGGAGAATATGACGTCGATTCTAGCCATATCCGCGAGAAGAGAGTAGATCCTGTGCCATGACCAGCCTCTTCTGGTGACCGCCAACGTTGTTAAAGCGGGAGCAGGCGTGGCGCCTGTTCCATAAAAGCCGTGAAGGAGTCCCAGAAGCTCGCTCGAATTACACAGGCCGCTAATAAAGGAATACCATGCCGCCTGCTTCGCCCCAGAACCCAGGCCAACGAGGATCTAGATAACTACCAGGGCTTGGAATTGTGGGTGAAGGCTGGGGACGATATAGGCAACGAAATGGCAGCTTCCTGCGATAAGCGCAATTCCTCGTCCAAAACGACAGTGGATGGAGTGGTTGCAAAGGGTGCTGGTAATGAGGCCGGCAACAGGAGAAATGAACAGGAGGGATACTTTAATCTAGGCAATGCTGTAGTACGTCTTAAGCTGCAAGTAAGTATATCTTTGTCAGTCACCGTATTCTTGATTTTGCTAGGTGAGATACTCACGTGTGGGATGAGTGCCTAACCAGTGGACCGTCAGCGAATCTACATAGGATTAGATGGGAACAGTCAAATCTTATACTATACACACTGTCATTTGCGCCCAGGAGTAAAAATCACCAGAATGTCGCCAGAACACGTGGAATATTTCACTCGCGGCAGATCCCAGCGCTGCGTATCATCCTGCGTGTCGTCTCGACCTTGGGACTCACCTTCTCCCTGTGTACTATGATTAATGCCTTGGGTGAGCCCATTTCCATGGTTATCGTGCAATGAGATAGTGTCAACATCGGTATTCTGGACTGCCATGTTATGAAAGATAAATGACTATAAATTAGAGCTCAGATCAAACTGTTGTGGACAAGTATAAATACTTTATCGGTTGTCCGGTCCGTTCCCCGCTCCAGTATCCCCAAGTATTGAGCAGAGAGCTCAGGTTACTGGCTGCAGACCCTGATCATCTGAACTTGCTTAATTGGTAATTTGCCTAGCTCTAGACACCAAACTTCGAATCCCCCATCGGCACACACCACACTCTCCGTACACCACGCCGCATCAGTACCACACAGCATCCCCCACAGCCCCTGCAACTCCAGAAGCATATGCGGGCGGGCGACCAGCACTCTTTAAGTTGGCTAGTTCCACCAGCTCTGGATCATTCACACCTTCTCGGACAGCAGAGAGCGGAGAGTTCAGTTAATACGGCTCGACCTCCTTCCATAGTTTCTCGCCAGGAGCGTAGTACATATCTCCTAAGACTGTGCCCGGGATGTAGGCTCCTGGAGCACTAGGGGTTAACCCCCCTTTTACTAAGCCTCTGTTTCTAGCACCCTGAGAAACCCCTTCTGCCTGATTTCTTTACTTAACCCCATGTATATAATGCCTTCACCGGGATATCTAGATCTGTGGCCGTGATATTCACATCGTTAAAGAAGGGGGGTGGGGGGTGGTGGGGGTAGTATCACAAGCCTTGCGTTGCTTAGGTCATTAACACATGCTAATTCCTATATATAGTTGGTTCCACGTACATAGAGCCTCTTAGAGATCCTTACGCTTCTTATTCTGTTCAATACGATTCTATTTTCAACGAAACGTTCCTACACCGGGCAAGCACAGAGGTCCAGGCTCAAGTGTGGCGGGGTGTATTTGTGGTTCGCGAGACGTGTCCGTTGCGGTGCAGACGCACCTAGTAGACCAAATACAGGGGTTGGGACCAGGGAAGGGGGGGGTGAGCCCTAGTGATATTCAAATTGTGGATGGGCTGGATGGGCTAGTTCGAAGGAATGTGGATGGGCGGCAGAACAAGCGACAGCAGGCAAGGAACGGGCCGGGCGAGGGGGAGGGAAGAGCGGGGTTCCTGCCGGGCCGGGGTGGGCGTTGAGATGATGACGGGCAGGTTTCTTGGTTTGGGGTTTCCGAGGCCGGACAGAGTTCAGCCTGCGGTCCCATGAGACATCTTACGATGTGGTTGCGGCGAGGAGATTTTGGACACACCCTGTGCGACATTTTGGCCGCCGCGCTGGCTGTTAGATTGGTAGCTGGACGCCTTGGGCTCTGTGCATAGTACTAATGCAGCCGGGCCGCATCGCAGGCGACTAGAATTCCAATCAAATGTCAGTAGCCCCACTAACGCAGGCATATCCATGCTCTGTTCGCTCCGATTAGTCCGAATCCTCCCGTCTCTTAATATATATCTAGCTAATATGATGTGGTACAGCCCACCAGGAATTTCCAGGTTGACAGAAACCTTTCAAGTCTTTCACAAGAAACGAGCAAAACTCTTTATCATGTCCATTCCGGACGAGTGCACTGTTCTCGTCGTGGGTGGCGGGCCTGGAGGGTCGTACACGGCCTCTGTCCTCGCCCGTGAGGGCATCGACACTGTCCTGCTCGAGGCAGACAAGTTTCCGCGGTGCGTCTCTATGTTTATCGATTTTGGCTATGTCCGTCAGGCCGCAGGCTAATTGGCGGGTAGCTACCACATCGGCGAGAGCCTGCTCCCTTCCTTCCGCCACTACCTGCGCTTCATTGATCTCGACGAGGAATTCAACAACTACGGGTTCACGAAGAAGCCCGGGGCGGCGTTTAAGATAAATCCTTCTCGCAGGGAGGGTGGTGCGTTTTCTTTACCCTTCTTACTAATGTATTTGTTCCGTAGGCTGAAATTGTTTGACAGTGACCGACTTCGTCATCGACCGTGGCCCCGAGCACTACGCGTGGAACGTGATCCGCTCCGAAGCAGACGAAATGCTTTTCCGGCACGCAGGCAAGAGCGGCGCAAAGATCCTCGACGGTGTCAAAGTCACCTCGGTGCAGTTCGAGCTCGCCACCACACAGAACGGGGTAAACGGCACCACGGAAACTAATCGAGGCGAGGCGCACTCGGAGCTGCCAAACCCTGGCCGACCCGTCTCCGCCTCGTGGACCCGCAAGGATGACGGCGCCACAGGCATCGTGCGGTTCAAGTACATTGTCGATGCTACAGGGCGAGCGGGGCTGCTAAACACAAAGTACCTAAGGAACAGGCACTACAGCGCCGCGCTAAAGAACGTCGCCAACTGGGCGTATTACACGGGAGCGGGAAAGTACGGCGATGGAACGCATTTGGTCAATTCGCCGTTTTTCGAGGCGCTGCATGGTGTGCCCCTCAACCCCTTTACTCTAATGGGCTTCACCTGCCTACATGGGCGCACTGCACAGCTAACTCACGGATCATGTAGACGAAAGCGGCTGGGCCTGGTTCATCCCGCTGCACGACGGAACGACCTCCGTCGGTGTCGTGCGAAATCAAGCCATCGCCGCCGAAAAGAAAAGCACCGCCACCTCGCTCGAAGCCTACTTCGACGACTCACTCACCCTCGCACCCATGCTCACCTCCCTCCTCGGCGCCGCTAGCACGCGCCAAACCCCAATCAAGTCCGCCTCGGACTACAGCTACCACTCGAGCTCGTACGCGCTCCCCTATGCGCGCGTCGTCGGCGACGCAGGCTGCTTCATCGACCCGTTCTTCAGCTCGGGCATCCACCTCGCGGTGACTGGCGCGCTGTCCGCGGGGACAACCATTGCCGCCGCAATCCGCGGCGACGTCGATGAGGAAACTGCTGCGCAATGGCACTCTGCCAAGATCCGCGGCGGGTACGCGCGCTGGCTGCTCATTGTGCTGAGCGTGTACAAGCAGATGATCCACCAGAACGAGGCGGTGCTGAGTGACTTCAACGAGGATAACTTCGATCGCGCGTTTGCGTTCTTCCGGCCTGTGATCCAGGGCACGGTCGATGAGACTGGGGGCAAGATCACGCAGGCGGAATTTGCGAAGACGATTGAGTTTGTTATGAAGGCGTTTGATCCGAATATTTTCCGGGATGGTGTCAAGAATGCGCCCGGGCAGTCGACAGATGAGAGGGACAAGGCACCGGCGATGGAGTTGACAGGGGAGGATATGGAGGCCCTGAGAGCGATCCGCATGAGCCATGGGCTGACGACGGGGTATCTGGAGGCGTTCACGACGGATGTTATCCAAGGGAGACTGCCCCGGCTGGAGAGGGGGGCGTTGACGCTTGTGCCGGCTAGCTAGCGAGTAGGTAGTCCTGCTATGTTCCACTGTACGCTATCATGGGTTTAGTGGCTGTGATGCCGAAATAAATTGATTGCTATGCTAACAGAAATCCTGCTATCTGCTGCACTTCCAATGCCACAGGGGTCCCCTGTAAGGAACGTCTCTCGATGAACAAGGTCGTATTAAACTAAAATACGAAGCATGGAGAACTAATGGAGGTTCCATGAAGCGGGACTGACTATATACAGAGGATTGTCACGTGGCGATGACCTAAGCGGGACGAGGCCCATGACACTACCCCCCCCCCCCCGCTTTAACAATGTAGATATTGTAAGCGGCGAGGTCGGATTAGTGGCGGATGCCAGTCAGTCTTCACCCACGGCGAGGTCCTAGCAAGTAACAAGACATTAAGCTATAAAGGATGTATAAAAGAGGAAGAAGAAGCTATATACTAATTAATTTAGAAATAAATTACTAGGGATTAGAAAGACTAGTAATTATAGAGGTCTTTTATATATAGTAATACTATGAACAGGGGATGTTTACGCCCACCCCCCTGCTATCGTGGGGGGCTGCTCCTAGAGTCTGCGTCTTGCTTGGCGGAGTCGACGTCGACTCCAGAGTCTGCGTCGGGAGTCTGCGTCGTGCTTGGCAGAGTCTGCGTCATGCTATTACACTGGCCGCCCTGTTTCGGCCGGACGGTCGGGCGGTCACCACCAAAAAACGTCGATTCTGCCAGGGGGAGGTGTCGAGGGGGTGTCGCGCCAAATCCGTCCCGCTGGCGCATTGCCCAATCAGTGCCCGCTACTCCGTCCGGCCGGCGCATGGTGGAACCCCTAGTGGGCCGTCCGGCCAACGCACTGCCCAATCACCACCTTTACGCATCATCCGGCCGATGCATCGCCCAATCACCACCTCTACGCATCATCCGGCCGACGCATTACCCAATCACCACCTCTACGCATCGTCCGGCCGACACACCACCTAATCACCATCATCACGCCCTTGTCCTGCCGACGCATCACCCAATCACCACCTCTACGCATCGTCCAGCTAACGCATTGCCTAATCACCACCCCCTAACCCAGGGGGGTCAGTGAAAGATACGTATCCTTGACCTAGGGTTGCCGCGGCTTCGGCCGCTGATTGGCTGGCTCCAGATCCACCTTGCGTATCCTTCACTAGGAATCCTCGCGTATCTTACACTGGCTTTTTCATGGCCGATCCGGCTCAGATTGGGCCAGGGGTTAGCGGGGCCAGTTAGCTCTAGCTGGTGCTAGTTAGGAGTCGCTCCAATGAGAGATTAGGGTGTAGTGGTTGATTAAACATGCCAAGTTTTTGATTTTCCTACTTTGGGGTTTTTTAGGTTTTACGAGCGCGGGAGTGGCGTTAGGACTAATCAACCCACCATACTCCTCCTACTCCTACACTCGCTGTACTAACAGCAGTGACCATGGAAACGCGTGGAAACCATAGTAACTATAAATATGAATGTTATTATTTATTATTATGGTGAATCCCATTAACCAATCTATTGATCCATCCATCCATCCATTATTATTATTATTGAATAAGTCAAGCAGTCGCGAAGTAGTTGTTGACTGGTGAACAACTAGTTCCCACCATGGAGAGCCAATTATTCGAGAAGATCCCCAGCTTGCAGATTATCATTTGCCGCCAGTGCAAGCATGGGGTGCGGC